ACGGACCAATACAGAAAGCGTCGGTAGACTCTCGTGATGGAAAGTCAGAACACACGCGACACCCTCGACACCATATTGCGCAGATCAACGAGCATTCAGCATGTATGGAGGTATATGTCCGGGGCAAGGGCCCTGAAAGAAGGAAAAAAAAAAAGGAGAAACAAGGAGCACTGGCGACGAGCCCACTTAACGTTCCGTGGCTCTGGATCGGTGGGCAACCCGACGGCTCCGGAAAAGTGAAAACGGTCGTCGCAACATTGAACTAGACCAGCACACGACTCCGCTGCCTTGCATAGCGACTTTCCAGCGCCCCAAAAAATGTGCCTTCTCGAAGACTGCCTATTCCGCCGCTCCCGCCGACCACCCAGCCGCGCTGTGGGCCGGGCTTCTTGTCAAGCCAGAGAGAGAGGGTCAGAGGTACCCCTTGGCCTCCGTCGCTTGGCGCGGCGGGCAACGGGGAATGAAGAAGGGCGGACCTATCTAGGGAGGTACGCACAATAACCAGCTCTGCATCGTGCTTCAACAGGATCGCCTAAATCACAAACAAGCGATCGGCAACCAGGTTATTAGGGGACTAGTGAATCCACAGACGGCAACAAGCTGGAAATTAACCAAGTCAAGGGCCTGTTGGCGCTTCTACCTACTGCTCCGTAAAGGGTTTCGAGTATTTCAAAGAACAGCTAACCTGCTGGCGACGTTTGAGCGCACGGTACACCCGGGATCGCTCCAATTACCAAGAATGACGGAAAGGGAAACAGTTTGCCGATGGCGCATGCCGGCGTGCGTCCGAGCATCGCCCAATGTATCGAGGTGAGGTGTATGGCCATTGAGTGAGCAGGGTAAATGTCTCTTATTTTCAGGTTTTCTCCGGCCTCGCCAGGTGTATCTGTACTTGGCAAAATACGACTGCTAGGGGGGAAAATCCCTTGTCAGATGCCCTCCCACCACTTGGGGACGGCCGATTACGGTGTACACTACAGCGCGAGAGGGTGTATTACTAAAGAGAAGCAGAAAAGATCCAATTGATTTGGTCATTGTGCAAAACGAAGAAATCTCCTTTCCCTACTTGTACTTCAAGCCTGGGCGTATGTGGGCTCTCGACCCCATACATGCTTCCATCGCGGGACCAAAGAAAAGCTTCGAGTTTCAACGTCGAAAGATCCTCTTTTTAAAAAAGAAGAGCCCATGCGACAAGAGGACGTGAACTGACGCGACCCCACTTGGAGATCAGAGGGTGGTCTGCAACGGGTTTTGACCCCCACGGACCACAGAATTGGATGGCATTCAAGATGGCCTTAGATGAGGCCGTTCCCCTCAGAACCAGATTTCTCCATTGACCCTTTTTTTGCGAGCCAGCCGGAATTGTCGCGCTGGGAGACACACACGGGCGGGCGCACATACGGAGTACACACACCGCCTCGCCAGTAAATTACTCGTTGCAACTCAGGCCGGGGACCAGAGTAAGGTTGCTCGGCACGCTGGGCGGCGCACGACTCAAGAAAGGCATCACATGGGCTGCCATTTTTTATTTCGTGTTGTGATTTTCCTGCTCCGGCTATTGGAACCATTCTCAAATGGACCAAAGAGGACTAGCACCTGCATATCTTGGCGATGTCAAGCGTGCGCGCCGGGCGAGTAGCGAGTGACTGTCGCGAGCCAGCCCCCTGCAAACGATTAGGCCGACGTGCTGTTTTGCTGAGTCGGATGAGGTCACCGTGACAAGGGCAGGGGACGAGCGACGTGCAGCGCGCTGCACACCCCCCCTACGCAGTATGGATCCGAAGGATGGCGTGGCTCGCGACCAGCGGGAAATAACATGGATGGCCTGCAACCTGCCAAGGTACCGAACCGACCAACGGCCAACCATACTTGTACGGAGAGGTACTTCGTACCTCGACCGTTCGCAGGGGGGAAAAAGAAATCAAAAACAAATTTATTGCGGCAGTACACATCACAGGTAGGTACCCTACTCGTAGTGTTTGTTCTTTTTGGCAGCAAAACGGTTTGCCTCCCCAGTCCGGAACGTGCCACAGCACCCTCCCAGGTAGCACGCACAAAGGAAGGCGACAGCGAGGCGGGAAAATCAAGGCTTTCTGCCCTATTTCCTTTCGTCTGTATACCGCTTGCACCCATGACCATGTACTCGTAGGCAGCAGGAAGACGGCGAAAATGCGCTGGCGAGGTATGCAAATTCCACGGTTGAGGCATGCTGTCTCGCGGGCCTCGGAGCAGAGGACAAAGCAGAGCGGCATAGGCATACGGCAGAAGCGAGGAAGGGCCGAACTACAAAGTAAGCAGGAAGACGGAGTGCTTTTTTGGTTCGTAACGTTATGTGACTCCAGCTCAAGCCACCTTCTTGACCGTGTCCCTCTGCCCATCCGCGTTGCATGGTCAACCTTCGTGGCCTTTGTCTGAAACTGAGTTGCTGGCACGGACGAGCTTTTGCAGAAAATAAAACATCAAGCAACAGGAAAGATCTTCAGATACGAACAGAGCGGTAAGCAGCATCACGGGCATCCTCGGGACACCGGATGCGATGCAAGACGGAGGACGGTGAGGAGGGTTGAACGAGCCTTTGGTCTTTTTTGATGACTGATTGATGTCCGGATTGATGGTGTGGAGATGAGAAGTACTTGAACTAAGTACATACGCCCACCCACACCCACAGGAGTATGTATGCATGAGAGGATGGAGGGATCGATGGATGGATCCCTCTATGTATGGTTGCATATATCAACCTACCCTACGTAGGTACCTGACCTCATGTACATGCTGTCGGGAAAGCAGGTCAGAAAGAGAAATCACAGGATGTGATCAATGTGATGATCAATGGTGTGCTGGGATGCGCAGACAGAATGCTCCGATATCAGGCGAGCGAGGTTTCGAGAGTCAAGGCCACCCACCACCATCATCATTCTCTTCAATCCTCGAGATTACAGTATGCTTTCTTTTTTGCGTTCTTCCCATAAGACGAGAGGAGAGAGGGCAACAAGGGTAACAGCTCCAGCGCAGTTGAGACGGAAGAGCATCGGCAAATTGAAGTCCAGGTCGGCCTAAGGTAGGTAGTTGCAGGGTGCAGGGTACCTACCTAACCTTGAAGCAGCCAAAGAAAAGAAACACATTTGTACTTGTAGACTGTAGAGAGACAGCAAGACAAACCTCGACGAGGGTAGCAGCGACGACGGCGGCCAACCAACACTCCAAAACCTCGAAAAGGACCCCTGTTCGCGCCCCTCTTAACTTGGCCTCGTCCCGTCACCTTTTCGTGTTTTGCCAGCTCTTCCTCTCTCTTCCTGTTCTTTTACCTACTTGATAATTTTCTCTTAACCGCACAACAGTACACGCAACGCACGCACGCACGCGCACACACTCCCACACACATCTTCTTGGGACTCGCCTTCGCGTGTCTGACAAACCTTTTTCGACGGCAAAGAACAACATACATCTTACACACCCCTTCCCCCCCTCCTCTTGCTCTCGCCCTCCCTCCCCAAAGCACGAGTCATCCACCCATAGGAGGGACGCCGTCCAAAGAAGACAAAGAACAGAACATCGGTCGTGGCAAAAAGAAGAGAAGAGAAGGGAACGAAGACTTGCCTGACGGTACCTACCTCGGCCGTCCCAGACTAAATCTCCGAAGCGGCGTATACTTGGTACATACCACCTGAGTGCTGTACCAAACCAACCTACCTACCCTTTGCGCCTCCGGCCTGACAGGTATGTAACTCTAGCAGCGCAATAGCGGCGACCCTAGGCAATTTCTGCGCTACTCCTTCCTACTACCTGTCTGCTACCTGCCTACCGTGCCTGCCTATCCGAACCTTGGTCGCCTTTTTTTTTTTCTTTTCTTTCTTTCTTTCAGCACCACCGCCTTTCGATATTTTTTAAATACCTATATTATCCCTCCCCTCCCACCTTTTGGTCCCTCTTATTTTTCTGGTCTCCACTCCACCCATCTCGAGTTTTCTTCTCCTTCTCTTCTATTTTTCTGCTCCTCTCACTACCACCTCCCCGACCCTACGTGCCTACATATCCACCACTGCCCGCCGTTAACTCGTTGTCGCGCGCGCGCGGTGCACTACCTCACACACTACCATCTTGGAATCCACTCCATCTGTGTCCACTCGATCCATCCCATCGAAGGCGGATTCAGCAAAGAACCCACTGCAACCCACCTGCAAGCGCGAACGTACCTGATAGGTCTCAGTGAAGAGGGAAAAAAAATTCCCACCTTTGGCGCAAACACCAGATTGTAAGCCGAGAAAAAAAGAAGCCAAGCATCCACCTCGCGCGTCACCAGCCCACCTCCCTGCTCCCAGAAATCATCCAAAAGGGCTCCACTCCAACCTCCATCACCCCCCAAAGGGCCTCTCTTTCCTCTCTTCTTTCCCCCTCCACCCTTTCTTTCAAGAACAACGTTCTTGAGCCTCAAATATCCACTCTTGCCGCATCTCCACCCTGCAGTACCACTTTGCAAACTCCTCCTCCTACAACATCTCAGGCACAGAAAACCGACAGCATCGTCGGTTGTTGTTCTCGTTGTCGCGCGCAAGCTCCATCACCGCATCGCCCCCTTTGTCGCGTGTCGCAATCGGTTTTTGTTTGCCTCTTTGACGAGATTGTCTCGAGACTCGGGCCAAACTGACACTCGGATTGAACCCTGTTCAGGACCCTGTTCAACCAAACACGTCAACTTCTTGACGCGCCCTCCCCGCTCTCGTCCGCACAGATCCGCCAGTCTCTCGCGTCGCGTCGTTATCATCACAGATTGCGATTGCCTTGCCACCTGTCGCATCAGACCAACTTCAAGATTGAATGATTGAGTAGCGCTTGTTGGGCTTGGGTCAACACTGAGAAGGATTATGGACGGATCTCACTACTCGGCGAACGTGATCAACACCACCAACACGCCTTCTTACCCGTCGTCTGGTGCCTCGACGCCGCATAATCTGCAGCCTCAGAGCCTTCCGCCGCACACTCTGCCGCCGCTCCAGCACAATATGTCGGCCATGCAGTCAGCCTATGGTAGCTACCCGCACACCCCGCGTACTCCGGCTACTCCTAACACTCCAGGCTCCAACAACAACATGGGAAACTACCCTCCTCCTCCCAACCAGAACGCTGGTCGCGGCTCATACCCCATGATGCCCAACAACCCGTATGGCCAACCTCACCAGCCCTACGGCACCCAGTCGATGCTTCCGCAGACCACGACTACCATGTCCCACCCTCAGCCCATCGCCCCCGCGCCCTCGCCTGGCGCTCGCGGTCCTCCCGTGCTCCGTCCCATGCCCACCGGAGGTGTCATGCCCCAGCAGGGCATGCAGTCGCCCTACGGCCAGAGCCCGCTGATGCCCCAGCCCTCTATGCTCCCTGAGGGCGAGCAGCCGACCCATGTCGTTGGCTCCCAGGGTCGCCGTGGCATTCTCCCCAGTGCTCCTGGCCGTCCTGCCGCCCCAGCCGCTGGTACTGCCGGTGCCAAGGCTCAAGTACCCCAGAAGGATGCGGACGGCAAGTTCCCGTGCCCTCACTGCACCAAGACCTATTTGCACGCAAAGCATCTTAAGCGCCATCTCCTCCGACGTAAGTTCTACCTGGACCACATCCGAGATCAACCCCTCCCTCTGCCTCGTGAAGTCTATGTTCTTGGCTCTTGACAGTTGTCATCTTCAGACACCGGCGATCGCCCGTACATGTGCGTGCTTTGCCGCGATACGTTCTCTCGCAGTGACATCCTGAAGCGTCACTTCCAAAAATGCTCGATCCGCCGTGGCAACCCCACCGGCGCCAGCCACCTTTCGCACCCGCACGCTCACGTTAAGAAGAACCCGGCGGCGCAGAAGCCCCTCCCCGAGGGTGATCTGTCGCACATGAACGGTATGGGCAGCATGCCCGCAGATGGTATTGTGCACCCTTTCGGTTTCATTCCTGCTCAAGACGGGGGGTTGCCCAATATGACCAATGATCAGAGTAACCTCTCTAGATCAGGCAGCATCAACAGACTTGAAGATGCCAATGATCGAGACAGGCGTAATATGACGGGATCGGTCATGGGCGCTTCCCGCGGGGCCAGCTTTGATCAATCGTTCAACGGGAACGTGCCTAACAGCATGGCAGCCAACATCAACCCGCAATTGGCGAACTACCCTATGCCGCCGAGCTCGAACGGCATGCCGATGTTTGGAGGACAAAACCAAGATTGGTCACAAATGTTCCAGGCTGGTGCGCAAAATACCTACGTCAACAATACCTTCCAACCTAATGATGGACAGACGCAGATCGCAACCAAACCCGTACCTAATCCCGAACCCGTAACTACAGATGGCTTTCTCCCCGGAGACCACGGCCTCGCCGACGACCGCTCCCTTTTCCTCGGCAATTGGGCACCGCCTTTTGCTCACGATCCTTACCAGCAACTCTCTAACCAGATCCTCAGTTTCTTCTATCCTCCAGATTCCATAGTCAACCCGCAAACGGCCGGGCTCAATCTCTACTTCGCGCCAGACAACGTCAAGGACTTCCTCGAGAAATACACTCACTTCCACGTGCACTTCGCCATCCTCCATATTCCCACCTTCCGTATCATGGACGCTTACACTGGCCTCCTAGCTGCTATGTGTTGTGTCGGCGCCTGCTACTCCAGCCAAGTCTCCGCTGATAACGTGCGCGAGATGATGAATTTTCTCTGGACGGCCCTGCAGCGGGATTCCTCAATGCTGGCGTCCCTAAACAGCGCTCAACTCGACGACAAGTACAGAAATGGCACCTTCGCAAGCAGCGCCAGAGATATTGAGGAATTCCAGGCCATCATGCTTATGCATACTATCTTCACCTGGAACGGAACGCCCGAGCAGCGTGATGCCACACGGAAGATCTTCCCTCTCATCAGCACTCTCGCCCGGAACGCTGGTCTCCTTTCTGTCGTAAATGACGCCTCGCTGCACAGTCCTCTTCACCAACCCGGCGTCTCCATCGGTGCATTCGACCCCTCGACTTTTGATTGGGATGTTTGGGTCCAACAAGAAAAGCGCATACGTATCATGTATTTTATCTTCTTGGTCGACACGGCAATGGGTCTTTACTTCAATTCTCCACCGGTATTTGATCCGATGGAAGTCAAGCTCCCACTGCCAGCAGACGATGCGGCTTGGGATGCACACAGCGGAACACAGTGTGCGGAATGTCTGGGCTTGCACGGCCCAGAAGCCGCTCGTCAGCGCAATCCCGATGGGACACAGCGTGCCAAGCAACCCGAGTTGCATCTGGCTCTGCAGGCTCTGCTCCATGGCTCGTACCAGATGCAGACAGGCACGACGAATCTCTACGGCAAATTCATCATCATCCATGCGCTGCTTGCACTCATGCGCAAGGCTCAATCCCAGGGGCACGCAGCCAGTATCGCTGGCTCGAGCACACCCCTGCTTCAGAACGATTGGATTGTTCCCGGGCATGACAGCACTGGCCCGAACTCGGGCGCGAGCAATAGCGGTAGAGGGACGCCGGTAGAGGGCATCATGCCGACACAGACCTTGAAGTCTTTCATCATGGCGTTGGACAAGTTCAAGCGCAACTGGGACTCTGACATGGCTCATCAATTCCTGCCTTCGTCTCGCAGTGCCAGGCGGCATGGGTTTTCTCGCGATGGTGTACACTTCTACTGGCTGGCCAACTACATGGTGAAGCACACGCAGCCATCAGATCTGCAACTCGCACCAGATCAACGGTTTGCGCAAGTCATCCATCTCCTCAAGTCAGTTAAGAGCTGGGTCATGTCTGATGGTGCGGCTAGAGGCGAAGAGCTGGGATCTATTGGAGAGATTGATAGGAATTTTGGCGAACAGGGCGGCTTGACCTTGAACATGGTCAGCCTCTTCAAACCTTTACCAAAGGTCGTGGAATCCCCGGAGATCACATCTGTAAAAACGGCAATCGGTACAAACAACTTGATGTGAACACTGCACATAGTTTCAGCATCAACGGCGTTCAATCTGCTCATTTCCTGGTTGGGTTGTGGTCGCGCATTGCTTGCTTGTTCGCCTGCTTTTTCTGTTTTCCTGTCTTTTCTCGTTGTCTTTTTCGTTTCCTTTTTTCGCACCCTCTTCATCTCAAAAAGAAAAACAGTACAACTACTACCCTCGATGCATCCTGGAACAACGGCGGCTTGTTTGCTATGCATTTGCGTTGGGTTGCGACGATAGAATTCGACGAGGGGCTTTGCATTCTAGACAAGTTCTTTTTTCACTTTGACATCGTCACAACATATAGACTAAAGGAGGGCTTCGGGGCGGCAATCTGGTTTGTTCTCCCAGGGAGAAAAAGGTCGTTATGAATCATTTATGGCTTGTGGTAGTAATGAATTTCTCGCAATGAACCTTGGTGGCTTCCGAAATTGACACAGTTTGTCTATAACTGTTGTGGCACGGTTGTCTTGTCTGTCTCTCTTGGTGATCGCAGGCCATACTTACTTCAGCACAACGAAGGGGGCGGCGACGTCCTCCGAGTACATGCACCTACATACGGTATTCGTTACTAGCACTTCACTTTGTACCTACATGCCTTTTTGGCGCGAGATGTTTTCGTTATGCAAGGCACAGGCAGACAGAAGGGGAAAAGCAATCGACTTTCTCTCGAGCAGAATAATACACTCTGAGAATCATACGCCGTGCTGTCTCATGCTCCATTGCCCACCGTGGATAACTCTCCGCCACACGTCAAAGGATGCTCCAGTTTCGACATCGACACTGAATGCATCTTGGATTAATGATACAGGGTGTGCCTTGTAACCTCAGAACCGCGGAGGCATGGGGTGGATTCTCAACAAGTACATGGGGCAATAAGTAAGGCTTTGCACAATAGCAACGCCTATAGATACAGTGTTCGTAGAGCCACTGCTCTCCAATTCGGGGGCAAGGCTGCTGTCAACCCCGAAATCTGGCGAGATCCCAGCTACCGCCTACTACCAGGATCATCCCTTTCGACAACATGGATCTTGGGTTTGTACTTTTCCAGCGCCTCCTTGTCCTGCTCAGAAGGAGTGAATCCGAACTTCTCCTCGGCACGGTCAGACAGGTACAGTCCGATGGCGCCCCAGGCGAGAATGCCGACGCCGACGCCGAGGCGGGCATTGGCAGAGAGCCCCTTGTACGCTCTAGAGGCATGATAAGGTGAGCAAACAGTTGCGTGGCATGACAGCGGTGAAGAGAGGGGAGAAGAGACGAGGACTTACGACCAGAGAGACATGGTGATAATCTGGACGATAGCTTCAAAGTTGGTAGTAGAAATATGTATTGTCCTTTGTTGCGATTTATCACTCTTTATCGTGAGATGTGAGGCATAGTGCTCAAATAGCTGGGAAAGGCGATTTTTGAGCGAAAAGATTCAGTTGTTGTAAAGACGCCTTAGCCGTCTCTCATAGTTGGCATGCTCTCATCCACACACGATGGACTGTGTGAGGCTCAGACGGAAATGACTTGGTACGGCACTTCAGATAACTGACCGACCGACCTGCAAGTTAAGAAAAGTGGTTGATCTTCTTTGACTTGGACACAATCATGATTGGCCGCCTGCAAGATAATATGGGCCCTGCGTTCTGCTAGTGCGTCTCTCCTGGGCCGGCCAAAATTTCCGTGGTGCGAGATGCGATGCGGCTCCAACTTCATCACTCTCACCATCTGTGCGACAATTGCCATTCGATTCGTCATTGATCGCCATGGCGGCTCACATCCAAGCACGGACGGCAATGGGCCGAACAATTCAGGTCCTGAAGGCCTCCCCTGCCCGGCCGCAATCGACATCAACCTCTCCTTTCCTCATGCTCTCGCCATCATCCCAGCCGCGGATGCAACAGACATCCGCCTTCTCGACGACCCAGAACCTCTGCAAGCGCAGGAGACACAAGACGCGCGACAACAACCGCCTGCGCGGTGTTTCTACGATCCGCCGGTCCGGCCCCCGCGAGTTCCTGTCCGTGTCCAACGACGAGCTTCCCAGGCCCCGTCCAGCATCCGAGCTGCCGCCCGTCGAGGTGGACCCCAACCACGGCCTCTGGGACTTTTTCTACGACAAGAAGCTCTTGCAGAGCCCTGCCGAGGACTCGGCGCACGGGCGGGCGTGGTCGGTCGAGGAGCTGCGCCGCAAGAGCTGGGACGACCTGCACAAGCTCTGGTGGGTGTGCGTCAAGGAGAGGAACCGGATCGCGACGGCGAGCTACGCACGAGAGAAGGCAGAGATTGGATTTGGCGAACACGAGGCTTCCGAGAGGGATGAGGTGGTATGTGACAGTCCCCTATGGCAAACTGCTCTTTGATCAGGAGTCTTGGAAAAGCTGACTAGTAATGTGGGATTGAACAGGTCCGAAAGACCATGAGGGCTATCAAACACACCCTGACGGAACGATACTACGCGTGGGAAGATGCTGTGGAAGTGGCCAAGTCGGATCCCGAGATCAACCTCTCTGGCGACGGCGTCGCCTTTACGCCTCTCGAGTACCTCGAGGAAGAGGGCTCAGAGGCCCTCGAGGAAGAAGTGGCCGAGGGTGCGTCTGGGAAGAAAGACGCGCAGAGCGTGGATGCATCGACCTTGGCTGCGTCTGGCAAAACCGCTGCGGACGCACCTCGTGTCTAAAGAACTGCACACCTCTGTTCCCTGTCACTGTCAGCCAACCTTATCCTTGGCCTGGCGTTGGTGAAGGGACAGGGCGTGGCGGTGGAACCGAGTCTCTCAAGATGGCCCCCTTGAGGAGTGCAAACCAGGCTGTGAAGGGCCTTACTTGTTTGGACTCGAGCTGTACAACATCAGTCTACATACCCTCTATAAACTGTACTATTGAGCATGTGTAATATGTAGGAGCTATGCAGGTCACAAATGCATGAATGTGCTGAGACGAGCTTCCTTGACCTCTCCTCTTGTTTCTTTACCCACTCTGTGCCCTTCGAGAACACGATAGTGCAGGTAAGCAGCACAGATAACTGCCTGCACATGCTCAAGCAGAGGTCAGAATAGTTGATGGAAGTTCGTCAGGAGATACCTCGTTGTTGACAATGCATATGCCTTTACGCTGGAACTCGGAAGGACTACCCACTACTACCTGAAACCGAATGGATGTTTGATGGATGGTCATGTACTTCTGTTAGCAGCCCGTCAAGTCGTCCGGCCATCGCTTGATGCTGTACCTTTATGTTGGGCTCCTTACACGCATCATTTGCTTGATTGATGGAACGTGTTGATCTCTCGTCTCATCTCGAGAAGAGTGACAAAGGGACTACGGTACTACAGTACTACGGTAGCCAGCCTAAACCGTTGCCGTGAAGAGAAATGGCGGGCACTAAAAAAGAGGGCGACAGACAGCATTGCTGGCCTCCACACCCCAAGAAAGCGGTCCCCTCACTAACAGCTTCCACTACGACACACACCTTGCCCCATCGGCCCCGTCGCTTTTCTTGACCGCCGAAGTTGAACCTCTCGCTCTCCTCTCTCCCCTCTCCCCCTTCTTGCACATTTCACCCGGCTTCGACCTTCAGCCCCAAACCCCGCCGTACAATTACCAGCGACACCATATTCTAGCCGCCATGGAGGAGATTGCCAAAGAGTACGATGTCATTGTGCTCGGCACAGGTGAGCAAACAGCTCTTCCGTCACCACCTGCCCCGCAGTGTGGGGTACACGTCTCGTCGTCGAGACAAACAGAAAGTCAACAAATGAAGCTTTACTGACTGGTGATCCTGTGCCACCGCAGGTCTGACCGAGTGCATTCTATCCGGGTATGTGCGCCTCTAGCTATCTCGACGACGAGAGGATGCAAGCTGACCCAAGACGCCCTCTAGTGTCCTGAGTGTCAAGGGCAAGAAGGTCCTGCACATTGACCGCAACGACCATTACGGCGGGTAAGTCGGTCGCAGTCTGGGAGATTCAAGAACGAACGTCATTGCTGACTCTGTGTAAAGAGATGCCACCTCGCTCAACATCCAGGCGGTATGCAAGCACCCCTTTCCCCGACACAACCAAACCCTCCTGGGTATCCCTGTCCGCGTCTACCCAACAACCACACATACTGACCTGGCGCCGGTTGTCTCTCCTATAGCTCTTCAAGAAGTACGGCCATGCTGCCGGTGGTGAGGAGCCGTGGACCAAGTACGGCCGTGCCAACGACTGGAACGTCGACCTGATCCCCAAGTTCCTCATCTCCGCCGGAGAGCTCACCAACATTCTCGTCTCCACCAATGTCACCCGCTACCTCGAGTTCAGGCAGATTGCCGGTAGCTATGTCCAGCAAGGCTCTGGACCCAAGGCTACTGTTGCCAAGGTTCCGTCCGATGCCGCCGAGGCTCTGCGCTCCCCCCTTATGGGTATCTTCGAGAAGCGCCGCATGAAGGGCTTCATTGAGTGGGTCGGCAGCTTCGATCCCAAGGACTCGGCCACGCACAAGGGTAGGCTTGACACAAAGTCCCAAGAATGTCTTGATATAATGAACAATACAGGAGACTGACGGATACCAGGGCTGGATATGTCTTCGTGCACAATGAAGGATGTGTACGACAAGTTCGGTCTCGAGACGACGACCAAGGACTTCATCGGCCATGCCATGGCCCTCTATCTCAACGACAACTACATCAACGAGAAGGGCCGGGCTCCCGAGGCCATCGAGAGGATCCGCCTCTATGGCAACTCGGTCGCCCGCTACGGCAAGTCGCCCTACATCTACCCGCTCTACGGTCTCGGCGAGCTGCCTCAGGGCTTCGCCCGCCTGTCTGCCATCTACGGCGGCACCTACATGCTGAACACCAGCGTCGATGAGATCACGTACGAGGGCGGCAAGGCCACCGGCATCAAGGCGACCATGAGCAACGTGGAGCCCGAGATGAAGTTTGAGACCAAGGCCAAGATGATCATTGGTGACCCGTCCTACTTCCCCGGCAAGACCAAGGTCGTTGGCCACGTTCTCCGCGCCATCTGCATCCTCAAGCACCCCCTCGCCAGCACCAGCGACAGCGACTCGTGCCAGCTGATCATTCCCCAGAGCCAAGTCGGCCGCAAGAACGGTAAGTCTCCGCGTGTTTGACAGCTGGACCCTGCGCAATTCTGTGACACCCCCAAGATAGACTAACCGTTGCATAGACATCTACATTGCCTGCGTTTCGTCGGCACACAACGTCTGCCCCAAGGGTTACTGGATCGCCATTGTCTCGACGATTGCCGAGACCAGCTCCAACCACCACCTCGAGCTGCAGCCGGGCCTGGAGAGGCTTGGCAAGATTGAGGAGCAGTTCATGGTAAGTGTATCAATCAAATATATCCCCCCATTTCAGCCACTCATGATGTATCAGGGCGCGCCCATTCCGCTGTACGAGCCGCTCGAGGATGGAACCAAGGACAACATCTTCATCTCGAAGAGCTACGACGCCACCAGCCACTTTGAGACGACTACCGACGATGTGCAGGACATTTACCGCCGCTGCATGGGCGAGGAGTTGGTTGTTGAGGGCCTCAGGGATGGCATCCAGGTCGCCGATGAGTAAGGAGATCACGTTGAGGGGGTGTGGAAGAGAGGAACACGCACAGCACATGAGGCAGTAGACCGAGTGAGAGAGCTTGATTGTCAATCGATACCGAGAAAGTATGTCGGAAGAGCGTATTGTTCAGGGGCAAACGGGCGTCGATTACTTAAAGCCAGAGGTCCATTTCTGTCGAGTCTTTCAGTCGAGCAAAACAAAATCCCAGTGTTGACCAAAATACTGCCGCTTGAATATGAGTCCGAGCACAAGGGTAATGGTGATGATGATCATCGAAACAACGTTCTTTTTGTGATATGCTCTATGCTATATCCCCTTGAGAGCCAGTCAGGCCACACGGGGGGGAAGGGGCTCGCCCGTAAAGACAAGAAAAGCCCTCTTGCCATGAAAGAACAAGAAAGAAGCCAAGAAAATGAATTTTTCCCATTGACCCTTTTGCCATGAACGCCAGACAAAAACCACGTCGATATATAAACGAGTAATCATGTTCGTGAAAACCAGGTACCAAAGGACAGCCGGAGGAGCTGCTGCTGCTGCTGCTCTTTAACGACGAGCCGTCTTGCCCATACCGCGCTTGCCGGCAAACTGTACACACAGAAGAGAATATATATTAGCCAACGTGTAAAAAAAGAAAGACAACCCTGTACTGTAGGATTGCAATGTGCAAAAACTCACCAAGTGCTTGGGCATGGCCGCCGGGACGTGCCTGTCGGCCTCGCCCTGCCGGGCCATCCTGTTCATCTTGCGCTGGTCCAGCTTGGCCTGCCGCTCGGCCTTGCTGCGCACCGTCTCGTCCCGCACGCCGTCGACGCGCCTGTTGGTCGCGGGCTGGCTGCGCGCGCGGCTCTTGGACCGCAGGCGGTCGCGCGGCGTCGCGTCGACGTCCATGGCGTCGAGGTCGTCCCCGGTGCCCGCGCGGCTGCGCGTCGTCGACCGCCCGCGCGACTGCGACGCCGCCTGCGCGCGGCCGCGGGCCACGATCTCGGTCGTGTCGACGCCGAGCCGGTCGAGCGCGTCGTCCATCTCGGCGAGCGGGATCTTGGTCTTCTTGCGCGGGATGATGGCGCGGTTCTTGAGCGACTTCTTCATCTTGGCGGCGTTGCGGATCAGGGCCTGCTGCTCGCGGATGAGCTCGGCCTTCTCGAGGACCTCGCGCTCCTCGTCGTCGTCGATCTCCTCGTCCGAGTCGTAGTAGCCCTCCTTCTCGAGGCGCTCTTCCTCCTCCTCCAGGGCGGCCAGCTTGGCGTCGATGTCCGGGTCGACATAGTCGTATACGTTCTTACCGTCGAGCACCTCGGGAATCTTGTCATACTTCCACTCTGGGTTCTTGAGAAGCCAGTCGGCGCGCAGGTCGACATTGAACACACCAGCACCACCGTTCTCCTCCTCGAGGTCCTTGGCCAGTTTCCTCCGCTCGGGATCACTCTTGTCGTACTTCTTGAGGTTCTTGATGGCATCTGGGATGAAGGCTTCCCGCACCACGCCGTCCATCGGCTGGGCCACGTGGATCCTCGCCATGACGTCCGCCAGTCTGCCACCGACAGCACCGCTGCTCGAGGTACCAGCCTTTAGCTTCTGCGACACACGCTCAGCGATCAGCCTCTCGCAGGCGGCATTCTTGACAGCCTGCACACCCTCCTGCGTGTTGCAAGAAGCCTGCAGGAGCTCGACCTCGCCAGACTTGAGCAAGCTTTGCAGCTCGGCTTGGGTTTCGGCATCGAGGTCCTCCGGCTTCATGACGTCAATCTTGTTGATGACAATGAAGATGAGCTTGTTGGCAAAAAGGGGCTTCAGACTCTTGAACAATTGGATCTGTGCCTGCACGGAGTAGCCACACTGCTCCGACAGGTCCATCATGTACAGAATCGCAGACCTCAGATGCGCAATGGCGGTGATGGACTGCATCTCGATAGTATTCATCTCCTCAAGAGGGTGATCGAGAACACCCGGGGTATCGATGGCCTGGAACCTCAGATCTGGCCAGCCAAGGTTAGCATCCATCCCGGAGGTCTAGACAAAAGAGCGTCTAGGAAAATCAAAAGACAACGTACATTTATAATCAAAGTGGCCGCAGAAGAGTGACTTTGTGGTAAAGGCATAAGGCTGGACCTCGACATCTGCTCGGGAGATGGACTTCAAGAATGAACTCTTGCCGACATTTGGGAAACCGCAGATCAAGAGGGTCCTGGTGTTGGGGTCGATGGACGGCAGACGACCAAGATGCTGGCGCACTTGGTCAAGATACAGGAGAGGGTCTTTGAGCCTCTTGCAGAGGGTGGCCATGCGACCAAGCGCTGCCCTCTTGAGCTGCTTGCACTGGTACAGACTCTGGCCATACTTGAGGAGGCGGACATAGTCTCGAGCAATGGTCTCAATCAAGTGCTTCGCGGTCGAGATCTGACCCAGAGCGACGTGGAAGTGGTCGGCATCGTAAAGGGTGTTTAGAAGATCGCGGTGGAAAGGATGAATGTCCTGCAGGCGCGGGAAAGTTGAGATGATCTGGGAAAACTTCTCGGAGAACTGTGTGCGGCATCGGGTTAGCGTTGGACTTGCAGATCTCGTTTAGATGAATCCTTTGCTGGCCATAACTAGCAGAACGGCAACGAGAGGAAGTTGAGGCCATGGCGCCAGTAGTGCGGTGAAAAAGAGTTGCTTGATGACGTACAGTTTCAGCAGTGAACTTGACCTTCCTGGTGTAGAAGCCTCTAATACGGGAGATCTTGAAGCCAGCTCGGATTTGCGTAGGCAACCGGCGCTGGGTCCTGCTGAGCACAATATCCAGAAACTCCTGGTTCGTGGGAACAGGCGGGATGTCCTTCCAGCTTGTACGAGACATTGTGGCGGTGGTGTTTCGTCGTCAAAATGCGGCCGCAGTATCGTGGGTTTCGCAAAAAGGCGGCGAAGACGACTTGTAGAGTGCGAGGTGGAGGTTTCAATTTTTTTCTTTCCCGCCATCTAATCGGCCCCCAAGCGAGGGTCTTATCGCTTATCGGCCAGGGTCTTATCAGGTCTGGCGGCTTTTTTTGGGGGAGACCAACCCCGCCGTGGCCGCCGCACCCACTATCGATGGCTGATCGAGGGATCCATGGATACCAAAAAGGTTTAAATGGCATGGCCCCGCCGTCTAAGAAAAACTCTAAGGAAAAAGCTGTGATGCGATTCCGCTCACCAGGGTGGCATTGGCTCGTCAACACTTTATCCAGACCGTTGAACACGATCAGAAACCGTCAGGCTTTGTTCTAGGCCCCAGGAAGAAGCATATTCAAGCAGCAATCATGTCTTCAACAACCACTCTTGCGCCCTACAAGGCCGATTTCCTCAAGGCGTCGATCGAGGGCAAAATCCTCAAGTTTGGCAGCTTCGAGCTCAAGTCCAAGCGCATTTCTCCTTACTTCTTCAACGCCGGCGACTTCTTCCGGGCCGACCTCCTGCAGGCCATCTCCAATGCCTACGCCAAGGCCATCATCGAGGCCCGCGAGCAGATTGGCCTCGAGTTCGATGTAGTTTTCGGCCCCGCCTACAAGGGCATTCCATTGGCCACCGCCACGGTCGACAAGCTCTGCCAGCTTGACCCCAAGAACTACGGACAGATCTGCTACTCCTTTGATCGCAAGGAGGCCAAGACGCACGGCGAGGGGGGCAACATTGTCGGCGCACCGCTCAAGGGCAAGAAGGTGCTCATTGTCGACGATGTCATCACTGCGGGCACCGCCAAGCGGGACGCGATTGCCAAGATCAAGGCCGAGGGCGGCGAGCCTGTGGGCATCGTCGTCGCTCTGGACCGCATGGAGAAGCTTCCTTCCCCCGACGGAGACGACAGCAAGCCCATGCCGAGCGCCATTGGAGAGATTCGCAAGGAGTATGGCCTGACCATCATCGCCATCTTGACCCTGGACGATATTGTTGCCGGGATGAAGGACTTTGCATCAGCGGAAGATATCAAGAGGACAGAGGAGTACCGGAGCAAGTATAAGGCTAGCGATTAAAAGCGAATTCAATTTTCAGCGTCCGCGAAACCTCGCGGCGTCCTCGATAGGCAGTTTCTAGATCAGTTGGTCCTATCGCCCGCCCAGGATCCAGCCGAAAAAGATAGACGGGCAATGCTCTGAGCGGAAGGACGTATCCAACCTGCTCTACTGTTCCGTACGTCCTACGGAACTCTCAAAGAGCGGGACCAACCAAATTGCCTGAGACGGATCATCCATATCTCAACATACCGAGCTGGACTACTTTACGGATAAGGCACTGCTCTCTCCGATCGCCTAAGTCGATGATTTCTGGTCCAGTTGGATGTTCTGTGAACGTTGTTAGCTACCTAGGTATCTTGGACCGGAAGAGACGTAGTTGAGTCATGTACCATGTCAGTCCAACCCCCGCCACCGAACGTGGCTTTGCTCTCCCCTAGGTTCTGGAAGCCGAAGCGAGAATAGTAGTCAACGAGATACTGTTCGAAGGTCAGCCTTGGGCATTCTCAGACTCGAGTTTTCTATGTTTGTGTGTTCCCACATCTTGACAAAGAATCGCCACACTGTCTGCAACTCCAGACTGTTGCATTTGCTGGAGATAGGCCTTCATGATGAGCTTGCCCAGGCCACAGCCCTGGACTTTGGGCGAGACTGCCAGTGAGTGAATGGCGACCATGCGACCGTCTTGCTGGTGGCCGACCTTGTGGCCCGTGAGGCCGGACGTTTTCCAGTCCTTGGGGTAAAGCATATCATCATCGGTCACGACCTTGTTGTTTGATGCCGTTGAGATGATGTGTGCAAGCAACACACTCACTGCGCCATCTGCACGGTCGGTCTCGACCGGCTTGGCAGCTTCTGCAGTCTCGAGGCCCGCCTCCTTGGCCGTCTCCGGAGGTGCGGTGCAAAAGAGCCCCATGGAGAGTTCAGGGCATGCGGTGAGACGATACTCGATCTGCAGAGTAGTTAGTAACAAAGAGTTCAAGCTCCTCACGGGAGGGGCAGGCTCAAGGAGCACAGAAGGGATGATGCATACCTTTTCGCGAGAAGCTCGGTGCTCCGGGGGGAAAGCGGCATGTTCCAATGCCACCGCAGATTCGAAGTCGTCCATAGTCAAGGGTCGAATGTTTGGGGCGAAAGTAAAAGGCAACACTTTCTGGATGGCCTGCTTCTCGTCTTTGCTCTCCCACTTTTGCTGGTTCATCTCCTGCTGTGCCATGGCGTATTCTGGGTCAGCGTCGGAATCGTCAATGGCACATTCAGCGAATCCTGTGTGCGATCCTGCGGGTGATTTCTCGTCTGATCGATGAGATCCTGCAGACATGCCGTAATGGGTCAAGAAGGCAATGAGATGTGGGAATAGCCCGGCTAGGAGGTGGCTATAAGTGAACTAGAAGAGCCACTACAGAGATCGCGGTACTTGCACGAATAAACAAGAATCAGTGTGTCAGAGGCTTGCGGGGAACAGAACTCAGAATGGGGTTTGCTGTACAGGTGGGGGGGGAGAGAGAGAGAGGCACAGAGGGATGGGACCGTGGCTATTACGTCTCATTTTGAGTTCCTCCACGGACGAGTAGAGCGGGCCGCAGCTTCTTGTTTACCTCGCGTGACACCTTCTGACCAGTCTTTTGATCGTCTGGGTTCTGCCGTTTCGAGAACTGCCTTCCATGTCATCTGCCCGGGAGGCAACATGATGGGCAGGCTTACATCTCCTCCTCGGTCGATCTTGGCCTCTGAGACGTGTGCCATTGCTGCACGGCTCTCATGTGTGCCACGTTTCTGGTAGAGCACCTCGTAGAGATCTTCAAGATTCAAGGTTCTGTTTGCAAGTGCTGCCTTCGTGCAAGAAGGGCCACATCCCGTGGTGGGCTCCCAAAGGATTTCCTGGCATCATTCACTGCTGGTATACAACTGCGTACCCCGTCCATCTGGCAGTAGTACCGGCAATCTGTGAGAATGGCACAGCAGCACGGAACCCCGCGTCAGTGTTGGGATTCGGTTGGTTACGATAGGTATCTGTCAATGAGATTTGGAGGGGTAGCCAACTCAGGCTGACACGCACACGCAGCTGATGCGCATATAGGTAGGTTGGAAGCAGACTGGACAAGGAGATTCTAGAAGTCCGGGCCAGTCTTCTATGCACAGACAAAGTTCATGTGGAAACTCGGGACGGCGGCAGCATTGCTTTGTGGCCCTCTTTTCTTTACAAGTACCTAGTCTATCCATGTGTGAAACAAAGCACGATGACAATGGCAGACTGGAAGGCGACTTGAAATTGCATAACTCTCGAGTGCATGTATGTGCATATGACGGTTTAACTACTTAGCCTTGCACCAGAAGCAACGAAGTGCATTACTGCATGTGGTTTACTCGTCATCGCCTGTAGCCTGCCCGGAGAGGGGGTCCCAGACTAGCCACTTCCAGTGTAGCTTGCAGCCCTGGAGCTACTGTTCCAGTGCTCTGCCGCCTTCACCGCCCCCTAGAAGCTGAAGCTTTGGCTCGGTACTGCATCGAGGTACAGCGTCATGCCGTTCTTTATTAGAGAGCTCCGGTGCGGTATCCGTGGATGGCTTACCACATCCAAAGATCCACTACATTCCATCCCATGCCATCGCCGCCTTCAACCTCACCTGCATGCTATTTCAGCTCCCACCACCATTTCACTTCTCAGATCTAGTTGGAGAAACCCGTGATCTATCTGCAACTCTCTGCCATCTTTCTCTTTTCTTGTCCTCAATCCAGACTTTGGGGAGGGCCGTTACCACAGATACCATTGCGTACCCCGACCATCCATCAGAGCTACCCCTCCACATCCACCTTCAAACCCGCCTCACCAGGTAACCGGTAGGGACACGTACCGACAACACAGCTCTCCTCTCCCGCCACCCTCCTTCCAGGCTCCGTGAAGGGCGGCTGAGATCAGAGGACACCCAGCAACTCTAGTATTCTTCCTGCAAAATGTGAGTGCTGCATAGCTCCCCCAGTGGTTGTCCGATGCTAATGCCCCGTCTAGGCGTATTACATTGAGCATCAGTAACCCGGAGGTGGAGGACCAGGATCTCCTGTCCCTTGACATCTTCCCGGACATGACCCTCGAAACATTGCGAAGCTCCATCCAGGCCGAAACCAACATCCCCCCCACCGCTCAGCACCTCTACCATAATGGCAACCTCATCACCGATAATTCGAAAACGATGGAGCAGCTTCAGATAGGCGACGGGGAGATGCTGGCGTTGCATGTCCGAGATATGCGCGGTTCAACGGGTATGCCGGCTGGCAGAGGCGCTCAACAGGCTGGGGCAGGACAGAGGTCCGGCGGCGCTGGCGGGGCATTGGAGCAAGACCCGGAGCTCATCCGACTCCAGATCCTGGGCGACCCTGACCTTCGTGCCGAGGCCCAGAGACAGACGCCTCAGCTTGCTGCAGTGCTCGATGATCCTCAGGCATTTGCACAGCTCTTCAACATGCGCTTCGACCGTGAGCGGAGAGAGCGGGCGGAGCGTCAACGCCAGATTGCCCAGCTCAACGCAGACCCCTTTGACGTCGAGGCCCAAGCCAGGATCGAGGAGATGATCAGGCAGGAGCGGGTTATGGAGAACTTGCAGAATGCCATGGAGCATAACCCGGAAGGTAAGCGTGGAAAGCTAGCTTCAAGACGAGGCCTCCCAGCTAACATGAAAAATGTAGTGTTTGGCCGGGTGCACATGTTGTACGTCAATGTTGAGGTCAACGGACACAAGGTCAAAGCTCTAGTCGATTCTGGCGCCCAAGCAACAATTATGTCACCGTCTTGTGCGGAGGCCTGTGGAATCATGAGACTTGTGGACAAGCGTTTCGCTGGCGTGGCACGAGGCGTTGGCACTGCAACCATCATCGGCCGTGTGCATTCAGCTCAGATCAAGATCGGATCCCTCTTCCTCCCCTGCAGCTTCACTGTCATGGAGGGCAAGAATGTGGAGCTTCTCCTGGGCCTTGACATGCTCAAGCGCCACCAGACCTGCATTGATCTCGCCAAGGACAAGCTCGTCATCCAGGGCGTGGAGATTCCCTTCCTCGGCGAGGCCGAAATCCCCAGGGAATCAGAGGAGGCCTTGGTCGAGGAGCCCACCATCACTGGACCTGGCGGGACTACCATTGGGCAAAAGTCTGGCGTTGTGTCTGGCCCTGGCGAGCCGTCGGCGAGCCAGCCTGGTCAGTCGGTCCCGGCGGCCCAGCCTGGCCCCAGCGCACAGCAGCCTGCACCCGCTGCTGCTTCGCCTGCATTCTCCAACGAGGCCATCGAGCAGCTCATGGCCTTGGGTTTCTCTCGGGAAGCTGCTATCAACGCCTTACAGGCCACAGGCGGCAACGTCGAATACGCAGCCGGCCTCCTGTTCCAAGGTTAGGCCGCCCACTGCGGCAGCCGCCAGCGACATCACAATTACCTCCACTCTCCTTCACCGATTGCGTTTGATTTCGTAGCGTTTTCGATAACAGATCATTAGTTAGGTTTCAAGCGTCTAGGGTCCGGGAATATGGAGTTGGCAAAGGAAAGGAGAAAACAGCTGCTTCTAGACGGCGTCTCTGGTATAGGGACGGATGAGCGCAAAGCTCAGACATACACCAAGACTACAGGCTATTATTCATGAGCTTGCCGGCTGCAGCGTCGCAAGTCCGGGCGCGTGTCCGTGCGGTACTTTTGGACTTTTGTATTCTGCAAGATTAATCCCTTCTTAATGCTTTTGACATGTTCTCCTGGTCTCCCACCGTGATCCTGCAGACTCGTGAAGATTGTGACACATTGAAGATGAGCACCAAAGCTCTCGAGGTATCGGTATTACGATAAGGTATCTAGTTACGAACCGGTATGCCATTGCACGCAAGCCAAATAAAACACCTCTCCTGTCATCTTATCGAATCTTGTACACACACGGCTTGAGAATGCTCGTCTCGTCCACCGTGTCCTCCTTGTCCGCCGCTTCAATAAACTTTTTCTTGATCTTGGGGCCGCGCTCTCCGGCGTCCTTGAGTTTTGCCACGCCCTTACCCTTGATGGGAGGGGCGGCCTTGACAAACCGCATCTTGACGAACATCTTGTTGCTCATGTCGATGGCTTCATTGGCCTCGCCGGCCAGGAGGAAGCCTCTCTTCCGAAGAGCCTCCACGAAGGCCGAGACGTCAGTCGCCTGGCGGCGGTCGTCGGCCCCGTCCACCTCGACAGCGAGGTCGGCCTCGTCGGCCTCTGTAGGCTCGTTGGGGTCCTTCTTGCCGCCCTTCTTGCCGGCGCCAGCCTTCTTCCTGTTGCCGACGCTGTGGTCGACCACCTTGCCCTTGCCGCCTTGCCTGCCGACGTGGCCGAAGCGGCTCTTGATCTCGGCGACCCAGAGCTCGCCCTTCCAGCGCAGGATGCGGTAGGCCTCCTCGACGAAGTCGAGCCAGTTGGTGCCCATGAGGGCGAGGCAGAAGATGGCGACGTCGACGGCGCCGTCGGCCAGGGGCAGGTTGGCGATGTCGGCCCGCGTGACGTGCTCGGCCGGGCTCTGCAGGTCGAAGCTCAGGATCTCGAGGTGGAGCTTGCGCCTGGCCTTGTCGAGCGTCGAGCCGAGGCGGGCGTCGCCGCAGCCCAGGTCCGCGACGGTGCAGGTGCCGTTGGTGCGCGGCAGCGAGACCACGGCGCCCGGGCCCGAGGGGGCGCCCCTGCCGCCGCGAGGGGGGAACTTTTGCCTGCCGCGCGCGAGGATCTCGCGGATGTAGCTGTCGACGGGGTTCTCGGGCCAGACGTCGACCTGCCGCCGGAAGCCCTCGTGGTACTCCTGGAACATCTCCGGGGCGTCCTGGAACAGCCGGTACGCCTCCGCCGAGGGCCGCGTGTAGAGCGTCTCGTTGAGGTGGCGGAAGCGGGCCGAGATGAGCTTCTCCCTCATCGAAGCCTGTAGCGGGGTGAGCTTGGGCGCCGGAGGCGCAGCAGACGGAGTCGCTTTTGATATGGCCTTTGATGTATCGTGAGATTTCTGATCTGAGCCTTGGGGCGCTTTCGGTTGGGAGTGAGACTCGTCGGCGGCCTGCGCATTGCCCTTCTTGGCCTTCTTCTTGCTCTTCTCCTTACTGGAAGGGGCGCTGTCTGCAGCAGGAGACTTGGCATCTGAGCCGCCGGGGTGCTCAGTCTTGTGTTGACCGTCCTTTGGTGACTTGGACTTTTTCTGCTTCTTCTCGGGCCGCCTGCTCTCCGGCTCGGGCGCTTTGTGGTCCTGTGCGGCGGCAGCCTTTTGCGGCGCGGGCTTCTTCTTCTTCTTCTCTCCCTTGTGCTCTATGACGCTCTCCCACAAGTCGGCGACATTGTCAGCCGTGACATTGACGCCTTGGCCGGGCCGCTTCCTTTTCCTAGACTTGGAAGGCGCAGCAGCGCCGGCAGCGTTGTCAGACGGCGCGGGAGCAGCGGCCTCGGGCTTGAGCTTGTCGGCCGAGACCGACCACCCCTTGACGGCAAACATGGCTTGACTGCAGCAACTTGCCGGACACAGAATGGGGTCAAGGGATTTAGATACTGCTGCTCTGGTGGTACCCAAGGTCTGGCTCACCAGCATGATTACCTACCAGGCCAAAGCAAGTGGAAATTTCTGTTTGGCCCGCCGTTTTTTTTGGTTATCGCCAGCACTGATAAGAGATGATGGGTACTTCAACCAGGCCCAGCCCCGGCCCTTGCAGGGTTCTCTCATCTTCATATTAAGCACATTTACGGCACTAAAAACCACGAGAGAAACTTGGGTGGTGGGCCTCGGACCCAAGCTTAAATTGACCCAGGCTGACTATCTTCGCCGATCGTTTCTTCAGCAAAGGTCTACCCGCCCCTACCTCGCAAGCTCGAGAACTTGGTCGACATACGAAGTAGCTGAGTAGTGTGATAAGACGTACTGTTGAGCTATGAGATCACATCACTATATTTATAGATATTGTACGATGGCTGTACCGGCTCGCCTCTGAAGGATACGGTTACTGCCTGACTTCCTTCACAAGCACTGTGTCTGCGGGGTTTCCGCTCTGTGCGAGGATGGTGATGCTCTGATGGATGCCAGTGTCATTGAACGAGGTGACGGACCGATGAATGCATCAAGCAGGGAGGGCTGGCCGCCGCGATCTCGAGATCGACCACATGGCTCTGGCCACCGATGACTCTGCTTTCAACAGCCAGATTGGGCCTCAGCAGCATCAATGTTTAAAACTGGCCGCTTGGGTAATTCCCACCGTTTCGCAGGCTGATCCAGTCTTATAATACCTACCAGGCACTTGGCTGTTGCGAGGAAAAGGTGGGAAGGGAGGGAGGTAGACAGATAAGCGAGCGTTTGACAGGCGTCTATGTCCAGCTCGTAGTTCCTGGAAACCTTTGTATGTTGCTTGCAGCAATTTAAGCCACCCCAATAGGTACACACAAAGCGCGCGGGTCTAATGCTTGTTTGTCCTCAGACCTTGATAGGGCTTGATAGATTCTGCTCGGCCAGGGGACAACAGCAGCCTAACCCCCGACCAGGACATACCTACGAAGTATGAATGAGTTTTGAGGCATAGGAACAGCTAGTGGAGCATGTCTCTCAAGACTCATCACCTAGCTACATTACCTATGTAAATGCTGCATTTCTCGAGGTCCACAAATTGCGGTGTACGACGTCGCGCCGCGTTGTACGACGAACGCAATAACTGGTCTGCAGCCTCTGGATCTTGATGTTGGATGCCTGCATGGGGTACAGGTAATGAGCCCTTGGGGGAGCGAAGGGCGTTTGAGCACGTCATGGAAGACAGATAGGCAGGGCGAGCCGAGTTCCTGTTGCATCCATCCATGGATGTATTCAGGCTCTTCAGGCCGATCTCTCAGCATTGCTTTCCAGACCGAGTGCCTGTCCAGAAGGTGTATTAGAATTGGCAAAGATCTCTCTCGTGCACCCACACAACAAGCCACGTAATAGCGGCGTAGATGGGGAAATGCACGGAGATTATGCCTACGCACTCCATCTCCAGTGCTTGCTGAGCATGGTTAGCCGTTGAAATGGTAGGTATCGCCGGGAGAGGGGAACCTTGTGCGTCCGTGTGTTGGGCCGGTGCGATCTGTGGAGACCAGGACGTGTCTGCCCCTGCGCATCTGGCTGAGCATCCATCCCATATCAGTCACGCTTCCAGGCCAATTGCAGGCATATAGCTAGCCCTAGAGTGCCTAGAGGCGTGCTCTGTACTTGTATACGAGCGTAAACAACAAGGCTGCTTATCGCGGCTGGGGTTGCATTGGAGAAAGGGAGAGAGAGGGTCAGGGCCTCAAGAATGCCTTGGCTGAGTGAGCTCCAAGCTATTGTGGGAAGGTCGAGGAATGAGAGTTCGAGCTGGCCCCAGAGCTGAAGCCGCTAATACGGCTCATGTTGCTAGCTGCCGGCCTGGTGAGCCCAAGCAAGCAGGTCGATCCTCTCTTCTTCCGGGTTTGCTTCCATGTTTAGAGTGCTGATGCATCAGACTGATGCTACGCCGCCATTGAGCTGTCTGGAGTAAAGTACCTTGCTTCACTGCCTGCACTCCCTGCATCCCCTGCAGTCGGCAAGACCACACAGAATACCTACTAACTACTTGTACAAGTACGGAGTAGAATGCATGGGTGTCTACTCCGTACGGCTGGCCCAGGCCCCCAGTCCGATCTGCCGTATCTGGAGGCGTGTGTTTGGATCTTCCAGCTGGTCCAGATCCAATTTTTGGTTTTGAGTGCAACCCTGGATCCATGACGCCAGTGACGCCAGTGACGCCAGTGCATCTTGGGGCCTTGGTGTCCTCCCTAGCGCCAGAGTTTACTGGTTCCCAGCGCCAGTAGCCCCAGTCCATAGCCGTCCATCGTATACCCTAGCAGCCTAGCACCCAAGATACCCTGGATTCCACCGGTGGGTGGGCTACTGACAGCTGGGGCAACGCACATGAACCACAGCCCGGCCAGCCCGCCTGCAAGAGAGGTCTGGTCCACGGGAGCTTCTCGTCCCATGGAGCGTGCCGCATCCTTTTCAGCCCGATCACGATGCTCGCAACCTGCGCTTGAAGAGGCCTCTCCCTGATCGAGAGACCGACCAATGCTGCGCGCCTGTGTTGTGCCGTCGTATCTGCCCCAACGAGGGAGAAGATAGGCCTCCAGACTTGCCGGCCGTTCGTCCACCTCCCACGCGCACCCACGCGCGCCGCCACTTGCAGCCCCCGGCTCTTGCGGCAGAGGACAGGCGCCATTTGCCTAGTGTCTTGGAGAGCCCCCAGATCCTTGGACGCCTGGGATTGGTGCAGTCTCTCTCCTCCTCTGTGACTTCCGGGTCTCACTCTGTGTACACCCGGCCCGTCGTCGCGCGCTCGCATTCGCTCATCAAGGGCCCAAGGTTGTGTATCCACATTCCTCCTCTCCAAAAGGAGGGCCATGGCCATCTGGATATCCTCCTTATAAGGTGCCCTGTCCCGTGGCCGCCGAGACTTGAGGCTCCCCGGCAGAGACGACGCGAGCCCACTCCATCCCCCATATAGTCGGTACCTAGACCCCATGGTCGGCCCGTTCACGGACAATCATCGTCTTAAAAGGACCTTTACCGTTATCCATCCATTCCTCCTCCACTGGCTTGCTCCATGTGCTGTTGCTGCTTGAGGCCAGTGGTATCTTGTTCGTCTTGGGGAGAGGGTCCAGATTAAGGCAACACACAGCAAGTGATCGGACGGACGAGCCACGCTTCCCAGCAGCCACAGCAAAAACAGCAGTTACACGGGCCTGTTTCACTCTCCTCACTCCCTCAGGCTTCCTCCCTCTCTCCTCTCCCTCTCAACTCACGGTCAAGCTGCTGCATCTGGCCATACAAAAGCTTCTCAGACTCTCGATATTCCACGGTGTCCCCTCGTCCCCTGACTACCTTCTTCAATCCCCTCTGTAACTGCGCACAACGGCGGAGATTATCGGGCCCCTCTTGTCTCGCCCTTTTCTCCTCCTACTAACCACTCGTTGTCTCGGACGCCCCATTTCCTGGTCATTGCGCAGCCCGGCCAACACCTCGATCACTCACCCGTGCGTCCTCTCTGGCCGATGACACTATCCCCACGGCTTACGAGTCATACTCTTGCCTGCTGCTGTCCCAAACAGCTATGTGAGGGACAGTGTCTTGCATGAGCCCTTGACCCTGCCATACCGCCTGGAATCGACCTTTCCAGTTGGCACGCACTAGACGGACACTGCGCAACGTCCAACATGGACAGCACAGAGGTTTCACCTGATGATGCTCGAGCTAGTGATGCTCACCTCCGTGATCCTACACCGCCCAGTGGTGGTGAGAAGAAGGACGATGGCACTTCTAAGAAGGCCACTGTCAGGAAGAGAACCAAAACTGGATGTCTAAGTGAGTTGTGATTTGTTCCCTACAGAGACCCAAAGACTAGACTCTCTTCTATTTGCCACCTTCCTCGTTGGATCTAACGACCATCAGCATGTCGAAAGCGGCGGATCAAGTGCGACGAGGGCAAGCCAACGTGCAACAACTGCATAAAGTCTAAAAGACAATGCGAAGGCTACAACCAGCGTGTCGTCTTCAAGGAACCCATCAACGCCTTCCATGGCGGTTCTTTCAACCCCATGGTCTTCCAGACCCAGCCTGCCGGAAGGATGCTCAATCCACAGCTTTCGAACGCGCAGTCCAAAGCTTCCGCTGCGCAAGGCCCCCTGCCTGCCATTGCTCCCAAACCGAGCAGTGCACACTTTCCACCCGCCCACTTGATGCCACAGGGGTTCGAATACATGGGCCAACAGACCCAAGGTCCATCAGACCTCCCGTTGGACTTGAATTCGGTTCCGTACGATCGATCTGCCTTCCTGCCCAACACAGCTTTCATGGAGCCTCCTCAACCCGGACACTATCCTCCAGAGCAGTCGCTTGGAGCAGATGACGGATTGATGTACAATCAGTCGCATCCAGAGCTGCAAGACCAGCATCCTATGGGCCAATTCTTACCTGTGCACCACGAGAGCCGCTTCCCCGGTGGGGAACCACCCATCCCAGTGCAGCACGGAACATACATCGACCAGGGTGGCCTCCAATCCAACATGTACCTCGAGGACGACCAATACTGGGATGTGTCAGATGACGAGGAGCTGATGGCGGATTCTGGAGACGAGGGAGGCCAGACCTCAGGGCACTTGCTCTCTAATGACCAAGGCGTTCAAGTCCTGGCCCGCCTGCGAGAACGGCAAGGCTCCTTCGATACGCACATTAGGACCTTCTCGGCTATGGGCACAGGATTCGCTTTGACAAACTATCGCCCGTCCCTCTCCAACTCACCCTTGACCGATACCCAGACCGCCGCCATCTTTTGGCATTTCGTCACCGTGACCGGTCCAAGTATGTCTCTCTATGAGCGCCATCCAGTTGACCCATCGCCTATGTTCAGCGGAGAGCCTGTCCCCACCACTAAGCAACACATTTGGACCTGTAAGTTTGCTCAAATCCATCTGCCTGGATCGATCGATGCTAATCGTCCTGCATGTAGACACGTTTCCAATCCTCGCGTTGAATCACTCAGCCCTTCTTCAAGCTATGCTGGCTCTGGGAAGCTTGCAGATGGCCAAGCTGGACGGGCACCCACCTGTGGCCTCCTTGAAACACTACGCAATCTGTCTGAGGCGACTGCAGAAGAACTACGAGAGTCCCGTCAGACGCCTACAGCCTGCAACTCTTGCAGCCACCCTCCTCCTTGGGTTCTACGAAGTGTGGAATTCGGATCACGATAAATGGTGTAAGCACATGTGGGGAGCTCGAGCCATTCTGAAGGAGATTCCCCTCAGCGAGATGACCAGCGCGATCATGAGATTGAAGCAGGAGAAGAGGTACGGAGTGCACAGAACGCATAACGGTCACGAATACGACAATCCGTACAATCACAGGAATACACTCGATACCGACTGGGATCAGGTCAACATAGATCTCCTGACTCAATTGTGTGGAAGGCGCGTACGCTTTGCAGAACCTGGACATGTCTCCTCCACCTCAAGCTGGGTTCCCCCAACGCACTATACTGAGCAAGACATTGAAACATATGAGCATGTAAGGGATCTATATTGGTGGTACTGCAAGATGGACGTCTATCAGAGTATCCTGGGAGGGACGCCCCTTCTGTAAGCCAGCTCTTTCCCCTTTCGACGCTATATATGGACACTTCTAACCGCCTCAAGCATGGACTATGATCTTTGGACGCAGTGTGGACCGAGGGCAACAATCGGAAAGATCGATTGCATGTGAGTATCAATGCCGTAGTAGCTGGCCAGTGACATCTTGCTTATGGTTCGCACAGCTTCGGGACATTCGACCACTTGATGCTGCTCATGGGTCGTCTATGTAATTTTGCCTCGCGAGATATGGAGCGCAAGCGCAAATCCAAGAAGGCAGGCCCTCCGGGACCTGGCGGGTCCGACAACTCTCCGCCGGGATTCCCTGGTCTGATGCCGGCGTCAGGCAAGGTCACTATACCGAAGGGTTTCAGCCCGCCCAGAGACAAGACCCCTCCCAGCGACACTGCCGAGGACATGGACATCGAGGCTCGCACCGCGGCTGCCCTGCAGGAGTGGGAGGCCATCCGACAGGCCTTGGAGCTCTTCAAGGCACAGCTGGGGCCGGACTTCGAGCCGATGGGCGCGGACCTCCACCCAGCCTCGCAGTCGCCCTTCGGGCCTGTTCTGAACTACCGCACCTACGGCATCGCGGGCATCTGGCTCAACTACCTGATGGCCATGATTGTCCTCCACCGGTCCCACCCCTCGATGCCTCCTGTCGCCATGATGGCGGCCGGCATGGCCGCGAGGCAGTCGGCGCCGTTTGCCGCTCAGATCGGCCAGATAGTGGCCGGCCTGGTTGAAGACTGTGCTTATGTTGACGTCGTGAGCACGCTTTCGGGCGCCATTTTCATCGAGAGCAGTTTCCCGCTCTTTGTTTCGGCGGTTCAGGTATGTCTTTTTTCCCTTTCCCCACGCTTGACCCCATACAGTCACGCGCGGCGCGCACGACTAGTTGTGCAGAACGCAAAGATGCTGACAGGGTTTTACAACACGTCAATAGTACCAGAACCATGACCAGAGAATCTGGACCATCAAACGCCTGCACGATGTATCTAGGTTGACCGGGTGGCAGTCCGCAAGGCAGATGGCGGGCGGCTGCGAGTCGGCATGGATGAAGGCGGCGTCCATGGGACGGGGTCCGCCGTACAAGAGGCCCACGGAGAGCGAGCTCGAGGTCCCGCGCACCGCTTGGCCTGCGCCCAAGAGGATCCTCGACAGGATACAAGAGTTGGGCGACAGCGACCAGCCCGTCACCCTGACAAAGTCGGAGCGGCCATCGTACGCGTTTGGTCTGCTGAGCATGGAGGAGGAAATGGAGAAGCTAGAGCTGGACGACGACAAGAAGGAGGAAGGGAACGAAAAGTAGAACCAAGCCCGCCTCGAACGGCCGGGGGACGTTGCCGGTGGTCAAACATCATAATGGCGTGCTTCTGTGGCGGCGTTGGGACACAAGGCGATCATCAGGGGCCGACATTTGTTCCAGTTTGTTATTTAGGGAGGGCTACTTGCGGTTCTGTGTACCAAGTACACTCTAATGATACAGAAGGTCTATTGCGCCTTTTTACCTGCGTGATTTTCTATCATATCTTCTTGACTTGTTAGTGCTACGAGCGCATCGAGATGCGAGCGTGCTCTGATAGATGGATGGGCCGTGCCCTTTGTGTCTCTTTGATACTTCGCACCACACACGCGCACCGCCGTTTAGTTGGCAGGCAGCCTCTCGACAACGGTAGCCATCTCCTCGTCGGTGTATATCCTGAAGCCTTTCTCCTTGGTAACGCTGGCAAGCTGCACATTCTTGGCATCTAGCTTCTCTTCCATGACTTGCTTCAGCGTCTTCAACACTAGCGTCTCAGCGTCGGCGATAGTGAGGGACTAAATTCAAGATTTTGTAAGCATGCATCAGTGAAAGAGGTGTCTCCATGTTGAAGAGACCCTTACCTTGTGGTACTCGTTTTGCAACTCAGCCTGGGCACCCTCGGAACCGGAGCCGATGGCCTTGGCGTCGTAGCGGTAGAAGGTGCCGCTGGGCTCGGCGTGGTAGAGCTGGGGGCCGTCCTCGTCGTAGCCCGCGATGAGCAGGGCGACGCCAAAGGGCCGGCTCATGACGCTCTCCTCGCCGTCGGCGCTCTCGCCGAAGCGCAGGGCCAGGTCGCAGATGGCCTGGGTGCACGACTCGACGCGCAGGGGCTCGTTGTAGTTGAAGGCGTGGCTCTGGCACTCGACGCGGGCGTGCTCGACCATGCTGCGGGCGTCGGCCTGCAGGCCGGACATGGCGCAGCCGATGTGGCGGTCGATCTCGACGATCTTCTCGACCGACGAGGTCTCGAGCAGGGTCGAGGTGACGCGCTTCTCGACGCCGAGGACGACGCCCTCCGAGGTGGCGACGCCGATGGCCGTCGAGCCGAGCTTGATGGCCTCGAGGGAGTACTCTACTTGGAAGAGGCGGCCTTCCGGGGAGAAGGTGCTATGAGGCGAAGCAGCGGTTAGCCAAGAGCTCCCGGGGGGAAGGTATATGCACGGCGATAGGGAGGGTCCGAGAGGAGCATCTAGCTAGACTGGCTGGGCTCTCATATCGCAATCGAGGCGCGATGATGTGGATTGAACAAAGAGTGTCGCCAATCGGTATACGTACTTGATGCCCCGATCTATGCAGCTCAAGTCAGTATCTCAGCTCGGCGACGTAGCTACCCTCGACGCTGGGGCGATGCTCACCGTATTCAGACCTTGCCATAAACATCTTGGCGGTTTTGTGGCAGATTCACTCGGGAGAAAAGATGGACGTCGTTGTTGAAAAGCAAAGACGAGAGTCGAATTGCCTAGATGCGAGTGGGTGGAGATGGAGTGTGCGTGTGCGTGTGCGTGTTTTCGTTGGTGAGGTCGGCAGGTAGATGGTGGTGGTGAGGCGGCGAGGCAAGGCGAGGCAAGCAAGCTCCAGGCAAGCAAATGGACTACGCAGCTCCGTCACACTTGGACCACCCAAGCAAGGCTGGCTGGATGGAAGCTCTGGCAGCAACACTGCGCTACTGTAGAGGTACTTACGGTAGAGTCCACACAGCGGCAATAATGCTCGCACAGGCCACCTCCAGCTCTGGCCTTTACTGTATTCGGTACCTAAGTAATTGGCTGGTAGTAATTAAGTGCGGGACGCGACCGCGAACAGGGCCCCCCTCATTTTGGGTCGCGACTGGTCTGGTCCATGGTGAGAGACATGACCCTTGTAAACATTCAACAACCAGCACGATACCCCCCAGCACCACAACAAATTGACGATATTTTGGAGACTAGGACTCTGCCATTTACCGAGTGGCTTCTCTGCATTTTCTTGAATTCGCCACTCACGGCCGAGGTCCACCACAGACGACGGCGGTCTTGGAGCCATGCCCATTTCCGCCTGAGCCAACCACCAATGTAGACTCGCGACATGGCCTCCACCACCGCCAGATCGGCTCACGCCGAACGCAGAGCCAATGGCGCATATCCGGACAAGGCCTCCGCACGGGCGCGCATGAGCGGTACCGACAGCCAAGCGAGTGACCGGTACGAGCAGAGGTATCGCGAGGGCTCGCCCCAGATAAATGCTGCCGCTTTCGCGAGCACCTCTCACAAGCGGAGCGCATCCGGCAATCCGCGCCCTACGACCAGGACGACAGACGAACGGAGGACTGAGAAGGTGCAGGTTACGACGAGGGAGACTCTGGTCTCGCGAACGAGGAGTCCGGACCGGCGCAACTCGGCTGCACAGAGGGAACGGACCAAGGCCACGGACGGAGCAAAAATGCGACCTCCGGAGCCCAAGGTCAAAGACCAGAAACCTGAGCCGGCGCCGCAAGGTATGTTTGCTATATTCTGTGTCTCAGAAAACGCACCGTGATCTTTCTTACTGACGACGATCTATGTTTCCTTGCAGCTCCGTGGGAACCTATCGCGTCTCTACTTCCTCACACTACGGCACCTCTTGCATGCAGAATATCTCTGCCTCCGCTCGCGTCCCAGGCGCCCCAGGCCTTGCAACCCAAACCTTTGCATGAACTCTCACTCGAATCTCAAGAAGCCGTGATTCTCGAGGATCTCCTGTTCGTCTTCATGGGTTTCGAGGGCCAGTACATCCGCTTCTCCAAGACGTATAACCCCCATGAGGAGAGGGACCGTCTCTCGGGCCCGACATTCCGTATCCTTCCCGGCCTTGATCCCAGCCTGCAGGATCTTACGCAGGCAATGCTGAAGATGGCCTCTCATTACAGCGCCCTGCAAGCATTCGTCGACGTACAGAGCCGGGACGAGTTTGGCTCTGTCAACCACGCTTTGTGTGCTTCCATCCGAGGTTTCCTGCAGAATTATCTGAATCTGGTGGCCCAACTTGAGACCCAATTCCTGACGAACGACTCCTTCACACTTCACGTGCTGAACATACATGTTTTGCCAACGGGCCAGATGCTGGCTCAGCTGTATGCCGTTGCACACGAGCTAATGAAGAAAAACGCCCTCCTGGATGATGAATCCGATGACGAGTCCACCGATGACGGGGACGATTATGACAAAATCCTCGACCAGCTTAGAGAAGGCGGAGAACTTGTTCCTGGCAACATGGCCGGCAACAAGATCTGCAAAGGAGGAGTCGTGCTGGGGCTCATCACGAAGCGGCTCGAGGATATGGCAGGAGACCCTTCCGCGCGCGCGTTATTGACAACCTTGCTCAGAGATGCGAGCAGACCTTACATGAGAATGCTCAACGAGTGGCTGCACCACGGTGGGATCAAGGATCCGCACTCGGAGTTCCTGATCAAGGAGCAAAAGAGCATACGCAGGGAACGGTTAGAGCAGGACTATACCGATGAGTATTGGGAGAGAAGATACACCATCCGCGACCACGACATCCCCCCACAACTCGTGGGAGTCAAGGACAAGGTCCTGCTCGCTGGCAAGTATTTGAACGTGGTCCGAGAGTGTGGCGGAGTGGATGTGAGCAAGGAGGTCAAGGACGTGCCCACCTCTTTCGACGATGCTCGCTTCCTCGACAACGTCAACAATGCCTATGCACACGCCAACGAGTCGTTGATGCAGTTGCTCGTGACGACGCATGCGTTGCCGGCCAGGCTACGGTCGCTCAAGCACTACTTCTTCCTTGACCCTTCGGATTACTTCTCATACTTTCTCGAGCTCGGCGCCTCGGAACTCAGGAGAAACGTTAAGCAGGTTAATATTGGCAAGCTGCAGTCTTTGCTCGACCTGGTTCTTCGCCAGCCGGGCACCATCGTATCGATGGACCCCTTCAAAGAGGACGTCAAGGTGGAGATGAACGAAGTGACCCTGATCAAGTCGCTCCAGCGGGTCGTTAACATCACCGGGATAGAGCAGGGTGAGACTCTGCAGCCCGTGACGAACGAGCCGACCGAGCCCGACAAGCATGCAAGAGGATTCACATCGCTGCAGCTGGATTATGCTGTCCCTTTCCCGGTATCTTTGGTCATCAGCCGGAAGACGATATGGCGATACCAGGCACTGTTTCGGTACCTGCTGTCGTTACGGCATATGGAATCGCAGCTTTGCGCTGGATGGCAACATACGATGCGGTCTTTCTCCTGGACGTACAAGAGCAGCTCTGCGAGGTTACAGATCCTGAAACAGCGGGTCTGGACCCTCCGGGCCCGAATGCTTGTGTTTGTCCAGCAGCTGCTTTACTTCTGCACCGCCGAGGTCATCGAGCCCAACTGGCAAGCACTCATGTCCAGGCTTGACACCAAGGACGGGGCATCACGAACAGTTGACGAGCTGATGCAGGACCATGTCGACTTCTTGGACACTTGTCTGAAGGAGTGCATGCTCACCAATAGCAAGCTGCTCAAGGTAAGAATTGTCCATGGTAGAGACGTGACAGAAGTACTCGATGACTAACAACGTATCCCAGATATACGCGAAGCTGATGCAAACGTGTCACTACTTCACAAACTACCTCCCCTGGCTGACCCTGGAGATTGAGATGGCCTGTCCTGAGCTGTCGAGAAATGAGCGGCCGGCCAATGTGTCAGAATCACAGTGGAGGCAGTTCATGTTGGGCAGAGACGAGAGGAGGAAAGCCCTGGAGAACAGCAACCAGGGCGTGAACAACCCGCCGGGTAGAAGCCCCGACCTGGTCCTGGACAACTTGCTCGACATCTTCAAGAAGTGGGAGCATCAATTTGGCAGGCACTTACAGATCCTGCTCGACGCCCTCAACCACTACGCCGCCACCGAGACGGTGGTACTGCTCAGCCTGTGCGCGAGGCTGAGCACGGCGAACCAGGGGACGGAATGGGCAGGGCGAGGGCACGGCGACGAGGATGCTTCTGCGCTTTGACGATGATAAGATACCACTGGTCTAGAGGAGATATGCATTTGTTATTTCAAGGGTGGGAAAAGCGCGTGGCTGACACTGCATGGACGCAAACACGGATTACGATTGATACCTTTGGTCTAAAAGGGAGAGCGAATCCAGCTCTGTCTGGCTGCTTCATGTCAAGGACTGCAGTCACATAAGGCTTTGTTTGGGACAGGTACTGAACAAGGAGCCCACTTGAAGCAAAGCATTGTTCCTTCAAACAGGCCGGCGTGGGCGCAGTGATCATCACATGCGAATAGGTTGTACATCAATGCCTTGCTGTGAGGCCTTTATTAGTTATTCGTCAGCCTATCACTATCACTGATGGACCCCTAAAACCAAGCCCGATATGCTACATTCTTTGGGGAGAGGCCCACTAAATTGCTCGAATTGCAGATGACGCGCCACCGAGCTTAATGCTTAAAGCAGCGTGTCATGACCACCCAATCATGACAGAATCGACCATCCAGCAACCAGGCCGGGCTTCCCCCATTCTGAACCTTGAAGCCTTCTTCTCCAGGATTTCGACGTCACAGCCTTCTCTGTCCTGACCAACAACCCTTGACATCTTTCGTTTGCTTGTCTTTCTCTGCATGTATTACTCGTAGTTCAATACCCTTTCCATTCCCATTCGTTCTTTAGAAGTGCCTGCCTTTCGGTTAGCCACGACGTTCCCTTCCAGCCTTATCATACAGGAACCCGGGCTACTATGTCTGTTTGCTGAGTTTGGGGTTTCTCCGCGATATTCGACAGGAAGACAGAAGATTCTTGATTCCCGCAAGGGGTCCTTTGACTTGTCCCGAGCTCCCGCCAAACACCTCGGTGCCTATTCCAACCATGCCACCCACGCGTCCGGCCACAACAGGCTACGAGCGCCTTGCCCAGGCCGACCAGTTCAGCGACGACAGCGATGTCGAAGATCCCCTCGGCGCCAGCTTCGCCAGCCTCCAGCCCCCAACGGCCCCTCGATATGCACCCATCTCGGCTCCCCGGCCGCACAGCGGCATGGTGACGCCGCGCGGCCAGTCCAACCGTGCTGGAGGAGGAGGAGGAGGAGGAGGAGGCGGTGGCGGCGGCGGAAGCAGCGGAATCCGGCTGTCCGGGCGGCGGGCTGGCATGCGGCCTCGGTCCAACTCGGGCGTGGACCTCAAGGCCATCAACGCGCGGCTCGAGAAGTGGGCGGACGAGATCGCGGCCAAGTTCAAGCGCGGCCGGCGGAGGGGCGTCGACGGCCCGGACGAGGACCAGCCGCTCGAGATCCACCACTCCGTCTTCCAGGCGCCCGAGGGCGTGCGGCCGGCGACGGCCGAAGGCCTGGCGGCGGCGCCCTTGCCGGAGGGGGCCATGCGGCGGGACGAGTTCGAGGCCGTGGTGGAGAGCGTGCGGATAGCGATTGGGCAGGGGATGCACCCGCGCATGATCTCGCAAGGCAGCTCTGGCAGCTACTTTGCGCGCAACCCAGAGGGCAAGGTCGTCGGGGTGTTCAAGCCCAAGGACGAAGAACCCTATGCGGCGGGCAATCCCAAGTGGAACAAATGGATACACAGAAACTTGTTTCCGTGCTGTTTCGGCCGGGCTTGGTAAGTTTCTTGGACCTGGTGTTTGCCCCCGCCTCGATGGGGGAGGATCGGTGCTAACATGCAGCTTACAGCCTCATTCCGAACTTATCATATGTGAGCGAAGCAGCGGCCTATGTACTTGATGCACAGTTGAGGACGAACCTGGTACCATACACCGATGTCGTATACCTTTCCTCCAAATCTTTTCATTACCCCTTCTGGGACCGCTACGCGCATTCCAGAAGCCGGAAGCCCTTGCCTGACAAGCCCGGCAGCTTCCAAGTCTTTCTCAAAGGGTTCAAGGACGCAAACATCTTCCTCCGTGAGCACCCATGGCCGGACCAGTACCTCTCGGGCTTCAGGACGAATGATACCCATCGGCACCGCAAGAAGAGATGGGCGGATAACTGCCGCCCAACCAGTCGGCGCGCTGGTAATGATGATGACAGCGAGGACGAAGGGCTCGATAACAGCCCTAGTATGACGCCGGGACCAGGCAATTTCATGTGGACCGAGACTCTCAAGCAGGCTTTCCGAGAGGAGCTCGAGAAGCTGGTCATTCTGGATTACATCATGAGGAACACAGACCGCGGGCTCGACAACTGGATGATCAAGGTTGACTGGCAGACACAGGAGGTGTCCATCACCTCAGAACCCATGCATCTGAACATGGGCACCCATGATGGCGAGGAGGCACCGAGGCCGGTAGACTTGTCTCAGAGAGGACCAGCGCAGACTCGTTCGTCCTATCCCTACCGGGCTCAGAAGCCTATGGATGCCTCTACCCCAGTAGCAGGTGGTGGCGGGCCTGGACCTAAGATCAGCGTCGGCGCCATCGATAACTCCTTATCGTGGCCATGGAAACATCCCGATGCTTGGAGGAGGTGAGTCTCTCCTGGTGTCGATAGACCGTCGCTCAAGTCTCAGTCACTGACAAGTCACCTATCAACAGTTTCCCGTTCGGCTGGCTGTTCCTGCCTGTCGACCTGATCGGCCGGCCTTTCTCCCAGAAGACAAGAGAGCACTTCCTCCCCCTACTGACTTCTACAGCGTGGTGGTCTCGGACGCAACTGGCATTGCGGAAAGTCTTCCAGATGGACCCGGACTTCAAGGAGCGCATGTTTGCCAAACAGATTGCCGTCATGAAGGGACAGGCATGGAACGTCGTCGAGACGCTCAAGACGCCGGACCACGGCCCCTTGGAGCTGACGCGCCGTGCCAAGGTCTGCGTGTGGGACGACCTGGTCGATATCCCCATCGCCGTCCCTATGAGGGCCACCAGCGCAGAGATGCGCCGCCAAGCCCACGAGGAGTACGGCAAGAGCATCGACGAAGAGGAAGAGATGGACATCGGCGCCAGCGCGGGCGATGCCAACCCCAGCTCCGCCCCGGCCGGGGACCTCCTAGGCCTCGCGAGCCCGCCTGCGGACCTACCCCACCCGGGACGGTTCGAGATCGCCAGCCCGACTGCGGAGTATGCGCGATCGCCGAGCGAAGACGAGCAGCGCGCCGCCAACGGGTCCCTGTCGCCGAGCGACCGGCGCGGCGCTGGCAAGGCCCTGGGCTCGTCGCCGGAGCAGTCGCGGCCCCGGCTGCCCCGTACCTCGATCGGGGCCAGCTACTCGGGCCCGCAGCGCTCGCTCAACATGTACACGCCGCACAGGGAGCGGCGGTACAGCTTCGCCACCACGGCGGCCACGAGGCGCAACAGCAACAGCATCGCCCAGCACCTCTACGCTGGGAGCGGCAGCGGTGGCAGCGGTGGCAGTGGTCGTCGGACGTCGGTCGACTACTACGACGACGACCTCGAGGGCGACCTTGGGTATGCGGCGGCGGAGGGCATGGAGGGGAACCACCGCAAGGTCATCGTCGAGAGGCTCGAGCCGGTCAAGAGCAAGAACCCCGTGTTCACGTGGTGCTAGGGAAATGTCGGGCATACTTGAGGCGATTGGTTTCGTCTACACAATATGAAGGCTTCTCCTTTTTTTTGCCGTGTGCATCCTCACTCATCAAGGCAGGAGACAGTTGACTCGTTCAGCGTCTGCATCGAGTTGATTCAGCTTGGGGTCAGGTCCCGGGCTCATCATATACGTGTTTGTTCAATTTCAAAGTACGGCATACTGGGCAGGGGGGGTTGCGCAGCATTTGGGATTAGCATGGGAGCGCAAGATAGAACGGCGCAGCAACATGAATACAGAAAATGGGCTTCTATTTGTCTCTCACTCAGCATTGGCCCGCCGATTTCCCGCGTTGGCTCAAAGCTAGGTAGGCCTTCCACGGCTACGGAGTGGGCATGCATGCTTCCCCTTCTCGGACAGCGAGACCTATATCATCCATCCGATCCTCTCAGTGGGGTCTAGGCATGTGTTACGTAAAGGGCAATAAGATCAGGAAATGCATCACACACCCTTGTGAAGCGGTCAAAAAAAACAAGCCTGGGAAAGATGGGGAAAGGGGACACTCGAAGGCAAGAGCAAGAAGACGCCGTAACCAAGGGGTGCGGAAGCGTCGGTGAACGAAAGAGTATCTGATGTGTCATTTCCCGCTGTCTGCTGCATAAGTGCTGAAAAGCAGACGAAATTGGATCATAGCAGAATGCAGAATGCAGGTGGGAATGGAGGGAGTGTGCTTTTTGGTGGTGAACGGACCCGGCGGCGGTGGTGTCCCGTAAATTAAGTCGTCTCTCTCGCTCTCTCTCTCTCTTCTTCTCCCGCAAGCCTAGCCTGCAAGCAGCCGCTTCAAGTCGCAACCTAGTGGTGTGTGATGTAGATGGCTTACCTGTAAATGGGTTCGCAGAGCACATGCCATCATGACTTTCTCGCGGACGCTGAGCGCCCAGGAATCCTTATTGGTCCCTCCGGGACGGAGGGCCATGCCGTGGAGAGGGAGCAAAGCTGGTGTGAAACGTTGCTCCTTAGGGCCATGCAGTGTAATGAGAGAGGGATGCTCGCTGTACTCCGTACATCTCGCAACCTTGCCCCTCCGCCCTTCTTCGCAAGCGCGTGCGTGGAACCACGATCACTGACATGCTGCATGCGGCTAAAGCGGGCGCAGGCATATGACGCACTTGCGGAGGACGCCGCCCGCGATACGGTCCACGCACCGGGAAGCCCGAGACCTCCAAGACCTGTTGACAGCGCATGTCGGTATACCTTCTTCCATCTGATCCCTGTGAGAGGAAAACTTGCTTTTCAGCTAGCTGGATCAGGTAGGCAGCTGCATGCCAAAGACTTCTTGACAAGAGCGCTGCATGGCACGGGCGAGGGGTGGTGGGCAACCTAGGAGGTCCGGTGGCTCTCCGAATCACCACCAAGAGGACGGCGCGGGCAAAAATAGTGCTGTGGGGTTCGGTGTGCCGCCATAGGCGGGACGAGAGATCAAAGGGACAAGAGGGGTGTGGTGCAAAGCATGCATGGGTAGTCCCGAGACTTCGGGAAGCACGACTAGGACGCGCCCCTATCCATCCCGCTGCCAAGAGTCAGAGATGTACCCTGCTCACGTCGAGCCAAGTTGGCCCAGGAGTGAAACCCTGACAGCTCATAACAATGCAAAAGAAGGGCATCCGGCGGGGGGGGGCTGCAAAAGAGCGTCATGCTGATACCGAGGAATTGCTTCTTTCATGGGACGGAAAGCCTGCCAGGCCAGGGGAGGCGGGATGGGGAAATTGAGACGCAAATTTCGAGCAAATCGCTCCCCGATTTTGGCACTTTGGGGCGTTTCGAGCCGTCCCACCACGCCGCCCCATTGGGTCCGAGGGGTCATGGCGACCCAGTCCTTCGGGTCGCCGGTCAGAGTTGAGTTGAGGAGAGAGAACATTCGACGCAGCAAACGAGTTTTTTCTTGCCCCCCACACCCACCCAAGCCCGAGTGATGGCATCGTCGTAACTCCCGGACCAACAGGTCTAGGTACCTGGATCGCTCGGTACCAAAATGCACTTGTTCAGCCGTGTTTCTATCGCTCCGGGAGGAGGAGAGGCCCAGGCCGCTGTGATGAAATGTGCAGGATACGTAACGAGAGGCGAGCTGCACTTGGACGGAATCGGAGAGATTCCATACTCGCTCCCACACGTTCGCCCTCTTGCTTTGCTGCCTGAGGAGCCTGTCCGATTTGTTGATGTTTGAGGCGCACGGTCGTAGGAGGTACGTATTTACGCACATCTGTGCGTGCTCCATGGGTCTGACGGTTTTCTTCATCATGACTGCACCCAAAAGGGGGGCTTATGCGTCGATGCAACGACAGTATTTAAACTTGCATAGCGGCGGGGGTGGCCTCCATAGCTCTGGTGACGTGGTGTTCTTTCATTCGAGAGATGGCTTGGTGTAATCCAACCTCGGGTGAACCAAGACTCACGTTCGACAACTACATCCAAGGTACTGTGCTCGAGCTGGGTAGACTTGCCAGGAGGCGATGGCACTAGTGTCGACAGTTGAGGAGGGAGCTTCCGTGTCAGTTGTTCCATGGCATTGGTAGGGAGCAGTCCACGCCCTAGTCAGTCCGCCGTTCAGCGTTACCGACAGCTCGGACGAGGCCAGGAGCTTGGTCCAGGGTCCCAGGTACTTGGTACATACCCTGACGCCAGAGTCGATGCGCCCCTGTCAACGATCCCACCAGCATGTCGGAGCACGACGTGCACAACAACTCCTACGCAAGATTTCGCAAGGACGGCTGTCTCTCCAGGAAAAGAACCAAATGACTGATCCACAAAGGAGTGTCGGTGGACTGGCGTATGCATCGTGGTGGGCTGACACTAGGATCAGGCATTCTTCAGGGATACCCAGACTTAGGCAGTTGAGAATCCCAGCCACCCAGGACACTGATCTCACCACTGCAACGGCCCGTCAAATACCTCCGCACCATTACCAAACCCTCGGTTCCAAGTACCTGCTTGTATCCTTTCGTCCTTGTACTTTTCCGGTGACGGTATCGTCACCTTCTCGGACGATTCACAACTATAGGTAAATGAACCGAATCGCGTTAGGCTGCATGTAAAACCTGCCGTCGTCTGAACTCCGTTATGGGCGCAGATGACTGTCCTCCCGGACGGTTGCCTCCAAACCGTATGTGACATTTGAGCTTGGGGGCTGTGTCGCGGAAAGCGAAAAGGACTTGGGAGTCTACCAAGCCGAGGGATGGGCAGAAGTCCACAACCAGCAGCGAGACCCCTACCTATAGTTCGGGCCGGCTTTATCTTCGGTCCAAAGGCCAACGCAGGCTGGAAATGACACAGGTGCGTCCGCTGTGGATGTGACAGTTTTCTGTGCGCCAGAGAAGTCTTTCTGGGCACTAGGACCCGCCCCTAGCTCAACAAGTAATGGGTCGGTGGTGCTGATCTTTCACAGACAAGTCGTGATTCTGTCCTTCCTCATCTGTCTCTGCATTGTACATGGTGCGCTGAGAATCTCAGCCAGTAGGTGATGCCGCGTCGGACTACATGTTGTGTGGCTGGCACTCGCTTCGACCCATCGGCGCGGCTTCTCTTTTTCTCTCCATGCCGATCGATGCACCTACTTGTAAAACAAGCTACAGAAGAGCATGGCGACAGTTCTGCAGGGCCCGTGATATAACAATCGGTGTGGAAGGAAATTGCCCCATCTAGCCGAGGAAGCGCAGTCGTCTCGTAGGGTGAGCAGAAATTTTAATCCGAAGAATCCCAAAGAGCACAGACGGTATTTTTGAACTGCATGCCTTGTTCCATGATAGATCGTGAGACTTGGTCAGGGTTCCGTAGTTGAATCTTTGGCTTCTCCAAAAGGTCATCGTCGCCCTGCTCTCTAGCCTCGGAAACAACGGTCAAAGTCCCTTTCCCGTTCCAATGGATAAAGGCGTTTCGAAACAGCAACTGGCTAGTGGACACACAGAGGCCTCCCTCTCTCTCTCGGACCCAGGTCCATGTTGCCGGGTCGCCTCCCATCAACCAGTCACTACTGATTAATTACCCGGGACAGCCAAAAGAATGTACGACATCCCTTGGACAAAGCACAACACAAACGTTCTCTTGAGTGAAGGAACAGGGTACCTCCCACGATTCTCCACTCCACCCTGACTTGTCAACCAGGTTGCCGCCTGATCTCATCCCGTTGAGGGTGTATACTTGTGGCAGATCTGTAATGGGTGTGTATGTACCCGTTCAATACCCATGCGGGAAACAGTGCATGGCAATTCGTGCTCCACCGCCCACTTGGTGGGTGTCTAAGCATGAAGCACCGTTACCCCCGGTACTTCTTAAGCCACTATGAGGGAAGGGCCATGACAGGGTGAACACTTTGTTCCTCGTACCGAACTAGCGGTTCGAACGTGCCTTGGTCACTGACAAGAATCACCCCCGTTCGTTAATACACAACTTGTGATGGATCCAGAATCCCAACCCAGAACCGATCAACAGACTTGGACGAGTAGAGACCTGTTGGGATTTTTCCTGTCCTTCTTTTATTCCTCTGTCGACAACTGCACTCGCCAGCTGCGTGATATCAGTGCACGAACGCCTACCAGCTAGATTCGAGGGCGAACATTGAAGTAGATGCCAGTCACCTCCCAGCCAGGGAAATAACTGTGTAATTTTCAGGTTAGGCGGGCTTTTGTCAACACGCTCACAGTGGCCCCAGCAGTCTCTTATAGGCTGGAGGCAAGGTTGCAGGCTCAATATCCATCTTCTGAGCGAAGGCCCAAGGGTCACTAGCAGCACCCAGGAGCATAGTGACTGTCGCGACAGGGCGTGAGGAGTCCTTCCGTCTTAGATCGACGCCGCCATCATCAGAGACTGGCAGCATTCCCACTTGGCTTAATCTGCATTGTTTGGCAGAAGGGACGGGTCCACTCTGGCCCTCTCCCCGACATTCTGTGCTCCTGTCGTGCCAGTCTATGGGAGCCCTGAGCTTGGTGTGCTCTGGCTGACCATGCTTCTGGGGCCATCGTCTGCGCGGTTCGGACACGGGGTTGTTGTAAGGCTCTTCTTACCCCCCTTCGCATTCAGAGCCCCAAACCCTATTCGAGTTCATACTCTGCAAATAAGAGGCACTTGGTCGATATCCTGAATCCATCGAGCAAAGGGGTAGACTCGAATACCATATCTCTTTTGAGTATTCAACGTTCTTGTGTGTCCGAAACACCATGGAGAGGTGCGGCAACTGACCCCGACCTAACAAATTTGGTTCCTGCCTAACCACGGTTGAAGTGACTCGCAAACGGTCCCTCTCGACGACGTTTATCTCGAGACAGTTGTATTGAACGACAGGGAGTACCAGTGCTTTGCGGTTGAGAATGGAACATATTTTGCGCCAGTCGACGAGGTGAGTTTCTTGCCATAACAAGCCAGAGCACAGTCGATCGAGGCCTAACCCCTGGATAAACGCACGATAGGACGAAGCAGAGAGGCTGCAACTAATGCATGAGGTTTTTTCGATAATGTTCGACAGGAGACTGATCTTCCCTCCTATCCAAAGACCTAGACGAGTCCTGGACTGCGGCTTTGGAAGCGCCTCTTGGGCGGTGGACGTTGCCGTGCAATACCCAAATTGTCAGGTTCGTGAAAGCCGCTTGGTTCGGTTTCTCTCTGTCCCCTCTGCAAGCCTTGGCTTCTGTATCATATACATTCGAGCGGTGTCACAGTCTGCTTTCTGCCGGAATAGTCGGTGGCTCCAGGAGCGGCACAGTTGACATGTGCTAACCCCAAGCTTTGGACATTCTGGCATGCACGGAACCCATGATCGGTAATCGCAACATGAGAACGCTGACATATCTCAACCAGGTTGTCGGCGTCGACATTAGTCCGCATATGATCCCCGAGGAGACTCCGGGGAATCTTGATCTGCAGATTGACGACTTGAACCGACCGTAAGAGACGTGACAGACTCGACGGTATAAGCTTGGCTAACAGCGCGATTAGCTTTACCTTCCCGTCCAACTATTTCGACCTCGTCCATAGTCGCTTAGTCGCTGGGGGCATCAACTCGGACAGATGGCGAGATTACTTGCGGGATATGGTGCGAGTGCTGCGGCCCGGTGGGTGGTGCCAAATGGTCGAGATATATTTCAATGCTCAATCGGACAACGGCTCGTTGACGTCAAGTACGTTCCTTCCTTCCGAGAAGAGACGCGTTGTCGCACTGTACTGACACCGCGATTTGCTAGGTCATGCTTTGAGCCGGTGGTCGCAAAGATACCTGGAGAGCCTGTCGCCCTACAAGGACCCGAGGATCCCGCTCCGGTTGGAGCAGATGATGAGACAGGCAGGATTGGTCGACGTCGAGACACGAATCCTTCCTCTTCCTATGTGCGGTTGGTCGTCTGGTATGTGCAGCTTTTGCCGGTACCGCAAATCATGAGGCACTGATGCGTGCACACACAACAGACCCCCGCTCAAATGATATCGGCACAGCCAATCGAGAGAATGTGCAGCGGCTTCTTGCGTCTTTGGCGACGTTTCCGTTGACAGAACTGGCTGGGTAAGCGAAGCTGCTTGCTGTGACAATGGCGAGTCGAGATTGGCGTGTTTGACGTTAACTGACGGTGGTACAAGTATGCCCATTGCCGATGTGCAACTGCTTGTTGCACAAGCTCGAGCCGAAGCGAGCAATGTTGATTTCAAGGTGAATACAGCCTCAATCGGCCAACTTCTTGGCATCCAAATCCGACTTGCGGCTCGTCCTTGTTGACAGATGGTGACTAACGCCTTGGGTTCGTTGCAGGCTTACTTTCCCGTGTAAGTCCCGTTCGTGAAGTTTGCTGAAACTGCACAACAGCTCTCCCCCCCGCAGTCCAAGAGATAGTGTATCTGATTCGACACTTCAGTTACGTTTGTATTGGTCGAAAACGTCGATGATGGGTGAAGCTTCGCCCCTGAACCCCCATAGTGACTCCGTAGCCCTAACAGCAGCTTTGAGGCTCGTCATGGTCTGTTGGGGTTTCGTGGTATCTCCTGTTTTCGGGAACGCGAGGACAGATTCGAACCGTGGGAAGACAGTTGGGACCGAAATGCTACTTTGGGTAGGCGCAAACGTCCTACCCGTCAAAGCAAAACAAAAGTCTCAAGATTCGCGTCTTGGGAGAAGGTGCAAGGGAGGGTCAGCCGGGTCGCGCTTCCCGTGTCGACATTATGAGGGGATCAGGGAATGGATTGAGAACAACGGGGCTGATTGCATGGCACGACGTCGATATAAACAAACAGGGCCTAAGGCAGAGGAGCTGCCGAGCTGAGTAGAGGCATTCCTGCGGGAGCTGAATCGGCAATGGAGGCTTTCTTTCGTTAATAGATAGATTGGTCGCGAAGCGCCCGCGTGCGCCTCCGAGTCCATAGAGACACTTTAGTGTAGTAGATCGAGAGGCTTAGGCAGAGAGGAATGGAGCGATAACAGCCAGTCTCCCTTCATGAGTCAGTGTAGTACATTGCCATAAAAATGCCGGTACACAGCGTCGTCGAGTTCAAGTGATTATAAGTCGACGTGCTGTCTTCCTGAGGGGCTCCTTGGGATTCAGTCGATTGGAAAGCTGCAAGGGCGGTCTTGGTCTTGCCAGCAATTTAAGACACTTTACTTAGAGTAATGTAATTGAGCAAGTGAACAACAACGGGTTCTCGCTCTTCTCGTCTTTCAATCGACACTCTCGGGAAGGCTAATAGCGAGGATTAGATGCTGACGGCTCACACAACGATGAGGCTACTGATAAAACAGGTCGAAAAGCAGGACACGAAGTACGACGGCATACAAGTTGTGGAACATACACGCAAGCCAATTCCAATTTTTCCAACGAAAAAAAGGGTTGCGACCGACTTTCCATGGGCTTTTACCCCTTCGGGGTCAAGGCCGGCTGGGTTACCGGCTGGCTGGGACACTCTGACACTGGGGAGATGAGCAAAGGCGTAGGAGGTATGGATGTAGCAAACGAGTGACGGACTACTACCGTGCCCCTTGGCAACAACGCGGCTGTGATGAGGAGGATCGTTGGTGCCCAACATTAACACGGCCTTGACTTTCACCTGTCCCTCTCCTATATCTATATCTATTTCACTCTGCTTCGAGATAGAGTCTGTTCCTACCCGATGGCCCGCCCCATTGATCAAGGCTGATCAACCAGTTGCTCCCTTGGACTACGTCGACTGAGCTACGTAGGTAGGTAGCGTGTGGAGTAATACTCCATGTCAAGGTTCCAACACGAAGATGAGCTTGGATGTTGGGCATTGAGACTTGCTAGATCAAAGCACATCGAGGTTGATCGCCGCTCACTCACTCCATCCCAGGTGATGGAACGGGCCCCGGAGATGGGCGATACGCCGTCTCTGTTGTGTTGTCCTTTTTGACCTTCCATCGTGCATCCATTCATCCCAAGTCGGATTTCCACTCTTTCTTACGCCCTTCTTGAGCAGCGTGCCGTTCCTTGCACGGAGGCTGGTGTCTGCGCGGGTTTTGTTTGTCTCACGGTTTCTCCTGTTGGACCTGGGCAGATCAAGAGCCATGTGCCATCTCTTATTGGTGCCCAGTAGCATCGGAAATAGGGAGGATAGCACAGGGAACCAGTCGCCAGTAACTCTAGTGTCTGTGAGGCGCCCGGGGAACTTCCGATCCTTGCTTGACCCATGTTGGCGTGAGCTCCAAATTAGTCAGGTGATGATAATACACCAAATTGCCCTGTATGGCCTACGGAGTACTCCGAACTCTGTACTCTTCGGCACTGCTATTTCTCTGTCCACGGGGTAGAAGCCACGTCCTTCTGTAGAGCGCCAGTGATTATTGATGTATAACCAATCTGAGTAGATGGGTGCTTGGATGTTCACAAGCTTCGCAAACATCACAGTCTTCTGAGAAAATCCGAAGGGCATGCCTCTATCGTCCCCCTGCCTGCATGGATCTTCGTACAAGCGTACCAGATGATGCAGCTGTTTCTCGCTTGGATTCTAGCGTCGTGGTCGTGGTCAACTTGATCCGAGAGCACTGAGCTTGGACCCCATTTCGCCGGTCAATCTTACTGGCCAATTCATTGCATCTCGAATCACCTTTTTTGCTTTGCTCTTCTTTCCAGAGTGCGATTCGCGGCAAAGACTGTTCCCTGCGTCTTTTGGGTTCTATTTCTAACCACCAAGATCTCGGGGGCACTTTGTCATCACCATGGCTAGCCTCGTTCCAATGGCAGCCCGCACCGTCGGCCGTCTGTCGACTCGACCGGCGCCGAAGCTCGCAATCAAGCCATCCCTCCTGCTGCGACGGGCGTACTCGGCGGAGGCCCCGCCGCCGCCTCTCCTTACGAAGCTCAAGGGCGACCTCAAGACCGCGATGAAAGCGAAAGATACCGCTAGACTGGGCGTGATCCGATCTGTCATCTCATCGACTCTGAACGCGAGCAAGACTGCCTCGCCTATCAAGACAGACGCACAGCTTGTCGCATTGCTGCGGAAGCAGGCCCGCTCGGCGCAGGAGGCTGCGGAGGAGTTCCGCGCAGCTGGAAGAGAGGACCTCGTCGAGAAGGAGGAAGCCCAGGTCCGGATCCTGGAAGAGTATGCCGCAGGTAGCGGCATCGAGAGCATTGGGGAGGCCGAGTTACAACCCATCGTGGAGGCCGTCTTGGCGGAGATGGCCGCCGAAGGAGTCACCGCCAAATCGCAAATGGGGGAGGCTATGAAGAGGCTGCTGGCGCCAGGCGGTCCTCTCGATGGCAAGGATGTACAAAAGACGGAAGTGATCAAGGTTGTCAAGGAGCTGAGTGCAAAGGCATAAAGAGCATCTACGAGGACAGACACCTAGGTGGCCGATTGGGCCAAACCACACTATCATCACACCAGTTGCGATGGACCATATGTACAATGTTCGTGTACGATCACCTCTTGTAGACAATACTAATGAGGATGGCGAAGCCATCAATGAAACCGCCCAGGCCCACACCAGAATATGCTCGAGTGTTTTTGATTCCTCCACCAGAATCAGCGAAACAGCAGCAGACGTTCAAAATCCCGTGGAGGCAACATTCTAAGGTAGGTAGATGTTGAATGTTACCATCCCGTGCCAATGACAGCAGTGTATCGACGGATCACCATGCGACTTTGGGGTGAGAAACAAGCCTACCGTGCTTAAATATTCGGTTAGGCTGCATCGAGATAAAGCAAGGCGGATCTGCTCCGGAGAAGCAGCTAATGCCCAACACCACTCTAGGGAGTAGGTAGGGAGGGAGGTAATGCTAGCTGGTACTCATCATGGAATCATCTACACGCAACAGAGCCTTTTTCCTCCACAACAAGCTAACAAGTAGAGTTCGGCACCAGACACTGGGGGTGATGGCAGAATGGCGTGCACGGCATGCGTTCGACGCCAGAGCAAGGCCGAGTCTACGACTTAGATATCGCCCATGGCCCCCTCCAGCACATCGGTTGATAGTTTGACTTGCGTGACTCGCCCGCCAGTCCCGTCCCGGCGCCTCCACAGCGAGGACCAATCCCGGTCATCAATCCAGCGTCTTGGTCACGCATGGGTGCTTTGAAATCGGTGTTTACCGTTGCGATCAACGAAAGACCCAGAGCTCAGTGTCGATTAAAGGCCGTGCTAAATCCATCCCTTTCCTGCATCCGTGCATCTTGTCCGTTTAGCTTGAGTGATGCATGCTGCCTGACGATCTACGCTGCCTGCCTCCTGTCTATCCTCGTCTTGTTAAGTGAAGATTGTGGTGCTACCCCTCCTTGCCCTCCTTTATCTGCCCGCGATCCAATCGACGGCCATATAAAGCTTCCTCGGTCCCCTCCTTTTCTCCAATCTCGAGTTACACTTCGGTTTAGAGAGCCCTTTGGACGACCAAACAAGATCTCCCCTTGGGCAAAAAGCTCAGTCCATCCGGCACAAACTTTCAATTCAAGAGACCTTTGTTTTGACAGACTGGCCTTGCCATTGTTCAATCGAGCGCCCAGACGACGTTTTATCTCTGTCGTTCGTTAAGAAGGAAGGTGAGAAGCAGAGTGCCCAAAAAGGAAAGGAAAGTCGAAAACCAGAATAAGACAACAATTTGAAGCCCTCCAAATGAGCGCAGACGTGGAATCTCCCACCGTCACTGTGGAGGAGCACCCATCTTCGATCCTGATGCCATCGAACTTGGCGTCGCCGGAACCGGAAAGCCGGGGAAGGAAAAGACGACGGAGCCCACTTCGTCTCACCTTGGTCAGTGGTCAGACTCCCTCGGGCGAGTCGGCGACTCTCCGAGGCCGCCAGCGCCATCGCTCAACTTCGCTGCTCAACATCTCGTCTCGCGCAACGTCAATGAGCCTGAGAGATGCCTCACACTCGCCGTCCCGCAGACGGCTTCTGTGCGTCATGCACCTGGAGCGTAAGCGCAGCCAGAGCCCGTCGAGATCATGCTCGCCCAACGGCAAGGACGTGCCCAAGAGACGAAGGCAACGGACTCGGAGTCGCAGCCGGAGCCATCACGACGTGCATTTTGCATCGGTGGACTTGAAGTCGCCGCTCCAGTTCGAATTCGTTGCCCGTGGAAAAGAGGCTCCAGGCCAGGAGGAAGAAGACTGACACAGCTGTCTGCTGGAGCCGGCGAGCTACTAGGAACTTTTAATGAACCCCGTCTGCTATTTGCAACTACAGATACAGTATCGTCGTGGGCAATCGCAAGCTACTACGCATGCTACGTGTCCATAGTACTCGAGATCCGAGCGACAACTGTTGTTGGTCTGTTAGCCTCATGAAGAGGAAGACGTCTCACTCAAGTCATGTTCGACATGGGAGGATGTTTGAAAGGGTCCGTGTCTTACGAAAGCGATGTAAATGCTTCCATTTTTACTCTGCTTGATCAAGGAGCAACCGGGTCCGTCCCTATGCGGCATTGCTGTACATTATTACAAGGCAGTGGACGATTTGACGATGTGCTGGAGCGCGGAGGAAGCCCCCACAGTGGAGTCGCAGATCCGGGGAAGTTCTTTCAATCACACATTAACTACAAGTAGTACCTCAATACCTTTTCTCGGCACCTTGATACCTAGTACTCTGCCCGCAGAATTGCCAGCGCAGGATCTCCCAGGTCGTTGCAAAGTCATCCGGGCGATAGATCTCACATGGAACAGTTTCGATAGGGCACTGCCGTGCGTAAAGGGCGGCTCGCAATTTATCTACGTACAGTCAGTGGACATGCACATGACAAAGATGGTTTGTGAGTGGGTGCAGTGGTTTCAGGTTGCAACCTTTGGCAGCTGCCGCTGGTCTGATCTGGTCGACCTTTCAGGCCTTGGGCCAGGCATATGTGATTATGTTCGAATCTCCCCCAGACCCAAGTCGAGCGACCGAACTATCGATCTATCCTCATCCTCAGTACATAGAAGTAGGTAACTACCTATTGTGTACCTAAGTCAATAAGTGATGTGGTGTGGTCTCAGACGTAGCTCACGTCTGCTTCGTCGTTTGCAAGGGCCCAGAGATATCAAGACCCTCCTCTCCACGACCTCTGTGTGCTGTGTTTCAAGATCGACTTCAAGGTGCTTTCCTCTAAGGTAGGCAGGTTGTGATTCAAAGCAGAGTCTCGTCTGTCAAGGTACTGGAGGTACTTTACCTATCAATCTCCTCCGTCGAAAAAGTTAGTGGAGGGTCACCTGATTGCCTCTTGCGTCTTAGTGTGCGGATGCCGTGCATTTCTGCAGGTCTCGTGGCCAACCTGCGGATCCGTCATCGCCAACCCGGCCCAGCACAAAACTCCCGGCCAGCCAACCATCCCGCTGGCCCAGACCTCGATTGCCTAGAGCTAGTCCTTGCAGGGGTCCCCTCAACTCCCCTCCCCGCTAAACCTCCCTCCACTATTCCATTCCTTATCACTACATCTATGCAAGTACTTATCGGGATTACAATTACATCTCCAGCCAACTCCCTCTAACCTTGACCTCACTTCTCTTGCCTGGCTTGTTGCAGCGTCACCTCTGCTTGCAGAGCCTGGGTTCCTTAGGTTGCTTGGTGCATTTTTTTTCTTCTTCCTTAGTCCAACCTTCACCTCGAATTCTTCCGCCATCGTTCAACTGCAACTTCATCTGTCCTTCGTTTTTCTTCAGGTCCCATCGGCGATAGCATCGTTGTCATCGCCCCTCCATACTTCCATTCGCACACGAGGCTGGCCACCTGCGCACACGACTGCCACGACGCCTTTCTGCCATGAGCTGCTTGGGGTTCTCTCCTTGACATTTCCCGGTCTGGACTTATGCTTGCTAGTCTCCCTGGCATTTCGATCCTGGCAACGGCATCATGTCGTCAGATCAGAACAATGGTAGCCTGCCATTTCCTTCTTCTCAGTCCCCCCTCACTTTGTCACCCACTATGTCTCTCCCTAAGCGACCGAGGAGTACAACGCCGCCATCCCTAGACAATCTTGAACACATCAAAGTTCGTTCCACGAGTTCTGAAGCTCACACGCCTTGCTCTACAGTGGTCTCTTCCAATTCAGCGCCGAGCAAGCCGCCAATCTACAACCCAGCAGCTCTGCTCAACCCCAGGGGCATGACCGCCACTGCAACACGACGCCCACATGTCCAGCTGACCACCAATAAGAAAGGCGACGAAGCCACGGACGATGATGTCGTTTTCCAGTTCTCTACAACAAGCAATGGTTGGAGTTCGGACGCCATTGCTCAGAACGGGCCCGTAGAGCACGAAGAGCGCGATGCTCCAATAGCGAATGGCAGTGGAATGGGGGCGCTGCTAGATCGGAAGTTCAACCTCCAAGAGAGAAGCTCTGTCCCCGAACCCAAACGTCGCAAGATCCACGATGATTCCGACGACGCATCCGACCACAAGAATACCTTCCGGACTGGGGGCGGCAGCGGCATTCTTGGCGACCACCTGAATCAGGAACGTGCCAATGGCAAGTCGGTACCCTCTTTGAGTCGCCAGGTGACTGTCGACCTTACTGAAGGTATGCTGATCCCTATATTTGCTGTTCTAATTGGTAGCTAACTAGTTCTTCAAGGAGCCGAGGATGAAGACGTTGTCGTAATAGAGAAGCCGAAAGATGAGGAGATCTGCATAGGCATGCTCGAGGATGCAACGGTTAACTGCCACAAGCTCCCTGCGCCCAAGCCTGGCACCGTGGCACTTGGCGGAAACAACTTCTGGCCGATCGTCAAGGTACTGATCAAGAGATCAGTCAATGACAAGACACATACCGTCTCTGTGGCTGATTACACACGTGAAGTGGTGGGAAACTTGGACCCGCGCACTTCGAGAGCCTTGGCTATGCTGTTGGATTATCAAAATCTGAATCTGCGAACGGATGCCAGGCTACCGACGCGGCGAAGACTGCCGGATGAAAGCACGCCAGGCCAGCCAATATCGCGATCGTTCAAGGTCGAGCTCATGCTCTACGTTCCGATTAAGTATGCGAGAGCGGTAGGACGGACTTTGACGCAACATGGTCTCAAACTGATCAGCCCCACCAAAGTCGATGCTGGTGTGAGGTTTTTAAACCCCCATGCCAAAGACCGCAATCAGTTCCAGCCTAGACCCAAGATCACGTACGAGCCGGGGATGTACTCGTCGGCCCCGACGGTCATGCGCACAGTGGAAGAAATGAGGTCCGACATTATGGGGATTTTTGATTCGATGGCCAAGACGGATGAGCTCCCAGAGCTTGACCCGGATGATAGTATCACGACCGAACTGCTCAAGCACCAGAAGCAAGGCCTCTATTTCATGGTCAACCGGGAGAAGCCGTTGGCCGACCAGGTCAACACCAAGCTCTCGAGCTCGATTTGGCAAAAGAAGCAAGGCAACAACCATCAAACCCACTGGTACAATGTCATCACGGGGCATTCGGAACGCGAGCCTCCTCCCGAGACACTGGGCGGAATACTGGCTGACATGATGGGGCTCGGAAAGACGCTGAGCATTCTATCTCTCATTACCATTACGCGCAATGAGGCGGAGGAGTGGAGTGCGCTTCCTCCCGTACAACCTCGACTCCCTGAACAGAAGAAGAAGCCGAACGGTTCAGCAAGCTTTGAGATACCCACAAGGCAGCTGGACTTGACGACGCTTGCGCGGAATGGGAAGGCAACCTTGCTGGTCTGTCCTCTTAGCACCGTGACCAACTGGGAGGAACAGATCAAGCAACACGTCAAGCCGGATGCTCTGAATTACCATGTGTACCACGGGCAAAACCGGATCAAAGATGCCGAGCAGCTTTCTCAATTTGACTTGGTCATCACGACCTATGGCTCGGTCTCCAGCGAGCTGAGCGGACGCAATAAGCGGAAAGGGGGGAAATATCCTCTCGAAGAGGTCGGCTGGTTCCGGGTTGTGCTTGACGAGGCACACATGATACGAGAGAACTCGACCCTGCAATTCAAGGCAATTTGCCGCCTTCAAGCCTGTCGTCGCTGGGCCGTCACTGGAACCCCGGTGCAGAACCGCCTTGACGACTTGGGATCCCTTCTTGCCTTCTTGCGGTTCAAGCCGTTTGATGATCGAGCCAAATTCACACAGTACATCGTAACCCCGTTCAAGGTGTGCGATCCAGAGGTCCTGGCAAAGCTGCGCGTTCTCGTCGACACCATCACTCTTCGGCGCCTCAAGGACAAGATCAACCTCCCTCCTCGAGAAGACCTGCTCATCAAACTGGCCTTTTCCGAGAGTGAACAGCGCATATATAACCTCTTTGCCAAAAATGCACAGGAGCGCTTCCAGGTGCTGACGGGCCATCAGGAGAAAGTGCTCGGTGGCAAAACGTACATCCACATCTTACAGAGCATCTTGCGTTTGCGACTCATCTGTGCACACGGAAAAGATCTCTTGTCGGAGGAAGACCTAGATAATATCAAAGGCTTCTCCCAAGACTCGGCAATCACACTCGACAGCGATGACGAGGAGGAGGATAAGCCGGCGCTGCCCGAAGCCAAAGCGTACAAGATGTTTGACCTGATGAAAGACACCAACAGCGACAACTGCATTTTTTGCAACCGCAAGCTTGGTGCACGCGACGATTCGGATGTCGATTCTGAGCGCCAGGAGCCCGTTCTCGGATACATGACACCGTGCTATCACATCTATTGCCCCGACTGTATTGGCAATTTCGAAGATCCGGTGCTCAACCTCGACTACCGGAGCAACAAGTACGGCACATGTCCCGTGTGCGACCAACACGTCAAGTTCCTCTGCGCCGAGCTACGCCAGGATCAAGCGGATATGGAACACGAGTCTCACTCCAAGAGAAAGACGGAGCGAGGGGGCAAGTCTGTCAATATCGAGAACTACACTGGTCCCCACACCAAGACCCGGCATCTGCTTGAGGAGCTCCTGGCTTCCAAGGCGGAGAGCGATCAGAACCCGGAGGAGCCTCCCATCAAATCGGTAGTTTTCTCTGGTTGGACATCTCATCTTGATCTGATACAGCTCGCGCTCCAGAACGCTGGCATAACCTACGTACGTCTGGACGGCAAGATGGCGAGAATGGCGCGGACACAATCCATGGACAGCTTCCGCGAGGACCCCAATGTCCAGGTGATTCTCGTCTCCATCATGGCAGGTGGACTGGGTCTCAACCTGACCGCAGGTAGCAACGTCTACGTGATGGAACCCCAGTACAACCCCGCTGCGGAGGCGCAGGCTGTCGACCGAGTGCATCGCCTGGGCCAGAAGCGACCTGTGCGCATTGTGCGGTACATCATGAGCAACAGCTTCGAGGAGAAAATGCTGCTGCTGCAGGAGAAGAAGATCAAGCTTGCCAACCTGTCCATGAACCGCTCAGACAGGCCTCTGGATAGGGCCGAGACTGCCAGGCAGCGACTGGAGGACCTTAGAAGCTTGTTTCGTTAGGAAGGGGATTTGAGCAAATCCAAGTGTGTGGATTAAGGTCGGTTTACAGTTTCGGCGATTTCTTACTTGCAGCTCCCATTTACCATCACGAACATCTGGCGCGGCGTTACTCGGTATGCATGGCCAGTGGGCATTACCTGGGAAGTTCTCAGCATCTCAAGGTTTCTGGCCTTGTTTTATTTTGATTTCTTTTTTTTGAAACCCCGATGGGAAGGAAGGCAGGCTGACATGGGAAGGATGTCTGCCCCCATCACCTGCGAATTCGTGATTCATTCACGGTATCTTCTGAGCAGCTAGGGGTTTACCCCCCTTACCACACCATCACTCGGCGTTGGAGGTCACTTTCATCAGCATTCTAGAGGTTGCATGGCGATTGAGTTGGTGGTATGGTAGGCTCTCGGCACCAGACTCGGTCTCTTGGTAGCCATCCTTTTTTGCTCGGCCGTGCAATATCACACGCTGGTGGTCATTCGATGCTGGCGACTCTCAGCCGAGTCACAGGCACAGTGAGGCCACAATTGCGCTACATTTTTCTGTTGGGAGAGGAGGGAGGGGAGGAGCCCTTGTATAATATAAAAACCGAGATACCAAAGCGCTGGCTCTTCCAATCTGAGAGAAATCGTTCTAATGGCTTTGCGTTACATTGGAGATGTTGGGGAGGGAGGCAGCGGAACAGCGCCGCCGGCGTTGTGACAATCACAAGCTCAATGCTGTGTGTGATAACAGGCCATGTGTGTGCCCAGCCGAGGCCAACACGCAAAGATAAGGGAAGGATTCGCTCCTCGCACGCAACCCTCCTTCACCATCCGTTCCCCAACAGATTCGGCCACTTTTAACATCATCATTACGGACTGAAGGAGGAGGAAGAGATATGCGTTGTAGATCCGTGCATGACGACCGTCCCTGTAGCTTGCAAGTCCTTGCGTCATGCGCGTACGTACGTAGATGTGGGGGAGCTCAACTGGCGGAGAGCTGAGAATCCCATTGAATATGGGGTGGCCGTACAGATCGAAACAGCACATGCCTTGCCACAGAAAGGGGGCTTTTTGGCCCGGTTCTCGCTTTGGCTGTTCATGTGGCAGCTTAATCTACCTGCTTTGCTTCGCGTCATTGTGCCCGACATTGGTCCCAGTAACGGGTGAGCGAGAGAGAGAGGCTCTTTTGATATCTGCGGGTCCCCATGTCGTGGGAAGTAGTTATGGCTGTACAAGTCAAACTATCACAAGAGATGGAGCTGGTGGAATCACTTTCCAAGGTGCAGCGTATTGATTCTGAGGGCAGAGTTCATATCTCATGGGATGTTTTGATCATTTCTTCTCTAAGAAGGGAATGCTACTATGTTTCTTCAATATCAATGCTGAAATTGGCATTTTCCATTTTCAGGCTCGCCAAAAGTAGGGAATGGATAATACTACAATAAGCCAGACCATCCGTATCCCTTCTGAAAACGCCTGCCACAACGCAGAATGGAAGCTCAACGAAAGACTCGAGTGATTCCCCCACTACTGCACCCAGCGATGAGATGGTGCCCTCTCTAGAGTGGGAAAACAATTGGTGCGACGAATACCGGAGCGGCAACACCTGGCAGACCAGCTCCGGTACCGTCTTTATTCATGATTAACATCGCCTGAAACCCCTCCCCGTAATGCTTTTTTTATGGTCGTCATACTCGTTAACAGATAAAGGAAAAAGAGTGGAAGCCCACTAAGCACCAATCTATGCAGCGTGGGCATTGGCGATGGGCTGGGCAACTCGTGTCAGCTGCTCGCCAGCACGGACGATACGTCGACCTTCCGAGTCGGTGACGTATGAGACGTCCTTGCTCTCGTACTGAGCACGCTTCCAGATCTCCACCTCGCAGCCACCCCTCAGGACGCCGACTCTCATGGTCGAGAGCAGGTTGTGAGCGGCGTTGGAGTGGTTGTAGACACCGCCGTTGAAGATGGCCGTGGCGTCCTTGCCGATGGCAGACGAGATGAGGGCCTTGCCACCGGGGTGGTCCTTGATGAAGTCGGTCACGTCGTGGATGACACCGGCAATAGCAGTGAGAGCCTTGCCGTTCTTGGACTGCTCAACAAAGTCGTCCCACGAGATGACGGGGAGCTGCTCTAGGGGGATACCCCAGTCGAGGGTGGCGCGCTTCTGGTCGAGCTTCTTCTGCAGCTGCTGAAGACGGCCCTTCTCGATCTCGTTCTGGCGGAACTGCTTCAGGTCATAGGCCAGACCCAGCTGCTTCCATGTCCAGATGGACCACTTGGTGGGGTCGTACTGCCACCATTGGATCGCGTTGCGGTAGTCGGAGGGGAACTCGTGGTGGAAGTTGTGGTAGCCCTCGCCGAGGGTAACCAGAGCGGTGATGACGTGGTCACGGGGCGAGTTGCGGTCATCAAAGGGCTGGTCGCCGAGCCAGTGGGCGAGCGAGTTGACGCAGAAGGTGGCCTGCTGGATGAAGAAAACGCGGAGAATACCGGCATAGACGAAGCCGCCGAGCCAGTCGTTCCAGCCCAGTCCGCAGACAAGGGTAGGGAAGCCGAGAGCCATGGTCAGAACGCACTTGATGTAGTTGGTGTGCTGCCAGACGACGACGGGGTCCTCATTGAGGTCGGAGATGTCGGTGCGGCCAATACGCCTGGGGTTCTGCTTCATGACCATCCAGCCGATGTGCGAGTAGAGGAGACCCTTGCGGACGGAGTAAGGGTCCTTCTCCGTGTCGGTGTAACGGTGATGGGCACGGTGGTCGCGAGACCACCACCGGATAGAACCCTGCATCGCACCAGCACCGACGGCGGCGAGGTAGATCCTCAGCGGGAGAGTGGCCTTGAACGAAGTGTGGGCCCAAAGACGGTGATAACCTTGTTTTGAGAGCAGATGTTAGTATTCAGGCGGGGCGCTCGCTGACTGAGCCAGGACTGGACGAGAACCAGGTGCTCGACTTACCTCCCGTGATACCGAGTCCACAGTTGAAGTAGTAGACAACGGCGAAAAGGATGGTGTAGGGATGGGCCCGGATCCAGTACGTGGAGATGAGGCCGCACAGAGGGATGAAGAGGATGAAGTAGACGTTGAGCCAGTTGACGTGCTTGTACCAGTTCTTCAGCGTCATGGGCTGCTCGCTGATGTGCGGCTTGCGAATATCGTAAGCCTTGCCTCGCATGGGCTTGAAGTCGGTGGTCCCATCAGGGAAGGCCTCGGCCTGCTTCACCGAGGAGGACGAGGACGCCATGGTGGACAGAGAGGGCTGAGGACGTCAAAACTCGGAGAGGCAGATTCGAAAGATTGCAAGAGTCTGTCTGAGATGTCCTTGCCGTGCCCTTTCAGTGTTGAAGGTCTGGTCGGGGGAGGGGGGAGGTCTGGCCGGTGTTTGTGTATGGGGGGGAGAGAGGACAGGCGGGAGGAGGACTGGATGGGGGCAAGAATGATTTATATGAAGTAGGAGGGCTGACCGGGGTGCCGGAAGAGGTCCAGAGGGCAGAGGATGGGAATGTGGATGGGTGGCGGCTTGGCTGGCTGGTTGGATGCAATGTGGGGACTTGTTCTTTTTTTTCCTTTGGGGTGGCAGGCTGGCAGCAGACAAAAGATGGGACGGTGGAGGAGAGGGAGACGAGTGTGAGTGTGTGTCGATTGATGCAACGACTGTGACGTTCCGGACCACGGCTTGGAGGACCGGGGTCTGTCTTGAAAGCTGGTCGACCTGTCCAAAGCGTATTTCTCTACGACGTGTTTCCCCAAAAAGTGGAATGACAATTATGCAAATGTTGCGGCTGCTGACATGTCAACTGGCGTTTCTCCCTGCTGCTGTTTGTTGTTCTTGTTGACCGTTGGGGGAGGCTAGGTCTGAGTTGACTTGCGAGACAGAGAGACAGGCCAGGCCGTGTAAGTGACGATGGCGATGCGCTTGTGTCTTTGTGTGGGGAGCGAGTGTCCAGCAGCCAACAGCGAGAATGGCACTCTTCAATTCAGTTCACTTCAATTCCAACATGGTGCAACTCGGAGGCAATCTCAGGTCACAATCTACACGGGCTGGGCCGAGGATTCACGAGTGAGCCGGTCAAATCGTGTCATTCTCTTTTTCGCAGGTGCTCTCTGCCTCTGCAAATCCAGAGCTCCGCCCGTTTGTGCATCCATTTTGCCGTGAGCTGCTTTTGTTGAGCCAAAATGTTGGGACGGGCTCGGCGCTGATTGGCCGGTGCAGAATCTGGAGACAGCTCTTGCCCCTGCCGGGCGATCCAGGGCCCACACCCGTTGTCCAAGCTTGGACCGATTTACTATGGGGCCGACCCCTTGGACCCCTGTCGCTTCCTGCTGTCTCCGTCGCTCTTTCCCAGCATGGATGGCATGATCGTTCGGGGAATGCTTGGCGTAGCCCTGCGCCTGCAGGTTATTACAAGTAGAGGTAGAGGTAGGTACAGGACCCCCCATTGGGACAGCCAGAAGCAGGCACAGTCGACTGCACCTCCGTACGTAAACTCATGTGGTGCGTGGCAAAAAAAAGAAGGAACAATTTGATGTCCGGGGACTTTCTTTGGTGGAACCTGGCTCTGGCTGGCCCCGCTCTGGCCGGGAGGCCATCAAACGTCAAGCCCGCGTGCGGCGCACCCGACATCTTCCCTTGGGGCTGCTGTTGCTCCCTGGCGACTCCGTGCCTAACTAGGTACCTAGCACCCCTGGCCCCGTTTGTTCCAGGTCCCCAACATTCTACAGATCTTGCGCGCATCCACGAGTGACATTCTCACCGTAGGTAATCATGCCTCGGCCGCTTTCCTCACAAGCACATGAAAAAACACTTGAACCCCGTCATCATATCACTGATGAGGTTCAATGTTTCTTGCATGTGCTGTCAACAAGAGTATCCTGTCAACGACCGAGTTTGCAACGCACGTCGACCCCAACTAGCATTGCTTCATGGCTGACAGCTTGGTCTGGCTTTTGCCACCAGCGGGGCTCCTTCCTCACCCTGTCACGTGCACCTTGCTACCTAGATCAGATAAGTTGGGCTTGCTGTTCGAAAGCTTCTGGAAGGTCCCTGATCTCCCGCGCTAGGACAAAACCAGTCAGGGCTGACAAGGCCCTTTTCTCTTTTTCCCCCGTTAGAGCTTAGAGCGAGCTTGATGAGCGGCCTACCCGTTACAAGTAGATACCACACTTGTTTGAGGCTTGAGATTGTCTGCCCGAGGTACCGTACCTTACCTGTAGGGAGTTAGCAAGGATGAATTGAAGCTCCTAGCAATATATCACTGCTCCCGACCTCGTCGTCGAGGATCCCGTGGGATTGATGATCTTCCTTCGCATGCATGCCACACATCTGGAACGATTGTCTCTGCTGGATCAGGTCCTTTTTCTACCCAAGTACACCAAGCAACACACAAACACACGCCATCTTCGAGGTAAAACTGCCATTACGGACTAGTAATACATCTTGGGGCCAGAGCCTTTTGTATGCCAATGTTGACCTCTCAAATACCAATTACACACGAAGAAGCCATGCCTGGTTCTTCCATGTTGTAGCCCTGGTGCAGACTTCTATTTCATTTGACTGCCGCCGCCACCTTGATCCTTGACATTGGTCACAACCCATCGTCTGTCTTTCTTCGAGACACATATAGTATCCAGGTCATATATAAGTGCACTAGAGCACAAAGAAAAAGGGAAGCAAAGAGAAAAAAAAACACAGGGAGGGGAAAACGAGGTACAGGCACATGATGAAGAAACAGAAAGAAGAACAAGAAAGAAAAAGAGAACAAGAGAAAAATAGGACAAGGAGTAGTGGAAATGAACAAAAGCAACAAGAAAACACATGAGTACAGCCCCCTCCCCCCCGCGTCATAGAATTCGTTTACATGTCTCGTCCATCATGTGGCTTCGTGATCTGTCGGTTGGTGCGTGGTCGTCAATAGCCCCAGGTCGTGCTCCATCGTCTCGTGCGTGGTCGGCGACTCGTCGCCCCCGGCACTCGACTCGTGAGCCGACCCGATCCCTTGCAAGTCTTCTGCCACGGTGCCGCCCGTGGCCGCGGCAGGGCTCCTGCAAGCCGCCTCCGAGCCGGGGCCGACGGGCGGCGGGTCAGAAGACTCGAACAACGTATCAGTCGTGACTTTGTCCAGCTTGCTTCTGCTGCTGCTGCCGTCCTTGTCACTGCTTGCGCTGTGCTTCATCTGTATGTCGCCTGCGTGTTCCTGAGGGTGCGCCTCTTCCCATCTTTCGCTTTGGTCCTGTATCTTCTCATCACCATCATCTTCTGATGGTCCGGGTCCTGTGCTCCCCGGTTCGGCTCCCGTGGAGGAGACTGTGTCTCTTTGCTGGTCTTCAATGTGCCACGACGCGGCCCGCGGGCTCGACGTGGGCTTCACCTCATCCTCATCAACATGGCTCTCTGACAAGTCTGATGGAGCAGTATCCACCCGCACTTCAGGAACGATCATCTTCTCCTTTGCATCATTTGAACCCCACTGCTCTGCCGGCCGTTCTTCTTCCGAACTAGCGTGTGCAGACTCTGGAGGAGGCGCTGCATCGCCACCCGCTGAGCCGATATCCAGCCCTTCTTTCTCGACCCTTGGGGTCTCATCGTTGTGTTCGAGGAAAGCCTTGCCCTGGGGCCCAGTCATCCCGGCCTCGTGGACAACCGCATCCACGCTTATTTCGCGACTTTCACCGAACTTCGAGGCTTTCTCTGACGGAGCATACTCTTGTGGCATCGACTCGGGAACACTACTGGCCGAGGTGCTGTGCCCACCCCCGTAGCTATAGCCTCGAGACCAATATGGCCTATCGCCGTCATGATTGCTTGGCAACGGACTGGGCGGCGACCGGCCTCGAGGAGGGTAGGCGTAAGTCTGATCGCCAAGATCAGGATTGACGTAGTAGTGAGGATCAAACTGCCAGGAGCTCGGCGGCTGCCCCGTCCTGATAATGTGACCATTCTTCTTGTCTGCAACGCCGCTACCAGTTAGTATATAATCACTAGAGAGTGGTAGGGGATCAAGTCCGGGACTGGCCTTCAGTCTTTGTCGGGTAGACGGGGAACAGCCGCAGAAGGTCGGTGGCATGGACTCGTCTTCGAGGATCGGGGCTCAGACATATCTGTACAATGCGCTGGTACCATTCAGGAGTGGTCTGTCTGAGGTCCTCGTCGAAAGTGAGCGGGCGGCCTGAAGACTCGGGCTCATCCTCCTGGGCTGCCAAAGCCCAGAGCACCATGCCCAGCTGGAACAGATCCGATTTGACCCCGATATACATCGAGATGCGCTGGCCCGTATCAATCAACGGCGTTGCCTCTGGCGGCTCCCAGCCAACAGGGCAGCCTCTCCTGTTGATGTCTATAATTCTCGCGTTCTCATCGCTATCGATAACGATGTTGGACAGGGTGAAATCGCCCTGGACAAAGCCCGCCTCGTGGATGTGAGAGAGGCCTTGAACGACCTGCCGCGCCCATTTCTCACGAGTGACCCACGGCAGTGTATGATCATGGTCGTAGATGATGTCAATGAGAGCGCCTTGGTCGGCATAGCTGATCAAGAGGCCCTTGATCTTCTCTTCCTTGTCATCTACTACCACCCCAAAGAACTCTATCACGTTGGGAGAATCGCGGAGATGATGGAGGGCATTGACCTCATAGAGAAACTCGTCCACTGTATCCTGGCCAGGGATCTCCTTCTTGATGAGGAGTCGTCCATCGACTCTGACCTTGTAGACAAAGCCAGACATGTGAGAGTCAAACTCGATATCCTTCTCCCTGATACGGGGACACCCGAGATGCTTCACCATGTTCACATTGGGGTGTTCAATCACTTCCTGCAGTCCAGGTGTCAGCTGAGGGAGTCGCTTGGCGAGACAAGAGAATACTTGAGGGGGAGACGAACATTTACATCCTCAACAACATGTACATGGAGTCTGCCGTCGGTTGTCTGCAGCTTGAGGTTGGTCACGGTTTCATAGAACTGGATATCTTCCAGGCTCTCTCGAATGGCCTCGTAAATTTTGGCATTTTTGTCGCGCTGATGTTTGGTATGGAACAGATCCATCTCGAGCGAGTCTTCGGGGGCATTGCGATAGTCGAGAGAGATGGTCACGCGTCGCCAGTGGGCATTGTCCTGGCGGAAGGTCACGAAGAATTTCTCCCTTTTGGTCCTGTCACGAAAGTGCATGGATAGGTTGAGAATCCATCTCTGCTCCAGCTCGTCGTGTATCATTTGGTCGTACTGCGATGTTGTCATAGATGCATCGTCGGGCAGGCTCGGGGGGTTCGTAGGTGACAGCGGCCGATACTCAGTCGCGGGGACCTGCATCTGGATCTCGCTCAACGATGCCATCTCATCTACGCTGTCCAGCATTCTGCCCTCGACAGGGCTTGCAGGGAGGGAAGGGACCGAGGATGTCTCACTGATCGACCGATCGACCATATCTGGGGCGCTTGTCCTCGGATTAGAGGGACATTGTGAGCTGGTTTGAGACGCGTGCCACCTTCTGTCCATGGAGAGAGCACGTCTCTCAGCAGGTGTGGGCTGGACAGGCTCAAGGTTCTCTCGGAGCTCAGACTGTTGTCTTTTGAACGTCTTCGCTCGGGGCAAGCCAGGGACAACCTCCCTTGGCACCCGGCGGATAAGCTCTGGGCGAATTTCATCATCGGCGCTGGGATCCTGCGGCTTTGGAGGCTCTGGTGCTGGATCCGAAGGGACATTGTTCCGACCCAAGAGCTTCCTCCAAAATTTATGGGGGATGCGGCCATCGGCATTTGATGAGGACAGCTCCGGGGGCGGAGGCTCACTTTGAGCCATGTCGGCTCACAGGAGGAGCAGAGGCGTGATGTTGGCGATCGACGTCGAGGCAGCACTCCAACCAGGAAGCAGAGACAGTACGCGGATGTGCGTGCGAGCTGGCTAGTCTAAATCATAGACAAGGATGCCTCGAGACACAATGGTGCTGACGATCGGGTGTAACGCTGAGAATGTCTGTCACCATCGGTATACGAGGCGACTTGCTGAGCCCGAGAAAACCTGCAGCTGACTATGAGATAAGTCCAGAAGTCTCCAAATTCGAGAGAGCGATTCGGCTGCGAGTGAGGCTAGGGCTAGCTTGCTTTGTCTCACCGGAGACAGGCTGGGCGCTGCAAGTAACCGCGTGGTCGACCTGAGCCGTTTCGAAAGCAGGCGAAGCGGTCATTCGACACCCGATATGCAGCAGGCCCCGCAGCTATGGCGAGCAAAAGGCAGCCCGAGCCTGCAGCAGAAGAGCCGCTTATGGATGTTTCGAGAGCCGTTGAGGATAGGCCAAAACACGCCACCAAACACTGCCGTTCTTGCAACGACGGACGTTTCTCGACGGGGCTATGGTTGAGAGAATTCCCCCCGGAGCAGAGTCAAGAGAGCGGTGAAATGAGACAGCATGGCCGAGCAGGAGCGGCCCCAAAGATATTGGCGGGGTTTCGTCAGGTAGGAATGATTGATCGAGGAGAGATGCCAGGCGGGTTCAGGGTGAAAGGGGGGAAGAGAGGAAGTATGTAAGAGGCAGATGTCAATGTCGATTGGTAGTATTGGTACCTTAGCCCGGCTGGGTGACGAACAGGTTGGGCACTGGCCAGCTTGGCCGAGGACCTCGATCGATACGCCTTGCAAGCTCGAGGGTCGTGAGGCGGGATGAGATGTTGCGGGTAGGCAGCCCGCCAGTCAGGAGTGCAGGACTAGATTGAGAGGGACTGACGAAGCTCTCCTTTGAGGCGCAGGGAGGGCGGTTGTCTCGGTTCGTCCTCGTCGACCTTCTCTCATCTCGCCCAGAGCTTTGGCGCTACTGCATGTATGATAGATGAGAGAAGGCAGCAGGAGGAGCAGGAGGAGCAGGAGGAGCAGCAGGAGGCTGGCAAGGGCCAGAGCAAGCAAGCTCGTCGAGCAACGAGATTCAGACGCAGCAGGGACCAATTCGGAGCAGGGAGTGGAGATTGACACCGACACCAAGACGGGCCGTCACTCACACTACCTACGGACTGAGTGACCGACTGGAAAAGCTGGCTCTCGTCAGGGTGGGCTGGGACGACGTCAGGCTGCTGGAAGAATGGCTGGACGTGGGGAAATACACGTGTACTTCCTAAGGCACCGACAGACAGCCCCCCTACCAGCGAATTGCTCCGGCATGATGGAGCCTGGAAGCCAGGCTGTGGTCCTGTGGACCCGCCCGCTAAAGCTCACCAAACCCGCCCCCTGGCCGTCCCGAAACGGATCCATTTGGCACGCGCCGGCCTCCAATCCGTTGATGGAGCTGGGGGAAAAGCTAGCAGGGGGGGGGGGAGGGACTCGACGGTTCCCGGGAAGCACAGCACCTACCTACCTACCTAGCCTAAACAGCCTGCCCAAGGCGCATACATGCTTGTCAGACCTTGTACTATCGGGCGACGGGCCCTCCCTTTCCCAAGTGCACGACGATGACTTTTAGGTACCTTAGCGTGTCCCTTATTCGGACAAGCTGGTCGATATCTGGTATCCATTCCTACACCGCATGTCCATATGGCTGACGGGTCCTGTACGCAATAGCACCATCTGCTCGGGTTCCCTCCTCAGACCTACCTAGGTAGGTAGAGAGAGTGCGAGGGAGCGAGGGAGCGAGGGAGAGCCATAGGGAATGGAGTTCTGTCTGTCTGAGTGACTGGCTGCCGCAAATCAAGGTTGCATATGGCGGACGGCGCGCGAGTTAAGTTACAGAGCATCGACGTCGAACCACCGGTGCTGCAGGTGCAGTTGCATGCACAGCACCCGCACGCGTCTGACCATGCAAACATCGACCGGCCATGCGCAGAATCTATGTATTCCGCTCCCACCAGACCGTCCGCCGGTGTCTGTCGTATTACCGGTCTTCGTCATCAACCCTTTTTTTCTCGGGTACTACATGGCATTGGTAGGTGAACCTTTGCTCCGTGCGTGCGCTCTTTATCGACATCCTTCCTCTCTCCCGCTCTCCGCTCCCGTCCGTTCGCCCTCTCGAGATAAGGATGAACTGGAACCCTCGTCTCTCCACCACTCTGCCGACGTAGCATCCATGAGTCTCACGGCTCATTCATTGGATCTGGCCCTTGCCGGGGAGTAAGATGCCCCTCGACCGCCTACACCAGACACGGCCCACTCCCGCACCGCTGGTGACACAGTGGTGCCCGGACAGCGCCTGGCGAGATTATCGAGGATTCCTAGAGCTCACTGGCCACTTGCAGCCCGCAGGCGACGTCTTCCACGAGACCTGTGGCCGGCCACCGAGCCGCTTTGCCTCCTGCGTTTGGATAGGCGGTGACCAGAGTTGCGCCCCCCAGAGTCGCACCATCTGCCATGTGTTCGTGGCGGTCGTTTCACTCGGAATTCGTGCTACAGCCCTAACGACTACATGTAGTGCGCCCCTTTGGAAAATGGGCCAGTCTCAAGAAGTAGAAGCATCGATCGATGATGCCGCCAGACCAAGACGTTCGGAAGGGCCAATGGCCTGCTCAATTGCGTCAACTGGGCAGGGTGGTTTGACTTCGGGATCGCGAGACGCGAACCCAATACACACAGATTGTCAGCCTCGTGTGCGACACGACATAAGCAAGCCATTGTAAAGATACTCCTGTCTTGATGTCCCAAACACTCTCGTGGTCAAGCGAAGGAGTACCTCTCTGGCCATTTGCCATGTTGACGATGTCGGCCCACCACCATCTGAATGACATATTGGTCCTCCACTGGCGTGTTAGAGCCTGCTTTGGGCATCAATACCCAAAACCTCGCAGACTCTGGTTTCGGCGGGCCCACCACCATCCCAACGGAGCAATCAACGTTTGGACCCTATGCAGGTGGTACCTGGACGGACTAGCATAGGGAGCAGAGTGAGGCTGCAGCAGCAAGGATTGGATCTGCGCAAGTGGGAAAAAGAAGAGGTGCTTGCAGCTGCAAATAGCGCCCCCCCAGTCTGGTCGACTCCTGCAGGCCAGACTCTCCTTGGCCCAACCCTCTCAGCCGACACTCCGTCATGCAGGAGAGCCTGCTTGGGAACCCTACGGTTTGCATTCCGCAGCCAGATTGCTCGCCTCAGAAATTGGAGATGCATGCTAGTTCATGCGAGCCCAAAAGCTTCTCAACCTCATCCGAGCGAGGCAAAGCTCACATTGGGCGCGGAGCCAAGAGGTGGAAGACAGCGACGGCCTCCCGTCGTTCGCCATTGTTCCCGAGGGATAGTTACATCAGCCGCCCAAGTATCTGGAGCCGCCGTCCACCTTGTTGCCTTGCACGCTCGACTGGCTCTGGGGAAAAGGCAAGGCATTGTGGGGATCGACCTGGAGATCGAGTCCCGGAACCCGACAGATGGTGTCATCAAGGCCCGACCTCTGTCATCCCACGCCAATATGCCGCTTCTTAATCCTCTCAGCTGAGTCGCCAATCTAGATTGGCAGGGTCTGCCCCTGTTACCCTCTCAACGGTCTTGCCAGGGAGGTGTGATCAAGCACGCACAGGCCACCAAAGGAGCGAATCCTTTCGTTGAGCCCGGGTCTTCCTCGAAACACGATGATGCTAGAAAGTTGACAGACCCCCATCACTGCTGCACCCACCCGCCTAGTTGGTGTTGGGGCCGCTGTCTGAGGTGCGCATGTGTAAGATCCATGTGTAAGTCGTGTGGGGTAAGCTGCCGTGCGATAACGATGAGACACGGAGTAGGCAGTGTGCGGAGTGCTCCCTTGGGCGAAGATACGGATTCAGATGTGTCACCATCAGCAAAAGAAAGAGCAAGATCCAAGTCCACGGGCCATCAATCAATGCGTCCCTTGTGCTCAGCACAATTGCCAAGGAGGACGTCTGTATCAAGCAGCAAAGTGCACGTACATGTGGTAGGCATTCATGTCTATCTTTGACGACCACGCCCCTCAAGACAACAAGCGATTTCCTGGACCCTTCTCCGGGCCCCCGTTTATATAGTACATGGATACGTATTTGTACCGAGAAATATGATTACAGACCGTTGTGTCGGCATAGGAGAGGCGATGGGTCTTTCTATCCACAAATGAATCCTCGGAGCCGTTCTCCCTTGGCCCACCATTCGCCTGAGATGGTCATCAAAACGCCCAATAAATCGTCCGCACCAATGCTGTGTGTGTATAGGTCGTGTCTGGATATTTTTGGCGCCCCCTCGTTTGGTATGCAAGCCGTTCAGTATGCACAGGTATGAAAGGCCAACTGCGCTATGACATGGAGAAAGCAGTCAACTGCATGTGTGTGCAGCATTGCTCCGCTGGCTTTATTCGTTCTTGTCGGCAGACTCCTTGGCTTCATGCTGCTTCTTCCACTCGCAGATCTTGCAGTGGTTGGCTTGGTCTCGATCCAGATTGGGGAAGACCAAATCGAAGATGTCCGAGTACCAGCTTGCTGGACGACCTTCGAGACCTTCCTTAATATTCTACCAAAAAAAAATTGTTAGTGTCCACATAGGTATACATTGCTACGGGCAGAAGGAGAGTATTATCTTACCTCTGGAAGCTCCAACCAGTCAGACATGTTATCCTCGGGGAAAATGATGGTCTTGCAACCAGCCCGTCTGGCCGCCACCGTCTTCTCTCGAAGCCCGCCAATACGGAGGACCTTGCCCGTGAGGGTCAATTCACCCGTCATGGCAATCGTAGGATCCACGGGTGTCTCCAGCGCCAGCGACAGGAGTGAGGTTGCCATCGTAATACCAGCAGAAGGACCATCCTTCTGCACTGCACCCTCAGGCACGTGAACGTGGATCTTGGCCTTGTCGAAGAAGTGATTGTCGGGGAAATCCCGAGCCATGAGGGACTTGGCAAACGAGTAGGCGATGGACGAGGATTCCTTCATCACCGTCTTGAGATTGCCAGTGATTTCCAGCGAAGGGCGGGTGCTGGGTCGTAGAGATGACTGCAAGATCGATTCCACGTACATTGCTGCTCCCCCCATCTGCGTCCACGCCAAACCCATCGTCACACCAGGCGGCGTCACGTCGTACAGTCGGTCTGAAGTGAAGATAGGTGGGCCGACATAATCTTTGAGGTTGTCCTTGTCGATGGTAACGTGGACTGACTCGGGCACTTTGAGAGCGACACGGGGCTTCTCCGTCGTCTCACTCTCGGAAGCGCTTTCTGTAGCCAGGTCCTCCTTGTCGCGTCGCTCTTTTTCGCCTTCTTCCAAAGCGGCTTTGCCTTCATCAGTCAGTGCCTCAGACTCGGGCAATGCGTTTTCACCTAGGTCCTGGACGATCTTCAGAGCCGATTTGCGATAGACCTTTTCGATCTGCTTCTTGAGATTCCGCACGCCGGATTCGCGGCAGTAATACTTGATGAGCTCTTCGATAGCGTCCTCGCTCATCTGAACATCAGCGTCCTTGAGACCAGCCATCTCCTTGGCGGCCGGCGCAAGATACTTCTCCGCAATGGCCATCTTCTCGTCGGAAACGTAGCCAGAGAGTCTGATAACCTCCATGCGGTCCAATAGTGGCCTCGGGATGGTGTCGGTCATGTTAGCAGTGCAAACAAAAAGCACTTTTGACAAGTCCACTGGTACATCCATGTAGTGGTCCAGGAACGACCCATTCTGCTCGGGGTCGAGAAGCTCGAGAAGGGCCGAGGATGGATCACCTTGGTAACCTTTGCCAATCTTGTCGATCTCATCGATCAGAATCAGCGGATTCTCCGTCTGGCACTTTTTCAGAGCCTGGATAACACGGCCTGGTAATGCACCAACGTACGTACGTCGGTGACCTTTGATCTCGGCGACATCAGTCAGGCCACCGACGCTGAATCTGTAATACTGCCGATTCAAGGCCCGAGCAATAGACTTGCCAATGCTCGTCTTGCCCACGCCTGGCGGGCCGACAAAACATAGGATCTTGCCCTCAACAGTGCCTCGTAGCTTGCCGACTGCAATGAACTCCAGGATTCGGTCCTTGACGTCCTTGAGCCCGTAGTGATCTTCATCGAGAACAGTCATTGCATTCTGGATCCCAAAGTTTTCTGCACTTCTCTGGCCCCAGGGTATCTGTGTGAGCCAATCGAGATAGTTCCGGGTGACGTTGAACTCAGAGGCAGCAGGCTCGAGATGAGCCAGTTTGTTGATCTCGTCGTCGAAAACCTTGCGCACCGCCTCTGGCATGGCAAGCTTATCGGCCTTTTCTTTGAACTTCTCGACCAATTTGTCTTTGCCGTCCGACTCAATCCCGAGCTCTCGACGGATACCTTTCATCTGCTCCATCAGCCAGTATTCGCGTTGGCGCTTTGTGATCTTGCTTTCGACATCCTTGGTGATCTTTGACTGCAGCTGCGCGTTCATGAGCTCCTTCTTGAGAACGACAAGCGACTTTTGCATCCGCTCCTCCACATTCAGGCTTGACAAGACTTCCTGTAGTTCCCCAGGCTCACCTGCTGAGACTGCAGCAGCAAAGTCGGCCAGTTTGGCAGGCTCTGCCGTTACATTTCCAGTTGATTGGCTCATGGAGAAGGTAGAAATCTGGTCCCTGAAAAGGCTGTTCATGGTGGCCACCTCCTTAAAAACGTTGACGATCTCATTTGTGACTGCGCGGATGACGGGACTCTTGGGATCGTGCGGCTCTTCGGTCAGGTTCTCGACGTTGACGAGACTGACAGGGTACTTGCGGAGGAACGATGTAGGCTCGTAGGGCTGTTGAGCAGATTCGGACTTGGGTGAGACCGCACTCTCCTCGAAGCTAGCAACTACATCGCCCTTTTTCTCTTGCTGGGGCTCCTCGCCACTTGGCTTCGTTGGTATGGGTTCAGGAATAGACTCAGTCTCGGACTCGGACTCGGACTCGACCTTCTTTTGGTCCTGGGCACCGGGAGGAAGCAGCGTCGAAAGGCGGATCCGGCGATGAGGGTAGAGGATAGCAGTGAGCCCTCCACCTTCCCCGTGCAGCGGGAAAGCACTTGTGATCTGGGCGAAGACACCAACATCGTAGACATCATCTGCGTTGTGTATGACGTCGTCATCGGCGGCTTCGTCTTTGAAAAGAAATGCGCCGACATACGGTTGGCCGCGCTTGATCATCTCCGTGATGGCGTTGGCCACATTCTGGTCCTTAATCGTGATGGCTTTGTAGAACCCGGGGAACAGAGGCCTCTTAGCAATCGGAATCGCCATGACTTGGGGGTAGACTTCCGGGACTATCGGCTTGGACAAAGCCCGCTCGCCGCTAGACCTCCTGCCTTTCTTACCACCATCCCCTGGTTCATCACCACCGGAGCCTGACGAGCCTCCGGGCGCACTGCTACCCTTGCCGTCAGGAGATTCAGGGGAGCCCTGGCCACCGCCACTTGAAGGGGATTCTGAGTTCGAACTCTTTGCCTCACTGAGCTCCTTCTCTTCCGCCTCTTTCTGCTTTTCTAGATTCGCCTTCGCCTCCTCTTCTGACAGCGGTTCGGTAGAGTCATCGAAGAATCCTTGGTTCTTTTGCTTTAGCCGGGTCGCGGAAGAGGAGAACGGTGCAGTGGCTTGTGGTGTTCTCGATAGGCCGAGACTCTGATGTCGAGGAAGTGCGCGTCGGGCGGATCGAGTGGACGCAGCGGTCGAAAGCAGCCGCGCTGACGACCAATGCGACTGGTAGGATGACGACAGAGACGGATTCAAGGAAAGTAGGCGCCCTGAGGCGCGCTGTCGAAGTAACATGGTGAGATGCTGACCTCTGTGGCTTGGTGCGAGGTTGGATGGGTGGAAGTATGAAATCTTAGGTCTCGGCTTGTGTCGTCGAAGTCAGACGACTCGACAGAGCACCGGAAATCCAGCCGAGATGACGACGAAAAGGAGCCACTGCTGTGCAGACCAACCTATGGGCAGATTGGGGAGAAAGAGTGGCAGGGAGAAGGGATTGTTGGAGAGGCTTGTGGCGGCAAGCGTGTCATAGCTTGCTCCGGCGCGCGCAGCTCTCCAATTTGGTCGATGATGTCTTAATAATGCAGCTCCTTCCTGGTCGGCCTTAAACAGTCACTAGAAAACTTTCCATTGGGTTCCGTTGCCGGCGTAGCTCCGAGCACAGACCAGGCAGAGCACGCGACGACGGGTGTCTGATTCTCAGGTTGTCATGCTGATAAGATAAGCCGACACGGCTGGCTGCGCTAACTTCATGTACCTATGTAAACTAAGTAAGGTACCTACCTACTTACCAGCATCAGTGCTGTGAGTCGGGCCTGTGCAATGGATATTTGAAGGCTCCAGCTCTCTCACTCGCCCTCTAGGCACTAAAATACCTGCAGAACAAAGACTCCACCTTCTGGAACCCCCTCCCTGTTCGGCACTCCCATTTACGATCCATGGATCAGTTGATCTGCCATCTCTGCGGGGGTGAACGTCCCACTCCATGTTAGTACTTTGAATAAGGCACTTTACCTCGCAGATAGTTGACTTGCTGGAACCTACCGAGAACTGCCGTCAGAGGTTCGTGCCCAACAAAGGAGGGGAAGCCGTGGCTCTTTTCTCTGGATCATCGGTCACTTTTTTTCTCACTTAACCCCTCAGCAGTTTGCTATTGGCAGACCTGACCTTGGTGGACTGGTTACTGATCTTCCGCTTGTTCCTGCTGCACACACTTACAAAGTGTACACTGCGGCTTGTCTTTCGAGGCAAACCAGTAACGCGGGCCCTGACAAGAACAAATACCACGCCAGCTTGGGACTTGCCACGGTCAGGGACATTACTCGATTCAACTGTCTTACTCTGACGAGATGGCTTCCTCCAAGAAGTCGGCGGATCTGGCATCCCACATCTCCAAGCTCTCCATCGAGCCAGACAAAAAGACCAAATCTGGCGCAAGCAAGAGCTCCAAGTCAAAGAAGGAAGTCGCAGACTCGTGGGAAGACGAGGATGTCTCGTCCGAGTCTGAGAGCGAAGACTGCCAACACTCCACCACCGATGCAGGTCCCAAAGTCGGCACCGCGGCACCACCACCTACTCCTGTATCACCCAGCTATGATACCTCACAGCCGTTCCAGCCTATGCCTTCATCACCGGGATACTCGTCTGGTGACTCAAGCAGCAACGAGCGCCGCCGTCCAGAAAAGACAGATGCTGTTGCACGTCGTATGATAGCCAGCGCCCTCGGAGTCAAAGTACCTCGGCAGACCGATGAACAGAAGGCCTACGACAAGGCAGTCCGGGAAAAGGAACGCAAACGTCGTGAAGAGGAACGCGCTGCGGAGAAGAAGCGGCTGGAGGAGGCTGAACGCGCGAAAAAGGCCATTTGGGAGGACTAGGAGCTCTCTCGGCAGAGATTCAACCAGGAACGGCTCGCCCACAGGGCCAAGAATAGCCCCTTTTTCGGACAGGGCTTTGGATAGCTCTGGCCACACACAAAGAAGACGCGGGTGTGGTATATCCGCATAGCTCTGGTCTAATCCGGCAGGATTGACGAGAAACTGGCTGTTTAGTTGGACTTCCGCTTTCTTATCCTCCACCTTTGTCGACAAAGAGGCGAGCACGACGTTGGGAAAGGATGACTTTCCACTTCCTTCTACCACAGAACACCATGCCACAGTCGCGCGGAGTCAACGAGGCAGGCGGTGTTGCCTAGAAGATAGGACTAGTTCGTCTGTGGAGATGCAGACATTTCACCGACAACGACGAGATCGAGAATCTGACACCAACACGGCCCGGTAGACTCAAAACTACTAGTATTTCGAAGCTATATGTATTTCCGCACCCCTTGATGACGAGGCTGCGGTATGAACACCTTTCTCTGCTAGATAAGTACATATTTGTGTAATTTACACACCTTCACCGCCACCATCTCCGGTGCCCGGCTGGACATCGAATGGTTGGCCTTGCCATGTCAGTGTCAGACGTGAATTTTTCGCCCCGTCATGTGAATATTGCACTCCCACGCCCAATCCTGTTAAACCTTCCTCTTCTGCACGCCTATTCCATAGGAACTGTTGGATCTCGCCCTCTCTGGAACACATCAAGAAACCCATGGGCCAGCGGCTCCTACCCATGGAGTCGCGAATCCCCTTCGTTGCTGGCCTTTCGGTCACGAGGAAGCCAACGACTCCGGACCCTCTCCAGCCGCTCGGTGCGCCCACAAATGCACCTTCCAGCTCTCGTATCAAGTGAGGACCAATGCGCCCAGACAGGGCCTTGCACTGGAGAAGAACCTTGAGCGGCTCAGTAGACGATGGCACGGACCAGCGTCCCAGTAGGTCGATCCCGTAGTCTGAGGAGCCTCCAACTCTCCGCAGGGAGAAGCCGTACTTTTCAAGGCTGAGGGCCACCGTATATTCGTAAAGAGTGCCGATGTATGTGGTCGAGTTTGGATCCAGGCCTGTGGTTTTGGCATATTGGAGGAAGCTAGGCAAATCCTTGTGTTTGGTAGAGGAAGGCTCTGGGTATACAAGATCGGCATCTTGGTGATGGACCTTGGCAGGTCTCGAGGAGTGAAACTTCGCCCATCTCTGTGTGGTCCTCCTTATGAGGCTTTGCTTGATGGGCAAACAAAGGCCATTGCTGCTCTGGTGCCAACCATGTGCTGTTGCAAGCCACATGCCCCGGAGCATTCTCAAAGTTCCATCCCAGGGAAATCTCCTAAGAAGGAATGAAGATCTTCTAGATAGAGAGGTGACTTTAAGAGGGGAATCTTAAAACTACCTAAGGTAGGTGCGCTAAAGGGAGCGAATTAGGCGTGGTCTCCTACGCCAAGCCCTCTAAATACATGGAACTTAATGGCCAAAGCTCAAGCTTTATTAACTCCAGTGACGTCTACCCCACATAACTTGCGAGTGAGCCAATCCATGCGACTGCGCATTCGACTTTCCTCGTTCTCAATCTCCAAGTCTCCAAAACACATCGGCCAAAGCACCCCAGCTCGCTGGTTGCGCTCAACGGTACCGTCAACATGGGTGATAGACTCACACAGCTGCAAGATGCCGTCGACCAGGTATGTCCCACTACGGATCCGTGTCTGCTCCGCTTGCTGTTCGGTCGCTGATCTGAACTGTCTGTCACAGCTTGCCCAACAGTTTGTTGCTTGCATCTACTTCAACTCCCGCCATCACGACCTCGATAAGCTCGGGACCAGCGATGCCATAAGGGAATTAAAGCCCGAGGAACAGCGAGGGGATGGTATGCGGTGCTTGTGTGAATGTTACGGACCTGGACATCTTCCGCTGACTTGAACGATAGTCGAGCCGATTCCTCCAGAAGAGTTCAAGTCGGGGCAGCTCGAGCTTGCCCGTGACCTCATCTACAAAGAGCAGCAGATCGAATACCTGATCACAACTCTGCCCGGAATAGACAATAGCGAAGAAGACCAAGAGCAGTATATCAAAGAGTTGGAAGAGGAGCTCAAGGTTGCCGAGGCGCAATTTCAAGAGGCATCCAAGGAGAAAGATACCATCCTCGCGAAGCTCGACGAGATCATCCAAAGCATACGGCGACCATGAAAACGTACTTGACCCTACTTGTAGAGGCTACTCGGCGTTTATTGGGCATGACGGGGGGTCTGGGCTTTGGGACGGGGTCTTTGGGCGAATAGCGACCTGCTTCACACGAGGCATCGCCGGAGTATTTCTTTGAGCATTACATTGATAAGTCTTAAGCGTCTACGAAGTAATGATACGTATACTAAAATCTGTCTTCTAAGTGATTTATCTAACCTTTGCCAAGTCGAAATGCGCCCCAAATCAATCCTTTCTGAAACATTCCGGAAACACCATTCGCAGTTCTTCTAGGTTCTCTATTTCATTTGACGATTTTGCCCCCTCCTCGTTGAGACGGACGACGTTCCATCCCCGGGCTCGAGCGGCGTTGCAATTCAGTGCTGAATCATCTACATTGACTCATGTCAGCGCGCAATTGTGGGAATCGAGGGATCCTTGTTGATACATACCCACGAAGTAGCAGTGGCTGTTCTCGCTAATGCCCACTTCCTTCATGGCTTTGTCGAACATATCCTTGTGCGGCTTGCAGATGAGAGGGATTTTTGAATAGTCACAATAGGTAATGCCCTCGAACAAGTCCTCTATGCCCAAGAGGCGCACCACGCGTTGCCCGTGGGTGATATACGCGTTGGTGAAGAGCCAGGGCTTTATTTTTGTCCTGTCCAAGTCCTCAAGTAACTTGCGGAGCCTTGGGTTTGGTTTGATGATGTCCTCCAGGGGTAAGGCATCGTCGACCTTGGTATTGTACTCCAAAGGGTCGATCTGGTGGTGGCGTACCAAGCCCTCGATGGCGAGGCCATAGCTTTGGTAGTACTCCTTGTGAAGCCTGACCGCATCGTCCCACTGCAGTGACAGGTGTTCCACGAAGTACTTGTCAATAAGATCTGCCATCAGGTCATGGACTTTGGCGCCTTTTCGGGTTGGTCAGCATAGCATAATTTGACTGGCAATATTTGGGTGTTTGGACGCACTCTTTGGGTATAGACAATTATCGATATCACTGAAGGCACTGTCAGTAACATGCCAAGAGAGTAGGATCGATTGGTAGAGGTTGACTTGCAAGAAAAACACCTTCCGCGAGTCTTCTGGGCCATCTGCCCTGACACCATTGAGCGCCATTGTGTATGGTATAGAAGCCAGTGAGCTTCAATACTGTGAAGTTTGTAGGCAGATCTCCAATCCCGGGGCAATGCCTGGTATGTCCTGCTTGAGAAGAGATGGAAATGTTACTATTCCGCCTGATGTGAAAGTTTGCTACGTCAATATCAGTTTCTTGATCATGGTTATGTAAGTGCTTTGGTTGCAGACCGGGCGGGATGACTGTAAAGCACTCAAGATGGACATTGAGTCAGACCGACCCGTCAAGCTCAACGAACATGAGATGGTATTCATGGCTTACAACCCGGATGAACGAGGGGTGCATAGATGGGATTGTGAATCAAAGCCATGAGATCGATAGACTTACCTGTTTGGGCTACTATTTGGCTTCTCATCCGATAAATTGTAATTCGTTGAAATTCTTGACCCGGGTGTCGGCTCAAATCACGCAGATGCGTTGCTGAGTTGGTACTTGATCTTCCAAGTGCCGTCCCTGAGGATGAGGCGAACCGCTGTAACCCACTGGCTCTAGCGCTTGGTTGGCACGGTTGGTTCACATGTGGTTCACATGGATCCACCATGACCGCCTCTACAAGTATCATGCGCCCACGGGTGTTCTTCAGTGTAAAGAGCACTATTGGTCCCACTAAAGTCGGCGACCAACCAGCCTCAAAAGTTGAGTGGCTCGTGCGTTAGGACCAAAAGCACTTTTTTTAAGCAAGCTTTGGATGGCCACTCATTTTCTGAAGCGAGATTCAGCCTCCCTTTTCCGCGATTGCTGTTTTCCCTGGCACAAATCCCTCCTCACTGAAGAGTGAAGAGGTGCTGGCTTGTTGTGTGCTGCACAATTCACACTGGACTGATGTTGTCCAGCCAGCATCGAAATCAGTTGTCACTGACTGAGGCCGCGCAGAAACTGAGAAGGGTTTTCTTTTCTTTTCCTTCCTCGCCCTGAACTGCTTGCGTTTGCCTGCCTGCACCGCGGCCGCGACTTTGCGCTGCGAAACGCGTCTTCTCTATTTCTCCATGTTTACTTCCCTTCTCTACTAATTACAGAGTGTCGACATACATCATCACATGTAACGGCCATGGCGCAAGGGACGGTAACCCCATTGCCAGGGCAGAACGGCAGCTTACCGCTTGCCGAGCAAGAGTCACGTCAACTTGAAGATTTCGTGAGAATCATCAAGTTTCGAGATGCCGTCATCTCGGGCACCCACCCTCGCATTAAATTGCCTGCGCATATGGCGACAGCCAAGGCGACGAATCAACTGGCATCGAGAATATCGGATCCCAATAATGGCTCTGTGGTCGACAGGTCGCAGAATGCTACGAAAGACGCTTCCCTTTCGTCGAACGAACTGGCAAGCGTAGTTCATGAATTCGGGTCACATGCCCCTGCGATGTCGACAAACGCGCAGCAGAGGTTACCGGGTCTAGGCTTCCTGCCTCTCGGAACGAATACCGCTGCGCCTGCTACTGCATACGGCGCGAGTACTTCTGGTAAAGCTGAGATTGACCCTATCCTTCTCCAGAAGTCGGATGGTCTGATCAAGGCAGAGATACAATTACGGCGGCAGAGGATTGAGCGCGCCCTGAGGGAGCAGCTGGAACAGCGTCGTAGTGACAGGCTGCTTCAGTCGAGTGATGGCCTCCCAGACTTTGATCTGGTGGATGTGCTGCAGAGGGCCCTTGTTCTTGTACAAAACACAGCGACAGCTTCATCCAATGACGCAAATCTTGCCGCAAACAGGTCGGACGCGAGCGACTCCTTCGATGACAACACCTTTTACTCCTCTCAATTCAACTCTCCAGACTCGCGGGTACAAGTCAATTCAGAGACGGGGGGGTTGGAGAGGCAAGACAGCTCGGAGTACGAGCCTGAACTTGACCCAGCGACCATTCCTCAGCCCAATGAGGCAGGACAGGCGTCTGAACCTACGGCCAGTGTGCCTCTCCATGCAGCTGCTAACTCATCCAGCGTGTCAGCGTTTCCCGCCCAGAGACCAGCCTGGCGTAGTGGCCCAACAGCACACGACATTGCGCCCATACAGGTGCACAGCGGTGGGGAGAGCGGCGATGCGAGTCGCTCAGGCGATTCTGGCCATACGGATAACGACCACAGTTCTGACGAAGTGGCACGTCACAGGGCAGACGACCGACTGGCCCACGGCAACTCTGAGCGAGATAGCCCACGCATTGTCCATGCTCATGACATATCTTTGATTGCCCCTCAGCCGTCTCATGTATCATCACTAGCCACGTCCAGGCATATCTCAAACATGGCTCAAGACTTACAGCCTACGACAGGTACGCCTGCTCAAGTTGCCGCGCTGAGAAGAGATCCAGCTGCCATTTCCAGCCCAGACAGCTCGCCGCAAGGAACAAAGGTTTCCGACAAGAAGAAGAATAAGAAAAAGAAGCGCAAGGCAGATCGCCAGACCATTGATGGTGATGCATCACCTTACATCAAACCAGAGCCCAGATCCCCATCTCCCATCCATGCTCACCCTTCCTACGCTCGGCCAAACAAGCGACCAAAGCAGGGTTTGCGTGCTGCACCTGATTTGGTGTACGATGACTCGCCCAGACAGCCCAGCAACATCGTCTACGAAGAGCATAGCCAATACTTGCCGCGAGTGCGGGGTGATGAGAGAGGTCATGTTGTCTATGAACGAGTCGATGATCAATCTGCGCCACCTCGAGCCCAGCTTCCTATGGTGTCAGTTCCCGCGCAGGAGCGTGGCTACTACATCGAGAGACGCCCGTCGAGCCCTCAAGCTCCCCTGTATCGTCATTCGCCCAGCGCGTATCCGGTCGAATATATGACACGGGAGGGGCGAACTGTTAGATCAGCGTCGCATGCTGTCCTTGAGAGGCCCGTCGCAGATGCCCGGATCGCCTACGGCGACCCTCGTGATTCAACACGAGTGAGCGTTCGTCATGCCGTGGACCGAGAGCGATCCAGGTCTCCTGGGATGCGCTCAACGCGCACACCTCTGATGGCCCCTCCACCGAGGGCCCAGCCTGTTCGCATCTTTGTGGACGAATTCGGTCGCGAATATATCGAGCCTCCGCGACCGCAGCCATCGCTCCTCAGAAACAGTATGGCGCCACAAGCACCGCCTAAGCAGCCTGACCTCGTATATCAGCGTGCTCCGCAACCTGTGCGAGCCACATCCAGGGCACCAGAGCCCTTTGACGAGGGCGGTGTGATTTATAGGAGAGCATCACCCGCCAGTGCCTCGTCGAGACGAGTCGTTTCACAGCCAGACTACGATCTTGTGGACTACCGCGCCTATCGGCAGCGCGATTATCTTACACGGCCTTCTGTTACTCATGAGAATGACTTTGTTCAGCTAGACTCGTCGCGCCGACCACCGCAAGAGGAGCGTCCATTGGAGTACGTGCGATCTGTTAGCGTCCGGCCGCGAGAGCCTGCTCGGTACGAAGTTGCTAGGAGCTACCCCGAGAGGCTTGGCAGTGCCCGGCCTGAAATCCCTGTTCGCGATTTCGCTGCGCCTATGCAACCCGAGCTGCGACGCGAGTATACAACTGCAGTACCGGTAGGGTCACTGCGAGATCCATATGCGCAGCCTGTGGCTCGGGAGTTCAGCGTTCGACCCGAGCAACACATCGTGCAGCGGTCATACAGTGTCAGGCCGACTGGACCTGCTTATTACGCTCGCCCGGTGGATGAAGATGAGGGCGTTACCTATGTTACACGTACTGCAGCCGAGCCAGGTCTGGCGTACCCGAATGATGGCTCAGGCCACCCAGGACGGTTGTAAGTTAGGAGGGAGTCGGGAGTCTACATCAATTCGCGTTTTGGGCAAGCGTCATGATCAAGCAGCTAGTAGTATTCTAGCTCTGGACCATCATGACTTTTAGTGCTTGCTCTGCATCTGTAGCGTTGGGGTTCACGTCACGTATTCAACCAAGAGAGAGGCGTGGGTGACACACCCAATTGGCTGTGCTATGGGGATCTGGGGTTCAGATCTGTGGATTGAACTGACAGGATTGGCAAACTGTCTGTACATCAGAGTAATAATGACACATGGGCATGTTCATCAAGATGGTCTCTACGCAATGAAATTGTGAACCCTCTTCCATTCTAGCCCGAGACACCTCGAGCCTGATGGTGTGGAGTTGTGGGAGAGCGGAAAGGTCGGAGATGGTCAATAAGGAGACATCCATAGATGTGGGTGAAGGGCATCCTCAGAGACAGCACCAGTTCCAGATGTGACTAGCATACACGTACATACACTAGACGTTAATCCTTTCTCAATGGAGCTCCGTCGGGGTGTGAATGTCGGGGAAAGGCGTCTGCCGCGGCCCCGATGGACATCATCGGAGGCTCTTGCCTACTTACGGAGTAGAATCTGCACGGGATGAGCCTGGGCAGTCTTAGCCGAGCCCTTTGTAACCTTTGCTGTTATTGCATGCATATTGCTCCCTTCGGATGCCATGTCTGCTTAGCACGAAACCAAGCTCCCATGTGGATACCGGGTCAAACGAATCCAAGGAACCAGCCGGTGTGGCAGTGCTGCCCTGCTTTGCCGGTGGTCGTAGACCAAGGAGATTAAAAGCACCACGGCTACCCTGCTCGCTGACGAAGCTCCATGCAGTGCAGCCAACCAGATGAAATGACAGGTCGAATGATGCTGACTGAACGGTTTCGAGGGCTGTACGTACGAAACGAGGAAGCCTCCCCATCCGTATTCAGGTTGATCACGCAGCTGACTGTACCGGAGTGGCGGTTGCTCAGTCCCTGCTTGGCATGAGGTCGGTGCTTGCGTGACCACTGCTTCGCCCAGCTGCTGTCTGAAGCAGAGCCATCATTATTCGAGCCATCAGCGGCCCGAGGAAGCCAGTGGAGGACGAGCAGCAGCACCGAGCAAGAGTGCATCGCGGGTGAACGAGGCGTTGGTGCTGGAATGTTCGTTCCAGCAGGTGGGCAGGTGGAGACACTGATGCAAGGTCGGTCTCGCTGCTTGTCCGTATCTTTTATGGGGTAGGAGATGGCCCTTTTCTTGGAGAGGTCTAGTTGCTGGTACAAGTGCATTGATTGACGCGGGAAAGGACGCTCGGTCCAGCACGCACTCGTCCGTACCTGAGCCTGGACCATCTCGGATCCTCGTCGAGGCGGATCGAATCAGAAGTACCTATCTCATGCCTCGAGGTCGAGACAATCTGATTGTGTTGTATAAAGGTAGACAGGCGTGACTCTCCTCGTCTTGGGTTCCTGTCCGGCGGCCACAAAGATCGTCCCAGGCTGGGGAGGCAGGCCCGGTCTCTTTTTCCACCTGTCCCCTGCAGCTTGACCATACTTGATGCACCAGAGCATACAGGACCCCAAGTCAACATGTGCTAGGCCGACCGCCTTTTCAAAAGGGACATTTCTCAAGGGCCTGTTCCCTGCTGCCTCGATTCGATCATGTGAAGGGAGTCTGGTGGATGCTGCAGGCGCGAGTCTCACTGGACACTGGTACAGCCAGCCAGCAGCCAGCCAGACCCTCTGGTTTTTGCACCAAACTGGTAGCACCGCGTTCCAAGGAATCTGTAGTTAGTTCTATCCTGAGCATGGGAAACAGGTCATGGAAGAGCGGTTGTGGTGAGAAATCGGCAGCATAGGGAAGTGAGAACCGATGACAATGTTAAAAAAAAAAACAGAAGACTTGTGAACAGAGCTTCTGGGATACATGTACAAGTATGGTTGTAGTCATGAAAGTGCGGGTACCTCAAATGCTCAAAACCCGAACGTTTCTTCGTGCTCTGCGGTATTAAGATACTTTACCCACGCACCACGCACGCCCTCCAATAACCATAATGTGCTCAGCTATCGCCGTAGACACTTTAATCAAGAGCCTTATCTACCAAGTTAGGGACTGTACTAGAGTTTCGGCCTTGAAGGCAGAGCATCCATGGATATGTACCTAATCTTTTTATCCCGACCACCTCTACCTCTGTAGGACCCAAAAGAGATATCTTGATATGGTGATGGGGCAGGCAGGGTACCTGTCCTCTTGCCCTTTCAATGGCGTCTTCCCCCTCACCCACCCCCAAAAAAGACCCGGACCAGTCCACACAGAGTTACAGCCATCCAGCCAGCCCACTCCTCGGGCTCCCAGACAAAGGCTAATAAAGCCAGCAGTATTACAGTCCACGGGTGGTACCTCCACTACAGTGTCAGCGAAAGAGCAGGCCATCCAAAGCCCCAGCTCAAGCGGAGCCAGCCCAGTCTTCAATTTGTCCCTCTTTTCTCATCACCACACCCACCACGCACACACATACTTCACCACATCCCTCTTTTTCCCATTCCTCCTTCTTCCAACCTCAACCACCTGTTGTTGGAAAGGGGAAAAAACCAGAGAGCATACTGCGATTTCTTCTTCTTTTTTTCTTTCCTTTCGGTCCCCTCCTCTAGATCCCATCTCCTGGCCCCCTCCATTGCCGTCCCCTCCCCCCCTTCTCTACCCTGCACTGGATCTGCCTTCCTCTCCCCTTCCGGCCCCTCGTCGAACGAACGGCTCCCGCGCGTCATACTACCTTGCACACCCCTTTCTGTTCGTCCCTCACTTTTCCCATGCTGCTTGTCCCCCCTTCATAGATACTCTGATACCCCTGCACTATGAATAAGCTCGCAAACATGCGTCACTGGACGAGTCCAAGCTTCGGCATGTCTTCGAGGCCCAACATGCCCATGCCCGTCATCAATCCCCATCAGAAAGTCACTCCTCAAGGAGCCGCGCCGATTGCTCCTCCTCAGGTGGCCGATTCGCCCATCCACTACTCCTTCAACGTGCCCTTTGCCTCGGACCTGGCCGGGCCCGACACCGAAGACATCCTCCACGCCAATACCGATGCTCTCCTACGCTGGACTCACCCCGAAGATGCTCCGGACGACGTCCCCGTCTACGAGCTGCCCGTCCATGCCCAAAACTTGGCCAATCTGCGAAAGCTCTGCAAGGACCTGTCCACCGGCCCCCTCCCTATCGAGGCTCATGTCATGTCCACCACGCCCAAACACGTCAAGGGTCAGGTCACCACCGTCTGCCTCTCGGGCCCGCCAGAGCTTGTGTACAGGAGCCGAGACACCATCCTGAATGACACTCCGCTCTCGTTGGTGTGTACCCTGATCTAATAGAGAATGAGGTCGTGGTAGCTGGGAAATCCGAGGCTGACATGTTTCAAAATTAGCGATGCACTACGGTTGACATCAATGGTGAAATGGTTACGGACCCTAGCGGTGGTCTCGAAAAGTCAGTGACGGAGACTCTGGACAACATTTCCGCGTTTTGCGGTGTCGACACTTTCCTCCTTGGTCCCAAGCTCACCCCGATTGTCGATGGCCTGAACGGAGATACGGAGCTGCGGAGAGATCAGCGCTGGAGAGTAGCCATCTACGGCGACATGCTGTCGTCTGAGCATGCCAAAACCCGGGTCCTGATCCAGATTGATCGCATGGTACATGCTGCGCGTCCGATATCTCCACTTGAGTACTGCTAACAACACCCGTAGCTGGGAAGAGTTGCAGACATGCTGAGGCTCGAGTTGTCTCTTCACCAAGCCGTCTGTGGGCGTAATCGTAAGAACATCAAGCTCATCGAGTCCGCTACTGGCACAGCCATCTACATGCCACCGCCCTTCTCATCCCTGTATCGCTACTGCCCGCCCAACGCCAGACAGCGAGATCCGACCGAGATCTTCATCACCGGCGAAAACTCAGACGGCATCGCGGCTGCGAAGAAGAAGATCCACGAGGTGCTTCACCGTGTGCGTTTGTTTGTCAAGGATGTGACGATTCCCGCCGAGAAGATCGACAGCATCCTTCTTAACCGCATGGACAAAGTGCGCAAGATCATTGAGGCGAACGGCAGCTACATCCTGTTCCCTTCGCTCGGTTCGAAACAGACCACGGTTCGAATTCAAGCCACGGAGAATCTGCACGCTGAGCGAACCGCGCGCGAACTCATGGCTCTGGTATGTATCCGAGATCAAGATCCCTCGTGATGGGCCGCGTCCTGACTAGAAATAGGTTGGACAATTCTACAGTGCATACTGGACGATCAACCAGGCCGATAACAGGCAGCAGCCCAGTCCCAACGACATTCGCACCATGCTCGGCGACATTTGTGCTAACTCGGATGCGGATGTTTCTTTCCAGCGGTTGTCTTTCAGCATCACTGGCTCGGATGACGCCGTCAAGGCCGCCCTCATGGTTCTCTCGCAGATCAAATTTGTGGCGCAGTCACAGTATTCTATCAGGGTCAAGATCGAGCTTGCGAACGAACACAAGGAGTTTGTCAGCGGGAAAAAGAATGGCAAGATCAACAAGATCATGGGTCAGAGTAAGAGATCCCATTCTTGCGCTTCCCGGTGTCGTTATTCTTGCATGCCCTTATCTCGTCTTACTGATTCCACAACCTAGGCAATGTCCAAATCATGTTCGAGAATTTCGGGGAGTACAACTTCAACATCGATGTGAACGCCCAGCTTTACGAGCACATGAAGCAAGGCCTGTCCCTCGTGGAACAGGAGATGCCAGCCTCCATCTCTTTCCATGTTCCAGACCAGTACCACAAGAGAATCATCGGCATTGGCGGCCAGCACATTCAACGCATCATGAAGAAGCACTCGGTCTTTGTCAAGTTCTCCAACGCAATGGACCGAGGTGGCATGGGCCGTGAAGATGACGACATCCGGGTTGACAACGTCATTTGCCGTACACCGGCCCGCAATGCTCAGAATCTTGAGCTTGTCAAGTCCGAGATTCTCGAAATGGTGGACCGAGTGGTACGTGTTCCTTACTGATAATCACCCCGATTCTCTTGCTGACACACCTGCCTCCTAGGATTCTGAGTTCACCTCGCAGATTGTCAATGTGGATCGCTTGTACCATCGTCAACTGCTCACGCGTCTGAATGACATTGAGGGTCTCGAAAAGAAATGGAACTGCAAGATCGTCTTCCCCAGTGCTGAGCAGGCCAGTGACGAGGTCACCGTGACTGGTCCTCAGTGGCAGGTTCCGCAATGCGTGGATGAATTCTTGGTACGTCCATTTCCCAGATGCTCTGTCCGCCGATGCACCGTCGCTAACTTTTAATACAAGGGCATGGTTCCGGATAACCATGAACTCGTCCTCTCGCGCACCCCAGCCTTGATCAAGTATCTAGAGTCTCCCGAGTTTGCTCATGACTTGGTTCCCAAGCTCAAAGCCCAACACGAGGTGGACGTCACCGTCCACCAAAATCCCGACGAACTGACCGAGAGCGGTGGCCCGACTGTCACCCTCATGTGGACGTTCACACGAAACAACGCGGGAGGTCTTCGAGACGCCATCGAGTTTCTCCATGGTCAATTTGCCACTGCAGGCGTCGAGGTTACTGTGGTCAAGGGGTCTATCCCGCGCCCGAAATCGGATACGTTCGAAGAGTCGCTGCAGTATTTTGACTCGAAGCTGCTGCAGCACGCACCGACTACGCTGGCAACCGACTCCCCGACAAGGCCGGGCTTTGGAGATGAGGTTGCCCGGGAACGCAGCACCATCTTCGACCGACTACGCAAGCCTGGTAGCATGTCATCAATCTCCTCCTTTCTGGATCGCCGCAAGAACAGTTCCCACTCGGTCAACAATACTCTGTTCAAGGGATCCAGCAACGTTTCCAAGTCCTCCCTCATCTCCATCGAATCCACCCGAAGCTTTAATGCCGACCGGAACCCTTGGAACGACAGCGGAGTGAACCTTACCGAGGAGGACTCGCCTTGGTCGAGCCGACAATTTGGCAACGGCTCGGATTCCAAGTTGACGGTGCCTCAACCTGGGGACGCAACTCCCCGACACAACACTCGACAGTCCGCTGATAGCGGCCGTCCCTCTACTTCCAATTCTACAAATTCAGGATACCCCGGTCCCATCGGACCATTCCGTTAGATTCCCCGTTTTTTTTAGACAAAAAAACACGCGATATGCCTCTGGCTGGATATACCCTGGCGTAAATACCCCTACTTTTGCTCTTTATCTTCGCTTTCCGCGCTGGCTTATTATTTTGCGGTTCCAAGTTTGTTGTTCTTTTCAAGCACACCTTCTCATCGTTTCGTCATTTCGTCGGGTTTTGTGTCATGGTTGCCTTTTGATATCGGCATGGGGCTGGAAGTCATCAAGGCTCCGTCTCTGGTATCAGAATGCGGAATCATGGCAAGTCTGAAATTACGGCATGAAAAAAATATACCCTCATGAAGAACGGGAAAATGTGGCAGTTTGCAATATGGATTTTCTGTTGAGATGGGGTGAGAAAGGACTATCGGCGGGCGTCAAGCAGACGTCGGACGTTTTTGTGTTGCTCGGTCATGCAAACGCGCAAGTATGCACGGCCCACAAGCCTTGTTGTCGAGTTTCGTGGTAGAGAGAGGCTTTCAGGCCTCCGACGTGGAGTCTCACCAAAAGTTTGTTTACGGTGTGACCTTGGGTGGCAGTGCACCAATTTGAAGCACGATGGTGGTGGTGATCGGTCAAGCTCAAAGCGCATCACTCACGCATCGGCTTCGACCAGGGAGGCGGCTTGTTGGTGTGTTCGATACATTGGGACATGTATGGTTATGATAGCGTCGAGAGAACACGAATGATACCCACACTTGATTGTTTTGGCGAGCCCATGAAGTGTTCGGATAGACTTGAGTGAATACTACTCTGTTGCGCCACGTTGAATGTGCCATGTACAGGCCACCCAGCCCCTCTGGAGACATCACTTATTCGGTTCCTGCATACTGGTTTGACTATTGGATGTGGGCCAGAGTCCTGCGTCGGACGGTGCATAGAGATCGTCACGATGATGACGAAAATGAGCTGTACATTGGTTGGTCTATCTGCTGATAAAGGGGTATCATGTGCCACCAAGCGTGGCATTCGCCTGCCAATTTAACTCCAACGCCTGTCTCGCTGTTTTGGCCCATCAAGCATGCCTTCCCATTCACTGATATATTCTAAATGCTGCCTCCAGCCTGCCCCTGCAGGATGTATGTCATCAACTGCTGCTCTCGACACGGGCCGAGTCAGATCTTCTACTTTTGCCGGCAAATGTGCCGGCTGACGGCCGAGGAGAGACCAGAGGCGTTTCTCCTCGCCATGGCTCAAGTGGCGGTCCAGGGTGTCGGCGTAGTCTTCTTGCTCTCGCTCGGCGATGATGCGGGACTCCAGGGCGCGGCGGGCCTTGTGGGTGTCTGGGTAGCCGAGGGCCGAGAACTCGGTCACCTCCTGCGCTTCTAGACGGATGCTTATGTCCACCGGGTCTTCGCCGGCCGCGCTGTGCTCGCCTTCGGTATCGGTGGCCCTCGATTCCTCCTTGATGAGGGTCTCGAGATCGAGGGAAGAGCCGAGAGAGTCCAGGTCTGCGTCCGACGATTCTTTGTCGATGTCATCTTCCTTGGATTGGGGAGTCTCGGTCGGTTGGTCGACTGTTGTGAGGGCTTTTTCGACTTGTGCGTACGACATTGGCTCCGGGGCCCGCGCATCCTCGTCGTCGGGCGTGGGTGCTGCGTCATCGTAGACGTCGAGCCTGAGACGCCGGGCGCACCCAGCCCAGAACTCCTTAGAGTCTGTCTTGAGCCCCAGAGAGAGCGCCGCCGCCTCGACGTCCTTCTTGCGCACGAGATCGCGGGTCCACGGCATAGCGGATTTCTTAGACCGTATGCGCGCCATGCTGATGTATATGGCCGCCGACATGAGACGCCTGGTGACGGACAGGGCGAGCGTGTAAAAGTCCTCGAGCGCCGTGGTCCGGATCGAGGGCGGCTCGCCCGCGACGCTCTGCCAGTTCCCTTCGTCGTAGTTGGCATTCATGAAAATGCGATCCGACAGAGCCAGCCAGCTCTCCACGCGAAACAATTCGGCCGACCGCAGGCCGGCCCCTCCCCCGCCGCTCCCCTGCCTGGTAGTCGAAAAGGCGCCTCGGTCGTCGAAGTCGCGGCAGTTGGCGGGCGTGACGAGCCAGTCGGCGCCCCGGCCGACCCACTTCTGCCGCTCCAGGCCTTCCTCGTAGGCCTCCTGCCGCAGGGCCAGGGCGTCGGCGGCCTCGTCGAGCGCGCGGCAGCACTCGGCGCTGAGCTCGGCGGCGGCGGGCAGGTCGGCCATGACGAGGCGGTCGAGCTCGCCGGCCGCGCGGCGGGCCGCGACCGCGCCGTTGAGGAGCGCCAGGTACTGCCGGACCTCGAGCTCGCCCTTTGTGCGCACGCGGCGCGCGATGCCGGGGCTGTCGTCGCGGCCCAGGCGCGCGAGGGCCTCGAAGAAGGTCTCCTTCTCGGCGGCGGTCCAGTAGGCGAGGCCGAGCTGCGAGGGCGGCAGGTCGCTGACGGGAGTGGCGGCGAGAGCCGCCGCCGTGGGTGGCCCAGGCGCGGCAGAAGCAGAAGTAGAAGAAGGAGCGGCGACGTAGTGGTTTGCGGCGTCTTCGATGTCGCTGTTCAGCAGGGCGAGGTAGGCGCGGTTGAAGGCGCCTCTCTGCCGCTTGAGGGGTGGAGGGTGCCGGGGGAGGCTATCTGAGGCGAGGCGCTTGCGGGGGGAGAGACGGAGAAGCAGATCGTCTTCGGCGTCCGGCGGAGCAAATTCATCTGGTTCGGCTTCTGGCTGGCCTTCTGACGACTTGTCCGAGGGCTCGTAGACGCTGCCATCAGAGACCGGCTCCTCGGGGACGAAGGGAGCAGCATCCTCGTCGCTTGAGCTGCTGGGATAGTGGAAGCTAGGTGGCGAGCCGGAGCTTTCTGGCGATTCTCGCCTCTGCTCTTTGTTCACGCCGGTGCCCCTATGCTGCTGTGGCCATGCCTCCTCTCGCTCCTCGGGTGAGCTGTCCGAGTCCATATTTCCTTTCACTCGAGACCAGCCTTGCTGTCTGCCTTGGAACGACACTTCATTGCGCTGATCATGGGTACCTCGAAGTGATTGGGGCCTTGCTCAGAGATGGGGGGTTCAGAGCTGTCCCGTCACTATGCGCATAATGTTGGTGAGTAGTCGTGACGCTCACTGCAAGTCGGCTTTTCTTTCGAGGTGCTGGTATTGAAGAAGGATGCTAAAAACTGAATGCCCAATCAAATCAGCAAATGACGTTGAAAGCCGCTGGACCTTGCATCTGCAGGGTTCGGAGGCTAACGATTAGCGGGGCTAGCGTACCATCCAGTGTACGGGACCGGGTGCGCAGACCTGGGACCTACAATTCATGTGGAGTTACTTAGTACTAACTATCCATACTTTACATACAACATCAAAACTCTCTCCCATATTTTGCTCATCTTGTCACGACTTGCAGGTTTCTCCTACGATTTTTAAACCCAAGGTATTCCTTTGATATCTGCATTCTCATTCGTTACCATTCATGTGGGGGCCATGGGGTCGCGGCATCTTGAGATCCGTCCACAGACGAGGAGTCAAACCTCTGGGCCTGCCCGGTGTAATCCTTCCGGTGTTGCTCGCGCGAGCAGTACGACGATGGCGCTCGAACGAGGTACTACCAGACGGCAGCCTCCCCAAGATCCTCCTGCGTGATTATCAGGAAGACTGCATACAGTCGGTCCTCGACTCCCTGGAGAATGGGCACAAAAGGCTTGGCATATCCCTCGCCACAGGTGCCGGCAAGACCGTCATTTTCACCCAGTTGATTGACCGGGTGCAGCCGGTATCTCCATCCGCCACCCAGACTTTGATTCTGGCCCATAGGCGAGAGTTGGTCGAGCAGGCCGCTCGCCACTGCACCCGTGCCTACCCCGACAAGACGGTTGAGATTGAGATGGGCTCGCTGCACGCATCAGGGGCCGCGGACATCACCATTGCCAGTGTGCAGTCCATCATCTCGGGAGACCGCATTGCCAAATTTGACCCGAGCCGGTTCAAGCTTGTTCTTGTTGACGAGGCCCACCATATCGTGGCTCCCGGCTACCTGAAAACACTGGGACATTTTGGACTCGAAAGCAAGCGGGAAGACTCGCCACATCTCGTCGGCGTTTCTGCTACGTTTTCCCGGTTCGACGGCCTTCGCCTCGGGACGGCTATCGATGAGATTGTCTATCACAAGGACTATGTTGACATGATCAAGGACAACTGGTTGTCTGATGTGACCTTTACTACAGTCGAATCATCAGCAGATGTTTCCCGAGTCAAGAGCCAAGGCGACTTTAACGCTGCCCAGCTATCCCGAGCAGTCAACACAGATCAAGTCAATGAGATCACGGTTCGCAGCTGGCTGGCCAAGGCCAACGGTCGCAAGTCAACATTGGTGTTCTGTGTGGATCTTGCGCACGTTGCTGGCCTAACCCAGAAGTTCAGAGACTATGGCATTGACGCTCGTTTTGTCACCGGTGACACGCACAAGGTGGAGAGGAGCGATTGCCTCGAGGCCTTCAAGAGGAGGGAGTTTCCGGTCCTGGTCAACTGCGGTGTATTCACCGAGGGAACAGACATACCCAACATCGACTGCGTGGTTCTGGCTCGTCCAACCAAGTCTAGGAATTTGCTTGTTCAGATGATTGGAAGAGGAATGAGGCTGCACCCCGAGAAGGATGACTGCCATGTCATTGATATGGTATGCAGTCTTGAGACCGGTGTTGTCACCACCCCAACCTTGTTCGGCCTCGATCCTGGCGAGCTGGTCAACAACGCCTCTGTTGACGAGTTGCGCAAGATAAAAGACCGACAAGCGGCAGAAAATGCGAGGGCCGCACAAGTCTACGACCACCAGAGGTCTGACGGGGTTGTGGATGTAAAGAAAGTTACTTTTACAGAGTACAGCTCTGTCATGGACCTCATAGCCGACACCTCGGACGAGAAACACATCAGAGCCATCAGCCAGTATGCATGGGTCGGAGTTGGGTCGGAAAAGTACATCTTGGCTGGACCTACTGGGACCTATCTGAGGTTGGAGCGTACAATCGAGAGCGGAGAAGGTCCGGCACCTTTTCGACTCTATGAAATCCGGGCGTTGCCCCCGGGCGTGGCCAAGTCGCCCTTTGCAGCTCCTCGTGAAATCGCCAAAGCTACGACGTTCAGCGATGCGGTGCACGCAGGGGACAAGTATGCATCTGAGATATTCCCTCACAGCTTTGTGTCAAGATCCCAACGCTGGCGAAATAGCCCACCCACCGCTGGCCAGCTGAAGTTCCTTAACAAGCTCAGAGGCAAGGCAGAAGAGCTGACGGAAGATGATGTTACCAAAGGCCAGGCCATGGATATGATCACCAAGCTGAAGCACGGAGCTCGTGGACGGTTTGCAGGCCTGGAGGCTGACAGGCGTCGCAGAGAGAGGCAAAGCATTGTTCTAGAGCGAGAGCAGGCGAGGAGACAAGGAGAGCACATCACGGTCGGACCTGTCGTCATGTAGATGGATGTGTGCATTTTTGATTACGGTTGAAAATAAATGTACGATAGCATAGCTCACCCACCGCAAGATACCCCCGTAAATGCGAAATATCTTCTTGAGCCTTTGCAGGTCCAGTGAACTGTCACATTCTGCTATGCAAGCTGCCCTTGTCACAGCCTGGTTTACGACATGTGAATCACAGCATGGGTTGGCTGTGGACAGCGGAGGCCTGGAACTTCGAGGGTTGGTGAGTTGATGTTCTTTCCAAAGAACACCTTGCAAAACGTGACGATCAATGAACCTATTCCCGGACATTGAATACCTTGTCTACAAGAATATGGGCGTCAGAATGATATGACAAGGCACAACAGCCGGTTGTTGAAAAGGGGTGGGCGCTGTCTGGGTGGAAAAGAGGCTTCATAGAATCGCATCAGCCAGCAACAAGGCCTGTACCAAGAGGAATACGAATTAAAAGGATTTGATATTACAAAGTTGATATTTTCCCTCGGACCCTTTTCCTGGCTGTCATATGAGTAACTTTGAGGGCTTTAAAAGAGTGTCACCCTGGACTGGTCGCTCTTGCCACCGCTCCCTGACGCGCCCTGCCTCCTCGCATTCACTTGACCGTCAACAAACAAAGTCACGATCACTTTGCGCTCACTTTACTTCCTCCCCCTATTCGAGCTATTCTTCTGCTTCTCCCGTTGCAGCAACCCTTTCTCTTAATGATACCCTCCCTCTGTCCAATCGAATAATCATCCTCCCTCTCCACCTCTACATCGCAGCGCTTTCTTCCTACGCGCCAGACTCGCCTCTCGCCTGTCGCCTCTTGTTCTCGACTTTTATCATCATCAGCCATCGCCTCTAAGACGATCGCCATGGATGAGGATCTCCAAGAGATTTCTCTTTTCAGCTGGGGTGCCGACCAGACATACACCCAGCCTACTGAGGCTCGAAGTGCTCCGGCATATTTGATGGCAGATCTACGATCCCCTCCACATTCCCATCCCCTCCTTCACTCTTCTGTGCCTGAGCGTCTATCTAAAAGCCTGAGACGTCAGAAAGAACCCGCATCATCATCTGTGAGCTACGAATCAGTATCTGCAGCAAGCTCCAACTCACTCCAAAATTCCAAGCCCGACCGCTCTGGGCCCTGCGAGCCCGCCGTCGAGCGACCAGTACCGAACGAGCCTCAAGAATCTCCTGCGCGAGCCCAACCGATCCCAATCACAAAACAGGACTCCCTTGGTAGAGCCAGTTCTGAGTCCTTTGTGGTTCCTATCTTCACTCGCCCTCGAGATGAAGATTTTCGAGATGAAGATTTTACACCACAGACTGATGATGCCGCTTCTTGTTGTGACCACATCTCACCAACACAACGACATGTCAACCAGTTCTCTTTTCCACCACCAGACGGAGACCCGTCAACGAGGAAACAATCTGCAGAGCTTGCCCTCAGGACCAGATATCCACCAAGGGTGGTTGACCCAGCCACTCGCGCATCAGAAGTCGAGTTTGTTCCGAAAACTATGAACAGCAAGGGGCTGAATGTCGACCTTCTATTGAAGCAAAACGAGAATAGAGTGAAGGCTCTCCAAGAGTATGCAGAAAAGGAAAACGCTGCCAGGATGAGCATCTATGGTCCAGTCCACGTACGAAGCGCTCAATATGAGCACATTCGAGAGCGGATGATCGACCTGAACAGGGAGAGAGGCCGTTGCCAGCCCCGAATTTCAGAGCAAAGATACAATGAGATCACAGCAAAGTACAACAGACGGCTCAAGCCTGTGATCGACGACATGAAAGATCTGGCCAATGACCTCTGGTTCAGGAAGCTTGAGAGAGACACGCTCTTGGCTGAGGTTTTCGACTGGAAACCATTTGATGAGTCCATCACCATCCATAAGCCCGACCTTCCATACGAACCCCCAGAGAAACCAAAACCGTTACCGCGCGATCCATTTGACGAGTCTATCCCTGACCCAGAACCGCCGCCTCCAGTCAAGCGTCCAGAGAAGTCACCAAACAACCCGGTCGGTCTCACTTTCAACGATACACCATTCGCATACCTGACAAAGCGTGAAAAACCCCGGGAGAAATTCGTCCTGTTTCCACCCTATTGTGAGGGGTCAACAATACCGGAGTGGTTCAAGATCTTGGAAGAGCGACAGTGTGTGCATCTCCGCTCACAGGAGCCCGGCCACCGATATAATGAACTTCTCACTCAGGTCGCACAGCTGGAAGAAAACCTCGAGGCTGAGAGACACTATGGAGGCCCCCAAAAGGCCAAAGACTGGGACAAATACTACCACCCTGCTAGTCAGCACTGGGAAAAGCCGTGGCAACAGAAACGGGGTGGTTGGTGGAAATGTCGTTCTGGCCCCGGAGCCCCCAAGGCTGAGAGGTACTGCAGAGAGTGCCACGACCCCGAGAAGGTTTCAGAGACCGAGAATAATCATCAAATTCCCAAGGGTGCTGTCATTGTGACCATTGGGCAGCATGAGCATCTACATCAGGGCTCAGACTGGTCGAACCAGGCGCAGTACGACTGGATCATGGATCAGATTCGTCAATGTCAACATGCCATTGGCTGTCGGGACAAGGAGCTAGCTCTTCAACAGTTGCAAGCCGAGCGACAGGAGGCTGAGATTGCGATGCAACACCCAAATTGGAAGTTTTGGGGTGGATTTCTGGCGCCTCGACGAATGGGAAAGAAACATCCAGGAGGGGGAAAGTTGCGAACAGGACTGGTAGAGTTGGAGATCAAGCCCAACCACAAACCACAGGATGGAAAATGATTGATTGCTCTCAGCTCCATCATGATTGATCGGCCTTCATTCAACACAGCCACACTTGCATTTTTCTTCTGACCTACATTTTGATTGAAGGCATGGATACCAGGACAGATCTCAGGGGCACCATTGGGAATGCCAGTCAGATCTTGGTTCAGAGGTGAGGGAGGCAGTTGCTATGGGCATTCATTTGGGAAGGGCCAGGATGTTGTTCAGTTGATAGGCAGCATCTCTCACACATTAATAGTAATCAGTAATGTGGCAATGCGGTCTGCTTGTGAATAGGTTCAATTTGAGATAGGTTGCTTTCAGTGAAGTCTCCCTTTCAACTCAGTCAGACACCCGTTATATTACAGAAGTTCAATATGATCAAAGGTTGACTTTCAATACTGCTCAGTAGAATTCAGCATATGATATATCTGATGCTAATCTGAGCCTCAGTTCCCACTTCCAAAGAGCTCATCCTTTCGGGTCCTCCGCTCCCATACAATGACTCCATCGCTTTGGCGCTTGAAATAGAGGACCCGGTGCTGCGGGATGAACTCCTCATCTGTCTGCTCGCTCTTCCACTGCTCCAGGGGCTTCTCTCTAGCCCCGGTGAACCTGTCCTCATAGCCAACAATATAATCGCTGCTGTCCAGGTTCGGGTCCCAGCGCAGACGGCTGAGCACATCGAGTGCCGACCTCAGCTTGCCAGAACCTCCGGCGCGAGAAACCACAGCGTTGGCCGGCGGTGTGGCCTTCTTGCCGCCCTTCTTGACCTTCTTGGTACCTCCACGCGCTTCGCTGTCGCCACCCCTAGCCTCGAACGCCTCTTCCGCTTCGGCGCCTTCCTCCTGGTCGTCGTCGTCGTCGTCATCATCCTCCTCCTCCTCGTCTCCCGGGGAGTACTCGCCGCCCCACTGGCGGTTGTCGACGCACAGCTCGCCCAGGTCGCCGCGCTTGACGACCTCGGCGCTCATCCACTGGCACCTGGCGTCAAAGTACTTGTCGTCGCCGCGGATCTGCTCCTCGAACCGGTGCAGCACCGTCTGCAGCGTGCCCGCCGCGACCTTGGCGTCTTCTCGCGCCGTCGTCGTCGTTGTCGCGTTGTCCTCGTGCGAGGACGCGGGCTCGAGGCCGATGAGGTAGCAGCCCTGGTAGTCGCGGCTTGCCTCTGCCGAAGGGGCGGCGGCGGCGCTATCGTCGTCGTCGTCGCCACCGCTGCTGGCGGCGGCGGTGATGAGCTTGGCGTCCTCGGCGCTGACGAAGCGGGCGGGCCAGATGCGCGCGTGCACGCCCGGCAGGCGGCGCTGGAGGTCGACGAGGACCATGACGCAGCGGGACTCGAGCCAGCCGACGAAGGAGGCGCCCCGGGAGGGCGAGATGCCCCAGTACTGCACGTCGATCTTGACGTAGGACTTGTACGCCCTGGTGAAGTTTACGGCGCCGGCGCTGTCGAGGAGGGCTGGCGACGGCGGGGTGGTGCTGGCGTTGGTGTCGCCGCAGAGAAACCGTGACCAGGTCATGCCCTCTTCGGAGAGCAGGTTGCTGGCGCGGCCGAATTCCTCTGCGATGGTGCGCACCGAAGGGATGGAAGCCGCGTGGCTGGTGTTGAGCGACGGGGGGAAGTAGCCCAGTATAGCCAGCGGCTCGCGGGCAGTGCGGGTGTACGGCAGACGTTGCCTGTGATACAAGGGGTCGAAGGCCATCTTGTGTCTCCAGTCGAAGCGCGCATAGTGGCTGAAGAAGGTCGTCAGCATGTCGGGGACGGAGACGGGGCCTTTGCTCTCGCGAGCCAGCATCTTGCAGACACGGGCCAGGAGTATCGAGACCTGGATGCCGCCGAGGTAGCCAAACTTGGCCGAGTAGATCCCGCGCGACCTGGCCCACGCCTTGATGAGCCGGTGAGCGGTGCGGAACTTGGCCAGGTCGGGGACCGAGCGCCGGATGTAGTCCATATCGCGCACTGCCTTGAGCTTGGACAACGTCTGCGTCGAAAGAGTGAAGACCGGGTGCGAGGGCGGTAGCTTGAGCACAGTAGGCCAGTTCTCGGCGATGGCAGTGGCAGGGCAGTACTGCAGGTCGATCTTGACTCCCTGGACCTCGAGCTCGAGCATCGTGCCCGTATTTGCTCTCACTCGTCGCAGGATCCTGACCCCGCGATCTGCAGCCTTGCGAAGCCGCTGAACAGCCAGGGCAAAGAAGGTCTGGGAGCTGTAAGGGCCAATGCACAAGCAGTCAATGTCCGAGTCGGATGTCCATACACCGAGGCCGTACGACCCGCAAGGCACAAGGATGAGGGATTGCTTAAGTCGCTTCTGGGGAGCGGAACCATCTGAACTTTCGACAGCCGCACTTTCGAGGATAATGCTCTTCAAGAGAATAAGAACGTTCTTCCTTCTGTAGACTTCCTCCTCTGATGGGAAGACGTCCAGCGTAGATAAGGTGTCGCTCAATTCAGAAGCACTTGCAAGACTCTCCGGAGCTGGTGTAAGCGTGACCGGAACAACTAGGCTGTCTGTCTCGTCAGGCAGCTTCTCAGACGGGTCTCTCCCGACTCTCAAAGTGCATCGTACACCCCAGTGATCACTTGCAAAGGATGGCTCCAGCTCGTCTTCTTCAGTGTCGTCCGTTGACGGTTTGTCCATGAGGAAGCCAAACTTGTTGAACCGGGAGACTTTGAGTAGGCTCTGTCCTCTGATCAGAATCCGGTCAAATCGCTGGGGACGATTATTGAAGCCGCTGCCAACGATTTTGGTTGCGAGGACATTGACGGTAGGGTCGAAGGTCGCACCCTGTTCACCCTCAAAGACTTCGTCCGTGTCAGAGGAGTCGCCAAACTCGAGGCGGGCAGTGCTCCACGCGTCGATGAAGCCAAACTCCTGGAACTTGTCGTCAAAGCCGGCCAGATACGAGGAAGTCAAGGCCGAAATCGCTTTCTTCTTCAAAGCCGCTTCTATGGTGAAAGATGAAGACGACAGATTGAAGTCGCCTGCTAGAATCCAAGGGTTCTCTGGGTATGTTTTCCTGAGGTAATTCAAGATGCGCTGTAGCTCAATCTTCTTGTTCGATATCGCACCATCGGTCAGGCCGTGGGTGAGATGAACCGCGGCAAGAATGACAGGGACGAACTCGTCATCGTTTTGGAAACCAATGTCAGCGAATCGAACCACGACCGAGCCTTTGTGCTTTCGCTTGAACGAGACCCATTCCCAGTCGAAAGGCCATTTGCTTAGTACCACTATGTTGAGCAGGCTTGGAAGCGGCTCGATATCAGACTGGGCGGGAGGGCCGTGAGATACAAAGGGGTAAGCATCTCGAATGTCCTCGTTGTCCAAGAGACACGATAGAAAGTCGTCGGTGACCTCTTGGAGAACAAGAACATCCGCCGTTGCGTTGTCGGCAAGAATGTTCTTGATCAACAGAGGATACCGTACACGTGAGACGGGCCAGGTGAACTCTGCCAGGACGTTGTAGCTGCCGACGACAAGTCTCTCTGGCGTGGACGTTGTGTCGTCTACCTCGTGTTGATAGACTTCCCAAAGTCCTGTATTATCATTATAACAATAAGGGCCGGTGCTCTGCAAAGAATCTCGCTCGGCCGTTTCCTCGTCACTGTCCTCTGCCTTGAGGGATAGTTCATAGAAGCCGACGGGACGCTGTGCCCGGGAGAGAGATCCGTCACTCAGGCTGATGGAGCCCCATAGCTTCATCTGGCTCTTGGCCGCGCCGTCAAACTGCATGCGCTCGCGGACTAAAATCGCGATTTCACTAGCCTCCCACTCAATACTGGGAAGAGAGTCGACTTTGTCCAGTAGAAAATGATGGGCGTCTCCTTCTAGATCGTCAGACTGGCCTACAGTCAGATGCATCTGGTACTTGGCATCCTGTTGTCCGAGGCTGTGCAAGACGGCCCTCCGCAGTCTTTGCAGAGAAGCATTGCGGTCTTCGTCGCTATCGTGAATGTAGATCGTGTTGTCGTGTTTGTGCGGGAAGACGCCGGCCGAGTCCAGCTGGATGCGAAGTCTCCCGTCTGCCGAGTGCTGTTTCCAACTCTGCACGGCGGACTGGAGCAACTCGGCCGACCTCTCTAGGCTTTCGACACGCACGAAAGGGTAAACCAGATTGACGTGAGGCGGCCATTTCTCAAAGGCCTTGTCGTATAAAGCTCTCAGCTTGTCGATGGAGGACCACAGGTGGCTGGGAGGGATGATGCAGAGTGCTGTGTCGTGTGAGGTGACGGCAATGGCACTCGATGCTGGTGATTCCGATGCCGCCATACTATAATGGTGTCTTTCTTCTCTGGATACAAGATGGGGAACAATGAGGGGGGGTGGAGGTATCACGTCGGGTCGTGAAGCGGAGTATGGACTCTTGTAAGATGGTCAGAAAACAAGAAGTGAACAGAAGGCAATCAATGCAAGCGCTTGCTCAATGACGATGTTTCAGAATACAACTGTAAAGAGAACGAACAAGATGCTGGTCTTGTTATTTTGCCGTTGAAGTATTTGTTGGAAGGGAACGATCAAGGAAGTGAAATAGACGGCCCTCGGCTTTGATTTATCTCATCCTTCACGATGCACATGGTGCAAGACTCTTCTGCCAACTCTCGCTTCACTCTTGTGGTGCCCGAACTGGCTGGGCCTGATTGTGACGGGGCGGAGCCTCTGCAGGACACGAGGTGGCTGTGTCGCGTATAAGTGTGAGTAAGACCGGCAAGCCATTTCAATGACCCGCCCGGTGCAGTATGCCAATCAGGGGCAATTGTTTCTTTCCTTTACCATCCTTGATATGAGGGAACGAAAAGGAACGGAGGATCGTCTGCTCTAGTATGCCCTAGCATTGAAATTAAGAGATGCTGGGCTGCCGGAGTGACTCATCGCTGTTCTTGTAAAACTAAAGCGTTGCGTTGCGGAGAGAGTTGCGGCCCCAGTTCATCGACTTGGCAATTAGTTCAAAACTGAGCACCAGTTGTTTTCCTTCTTTATTTTCCACAGTGTCAGTTAATCCGATGGCTCTTTATTCCAAAGTCTACAGTGCAGGTTGCTGCTATAAAAGACCTGTTGCTTGGTTTCTTTGGAATTGCCGGATTAAAATGCATAGTAATTATGCTGACCATGCCCGCCTTGCTTCAAATGCACCGTCCTACAAGCATGTAGCCACTGAGACAAGGCTGTCAGGAGCCAAGATTGATCTGTATTCTGAAAGATATTAAAGCAGCCTCTGCCCAAGGCAATGAATGCACTTGTGTGACGAGATGTATTATCGGCAATGGACACAAAGAACGCCGGAAAACAACATGACAGTAGCCCTATGTACAAGAAAACGAGAATAGCATAGAAGTCATCGTCGTAATGAAACCGACCAAGCTAGTAGTCTCCCCAGTCAATAACCGACACTCCTTTCCCTTTGCCCTCCATGATAGCCTCCAGCTTGTCCTCGTTGGTCACCCAGCCCTTTCTTTGCGCCGAGATGGCATACTTGAGGGGGTCCTTCCACTCTTTCCACCACGTCTCCTCGCTCTGCACGACGCACCTGCGGCCCGGCGTGCCTAGCGGATGCGTGGCGAACGGCCAGACGGCCTTGACGACCTCGTACGTGTTGCGCCCGGAGAAGAAGGCGGTGACGTTGGTGAACAGCTTGTTGACCTTGTCCGGGTTCTGCACGACGACCCGGGCGTGCGTCACGGGGAACTGGACGGCGACGACGCCCTTGTACCCCGTCGACGCGACGAGGCTGCGCACCTGGCCCTCGATCCAGCTGGTGTCCATGTTGGCGACCTGCCGCTCGAGGCAGAAGGTCTTGACCGACGCCGGGTCCTCGATGAAGCGGCGGCACCAGGCCTCGAGGCCGCCCTCGCCCACGTCGGGCTTGACGTCGGGCTTGATCCCGCCCCGCAGGGCCTTCTCCCCCGCGCCGACGCAGCGGATGTAGTCCATGCGCTGCCGGCCGTCCTCGGGCACCAGCAGGCTCATGAGGTTGAGCTTGACGGCGAAGTCGACCCTGCCGCTGCGGGTGCCGGTGATGTGGATCTGCGGCTTGGGCGGCACCGTCGACTGCGCCCGGACGAGCGACACCAGGGCGGCGACGGTGCCGGACAGGTACGGGGCCGAGGACTTGATGGTGGTGCCGTCGGTCGACAGGGCGAAGAGCGGCGGCGAGTAGAGCCTGTAGTCCAGCCGGGGCAGGCCCGGGTACTTTTGCGGACCCCTCGGCTGCTCTGCCTGCTGCGCTTCCAATTGGACCTGGGAGCCGCTCGAGGGGCCCGAGTAGGGCGGCGGGAGAGGCGGCTGCGCGTGGTGTGAGGACGAAGCCGATGTGCCCGTGTCGGCACCTTCTACGGCGATAAGGCCGCTGGAGAAGGAGGGATCTCCCGGCGAAGGGGAGTCTGTCTGCTCGGCTCGCTCATAATGAGTCCTCAGCCGGTCCTTCTCTGAAGGGCCCTGCCTTGATGGATCCGCCATGGGACGACTCTCTGTTTCGTCGCTCTGCCCTGACAGCTTTCTACGGAGAGCAGGCTCGCATGTCAGACAAGCCCAGAGCGGAGAAGCTGACGCTGCTGCTGTTGCTGTTGCTGTGTCCCGCCTCGACGGATGTTGGCTGAGCGGAACGGCGTGAGAGTACCCTCAGTACGACAGGACAGCTTTTGAGCCACGTTGTTTTCGAATGAGAACCTCACCAGCTCCGGCCGAAGATTTGAGCACAGAAAGGAACAAGCTTTTGAAGTGGTAAGCTGGATGTGTAGAACCCCCGGGGCTGACGCAACGGAAGCGAGCGCCGGCGGGATCCACCTGGGGACGTTTTCTCGTCATTCTAGCGGCGCAGGCAGCACTCCAGCTGCTATTGGCCTAGCCGGAAGGGGCCCTGACAGTGCTGTCCTGAAGTCGCCATGGGGCTGGGTTACTGGGTGCGCAGCCCGGCCTGACCTGGTTCGGCTGCCTCTCGCTTGTGTGACGCGTACAGCTTGAGCGGGCGAATTTTTCCGTCTACTCTGTGTTTTTTCCTGAACCATTCAATTGGCAATATGTACAGGCAACAAGATGATAAGCCTGTAAGCTCAATGAGCGCTACCGATTATCAATTCATTAGGTAGCTCGGTCTATGCACACCCAGACCGACACAATGCCCATCAAGCCCTATATGCGATGTTCCCTATAACACCCAAGGCCAGCATAGCGCAGCCGTCTGAAGCCAATCCTCTAACTCCCGTTTCTATGCTCTGGATCTCACCTGGTCTTGTTGTACATCCACTCTCGCAACGTTCTCGGCCGTCTGTGCGGTGTCCACCTTCTGGCGAGGCGATACTCCGACAGGACTGCGCCGCAAGGGACGGGAACGTATTCTCGATGCCGTGCGGACTCCTCGGAGTTCTTATTCGTGATGTTTGCGAGGCTGCTCGCTACGCTGCCTGCCATGATGGTCTCGGCGCCGGAGCACTCAAGCAAAGCCATGATGGACGACGACATGCCATGTCGTTTGGTTATGCTGTGATAGACGCGGTTCGGCTCAGGCCTCTATTGTGAAAGCGTTGACAGGTCGGCTCTAACAAATCTAGTAGTGAAGATTGTCAGTAGATTTCACGAGGTGGTGTGGGAAGGAGTAGATCGACATACATCAATGGTGTCCTGCGCATTTCTGCGGAGGCGAGACACCGATGCCCACGCCCACGCCCGATACACCAGGCGCCCAGTCGACCGAGCTCTTGTTTGCACCTTCTATATGCAATTTTGCGGCCATATGAAACGAGACCTGGCTCACATGAACTGCTTGCCCATCAATAGTTCATAATAAGCCTTTTGATCCATCTCACTGCCGAGGGAGGGTTCCGCGTGATTATGGCTCTCATCCATCAGTTCCTGATTCGTCATGGCCAGGAAGTCGTCCAGCGTCTCGTCTGGCGCAAAGCCAAGGGACCCGAGAGTCTGGGTAAAGTTATTTGATCTAGAGAGGACAGTTAGGCAGTGTAACACACAGGGGAAGGCGGCGCGCAAGACGTACGCTATTGCTGCGTCCTTGGCCACAATATCTGAAAGCGACAGTGACGCTGCTCCGGGCGTAGGGGCGCTGGGTTTGGGTACGGGCCGACCACCATCATACGACGGGGATGGGGTCGGTATGTGCCTCTGGGGTATCGGCTCTGCCCGTACCGTCGGGCTTCCGACTGAGGCTATGGAGGCGGGTGCAGGAGGTAGTGCCGGAGCGGATTCGCCGTCTGGCACCGGGGTAGCTTCGGAACCAGACTCATCGCCGAAGAAGGCCTTGAAGACGGAGCTCTGCTGCCACGCCTGGATGAAGAACTCTTGTTGCTGCGGGTCCTTGATCGCCTTGCTCAGGCGCCTGCCCTCTTCGGACTGCTTGAGATAGCCCTCGATCACGGGGCCCAGGCTCGGGATCATGTTGAGAGCGGCGCCCCAGGCGGCGGCACTCTCCCTCATAGTGTGCAGTGCACTCCGGTAGCCCTGTGCAGGCCCTCGCTTCTTCTGAGGCCTCAGGTACAGGCATGATTTGTTGTGCTTCTCACAATAGCTGCAACGCGGTTTGGCATTGTCGCAGGGCTGGTGGTTGACATGACAAAAGTCGCATCTGAGGACTTTTTGTTAGCGAGGTCCGGCACCACACCACTGCCCACCCGAATGCACAAGAGCACGGCGATCGACTTACGCTCTGGAACTCTTCTTCCTCTTGCGAGGATTGACCGGTGCTTCTTCCGTTGCCTCACTCCGAGCGGCCGGAATGTCATCCTTGCCGGCTGCAGCCGGTTGGCTCATGGTCGGGTCACACAACAGGTCTCAGGGGGTGGTTTTTCTTTTTTCAAGCCAGGTGGTCGGACTCGGAGCTCCGAAACAACGAGCTCTTGCCGTCTCAAGCACTCTCGCTCATGAAAATGAAAAAAATGAGTAAATGAACGAATTGAGCCTTAATTGGTTTGAGCGAACGTGAGGGAAGGGGGATCAAATCTGTGCAGTGTCTTATCCATCCGAGCCGGAAAGGATGGGGGATGGTGTCCAAGATATTTGATGCGGGGAAAAAGCACGGCACTGGTAGGTACCAGACACCTGGGCTGGCAGTGCGCAATCCTCTGCCAGTGCCAGGCGACTCGGCGAGCCAGGTCAAAGGTCAGATGGGGGAACATCTGGCATTTGATAGGTGCCAACCCTGCCGTAAATGCCCTGCCCAGCGCGCTTGTCATGCAGCGCTAGCGCGCAAGTGGGTGTCTGAATAGTTGACGGAAGTTCATCAGGAGCTACCTCGATCTTAACAATCAATATCCTTGTCACATCCTTGCCCTGGAACCCTGAAGGGCTATCCCACTACCTAAATCCGATGGGCTTGATGGGTAAACAAGTACTTCTGTTAGCAGTCCGTCAACTAATCTGACCCTCACTTGGCCGACAATGCAGTCCCTGTAGTCCCTAACAAAATCCACCCGTGGACCCCCAAAGACTCTGAACGCTTGCGGTTTGAGCGTGTAATGACCACAAGTAAAGTAGTGCGAGATCGGGCGTCTCCACTCTGCACCCCGCGCCTACTCCGTCAGAAACTCGGGGAATTTGGGATTATCTAGTTAACCCGGCGCATCACAAATCGGCAAGTCTTCATTCATGTGAGTCCAGTCTTGTCGGCATCGGACACAGGTCTCCATCGATAAGAGAATATCGGAGTTCGAACTGATCTCTGTCATACTCCTCCTTGGGTGTCTATCGTTTTCGTTCTCATGAGGAGTCCTCTTCACTTGATGCATTCTGTCTTTCACATGCTCCACCTTCATCGCTGAGGCTCAAAGCCACTTATTCAACGCACAGAAACTATGAACTATCGATAACATTCAACTGTCACGAGTCTTGCGCCCCGGTCTTAGTTTTGATACCGGAAGTGCGGAGAAGAGCGAGAAGCGAAGCATGCCAGCTCTGCCACTGGAGCAGGACATGATGCCTTCCGACCAGAGAATCTTCAAGCAGGATGCTTCCATCGTCCTTGTGGGATGCCGTGGTGCCGGCAAGAGGTCCCTGGGCTTCATCGGCGCCCTTCATCTCAGGAGACGCCTCATAACAGAGGACCACTACTTTGTGTCTGCCACTGGCCAGACCCGAGCCCAGTTCCTGACCAAGCACGGCAAGGAGGCCTTCACTCAGCGCAATGCCGAGGTCTTCAAGCATATGCTTGATACAAATCGGAAGAGATGCATCATTGAGTGCGGGATGAGCAGCCTCTCCGAGGAGGCACAGGATGCCCTCCGAGAGTACTGCAAGACGAATCCCGTCATATATATCCACCGGGAGAAAGAGCAACTGTTAAGGTTATTGGACCCTGCGGATGCAGAGGCCCTTCTGAAGATGGACGAGAGCCACAGGAGTTGTTCCAACTTTGAGTATTACAACCTTTACGACCCTCACAGTGGGAAAACAAACCCTGGAAGCGAGCCCAGTGCGATCAGCTGGGACAGTGCGGCAAACCCGTCCCGTCTTCTCCTAGCCAAAGAGGACTTCACTCACTATCTCGATCTCCTTACCGGGCAAGCATGGCGAAAGACGTGGCTTGAGAGCCCTTTTTCCATCAATGCAGTCCCGCCTCATTTCAGACAGGCCTCCTACGCCCTACGGCTACGACTGTCGTATCTGGTTGGCATGGACCTCGAGTGGGAAGATCTCGAGGCCTCTGGGGACTGCGTGGAACTCATCATCGACCACTGGCCCGAAGATATGTTCAACGTCATCGCGAAGCAGGTGGCCCTTATCCGCAGAAAGCTCTCCATGCCCGTCATCTACCACGTAGAGGAGACTCCGCGAGAGGAGCGCGTGAGGTCTCAGGAGGAGAGGGACGCGATGGACTTGGAGCTCCTGGAGCTCGGCCTGCGGCTCAACGTGGATTTTCTGAGCCTCGACTTGCAGCGGAATCCTGCCATTACTAGTAGGATTCTGGCGCAGAAGGGCCGGTCCAAGATCATCGGCAACTTTTGGAACTTTGGCATGAATGCCATACCCTGGTCGGACGAAGCCAACGTAGAGAACTACAAGCTGGCCCAGTCTCTCGGGTGCGACGTCGTCCGCATCGTCAGATTCTGCTCCGGCGACAGCGCCAACGAGAAACTGGTCGCCTTTACGGAGAAGATTGAGACAACCATCCCCGACCCCAAGCCGCCATTAGTCGCCTTTGACTTTTCCTTCCTCGGTGTGCGAACGCCTCTCCAGACCCGCATCCTGGGCCCCGTCAAGCACCGCTGCATGGAGGGCGGGAGGGATCACTTCGCCACCGTCTGCTCGTCAAGCGTATCCTTCGAGCAGCTGTTCCGCGACTTCCGCCTGTTCCCGTTGGAGTTCTGCACCGTCGGCTCCAACGTGTCCTACTCACTGACCCCAGCCATCTACCAAGCCGCCTTCCAGTTCTGGTCCATGCCGCACACCTACCAGGCCGTGCAGTGCTCCCAGCTGGACGACCTGAACCGCATCTTCGCCAGGGCCACCTTTGGCGGGGCCTGCCTCGCCGCGCCGTTCAAGGTCGCCATCCTGCCGCACCTCAAGCTCAAGTCGCACCATGCGGCGGCCATCGGCGCGGTCAACGTTGTGCTCCCGCTGCGCGGCAAGACGAGCTTCATCCTCGACCACGCCAACTCGCGCAACATGGGCGGCGTGGCCAGCGAGTTCTACGGCGACAACACGGACTGGAGCGCCATCCTGACCTGCCTCCGGCGCGCCATCAGCCCGCGCAACTTTGTCGTGCCCACCAAGACGACGGGCCTCGTCATCGGCGCCGGCGGCATGGCGCGCTCGGCCGTCTACGCCCTGCTGCAGCTCGGCTGCCGCAACATCTTCATCTACAACCGCACGGCCGCCAACGCGCAGCGGATCGCGGACCACTTCAACGAGTGGAGCGTCGAGCAGGGGCTCGCGGCGCCGCCCAGCGCCAAGATCCGCGCCGCCGCCGAGGGGGCGCCGCCCGGGTCGGCGTCGGCGCTCAAGATCTGCCACACGCTCGGCTCCATCGCCGAGCCGTGGCCGCGGGACTACCAGCCGCCCACCATGATCGTGTCGTGCGTGCCGGCCGTGAGCATCGACGGCAGCCCCCCTGCCGACTTTGAGCTGCCGAAGCAGTGGCTCGGGAGCACGACCGGAGGTGTCGTCGTAGAGGTAAGCTCGAATCCCCAAAACCGCCCCAATTCATGCCAAGACAACGTAAGGATATTTTGCTTACATCTATTGTCACATTTCACAGCTAGCGTATGAGCCCCTCATCACACCGCTTGTAGCCCAGATGCAGGTCTTCCGAGACACCGTGTCGCCCGCCTGGGTGGTCGTCGACGGCCTGGACATCGTGAGCGAGATGGCGATCGAGTCGTTTGAGCTGATGACTGGGCGTATGGCGCCCAAGAGGCTGATGAAGGAGGTCTGCCGCAGAGCGTGGGAGCAGCAGAGGAGGGACATGTCATCCGTATCGTGACATGAGTCTTTATTCAGGTAGAAAACCTACGCCGAGCTACTGATACAATGAGTGATTCAAGAACCAATCAAGATGGACCAACACGCATTTGTGGCAACCATATATTTTCGAGAGCATAGAAACGAGTGGATGTCGATTCAAACACTGAACTAAAAGGCCAAGCTTCCGCAGTTCTCTCTCGACGTGCTATCAACAGAAGCAGGTGACAACAAGCAGGTCCTTCCAATACAACCCGCCAAGCCATCCTTCTCCAGCCCGAGGGAATCGCGCCTCGAGCAGAGTTAAGCCAAGCGCCTAGCAAATGCATAACAATAAAAGTGTCTGTGAAAGAAAATATGAGGGTGCGGCAGCGCAAGGCGGATGTTCCTGTCAGCCTGCCCATGTTCCATGTCCCATGCGTCGTCGCTATCATGCATCCCCTCCCAAATCCCAACAACGCCCCAAGTGCAGAAAGCAGACCGGTAGACTGTGGTGCTTTCCGGTGTCAAGAAATGTGCGTGCTTGCTTGCTGTCGCTTCCCAGAAAACATCCCAGTTCCATCGCAGTCCAGAAAGAAAAAAAGAAAAAAAAGAGCTGACAAATCGCACACATCCACGAACGAACGGACTAGTTCAAATAGCCAAACCAGTCGTCAAAGGCAAAGCTTGCCCTGCTCTTCCGAGTTTAGACAAGCTCAAAGCCATCCTCCTCGAGGGTCGACTTCTCGACGCCCGGGTCGGACGCGGCCTTCTGGCGCAGGGTCTGGCGGGCCTTCTTGCCCTTGAGGGCATCGCCGTTGGCGTCGAGCACCTCGTACTCCTTCTCGACCAGCTTCTCCATGGCCCGCGGGTTGGACCTGACAAAGACGTCGAGGGACAGCCCCGTCGCCGGAGAGCCGGCCTTGTCAAAGTTGTACAGGAACTCGTCCTGCGTTGGGAATTCTCGGGAGGACTCGATGGGATCGGACTGGGTGCCGTGCTCCAGCTCCTCCCGGACGCTCTGCTTGACCCGGACGAGGCCGGACGGCAAGTCAAAGTTGCCTCGGCTGGTCTTGACCATGTTGTGTCTGGGCTTCTCCCTGGGGCTGGGGTGAGAACTGCCGCAAGAGTTAGTCGCCATGTCTTCAAAACAAGCCCAAAGTAACTTTGGGGTAATGTTCCAGAGAGTCAAGATGATGATTGACACTTACATGTCGCTGTACTTCTGCAGCGGCCGAGCCTTGGACAGCTGGCCCTCGGTGCCGTTCAGGGGCTGCTGCGTGATGATGTCAAGCCGAACGCCAGCCGGCGGACGGGTGCCGTAGGACCACTTGACGTGGGAGTCCTTGGCGCGCTTGAAGTCTTTGTGGGCGCTGCGGAAATCGCGCTGAGTCTCAAAAGCTGCAGCCATAGTGCGAGTTGATGATGCGAGTGTCGTGGGGATATGTGAGGGTGGGAGAGGTAGTGGCACAGGCGTAAGTAATGCACCCTCTGCTCACCACTTGACTGGGCGAGCACTGGTGCAGCTGCAGTCCTGATAGGGATCGAAATTTAGGCCCGTAACCTTGGTAGCTGAGTCCGGTCCACAGAGGTGCTCAACCGGGTAGTATTAAAAGAGGATAAAAAGAAGTGAGATATGCAGGATGCTTTCGTTGATTGAAGCGAAATAAGTAAGGAAAAGAAAGCGTGCCAGTGATACTCCGAAGGCGATTGAAGGTTGTCCAGAGGGTCTCTTATCTGGAGTCTTGCGTGGGGATACGCAAGGGGGATGGATGGCTTGGAGCGGTGGTGTAAGTGAGAGAGCAGAGTGTCAGAGGTGACTGGGCGGTTCCAGAATATTAAATCGGCTTTGAAATGAATAGAGCAGTAATATTGCACTGCTGATGCAATCCCCTGACCGGGTCCGTGATTTCCTTTCAGGAACTTGTTATGTAATGAAAGAATGGGCTGTAGTCTGTTTGTCCGGATGAGTCAACGGCGGCGAGTGTTTGAGAGAGGCGATGGTTTGCCTGTCAATAACACGCGATAAGGTGGATAACTAGGTAGTTAGGTGATAAGGAAGGGCGACTGGGAGGATCAAGTACCTAGTGTCCCGGCCGATGACGGAATCACAAGGGCGTATTAGACAAAGAACGGGGTCGTATGGGCTGACTGGGCAATGTACTAGGAAATAGAAGAGGGAAAATACGGTGATCTCTAATGCTGTGGCTTTGTTGATTCAATAAGGGTGAAGAAAGAATAGGGAGAGGAAGGCGAGGAGGGAGAGCACTCGCGTGAAGGGTCTACTCTATATCTACCTTACCTACCCAAGGTACATCTGGCTAGTGAGCATCCTGATTCCGGGCTTGACTTGTAATGTTGGTCAGGCTTATCGCGATGACGGATGATTGAGGTACAGGAACGTGTCCACGGGTTATCGCTCAACCATCCATCCACCAAATTAGACCTGCTTTTCCCACGGGCTAAGGCGGCAAAGTCACTCTTGCGTGGCTTGTTGCATGCCTGCTGGGCTTTGTCTGTTGACCTGGCCCAGGTGCGTTACAAGTTACGCACCGTGTACTTCGTCTTCCTGCCAGGGCGGCAATAGCGGATGACCCCGGATCTGGCCAGCCATGGATCCCCATCCCTCCCTCTGAAACTACCTAGGGAGGTAATGTAGGTACTCAAAGAGTGCTCCCCGTGCACGCCGTTCTGCATCGTCATTTGCCCAGCCCAAGGCGTTGGAAGGCCAAGTGAGCAGGCAAGAGACTGCGGCCTGACGGCACCTTTCTGCGCAGTCTGATAGGCGCGCAACAAAAGAGGAGAGAGGCCCAGGTTCCCTGATAGAGCAGGGCTGCGAATCACGAATGCCATGTGTTATGGATGGGTGGAGGTCACTGGCCAAACCTGGCGCTTCGTCTTCTCCAACACGGCGCGTTTCTCCAATCTGACTCGGGGTTCCGGATTCTCCATCCTAATCTCTCATCCGTACTTCCACGACACACCCACCCAATCCCGGGTCCCCGCATTTCCTCATCCAGGTGCGCGTCTTCCTATTTGCGCGTCGCTGGTGCGTTATGCATCCTTTTGGTTACCTGAAGGCAGCTATGCATCCGTGCAGTGCCCATAGAGAGCCCACCGAATGCGTACGGAGTACATGGACTGCCCGCCACGTTGAGGTGAAACATCTCGTTGAAATGGAGCCGTTGGGCGTACGAAGTACGAGTAGGTACGGTACACGTTGGGGTATGTACTAACACGAAACCACATGCTGCGCCATGCATTCCGATTAGGCCCGGCGTGCCTGAAGATCTGACAGTGCGATAGCACTGCCCTGGCGATCTGTTTGTACCCTGTCCAACAGCCATCGACAGTGTACTTGTACGAAGTGACCAAGGTGCTCCAGCCACGGCCATGTGCCTTGGCGAGTTGTTCATCGAGGTCGGATCGGTATTTGTCGATGAAAGACGACTAAGTGTAGACGCCATCGACTTTCGATTGATCCTGTGTGGTGCTCCTGGACCTTTGCCTGGAGACACTCCCTACCTAGGTAGCTCGGGAATCCAGACTGGCCTTACCAAGTGTGTGTCGCATAAAGTGCTTGACCTGTGAACCACCTTTTCAACAAGGAGTGCTGCTTCAGCGCGTCATACAGGTTCTAAACAGGCCTACACCCCTGTTGTAACTCGGGATACAGGTAGGTATGATGACTACCAATACTGTCTTTCATGGCTTTCGTCATCCTGAGCGTGCCCGCCACTTGCTATTCCCCGTCGCTGTATTTTGGCGGATGATGGTATCAAAATAAGGCCCTTCTAGCTTCCAGGCTGTCGCGGGCGCGGTCACCAGACCCGTGATGTCATCTCGGGCTGGCATGTGATAGATTTGGGATGTTGGTGCTTGTATGCTGTACCCATGTATTTTTTTCTCCCTGCGCCGCCTCTGGTCTGCACGTGACCCTTATCTTATCGCCGCTTACATGCTGGTGACTGGAATTTCCAGTTGAAGCTTCAGCAGATAAGGTATGCACACGAGAGATGCGACAGCTCGCGACTCCGATACACAATACTTTGTCGCCTCCCTTGACCTTCAAGAGCATACCTAGGTAGGCTGCAGGGGCCCTCACCATCCGGTAGTCGACTCTGAGTTCCTCTGGTGCAGCACCCTCGAGCAAAAGTATGCCCTCAGACCTCTCGGCCTACCTGGCTGCCAACTACCTCACAGCCGACCCCAAGCCCTCCAAGAAGCGCAAGCGCAAGCACGATACCTCCTCCGCCTCTGGCCTCCTGATAAACGACGAAGACGACAGCTGGGCGCGTCCAACCGGCCCCAAGGCTGGCGGCGACAATGACGAGGGCTTCGACATCCCCGTAACGGCGGGCACGTCCGCCGAGTTCCGCAAGGCCAAAAAGTCGAACTGGAAGACCCTGGGCGGCGGCTCGGCGGCAGCGACGAAAGACGACGATGAAGCAGCAGCGGCCGACGCCATCCTGGCGTCCGCCCAGGCCGAGGACGCCGCGCGCCGGGACGCCGAGGACGAGGCGCCCGTCGTGGACGACGCGGGAGGAGGCGCGGCGGTGGCCAAGATGAGCGACGGCACGCACGCGGGCCTGCAGAGCGCGGCCGCCGTGTCGGCCCAGCTGAGGCGCCGCCAGCGCGAGGAGCGCGAGGCCTACGAGCGCGAGCGGCGGGAGCGCAAGGCGGCGGGGCTCCCCGACACAGAGGAGGAGGCCGTGTACCGCGACGCCACGGGCCGGCGGATCGACGTGTCGATGCGGCGCGAGGCGGCGCGCAGGGCGGCGCAGGAGGCCGAGGAGAAGGAGCGCGCCGCCAAGGAGGCCCTCCGGGGCGAGGTGCAGGTCGAGGAGGCGCGGCGGCGCCGCGAGCGCCTCGAGGACGCGGCGCTCATGCCGCTGGCGCGCCGCGCCGACGACGAAGAGATCAACCGCGAGATGAAGGCGGCGGCGAGGTGGAACGACCCCATGGCGCAGTTCCTGAGCGAGAAGAAGGACTCTGGCGGCGGTGGAGGGGCCGTGTCGGCCGGAGGGCGGCAGGGCGGTAAGAAGCTCAAGGGCAGGCCGGTGTATAAGGGGCCCGCGCAGCCTAATAGATACGGGATCAGGCCGGGATACCGGTGGGACGGTGTTGATCGCGGGAACGGGTTCGAAGCCGAGAGGTTCAAGGCATTAAACAGGCGGGAGAGGAATAAGGGACTGGACTACGCCTGGCAGATGGATGAGTAAGGGCCGTCTATTGACGGGAGATTTAATGATACCATGGCCTTGGGAGCATCAAGAGTCGCGAGCATAGCGTGTGTTTTGGTCACGGGAAAAAAAAACATTTTTATGATATTCACACCCATAAACCAGATTTCGGAGCCACACAAGTTCAAGCGCACTTCCTTCAATCTTCTTAAAGTCCATGAATGTCTAGTGATCATCGAGGGATCCGCATGCATCTAATTCAGTGAATAATCGTGTCTTTTCCATTCCCTCGCCCCTGCGAGCTCTTCCAAAAGTTCCAACCTAATCACACAAACGACTCACATTAAGGCTTTTGGGGGGGAAGCCGGGTACTCATGGCGACTGAGCTGCAGGCTTTGGCCGCAGCATTCTATCCTCTCCCAGAACAGCATTGTCTTTGACCAGCTTGATCCAGTCCTTGCGTGGCATCTGGCCAGGAGCATCGCCAACCCGATTGCCGAACTGCCTGAGCAGGCTCCCGATCTGGATGCCGTCCGGCTGGGCCGCAATCAGCGCGTTGACAATCTCGGACGCTTGGACCGGTAGGGGAGGCGAGGTAGCTCTCGGCGTGGAGGCTCCGCCCTTGGTGGGCGAAACGGAAGCGGCCCCTGAAGACAGCCCGTCTGGTTAACGCTGCCTGCTTGAGAGGAGGGAGCGAGTTCTCGGTCCGACAACTCACCTTGAGAAGGAACAGGGCTGCCAGCCCTCGAGCCTACTGGTGTTCCCCTGGCACCGGTACCAATGATTTTGATCTTCTTCTTGGTCACACCGCCGTCCGACATCTCACCTGCGGTGGCCTCGCCGTCGCTCAAGGCCCCTCCCTTGGCCCGAGACCGCTGCTGGCCGGGAAGAGGCGTGGACGAACGGCTGGGTTGCACAGAGCCCGTGGCGTGCTTCTTGACCTTCTTCCGAGACGATTCGTTGCCACTAGATTCCGAAAGATTCGGAGAGCCGGGTCGCTTCAAGGACTTGCCCTTCTTCGCATCTCCTAGTCTGTGCTTACCCGAGGGGGTGGTATTGCCTTTGGAAGCAGCCCCCGAAGAAAGCTTGACATCAAGCTTGTCCTTGGAGTCTTCGTCCTTCTTCTCCTCACCTTGCTCCTCTTCGTCCTTCTCTGCCTCATCCTCGCTCTGAACATAGGATATTAGCCACGTATCCAAATGGTTGCGAACCAATGGATCACTTACTGAGGAAGATTCGCCGAAGGGGTTGGACTCATCCGAGTCGCTCTCGTACTCCAGAGCATCTTCCCGTTTAGCAAGCGCTTTGCGCAGCTTCTTGCCATCGAGCTTCCTCTTCAGTTCAGCCATCAGATCATCTATCTCCTGCTTCTCTACTTCCTTTTCATCACCTTCGCCGAAGAGATTCGCGCCAAGGTGATTGCGACGCATGCGCTCCCGGGCGTCCCTGGCGTCCTCATCGTTGTCGGGCTCCAGACCGACGTTTTCATCGTCATCCTGGAACTCATCGCCCTCAAAGTCGAGGTCGTCATGGTCCACCTTCTCGGACCGCGGCGCTGACCGGTAGGTGCTGCTCTCGGTCTTGACGCGAGCACGGCCGCTGGTGAAGATTCGCGTGGCTTCATACTCTTCCTCTGCCTTGGCCTTCTCCTTCTCCCGCATCACCCAGCGGCCTGGGTCGAACTTCTTGTCCATAAGCTTCTCAGCCTCCTCAATGGTGTACGCCTGAAACGGGGGTTTGGGCGTGAACCGGTAATACTTCTCAAGGGGAATCATGCGGAATCCGTTTCCACTAATTACAAAGGCCACATTGGCCTCGGAGAGGGCCGAGATGTAGTGACCGACCCAGACATTCTTGCCGTCAGCATCCTCGAGATGCCAGGGCAGAGATTCCTCGTAGCGAATTTCGGACTCTTTCTTCTGCTCGGCAGTGCTTCGGGGATAGTATGCCTGAACAGGCTTCTCCTTCTTCTGCTGGGGCTGTCGCTGCTTGTGAGGCTCTTTGGCGACTGGGGCAATCTGAGCCAGGTCGCTGGCGCGTTGTGCCTCTCGCTCGGCCTTGATCTGGGCGAGACGCTCGGCCTCCTTCTCATCCACTGTTGGGGGCGGAGGTGTGGGTGTCTTCTCCTTGACTACTCTGCCCGGTGCAGGCTGCCTTGGGTCGCGTCGATGTAGGGAGACGGGACGCGTGAACTCGTCCTGGTTGGTCGGGTCAATGTCCTTTTCCTCTTCGCCAGCACGGTTCGCCTTGGCACTAGCAAGGCGCATGACGTGATAGCGTATGCCCTCTCTAAGCTCGCGCTTTGTGGTCACGAGCGGATAGTCATGAGCTTGCGGGGGCATAGGATCGGTCCAGCCTCCATTCTGCCTTCGCTGGAGCTCGAAAGCATTGCGCTTCTGCTCCTCCTTTTCTAAGAGAGACATTGCTCCCTGCGGGCGCGAGCTGGGCCCCCCCTGAGCATTCTGTGCCTGACCCCGGCCGGGTTGGGGCCGTACAATCGGCTTCTTGCGCGCAACAAGCGGATCGGCTGGGCGTGGCTTTCGTCGCAAAGGCGCAGGGCCCTTGGAAGGCGGGTTTCGCCCGTTGGGCAAGCCGGACGGAGGCGCACTCATGTTGGCTAGCCACTTGCTGGACTAGTAGATACCGAATCAGTGTAGATGAGGGAACATGGGGCGTGTATCTGTTCTCGAAGTTCGCTGGGGAAACGGCTGGGTTAAAGTAGGTACAAAGAACAAAAGATAGTGAGCAAGCTCGCGCGACGAGACCAGCAGCTTTCGAGCTACAGGCTTGTGTGCGCACAAGCGCGTCTCAACAAAGAAAGTAAACGCGCAATACAATCGACGACGCGAACAATAGATGCTGCGAAAAAAATCGCTGTTGGTTTGCGGCCTTGGAGGTGTGTTGCGATGAGATGTGTGGGAGGTGAGGTCAGCAAGAGAGGACTGGAGCCTTGGAAAACCATAGGCGCGGCCGAAAGGTGTGGTAAGGATAAGGTAAGTGAACTCTCAGGTAGTGACAGCCGACAGGTCGGGCGGGCTTGCTATGACGGAGGAGGTTCTCCAAGGGATGATGGGACGGGGCAGTTACCTAAAATAGTGGGCGCACTGAGAATAGCAGGTGGGGTAGGTAGCTCTGAAGGGGTGCTTCAAATGCTCCAATTGCAGACGCAAACAGCTGGAGGTGAGCTGGGGGCTCAGGCGCCAGTTCGCTGGTCGCTGCATTGCACGGCGTGCATGGTTACCTGATCATCTCATAAGAACATCATCTCTCGGAGCTCTACGTTTATTTGGCGGTGTGCAGCCAGATAGGCCTCTATATAACTACCTAGGTAGCCCTTGAATAACTTATTGCTAAGTACCTCATGTAGGCAGGGACTCGAAGGGCATGAACTATGAGAGATACGAGAGTTCGTTCACATTGCTTCTTGAAGCCACAGCCAAAAAGAGGAGCCCACTCTAAACCAGAACCAGCCAGCTCTCCCTCAGCAGCACTAGTCCAACCAATAATAACGCCTCAATTGCAACATCTTACATCTCACTTCTTTGTCGCTTTACCCGTCACTCTTCCCTCTCCCCCTCTCCCTGATTATACTCTCGATTTTGTGAGAAGCAGGTCACAGGCGGTGGTATACGTTGGGCTCTCGACTGAACCTATGACATTGTCGCGGGGTAAACGACCAACTGCCCTCCGCGCGATCATCGGCCCTCTTGTCTAGGTGTGCTGCAATTTCATCGTGCTGCAAATCACTCGCCCACTGCCTTCACCTTCTGTTTCGGTCACGGTCACAGTCAGTCCGTGGTGAGGCCTCCCTGGAGTATCGTTGATACTCTCCCTGCCATCGGCCGAGGACTTGGATGCTTGTGACCAAACAATCAGCACCTATCCGTGTCTGAAAGAGGGGTGCATGTGGCATCACGAGCTTGCCTCCCTGAGGTTACACGGCCAGACAAACACGACTTTGTGTGAGGAGCATCCTGAGCGTTGATCGCAGTACGGCTTGTCATTCATTCCACCATATCACCTGGCTGCTCGACACTGTTTCACAGTACACTCAGCACTTCAAACGTCTCCTTCGCAATGCTGGCTGAAGGCATCCAATTCCCACGCCACCATTGACCATGCTCCCGACTCGAGACGCCGGTGGTCCGCAAGGGCCACTAGAAGATCGCCTCCGGAATCTGATCATCACCAACTCGGATTCCACAGGGCGGGATGCATCCTCTCAACTTCCGCCTCCTGGCCCTGGGGCTATGGACTATCAGACTCAGCCGTCCTTAGACCAGATAGCTGAGCAGGGCCCCCAAGGTATTCAGCCTACTGCCAACCGAGAGTCACAAACGGGAACCAAGACCTCTAGGAAACGTCCCAACCAGGCACAACGTAGGCAAATGTCAGCGCAGCTCTCCATTCCGATAGATCCACGGCCACAGCCGCCTCCACAGGCTGCCAGACACTACACAAGTCCTACTTCCACTGTTTATGGCCATAACAGTCAGTTCCAAGGGTCTCAGCAGATGGCTCAACGTCCTCAGTCTGCCGGCTTCCGGCCCACCTACTACAGTCAGCCCTTTCAGCACACCGATAACATCTCTCGTGGCTATCCAGCACAGCCTCGTCACCAGCAGTCTCAGTCATACCACGGGCCTGTTTCTCAAGCGCGGGCGCCGGATTGGCGGCAGCCTCCCGGCCCGCCTCCCGGCCGCGGCGCCGACTATGCTTCAAGGGGCCACAACCCCTCATTCTCGGACCATGGTGCCTCTTCCCCTGCATTTCATAGGTACCCGAACTCGGCTCCTCATCACCAACCGAGACACCATCATGTCAGATCTGAGGATTTGAGAGACCAAGCCTCACTGCTCGAGGAATTATGCCGCACAATCATAGCTGATGCCGAGATTGATGTGGCCCTGATCCAGGAAAAGGAGACGTTCCGTCTCAAGATTGAACGCATTTGTCAAAATGCAATTGCACAGTTCGAGCGAGAGACCAACAGGCTGGCAAACTTTCCCCTTGACAGCGTCCAGCTACGTTGCTTTGGCAGCCTATCCTCTGGCTTTGCCACTAAGGCATCGGATATGGACCTTGGCATTCTATCCCCGCTGTCAAACCCTCAACCAGACGAGCCCGGCTCACCCATTCCCCGGATCCTCGAGAAGGCGTTTCTTGATGCGGGTCTGGGCGCTCGCTTACTCACAAGGACTCGCGTTCCGATCATAAAGCTCTGCGAGAGCCCTCCTGAGAAGCTCAGACAGGACCTCCTGCGGGAACGGACCAAGTGGGAGCAAGGCATCACCGATGACCATGATTCAGCGGATGTAGATGATCATGAACACGAGGAGCCCGAACGGCCATCTACCCAAGATGGGCCAGAAGTTCACGACGTGGCGGCCCCTAAAGACCTTCAGCCTACCGGCAACGTGGAGAGTGCAATGGCCAACAACACATCAGATGCAGCCAGGCAGAGGTCCTCGAAACCCGTGACAAACGCACATACTAGGCCGGGAGAGAAGACTCTACGACTCAAGCAAGCAGATAGGCAACATCTGGTCAACTACTATAGTCTCGCTAAACGGTTGCTTCGGAAGCTTGACAGCCGCGATATTACCCATTCCACGGCAAAGCATTTCCGCCATGAAGACTTCATTATTCTCAACGAAGTTTCTCGCGCTTTTGTTCGCGGTCTGTCGGATGGGCGACTGAGGGATCGTCTCATGAGTTATCACTCGTTCTATCCGTGTGATGCAATGGGCACCCCAGTATTCCGGTCTCTCGCTGGGGTTTATACGCAAGCCGAAGGCGAAAGACTGGTTATTGCTTGGGAGGAACGAAAAGTGCATGAGAAAAGCGAAGCCAACGAAATCCAAGCACTGAGGAAGATCAACGCGTGGAGAGAGCTCCAGGATAGGGATGACTTCGGGCTGGACCTTCTGGGGTACAACAAAGAACTTCAGCTTGCAGCGGATCAACTTGGAAGGATTCCATCCATCCAACTCATGACTCTGGAGCAAGGCCAATACGAGTCACCGACGCAATATCACCGCAGAGCTATCAAGCTCCTGTTGGACCTAGGCGGCTATGATTCGACCACCTCCACCACAGACAACCTGCCCATTCATGCCACCACTATCGAACACTACATCAAGGGCATATGGAGTGATGAGATCCGTAAGCAAGTGAGGGCCTTTGCGCTGGAGAATGGGTCCGTGACCTTGCGCGCAGTCGCAAGGCGGCACAAGGGCCTTCATCTTGCTGCCGAGTTCGAGAAGGCGATAGAGAAAGGACTGTACGACGGCGCTTGTGTAGAGGATATCAAGGCTTACGTTGCGCTCCTCCGCATGCCCTTGACCTACACTCCTTCAACGGATAATCATTTCGACTATCTTGTGCACACTTCAGCCAGCTCGTCGGCATTACTCAAGAAGATTCTGAAAGTCGCCGATCCCGCAAAGCTCGCGCCAAATCAGCCTCGCGACCCTTATCGGGACCGCCTTGAATTTCCCAAGTCTGGCGTTGGTGTGCAATGCGATATTAATTTCTCTGCACATCTTGCTCTGCAAAACACTCTTCTCCTTCGTTGTTACTCTCATACGGACCCGCGTGTGAGACCCATGGTCCTATTTGTCAAGCACTGGGCAAAGGTCCGCGATATCAACACGCCGTACAGGGGAACTCTGAGCAGTTATGGCTATGTCCTGATGGTCCTTCACTACTTGGTCAACATCGCACAGCCTTTTGTGTGCCCCAATCTCCAAGTCCTGGCGCCACCCCCTGACCCTTCTCTTACCAAGGAGCAGCTCCAAGAGACCATGTTCTGCAAGGGAAGAAACATCCAATTCTGGAGGGATGAGAACGCAATCAAGAATCTCGCCCGGGAGGGCACTCTTACGCAGAACCGCGACCCCATCGGCGTTCTCCTCCGGGGTTTCTTCGAATACTACGCCCAGAATAATTTCTTGAGCACCGCGCCCGGACGAGGATTTGACTGGGGCCGTGACGTGCTCAGCCTACGAACCCAGGGAGGCCTTGTTTCCAAGCAGGACAAAGGTTGGACGGGAGCCAAGACCGTCCTGGAGAAGATTCCATCTGCCGCTCCCCCAGATCAGACTGCGCCTCCAAAAACGCCCGTTACTGCCGAGACTCCCCCTCCCATCACCCCTGTAAGCATCGGCCCAGGCAATGAGAACGATGCCAAGCTTTCAGCGACGCCCAGAGAGGGCGAGGTGAAAGAGGTCCGACACCGCTATCTTTTCGCGATCGAGGACCCCTTTGAGCTGGATCACAACGTCGCCCGTACGGTGACGCACAACGGAATCGTGTCAATCCGAGATGAGTTCCGACGAGCATGGCGTATCATACGCAGCACCGGCAAGGGTGGTGTGCCGCAAGAGAACCTGCTTCAGGATGTCAAAGACAAGGGAGAGGAGAAGAACTTGTACTGGGAACTTCTTGCCGAGCTCCATGGCCGAGAGTCTTTCGAAGCCTAGTCTCCCGACATTGTTTGTACGATATGAGCATGCGCAATGGGCTGAACCTGTCTTTGCTTGGTTGTGGAGGAGGAGTATTCACTCTCGACATCGAAACAATGTACGGGAAAGATGGGTTGGCAAATTACCTGCCACATTGCTTGAAATATACTGAATGGATGGATTATTCGATTTGCTTGCCTAATCTGTCTTCAGCTCATCGAGTCTTGGTAGGGGGGTACCCTATTCATAATGATATACCTAATGGGCGACTTAGAGTAAAGCAATGGGCCAGTTCCTAGCGAATCAAATTATGTTCTTATAAACTTGTTCACATCTGCAAAGAGCATCAGATCGATCCATGAAGTTTAAGCTGTATGAGCTGCCTGTGACAACAAGTTCCGAATCAACAACAGGCGACATCCACGCGGGTTCTTTCAGCATCTAAATGTGCAGACATCTTCCGCAGCCCTTTGTTCCCCGCCGCCTTTATTGTTTGCCTCAACAAATACATTGTCGCGAACAGATCACAATGACAAGGGGAACAATACTGATGTTTCTTGTAACAAAGCGTTTCTCCAGGTTTGCCAAACGAGGATATATAAAGAGCGAATGACATGCGTATGTACCAAAAGTGTTTGAAAGTGAATCCAACCGCCTGCTTTCTCTTCATCGTTCAACGACTTCATTATCAAAGAACAAACAATCTCAAGTCAATACTTCGAGAAGTTTGCAAATATCGGCACAACAAATATGGCTCAACCTGAACAAAGCCTGACGGGTCTGACACAGGAGGTGGATGCGAGTAGGAGAACTCAGAGTGTTGACAGCGTTCCCGAGGTTCATGCTGCTTTCCTAGGAGCCAGTTCCAGAAAGCGGAAAGCTGAGTGTGAGCCCTCCGAACCCGAGGGTTCTCACGCCAAAAAGGGCCGCCGAACCAAGAGCCTTCCCGATGTGTCGTTCGAAACGAAGGACCCTATCAAGGATCTTTCATCCTCTGCGCCAAAGACTTCGGCTTCCGAGGAGGTAGATCCCGCTGTTGAAAGTGTTCCGCAAACCTGCGAGACCGACAAGGCTAGCCTTCGCGTTAACCTTTGGATGGAAGAGCTCGAGACCATCCGGCGGCCTGAGCCTCTCTGGAACGAAAGCGTAGAGCTTGTGACTATTATGGGACCTCGAAATGTGCCTGCAAGCACTCCCGACCAGGAGCCACATGAACGTGCGTCTGAAGGTTCGTCCAGGGAGAGCGCTATAGCAATAGCTGACGATGACGAGGATACTTCTGGCACATCGAGCGCAAACCCGATTGTCTTGGGTGTCGACGATGAACAAGCCATTGCGACATCAGCATCACCCATCCAATCCTCCACGGCGTCGAGCGTCCAAGGGTCTGGCAGCGGTCGACCAAAGCGTGTACTCGAAGAGCCGCTGGAGTTCTATGGCGGTGATGGAGTCACCGATAGCATGGTACGTTTCCAAGACCGCAGGTCCGGAAGAGGCAAGATTCCCGGGCCGATGACATCAGATCGTCTGCTGCGACCAAGATTGAGGAATGAGCTGAACCTGAAAACAGAAGCAAGGCCATTTGCGAGTCATCCTGCTTGCAGAGATCTATACTGGGAATATCCGCTCAACTGTGAGGAGTCGATCGCGTCGGGAGACTGGTGTCCCAGCTCGAAGGCGCCATTACTGAAAGGCTTTCCACTAGTGGAAGATGTCGTCTTCTTGAGAGATGGCAATACCCATGGTATTAGCAATTGCTACTGGAACGCCATCAGCCTGCACATGTATGGTACGCACGAGTTTGCCGCACGGGTCAAAGGTGAGCATCTCGACCACGTACGTGCCGTCTTGTCCAACGAGCATCACCCGATGTACGACAAATACACGGCCATGAACAGCAAGTTCTACAAAACAGAGGCACTGCCCTTCTTGCCCGTCCAGGCCAACGTCACGCCGGTTCTGCTCAACCTGTGGCAGATCCTCAACATTCCAGGTGCGTGGACGCCTGCCGCAATGATGGAGATTACAGCCGATGTCTACGGAGTGTTCATCGTCATGTACTCGATGCAGGGAGACCGGGTCCAGGACGGAAAGGTCATCACCGAGGTCAAGACGGCAGGCCCGTACAATGCTCGGCACCTGTTTCTGCTTTATGTCGGCAACTGCCACTTCCAGCCAATGACCCCCAACGAGTACTACGGGTGGGAGTTCCAGTGCCCGAGGATCACGCGGGCGTCGACGATGAGATACCTTCAGGGGCCACAGACCGGCCAGGGCAAAGACGGCATAGCACACCCCTGGCGCCGCGAGTTTAGCAAAAGCGTACTGCCCCCGGTGCCTGTGGACCACACCTTTGATGTCAGGACGCTGCAGAAGACGGTGGCTGAGAAGCATAGGGCAACTCAAAGGTAGAATGTAGCAAAGAGGCATGCTAGGTGTATAATGGATAATAGATCTCCGTTCTTGTTGGAGACAAGCAGGTTCATCAGTGATTTATCTTCTCCGATTTTTACATACATCACCTTAAGAGAGCCCCTCAAGCTGTATGTGTTTACCTCCGCAGTCTTCCCCTGGCTTATTAAGGTAATGTAGCTTGGACGTCTGCAGGTCCGTCGGAAACCGAGACAGACTTATCAGATCATCTTGCGTTTTATCTTATCGTCTTATCGCTGAAACCCCCACCAAAAAGTCCCTCTCATTTTTTCCAATCAAGCCCCGCCGACTCACCATCGTATGTACATTCTGAGCCCATTCACAGCTTTCTTGAGTACCATCCTCTTTGCCCAACCCTTCCCCGTTGTTCCTCCTCTCGCCCTGAATTTCCGAACCAGGCTCCGCGGCCTGTTACTGCGCAATTCTATACGAGTAGAAAGAGGGAAAAGGAGAAAAGATGACTACCGATCAGACTGATACCCCCGAGACCATTCTCAGCCTGCGCAAGTCGCTTTGCGCCGAGTCAACTCCCCTCCCCGTGCGATTCCGGGCCCTTTTCTCCCTCAAGCATCTGGCCCGGCATTCGACCGGCGCCGAATCGAAGGCCGCAGTCGATGCCATTGCCGCTGCCCTCTCCTCCCCCTCCGCTTTGCTCAAGCACGAACTCGCGTACTGTCTGGGTCAGACGGGAAACATGGAAGCAGTGGCCCCCTTGCAGAACGTTCTGAAGGACGTGAACGAGGACCCCATGTGCCGGCACGAAGCCGCAGAGGCTCTGGGCGCGCTGGGAGATGCCGGTAGCTTGGACTTGCTAAAGGAGTTCCGCGATCGTGAGGGCGAGGAGGTTGTTGTCACGGAGACATGCGAGATTGCCATTGACCGCATTGAGTGGGAGAACTCGGAACAGCGCAAACAAGAGAAGCTGCGCCAGAGGTGAGTCAGGCTAATGGAGGGGCACTCGAGCTATCTACGACGGAAGAATCGTCTTTGCTGATATGGCGGGTTAGTGATTTCGCCTCTATCGATCCTGCGCCTCCAATGCCAGAGGAACATAGAACGGTGGAGGAGCTTGGGAAGGATCTGATGAACACCAGTCTCCCACTGTTCAGGCGGTATCGCGCCATGTTCGCTCTGCGTGACCTTGCCTCCCCTCCTGATCTCCCTACTGCTATTCCGGCCGTCCAAGCCCTAGCGAGTGGATTCGCTGATAGCTCTGCACTCTTCCGGCACGAGATTGCGTTCGTGTTTGGCCAGCTGTCTCACCCAGCATCTATCCCGGCACTTTCTAAAGCCCTGGCCAACCTAGAGGAGGCGAGTATGGTGCGGCACGAAGCCGCAGAGGCGTTGGGAAGCCTCGGCGAAGAAGAGGGCGTCGAGGCATTCCTCAAGCGCTTCCTGAACGACAAGGAGAAAGTGGTCCGGGAGAGTGTAATCGTTGCACTCGATATGGCCGAGTATGAACAGGGTGGAGAGGCTGAATATGCTTTGATCCCAGAGGCGGCCGGTGCATCGGCATGAACGGGTGTTGTTCTTCGATTGTGACGTGATTTATAGCACAGGCGTTCGGCTTTAGGAAAACTGGAAATATAATGATTTTCTTTCTCTTCGAGCATGGGTATCATAAGCTTCTCTATAAACGCCTTCTAAACCAAAATCCATGTTGTGACTCCGATCGCGCGAAACCGTTTAGTTATTGTCGTTCCAACTAGCATGTGTTAGTACACGGCTTGGTGCTTCAAGGGGAACCAACTCACCGGAAGCCACAGTCACAATTGAAAAAGACCGTGGTGCCCTCGTCGGCACTGCGTAGCTGAACGGCAGAAAACCTGACCTCGGTGCGACCGCACTTGGGGCAAGTCACATTGGTTGTCGCCTCGGTCTGAATCTTGTGTCGCTCTACCACCTGAACGCTGGACAATTGTGTACGAAGGGGTGAGGGAAAGTCTGAAGGCTTGGTTTGAGTGATGATTGTTTGCGAGGCCGCGTTGTCTGGCACATCAAGGACATATCAGCTCGGAGGGTCGCATTGTATGAGTGTCCTATGAGAGATCTATCGGCATACCTGGGTTCTCTGCTCCGCAACAGTTGCATAGCAGGATATTTTTCGCCGTACCCTTGGAAGCGGGGAGGAGGTTACCGCAGTCGGTGCAGAAAACAAGAGAGCCAATGGTGGCCATTTCGACGGATGAGCGTTTCTTTGCCTTGACAAAGTTTGGCCGGAATATGTCACTGCACTGTTAGAAAGGGCGAGACTGCTTGATGAGTGAGAAGATCGCTCTTTTTTTTCCTGGGGCTTGTTTAATGGAACATGATAAGTCGATAAGGAAATGTGGAGAAAGAGGTCGTTTTCTCGCACGGGCCATCAGGCAAGCAACATGGTTCCTCCAGGCTGGGCGTGATTCACTACGCCCAGTGGCCCAGTCCCTGTGTTCAGCTGCACTTGTCGCTGGTTATGTTGGCAGGGACCTCCGACGGCCTAACCAGTTAGCGTGAGGCTGTCCGCACTTGCCTCGACCTGTACTCGAATTAACCTGGAATCATCAAACAAGTGGAAAGAGCACACCCTGGTTCGCGATTGCTCAATGCTTCAACAAATGCTCATTCTCCTCGTCGCCGTCTGCGATTGAGCTCGCATGACTCCTCTTCTCGCTGTTCCTAGGACTCCGCGATAGCGCCCACTCCGCGGGCTGTTTAGGTGCACGATCGCGACTCTCTCTTCCTGCCATGTTCCAGCAAGCACGGTAAGCATGGCACACTCACGGCCCGCCGGTCAAAATGGCCTGCCGAACGGACAAGCCTCGTCAGCAGGATCCAGGGCACAGTCACAGAAGTTCTCAAGGCCTTTCACCCTCCAAGAGGCTCTTCCCTATTCGCCCTTCACCTCCATTATTCCCTTCGAGTCAGGTATGTGTGAACCACTCGCCCAACTTCGTCGCAACTCTCCTCATCCTCGGTTCTGACTCGTGTCTGCTTCAGATATTATCCCGACCCCAGCCATCGGGTCCGCGCTGCCCGCTCATGACATCTCCGATGCCGTTCCCCGCCAGGACTACGATGCGCTGAACCAAGAAGCAGAGGCGTCCTCGACAACGTCGAAGAAGCTGGAGCAGAGTCTGGAACAAGTCCAACAACTGCTGCATCCCAATAAGCTCACCCAATAGTGAGTGGCATCTCAAATAGCGATCATGAGGCAAGACTGACGACTCTCAGCACCTTCCGTCACACTCCGATTACGTCCACTCAAGAAGCCCCGACTCCTAATCTCGCTGCTGGGCTGCCGTCATTCGCTAAGATGGTCTACACGAGGGCCTCTGTGGCTTTCCGATACCCAACTCCCGAGACTCCTGGACAGACTTCCCCAAACGGACAAACGACGCCCAAGCCACGCGCGAAGCCCAAGTCTCCCGCTGCGCGAAAGTCTGACCCTCCCAGAGCTGCTCCGGCCAATGCCGCCACCAACAAGCAGGCGCAGGCATACAACTCGGCCAACTTCGAGATCATCATACCCACAAAGTCCGAGACAGAAGCTGTCAACCCTAACTTCGGCATAAACCCTCAGGTCCTAGAAGTGCCTGCCAAGCCCAAGATAGAAGACACCAAAATCGAACCCGAAGCTTTACTTAGCATACCCGACGTTGCCGCTCCCAACGTTGCACCTGCGGCCTCTCAGTCAAACTTTACTATTGAACTCTCAGCGCCTGTAGATTTCAACAAGGAAGAATATCAAGTTGTGCCTGACTCTCCTGAAGCACCAGAGAACCTGTCAAGGAGAAGACATCAAAACGGCTATGCTGAGGAGCAAGACGCTTATGGGGCCAGTCTTGACCAGCGACAACGGGCTGACACGGCTTACCAAGATATGCGCCGATTATTTCAGGAGATATTCGAGGCCGAGCAGAACCTCTCGGGCCAAGCCAACTCTTCTAGGCTTGTTGTGCTCACAAATGACCAGGAGTCTACTCTATCCGCGGCGGCTTCCCAGAAAGCTCACAGTGCTATCAAGAAAGCGATCGACATGGGTTGCTTTACTGCAGCACCCTTGGATGACTTGCTTCATATGCAAAGGTTGAGCGAAGGCTCTCTTCGACATGCAGAAAGCTTGGATGTCAGAATTGATGAGTCTTGGGGGGAGACTGAACTCGCATCGTGGGTTCAACAGCTTCCCGAGATTGACGCCGGCCTCAAAGCAGCACGCATGGCACTGCGGCTGATGGGGGGCGGTCGAGAGGATAGGCAGCTTTACTCGGAGGACCTGATCCAAACAGCACTCAACCTCTTCAAAAACGTCATGGACGGGATCATAGTGCCTGTTGCCGAGATGCGCCCTGTAGGGCCCACAGAGCAAGTATTCAGGGGCCTGTCATCTCACAAGAAGCTGATTGTGCCCATTTTCACCACGTGCGAGCGGCTCTTTTCTCTCTTGGGAACTCTCGTCGCAAGTATCGACCTTTCAGAGACCGTGATCAATACGCTGGAGTTTGCAGCCTCTCGCCTAATGTTCGTCGAAAATGCCCACACCGAGCGTGAGTCGCTCATTGGTGTACAAAAATTCGACGTCCTTCGGTCTGTGGCGATGGACATGCTATCACAAATCTTCCTCATGAATCCAGTCCAGCGGCAGGGGATCTTTGATGACATCTTGACCTCTCTGGAGAAACTCCCCGTTGGAAGATTAAGTGCACGCCAGTTCAAGTTGGCAGACGGGAAAAGCATACAGGCAGTCTCTGCCCTGATCATGCGGCTTGTACAAGCCAGCTCCAGCAAAGTGGATGATGGTAAAGCCAGGAGTCGGACCCGGGCACTCCAGGCAGTGGATGAGGACGGCAACGCAGTCGAACCTGGGCTTGGGGAGGAATTGGTAGGTCAAGCCCAAGCCACCATTCTGAGTGAAGAGCAGGCCGCGATCCAGCACGCCACTGCTATCCAGGAGTTGCAGAGCGCCGTCGAGCCTCTGCTGGAAACTGCACGACGCAATGCGTCTTATGTCATCAACTTCATCGTCAATCGCGCCCTCAAATCTACGAAATCTGGCGACACGCCTTATCGCAACCTTTTGGACTTGTTTGTGGAGGACTTCACAACCTGCTTGGACTCACCAGACTGGCCCGCTGCGGAGCTTCTACTTCGTCTTCTCATGATGATGATGGTCAAACTTGTCGAGGGCGAGAGAAGTGCAGCACCGGCCAAGAACATGGCCCTTGAGCTGCTTGGCGTCATGGTTGCTGCAATTTCCAGGATTCGAGACTTAACACGCAAGACAGCGGGCCTCCTGGACACGAGCGAACCTCTGAATGGGTTTCTTGCAGATATGGCATTGGAAGTACTCGTTCGCAAGCCCCAAGCCGAGCAGATGTGCGCATGGTCTGGGCCGTACCGGGCAGATGTGGAATACCTCCAAGAACGTCTCAAGGACGACCCTCACCTCACGAGTGCAATCTCATATGTGGCTATGGACTGGGCGAGCAAGATCTGTACTGGCTATGACTCTTTTGAAGATGACCGAGAAGGCCGTGATCAGGAAATGGGGCGGATGGCCTTCCGACTCCGGATGATGATTGAGGACCAACGATGGCTTTCCAATGAGTACAGGTTTGGGGCCATCTCACCAAGCCAGGCCAAAATGGCCCACTACGTCATTCTTGCTCGCTCTCAGCTTTGCGAAGCTTTCAACGCAATTCTCAACCTCTTGCTTGGATCCTTGTCCAGCGATCAGGCAACCGTCCGCAGCAAGGGCCTCAAGAGCATCAACCAGGTCATGGAGAGGGACCCTTCAATCCTTGATGGCGATTCAGTCGTCGTCGAACTGATCCTGCAATGCTCACATGACTCCTCTGCCCAGGTGCGTGACTCCGCACTTGGACTGATTGGCAAGTCGATCGAAGTCCGACCTGCCTTGGAAGAGAAAATGCTTCCGACAGTCATCCAGCGTTTCATAGATTCCGGCGTTGGAGTTCGCAAACGCGCTATGAAGCTCGCGAGATCGGTTTACCCGCGCAATCACAGCAAGCAGATCCGGAGTGCGATCGCCAACGGCCTGCTACATCGAGTACAGGATCCTGACGAGGGCGTCCGAGAACTAGCAAGACAAATGGTCGAAGAGATCTGGATCTTCCCCTTCTACTCCGGCGAGGAATCGGCCGAGTACAAAACCTCACTGACCGATCATGTGTCGTTGATCGTGCAGTCAGTCAAGACCGGGAATATCACCACGGTGTTGGACAAGGTCTTCCAACTTATCCTTTCCCCAACCTCGAAGACTGCAAAGGCAAACTTCGAGGTTTGCAGGCGCCTCGTGGCCAGCATGTTTGACCTAGTCAACAATCCAGATTCCGAAGACCCGTCCGTTCCATCAGGACGCGATGCCCTACAGGTACTCATGATTCTGGCGAAGGCCGATGCCAAGCTGTTCACCTTTGAACAGATCAAGTTGCTGAAGCCATACATCGCGAGCGTTGGGACTAGCGAGGATATGGCGGTCTCGCGTGCCGTTGTTGTGATCTACTGTCGAGTTCTTCCGCAGTTGTCCAGCGTCCATACGCAGTTCCTCACAGACATCAGGATGTCTCTCATGTCTGCTACCATGACGGTCTCTAGAAACTTGCTTGACGAAGTCATGGCTTGTTTGTGGATTATCAGCACTCTCACCGAGGTCTCAACACATCTGGCCCGACTTGTGAACTCGGGTCTTGTCGGCATAACCAAAATCAAAGCGATGATCCAGAAAGGCGCACCCATGAGCAACGATATGATGCGGAAATTCGAACGATACTCGCTCATTGTCGGCATGGTCGGGAAGCACTGCGACCTCGATTCTCATGCTTCTTTCTTCAAGACCAGCTTCCCAAAATGGCAGGGCGGGCCAGTTTCGAAATTAATGGTTGATGTCATGCTTCCGTTTGCAAAGGAACCTCAGCCCCTCATTATCAGAAAGGCGGCCTTGGATGGGGTTGGCTTGATCTGTCAATCGAACCCTAGAAATTACGTGTCTGCCAATGTCTACACAACGTTTCAAGAGGTGTTTGACGGGAGGGAGCCTACGCTAGAGACAATGATCATGCGATCTCTGAAAGAATTCCTGACAACAGAGGAGAGACGCTCGGAACTCGCAACTGAAGCAGCCAAGGCCGCAAAAACCGCAACCGCTGGCTCCGACAACAAACGGGAACTCACCGTGATGGGAGGCACCAACTACGACGATGTCGCTAGTGCCACTACACAGCGGTTCCTCAAGGATCTGACCCGCATAGCTCTAGCTGGCATTGACGACCACGCTTTCCTCGCTGTGGAGGTGCTTGGTAGCATCAACCGACAAGGCCTGGTTCACCCAAAGGAGACAGGTGTGACCATGATCACCCTTGAGACTTGTCCGGTAACTAGGATTTCCGAACTGGCCTATCACGAGCATCGTGCCCTTCATGAGAAACACGAGACCGTCCTTGAACGAGAGTACGTGAAAGCCATCCAGTCTGCTTTCCAGTATCAGCGAGACATCATCAAGGATACGCGGGGTGCCACTACCGAGCCATTCGTCTCAAAACTTCATCTTTTGGCAGAGGTCTTGAAGATCAGCAGGTCAAAGAATCGACAGCGTTTCCTTGAGAAGCTGTGCACTCAGGTTGACTTCGAGCCTGCCAAGCTGAGCGTCAGGGAGAAGATGCCCAGCCATGTCGAGTTCTCGCGTTTCATCGTTGAGAATTTGGCATTCTTCGAGTATGAGACAGTCGGCGAGGTTCAGAAAACGATCTCGACAATGGAGAAAATCGTGCATAGCACTGGTGCTGCCGTTGCACATGCTATCGAATCAGAGATCTTTCAGGTCCGCATTGATTCGGGTGCTGTGGGAGAAGATCAAGGATCTTCAACAGCAGCTGCTCCGCCATCAGTGGACCCGCGCAGACTTCGGCAGCTCACAGCGAGCTCGATGATCCTTACGTGCCTGTGGGAAGCGCGAAGCTACCTGCGCCGTCTCTATGGGCTCAGCTCCCATCGTCGCGAAAGCAAAGGCAAGGGCCCACCGAAAGACCTCGCCAAGGCACCGATCAAGGTGCAGGGTGTGACGGGCGACAAGTTCTGGGATGATTCGGGCCTCATCATGACGGCTCTCGACAGCCAGGAGCGCATGCTGGAGCATTGCAGAAGCTTTGTGGAGCTCCTCAATGTGGACAAGGAGTTCAAAATCTCCGAGGAGGACGACGAGATGGATGATGATGCGGCGACCCCGAGCGGTGATGAGGATGACCCGTCTCATGAACGCGGCCGGAAACGCAAGGCCACGGGCACGCCTAGCGGCAGGAAGAAGCGGCCGAGATCTAGTTCCCAGCCTCGCAAGCGGGGACGTCCCCGCAAGAACCCGGTCGAGGAAGATGTCGATGCCGAGTTTGAGGAGGATGTTGACTGGTTCTAGCGGGTGGTCCAAAGGGCAGTTCGGGCGAACCCGAATGTATTACTACGTATTATTACGACAGAAGAACGGGGGCAATGAAGGTTATTTTCCCACGAGGTTCGGGACACAGGCGTTCAGGGGCGGCTGGGACGGGTTTATGAAGCGGCGGCGGCATGAATGATACCAAAAGTACTTGGGCACCCACTGGGCTTCCTGCTTCGATATGCTAGGAAGAGGGTCTCATATGGATGACAATATCATAGCTTTGCCTACAGACAGTAGATATGAAGTGCTTTATACGTCTCTAGCGGGTCACCTTAGGCCACATGTGTCTTCGTTCCGTCTCATTGGGATGCTCTAAGATCGAGGACTAAGCGTTGCAGTCTATCAAGTCCGAATTTCAAATTTGCAGTAGGTATCCAGGAGCTGCTTGCTATTCGTGCTTTCAGTGGCCACAAAACATGCCGTATATGTGTATTATCATAACTCATTAACATGACAAGGAGTTGTCGTTATCCGGTTTTAGGTCTTGCCACATGCCATACTAGATGGTTTATACCAGCTCCCAAGCAGCGATCCCCACCCAGCTCATGCCACACGTGCCCTTCTTCTGGAGGAACAGCCGCTTGGAGACGCCCCGGGCGTCGCGGCCGTCGAGCGTGTCGAGGCCGTAGAGCGAGACGGTCTGGCCCGGGGCGCCGAGGTCGCGCGCGGGGATGTCGGCCCACCACCAGAAGCCGCCGTCGTGCTCCATGGGCACGAGGTCCTCCTTGCGGCCGTCGAGGCCGTGGATCTTGAGCATCATGAGGTAGGGCTTCCGGCCGCCGCCGTGCTTCTCGTAGGTCCAGTGCTCGCAGAGCTTGGAGATCTGGAAGCGCACGACCTCGCCGCCGCGGCCGCCGCGCACGGGGATGTGCTTCTCGCGGGGCGCCATGGTCCACTCCGAGATGCCCTCGGCGCGGGCGTTGGAGTAGAGCGTGGCGGGCTCGTCCTTGAGCGGCTCGACGATGTACTCCTCCCAGGTCGGGACGCGGCCGTCGGCGCGGTAGAAGTGGCGGCTGTCCTCGGGGAAGTGCTTCAGGCCGAAGAGCTCGTTGGACATGGTGAACATGTCCGGGTCAAAGACCTTGTTGAAGCGCCTGTCGTTGACGTTGCCGGCTCCCCAGCAGGCGTCCAGGAGCTTCCACTCCCCGCCGTCGACCCGCACCGCGTTCCAAGCGTGGCCAGTCGGTTTGCGAGGCGGCAGCGGGTCGTTTGGCCCCAGCTTGGTGAAGCCGTAGCCCTTGCCGTGTCCGCCTACCACGACGCACTCCAGCCCTGCGCGCTGAGCTATGGCCTGGTAGATCTTGGCATAGCCCTCGCACACGGCTTTCCCGCTGAACATACTCTGCTCGACCGTCTGGCCTCGAGGGATGCAGCCGCCAAAGAAGTTTTCGGCGTCGTAGGCGATGTTGTGGTGGCACCAGGTGAAGATCGCCCGGGCCTTGTCCGTGGGAGACTGGAACGAACTACAGAGGACACGGGCCAGATAGCCTACTGGGTCTTGCCTGGGGAGGCTCGCCACGGGGAACTGCGCTGCCACATTATCGGGGCCGGAAAAGTCCCTGCAGATCAGGCAGCAGTTCTCCCGGGAGATTGCGGGCTCCGAGCGCGTGCCGGCGGCGTTGATCTGCGCGAGGGAAGGCCGCGAGGCCACTGGCACAGGTGGCGGCGCATCGTCGGCCGGTAGCTCCGCGGCGGCTGGTGGCTTCTCGCGATTGTTGAAGCCGAGCTGAAGAACGGATTTTGGCTGCGCAAAACTTGCCGGACGCGGAGGCAATTTTCGGGCAGGCAGGCGTGGCCCGGGCTCGGCCTGCGGTTCGGCAGCCGCCGCCGCAGATCGCGCGGGTCTGCTCGGTAGCCGGGGCGGCAGACTTGGCCTGGCCGGCTCCGCGACACGCGGGACGGCAGGGGAGGATCTCGTAGGTAGGAGAGGCGCCCTCGCCGCTTGCACGGCTTGCTCCGATGCGGCGGCCTCTCTGGCCTTTGCTTCTAGCTCTCTCCTCGTAGGCGGTAGTGGTGGGAGTTTGGCCTGGTCAAGAGGCGGCGGGAGTTTTCTTGTGTTGTGCCCGTCCGTCGAGCCGACACTTGTGGCCGACGAGCTTTGATTCAGCGATACGTTGGAAATTGTCGAGACGTGAGATATGACTGATGAATTCGAGTTTCGCCGGACTCCAATCTGCTGCGAGGAGGGCCGCCGGGGAGGAAGAGACGGGGAGGTCTGCTGGGATGACCTGCGAGACGGCAATGGGGGTGCCAAGCCTCGGCTGGGTAGAGGTGGCGAGCTCTCATTCTCGTTTGCAGGTGCGGTCGTCCTTCGAGGCAGTGGAGGGGGGTCGTCCCGAGCAGAGGGCCGTGCAGGGACGGTTGGGCTTTTCTGGAGAGCAACGGTAGGTCGGACCGGGTTATCGGTGGATTGTCGCGAGACCTGCGAGGCGGACCTGTTTGCCGGAGGCGGGGGAGGGGGCGGTCGCTTGCCAGCTGGAGAGGGGGCAGAGCTCTGGAAGTTCTTCTGCTTGTTGAGAGCGGCAATCCTCTCGGCGAGAGTGGTGAACTGAGGTTCCTCGACATCGGCCATGTTGTCTCTTCCTGGCGTGGCGTGGCGCAACAAGTCTCGACTGCCCAGGTGGCTCGAGGAGAGCAGACGCAGCGAATGAGGTGTTAGGCAGCGAGAACCAACGGCGTGGGCTGAGAACACGATCAGATGGGAGAAACACGGTCCATGTGTGCAGTCGAATCAAGGGAATGGACGCGGGAATACCGCCTCACTGCATGGCCTGTTGCAGATTGTGTACGAAGGCGATGAGGACGACTTCATGGACTGGACTGGACTGGACTGGACGGGACGGGACTCTGCAGAGATGAGAGGGGAACACAGCAAGGCTTTTATGGCATGCTGGATCATGGGCCAGCCAGGGCGGCGAAGAGCTGGACGATCAAATTGACTTGCCAAGCACAGCCTTCGAGCCAGCATGCAGCTAATAATAACCGCCAGACGGCAACTGGATTGGGGGGAATCGCCAACGCGCCCAGTTAATTTAGTGGAGGCTACCCGGCAGGTTGCACAAAAGGCACAGCCTGCAGCGGGACAGGTAGGTGGTGTTAGCGTCTGCGGTGCCCTCTAGTTAGCTAGCGCGGAGGTCCTTTACGGGGCACATCCACTATGAAACGGCGAGCGAGCGGCCCCTCACTACGAGATTGCGCTAAGTTTGCAAGTACGAATTTAAGTCTCTAAGTACCTAAGTAAGGTCTGTTCCTGGTCATATGCGACAAGCAGACGGCATCGACTTGGGAGGACAGGCTAGTCGAAGCATCGAGCCTGGGGTAGCCGCGTCAGCTGCTGGGAAGCCCCAGGGCTCGTCCCTTCTCGGGTTGCTTCTCGAGGCCAGCAGGGATCCATTGTGCGATGCCCGAGCACATTTCCAACCACAAGCTGTTGGCAGTGAGCAGCCGGAGAATTCATGCATGTAGTTAAGGAGTCTGGGAGTCTACCTATGAGCAGCTCAGAATTGCCCTCATGTCTGAACGGAGCGTGAATGCCGATAGGCACCAAAGCATGTCCTGCAGGCAGAGTCCATGATTCAACCTTTGGTCTGGGTTGTGGCATGCCAATCTTGACTCTCATTTCTACCTACTCTGGTGCTCGATGACTTGCGTGTCTTTCTCCAACTTTGACTTCTTTTGCAAGTAAGGTACGGAGGGTACGTAAGGCTGGCCTGCTCCACCTGATTGTCCTGTGGAGCCGGCTCGCAGCATTGATCCCCGCCTTCAACTCAGCGCTCAGGACTCAGGAGTGGCATCCCCTTAGGTAAAGTACCTAAGGTAGTCCCCTGTAAGCCGCGCCTCTTTGTCGCTTAGCTTGCTTTTCTTCCAGGGCGCCCCCCAGCTGAAAGCCACCCACGACCCAAAGAACGCCAACCCCAGAAAGAGCTGGAGCTTGGGCTCCGTAACCGCTTGTCTCTTGGTGCACTGACACTCTCGTCTTTCCATGACCTACCTACCTTACCTACCTAACTACACTCCACTCTACTTCCCTGGTCGAGCTCAACCATATCTCACTCCCTCCCTCACAAAATCGCATCTTTTGCACCGGCCTCTCGCTCTCGAGCCCCCGACCTACTTTGAAGGATTCGGCATACAATCTATCGCGCAGGCCAAGCCGACAATCACCTCCTGCCTTTCTACCATTCCAACCTGCACACCGGCTCCCTTGCCGCGCCTGGCTCAATTGCCCCTCTTGGGCGCCGCCAACGGCAGTCCACAGAGTCCACAGCCGCTTGAGGTCTCTGCAACGCTCGCAGTCGCAACTCCCAAGCCGGCTTTGCTTCTCAAACTTGCCCATCGTGGGCCCTCTCTTTCACCATGGCTTCCACTGGTCCTCAGGAGGACGCAAGCGGCGCAACACACCGCACCATCCTGACCCTCCCAGAAGAGTGTCAGAAGGAGATTATCAGTCATGTACTATCGCCCTCCTTGCTCAGCCTCGCTTCACCATAGACTGACACCTCATTCACAGTGCTCTCAAAGCGACCTGATCTGTCTGTCGCTTGTATGCAAGCAATTTCGAGAATTAGCTGCAGCCGAGATATACCGAAAGTTCCATATTGTCTTCCCTGACGAAGATGATCACGCCTTCGAGTCTTCGATCGACGGTCTTGCTGGTGGGCTCGACACCTTTGTCACCAGCGACTACGACTATGCCAAGCACCTCAAAGATCTGTCGCTGGACACGCTGAGCGCTGGTAGTAAGGCCGAAGCCGCTTACAAGCCCTACCTCTACAGTGTTAGCTGCGGCAAGTTCATGAACACCCTTCTCCTCTTGACCTTGCGGAAAGCCAAAACCCTCGAAACCTTCACCTGGAATATCCGCGTCGAGTTGAGCCGGCCGGTCTATCATGCTCTCCACCAGATCAAGACCCTGAGCCACCTTCACATCCGCCTCCAGGCAGGTCCGTCGCTCTATGAAACGCCGCCTGCTTTGCCCTACCCCATCCCGCCCTTATTCGAGCCTCCTGTCCCGACCAGCCACCCCAGCAGCCTTGGCCCTCCACCTCCGCCGCCACCGCTTCCAGCTTTCGGCGCGCCTCCTGTCTTCTATGTCGGAAATGCGACCTCGGTGCCCCCTCCTCCGCCGCCTAAGCCGCCAACGAGGACAAGGGCGCCCAAGAAGTCCAGCCATTCCATCAACGAGCCGCCGACCTTGTCTGGATTCAAGAATTTGAGGACACTATCGGTCCTGGATATCGATAATCTAGATGTGATCACCGAGATTAAGAAGTGCGTGCGCAACTCTTCAAGCTCTCTGTCTAAGCTCAAGCTGTCCTTCTCCGACGCGCTGGCCTTGCAGGCTCGAAAGCCACCACCGGATATTGATCCAGAAGATTCCGACCCTGATGATGAATTCCAAGTGGTTCCTGTGCCCCAAAGCAGTGGGCAAAACATATCAGATGATGCCACCGGCCCAGCCAAAGCTTTCCGGGCTCAGGAGGAGAGGAAAACCCAGGAGGCTGTCCTGGGCCGCATCTTTGACGTAGAGCCTTATCTTGTCAAGCAAGGGCCGAAACCTCCGGTGCGGAAGGCTGAGACGCCGAAAGAGGAAAAGTCGGCGGCCCCGAATCCCGGCAAGGACTTTATCAATGCTATCAAGGCTGTCTCACATAGGCTGATGAAGGATCTCAATGGATCTACCGCCTTTGACACGAAGCAACAGGAAATCCTTGATATCATCGAGAGTGCCGCTCGGAAGTATGTGGCTGAGGAAGAGCCCAAGACGGCCAAGGACGAGTCCAACGGAGCGGAAGGGTCCAGTTCCAGCGCTGCTTCAAAGACGGAGGCCCCAGAGACAGCGGCTGAAGAGAGTGCAGAGGCGAAGGCTGCCGGAAGCAGCAGCCTGTTCAAAGATGCTGCGGGCAAGGGCAAGGATGTGGACAAGGAGGTGACTCCGGAAGACATCGACGTGGAAGAGCCAGAAGACCAGCTCGCTCTCGAACCGGGAGACGCTCCGAGTGCATCAAATAAGGAGACGGCGGCGGCTTCAGAGGCGGCTTCCGAGGCCACTCCGACCTCTCAGCCAACGCCAACCCCACCGCCAGCGGCGTCAGTCCCGGAAGGAACAATTCAAGAGCCAAAGATTCATGCAGACCTGAGCAGCATCGAGAAGGCGGTCACGAATCTGAATGCCCAGAAGCAGAATTTCCAGACTTTGGCAGAAAAACTGCTGGCCTTCGGGACCCAGGCCAATCAGCTCAACAAAGAAATCATGGAGCATCGGAATGGCGGGGCTCCTTTTGATGTGGCTAGAATCCGAGAGGCGGAGCAACAGATGAACGGCTGCAGTCAGACGATCCAGGAAATTCAAAAGGAAATGGCTACTGTGCAGGCCGAGATCGACGATGCGGAGAAGTTGCTTCCAACCGCTATCACCGAAGCTAACAGCACTGGCACGAGGGAGCAAACTTCAAAGCGCATCAAGGACTACATCAGGTCGACGAGGGGGATGGCTCTGAAGTCTCTCGCCGTCTATCTTATCCCCGTCAAGGCTTCAGTGCTGTGCAAAGCAGTGGATCTGCGCGTCCTGCAAAAGGTCACCCTGCTTAATGTTGGGCCGCAGGCGCCTATCTGGATGCAGTTCGCCAAGGAGAACAGGCTAGAGCCGATAGCTCTGCGCAAGATCTTTACGGACAACGTCGGCAGCGCCTTTCTGACCTTTGTGTCCCAACTCGAAGAACTACACGAGTTCTTTATTCTTGAGCGGGATAATAAGTATAAGCCCGAGAGCTTTGCGCCTGCAACCACCGTCACAATCGACCACATACGTCGACTTGTGCTCAAGAAACATCTCCCGACTCTCAAGCGTCTCTTGATCAAGAATATGGCCTCCCAGGAGTGGGATATGGACGAAAAGTCGATCTTGCTCATCACTCGGAAAGGGAAGAACCTGGAAGAGCTCTCTATGAGCATGAATATTTCAGCGGTCGTGAGTGCAGCCCCTTTCCTTTAAGCATGATGAGACATGTGCATTCAAGCGTGCATGTGCTAACCTGTTTTGGCAGCACGTCCTATCGCAGCACATCTTCGGGCTCAAGAATCTGCGAGCATTGCATGTCATACAGCTCAGGAACGACGACACATGCATGTGGGTGATGCGAGAGACTAGGCGCTTCCTGATCGACAATCTATCGCACTACCCGGAGATGAAGCTTGAGTGGCTTTCGATCGATGACGAATACAGGGTTGAACGCATCGTGCGTCCTGATGACCCGGAGTCGAAGAAGAGCCAGAAGAAGAACAAGGCGAAGGGCAAGCAGAAGGCCAAGGCCTCGCTTACGAATGGCTTCAACGACACCTTCCCAGTCTTGCCGGTCGACGCTCTGGATGGGTTGACCGACAGCAGCGGCGATGAGGATGATGACTCGATGGCACTCAAGCTGGAGACTATTGAGGGCCTTCCGTACTATGACGTCTGGGGTGTCAAGATCTTCAAGAAGGAGGTGGTCAATGGGCGGTTGTGATTATGTCGGTGTTCTATGCTAGGCACGCAGGGGCAAGCTTAGGGGAGAGGCTCTTTTCTGTTTTCGTTCTTGGTCGCGAAATACCCCTTTTCACCTCTTGGGCGATCGGATTTCGATGTAGCCCAGCAGCTAGCGTTCTTTTTCCCCAGCGGCTTGGAGTTTCTGGTCTGCATTTCATTCTAGAGCGAGAGATATCCCTAGTCGCATTATTATCATGACGTGCACGAAGTTTACCAGGAGGTAGTAGATCTGTACGAGAGACAATGGTTCCACACACTCATTCACCTCGCTGCTTGGCGCGCTTCGTGCGTTTTGTTATGTATCCCGCAGTATGCCGATATGCACCACGAAGCCAGAGCCCGGCCCGAGTCGGTCGGGCAGTTCTGCGTCGGGCACTCTCCACACGCGGAAGGCCTCGTGAAAGTGCCTGATCCACGCCTCGAAGACTCCCGAGTCCCGCAGCTGCTGTGCCACGATGCACACCGTGGGCGGCCCGCCGGCGTCCTCCTCCTCCTCCTCCTCCTCGTTCCGGCCGGGCGGCCGCCGCAAGCGGCAGCCGTCGACGCACGTCTGGACCAGCGGGGCGATGAGGGCCTCGTTGTAGATGCAGTCGCAGGCGATGACGGCGTCGAAGCTGGTCTGGTCTGCTGACGGGCTGAGCAGCGCCGCGGCCGTCACCTCGTCCGTCTCCCAGTCGAGCGGCACGAAGCGGATCCTGTCGCCGAGCAGGGAGGAGGAGAAGGAGGAGGAGGCGGCGGCGGCGGCGTGCTGCTGCTGGCGTGCCGGCCTGGCTCGGCTTTTTGACGACGACGACGACGACGACGCCGACGCCGTCTTCTTGGAGGAGAGCGGCGGCAGCGGCGGGAAGCAGGCGCCGCGGTTCTCCTCGATGTTCTGCTCGACGAGCCGGGCGACGTAGGCCTGGTCGGTCAGGACGTAGGTCGACACGGAGGGCGCGAGGGCGAGCCCGACGACGGCCGAGATGCCGCACCCGAGCTCGAGGACGGCGGAGCGGCGCGAGAGGGCGCCGGTCCGGAAGAGGAGGTTGGCCGGGGAGGATACCCACTCTGCGAAGACGGGGGTGACTTTCCAGACGACTTTTATTTTGGGGGGGGTTTGTTAGAAGGGCTTATGTCAGATTATTTTTTTGGGAAAGGGGGGGTTTTGACGATCCATCTCAGGGGGGTGGTGGATGGATGATGATCCATGAACAGCATGGACTGGACTTACCTGCCCCTGTCGTTCCGCCGGGGCGGTTGGACGAGAGGACGGCCGGGGACTGGTGGATCGTCAGGTCCCGGCCGGCAATGGTGAGGTCGAGTGCCGACGCCCTGGGGTCGATGAAGCCCAGGTTTCCCGAGGGTATGTCTTGGGAGAAGAGGACAAAGGTTTCTTTTTTTGGAGGGGGGTTTCACGACAAATAAGTGAGCTCAAGAGCAGGTCGCTACTATTCCCAACAGCTAACTTTTGACTACGTACCTTCGTCCGGATCGTCAATCTCAGAGCCGAGATGTTGCGTGAGAGTGTCCGGGTTCATGGCAGAGGATCAAGGCTGCATGCATAGTTCCGAGGTGCTACGGTTCTACAGTTTCAGAGTTTCAAGAGTCAGGGATGTGTGTGCCTGTCGTGCTTTAGCCTATCTCGTTTCTGTTATCGGCAGGAATCCACCGGCCGTGATTACAGCACCAACCCATTTTGGACCACGGCGAGGAAAAAAGGGCCATCTGTTGAGTTAGACCCAGTGTGGTTGCTTACCCGATTATGCATGAGAAAGGGGGGGTGAGGAAGTGTCGAGGATCAGATCCGCTGACAGGTTATTGTATGTGTCTATACGGTCAGGTTTGGGATAAATGAGGCTGTCATCGACCAAGTGGTGTAAGCAGAAGCAAGAGGTCAACTTGTTTGGGACATGTAGCGCGCCGAGGGATCCGGGAGCACGCGGCTCGTCGGGTGGCGGAGAACCGGGTTTAAGGGGGCAAAGGGGCAAGGTCCGGTCGCCGGGTCTGATTCGGTTGGGGTTGGTTGACGTACGTCTGTCTACAACAGTTGCTTCTGCCTTGTGCTTGAAGTTGACTCGTGGTCTGGTGGTTACGCGTGGCAAAAGACTGGAAGGGGGGACAAACAACAGCAGACTTCCAGCTCCGATCCAGCCCGTTTCTGGGCAGCGGTCTTGGAGACCAGTCACGATGGACACCCGTGGCTTTCTGCCAAGAGACGTGCGCCCAGTAGACGCAGACCGCGAGACTAGGCCTGTTGGTGTTGTTGGGGTCTGTTGGGGGGCGAGGGGGAAGAAAGCTGGAGGCGGGCTGGAAATGCGGACTTGTTGGTTGGATGGACGAACCAACAACTCGCCCTACGGGTGCAAAACTACTTGGACAAGTACAAGTACAAGTACATTGGTGCGTCCGAATTGCGCAGCTCCGGCGTCCAGAATCGGCAGCATACTATCCAAACAAACAAACTACAGGCTGGAAAAGACGTGAAAGAGCACCCTGAGTTTCCAGATTGACATGCTTGAGGCTTGAGGAGCAAATCACTGCGATGGAGAGTGAAGAAGATTATGACAAACCTGTTTCGTGCATTGGTCACAGCAATCGATCTAGATATAAGCGGTAGAATAGGTTGTTGTCTCATCAAGAGCTGCCGCTACTGGCATCACCAGGACGATAGAGAATACATCCATATCTTCTTTCTCGTTGACATGAGCTACCTACCAGGCATCTCGACAACGAGATGACGAAAATACTAGGTTGTAAAGGACTAATTCTTTCTCTATATAAAGTTGACGATGCTAGAGACCACCGAGACGGTAGTGCTAGTTCACTAGTTATATGGGAATGGTGGATCGAAAGGTTATATGTTCAATCCGGGTGTCCCTCAGTTTCCTTTTTTGCGGTCCATACAATTCAATCTTGACCTTGTCTGGTCTTGTTTATTTGTTGTTTGTTCTTTCTTTTTTATATGTTTTTTGAGGCGTTATTTACCGAGTTATTGCTGATTTTCTATCGGGTTTTTGGGTAGATACCAGGGCCCCGTTGGAGACAAACTGGCAGTGCCTCGGTGTCCCTCTCTCTTGGCCCTCGAAACGCCTCGAAACGAGTCGGAAAGAAAGAGAATCCGGTACCTGTCTCTGTCCTCCCTCGTCTGCGGTGTCCCAAGGCTTGGTCCTGGTTGTCCTGGTTGTCCCTGGTGATCCTAGACAGCAGATGACCTACAAGTATCTGGACTAGATATGTCCTTACAGAGTTCATACAGTGCCCCTCTCCCCCCAGCCAAGGATTCGTCGACTTGGCTGCTTACTGCATTTGGCAGAGGATGCAGCCGGGGTTGATCCAGGGTTGGTTGGTTGGCGCACGCACGCATGTCTGGCTGGAGTCTTGCCCCTTTTGCAATGGCCCTAGGTCCTCCCTGTACAGGTACTTGTACAGATCCGTGCCTCCCAGCCTACAAGTAGATTAGGTACCCCAGCGCGCCCAGCAGCGCACAAGCAGCACCTGGACGGCAATATGACGCGGGTCGGCCACCTCGAGCGCTGCAGGTGGGCCCTGTCCCCTCTCCACCCCAGACCAAAAAGGCACCAAGCGACCAGGCCAAGACGTGCTGTAGTGCCTGCTAGCACCGCAAGCGGCGTAGTGAGACTGTGGGTGTGATGGTGCCTTGGTGCATTGGCCACAGGCGTGTCGAACACACCCATAATAATGCTGGAGGTACCTACTGTAGTATTAGTCGTAGTCTAAATTACCGAAAAAACAACCTTGGGAGAGCGCCCTTTAGAGACTGCTGGCCCTGCTCCAGCCTACCTATTATTCCACCCTCCTCCCACTCATTCTCTCGCACTTCTCCAAGTAGACCCTCCAGAGAGAGACCCAGTGGTATTTCCTTCTTCTCTACGTCCCTTTGTTTCTTTCTGCCCTGTCCTGCGCTCGCCCAAGCTCGACTGCTACCAGGTCGCTACTCCAGACCAGAGAGTCCGGTGCCCACATCCACCGGCTGTCCTAAACTCCTTCCTGTCGTCACTCTACTCCGTAAGCTTGCTAGCTTAGGTAGCTCTCAACTCGTCCCCCAACCAACCCCTCAAAGCTCCAGGCCGAGCTTGATCCTCCGCCAATCCTCCCTCCTCAGGCCGACCACAGCTGCCGACAGCTTCCACAGACCTCAGATCCCAGACCTCAGAGACGCCGCGTCAAGATGGTGGCCCCCGACATGCAACATGTGCACCTCGTGCCAAAGCTGACCGCGAAGCCGCCCTTCTCCGTCGAGGTCCCCGGCCAACAGCCCGTCAAGGGCGAGACGCCCGTCCGCCGCCACCCTATCGCTAAGGACGAGCTGTACGTCAAGCCCGCGCCCGACATCTCCACCGTCTACGAGCTCGTCAAGGCCTCGGTCGCGAAGTATGGCAACGCAAAGTGCATGGGCTCGCGCAAGCTGCTGCGCACCCACCAGGAGACCAAGAAGGTCAAGAAGATGGTCGACGGCGAGGAGCGCGAGGTCGACAAGCAATGGACCTTCTTCGAGCTGAGCGGGTACGAGTACATCAACTACTACGAGTACGAGAAGCTCACCTTGCAAATCGGCTCCGGCCTGCGCAAGCTCGGCCTCGAGAAGTACGACCGCGTCCACGTCTACGCCGCGACGAGCCAGAACTGGCTCGCCATGACCCACGGCGCCGGCACCCAGACCATGCCCATCGTCACCGCCTACGACACCCTCGGCCAGGAGGGCCTCAAGCACTCCATGGTTGCCACCAAGGCCAAGTGCATCTTCCTCGACCCTCACCTGCTGCCGACCCTGGGCAACGTGCTCAAGGACGCCACCGAGATCAAGTTTGTCATCTGGAACAACCAGAACCAGGCCAAGCAGGAGCACATCGACCAGCTCAAGGCCTCGTACCCTCACATCACAGTCATGAACTTTGAGGAGCTCCGGAAGCTCGGCGAGGACAACATGGTCGACCCCGTCCCGCCCCAGCCCGAGGACCTGTGCGGCATCATGTACACTTCTGGCTCGACCGGCACGCCCAAGGGTGTGCCGCTGAAGCACAAGTCCGTCGTCGCTGCCGTGGCTGGTGTCAGCGTCGTCGTGCAGCCCTTCATCGGCCCCGGCGACGGCCTTCTGACCTACCTGCCCGCCGCCCACATTCTCGAGTTCGTCTTCGAGAACGCCGCCATCTTCTGGGGCGCCACCATGGGCTACGGAAACCCCAAGACGCTGTCTGACAACTCGGTCCGGAACTGCAACGGCGACATCAGGGAGTTCAAGCCGTCCATCCTCGTCGGCGTCCCTGCCGTCTGGGAGACGGTCAAGAAGGGCATCATTTCCAAGGTTCACGCGGGCAGCCCCATCGTGCGCTCGCTCTTCTGGAGCGCCCTGTGGGCCAAGAATAGCCTGATGAGCACAGGCCTGCCGGGCTCCGGCGTCCTCGACGCTGTCGTGTTCAAGAAGATCAAGGAGGCCACCGGCGGCCGCCTGAAGCTCTGCATGAACGGCGGCGGCCCCGTGGCCAAGGAGACGCAGCGCTTCATCTCGATGGCCATCTGCCCCATGATCATCGGCTACGGCCTGACCGAGACGACGGCCATGGGCACGCTGCAGAACCCGCTCGAGTGGACGACGCATGCCCACGGCGCCATGCCCGCGTGCATCGAGGCCAAGCTCGTCGACTTCCCCGACGCCGGCTACTACGCGACCAACAAGCCGCACCCCCAGGGCGAGGTCTGGCTGCGCGGCCCCTCGGTCATGGACGGCTACTACAACGACGACAAGGAGACCAAGGAGGCCATGACGGACGACGGCTGGTTCAAGACGGGCGACATTGGCGAGTGGGACAACCACGGCCACCTCAAGCTCATCGACCGCAAGAAGAACCTGATCAAGACGCTCAACGGCGAGTACATTGCGCTCGAGAAGCTCGAGTCCATCTACCGCACCGCCCACGTCGTCGCCAACATCTGCTGCTACGCCGACAACAACAAGTCCAAGCCCGTCGCCATCATCGTGCCCGCCGAGCCCGCCCTCAAGAAGCTCGCGCCCCCCGGCGCCGAGGACAAGACGCTCGAGCAGCTCGTCCACGACAAGAAGGTCCAGCTCGCCGTGCTCAAGGAGCTGCAGAACGTCGGCCGCGCCGGCGGCCTGTCGGGCATCGAGATCATCGACGGCGTCGTCCTGTCGGACGAGGAGTGGACGCCCCAGAACGTGAGTTTCGCTCTCTCTCTCTCTCTCTTCGAGACCTTCCCTCCCCCCCCCTTCTTTCCTCTCTTTCATATGTATATATCTTTTATTCATGCTAATACCACTTCATCAGGGCCTCGTCACTGCCGCCCAGAAGCTGAACCGCAGGGGCCTGCTGCACAAGTTCCAGAAGGAGGTCGACGCGGCCTACGCCGCCGCCGGAAACTAGGTGTTTGTTCTGATTTGACAAAGGAAACGTGTGGACGGACGGACGGACGGGGTATGCAGGGCTTTCTTTGTCGTCTTTTTTGTTTTGTTCTTTTTTTTTTTAAATCTGCGGGGCGAGCATGCTGGAAACAGGTGCCTTTTATTGACGATGATGTCTCTGGTCCAATGTTTCTTCCAGATTCTTCTTTATTGCGTGTGTACTTTTTAGTTGTATACCTTTTACAAGTCCTCGATATACTGCTTTCTCACGTAGTTACCTCCTACGCGTTTCAGTTGGGGGTGGAAGAGTCTCGACTCGGCCACTTCTTCAACGTGACAAAAGCGCGGGCTGCCTGTGACGTAGTGGTTCCCCGAGGGCTTGGCAGGTGTATGTATGCACAGGGGACTGGCGCACTAATCAGCAGGCTCAAGACAGTAATAACTTGCTATGAAGACTACATATACGATAGAGGAGTTCGTACCAATGCCGGCAATCGACCAGAGGACTCTAGGCGCGCAACGGCCAAGCAAAAAACAAAAGGATTCCCAGTCGTCCGTGCAAAGCCGTATCCGTGTCATGTCCCCGGAATCCCCAAACAACCGTCTGTCTCCCGTTGCGACAAACCCAAGCGCCTTTCGGCCTACCAAAAATGCTTTTTCGTGACTTCGTCGCAACCCGACTTTCCTTCGTGAGTGATCATGGCCGAGTCGTCCAAGGTGAGTGAATCAGACGAGGCCGTCGTAGAGCGAGAGGGCTGAAACGATGGTCTCATCGCGTTTGGAACCCTCCTTGAACTCGTCCATGTCGAGGCTGCCATTCTCGTCCTTGTCCATCATGCGGAAAATCTTCTTGACGCGCTTCTCGGGGGTATCTTCGTCCTCGGGCAACTTGACCATGGATCCAACCTATGGACCAGTCCATCATTTGTCAGCAAACTCTGATGCTCTCAAAACTGCTCGCTCTTCCGAGCCCACGGCAGAGCCCGCGCACGGGGGAGCAGAGACGTACCATCTTGTAGATTGCCTCTACTATCTGTAGCATCTCGTCGTAGCTGATCTTGCCGTCACCGTCGATGTCGTACAGCTGGAATGCCCAGTCGAGCTTGTCCTCCATCTTCCCGCGGCTCGTAACGCTCAGGGCACAGATGAACTCCTTAAAGTCAATTGTGCCCGATTTGTCGCTATCGAACACATTGAAGACGTAGTCGGCGAATGACGATGGGTCCCCGAACGGGAAGAACTGGCGGTAGATCTTTTGGAACTCCTCCTTGGAGAGCATGCCGGAGGGGCAGTCCTTGAGGAAGCCTGTAGAGGTGGTAGACGAGACAGTCAGTATTTGGTGTTTCTCCTCTCGCTCCAGCGCGAGCGGCCGGGTGGGCGCAAATAGCACAGCGTCCCTGACGAGTGGCAAATAGAAATAGAGTATTGGGTTCAACTCACCCTTGTACCATTGCTGCAGCTCCTTCTTGTCAAAATGCGTCGACTTTTGCAACTCTGCAAGCTGCTCTTGGGAGAGCTTGGATTGTCTATTGGAAAGGGTAAGAATCGCACCCAGTTAGCCAGGCGACCGGATCGCGCGGGTTGAACGAGGCTGGGTAGGGGATTGGCCTGTCAATGTGCGCATTGTCCTCGCGCACGAGGCAATGTCTGTCATGGTTGTCTTGCTGTCCTCGCTGAATTGCGCGGTCCTGGCTGCCCAGGGCCTTGCCCGAGAGGCGAGGGAGGAACCACGAGGCGCGGCGGACGGACAAGCAGAGCGCATGGCACAGGACCAGGCTGCGGGGTGGGTGAAAGAGGGCGGAAATGACGAGGGTTTTCGCTGCGCAAGGGAGGGGGGGAATGCTCACGATTTGCCCATGACAAATGATGGGACGGGGTCTAACGGCGCAGCCTTGCTCTGAGGGAAAGGAAAAGGCTGTATCGACTACTGCGGCCGTGGGGGATTTGTTGTTTGAAGGGGGAGGTCGAAAGGGCCGGGCGGCGGGCAGCAGTTATCGCGGCTTGTAATCAGGTTGAGGGGTCCCTTGAGTAGGTAGGTGGCTCTTTCTAGCAACCGCGCGCGCAGTGCGGTTTTGGGAGGAGCGCTAGCTCGGTGGCGGCTCGGAAACGGTGACGACAGCGTCGCTGATGAATGAAGGTTCAAATGTTCCTAGTCTGGTCCGGCCCGCACCGGCGCTGACACAACTTTGAAGCAAAGTTCAAAGACAGTGCTGTGTAGGTATTCTTCAATAAGAAGGGTTCGAAGAAAAATGAAGTTGAAAAGCCAAGATCCCAGAGAAGCGCGGCACAAGAGTGGCAGGGCTGGTGCCTGTCAAAAAGTGGCAGCTCGAGGTACGGCAGGGGCAGGCTACTCCGTAGTGGATGGGAAGGATGGGATGGGACGAGAAGGGAAGGAGCGAGAGCCAGGGAAGGAAGAGCAGCAGGGAAGATAGGCCAGATCAACTAGTAGGGAAGGAAAGTACGGCGCTCGAGAAGAAAAGGCCAGGCCAGGCCACATCTGCTACATGTACTTGTAGATGTCAAAGGATAGGAATGGATGACGAGCAGCTGGTCAGAGGAGGGCCCGGCAACCTAAACGCTATCCAGGGCGACCTACGAATACAAGTGGATGGCACCACTACCTGCCTACCTGCCTACCTGCCTACCTACGTACTCGATACTCAATCAAGCAACAGTGAAAGTCGAGCAAAGATCAAGCCTAATAATAGGTCGAGGACTGTCATCACCCCTCGACACCGCACGCCTGGGCGGCACTGCGCCAGACCTGATTCGCCCGTTCACGGGCACAGAGTTCAAAGAATATCCGATTGCTTTTTGGGACGCGGCATTGTACTGTACTGTACACCATCCTGCCTACTTGAACGCGCCAACAGCTCTGGCGCTGTATCTGGTATGTGGTACCTTACGTTGTCTAGGTATGTTACAGCAGCATTTGCCTTGATGTGACGCATGTGCCATGTGGATTTCGATGCTAGCGTTTCCCCTAGGCTCGGATATTGAGCATTTCGCCGCCGCCGTTTCCATGGCCCGTTAAAGGGCCGGCCTTGGAACTGCGTGTCGAGGATGACAAGAAGTCGCCAAGCATCCAAGCCACTCTGGTAGTTGCTAAAAGCCCAAGCAAGTTTGACAATCATCGGAAAAGGAGCCATTCTCCAGTCTTCTTGCTTGCATGCATACATACATGTACATGATAAGGTGGAGTGAGGGGCAAGCAGGGGTTCAGAATAACTAGTGGACGGAAAGATCATCAGGATGGCACCTCAATGCTAATAATGCGTACAAGTAGTTATCTCTTTCTGGGAGGGCGTCACACGGCGCATGAGGGGAGGTCCTTTGACAGGATGGGCAGGGGTAAACGCCCGAAAGAGGGGGGGGAACTCCTGGGTCCCACAGCCCGAATTGACAAAGCAGAGCAGGCAATTCGATTCAGGGCAGTGAAATGCAGGGCTGTGCCATCGTGTGCTTCTTCCCAACAACTCAGTCTAGTCCTCGAGACGAGCCTGGATGAGGCAGCCTGGTTCTTCTCCGCTTTGCCACGTCCAATAAATACTAGCAGGTACAAGTACAAGGCAATGCAACAGGCTTCGTTCACGGCGAGAGATATGCTCCTTTGACTTCACTCGAGAAATTAAGGTAGCTAGGACCACTGTATCACAGGCAGGCTGAAGCCATGCCTACGGAGTAGTCTCAAGCGAGGAGGCAAAAAGGAAGGCTGCAAGTCTTCATCACATCGTCCTCTATTTGCGTCGTGTCAATCAGTTCCACCAGAAGCTTATACTCACGCTCACACTCAAGCTCCTGACATAATGCCACCACCCAACAGGTATGTACAGAGCATCCCCGGGCCCCAGAATGCAGTCGACAAACGGCACGGCCCTGAACGACTCCAGCTCGCCGCTCCGGAACCGACTTCCGGGCGCGGTCCCGTCCCAGCCCTCCACCGCCCCGACGTCGACGGCGCTCGTGTTGCGCATGTCGACGCCGTTCTCCTCGCCCCTCGCCCGCATCTTGGCGCCCTCTGTGGGCGCGTACAGGCGGACGTACTTTCGCCCGACCACCTGCGTCAAGAGGTTGTGGTAAGGGTCGGTGTGCAGGGGCGTGATGGTGCCGGCGGGGCCGAGCCAGGCGTTGACCAGCGGCTCGTCGAGCTCGGGTCGGCGCCGAGACGGGTCCGGGTGCGGCGGTGGGGCCGTGTAGCAGTAGTCCGGGATGGCGATGTCGCCGCGGAGCTGCGGCAGCTGCCGGAATAGAGCATGCTGCGCCAGGTATCCCGTCTTCCCGTCATGATCGGATGGAGTCGGCTTGATGATCTTGCTGGAGAGAAAATCGCCAAAGGCCATGATCTCTTGCTCCCAGTCGGCGTCGACGTAGCTGCGCCCGATCTCGACGGGGACAAGGCGCCGACCTTCGAATGTCCGCGACAGCAGGTAATTGGGGCATTTCCACGGGTGAGTGGTGTAGGCAGGCCAATTTTTGATGAGGTCGGTCACAACCAAGGGTTTGAGGCAGGACCCAGCACCGTCGAGAAACTGTTGAAACTCCCACATCGGGAGTGGCCTGACGCGTTTGACTGGGTTTGTGACGGGTGGGGTCAACGGCTCTGCTTCTGAGAAACATGGTTGATCTTGCCAGCCCTCATTTACTTCTACACTTCGATCATCTCCCAAGTGGTGCTTCCAGGTCTCGTGAAGTAATGCCAGCGCCTGATGGATCCATCCGCTCCCTCGTTTCTCGCCGGCTCCGCCAGCCAGTATCAGCGCCAGATCGAGAGGTTTGATCAAGGCATCGACGCTTGCAACGTCGGGAATCGTTCCCACGCCAGTTGAGGACGCACTCGCAGGGTATGAGGAGTATAGCAGGGCGAACTTGAGGATGCTCGCATCCGTGTACATCTGTCTCCAGTAACGTGGCAGTCCTCCAGATATGTATGCGTAAAACTTGGTATATGTGGCCGAGATAAGCTCATCGAGCTCGCTCACGAGCGTGCTTTCATTCGAGGCCTGCAGACCTGTGCTCTCTCCCGGGACTGCTTCATGCTGACCTCGGCTGGACGCGTACAAAGCAAGCACCCTGACCGCTAGATTCCCCAGAGCAATCACCATTGGCTTGCCGCATGGTGCCAGGGGTCCTTCTGTCCTCAAACTGTCGTGAATGGCCACGCCATGATCATCGAGGCCACACTCATCGGCTATCTGGTGTGCGGCCGTAGCACATGCAGCATGCAATTGTCTGCAGGGGAGAGTGGACATGGTGCACCATATTCGGCGGTCAGCACGCGAGACCTCTATTCTGGGGGAAAATAGTACGGTCCTTGCATTTCCGACGCCTTTCTCTGGGGCCGATTGGTCGAGCTTCGTTGCACAAAGAGGTTGGAAGCAAGATTCTGGACCCAATTGCTGGATCAAGGGGTCGACGAGAAGCTCATTAGCAGGGATCAACGCCCGCGTTCTGAACTCGTACTTAAAAAGATCACACCTTTCGGGGTGGGGCGCGCGAGTTTCTAGGCCTTCTCCCAAGCAGGGAACTGTTCCTAGAGAACCCGTCCTTGACGAAACTGTCACACAAGGCATTTTCACGGAAAACTACTAGTAGGCTTGCTTTGACATGCCATTTGTTCAGGAACGAGATGTCATTTGTTCAGAAACGAGGGACTAGACGCATTTCTGAAAGCATGACGCAGCGCTACGTGGGCTCAAGATTCGGGGATGTCCAGGGGCTTTCGCATCTCGCCAGTGCTCTCCAGCCTTTCGCCTACATCGGCCTCTTTCACCAGCCTCATTCCTCCCAGGAATCTCGGGCTGCAACAGCCGAGAATGGCCTCACTTGATCCGCGTTATCTTGGTGAAAAGATCAGACTGAAGAAAGATACCAGCCGAGACCGAGTGCCACGGCTTGCCAGGGTAGACAAGCGCGAAGTCATACCGGCGCAGGCACTGGTCGAATTGGTCAGCTGGAGCGTCCCAAGAACTCGCGCGTATCGGATAGTTTAAGCAGGACCACTTACCTCGACAAAGACCTTGTTCAGCTCGATGAGCGCGACGTTCTTGCCAAGGCACTGCCACTTGCCGTACTTGAAGATGAGATCCCTGGTGCTGTTCATCTCTTTGAGCTGCGCCTCGTCGGCTTCGAGCCAACGCTCGGGGCGGAAGACCTCGGCGTCGACCCCGTAGACGGACTGAAGGCTCTGGAGACTGAACATGGCCACGCCGACCTCGACGCCTTCAGGCACGGGTATTCCACACAGCACATCGCCCCCGGGAGGGACAATAGTGTCCATCGTCCCCGTGACTGGGGGGTTGATGCGGAGGCCCTCCTTGATCACCGCCTGCAAGTATGGGAGCTGGCGGGCCTCCGCCTCCGTGATGGGCGACGAGATCCGCCCTTCTGCCGATGCGGTTCGCACCTCGTTGGCCAACCGGGCATACGCCTGCGGCGAGGTCATCAGGTGCAAGAAGGTGGCACGCAGCGCCGTTGCCGTCGTGTCGGATCCTGCGATGATCTGCACAAGTGTCTCCCCCTCGGCTTCTTCCCGCGTCAGACCATGAGCGAGGAAAGAGCCGAGCATGTCCTTCCGGTAGGGGTCATCCGACGCTAGCCGTTCGTTCACGACCTGCTTCGCGACGCTATCAAGTGAGGCGTGTCAGCGTGTTGCTCTGTCCGCTACGGTGACAAACGACGACGGGGTGTTGTACCTAATAAAGGCACCAAACCCAACCCGGTCACGCTCAGAGGGCATGAGCCACCGGAAAAGCTTGGTTTGTAATGTCTTGGCGAGTACGGGAAAGAGCGACAAGACCATCATCACCGGCATGCTGTCCTCCGTTATCTGAATGTACGAGTGTACATCCGTGTCTTGGTCGATGTAACCAAACTTTTGGCCGAAAGCGAGCGAGGTAATGACATCTAGTGTCAGGTACTGCACCTTCCTTGCCATGTCGACCGGGCGAAACTCTCTGTCGGTAGAGATGTATTTATGCTCCAAGAGGTTCAAGAAGGCGTGGATTTCCTGATCGATAGCCGTCTCCAGAGCCTCATTGTCCTTGCCAGCATACTGGGTTTCGTCATTGTGAGTCTCAGTCTGGCAGAAAGCAAGTGCAGGAGGGCAAAAATTCACTTACACCGGGGGCCATCTTGGCCCGGAGTTCATTATGAAGGGTGTCGTCCCTCATCGAGATGAGGTTATCCCGTTCCGGGTTGAACCTCACAGCCTCATAAAAGGAACCCTTTTTGTAAGGGGACCTGACGGCCCAGAGACGCCGAATCACATCGGGATTGTTTGTGACCAGATTGTTGGGACCGATGCGTACCAGGGGGCCTGTCGCGCCGCATTACGTTGCATCAGTCAGTCAGCTTTTGGGTAGTTACTTGCATGGGAAAAAAAGCAAAGACATTCTGCTGTCCCCCAGTATGAAACAACCTTGTACACATGGAATGGTGGCAGGAATCAGGGCAAGGGACAGGATGACGAGTGCTGGAAATTGATTCGAAGCCGAGGGCACGGAAGCGAAAAGCCCCTTACCGTATTGCTTGCAGGCTTCTTTCGTTGCCAGATGCATGTGTCCGCCCAAGGTGTTACGCAGCATCCACCACTTGCTCAGGGCCGCCCATCGCGGACCGGGTATGTGTCTGAGGCGGCGCCACGAGAGAAAGTTGATTGTCGACCAGTAGAGGAATAGGAGAGTTGCGAGCAGCAGTGTCAACGAAGTCTCGGGACTTCCCATCCTGGTGATGTTCATCTTGTCGCAACGTGCTTCTCTTGTCCGCAGGCTAGGACCTCGTTTCGCGGGCAGGATGGCTGGATGAGAAGAAGTAAAGAGAAGACCTGCCCGAGGAGAAGAGGCAAGATGATGGGTACCGTGCTCAACGCAAACAGAAAATCGGGTACCGCTCGTTGAGTGCCGTCACACCCTTGTCGAAAGTCAAATGCAGGGAAGAGTTTCCAGGCCGGGCAAGGTCGATACGACGACGGCCGCAGTTGACGACGGGGTAAGACAACGTGCTCCGTTGAAAGATCGTGTCTGCAGTGGCGTGTATCTGTCTGTTTGCTCGTTGACAGAACGTAGCGGGCTGAGATTCGTCTGGCTATCTGATCTGTGGTATAAGGTAGGTCCTTGTGGCTCGCAACCTCATGAGTCTGTGAACCGGACTGCAGGGGCTGTATTTATTTCACGATCCTGTCCGTCAAACCGGCACGCCTCTGAGCAGACCAGCAGACCAGCAGACCAGCAGCAAGAAGTCCTGAGATCCCGAACATGCACGTAGTTCCCCCGCCCGTGCTACTGCGATTACCGAGTCTACAAGAACGGCATGGCCTCGAAGCGTTTTCTCGCCATTGACGTCGCATCCGACCCGCAGCCCGTCTTCCAGGATGATGCAACTAGGTGGCGGTCCGGGTGTCCGATGCAGGCTTGACTGAATAGACTTCGGCTGGGCGTGGAAATGAGGTTAGGCGGCGCGGTATCATTGCCCAGAACCAGTCTATTAGGCGCTGCTCATCACCATCACCTCCCCAATTGGAGGGATAGCCAATCACTGTTCGAGTGTGGTCGAGAGTCCCCCATCTCGCTGAGCTGCACGGACTTGTCGTTACTGGTGAACCTTTCGCCTGGGAACTGTCGGTGCAGTCCCAAGCCGCCACAGACACCAGCGACAGGCCCAGCGACTGTGACGATGGCTGCAGCCCTCGCAGGAGGGTGTTCTCCTTCGGGTTAGTGGCCATGTCCCATCACACAGGCTGCTGTCACAAATCTCAGCTGGACAAGTCAGGCTTCCGCCCGACCCTCCTCAGGACTCGACGTAATCGGCTGTTTCTGGCAGCACTTTGCTTTTTTTGCGCGACTGACAGACGCCATGAGTCGAGCTCGAGGACGTACGTGGCGCACTGCATGCCATTATTGACAGGATTGTCGTCGTGAGGGGGGGCTTGTCCCGAGCTGCCCTCGGTATTGGGGTGGTGGTGGCCTGTGATGCAGCCTTCTTCTTGCAGGTCTTTCTCGCTCTTTTCCCTCCAAGCTTGTCCCTCTCCTCCTCCTCGTCTCCTCTCCTCTCCTCTAACCTGTCCCCCTTCACTGGAACTTTTGTGATCCTGCACATGCTTTCATCCGCAATATTTGATCAAACAAATGGTCTCAGACCCGCACTACTCCTCAATAGAAGCACTGGAACAAATTTCCACACCAGATTCCCCGTCTAGTCAAGGCGATATCCTTGCAACCTGCCAGTCAGGTGCCACGGCCATTCAAAGGTAAAAGCGATACAGAAGATGCGCGATTGAAAGCCAGACTCCCCACCAAAGACTCGGCACACCTCGTTGAAGGTGTGACCAGGGATGTGTGCCACCCGCGGTCCATCATTTGCGTAATGGGAAACGAGCTGCCCATGCCCCGTCCACTGAGCTTTGAGCGATTGGCAGGCCTATCCTGTACCTTGCCGGCTTGCCCTCTGCAAGGACTTCCCACCGCGGAATCTCAAGCATGGCGAACGGAGCTATCACTTTCGCTTAATCAATGTGAGAACAGCTGAAAGCCAATCCGCCGGCTCCTTGTCCCACGTCGAGCTGGGACTTGGGCAGCACTGGGCAGCTCGTGACCTGCAGCTTCGCGAGCAGAGGTGATGGAGCCTTGGAAGAGGCTGCTAGTCTCAAGCCCCAAGACTAGCAAGCAAACAAGACGGGATTGTCTCACACGCCAACCACAGAGCTTACTACCCCTCCCTCCTCCTCGGCCTACAAGTAGTTCTCCATCCATGATCATCCTCCATGTGCCTTTCTCCTCGCCGTCCCCACCCGGTGAGGAGGGTCTGCGCTCTGGGCCGCCCCCGAGAGGTTGCTTCTCGTTCATGGACGGCAACAGCTTGGGGTGGGGACTGGGAGGAGTGCGCCCAGCGAGGGCCGGCTGTGTGAGCTTTCTTTTCTTTTCCGGGGACCTGTCACTGCATCCCCCGATGCTGCTTGCTCCTCCATTGATGCCTCTCCTCGCTCATGGCTGAAGCTTCCTCGACAGGCATTGTCTCTCGCTTGTCGTCGATTCTGAGCCAACGGCCTGGAGAAGGAAATCCCTTAAGAATGCCGCCTCGCTGCCCTCGACCGAGGGGGCAGACTCGAGACTGTTCTTTGCAACTCGTTGTCTCGTCTGTCCGAGGTCGTGTCGAGTCCATTTCTGCATCAATTTGTTTGTGCGCAAGACACCTTTGGTTCGAGTAGGGGGAAGAAACAATTCAACACCAACAGTTGCTCGTCTTGCTCATTGAACAAACTCTCTCTCTCTCTCTCTGCTCGCACACTCACTCAACGGAAGCGTCCATACCACTAGGGCACCGCAGCCGCTGCTGCTCACATAGCCCACACGCCTCTTTGGTTCCCCGTGCGACTAACGGTTTCTTCCCTCGTCTCGTTTGACCATTTGAACTCTCTGAGTGGCAATTCTTCCCTTCTCAACAGCAATGGCCAACATGGTCCAGCAGGACGAGGGCATGGTGCTCGAGGCTGACGATGTATGTCCTCCTCCCCGCCGTCCGTCTAGAATTCTTCGATGCCGGCAGGCCGTCCATACAGCTCGATGCTGCCTTGCACACTGCCTTTATTACCACCCACACCCACATATTTTGTCCCCCGCGCCCTCGAGTCTCTTCCCCCCATCCACCCACCTATTCAGCCCTGGACTTGGGCCCAGGAGCCGAGCCGTTTCCCACCGATCCCGTCCCCCAGAAACGCCCGAGACCGATCCCCCGTAACCCCATTGTATAACCTCATGGTTGCTACTACCCACCGTCCTAATCTTCCCCTAAATGCCCTAGCGCTGCCTATCAACCCGGCACTTGCTGACTAGAACCCGCTGTGGTTCCCCCACTAAGGTCCACTGGGAGGACGCGGACTCGGCACTTGGAGATGTAAGTCCCGGTCCCCATTTCCCGGTAGTCGCACTTTATCTCGACATCCATGCCGACTACTGTACCCAATGGTAGGAAATGTCTCTCCTCTCCTCTACAGCATCTCTCCGTTCCAGCATTCTGAGCACGCGCGACGAAAATGGCCGTCAGTACCACGGCTACAAGGACGGTAAATACGTCTTGCCAATTGACCAGGTATGTTGGACGTCCCAGCGGAGCCTTGTTTGTGGAGTTGAACTCTCTCGCAAGGCGTATGACATGGTGGTGACCCTTGCTAATGCCTTTGCACAGGAGGAGCTGTACCGCCAAGGTAATTAGGAATGCCATGACAAGCCTTGCGGTGTTCGAGACCAGGGCGCCTAATCGATCTGGACAGAGTACCAGTACAACCTGTGTCTAAACACCTTTGGGGGGTATTCTTTCGCCCCCCTGAACACTGTCCATCGTGTCTTGGACGTGGGGTGCGGACTAGGTGAGACATTCTTGGCACAAACGCATATTCGCCGGCTGACACAGCTCAAATCATTAGGCTTCTGGGCTTGTGAGTTCAGTATGTGTCGTGTCCCATTGTCTTGATGGTCTTTCCACAATCTAATCTGTTTGCTGTCTTTTCAGCGGAGAAGCACCCAGAAGCTGAGGTAAGCCGCTCTCCTCAATGTATCAAGTAGAGCTTGGAAAAGACTCACGCGGCCTCGTAGATCATCGGGGTCGATCTCTCGCCCATCCAGCCGCAATACATACCCCAGAACGTCCAATTCGAGATTGATGATCTCGAAGAACCGTGGACGTTCACCTTCAAATTTGACTACATCCACTCCCTCATGATGACGGGTGCTTTCAGGGACTGGCCAGCCTTTTACCGCCAGGCTTATGAGTAGGCTCGCCCCCCTCCCACCCCTCTAGATATGCCTGCACCGTTGGCCTGCATACCTCACATGCCAAGAGAATTCAGGAACTGATCGTTCCGTCCAGGAACCTCAATCAGGACGGCTGGCTCGAGATCCAGGACATAGACTTCCCGCTCGTCTGTGACGACGGCACGCTCCCCGACGACAGCCCGATGAAGAGGTGGAGCGACCTCATGCTCGAGGCCGGTGAGAGATCCGGCTTCCACCTCAACACCTGCGGCAAGGCCGCCGAGATGATGAAGGACGCCGGCTTCGTGGACATTGTGCGCATCCCCTTCAAGTGGCCCATGAACCGCTGGCCCAAGGACCCGCGGGCCAAGCAGATCGGCGGCTGGGTCCTCGAGAACTTCACCCTCGGCGTCGAGACCATCTGCCTGGCCCTCTTCACCCGCTTCATGGGCTGGACCAAGGAGCAGGTCGTCGAGTTTGCCGACTCGGTGCGGGCCGACTTCCAGGACCACAACAAGCACACCTACTTCAACTTGTACGTGACGTACGGGCGAAAGCCTTGAAGCCCTCGGACGACGTCGAGAGCACCGAAAGGTCTCTTGAGTCTGTCTGGTCGGTAGTCACCGGTGCTTGTGCGTACGGGAGGAAATATGAGGTTCGATCTCTTTTTGCATTCCTTTTGATGAAGGTGTTGGATTTCTGACGCTCTTCTCCGATGGTCCTTCGGCGGGACCTAGACGCAGCTTGAGAAAGTTTGCGTAGAGTCTTTCATTCTTTTTTACTTTCCTTTCTCGCTCTTCATATTTCTAGAAGGAGCACAAGAAAAAGGGCAACAACAAGAGACATGAAGGGAGAGAGACAGAGTAATAATGACACGACCTAAGTAGATCATGATAACTCGTATCGTTTTGCTTTCAGACTTGTAGTGCGAACATATTGTGACGTGGTGCTCCTTGCTGGGCCATGGCGTGGTTTGCTGGTGGCATTCAAAGCGGCTTTTGCGCGTAGATGAAATGAAAGGGGAGGTATGCATGGATCTTTTTGGATTGCAGGGCTTGTCTGACTTGTCCAAAGAGCTGGTGGATTGCCTCGCGGTCCGTCTCCCCCTGGTCCTCCTCCCTGAAGGGCTTGGCCTCCATGACGGGCAGGAACTCGCCGAGAACCTCTTGCAGGAGGAAGGCCTGGTGCATCCGCTTCTTCTCCTTGGCCCAGAGGCCGATGGGGATGTGGCAGACTTTCTTTTGGACGTTGACGAATCCTAGCCTTGCCAGCTCGCCGGGCAGCCGCTCGCAGATGAACGAGTCGAAGCCGTACTTCTCTCGGAAGACGTCGTGCAGCTTCTCGTAGAACACCTTGGGCGCGTAGTCTGCCGGCATGGTGTCGTCGATGCAGCCGACCTTTGGATACACCTCTTGTATTTCTATCCAGCCTCCAGGCCTCAGGTTCCTGTGCGTTTCGGGAAAATAAAGGCAAATTGATCAGTTCCCTTTCCTCTACCTTGATCGCGAGACTGGGGGGAAAGGTAGCACACCTGAATGCGTTCAATATCACTCTGATCGGGTCCTTGAGAACGCAGGCTGTCACTCGCATGTGTATGTAGTCATAGTTGTCGCCGTGGATCCAGGCGTCTTCGACGTCGTCCACGACAAAAGACACGTTGGGCGGGATCCAGACCGGTTGTATGGGCGAGAGATCGACGCCGACGACCGTTGCGCTGGGGAATTTATCGCCCACTGACGAGATGCTTGTTAGTCAATGGCGTTCCTGCACTCAAGGACATGATGCAACAAGAAGAAGTGCGAGAGTGCCATACTCTCCATGGCCCAGTCGCCGAACCCAGTCCCAATATCGAGAATCTTTTGAGGGTACTCGTCGATGGGCGCCAGATGCAACCTGCCGTCAAGGAGCTCCTTAAAGAGAGCGTGCCGCAAGCCCTCCCTCCCGGCCTCTGTATCGTCATTGGGTATCGGATACCTGCCGTAGCGGTACATGTGATATCGTCTGGCTCCGAGGTTAGGACCACCGCCAAGAAGAGCGCAGTTATGAGAGTAGGGTGGACATGCCTGCCATGCTCGTGGCAATGAGCGTATACGCTGGAGCTGACGGAGCCCAGTACGGACTCGGCAACGGTCGGGTCGTAGTCTGATGTGATGACGAATTCCTCGAGATTCAGAGAGGCTTCGTCCGAAGCGGGCTCTATGAAATCCGAATCATCCTCATGAGCCATCACCGGTTTCTGGCGTGACCGGGCCGATCCTTGTGCGGGCCAACGCCTCAATGGTATACCCAATAGGCGATAGCAAATACTAAAAAAGATCAAGCTGATATAGACTGGGCAAGAATTTCTCAAGGGACGAGAAGGCGCCTTGGTCTCCTCCAAACTGTATAAGTCGTGCGTGACTTGATGCCTCTACTGTTACCGACGGTTTGGTTTGGACTGCGCGCTCGATGCAAACACTACCACAGTGGCGGGACCACCAGTTTGGGTACGATTTCGAATGGCTACAGAGGGGTCTGATGCCGAAAAGGGACGTTCTAAAACCCAGCAGACAGTCCCGGAGCCAAGACTCAATTGAATTTAGAAGCACTGCATTTGGTTTTTCTTTTGAGAAAGGAACAATAGGAAGTGGAATAAAGAATGCGAGAGCCTTGGAGAGGAAGAAGCGGGGTGAACATGTGAGATGAAAAATCCCCGCGATGATTACCAGGAACATGGGTGTGGTTGATCAATCAACCAATTGATCAATCCTTGGACTGGGGAGACAGTCCAGACTTGGCGGGCCATTTCATGGCCCCTACATGCCGACTGAGAAGAAAGAGAGAGAGAGAGAGAGACAGCCCTCCCAAAAGGACCAGAGATCCGACAGGCTGGGGTGCCCTGGCAGAATGTCAATGCCTGATTGGGCTTGCATTGAGAGAGTCAGCCAGAGCTGCAGCTGTCGTGCATGTTGTAAGTGAGATAAGTGAGATAAGCACCCTGGCACTTATGTAAAGACAGAAACCTCGTGGACGAGTAGACACATGATGCCGCCTACTTATTGTCGCAACGCGTGCTGACATACAAGCAGACAAGGACTTTCCCCCCTAGAAGCCATCTGTTGGCCCAGCTGGGTGTGCTTTTGGTTGTCTGGCACACGTGAAAGTGATCCAGCTGAGCAGCTTGGGAAGAAGACCGAATGCGGGTGTTTTCGCTTAATGTTGGAAAAGCATTGCTCTCGAGTGAGAACCTAGAGCAGGCAAAGCGGGACTGCGTAGCTATCTTCAACCGAGCTACACGAAGTCTTCTTAAGATAAAACAAATCTCATAAGATTCTCCTCAAGCAGCGTGATCAACAGACCTCCTTTCTGGGTCATTTCTGGGTCAACGACTACTCTGACGAGCGCTGACCAGTGTCTCCGCCGTGATGGTAGAGCTCGAGTTCAAGGGCACCCGAGACCAGCCGCCCGTCTTCACCAGGCAGTCGAGCGAGGAGACCGCGAAGTTGCAAAGCTACTTTTGGAGACAGAGGACGGCCTATCACTTGTGCCGGCTGTCGTTGCCAAGGGTTCCCATGACAGAAACCCCATCACCATGCAGCACGTTGGGGTCACTCTGGACTTGTCGCTCTCCTTCCCCAACACGGGACCCTCAAAGACTTGGGCCCTATGGATTGGATCATGTAGAGGGGGATTAGGATCAGGTTGATATCACGAGAAGTTTGAGATGGCTATAGATAGGTAGTTAGTGTTGTAGTGTTGCAATGCCAGACCTACTTGTAGAGGAGCTTGTAGAGAGTCCCAGAGGGAGGGCGGCGGCCCGCTGGCGTCGCCCCACACTGCGCCGACCCGCCCAGCATTCACTAACTAAAGCGGTTTTTCTCTAGTGGAGTCTTTCTCGTCGCGTCTCGTCAAAGAAGCTAGACCGCGTCTTGTGTCGTCGTATGGCTCCGTCAAATGGCCATCCATGCCATGCTCAGTCGCTCCATACACACAGACGCCCCTCTCCAGCATTTGTTTTCCATGCTCGCATCCTCGCTCCTCTCCTCAAAGACAGCCTGATAATCTTTATTGTCTTGTATCAGTTCAATTTTTTCACTAGTTCCAGCGTCCAGCATTACATACTGTGGCAATCCCCTCCTCCCATCCCACTTAGACGCACGCGCCTACACCCGCATCCTCGCGCGCGTGAGAACCTCGACACATCTTGCACGCACCGACGGGCAAGCTCTACGCCGGAAAACACCACCCTCGGACCCGTGATAACAGCACCCCATGTGGCCCCAAGGATCGCCAATCTACGCGTCTAGACTCTCTTAGCCATGTATCTGCCGAGATCCTTGATATCCAAGCTCTATCTGCACCTGCAGAACACGCGCCATCCCCTCTCGCCTCCCGTCCTCATTCTCGTCGCTCTCGAGCCCGATTCCCTCTGCGCCTGCCGTATCCTGACGCGCCTCCTCAAGCACGACTACATCCCTCACAAGATCCAACCTGTTGCCGGCTATGCCGACCTTGAACGCGTCGGGAGCGAGCTTGTCTCCCCCATGATGGAGACGCGGGGCGGAGCCGGTGGCGTGGTCGTCTGCCTCGGAGTCGGGGGCATGGTTGACTTGGGTACTGTCTTGGGAGTCGAGCCAGAGGATGACGAGACCACCTTCGGCGGCGTCGAGGTCTGGGTCATCGACTCCCACCGGCCATGGAATTTGGGCAATGTGTTTGGCGGCTTCCCACTGGAGCCCGAGACGGCGAGTGCGCAGGGCTTCCAGGCTCGGACGCCCACAGGAATAGCCGGCGGCCGGATCGATCGTGCCTATAAGCCCGGAAAGGGAGGTATTGTGGTTTTTGACGATGGTGACATCGAGGACGAGCTCGACAAGGAGAAGGACGCGTATCTTGCGCTCGTCGACATGCCCGAAATTGACGACAACGGCGAAGACCTCGACGACACTGACTCGGAGAGCGAGGGCGAAGAGAATGACGAGCCTCTGGCGCGTGCTGGGCAGAAGAGAAAGTCGTGGTCGGACATGGATGAGGATGAAGACAGCGAAGACGACGACCGGCCTCGCCAGAGGAGGCGGAGCAATTCTGTAAGTCATGGATATCTTGAGCACTTGCCGAATGCGCACCTACTGACATTGATCCAGTCGAGCCCGATACCAGACTCGCCGAGGAGACCAGCACAGCGAGGACTTATGTCCCTGCAAGACCCTGCCGTTTTCTCCTCGAGTGACCCGGCTGACCCGCCCTCCGCCGCTCAGCCCCCTAAAGCACCGTCGGCTCGCACTCTGAGGCGGCGCCTGCTGCGGATGCGTCGCGAGAACGAGGGCGTCCTGCGAAAGTACTACAGGATGGGCACGTCTTACTCGGAACCGATATCTTCAATGATCTACTCGTTGGCCTCCGAACTCGGTCGGGAAGACAACGACCTGCTCTGGTTGAGCATTGTGGGCGTGACATCCATGGAGCTTTACGGCCGGTCTTCGGCCGGTATCGCAGTTCCGGTTCGGGCGGCCGAGAGCCGCTCGACTTCGGGCTGGATGGGCATGCGGGGAGCCCGGATACGGCAACTGCTGCGCGACGAAGTCCGACGCCTGAATCCGCCCGAGGTTGGCAGCAGTAGCGGCCGGGTCACTCCCGAACTCACCGGGATCATACCTACCACGGCCCGCAGTCCCGAAGACACGAGCATCCGGCTGTCTCCCGAGCCCAAGTTCCTCCTCATCCGCCACTGGAGTCTCTACGATAGCATGCTGCACTCGCCTTACCTCTTCTCCCGGCTCAAGATGTGGAGCGAGACGGGCCTCAAACGTCTGCACAAGCTCTTTGCCAAGATGGGCGTTAGTCTCGTCCAGTGCCGGCAGAGCTACTCTCACATGGACATGATGTTGAAGAGGGAGCTGCGCATCAAGCTGCTCAAGTATGCATCTCTGTACAACCTAGACGAGATGGTCCCGACGATCGACACGGACGGCAAGGACCGTGGCGGCGCGAAGGACGGCTGGGGATTCGTGCGCAGTTGGGGCTGGCGCGCGACACTGAGTGCTCAGGATGTTGGCGTCGTCATCGGCGCGCTGCTCGAGGTCGGCAAGGTAGCGGCCACCGAGGCGGGTGTTGTGGAGAGCGCCTCGCAGTCGACCCAGGATGTCAACGGAGACTATGCACATGTCCAGAGGGAGGAATGGCTTCCTCGCTTCTGGGAAGCCTACGACGCCCTGGAGGATATCGAGGCCCTCAAGGCCGGTCTGCCCACGGCCCAGTTCCTCCACCGTGCCATCTTCAACACGGGCACCACGATCATGAAGAAGAAGCAGATCACCCACCTGCGCGCCTTTCGTATGTGCATCGTCAAAGAAGGCCCCGAGGCTGCCGTCTTTGTTCACCCGGGTGCGCTGACCAAGCTGGCGCTGTGGATCGGCGAGGCTCTTGCCGAGCAGGAGAAGGACGCCACCGGTGGCCGGCTCGCGCACGGCGGGAGAGGCACGCCGCTCGTCGTGGCCAGCATAGACGAGAAGCGCGGCGTGTACGTCGTCGTCGGCACCGGCGGCGGCGGAGGGCCGGACGCGCTCTCGCAGAGCCGCGAGGCGGCGCGGAAGAGGCAGGAGGAGCGCGAGAAGAAGAACAAGCTGCGGGACGACAGGCGGCGCGCAAGGCAAGCGGCCAGGGAGGAGAGGAAGGCTGCGGCGGCTGCGGCGCGGCGCGAGCGCGGAGGAGATGCGGCCGAGGACGGCGAGGACGAGGAGACGGAGTCTGAGGCGTCCGACGGGTCGGACTCGGACTCGGAGTCGGAAGACGACGAGGACCTGCTCGGCGGTGCCAAGGACCGGGGCTACGGCCTGAACCGTTTCGGCACGGCCTTCCAGGACGTGGTTGCCGAGACCAATGCGAGGGTCCGGATCGACAGCTTTGAGCACTGTGTCGTCGAGGTCAAGAAGGAGGACCTGACTGGCTTCCTGGAGAGCCTCAGCATGAAGGCGGTGGTCGGCTAGATGTTTGCGCATGTGGGGAAGGGTTTTTCATGGTACTGACGATGATGTTACGGTAGTTGGGCACTTGGGGGAGGAGGCTTGGGTGTGCTTTCCTGGCAGGGTTGTTTCATATCTTGTTTCTGCACTTTGATGGTGGATGATTTCACGGGCTGTCTCCTGACTTTGCCCATGTTGATGCTTTCCTCACGCTCGCCCCTTTCCACACATTCTTACATTGTAGCTCTGGCGTTCTAGGGCTGCGAGGCATCTTTGTTCCGGTCTGAGTGCGAGGCGCATACGCGAGCAGGTACATAAGATTACCTTTCTTTTATGGTATTAGTATGAGGCATGATTGCGCGCGGAGGAGGTCATCTGAGGAGGAGCAATGCTTAACATCAAAAGCTTTCCTGTATGCATGTAGGGTTGGGATCCGTTCGGTCTAATTGGTACCCAATACAAGAGCGTTTCGTTATTATATATTGTCTCCCGCTTTCACTAACTTTGTCTCTAAACCGTATATCTGGCTCATGTGAACGTTCCTATCACGAGTATCACATGCCATCGAGAGCAGCAAAAGGGTTTCTAGAAGCAGAAGAGCTCGAGTGCCCATGCCCTGAGTCTCCGTTGTTCGGCTCTTTCTGCACTTTTCTCGCTTTGGTTTTCCTCCGGGCTTTGAATGTTATGGGTTCCGGTAATCCTGCGAGCTCAGTCAACAAGTCGAGAGCTCCTTCATCCTTCATCCGAGATGGAAGATGCTCCAGGTCACGAGCTGAGGGCATCTCAGTGAGGGCCGGCAAGGCCGTCAACTGCTCTCTGAGGCTGAGAAAACAAGCCGGAATCGACTGTATCGCCGTGTCTGTCACGATGTCGAGGATTTGCTTGATCATTCTTAACGAATAGCATGTTGCCTGTATCTGTGCAAGTAAGTGCATCACACTCCATGTGGTCATGTTTATGCGCCCGTTCGAGTCGGCGTCCCTTTGGAGAACATGGAGTGCTACTGACTCTTTCCTCTCTCTCGCAGCCCAAATAATATCGTAGTACATGGAGACTACAGACCAGCAGAGCGAAGTATTGCCAATCTTCCCACGGACTTCTCCCAACAAGGAAAGGAGGTCGTTGCACATCAGACGGATTGACGGAAGGGACGGGATGGGTACCGAGGTTCCGTTTGAAGATGCCGACAATAGACGCCTGTGTTCGATGACAGTCTCCAATGGTGCCGTGGGGACGAGTTGCACGAGCCCATATGCGATCTGGCGCAAGGGAAGACTGGTCGCCCAAGCGCTTGGCCGTAACCAGTCCTCGTAGAACTGGGGGAGAAACATCCAAACGGCGGGGAGCTCGGCGGCTCTGTCCCGCACAATGCCGTCGGGGTCGAGGTGGCATTGAAGGACACACTCGGAAATCCTGCTGTCGGAGCCGCGCAAGATCTTCCAGGTGTCTCCATGACACTCTTCTGAAAAGCTCGGAGGGGTAATGCGATATGGTTGCATGAAAGCCTCGTACTCCTCTGGGACCGCCGATATTGCTGATGCCTCGGCAGCATCTCTGAGAGCCCTGGCCGGCGCGAAGATGCCGTTGTACAGCTCAAAGCCAAGAGCCGACATACCGTAGCGGGGCGGCAGGAGCAGCCGTTGACTGAGAGCCGCCGGGGCATATTCCACGGCCAGTATCCCGTCTACACCAGACAGCCTTCCGACTTCGAGGTCCCTGAAGAAGGCGACACTGCCCTTTGGCCCGAGGTCGTACAACACCAAGTCCGAATCGGACGTCAACACAGTGCCACCGGCTTGTCGTACGTGGGCGGCACAGTACGGATCAGCCTCTTGTGGCACGAGTCTCGAGAGCTTTCCGTACTGGTCTGAGTGCACGATCGCCTCGATGATGGCTTGGACAGCAAAAGCAGAAGGAGGGAGCCTCAAGGACGATGCAGCCGCCGCTGGCTTGGGAAACAACGATGGGATTGAATCACTGGCTTCCACTGCGTGTGCCGGCGGAGGCGGTCCTTTGGGGTTGGACAGATAATAGTTGTTGATGTCTCTCGTGGTACGAGAGAATCTCTCAAGACGGACTTTCCGCTTCTCTAGAGGTAGATAACCATCAAAGTACACCGCAGCACTTCCTTTACAAATTAGTGCCGTGCTCCAGGTATGAGATGGACATGGGCCACATACATGACTACGTCGTGTGCCCGCAGGTTATCGAGCCAGGCGATGGCTGTTCTGGCCAAGACATTGCAGGAAGGGTGTGTAATTGGGCCGGTTGCTGGCCTCTCTCGGTTGCATATGTAGATGATGTGATAAGCCAGGGCAGGCCCGTCTATCACTACGGTCCTGCCATCTAGAAGACACGGCTGGCCGTATGGCTTGAGGATCGTCGTCAGATGGGGAATCCCCATGGTGACTGGATCTCGATCAGCTCCGACGGCAGCGAGACATGCTCTAGGGAGTGATGGGCTTTGATGCCTCCATAGGATGTCTGTTCACGCTTATCAGCTCCAAGCAGGCGGCTTTCCTTCCTTTTGATATTTGATCTGGTTTCCTTTTTTTTTCTCTTATACGTCCCGTCTTCCGAGTAAGCGAAACGGACAAGCTGAAGTTTCGAGGATGGCTTGATCCAATCATGCACTTGCCTCCCCACACATTTGGAAAGATAGGCGTACCTCTCGTCTGCTTGTCTCCCTGTGCGCCTGCCCCACACAGGCCTTGGTCCAAATCCACCCGATTTTTTCAAAGCTTTATTTCTTTCGCCTTTTTCCCACCCCCGAAACTTTTTTCTCCCAGCCCGGTCCAGGTGCACACTGACATCACATCCCTCAAACCACACCCTTCTCGGCTGCCTGCGACCATGAGAAACACTCTCGTATTCCCGGGCAGCTCGTGCCCAGTCCTCACCGGCAAGATATGCGAGAACCTGGGCATGGCTCCTGCTGAGGCGGAGCTGTCTCAATTTGCCAATGTTGGTGCTCCCCTCACGCACAGGCTGAGACTCGATTCAGCCATGCCACCTCTCCCGAGAAGGCTGCAGGCGCTGTCACGGGCAGGCCCTGGGACTTTTGTGTGCCAATTGAGTTGATCAGAGAGCTGACAGACCATGTACCCGGCTACATAGGGCGAGACAAGCGTCAAGATTCTGAATAGCGTACGCGAAAAGGATGTTTTCGTCGTCCAGTCAGGCAGCCCTCACATCAACGACACCATTATGGAGCTTTTGATCATGATCTCGGCATGCAAAGGAGGGTCTGCAAACAAGATCACAGGTCAGCCTGGCCTTGCTCCAGCCTAATTCTGCTGCATCTTAACTGACAGATGGCCAGCCGTCATGCCCTACTTCCCCTACAGTCGGCAATCCAAGAAAAAGTCACACCGGGGCGCCATCACGGCCAGGATGCTCGCCAACCTCCTTGGCGTGGCGGGTGTCAACCACGTCGTCACTGTCGATCTTCATGCCTCGCAGATGCAAGGCTTCTTCCGCTGTCCTGTGGACAATCTCCATGCGGAACCGCTGATCGCTCGCTGGATCCGCCATAATGTTCCCAACTGGAAGGAAGCAGTTGTTGTGTCCAAGAATGCCGGCGGTACCAAGCGCGTCACCTCGCTAGCCGACGCCCTGAAGCTCAACTTCGGTATGGTCACAACGGATCGGCGCAGAGGAAATAACATGTCGGCAAGCATGATATTGAATCACTTGGACGGCTTCGATGAACAACCTATCCTGGATGCTCACACCCCACCGAAGCAACGTCCCGCCGAAGACAGCACAGCTGCAAGACCAGACCGCCGGGCTCCTCGAACTGTCACAGATTCGCAAGGCTCTCCTCAACGAGTCAATGGATTGTCAATGCGCACTGCTGATGGTCGGCGCTCGTCATCACATGCTCACCATGCTCATCACGCAGGTTCTCCTGCCGCCGAGACAGAAGAGGATCATGAGTACAATGACAGACGCGCTCACGAGGTCACGCACGGCCGTCTGGTCCAAGGGCACATCGTCGAGGACGATTTCTTCCCTTCCCCAGAAGGTTCAACCGCTGATACCAGCATCCCAGAGGAAGACCCAATGACCATGTCGCACGCCTCCTCATTCTTCCGTCCCGAGCCTCACGCGCTTGGTGGATCCGGTGATGCTGAGGAGAGCTCTGACGAAGAAGATAAGCTCAAGGACCCAAAGATCGAGCACATGATCACCCTAGTTGGTGATGTTAAGAACCGTACAGTACTGATCATCGACGACATGATTGATAAGCCAGGGTCCTGGATCGCTGCTGCCGAGACTGTCGTCAAGAGGGGCCTGGCTAAGAAGGTCTACTGCATCGCCACTCATGGCGTTTTTGGCGGCGACTGTCTGCAACAGATGCAAGCCTGCGACTGCATAGACTCGATTGTCGTCACCAACAGTTACCCCATCAGCGAGGAAAAGGCAAGGCATACCGGCAAGCTGGTCGTTATAGACCTGTCATACCTGCTGGCCGAGGCCATTCGCCGAAATCACTTTGGCGAGTCCATCTCACCACTGTTCCAGCATATCGCGGATTAGTCACTTCCAAGAGCGACTTGGCGATTCGCATGCAAATTGCACACTGTATGATTAATGATCGGTAAGGCAGAGGGCCTCTCTTTTGCGGAAACTCGAGCGTGGCGTCCGGCAGGATTATTGCACTTTACAACCTTGACTTTAACAGCATCGGTAAGGGCAGATCAGGTTTAGATCGACCGATGAATCAGATACCATTTTACCTTTTCTTTTCTGTGGAAGTGCCCCGTACAATGCCGTCCTGTGCAATCATTTCTCCTTTATCCCCCTTTCATACACTTGCTTTCCCAACGATGCTGCCATTCGGGCAGCAGGAGCTATGTCCATCCCAGGACAAGTCTCCTAACGGAGCGTTGGTAGATTAAAGATCCCTCTGGGATCATCGTCAGAAGAAGGCCCTTCGTCCAGACTCATTATTACTCGTCTTCCTTCGGGAAGAGAGGGCGAAGGGCAAGAGAACAGCTCGAACATCCTATCATTACAGTGCCTTGCACGAGTCGCATCTTCGATTGATCGGAATCGGTCCCAAGGCCTGATTAGTACTACAGCTTGTAATTCCAATGAGTGTGCTCTACTACTCCTTATACGAAGTTTACTCTATCTGCAACTGTGACCGTCGACCACTCCTCTACATCTCATACTTTACTGGCTCCCAAATGCTAGTGGCTGCGATGGGCGAGATGTGTTTATTATATGGGTATCGTATTTCATAACTACATGCCGGCCCCAGGGCAAAAGCTCTCTCTTCCTCTGGAGGCCAAATCTACCAACCCCATGTACGGGATGCCGCCGTGAAGACGGGCGGCTTCCACTGGATCCGCTCCGGCTCGACAATCTTCCTTACTTTGGCCTTGGACTTTTCTCTCGCCACCAGCAGCGCTTCCGGGATGACGATCTTGTGCTCGTTCTTGTGGTACACTTGCATCTTCATTGCCTGAAGCGTGTGTTCCACGTCTTGGGTCGTCATCGCCAGGCTCGCGGCGATCGTCTCGATGCTGCATTTCTCATCCCGCTCGTTGAAGCCGACGAGGAGGTCCACGATATTTTCCGTCCAATACTGTCGGTAACTGAGCAGGCCCAGATCAGAGAGCGGCTTTTCAGGCGACCCGAGCTTGCCCTCAATCTTGGAGAGCTCATACGAGAACTGGATCAGGACTCGGCCGTATCCTTTCCTCTGAAACTGCGGCAGGGTGAGGATGCAAGCAAGATTGTAGCCCTCGGCGCTCTCCTTCTCCTTGGAGAAGTACCCGGTCAAATGATTGCCCTTCTCATCTCTGTGCGTCATGACATAAAACAAGAAAGGGTCAACGTCGTAGTAGAGCGTCTTGTGATCCAGAAACATCTTGGATAGCAGACATAAATTTCGGCACCAGGTACGCTGCCGTCGGCCGTCGATCTCGTAGAATGATACATTGGCATCCCGATAGATCTCGTTTCCGGGAGGATGCTGGAGCGTGCACTTTTGCCTGTGTCTCGTGAACGACTTGATATCGCCGTAGTAGCCGAGGCAGAACTCGCAAATGTATATCATGTCTTCTGCGTTGAATGCCTCTGGGTATGGCGAGAAGTACCACGGATACAGGTCGTATTTTCCGAACTGGACCTTGGAGATATTTCGAATCCGGGAAACCTCGGTGGGGTTTTGTGTCATGGACCCAGAAGTCCGGAGCTTCTCAATCTCGTCTTCTCTACTAAAGGACGGCTGGCGGCTCTTCTTCTGGTCTGTGTCCTCATCGTCCACATCCATCTCGTCCCCGGCTGGTGTGGCGCTGGTCTCTCCTGGTGTTGCCTTCTCCTGGAACTCATCTGCTGGTGTCTTGAGTGGCGTCTGGGACTCGACGAATTCTGCATAGTGCGGTCTGGTCAGCGTACAGCTACAAAAGACTTTGGGCCGTAGGTATGGCACTTACCAGTCCACGGGTGCGGCGTGCCAGCCTCTGACGCAACGCTCTGCTCCCTCTTCCCGGGCTGCGGCCTCTTCTGCGCCTTCTTCGACACCTGCGGCCGCTTGCTCTGCGTAGACGCCTTCTTGCTCTTGTCCTTGGGCTTGTCCTTGTCCGGGTTCGGCCACTCGACGTCCTGCTCAAAGTCGATGCGCGCCGTCGGAACCCACTCGTCGAGGCGCTTGTTGAAGTTGTCAAAGTTGCAGTAGAACTGCCGCCCGCTGCGCGTCTCCTTGATGCTGAGGATCTCGGCCCGGCGCGGCACGCCCTCCTTCTCGACCATGGCGATGCAGCCGACCTTGATCGTGTCGGGCGTCGCGCGGCCCTTCTCGCGGGGCGCGTCGGAGCCGACGACGGCGTCGCCTTTCACCGCGTGGGGACTCATGATGGCAAAGCGATGCGCTGCGCGACAACTTCTGGGATGGGAATTGATGGAAAAGTTGATGGAAAAGGCGATTGTCGGGCGGCGCGAGGTTGGAGAGAGATGTCGACGGCTAACTATCGCCTGTAGATCGGAGGCGATAAAGAAATTTTGGCGGGGTTCGTCGCTCTTATCGGTGTGCATTAGCGTCTACCTTTCCCGCCTTTGGGGGCTCCTCTCAGCGGCTTAGAAATTGATTGGCCGCCTAAGGTCGGTTTTGGTGGAAGAAGACCACTCACATGAAAATATCCACCATTTTCATCGCGAGTGATTCAATAACGATTTTTCAGGACGAGTCTCAACCAATTACCTATAATCTCGTACTCTCCCGAGAAAGCATGGGAGCTCTCAAGAATATAGCATAAAACAGTACACCTCACACAGCGGTGAAGATGGCTTCAGAGCTTTCCTCAAACTGGAAGAAGTTGCAAGCCAAGATCAAAGCCGAGCCCACGACAACTACTTCAACCCCGAAGAAAAGACCTGCGCCAGACAGCATAGAGACCAAAGCAACTCAGTCAAAACGGCCTCGAACAGGACAGAAATCACAAGGGGCGCCAAGGAGACCGGCGCGAACAGGCAAGCCCGGCAGCCCAACTGCGCCGCCGCCGCCTAAAGCTTCCAGCAACAAGATGGGCATATCCCAGTCCTCACAGCCCGTCCCGGATGTCGTGAAAACCAGCCACAAGCTCACGCCTTCCCTCGCACTTTGGGCCGCAGACAACGACATCTCTCCTGAGGATATCGCGCAAGCATACGGTCTTGGCACCGGGCCGTCCAAGTCGCTCCTCTCCTCCTCCTCGTCACTGAAGAGCGCTACTGAGTGTCGCCCGAACGCCGGCCTGACTCCCGACCTGGAGGTGGGGAAGTATGTCGGGATGGACTGCGAGATGGTGGGCGTGGGAGACGGCGGCCGCGAGTCCGCGCTGGCCCGCGTGAGCATCGTCGACTTCCACGGGCGGCAGGTCTACGACTCGTTCGTCCGACCCAAGGAGCGCGTCGCAGACTGGCGGACAGCCGTCAGCGGCGTGTCGGCCAAGGACATGCCATCTGCGCGGACCTTTGAAGAAGTCCAATCGCAGGTGGCCGAGCTGATCAAGGGAAGGATCGTGGTGGGCCACGACCTGCGGCACGACATGCAGGCGTTGATGCTGGACCACCCGCTCAAGCTGGTGAGAGACACGGCGCGATACTCGGGGTTCAAGAAGTACGGACACGGTCGGAAGCCTGCCCTGAGGAACCTCGCCAGGGAGATCCTGGGCGTCGAGATCCAAAAGGGACAGCACTCAAGTATCGAAGATGCCCGAGTCGCTATGCTGCTTTTCAGGAGGTTCAAGCCAGCGTTTGATGTCGAACACGCGAACCGGTTCCCAGACACTGTCCCTCAGTCTTCAAAACCGAGGTCCAGTGGCAAATCCAAGAAGAAGAAGCACCGCTAGACAGTTGGGCCAGATAGTGGTGGAAGAGCCTCGGACAGTCAGACTATCAACAACGAATTTCTATTAGTCTGTCAATCGGCATCTGTCAAGCTGGCAGGGATCTATCGTCAAGAACTTTTCCCAATAGATAAAATAGCAATGATACCCCCCCGACTAGCTCGAGCGAAGACTCGGGCCTAGTCATTATCTAAATCAAACCTGATCATCACCCATCATCAGATGGGAATCCCCTCCATGAGCTCCAAGGCACCTTCTCGCCCGACTGTAATGATGACATCTCCTAGGGTCTTGGTCACAAATCCAGCTTCACAATACGTGAAGTAGTACTAGGCAATCTTGTTAGTAAGGAGTGAGGAACGGCGGTGACTTATTGGCCTCTTACCTCCCACTTCCGTTTGAACACCTCGATTTCCCGCTGTGTCATCTCAGCATGCTCGTTCTGCAGTGCCGGACGGATGTGGGACTCAAACTTCTCCAAGAAGTTTTCCTTCCACAAGCGGAGCGTCTTTGCGTAGTGGCCTCCGATGTTCTCAACCTTTTCAACAATCAGGGTCCCCTTCGACTCCTTGCTAATGTGATCCAGAAGCTGCGTGATTGAAGGCAGATAGCCGCCAGGGAAGATGTAGTGATTGATGAAGCTGGTCATCGTGGTTAGTGGAGATGCGTAAATTCCGTCAGGTTCTGAGCAGGCCACTCACTCTTCTCCCTTTGAGTAAGCCTCATGTCGTCCCTCCGGCATGGTGATGCATTGGAACATGGCAACGCCGCCGTCCTTTTTCAGCAGTCGGTCCATGTGAGAAAAGTAAGTGCCCAGGAACTCCTGCCCAACTGCTTCCAGCATCTCGATCGACACAATTTTATCGTACGGCTGCTCAGGCACCGGCAACGAACGGTAATCCATGAGCAAGACCTCGATCCTATCAGCAAAGCCTGCCTCTGCAATCCTCTTCTCCGCCAGCAGCTTCTGCTCTTTGGACAGCGTGAGACTTGTCACGCGGCACCCTGTCTTTCGTACGGCCGCAATGGCGAAGGACCCCCATCCAGTACCGATTTCCAGTACGTGGTCCGTAGATTTGATGTGAGCGCCGTCAATGAAACGAGTCAACTTGGTCAGCTGAGCAGCCTCCAGTGTCTCTTCCCGCTCATCCAGGTCCGTATGCATTCTCCATATCGGGCACGAGTAAGTCATGTCCGGCGACAGGAAAGCGGCAAACATATCGTTGCTAATATCATAATGGGCCGAAATGTTGAGAAGAGAGTTCCCGAGCGTGTTTGTGGACCGCGCAACGCTCGAGAGCGCGTGCGATATTGAAGAGAACCAAGTCGTACCATTGCCCATCTGCTCCCTGTTCACGATGAAAAGCTGGAGGTTGTCGAGAGTGTTAGCCGCTCCCATCTCGACACGATCGAGCGTCCACCATCGGAGAGCGTGGCGAACACGTTTTGCAGACGCCTTACCTGGAAGAAAGCCGTGAGGTCGGCACACTCAACCTCTCCCAACATGTACGCTTCCGCGAAGCCCATATCGGCGAACAGGAAGAGCCGCATCCAGAACGAGTCATCCTTAACAACCAATTCTACACGGGGGACGGTACTGGCTTTGCGAACCCCATTCACCCCGGTAGAGAAATCGGCGTACTTGGGGTTCCCGGCCAGCTTTTGCCCATAGACCATCCTGGTCTGAGCCGGCTCGTCCACCAACAGCAAGGTTCCGATTTCTATCCGGGACAAGACAGAGGTAATGGCCGGTTTGGCAATGGAGAGGGCAGGCCCCCAGGTCAGACTGCCGAGTACGCCACGAGCAACATCAGACCCGCGGGCCAAGGGCCGCTTCACAGAAGCAGGGAGGTCCGGAAACATGGTCAGGCACAGGATCGCGACACCTTGCAGAAAGAAGCCAGGGAAGGACGAAGACGTTTCACGTCTGGACGGTTGTAGACTTGTAGGTTGGTGATGTGATCAAGGCAGCTCGATAGCTGGAAGGGAGTGCAAAGCCAAGGATCTCGAAGAAGCAAGGCGACAGGTTCCGATGTAGGACAAGGTAAGGATGGCAGGTGCAAGCCAAGAAGGGAACGGCACGGAGAGCGGACGGAGGAGCTATCAATAGCCAGCCAGATGAGGAGCACTCGCATTCTGGAGCGCAAAGGGGCCCTGCCGTCCTCCACCGGGCGAACCACGCGGATCGGACACATCCATATGCACTTGCACTTGTTGCGTGCCCCAGCGGGTCTTCTGTTTCATTGACCTCATCAGTGCGCACATCACGTCCAATTCGGCAGCGAGTCTTCTACCTCGAAGGGGAATAGTATTGAAGCATATGTGCGTTGAATGTTCCATTCTGGGGCACAAGCCGCCCTGCGCAAGTAGCAGGGGTGTCCAGAGGTACCGGAGGAGGGGCTTTGGCCGGGATGGCTGTCTCGGGTGCTTCCCAGCCCTCGTCTCACAACTTTGGCCTGCTTGTCTCCCTCATGTTGAGGCGGTCAGCTGCCGTCGGGTCCATTTTCTCAACCAAAGCCCGGGTTTGAGCACCACGTCTTCCTGACCTTCCTCGGCCATGACATCCGCACCCGAAGAGAACACACCATGAACTGGACTCTCAAGAGCACTGTTGCTGGAGGTTGGCTCGGCGGGTACTGAGGGTTCCGTGCGGCGGTGGGGATGGTTCGGGCTGAAGCTAGGGACTCGTGGGACTCTCATGCATTCATGGACGGGGGTCCACACAGATCCCCCAGTAGATAGCCCGATTTTGGAGACATTGCTAAAGTGGATCACATATCCTCTCCATCGAAGACGGCAACGTTTCGATACCCTGAAACTTTTGAACCCGGGAGAAAGTCGTGAACGAAGTCCGGAGCTGCGGTGCTGCTGCTGCCCTGCCCAGCTATTCTTCCTTCCTTGGCCTGTGCCTGTCGCCGGGCAGCGAGGTTTCCTGTCCATCAGGTATGTAGTACCTAGTCGTAGTAATTACAGTAGTTGTAGTTCAGCGGCCGCTTTACCCTCCTCTAGTCCCAATTGAATGGGTAATATTGCAGCATGGTTCTCGTGTGTCTCGATTCCTAGCGGCCTTTCGGTCTCGCTTGCGCTTGTGTGGACGGGATCCATGACATCAAGACATCCAGCACTACGGCGGTTCCTGTCAAATCGCCAAGAGATAGGGCCCGCCGTAGCGGGGACACAACAGAGTCCGGTTCAATGAGTGCTGACATGAAGACGATGGTAGCAATGGTCATCGCCGTAGTCATCCTTCTGATTAGCATGTCCTTGCTCTGGAACTCGCAAGGGCTGTCCCACAACCTACAACCGATGGGCTGGATGGATAGTCAAGTACTTTAGGTACCTATACTTCTGTTAGCAGCCCGTCAACTAATCTGACCATCACTTCATTGCCAGGCTACCTAGGTACCTGCTCCGTAAGTACAGTTTGGAGTGAAAGCCTAGCTCAGCTTGATTAGAGTATTTCGGGAGCAGGTCAGCCAAGCGAGCCAAGTCGCCGCCCTGGGAGCAATGCGCCAGATCTAGGCGATAAGATAACCCGACCCCTGTCGTTGATTTTGATTGATTCAGGCCAAGTCGCGTCTGGCGTCGCGTCGGATCTTTCCAGCCCACCAGCCCGTGATCCTGATCCACCACATTCGAGGATCGAACACTGAAAGCATCCCTCTTGACTGTCTTGATTGCTACGCCTGTGCAAATTTGCCACTCCGCCCAATCTCGCCATGTCGGAACCGTTGTTAGAGATCAAGGCCACTGGCGCCGACCGATGCCACATTACTCCTCATTTACTTCCTTGTCGCGTCCACCACGATGGCAGCATCGAGCCTCTGCAGTCCTTCTGGGCCCCTAAGACGAGCGACGGTGCGTCGGGCTGCAAATGCGACAGTACTTCTTGAGACTGACCGTAGCTCATGCAGATGGCAAACATACTGCATACTTTCGTGGGCGAAAATTGGAAGGCCAAGCGGTGAAAGTGCCCCCGGGCTATCGTGGTGTCGTTGTCGAGAAGAAAGGATTGGACGACAAACAACACTCCAACTCACACCCGGACGAACCTGAGATTATAGATGTGGACAAGGATGACGAGCCTCAAATTGGGACCATTGCAGAGAAAGCAGACTTCGACGAGCTGATCATCTGGAGGCAAGAAGGGGCAGCCGACGATAGCGGCGACCACTACGCGCGAGGCATGGAAGAGTGGCTGACGCTTGCGAGCCAGGTGAGAGGCGATACAAACCCGCGCCGGGCTAGGCTCCAGAAGAACTCACAGGCCGCAGGTGCATTCTTATGAAGTCAACGCGGGATAGGACTGAACTTGGAGATTACTGGAACTGAGCCACGATCACCGTATGGTGCGCTTCATCTAGGCGAGGTTCGTAACACTACCTTCACCGGGAGGGATGGTCCAAAGGCTTCAAGTGCGTCAAACAACCTGCCAGTCGAGGATTTGCTCCACGCCGCCATCGAAGAACGGGATTCGAGAGCAAGTCTCGACTTGAACATATCAAAAGACCCCGGGAATGTCCAATACCCAGACGGTACAACGTTGCCTGACCAGGGCTCATTTCCCGGTTGAGAGATGGCAAATCATACGGGGGCACCCGCCATAGAGCAGATCTAGGCGAAAGTCGCTCAAGGCTCTTCCCCCCGGAATATCCTGATTGGGGGGGAATCTAGGATATATACGACATACGGGGGTCCCTAGGTGATATTAAGACGGCCGACGAGACTGGCCCAGTAGCCAAGCCCAAACTCTCAATTTTGGCAACAAAGGCCAGAAGGTGACGAGAGTTTGAGTCGTTGAATCGGCGTGCTTTTAGATAGACCATCTATGAAAACGGAGACAAATCTCTTCTCCAGCTCTAAATAAATGCCACCTTGCCCGGGACGCTTTGGCGAAGTTGAGGTCGAGTCCAAGTTTGAGAACAGTTGCGAGAGCATGCCACATACCTACTTACTACCTATTCCCTGGCCCACGAGGATAATTCATCACACGAGAAGCGTGCCAATGCACACCTACTATGTTATGTCTCCAAAGGGAGTTACGGCTATGATTCCATTGTACTTGTATGTACAGAAAGATTAGATAGAGGGTAAGGGTTCTCTGGCTGGTGGCAGGTCTGGATAGGTTTAGCGCAATATGCAATCAATTAAAAAGTCGCGCTAATTGAGCCCCTGAGCGCGTTTTGACGCGTTTTCTCACGCGCCCTTTCCACCCTGGCTCGGGTTGATTCCTGCCCCTCCGCCACTCTTGTCTCCAAATCCTGCGACCAGGACACACAAGACATTGCACAATCTATACCTTGCAAGCACACCCAACCCTTGAGGACGACAAATTCTCTGGCTGAAGAAGTTGTCATCAAGCTCACCCAAGAGTCGCGCTACTTGGGAGTAAATCCAACAACCATGGCCACCGCAATGGCGACGTCTAGCGACGCTGGCTTCATGATGTCGGACGGCCCTGCGAGGCCGATGGGCACCCCGAGGCAGCGCTCGCTCTATCCTTCCTCCTCTGCCGGCAGGCCACGAGGTCCTCCCTCAGAGAATACTGGCGCCCCAAGCGATGACGAGGGCGAAGGGTTTGCCGACGATCAGATCCCCAGCAGGTCTCGACGCCCAGCCGACGGCTCGACCGTTCCCCGGGTCGAAGACCGCATTGGCCTGCTGATTCAAGATCACTTCCAAACGTTCATCGAGGGGTATGCTTGAGAATTCTAGAACGGCACTGCGTGATTGCCCTCTGACCTTGTGTGCATCAATCTAGCTTCATCGAAGACCCTGCTTCCTCTGGAGTCCCTACCTCCAGCGCCGTTACCACCGACAAATACTACGTGGCACAGATCCACGGTATGCGCAACTATGCGCTTTCGACCTTCTACGTCGACTACAAGCACCTTGCCTCATGGCAGAATGGTGGCCTGGCCGACGGTATAATGAGGCAGTATTACCGTTTCCTCCCCTTCCTCACTGCTGGCTTGCACAATATGATTGCCAAGTATGAGCCTCAGTACTTCCGCGAGCACCGACAGCCCACTGCCTCGAGCAACCAGACTAGTTCAGGCCGCAGCAATGCAGGCTCCGCTAGCCAGTCAGATATGAGCAGCAAGACGAGCAACCAGCAGACCGACAAGCTCTTCTCAATCGCCTTCTATAACCTGCCTCTCGTCTCGCGAGTCCGTTCTCTCCGGGCTGCAAACATTGGCCAGCTGCTGTCTATCTCGGGCACCGTCACCCGTACTTCGGAAGTACGGCCAGAACTTTCGTTGGCTACGTTCATATGCCAGGCCTGCAGGAGTGTCGTGCCCAACGTGGAGCAGACGTTCCGGTACACCGAGCCAACTCAATGCCCAAACGTCACATGCCAGAACCGCCAGGCCTGGCAACTAGATATCCGGCAATCGACCTTCGTCGATTGGCAGAAGGTACGCATCCAGGAGAACAGCAGTGAGATTCCCACGGGAAGCATGCCACGCACAATGGATGTCATCCTTCGTGGCGAGATTGTCGACAGGGCAAAGGCAGGCGAGAAGTGCATCTTCACCGGAGCTTTAATCGTCGTGCCCGATGTCAGCCAGCTGGGTCTGCCTGGGCTGCGGCCGACTGCCATCAGAGACGACAGGAACGCGCCCCGTGGTGGCGAGGCTGGTGGTACTGGCGTGTCTGGCCTCAAGGCTCTTGGTGTGAGGGATCTGACTTATCGTCTTGCCTTCTTGTCGTGCATGGTCTCGCCTGACAACACTAGCCTTGGAGCAGCGAATGGAGGAGTCAACGATATCATCGCTGCACTCACCCAAGCATCTGCTGCAGACACTGCCGAATCGATGCAAGACGCCCAGGACGCAGTCTTGAGCTCTTACGGGCCCTCCGAGATTGAGGATCTGCGAAAGATGGTGCACAGCGACCACATCTACTCACGTCTAGTCACCTCCCTCGCACCGATGGTCTATGGCCACGACATTGTCAAGAAGGGTCTGCTGTTGCAGCTGATGTCCGGTGTGCACAAGACGACCCCTGAGGGCATGCAACTGCGTGGCGATATCAACATCTGCATTGTCGGCGACCCATCGACGTCAAAATCTCAGTTTCTGAAGTACATTTGCTCCTTTGCCCCTCGAGCGGTCTACACTTCTGGCAAGGCCTCCTCTGCTGCTGGTTTGACTGCCGCGGTGGTCAAAGACGAGGAGACCGGCGAGTTCACCATCGAGGCCGGTGCTTTGATGCTTGCCGACAACGGCATCTGCGCGATCGACGAGTTCGACAAGATGGACATCGCTGATCAGGTCGCCATCCACGAGGCTATGGAGCAGCAGACCATCTCCATCGCCAAGGCCGGCATCCAGGCCACTCTCAATGCTCGGACGTCGATCCTTGCTGCGGCGAACCCGGTCGGTGGCCGCTACAACCGCAAGACTACGCTCCGTGCCAACATCAACATGTCGGCTCCCATCATGTCTCGTTTCGATCTTTTCTTTGTCATTCTCGACGAGTGCAACGAGAAGGTTGACCGCCACCTGGCGGAGCACATTGTTGGTATTCACCAGCTGCGGGACGCGGCTGTCGAGCCCGAGTTTAGCACGGAGCAGCTCCAGAGGTACATCCGCTTCGCGCGGACCTTCAGGCCCGAGTTCTCGGACGAGGCCAAGGAGGTCCTCGTGGAGAAGTACCGCGAGCTGCGTGCCGACGATGCCCAGGGCGGCGCCGGCAAGAACAGCTACCGCATTACTGTCCGGCAATTGGAGTCCATGATCCGTCTGTCCGAGGCCATCGCCAAGGCCAACTGCGTCGAAGAGATCACGCCGGACATGGTCGAGGAGGCCTCCCATCTCCTCAGACAGAGTATCATCTCGGTGGAGCATGACGACGTCGAGATGGACGACGAGGAGGACGAGGGAGCCCTCGAAGATGGCGCGGCGCTTCGCCGCGCTGCGGACGAGGCCGCAGGTGCCCCCGCCCCGGAGCGGGAGGCCTCGATGGCCGACGAGGATGACGAGGCTGCCGCCGGAGACTCTCAAGCCGCCAAGCGCAAGGTCACCGTCACCTACGACAAGTACATCGCCATCGTCAACGCGGTCGTGCAGCACGTCGCCGAGGACGAGACGGCCGGCGCCGGCGAGGGTGTCGAGAGCGACGCGCTGATCGACTGGTACCTCGAGCAGAGGGAGGAAGAATTGCAGAGCGAGGAGGACTACCACAACGAGCGGGCGCTCGTGGTCATGGTGCTGAAGAAGATGGTCAGGGTAAGTTGTTTTGTTTGCGCACCTGAAGAAGGTCCTTTTATATATGTATATTCTACGATATGAACGCTGACACTCGCGCGCGCACCAGGAAAACATTCTCATGGCTATCCGTGGCCAGAGCACGGAGGACGGCGATGCGGCGTCGGGCGAGGGCTCGTCCGCTGTGGCGCAGAAGGTCGTGTACGTCCTGCACCCCAACTGCGCTGTCGAGGAGTTCTAGATGATGGGTGCAACGCCTGAGTAGCGTGGGCTGTGTCGTAATGGGATGAAGGGGTTGGGTTAAAGGGGCGTCTGGAGTCGGAACGGCCAGGGTTCTGTTTGCATTTACAGTAAACTGTCGTAATGTATCAAAGACATGGCGAGATGATTATGGAATATATGAGCATGGAGACATGAATATTCCTTGCAGAAAGGCGGTAAATGTGCAAGAATTGCGATGCAAACAAATGTGGCTTCGACGTGGTAGAAGCTTTTGCCGGTATGGCCACTGGTGTCGACACTCAACTGGCGGTGATATGCTGTGTAGTCCCCTCCAACTAACCTGATAGCAATATGCAGATCATATCTCGAGGTCTAAAGTATTTGGGAGGCATGATCACAGTTTGTTGTTACGACTTTGGTTTTAGTCCAACTCAAGCCAGTCTGCATTTTCACACAAGATACACGGGATCAAAGCCATGGCAAAGGGGTCGTCGAGAATTGTTGACCATTTGTCTACTTTCTCATTGCGGATAAAGTTAAGGTACTCGACACACAAAGATATTCCCCAGCTCAGAGAACACTGCCATATCGGCTACAGGCCTTGCTCTTCGGCCGTTTTTTTGGCAACCCGTTTAATCATACCGAACCGCGTGCAAAAAGAGCGCCGGAACATAACCCCCCGAGAAGATCGCGCTGCAGCCTTGCAGGATCCGAGAGATACGCTGCTACCGCTTGACAGCATCAGGACCAGTCGGTCAACTCGAGGAACCGAAAAAAAACCCCGGGGTAAGGCCCGGCGAGCAAGCCGAGCTTGTCTCTCCCCTGCGGCTCGAAACGCTAAACAAGGACGCAGCGCAACAAGCATTCGAGCCAGCATAACGTCGTCATCTGAGCCCTTCCCTGGGTCACAACCCAGGTCATAGATATCCTGCAGCCAAAGCCCCAACACCCCTTTACCCCTTCTCGCCGCCCAGAACGGTCTCTCGTCGTGGTCGACCAATAAATGAGCAGAACCAGGCCGGTACTGCGGAAAACTGACTGCAACAAGAACGAATGCAAAAACAAAAACAAGAACAAGCTGCCACACCGTCCAGAGTAGGAAAAGGCGCGACCATAGAAATTATACAACAAGCCAAGAGTTCCGTAGATCAGAACTTCGGTTTGACAGGTATTTGTAGACGCTTCGGTTTGTATAGAAGAGGTGTATAGCGTGTAAAAGCGACGAGGTCTCAAAGCTCAATCCTGAATGTCTTCAGATGCTAGACGGCTGGCCTGATATGTACGAACAGTGGCTCATGTCGGCCTGCATGACTACCTCTAGGTCTGCAAAGGGCTCGACACGTGCCTCGACCAATTGTCCGACCGGCCACGATACCCTCCGCGACCGCGCCCACTGCTGCCGGTGGTGCCCTCCCCGTAGGATGAAGACGGCTCCCTTGATTTGCCGCCTCGGTGAACAGCAGCAGAGGAATGCCTCATCCCGCCACGGCTGTAGCCGCCAGGCCGCCGAGGATTGCTGCGCGAGCGAGGAACAGGGATTGTCACGCTCTTAGCAGTAGGAGATCCTGGGAGCCGAATCGGCGCTATGTGTTGTGGCCCAAAGCCGTCCCTAAGCAGCTGATCTTGGTCCAGACTGGTGGATGTGGTCAACAAGAAGCGGCGCGGCAGGGGCTTAGGCGCCTCGATAGCCTCGTCCAGGTGAGGTGGATAATCGGTGCCCAGGCGCACGGATGGTAGAGATCCCATCTCCTGCTCCTCGAAGCACTCTTCTGCCATGACTTTAGACGTAACAGAACCATCAACGCCTTGATCAAGATTTTTCGAGAATGAGAATGGAAGTGAGACGGTCGCGGGGTATTGTTGATAGGCCCTGTGGTCAACTACTCGCGAGACTGAGTCAACAGAGGCGGACTTGGGGGGCGATGACGGTTTGCGGTCGAGCAGGTGGTCAATCCGAGCTTGCCACGGGTTGTCCGGATGAGGGACGGCATGTGCCTGGTTGGGTTGGTAGAGCCCTTCGTGCTGCATGTGAGCTTCGCGCATAGGACCACGGGGCGGCAAGCCTCTTGGTGCCTGTTGCGTGGCCCATTCAGCATTGTGAGTATGAGCAGCCTGAGTCTTGGGAAGTCTAACAACGATCTGAGGAGGTGGCAAAGCGACGTGTGGTCGTGCAGCATCTCCATCAAAGACAGGATGGCCGAACATGTCGGGAGGAGGCGGAGAAGGCGAATTTCTGCCACTCCGGTCGGCGCGAGCTGCTTGCTCCTCCAGCCGAACATCTCGTGTTGGGAAGAAGCGGGATGCGCGCCCCTGCTGGGGCACGGGACCAGGTCCATTAGGCCCTATGGGGGGCGTATGTTGGAGGCCATGCGACTGAGCCTGCGTAACGGTGGTGGCATCGTCTGATGTCTTCCATGGTGCCGCAGCATGAATCACTGTCGACCGTTCCCTCTCCTCGATCCGTATACCTTCGTCGTTTAACTTTGTCGGCTTCCAGTTATCCTTGATACTGGTCTTCAGGTCCTGGGCCGATAGGCCGCGCGCTTCCATGTCTCGTTGTTGTTCAGCACGTGCAGCTTGGCGTTCTGCAAATAGGGTGCTATCACGGTCGCGGACAGCACTTGACCATGCATTGCGCACCGCATTTGCATTTGGAGGTCCAATCGGCTGAATAGGTGCCATGCTTTGCTTCTGCGATCCTGGAGGACCGATAGGGCCAGGCGTGGGCTTCGAGTGTACCTGCGGAGCGGGACCCGTGAAGGCATCTGGGACTCGACCAAGATCCGCGTTGAAAGTGCCATTCCCAAGGCTTCGGTTGTTGTTCGGGGAACCCCAGACATTGCGTGACGATGGCTGGCTGGCCGGTGCCCACGTTGGCAGCCGTTCACCTTGGCTTTGCCAGCCAGGAGCGGCCTTTGACTCCTGTGCAGCGTGAACGGAGTCAGCCAGACCGGGGGGGTGTATGGGTTGATGCTGGCCATGCGGCTTGGCGCCGTCGGGAAGCGTATCGCTGTTGCTCTCAGCAGACGCCGATGGCTGCATCGATCGCGGTTGGTGGGGGGTTGATTGCATTTCAGCGGTCTCTGCATCACTCGACTTGGAGTGAGACCTAGAGGCATCCTTCAGAGTGTTCTCATTGGAGACTTCCTTCTTTGTGCTCTTCCTCTCTGGGGCAGGGCCGAGCGCCTCGAGCTTGACACGGAGCCGCTCCTGTTTCGCGGCTTCCTCACGCGCCTCCTCCTCCAGGCGACGCTTGATGGCCATTTCCCGCCGTTCGCGCATGACCCGCTTCTGAACTTCCAAAGCATCCTCGACAGGGACAGCCGGCGGCAGTTGCTGCCCTGGCAGATGCGCGTTATTTTCATTTTGGGCCATTTGGTGCCCTGTGAACGGTGTAGCATGGGTGACATTTGGTGACATGCGAGTCTGCCATGCCGGAAGACCGTGCATAGGTTGCCGCTGGCCGGAAGGTGAGAAGTTCCGTGGCGAGGACATGTCGTCACTCCCGGCAGCTGTCGAAGCCCGTCTAGCGCTGAGAAGCTCTGGGGGTGGTAATGCCTGGTCGTGAGGCTTTCCCATCCGGGAGAAGACGTGACCGCTCCCACCACTCACGTTTGACGAGCCACGGCGGCGTCCATACGGACCTTCTTGTGCACTGGTCCTGCTTGTCTGGAATGCTGCAGATGGTTCTGGGTGATCGGATTGAGATGGGCGTTGAAGAAGGGCAGCAGGCGGTTGTCTGCCGTGGGCTTCGCTCCTGACTCCTCCTCTACGATCCATGACAGGCTCGAGGCGGCCGGAATGCGAGTTGAAGAGCTCTCGGCCGTGCGCAGCATGGCCATCCCTAAATCCCGATCTACTGAAATCGTCCGCAGCTATTTCTTTATACGGCCCAAGCATACCATCGCCGTACTGCATGTGATGCTCCCTTGGGGGAGGTCTCATGGGATGGTGCTGCCCCGGCAAATCAATCGGAGGGGGGGCTTTGTCGACTGGAGGTAGAGTGGCCCATGGCGACTTGACGGGTGTTGGTGGCGCCGGCGGTTTTGCGACCAGGGTTGGCTTGTCTTGATGGCCCTTCAGAACCAGTCCCTTGCCAGAAGCAAGGACGCCAGGCTTCACTGACGGGGACGCGGTAGGGGCGGGTGATTTCGGCTTGTCTGCAGTCTTCAGCTCCCTCGACACGCTGCTTGCCGGCGGTTCGGGGGTTGGCGCGGGCTGCTCTTCGTGGTGAGGTATTGTTGATTTAGTCCCGTCGTTCCACCTGATCTCTTCGGGTGCCCAGTCCTCGTCATCGTCCTCGATGTCTGCCCAGTTTGCTTGTCCCTTAGAATCATCTGGATGCAGACGGCTCGCCATATGGATGCCGTACTTCTTCAGCTCCTCGTCGGTGAACTTTTTCGGTTCTGGTGGTGGAGCAGCTTCAATGTGATTGTCAGCGATATTGGTCCAGGAGCAAGCAATATTGGATGGGAACTTACGCCTATTCTTGTTCCAGACAGCATTCGGATCGGGCGCTGCTGGAGCGCGGCCATTTGCGCCGACGGCCTTGGGAAGTGAGTGACCGCTGCCAGTCTTGGCAACGAGTCGGGGTCGAGCCGCTGACAACGAGCCTGGCTGTGCCACTGTTAAACTTGCAGACAATGGCGACTTGTCGGCCGTCTTGGTCGCAGCTGTTCCCGCCGCCCCTTTCGCTGCCAAGAACGTCTTGTTGACCGATACTGCCTTGAAGGTGGCAGGTTTCTTGACGGAGGAAGATGTTCTGCCATGGCCCTTGTCGCCATCCTTGCCCTTCAACCCGTCGAGCTTGGAAGCTTCGGTGTCGGATCCTCCACTAATGCTCACCTCTGCCGAGTTGACTAGATCGTCGACAATGTCGGAAATTTGCTTATGCTCGAGTTCGTCTGTAGAAGCGGCGGCACTGCCGTTCACATCAGGGGCGTGCGAGGCGACATCGTTGAGATCGTTGGGCGTCTTGTTGGACTGAGAAAAATCAGAGCAAGACATGTTAGCTTTTGATCTGTTGAAGAGCCGAACTCGAATCCGCATCTCCAGATTCGAGCTTGGACAGCAGGGAGAGTGTGGTTCAGGCAGAGACTTACAGGCTCGGAGTCAGAGGGAACAATAGTTTCGACGGACTGGTCTGCAGTGGCTTCAGTAGCCATCATACGTCGCGCCGAGAAACAAAGTCCGGGTAAGGTGCGATGAACAAATGCGCCCGTCGCCCAATTCACCAGAGGGTCGTCGAGTCGCCGTCGCCGAAATTTGCAGTCAAACCAGAGGTGGTACCGCAATCTGGTGCTGCCGGCCAGGTAGCAATTACTCGCAGGAGCTCTTAAAAAAGAGGAGACGGGGCAGCCAATGGATCCCGAGGCTGGGTCTGGTCTGTCTGATCGTCTCTACCCGTGGGAGGGGGGAAAAGGAACGGGATTCCGGAGGCCAAGAGGTTGAGGTGGAAGTGAACCCGTGGTATCGTCGTCGATGATGATGGGGAAGGGGGGGAAGGAGATTCCGTGAGGATCGAAAAAAGGATGATGGTCCAGTGGTACCGGTGCCGTACCAGTCGAGTCGAGAGAATGGTGTGGATTTGCGGCTGGGCACGCTTTTGCAGCCAAGGTTGACGTTGCAAAGCCTTGGGTGTGCTGGCTGGCCCGGTGCCGTTCTCGTTTGTCAGGTCTGCGCCGCCTTGCCAGATGGGGCTTAGTGGGACGAGGTTGGATGCGAGAGGGTGAGACTGGAGGTGAAGCCTGATTGATTTGCTGACGGGCGCAAAAGTGTGCTCGCTAGGGGGAGGAAGCTGGGGGGGCGTGTGGCTGTTTTTAGCAGGAGGCTTGCCCTGGGCTACCTAATGAATAAGGGAGAAGCAACTTGGACCTCAATCCAGGGCGACTCAGGTGCAACCCAAACACCAGACCTTCACTGCCAATCACTCAATCCTGAATGCTGGTGAGGCTATCAATCCATCCATGTGACTATTCATTCTAAACATTCACAGACTATTCTTTCTCCTGAGTCTTACAAAGATTCTTTCTCAATACCGCAATCTCTAGCATCTTCCCTTTCCATGTTTTCTTTACCCTGTCTTCATTGTAGCTGGCCCCTTGACTTCTTTCGGATACGAGCTCCATTCGTCTATTCAAGATCCAGCAAAGAGTCACCCGGCCCTGGGTTCAAAGCCGACAAAAAGTCACCAAAGCAAATGGTCTTACCAGGCTGCCTACCTTGACGTCATCGCCGCCAATGCTCCAGTGAATCGTAGTCAATATGAGTAAAATGCAATCGAATTTGTTGACCAAGGGACCTTTGATAAAGCGTTGCCCGAGTCACGCTGTTGGCTTTTCTGGTCACCCACACAAAAGGGTCAGGGTAGCTTTGCTTGCCACAAAGCAGAACCATGATCTATCGCACTATTACAGCATTCATCAAGCGTGGCCCCATTGGAAACCTTCCTAATGTGACAAGTCTGATGCGACGAGTCATGGGGGTTATGAGGCGTGTCACGGCAAGACCAGCATCGAAGGACTAAGTAGTACAATCAAGATCAGATGTCTCTTGTTGACAAAAGAAATGCTTCAACGCCTAGAGGTCTACGTTGACTTGTCTCTCTTTTAATAGCTGGTTATATACAGGCCAGACATATCTACTCGCACACACACGTACAACCCCGCCTGACGATGGCCCAGCTTAGTGAGCGTTGTTCTTGTGGTGTCCTGTTGTAACGGAAAGAGTCAGTAAGCCTCGCCAATTGGCCACGAGAATGTGGAATTATCGACGTACGCAGGTGGAAGTAGTAGTTCTGAGCATAGCCGATGGTGACGAGGATGACAATTGCGTGGATGATGGCTAGAGTCCAAACGTGTCAGCCCGGTGATCCTTCACCTCAATATCCCCGCTCGGGAAACGAGCAGGGTTGCTTCCAGAATAGACGTACGCTTTGCGCTCGGGTTCTTGCCGAAGTGCTTCGCCTGGTACTTGCCCCAGAAACCCTTGGGCTTCACGTCGGGGGCGGCACCACGGGGGAGCTTCTCGTAGAAGCTGACGACACGCTGCATGCGGACAGCATCGGGAGCAGCGCCGATGGCCTAAAAGAAATCCCAATGATCAGTCCCGAATCCTTTCTGGTGTTGCATCGACCCTCGTGCGTGGTCGGCTTCAACTTCTCATGGGTCATCGACGAAACGCTGTCCTCAGACTCCTAATTGCCGCTGATCCGTGATTCATCGCGCGGCGGGCAACTCGGCACCACGTCCAACCACTGTTGACAGCCCAACTCGGCCAAATCCTGTTCGTAAAACGTACCTTCGGCGAAGCAACCTGTGATTGACGGACGTCAGCGACCATGGTCCCATGGATGGGCTTGCGGACAAGCATCGGAACTAACCTTGGGGGGGATGAGCGTGGAGAGCGCCCGGCGGGTAACGTAGCTCATTTTGACTTCGTGCGGCAGTATCGGGTTACGTCGAAAAGGTGAATGGGCGTCGTCTCAATTGGGCCTGTCTCGACTCAATTGCTGCTTGATCTCTGCGACACGGAAGCGTTGTTGAGCTGATTTTGGAGGATTGCGGGTCGTCGGGATTGCTCGTCAAAGCCAGCTTCGGCAAAGAAGTTGTTGCGGTTGTCCCAGCGCCCCACATGCAAAAACGGACCCAGCCAATCACGGCCCGCATGTTCGGTTGACCAAGTCTACACCTGAACGAATTGACCTCACCTCGAACCAAATATCGCCCCGAAGCTCCCCATTGCGCATCGCCAACCCATGACGGCGTACCAATTCACAATGGCCTCCCTCAGATCCGCCTCCGCAGCTCGCATGCTCCGGGGCAGCGTTGCCACAAGCCGCACTATCCTACCTGCGGCCCGACGATTCGAGAGCACCCTTACCCCCCAAGAGAAGCCGACTCCCTCGACTCCCGCCGTCCGCGAGGAAAACCAGCCTGATTACGGCGCCCATTTTGACAAGGCTACTTCGTACGTCTTTTTTGCATAGGGGATACCAAGGAATTCGGAGTGATATGGAGGGCTGATAGTCACGGTCACAGCACGTTTACCCCCGTCCCGAAGCGGCTGCTCGATGGCAGCGAGGATACCGATGTCCTGCCAGCCGCTGTCCTCTCGGGGGCCCCTATGGAACTCCAGGGCCGCACAGTCCGGTACGATTTTTTTCCCTGCTTGCAACTCGCACAAAGCCTTTGCTTCGCCCGCCGCTTGCTCGTGGTCAACCCAGATCAGTACGCTAATCACACATTCTTGCAGTATCTACAAACCCTCAAAGCCGGCCACTCAGTCAGGAACATGGGGACACAGCCGCTGGCGGATGGACTGGGACATCCTACCAAAGGGACATCGGTGGGAGAACCCTCTGATGGGATGGCAGTCGTCAGGCGACTTCATGCAAGGAACCCACATGAACTTCAAGACCAAGGAGGATGCCATTGCCTTTGCAGAGAAGCAGGGTTACGAGTATTTCGTTCAGGAGCCAAATGAGCGCAAGATTACGCCCAAGGCCTATGCCAACAACTTCCTGTACTCGGCCGGGAAGTTGAAGCACATCCGGACGAAATAGAATGTTGGTCACGAGGCAGGGGAAACATGTACATATATGTAGTTGTGAACGCGGCTTTAATGCAATTGACAGCTTGACAAAATCACAGTCAGGAAAATCTCATGTAATGCATTAATCTTATTTGTATTGATTCCTCTCTACGGAAGAAATGCCCGTTCATGTATTGATGCTAAAACAAAACGCTGTGGGATATCATTGTTGGTCGCCGCCACGAAAGAGAATACAGTATGAACGCCAGCCTGCCCCCGATTCAGAAATATGCCGTGTGGATGCCTTCCACGCAAAAAGAGTGATTGACCAAGCCTTTTGGTAAGGAGTCCCAACGCCAGAGAAAAAAACGTACAAGGTCCCGCCCCGCTCTAGGTCGTAATCATGGGCTCATGCCCGTTCTCATGGATCCTCTCGTCCATATCATGGTCATCACCATTGAACCCCAAATCAAGCCGCTCCGGAAGATCCTTCTTCTTCTCCCTGGCGACGTTCTCAGCCCATGCTCGTAGTTTGACAAGGTCGCGGATAGCAGCATTGCGCCGCCTGCTCTGGTGGAAGAGAATGGCTTTGTTGACCTTATCTGCCACCTCACGCCTCAGCTCCGGTTCGAGGAGAGCTGCCAACTCGGGCGGCAATTTGTCAGAGGGAAAGATCAGAAGGGCCATTGTCTTCTCTAGATCTTCCAGAAACTCGGGGCTCGTCGGCGCCCGGGGCCCCAGTTGCTGCGTGGCAAAGGCCAGCGCGGGTGATATATCACCACCAGCACATGACCGAATCAGCTCGACTAGCTGTAGCCTCAACAGAGCAAAGTGCAGAGGAGGATCTTTGTCCAAGATCTAGGCAAGCATGTTAGACATAGGCTTCCCAGAGAAGATGGAGACATGAATCGGTGAATTGAAGAGTATGCTCATAATTTTCAGTGTGGTTTGACTCATCAATGGCCGCAAGGGCCTATGCGTGGTGCATGATAAAGGTTTTTAATCCTAGCAGGAAAGTGGGTTGAAAAAAAAGCGGAAATGAAATTGCTTACCTCAGGATCCAACTCATTCAGGGCGCTGATCGCGTCTTGGATCTTTCCTTGATGGATACAATGCTGGATCTGCTGTCTGGCTTTCACGGAAGCAGTATCCTGTTGGGGCTGCAAATTTGCTTCCTTGGAGAAATTCGCCGCGGCCTGCGGATAGCCTTCCATAGTCAAGTAATCGAGTATCAAGGCATTGATATCACTTTTGACGCAGGTCAGTAAAAGGCATTCCGGTCCCAAAAGGTAGCTAGATGAAGAGATGGTGTCGTAGGCAAGATCAGATAGTGCGGACGAAGTCCATATCGATCTCCGCATGATATTCTCAGAGAGATTCCCATTGATATTGTTCATCATCATGTTGCCAGGTGCAAGTTGGGCTCAGGCCCGGGGAGGGAGATAGGGTAGGTGTGTCTATAAGGAAGGTGTGACCAAAGGGGACTGCAGTATTCACCTCTTGGGCGACTTGACGCCAGCCACCCGCCTATCAAAAGCATGCTTCATCGGGGTAGTTGTGGAGGTTGAAGATGTCTATCAGCAAAGCGAATGTTAGCAGAGTACAGACAGATAAACAAAAGTAACATTTCCGTACCATTCCGGGGCCGAGATCACGACGCAGATGATCCACGACAGTCTGCCAGGCTGACAGTAGTCAGGTTTGTGGTAGCGAGATCAACCGCGTCCAACAAGCTCAAAAACATAAGCTCGCATTCCCATGAGCCTGCAAGGGATGGAGGTCAGCAACAGAGCTCGCAACGGGTGCGAGGCTGTCGCGTGTGTTTTGGAAAAGGGAAGAGGGAAAGAATTGGGGGAGAGTGGAAGAGAAGAATGGGAAGATGTGGTTGAGAAAAGTGGGAGGGAAAATTGGATGTGGGAATAGAGCTGGCGAAGCTTCGACTCGACCAATCACGGGTACAACACAGGCTGCTCCAGTGGGGATGATCCTCATTTGCGCACAGGTGTCGGGCGGCGGGGCGAGGCAGTAAGTTACCTATAGGTACCACCTCTGGCAACCGAGGGTGCCCAGGTGCCTTGGAGCCTCGAATCAAGGCGGCCTGCAGTGAGCTTGTTTAGCGCCAGCCCCTCAAGCTTCGGTGCCCATGCATATAAGCTAAAAACAGCGCCTGGAGAGTGACCAAAATGCCTGAAGCTAGGGCGAGATAAACGACGCAAACACCCTTGAGGTAAAGCTGTTTGAGCACCAATGGATTCGGGAAAGGATATTGCCTTGGAAACACAATTGCTGGCCAGTATTTCGACAGACCGACAAGCCTTCACTGGACCTTCTCTGAAGCCACTCAGCATATATTTTATTTCGTCACCACTACCTGACTATGTCTGTCTCTTGAGACTCAATATCGGTTAGATAGAGAGCACACACCTCCTACCTGGTTGTTCACTACGAACAGCCAGCGAGCCTCGTGCATTCTCACCGTCAACGGACTGATCCGCCTGATTTCGTCACCTTCATCGTTGTCCACAACACTCTCTCCGCTATGGACAGTCCCGCTGTACTGCCGGATAACACCATCGCCAAGAGGGCACACTACTCTCCCCCATGGGCCGATGTCAGCATTATCGGAATAGCAGGTAGCTCTGGCTCTGGCAAGTCTAGCATCTCCGATGCGATTGTAAAGAAACTAAACCTGCCGTGGGTTGTCATTCTATCTATCGTGAGTAAAACGGCCGTAACACCCAGCGACGAGGATAATTCAATTTGCTTACACCATTCACTGCGTAAGGACTCGTTTTATAAGAGTCTTGATGCCGAGTCCTCGAGGAAGGCTTTCCTCAACGAGTATGATTTCGATTCGCCAGAGGCATGTATCAACCAGGACTGGCCCCATGTCCATATCTAAGTGCTCACGTGCGTCTAACACGCTCCAGGCGCTGGACTTTGATGTCCTCGTGAATAGGCTGAGAGATCTCAAGGCAGGGTACGGCGCCACAAGGAGACAGAGAGATACGGCTACTCTTGGCTAACAATATGTAATAGCAAGCGGGCTGAGATCCCCGTTTATTCTTTCGAAAAGCACGCCAGGCTTCCACAAACCACTTCTATCTACTCGCCTCACGTTTTGATCCTGGAAGGCATCTTCGCCTTGTATGATCCCAGAGTTCTTGAACTAATGGACATGAAGGTACGACAGGCTGCCATTCTCCTATTCAAAACAAATCCATTTTCAGTTTGACGATGGTAGCTCATCAATTTCGTTGCAGGTGTACTGCGAAGAGGACCCAGACGTGTGTCTCTCACGACGCAGTGAGTTTACAGTCCTCTCTTCCACCCCCCCGCGGGCAGTCGCTGATGCTATGTTCTCTTACAGTTATACGTGATGTTCGAGAACGTGGTCGGGACGTGGAGGGCGTGATCAAGCAGTGGCTCGGCTTCGTGAAGCCCAACTACGAGAAGGTAAGTCAGGGAAGAATAGCGTTATAAACCAAGCCTCTAACAAGTTCTAGTTCGTTGATCCACAGCGTAAGGTGGCTGATATCATCGTACCTCGTGGTGTGGAAAACACGGTGGCAATCAGTACGCGATTTCGAGAGACATCAACTCATTCTCCTCCAGCGTCACTGACTTCCGTGAATAGACATGGTAACCCAGTACATCGAACAAAAGCTCCTTGAGAAGTCCAAGCAGCACCGGGCAGCCCTCACCCAGCTTGAGCTCGAATCACAGTCACAGCCTCTTTCAGAACGTATTGTTTTCCTCGAGCCAACCACTCAACTTCGGGGAATGAACACTATCATCCACGACATCGATACCTCGAGCGAAGACTTCATCTTCTACTTTGACCGCTTGGCTACCCTCTTGGTTGAATTGTAAGTACTTGCCATGTGACGGAGATTCGGCACTGATCAAGCCCTCGCCACTCAACACAGGGAGCTGACTGCGTCGTGATGTAGGGCCTTGAACAATGTCAAGTTTAGACGGAAAGAGATCTCTACGCCCCAAGGAAATGCTTACACTGGCCTCACCGCCTCAGGCGAAGTGTCTGCCGTCGTTCTCGAGCGTGGTGGCGCGGCGCTCGAGACCGGCCTGAAGCGCGTCATTCCCGACTGCCGCACGGGACACCTCTTTATCGAGTCCAACGTCCGGACTGGTGAGCCAGAGCTCCGCTACCACAAACTCCCTCCCGGTATCGAGGACCACGAGTCGGTGCTGCTCCTCGACGCCCAGATGTCGAGTGGCGGATCTGCTCTTATGGCTGTGCAGGTCCTTGTTGACTATGGAGTGAGACCTGATCGTATCGTCTTTGCAACGTATTCGGCCGGCAGGATGGGTCTTCATCGGCTGACGACGGTGTTTCCTGACTTGACAGTTGTGGTATGCAATCTCGTGCAAGATGTAGAGGAAAGATGGGTTGAGCGTCGTTATTTCCGCTGCTGAGTTTGGCATGGCTTTTCGTATTTTCCTTGCCTCTACATTCTTCTAGAATTGGCATCAGCGGAGTTAGGTCCAGGGTTAGTAGCACTATTCACGATAGGTATGATCATCTTGTGTAGAACTAATGCATTCGCTGGTACCCTGCGACCTATGCTACGCTGCCCTTTGATGCTCGTTGACCCCTATACCATCCCAAACCCTTTTATAGCGCCCATCTGACATCGTGCTCGATCGCTCGGATCCAGAAGTCTATTGTCAAAGCTATCAAGTCCACAGTCACCCACGACGTCATTCCTTCCAGCGCCACACTCCTCATTTGCCCGTAAACCAGGCGTGTCAGCATAACTACATCCAATAGAGCCCAACCGTCCTTAAAAAGCCACTTCCGTGGCCGAGGTCGCAAGGGGATGGCCCTCAGCCAGCGCAATGCCTTTCCTGACAGAGCTAAAGACTTGTTCCATGAAGGTTGCAGATGGGGTATACAGTCGCCTGGCTGGAAGAAACTACAGATCTTGGGAGAAGACCCGTGGGAGAGCATTTCCATCCTTTCGGGGAAACAGATGTCCCGGATAAGAGAAGCAATGCATCTTGCCTCGGCTACAGGCGCATCATTAGCGTACTAAATCTCGTACGCCGTAGCGGGCTCTTTGAAAATGAGGTGCGGCTTCCTCTTGGCGATGTCTAGGATAGTCTCTGCAAAAACTCCATTGGCCCCTAGATGGTTGTGTCAGTACCATTAGACACGGGGAGGGTGAAGCAAGTCAAGGGAGTCTTACAAGCAAACCAGCTTCCTGTAGTTGAGAACGTCAGTACATATAGCTCAGCCCAGGGTATTGGGAAGAATACTTACTCGTGTACGACATGATATGGTTCACGTCGATGCTTTCATGCACGAGTCCCAATTTCGCGGATTTCAAGACAAAATTTAGGCAATCAGTGATCTCTTCGTCGTCGTCCGAGGTTTGAGCCTGAATCAAGAGGCTCATCGGCCATGCGTTACTAAGTCCGATATGAGGTCCTGGCCAGGGTGTCAGCAACTCGATCCGAACCACGTAGAATCAACCAAGGAAGCCCACCTCCGATGCCCTTGAACTCTCGGCCCTTCAAGTAGTAGGGGTTGGAATTCTTCTCCAACAGCATCCTCCTTGTGTTTTGGTACGTCGGGTTATCGGCCTTGAGGAAGCCCATCAGGGGAAGAGCAAGCAATGACGGATAGTTGGCATCATCCATCAATATGTGAGATCCGTACCCGTCAACCTCGTACGCGAAGACATCCCCGAATGTCCGATGCTTCACAACACCGTGCTCCCACACACCTTGAGTGATTCTCTCGCTCCATTTGGCAACTTTTTGTGCGTAGGAATCTTTACCTGCAGCCTTGAGTATTTCCGCCGTCCGTTTCAATTCTGTTGCCATCATTGCGTTGGCGGGGATGAAAAATCCCAAGATGGTGGCGTCATCGCTTGGTCTGAAAGCAGACCGTACAAGGCCTGTTCCGTTGTTCAACGGGTTGCCAACGCCACGAAGGTTCAGAGTTTCAGTGCCTGTGTCCGTATTCCTTTGAAAGGTGTACTCGTTCCTCCTGTAGCGCCCGGTCTCCGGATCGAAAGTCGATTGCGACTGCTGGTCAAGGACTCTAAGCAATGTTCCCAGAGCTAGAAACCATCTTTCGGACAAGAAGTCTGTCGACTGGGTGTGCTTGTAAAAGTCGTTGCCCAATGCTAGAAAGTGCGCCAAGCTATCCAGCTCATACTTGCATTCGAAGACGACAGTCGGCTCGTAGGCTGGATGGACCCTGTCGTCTTGACCGTTGTGGCTGAAGTCCAGTCCTGAAATCGGTGGGGGCTGGAAAGCGTTACAATACGGGTTCTCAATGACATATTCCGCCTGCGTGTTGATTGCTCCCAGGATCAGGTTGAAGATAGCCTTGTCCTTGCTTGCCAGTGCTTGATAAGGTGACAACTGATTGGTAGAATCCCGCAGCCATTCTGCAATGATATCCCCGGTGATGATGAAGGACTGAGGTCCTTCCCACTTGCCCTCGTCGTGCACTCCTCGTCCAGAAAAAGACATTGTGCCCAGCTTGTCGCTTCCATCTGTGTGGAACTTGACAGTTGTGTCTGTGGTGGAGGGGAATGCATTCTCGAACAGTCGAGCCAGGTCGGGATCAATCATTCGAGATGTGACATCCTGGATGACCTTCTCGATGGCATCGGAGCGAAAGGTGCGACAGCGAGGGTCGGGGCGCTGGTAGGGAAGCTCGAGAGGGCCCTTGCTGAATGGCCGGCTGGTACATGTTCAGTCAGTTCCCAGGGCCTTGTAATCGCTGGACGGGCAAAACCTACTGTGGATATGCAGCATAGTGTGTATAGTCAGGACAAGCCTCCTTGTCAAAGAGCCTCTGCTGGGTTTCGGCACCAGGATCTGAGCGGACATTTGAGGCGCAAAGAAGCCCAAGTACAAGAAGGGAGAGTGTACCGTGCATGATGGCGCGACTCTTCCCTTGACGAGCTTTGACACATGTGTAGACCTAGTAAGGGTGTGATCGAGGTCGGGATCTAACAAGGGGTAAGAACTGTGGCAGGTTGAAATGTTGGATGCGCCCACGCTGATCCATCCATTGATCGAGGTGTAGATACCTCGAAGTCTACAGCAAGAGTGAAGACACCTGGTGGATGAGCTTTAGCAGCAGGACCCCACAAAATACAGCTATGGGAGGAGCATTGATCGCTGTGTAAGCTACCTGTAAGTTTGTGCTTGGCGCTTTGCGCGCGTTCAAGTGATGGAGTCAAGCTGCGTCATTGGGTGGGTTCCTCTACCAGGTGCAATCGCAAATAAGAGTGACCCCACCACTTTAAGCGCCCGCTTGTGGGGCTCTTTTTCCCATCTCATGAATCTCCTCAGAGTCCAAGAACACTCTACCTCATCTCGGGCTGCGATTCCCACAGTCAGCTCCAAGTCGATCTCGGTCTAAATATATCCCCCAAGCAAATTCTAGCTCCTCCCGATGCCATCAGACGACGAAAATGAACTCTTAGCACACCCAGAGTTCTGGGACGCCCGATACAGCAATGCGCCAGAGGGTGAGGGTCATGCACCAACCCATGAGTGGTTCCGAACATACCAAGATCTTGAGTTGTTTTTCCGGAAACATCTTGTAGAATGGAGGGCACCAGAAACAAACCCTAGGATTGTCCACTTAGGCTCAGGCGATAGTGTAAGCATGTGCAACATATCTGCGCTATGTTCTTTCTCAAACTCACCATAATTATCAGACTATCCCACAAGATCTAGCCAAGTTAGGCTATTCAAATCAACTCTGTGTTGATTTTTCCCAAGTTGTTGTCGAGAAAATGGCAAAGAGGGATGCCAACACTACTGGCATCGAATGGAGACAGCTTGATGCCCGCTCAATGGAGAACAGCATCGACAGTGGAGCAGTAGACGTCGCCTTTGACAAGGGCACTCTTGATGCTATGATCCATGGGAGCCCCTGGAACCCCCCGGATGATGTCAAAGACAACACTGGTAAATATATCCGTGAAGTAAGCATTTTCTCCAACAATGTGGTTGTATCAGGTGGTGAGGCTAACAGACCAGGTCTTTCGCATCCTTAAAGATGACGGGGTCTTTCTCTACGTCACCTACAGACAGCCTCACTTTATAAGGCCGCTTTTGAATTGTGAAGGGACAAGCTGGGACATCGATATGGAAGTCCTCGGCAGTGGTGAGAGTTCATTCGCATATCATGGATTCATCTTGAGAAAGGCGTCACCTTCCTCTTAAGATGTTACCTTAGGTACCTTAGGTTAGGTTAGATAATGTGGTTCTGCTACTCCCTGAATGAAGATGGGAGTTCTTCAACATAGCCCTTGAGCAGCCCTGACCTTCTTCTCGGATATCAAATCCAACAGATTCCTGCTCTCCCGAGCAGTGGTCAAAGTTGTTGACAGAAGCTTATCAGGAGATATTTCAATGCTAATGATGCAGACATTTTCTCTACCTACAGGTCACACAGTGTCTTCTATGACAACTGATCTAACTATCTAATCTAATTTCTCGAAATGGCACTCCAAGAAACCATATTGACCGCTCTTTTGACATTTACCAAGGCTTGATTACTCGTGGCTATATTTCTTCTCCTCTTGTCTTTGCTTAATTCTAATCGCTTCTGCCTCCTGTTAGGGTGAATTTATCTGGTTTGGACCCGAGGGCTTGGTTAAGCGCTCACTGATGTTCAATGTTGATAAATTTAGAACGGAAATGCAACCAACTGCTGTTTCAAATACGGAGTAGGTCATGCAGCCGCCTGAATCCCTACAGGGGCCTCCTTTGGCAACTATATTATTCTTGCTTCGTACGTGCTGTGCATTTGTGTCTTTCCTCACCCAGAATCGAAACAAAAACATCTGGAATTGGCCTCGGCAACTCATACAGACCTACACAATGACACCGGCACCAGACAACCCACTCGAGAGGAAGCGTGACAGATTCAAACGGCTTTTCCTCGGAGACCGCGCCGACCAGGCAAATGCACAAGCAAGCACTTGTCAGAGTGATGTATTGATCGAGAAAGGGGACCACAGCGCACCGAGTGCCATCCAGCAGGCCACGGAGCCCACAGCTGTCAAAGGCAACGTCTCGAAGAGTCCTGAAGACCCCAGCAAAGATGACAACGTGTCCCAAGTCGCAGTGAGTCAAGATCCCATGTTGTCGACTGTCCAGGCCATATCCTAAAACTGTTCTCAGGAAGTAGAGGCGGGTCAGGTCTTGTCTCCTACCGCGTTGAGATTCCAAGAGAGTTTCGGTAGCGACGATATCTGGAGTGCTGCTTACCGCGAAGCGATCTTGACGTTTGACAGCTCACAGCGAAGCCTCCTACTGGCGGGCTCTCGTGAGACATTCTTTCAGCTCATGGAAAACCTCCAGGGTGACGTCGGGGGTGGTTCGACCTTGAGTAGGGGTCTACTGCACATGAAGGGTCCCTTGGAGAGACTTAACATGGCCCTGGATGTAGCTAAACCTCTGACGAGTCTCGAGCCGACACAAGCCCTGTCTACCGCGGTTGGCATCGTCCAAACAGTCATCAAGGCAAGTTGAACGTTCTAGTCCGAAGTAGGCTTCTTCCCTGTCATTGCAAATTGACCATGAGAAATAGATGGCCATTGGTGTTTGCGGGCTTGTAGAGACCCTCAAGGCTGAAATTACCAATATGCTGGATCATATTGCCATCATCGACAGATGCGAGACCGCGACCCAGAATCGTGATCAGGCCCGTGATGTTCACAAGGTAATCATCGTTTCTTCTCTTCCAGACCATCTCTAACGCATTCTTCAGGCTCTTGTATCTGTCTACAAAGACCTTGCCGGATTCTACCTTAGTGTTATCCGCATACTGAGCAATGAATCAGTCCAGTGTGCAATCGGTTTGACCATCGAGTCATTCAAGCAGGAGATCCCAGCGGGTATTGCAGCTTTCGTGAAAGACACCTCGATGCTACAAAACTGCATTCAAGTGGCGGTACTCGGCGTCGTTGGGAAGTTGGAAGATGCGGTGGTAGCAAGTGAAGGTATGACTCTAGACTACGTCGCATCCTGCGAGTCCATGTTGATCTACGCTCACATTAGCTTTTAGTACGAATGATTCTGGGAATTAATAATGACAGGCGACGATGCAATGATCACGCTACATTCCAGGCAGAGCGGGCAGACGCTGCTTGTCAGTGGATCACGAATGATCTCACTTTCACTGGCTGGTTAGATGCCGTTCCGCCAGCGTCCCCTGTTCTTGCCATCTATGGCGACACGGGCTGCGGGAAGAGTTACTTGACATCGTTTTTGATCGACTTTCTGCACGAGAAATTATGGGGGTTCCCAAAGACCGCGGTTTACTTCCACTACTGCAAATCCGAGAAGGACGCCGGCACGGCGTCAGGGATTCTATCTGGCCTGCTCTACCAACTTCTCCAGCAGCACGTATCTTTGAACCACCTCTTCAAGGCCTGGTACGAAAAGCAGTCCGGGGTGGTACTTTCGGTACAAGCCATGGCCGAGTTCTTCAAAGAAAGGGTCAGATCACTCAAGCGACGATCCTTCATTGTCATTGATGGCTTGGATGAGTGTGATAACGCAACAAAGGGCGACCTTGTGAAGATACTCACTTCAATATGCGAAGAGACGCGATGCTGTCGAGTCATCGTTGTGGCTCGACCACAGGAACGACTCAAGCGGCTTCTCTGCAACGCTGCACAAGTCAATATCAAGCCATCAGAAGACCGAGACCGCATCATCGTCGAGCACGCTGTCCGTTCACTCTCTCTGCAAGACAAAGCACGGCAGGAACTTGTTGATGGGCTCTCCAAGGCGGCCGTCGGGAACGTCATTTGGGTCAAAATGATGGTCAAGCTTGTTGAGACGCGAAACCTGACTGCCCCTGGGCCGATCAGAAAGTTGCTACGTGCTATTTCTTGTCCCCAAGAACTCTTGCAAGTGTACAGCGAGATCTTCCAAGACGCTGAGAAAGGGGATAGTGACAATGAAGCCGTCATCACCACGGCCCTGGAAATCCTGGCGGTTGCTCGACGACCACTGAAGCTATCCGAGCTCGACTTTGCCGTTGCCCTTGATGCTGCCAATCGGTCAGGGCCTTCACCTAGCATCACCTCCATAGATGCGCTTGAAGAGTACACAGACCAAAACCGGGTCCTTGCTCTGATTCGCCCGTTTGTCACGACAAGCAGTGTTTCTGATGGTGGAGATGTCGAAGTGAGACTGGTTCATGCCTCTCTGCGCGAGGCTGTACTTCAGTATCCACCATCCAGCTGGGGCAGTGATCGTCTTTCGCGAGATGACGGCCGAGAGGCGGTTCTGGAGAGGCGGCTTCTCGCCTTGTGTGCTCAGTACCTTCTCTTCGACGAGTTTAATGAGCTTGATCTGTTTTCATCGGAACAGCAAGATGTAGACGGCCTCAATTATGCCCTCCCAGGGTCTGATGTTTATGAGGAGGGGCCCGAAGACGGTCTTGAGGGCGACGACGCAGCAGCCACTGAAACCGCCTCGGCAGACCGATCGTTTGACCCCAGGGATCAAGGTTTTGGAGGTTTCTTCGTTTATGCATCTTGCTACTGGCTTGATCATCTCAAGTTTTATCGACCGACAACGGAATCAAACCTCAGCGCGGAAGCTTTGGTAACATTGGCAAGAGCTAACTCCAAGAGGATGCAAAACTGGGTGGAACAATACTGCCGACCAGAGTGCACAGTGAAGAAACGGTTCAATTACTTCGCCGAATCGGTCGACCCTCTCGTTCTCATTGCAACATTTGGTTCGGAGGAGCTGCTACGCTGGCTGCTATCCCACTACGATCCCCTGGACGATGCAGCATTCTTGCCGAAGTCCGTCCAGTACACAGTCAACTCAATATTCCAAGATGGATATGATCTTGGTGCTGTAGAAGTGCTGTTCCACGATCCACACACTGGGCCCGAGTTACAAACCTTCGATTTCTTCTACAACCTCATCGGTTCCTGGTCAAAGGCCCGCTTCGTCAAGGATAGAAGGATGGCGAGCTTTGACAAATTGTTCGACCTGATCAAATTTGTCTCCGACACGTTAGAAACTGACAACTGGGCAAACGAGTTGCTTTGCATTGCGGCTGCTCATGGGTGCTCGCCGATGGTGGAGCGTCTCTTCCAGATGGCCGACCCCAGACCATCTCTGAGAGATCAGTTACTCGAGGCTCGGGACAGGGGTACACGCCCGTTCAGACACCAGTCAATTGGGGACGCTGTCTGGGGCGGACAGCCTCGCATGGTCGAGTGGCTTCTGAAACAGCCGGGTATCGACGCCCACCTGCGACATGTTGACAAGGACGGCTGGAATGTTTTCCACATGAGTACACAGAAAGCGCAACCCGAGATCTTGGAGTTATTGATCCCTCGCTTCAAGGAAGGAGTCCACCAGCATGACAAGAACGGGGAGACACCACTCACCCTTCTCATTTTCGGCAACAGGCATCTGCGAGAGCAAGTTCTCAAGTGCGCAAAGCTTATTATTGAGTTAGGAGAGGTGAATCTGCAGGATGAAGGCTTAAGCACAAGTACCGGCCAAAGCGCCCTGAGTGAGGCCGTCAGGGCCAAGGATTTACCCATGGTCAAGCTCTTGGTTCAGCTTGGTAAGGCCAATCCCAATACTGCTCTTGTCTGGAGTGAAACCGGACAGCCATCCTTGAGAGACCATTGGGCATACCAAACTCAGGATAGCTCTTCAAGCACTGAAGAGGGCGAGATGATCAGATTGCTTGTCAGCCTCGCGAAAGATAGCTTGCCGGCACTCTGAGCTGCGTTGGCTTGTGTGGAATTATACATGGAAAACATCTCAGAGTGTGCAGTGACGTGAGGAAGGAATAACGGAATTTGAATAAAACCGCGCCAAGGAAGCCTCAAGAATCTATTGCTGTCTGTAGGTAGGCACATTGCCAAGTGATAGTTAGATTAGTTGACAGACTGCTAACAGAAGTACTTGACTATTCATCAAACAAGGATTCAGACGTCTCATTGACCGACTGGATTGGGCAGGTGAAGAAAATGGGATCAAGAATTCCTGAGCTTGGTATTTGTCGGACCGCAAGAGAAAGGTCCCTTTTATCTCCAGTGTCCGCCACCTTATGTCACCTAGCCCGTCTCACAGCATTCAAGGTCACAACAGAAACAAGCAGCTCGAAAGCGCCCTGACCAATTCTGTTACTCTTTCCTTATGTCCACCGCGAGTTCTGACATGTAAGCCGACACCAGCAGGCACTGCCCTGATATATGAATGTCCCACCAGAAAGCCGCCGGAAAGCACCCCGCAAGAGCGCGGACAAGATCGTAAAGCCGGGTGCGAAGGGATTGGCGAAGCCCCGCGTCAGGCTTGACGCCCTCAGTGAGATCCGCAAGATGCAGAAGGGCACTAATCTCCTACTGCCACAGAGCAGAGTCATGTTTCTTGTACGTAGCCACCCCCGGCAACTGCTATTCGACCTCCTGCAGCGACTGGCTTGTCTCTTGATCCAAAGAGATCATGAATGACACATTCAGACAAACCTACCAGGCTACACCAGGTTGCCTGGAGGCCATTCACACGGCACTGGAGGCCGAGCTGTTGTACATATTCAAGACCGTACAGAACGCTGCCTGCCATGCCCGCCGGATTACACTGATGGAGGTGAGCTATGGGGACAGTGAGGCATATGGATATCGCATGCTAACACCCGCAACAGAAGGACATGAAGTTCGCCGAGAGGATACTGGCTGGCCGCAAGGGCATCTATCTGAGATGCTAGGGTTGCTGTGGGGATGGGTGCGGCTGGCTACATGAGTTGTACGATAGATGTGGCACGGGTTTGTTATTGCTGACGATATGCGATGTATTATTAGATGAATCAACAATAGCAAGAGCCTATGTCATGCCTCATTTCTTGCCAAAGAAAGACATAATGCTTCCTTGGCTTCCTTTAGGCCCAGACTTCTTCGCCTTTGCTGCTTGCGATGGGGGTGCTGAGGTGTGTGACGATTTGATCTTTGTCGGAGCCGGTTCGTCCTCTGAGAACGACTCCCAGCCAGGCTCCTGGATCGTTACTGGGCAAACTGGGTTAGTCACAGCCTACGGGCTCAGGTGGGCAATGAAAATCACAAACATACCAAGATAGCCTTGATCGTCCATGATCTGCTTCTTTCGCATAACACGCCTCTTGCCGCGACGACGACCGTCACCAGTGCTAGTGGAGACAACCTCGGCCGGCTCCTCCTTCGCAGGCTCTGGTGCTGGAACCTCATCTGCGGGCTCCTCGGGCTCCTCTGGCTCCTCTTGTTCCTCCGGCTCCTCCATAGGCGTATCCTCCTTCTCTTCCTGCACCTCATCATCCTCTTCCATCATACGGCGGAGCTCTTCTTCCCTCTCTTTACGAGACTTGTGATCGCCGGTCTTACTAGCTTTCGGCTGTGGCAAGACATCAGTGTCGTCTTCGCCATCATCTGACAGGGTTTGCGTTGAGTGATCTTCTGGAGGAGCTTGTTTGGTGGTTTTCTGCTTTGGCTTTGCAGATGCGCCCTTCGCGAAAGCCTGCATGATCCCGGAAGAGCCTCCCCGCTGAAGAGAGGGAACCGGCTTCTTGGTAGTTGTGGAAGACGCCGTGCTTTCCTTCGAAGCCGCTGTCTTGGGAGGCTTCGGCTCCTCCTTGATTATTGCCGTTGCTCCACCGGGTTTGGTAGGTTGAAATTTTGGCTCCCCTTTCTTTGCTGCTACCGAAGGTGTAGGGATGGTACCCTTCCGCTCCCGTTGACGAAGATACGGATTACTGATCGTCCCATAAGTCTTGATGCTTTCTGACTCAGTGTCTGACAGAGATAGATCAAGAACTTGACGGGCAGTATCCGAAAGCAATTGCAAATCCTAAGCTGCCGTTAGTAGGTATCGATCCACGAGGTAAATCTTGGCTCACCTTGATAGGATGCGGTCCAACACTATAGACGTGGATCGATGAAACCTCTTCGTAGTGTGACAGGACGTCTATTTGGACGTTAGCCTCGGATGCATTCATTGTTCAGTAGGGCGCAACTTACCACCAAGCGACTCCTCCGGGACAAGGGACATAGTCACAACAGGTACTTCTTCATGCACAGAGTCTACATCTGGCATGGAGCTCGTCATCTCGACGTCTCCGTCCTCCTGGCTGACACCCTCATGCGACCCAGGCTTTTTTGTTCCGTAGACCAGATAAGTGGCATGAATTGCACCAGGCTTCTTGGCATTTTGAGACTTGTGGAACTCAAATAGCATCCTACACCAGTCAGCTTCAATGTTCAAGTTTAATTCTGAAGGTTTTAACATACTGTTTTGCAGTGTTGACGTGAACCTTCAGCGCTCTGCTTAGGTAGCGATAAGTGATCTGCCAGAGCGCGTCAGCAGCTTTTGGCAGAGAGGACGCGACGGGCTACTCACCAGCTTATCCTCCGTCAAAATCTGCTCGGCCAGATATCTCTTGTACTCGTCCATATTGGTAGGCGGCAGAGGATGCCCTCCGGTTTCGAGTCGGTGAGAAGGATGGGCAAGTTACAATTGACAGTGATGAAGGTTGCGCTGGTAGTTTTGTGCAAGATAAACGTCCCCCCATTGATCGCGGATGTCAAGGCAAACGCGCTGTCACGTGGGCGCGGGGCCTCCAATTAAAGGCCTGGCACGGTATGGGGAGAGCGGGCTCGCGTCCCATTCAGGGAAGCGCGACTTGATGACGCCCGTACATTGGGAGGTTTTCCATTTTGGCCCTTTCTTTCCAGGTGCAATTCGGCCTTCCAACACAGAATTCGAGACTACAGATGGGATCGCATGATCTTTGCGACAAGTATCAGACATCCAAATGGAAGCGTCAATCAACGACGCGTTCCCTGCCAGCAATCACGATGTTCCGGATTCGACCGACTGGTTAGGAACGCCTCTGGCTAGCCTCATGCCCGTTGAGCAAGCTTTTCGCTGTCATGTATGCAAGGACTTCTACAACTCGCCTATGCTCACTTCTTGCAACCATACTTTCTGTTCACTCTGCATACGAAGATGCCTCTCTGTGGAGGGGAAATGCCCCTTATGTCGGATGTCCGACCAGGAATCCAAACTGCGCGGAAATTGGGCACTGAGAGAGGCCGTTGACGCATTTACCAAAGCCCGGCCAGCCATTTTGTCAGTTGCGAAGAATCCCCCAGTAGTGGTGGTCTCGCAGTCACCAAAGAGAAAGGCTATGCAAGATGGCGTGGAGGAGTCAGAGCCACAAGCCAAAAGAACGAGGACGTCCGCGAGGCTGAGCAAGACTAGAGCTGCAGAGGCCACTGCTGTAATGGCGCAAGAAGAGGCTGGTCTACCGGGGGATAATGATGGTGCCGATTATGAGCCAGGTATGTCTCGCGACTTCAGATCGGTGACCCGTGGCTAACAGGAGCACTAGACGATGGCCTGGTGGCATGTCCGATATGTCAGAAACGGATGAAGGATTGGCAGGTTGATAAACATCTTGATACCTCGTGTTCGGGTGTTCCACAGCAACGCACCACGCCAAGACCGATACAAACAGGGTTTGGGTCCAACAAGGATGGCGCACCTGCGAAGACCAGTCAACCTCTGCCCGAAAGATTGCCCTCGTTGAGCTATTCCCTCCTCAACGACAACGCCTTACGCAAGAAACTGGCAGCGTTGGGCATATCAACCAATGGACCTCGGCAGCTCCTTGAGCGCAGACATAAGGAGTGGATTACAATCTGGAACGCAAATTGTGACTCTGCACATCCCAAACGACGGGCAGACCTATTACACGATCTCGATGTGTGGGAGCGAACACTAGGGGGGCGAGCCCCTGTTGCATCGCGTGCCGCCAATGTTGGGGCGCAAATAAAAGACAAAGACTTTGACGGGGCGGCCTGGTCTGCTCGGCACGACACATCATTCAAGGACCTAATTGCCAATGCACGGAAAAGCAGGTCAAAAGCAGAACAGAGAAAGCCGAGCACAGATACTGCAACGGACTCAGGTCTATCTAGTGACCCAGGTCTCGACCAACGTACGGTGACCGATTTGGCTGAAACGCCCTCCAGTCAGACGCAGAAACGGGGTCCAGAAGTGGTTAATGCGGAAATAATCGCTCCTATCAATAGGGCTGGAATGGAAAGGGAGAAGAGTCCATATGCCGACGGACTTTCAAGTACGACTGCTATTGACATCACTCCAGCAGGGGGTGATGCTCGGCATGGCGTGGATGAAACGATATCATGACATTCAAATCTACCAACACTGCATTGCTCATATCCAGGTGTTCCTGTAATATACATGGTTCTTTGCCCTTGTAAGAGCTTCGTGACTGCCGCAACGGTGCGATCAAATGCGATGAATGGGTCATAAAAGTGACCGGATAGGCGTGAATGTACCACACATGTCAGCTGGCGGGCTCCATCTGCCTCGTCTCCTCCAGAGACAGCCGACTCAGGCCTTCGACATTGTCCGCTGCTGCAGCGGTCGACATTTCCGACGTCTGTTGCTGCTGGGGGATTGACTTGGGAGCCTCGACTGCTTCTAGTCTCTTTCTCGTCTCTTCCGCCTCCTTTGCTTGCTCTGCTTCTCTTCGCGCCTTCTCCGCTTCCTCTTTGCTCTTCCTCGCCTCTTCCTCCTTCTGCCGCTCCTCCTTCTCCAAGACTTCCAGCTCGTCGTCAATCTCGCCCTCGTCGACAACGGATCCGGACTCGGCCAAGATGCTTCCAACCTCGTCTACGGCACCCATCTGCTCCCGCAACCTGTCAACAACGTCCTCGACCTTGTCAGCTCCGCCAACCTGTGCATTCAGTGACTTGAGTACGTCTGTGCTGGATGACATGACGCGCACAAGAGCCACGTTGTCTGCAGCATGTTCAATCTTTGCGGCCACCTCCTCGAGCTGAGAGAGGGTGGCGAAGCGAGTCTGGAGGGACGACTCGGCTATCTTTTTGGATTTGAGTGCCGCGAGCGCGGCGACCTTGTTCTTGCGCACGACTGCCTCCTTGGCCGTAGCAGTGAGCTCCTCGATGCGCCTATTCAGAATGGAGGTCTGGTGAGAAAGGTACGCGGTGAGTTCCTTAAGCTGAGCCATCGCTTCATCTTCGGGAGTGATTGCCATTTGCTCGTCCCCCGCCGCCTTGACTTTGATCGTCTTGCCGTCGTAGAGTATTAAGCCCTTGTCTCGTGACAGGAACTTGAGGAAGACGTCCATGTCTGCATCCGACAACCTTTGACTTGAGAAAATCGAATCGGCGAATGATTTCTTAAAATGCGTTGCCGACCATGTCCTCTGTAGCCGGGAGCTGTATTCCGCCGTCTTGTCGTCGAATGCCCTGGACGCCTCCTCGACATTTGCGAGTACGACGAACTGTCCACCAGGAAGCTTGTCATCTCCGCCACTCACGCCTCCGGTCAAGCCCAGCTGCCTCAAGCCCCAGGACACCACATTCCATGGTAATGACGTCCATGATCTTTGATAGATGCTTTCTTTGGCCTTCAGAAAGTCTTGCAAGGGAATAAGGTCCTTTTCAAGAGCGGCTTCGCGTACGACGGAGCCAAGCGCAAGCGGTCTACCATACTGCTTGCTCTCAAGGGCACGAAGAAGTTGCTCGTCGGCAGGGAGTATGAAGAGGCTCGGCGCAGAGGCGCGAGAGGGGGCTCGGCCGGAGCGGGCGATGCTGGCGAGAGCGCGGCGCCAAGCGGAGACGTTTGCAGCGTATCCATCGGGATTAATGGTTCGGAGGCCCCGAAAGTCGGAGTACAGAGCGGGGAGGCGGGCTCTGGGGAACTGTTAGTTTCTTGGTCTGCCCGTGCATGGCCCGTACCATAGACAGTCGGATGTGCTACGTACTTTCGAAAGCCTTCCTCGTTCTGGGTGAGGAAATCGACGAGATCTCCCATCTCGCGCCGCGCTGAAGGACCAACAACAGCGTGTCTCTCCAAAAGTTGCCCAGGCCTTTCTGATACACGCTTTCAGCCTACAGTATTGTAGACCTCAAACGGCAGTACCGACTGAAATGTCGGCATATGGACGTTTTCTTTCAGTCATCGATCTGGCAAAAGGAAGGATGTTTATCAGGTGGCCAGGCAGAGAGGCGCGCTATCTTATCAGCGCGACAGTGGGAAGCACATGTCGGGCGGGGCACGTCATAGGCCTGAACTGCTGGCCTTTACAGTAGCAAAGCCAACGCTAATAATCAGGCTCGCTTGTTTGGGAGGAAACAATATCTCAACTCAAGGCTCCAGCACAACCCATGACTCTTGAGGATTAGTAGGAGGCGAATACTGATCAGTATCGTGATGAGGAGCGTCCTGAGAGCAAATAGTCTCCGTGGTAAAAAGCGAACCCGCCCCCTTGACCATGAGTAAGGAGCGAGATAGGACGTCAAGCCTTTGTTGGACTGCCAGCTTCGGTTGTGGCCCCCTACATGTCAGCTTATCATAATGCAGTCCTCGCCTCATACTCCGTACAGTTTGGACAAGAGCCAATCACTCGGGACTGTCCCGAAAGAGATTGTGCGTTGTACCTCTGCGGAAAATGCTTGGTTCCTTCGCTTATCTTATGCAAGCCTCAGCTGTTCACTTCCGGACTCCCGCCATGTCGGACCCCGAGGACAGAGCCACAGCCAAGGAATTTTCCGAAACCCAAGCGGAATAAATGCTTTCTGAATCCTGAAGCTATCTTTGACCGTTGAGAGACAGTCTGATGCGAAAACTGGTCAAGACTCCCCTCTGTCATCAACTGCCATCGATAAATACTAGCTCGGCCTGCAGCGACAAGATGAGGGTTCTCTGCTTACATGGCCACGGCACCAGCGCTGCTATATTCCAATCTCAATCTGGTAATTCTGCCCTGTCCTAAACTCTGGGAAATTCAACTCATGGTCCTTGAATTCTAGTTGCCTTCAGGTCGAAATTAGACGACTCGTACGAGTTTGACTTTGTCGATGCCCCCTTCCGCTCGGCCCCAGCACCAGGTGCTGATGGGATCTGGAAGTCGGGAAATTACACTTGGTGGCCCCAGACAACGATTCAGGCCATCCGTGCGGCTCATCTCTGGGTTGAAGAGTACATTGACCAGCATGGACCCTACGACGCTGTATGCTGTTTCTCTCAGGGGTGCTCGCTGATTGGGAGCTATCTCTTGTACCACGCAAAGGAGTCGCCAGACACGCCTTTGCCTTTCAAGGCAGCCGTCTTTATTTGCGGCGGCATGCCCCTCGCCGTATTGGAGGACCTCGGGCTACCCGTGCCCCAGAGAGCGAAAGACCTCAACGAGAGGACTAGCAAGGTATTGCAGAAGCGAACCCATCTGCTGCGGGAACTTGTAGGCGACATAGACAAGATTCAGCCAGGAGTTGGGCTTTGGGACAACACCTCGGACTTGCTCCATGATCCGAGTAAGCTGCCGCCAGCCTCGGATACCTTTGGCCTAGATTTCACATCCTTTCCTCAGGATGTGCGGATCCGGATCCCCACCGCTCACATATATGGCTCCAAGGATCCAAAATGGCCCTCTAGTATACAACTTGCGTATTTCTGCAACAATCGCACCATGTTCGACCACGGAGGTGGGCACGATATTCCCCGTTCGACCGCAGTTTCGGTCAGGATCGCGGAAATGCTGAAGCAGCTAGCCAACGGGGTCTGAGGCGTCGTAAGCGGCGACTGGGCGGGCAAGTTTTGGGGTGTCTCCGTCGTGATATCGGCCGGCAAATGTCTTGGCATTGCCGAACTCCTCACGGCAGTCTGTCTGGACGGCAACATCGGGGTTGCGTCCCGGAAAACTTCGGGCTATGAGATGCATAGTGTGTTCATCATCGAGCAAAGAGTCAAGCCACTGGAGACAATATCCTTATTTGTCTGGGTAAAAGGAGCCGGGCGCTTAATCCTCCGGGCACGCGATTGTAGCCATGCACTACTTTGCACCCTTGGGCAGTTTGTTACGTTTCATGGCATTTACTGAATGTCGCTTCAGTCAGCCCTTTGCGGAGTCCATTGCGTGATATATGTATGCTTGGCTCACATTCAACACCTCGGATCACTCGCCGGTGAGAAGGCGTGTCGGAGTCTGGGTTAAAGCCTCGGGTAAGGGATCGATCGTCCTGCCGCCCAAGGATCATTTTACCCAGACGATCCCCGTTCCCACATACATCAAGTCTATGCAGTTTTCAATTTTTTTTCACTGGGCAATATCGTGGTTCACGGATCCGGATCCTCCTTTCAGAACTGTCTAAGCAACAGCCTGGTCTTTGCAGCAAGCTAGAACGATATAGCATAGTTCATTCTTTATGCAAAGCCCACAGACTTTGAATGTCGTATGTAAAAGGTACTACTCAGTTTCTACCTTTCAGCGTCCGCAAAGGAAGAGATTTAAACCTGTGTATGTGTTTAGAGAAGTACACTTCGGATTACGGGGTAAAGAAACGGAAATTGATTTGACGGCCATGCGGCGAGAAAACTGACATCATGAATGTCACTTCTGATTGAGCAACCTTGTTGAATAAGCACCTGGACGTCCTGGTCTGCTGCAAAGTCTCTCCCCACACGAGATGTAGAAGCGAGGGTTTCCCTGGGGAAGCTCTCCTCACGGAAGTTTTTTTCGTGGTATATTGCATTCGTCAACGTTCCGTTGCAGCTTTTATATTGATTGACCCTATGAATACTACCGCATTCGTCAGCGTTGTCGATGCTGAAGATATTAACCGGAACGGCTCAACCTTGTAGCCAAGCCGGTAGGGCCTCTCTGTTGATTGTTCCTGGATTTGATCTTACATGCAGGCACATTGACTCTGAGATCTGGGTCGCAAATAATCTACCATAGATACGCGGCTATCCTTCGAGCTTGCAAAAGGGCAAGAGTGGTCACGTAGTGTTGTATACTGTGGCCAGGATGGCCGTATGGAAATTAGCCATACAGCCTACATAGCATTTGGATTCAGGATCACCCACCTGGGTACGTAATCAGCTCTCGGAACTCTGTGTAAGTCAACTTCCAAGGATGCCCAGACGTGACGGGTTTGTTGCCTTATAATCCAGAAGCTCGCACTGGTGTGTGATGTGAGAATCGCTCTGGCCCATCCATCCCAAGTCTTACTCCGTGATCATACACCATGCATGCAAAATCTCTCAGTGGATGGCTCGCTGCCATTTTTGTGGCGGGTGTCAATGCAGCCTGCTCCAAGGATCTGTTGATCGATGACTTTTCAAACTTTGTATCCAGCACCAACAGCCTGAAGGATGCTACAAGCGGTAGGTCGTCTCCTCGACGATCCGGAATTACCTGTCTAATCTTTTCACCTATTAGATGATGGCACCATGGCCTCCATCGGGGTCAATAACGGTGTTCTCTCCTTTGTGCCCCAGTCTTCCGACTCTTACTATTACGAGAGCTTTCCCTGTGTTCAGGCCAAGTCTCAGAACTACGGGGGGCTGACCTTCAACTTGAAATATCCCCCCGGCTCCTCTTTCACTCTTGAGATTCAGACCAAGGCAAACTGCAATGCGGCTGATTACAAGAGCGAATGGTTCCTCATCGAGGGCCTTGGTGGCACACAGCAGTCCATCACCCTCGATTTGCGAGTCTTTGCCGAGTCAAACTTGGATGCCATCGTAGGCTTTGTCTGGGCGAGCTGGTCACCAGTCAACGAGACCTGGTCTCTGAGCAATGTCCACTTCACTTGTGGAAGTTTGGATGAACGGCGTAAGCAACTTCCAGTGTACATGGTGAGATACAGTGATCTAACAGGCTTAGAGGCTCCCTTGATTAGGGCAGCGGCGTCCAGACCGGCCAGGCCAGCTCTATCCCAGATACCCTTGGAGAAGTCTAGTCTGGCCCCAACAACGACGCAGTCTTTCGCGGCGTCTTATATACATAGGGGTTCAATTTCAACACGACAGAGCGCAAGCTTCTTCTTTTCGTCGACTTCTAACTCGAAGTCTTTAATGGCAACCTCTTCTTCTTTGCAGACCTCGCCGAGCTTTTCCACAGCAACTAGACCTGCTACCTCAGTCTGGCCATCTGGATCTCCCGATCAGGGTGTGGCCGAATCGATACCAATCGACCTTGTTCGTAGAGCAGCAGCCGTGAGCGATATAGCAGAAGCCACGACGCGACGCACTATCATCCGTCCGAGCCCTACTTCAAGGCCAAAACCAGCAGCCGGTCAATGCCAAGATCTGGTTGTTGATGATTGGGAGTCCCAGTCTCGACTGACATTCCTGGGTTACAATGCACTTAAACAAGCCTCGAGCGATGACGGGTCTATGGCGTCGCTCGTGGTTAACGCAGACAACACAGTGACCATCACGCCCCAGGATAGCAACTCGTACTTTTATAGCCAGCTGGGGTGTGTGGATGCCGTCGACACATACGGTGGCCTCGCCTTCAATATCAAAGCTGCCCGCGGCACTACTTTCTCTGTTCAACTCTCTTCCGCCAGCGAGTGTGGAGGTAATGATAGCAAGAAAACGGTGCTGACAACAAAGAGCCTTGGCTGGACATTTGACGGTACGATGCAGTCGTACAGCGTTCCGATCTCTCAGTTCAATGTCGACAACACCAAACTGACCATGATCTACCTCTCCTCCTTCTCTCGAGCTGTTACTCTCGGGCCCATGGGCTTCTACTGCGGCAACGATGACAGTCCGATACCGACACCCAACGAGATTGTAAATCCGCAACCTACGTTTACTGTGGCCGCACCCCCTGGATCTGCAGACACACTCGTCATTGATGGATTCGGAGACCAAGACGAGAATGCTCTCGGTCAATGGCACGGCTGTGATGAAGACTGCGTGACGGCGAAGTGGGCACGGAACAGAGTTACTCTGCAGACCAATGACTCTGATCTCTCGTGGTACACTTCGCTGGCCGACAAATGCGCGGACATCAGCGCGTATGCGGACTCTTATCTTCACATCGCCTATACTGGGAGCAGCAAGTTCACCGTTGCGCTCCAGCAGCACAACCAGTACTGCAACGACAAGGTCCAACCCACCCCGGAGACTTGGGACTCCCTCGAGGCGGCGCGATACGCGGACGGCAAAGATATCTACATGCCGATCTCGCACTTCAAGGTCGACTTAACACGCGTTACGAACTTTGCGTTCAAGGGATTCTACACCACAGAGCCTGTCACTCTCACCAAAGTTGAACTAGTGCCCTCAGTGCCCAGAGGATTCAAGGTGCCCAATAAGCTACCTTCTGGCAACCTGGTGTTTGCGTGCAAGCGACCCAACTCTTTCGCCTTTGCCATTGACGACGGCGACCCGGCTCTGGCACAGCAGGTCATGGACATTGTCAAGTCCGAGAATATCAAAGTCACCTTCTTCACCGTCGGGCTTCCCCTCGAGGATCCCACAACAAACCTGTCGGCTGTGTACAGAGACATGATGTCCCGAGGCCACCAGATCGCGCTGCACTCCTTCACACATCCCAAGATGGAGGGCCTGCCAAACTACGCCGCCATCGACTGGGAATACAACAACGACATCGAGGCCGTCTCGCAGACATTTGATGGGCTCCACACGCCGTACTTCCGGCCGCCCTTCGGGACAGAGGGTGCGCGCATGAGACAACGGCTGGCCACGGCCCTCGGCGTGGACAACCCTTACGTCGTCATGTGGAGCGTCGATGTGGAGGACTGGCTCTGGGCCGAGAGCAGCACCCCCGAGAAGCAGCTCGACGCGTTCAAGCGCGATCTGAACAAGGGCGGGAGCTTGGTCGTCATGCATTATCTGTACCCGAATACGGTCAAGTATCTGAGGCAGTTCATCCAACTGGCCAAGGCGACGGGCAAGCAGTTGATGAGGGTCGACCAGTGCATGATGGATCCCAACGCGCCGCCATTGTAGGGGAGGGCGACACCACTTGATATAGTTCGAAGGCATCGGAGAGGGTTTGAAACACGGACGGTGCGGCATAAAGGTTGAGAGAAGGAGGCATGCATCAAAAAGCTCGACAGATCTGACTTGCATTTGGGATCGAAATTTTGTATTGTGTGTTTATATTGCTTTTCTCATAACACAGTTCTTGTCTCCGAAAGGATCCAATTCCCATGATGGTAACAGTGACTCTTATATTTCTATCGAGAGATTGTTTTCCGGTGAAACAATAAGCTGAACTCAGTCCTCTTTATTCTCTACCCTTTTAGTCGGTCGAGACGTATTGTGGCCGTAATAGTTCCACATATTCCCATGTCAAATTCCCCTTATTATTTCTTTCCACGAAAACAAATGAGAATAACGACCAGTCTTGCCCAACGCTCCTTGCTATGCTAGATATTTTGTTGCCAAGATCATAATTCATAATTCGTTGTACCCAGTAGGCCAGCCCTTCGAGGGGTCGGTCATTCCTCCATGAGAATATACATCGTGTACAAAGGTTTAGCTTTTCGCGAGCCCGATATCATACAATACGGAGCAAGACTAGATTACCGCCCTCTTTTTGTAGCGACTTTGCTCGCACCAGGCTTGACCATCATGTTGCCAATAGCTGCCTCTGCGACCTGGCGAATGGCAGCGTGTCGCACGCCGCCCTTGGTCTTGGGATGCTTGTGTCCCAGATACGTATCGACCACGGCCGCGCCCAGCGCGGCGGTCGCCACTCTACCACCCTTGGGGCCAATCCACGAGCCGGGCTCGTTCTGCACCTTTAGCGCCGCGATGGCGCCGGCCTGAATGGCGCACCGAGCTGCCGTGGACCAGGGAAATTGGCCCCCGTTCTCGGCCGACAACCCGGCAAGACCGCCGCTGCCGCGCTTGACGCTGCGGCTCGAGCTTGGCGGATAGCGGCGTGACGAGCCGCTGTAAGAGTGGGCGGGTCGAGGCTTTGGGCGACGCGAGGTAGAGGCTGATGATCCGAGGTAAGATGAGGCGCCGTGGCGGCGGTAGGTGGGGCGCCGGGTCGTGTGGGGCCGGGAGCTGCCGCTGCCACCGGCCGCCGGGGCAGCAGCCCCCGATTCGTGCCTTCCGGTTCCGCGCTTGGCTTCATGGTGGTGATGGTCCCGAGCGGGTTTGTGTCTGCGATCTAGATCTCGCTCTCCGTCTCTTGTTTTGCGCCTGCGATCTTTCCGCGCAGACGAGCGAATCTTCTCGCCGTCGTCGTCATCTTCATCGCCCGATAGGTAGTACTTGTCGCGGGGATCGTAGTCGGTCTCCCACGGATCCTCCTCTTCCCTCACCAGTCGATGCGATCTTGTTGCGGCACTTCGGCTGCGGCTAGCAGCATGGCGGGGACTTTCTCGTCGACCGTGCCTATCGTGACCATCTGGGTTGTGGCTGGCCTTGCGATACGGTGGAAGAACGTCGCTTTTAGCGCTGTAGCGTTCTCCGGCCGCGTCGAAGGGGCTGTACCCGTAAGGGTCGAACTCGGGAACTGGAGAGTTCCGGCGGCTGCTGATACGCGAGGGCATAGCAGTAATATACTGATTATCCGAAAGATATGCACATGCAAAGATATGTATTGCTCGAAAGAAGCAAATATCACAGCACGAAACGATGTGACTTGCTAAATGCTGACAGAGTTGCAAGGGTCAAAATGGGCTTGCACGAAAGAGTCTTGAGGGAGGGGAACACAATGACTTATTATGTCCTCTTTCAGAGAAGTGGCGTGACGATCCAACGCTGTGGTATTTATCTGATTCTACACACATAGATCCTGCAGTGGAAGCCAGATGAGAGCGCAGGAGAGGACCCTGCCAGGGTGGCATGAAACAGCGTCACAGGCATTGCCGATCCGGTTGTTGCAGATGAAGGACCATTCAGCGATTGGCCCGATGGCTCAGATGGTGCGAGAGGAAGAACTGAGCATAGGCTGGGGCTTGAAGACGGTGGATGCAGGGACATGGTTGGAGCCGGGGTCCTTCGAGAGGTTCTGCACGCTGATGTCATTGCGACACGGGAACACGCACGCACACACGCCCTCGAACTGACATCAACTCCAGCGCTCTTCAACATGGATCAGGACCAGCTTATCTGCTTGGGCTATTCGTGTCGTCGCCTGCTTCGTCGACGAAGCTAGTGATCGAATACCAGTCCCGGCATCGCGAGCAGTCTGGTGACGATGCCATGCCTGATCCAGCTTGACAAGTGTCCAGGGCTCAGCCTAAGGGAAAGGTTGGAAGCCCTTGCAACCCGTTACTAGCCACAGACCCACAGCCAAAGATTCGATGGAGGAACTCGAGAGGTTGTCGCTACGTATCATCCATCCAGAAATCTTTGGGATTCTTCAGCAGACTGCAGCTCCCGCTCCAGGCCCGTGTTTCCTATAATATCGCAGCTTAAGTCTGGGAAGTCGCCAGTAAAAGCCGACACTCACCGCTAGTATGACTGACAGTTTATTTCTATTATACCCCTCAAGCGCAGTGTTATCACTTAATGATGTCGAGTGATTTAATTATCAGACGAGAGATGTTCGAGCCTGCCATGACATCACGCTGCCTCCACTGAACCTATTGACCCACGACAGAGCTTTGTCGATGAGATGATTCTCGTTTGCTGACAAACTTGACACTTGGGAGGAATCGGCATTCTGCGGCTTGATGTGTTGAGTCCGGTGATTGCTGGATGCAAGCAAGGGGAAAGATGAACATTTTGATTCTGAAGATGCACGACGACAACCCAGCAGCTGATGGGAGGGAATAAGACACAGGGGTTAGACAACCTTGTTTTGCGCCAAGTACTAGCTTGAAAGCTTGATGTCCTTTTTTCCCCCAGTTCATCACTGAGGGAATTCATCCTGGGGCGATGATACCTGATATTGGGGGTGGGGAGTGATACTAATACCTCGGTAGAGTATCAACCACTTTGCCTCATTGCGCTTGGATCATGACCCAAGACTGGCCTTGATTGTCCATTCATCATCTAGGTCCGATATAGACTGGTTCAAAATACCAGAAAAGCTTTGATTACCTCCAACAATGATCCCTAACCTACTGTGGCTTTTATCTAACCCAACTTCAACACGAGTTGCACCAAGAGCAATGGATCTTTTGGGACCTGACTGTGTCTGAACCCGACTCCAGTGTCCAGAGTTGATGTGAGTCCTGTCGGGTGGCTCGCTAGCTGGTAGAGTTGGCGATGTACGGGCACTAAATTAGAACAAACATAGGGAGCCTCCCGCCTGCTGGGGCGCTAAACCATGTGCCACGTGATGCTGCCAGCAGCCACTGTGGCATTGACTGGAGATAGCTGGAGGTAATATGGTCGTGCCCAGACTTTCCAGCGACGCCCAACATCCATGTACCTGGCGAGCACAGAGGACTACGTATCTGATATTTTCAAGGCCTCGCATACTGTGCACGACGCCGCCTCAAAAACTCCAGTCGTCACTCTCGCCAGTCCGATTGACTGTGTAAGACTGTGAGCTCCACCGTCATTTCTGCATCCCCCAAGCCTTGCACTCAGCTGGCGCACTCGCAACGAAGCCACCAGCCAAGAGCTCCGACGCTTTCGGCGCATCGACCTCGCTTCCGCGACGGACACCTGGCTCAGCTGGTGCTCTATCCATTGCCGGCGAACACTGTTTCCACATCTCCGGAAGCATATCAACAGCCATTCCTATCACTCCCAACTAACCCCGCCCATCCTCGCCCGCCACAGGGGCTGCTGTCTTGATGCAGCCTCCGGAACATGGATCGCCCACAGACTCAGTACAATCTTCCCCCATGGCAGCGTCCACCATAAAGTTGCTCAAGAAGCGGCAGACCATCGACGATCCTCTCTCGCTCTCTGAAACGAGCTTGCCCTTGCGTAGAGCCAATCCATCCGCTGCGTCCCTCTATGCCTCGACTCTCACACCGCCCGGCTCGCGATCAATATCTCCAGCTGGTCGTGCTTCTCCTGGCCGCAACGTTCCCGGTCCGACTGCTCTCGGGGCTACGTTCACTCGATCTCTCCTCGAGACGGGAGCTGCCGAAAATCCCGGCGATCCGTTGAACCTGCTATTGAAGGCCTTCGTCCCACACATCGCTGTCTACTCGTCACAAGACACCGAGGAACTAGCGAGAGAGAAGGGGTTCGAACATGGGCTCTGGGAACTCCTGCGGCCCTTTGGGGAGCGAGTGCAAGGCAAGGTCAACGTCAGGGACAGCAACGGCGCTGCCAGGACTTGGGAAGACTTTTCGGTGCGGTTTACAAGATTCGGCCAGGATGTGGAACAGGCGGGAGCGGCCACAGGAGGAGCCAGGTCAACTACAAATGGTCAGTCCACCGGACAACAGCCGCCGACGAGCACCGAGACTGCTTTAAAGAGGATTGCCCAGGTGGAGACTGTTGTCGAGCGGCATCTACGATATGCCGAAGAGTCGTTCCTCGGGCTCGCGCAGACGAATCCGGCCTTGAAGCAAGGACTTGATATTGATGCAACTTCTCCCTACTACTCCCTCTATGTCCGTCGTTTGTTATCGGGGATCCCGCTGGTACCTCACGAGACCTTCGCACATCCCGTGGCTTGCGTGATAGCTATTAGCTCGCGCAATCCGTCACCGATCCAGACTTTCCGAGAGCTATACAGAGAGATCAGCCAGGGAGAAAGGCAGTTGCCCGGCTGGGTCGACGGGGACTACCTACGCTACTACGTGCTTGTGCATGATGAGGAGAATGGCGATATCACAAAGTCCATGGCTTTGTTCGAGCAGATGAAGCGCCATCTGGGCTTACACTGCCACCTCCTGCGCATCCGCAGTTCGCAGAGCGCCGAGACAGACGACGACAGCATCCCGTTACCGCGCAGCGAATGGATGACTGCTGCAGAAGAACTGGCAGACATAGAGAGAAGCGAAAGCCCGGAGGAGTTTCAAGATCCCACGCGGTACATCTTTGAGTCGGATGCAACAGCGATACGTACCTTTGTCCGGGAAATGGTCACGCAGTCTGTCGTGCCCACCATGGAGCGAAACGTCTCTGTGTGGAATGACCAAGTAGCGTCCAAACGCAAGGGCATCAGCGGACGTTTTATGAGCTTGTCAAAACGGTGGGCGGGATTTGGCGGTTCCAGGTCCTCAGGGGGTGCAAGCGGGAGCGGCTCGAATTTCGATCAAGGCTTCTACAGTCCGGACACACCAGAGGCGATCATGCGAAAACTTGCAGACTTTGCTTTCATGCTACGCGACTGGAAGTTGGCCATGTCAACCTACGACATCCTACGCTCAGACTTCAACAATGACAAGGCATGGCGGTTCCACGCTGCGGCTAATGAGATGGCTGCTCTCGCTCTTCTCATCATGCCGCAAAACATGTCGTCCAAGACGAAGCTTGAAAACATCAACTCGATGATCGAACAGGCCTTCTACTCCTATCACACGCGGTGCAGCGACCCGTACGGCGCATTGCGGTGCCTCATCATGTCACTCGAGCTATTGCGATTGCGCGCAGGCCCTGCCATTGATGATGGAGTCCGGTGGGGTTCGCGCCTCATGGAGATCCGCCTCGTTGGCGCCGTAGGCGATGCCCTGGTCAAAGAGCGCATGGCGGTCTGTTGTGCTTCCAAGCAAGGAGTGGGGAGCATGTCTTGGGGTAGCCGGAGGCGCAAGTCCGCTTTTTGGAGCGTGTTGAGTGCGGAGACATGGTTGAACCAAAGCAAGTATATCCAAGCACAGCGCTGCCTAAACGAGGCGAGGCAGATGTACTCGATGCTGCAGAGCGATGATGGCATCAGCGGCTTTGGGATGGCGAGCGATTTCATGGCTGGGTTGCAGATGCGACTCAAGGAGGGTCTGTCAATGCACGGCCCTGCCGGCCTTGCGGCTGAGGCCGAGCATGGCGAAGGAGAGTACGAGCAGGGAGAGGAGGAAGACGAGGTCGAGGTTCTCGCGGGCGGCGATTCAGAGAAGATAAATCGTAGGCGATCCAGGCGTGCGAGCTTGATCGCGTCGTCGGGAGCTACGGGGGCCACACTCGAGACGGCACCGTTAAGAACAATCCCAACGGCCGAGGAGGATGAGAAGAGCGGTGGCTCGCCAGGAGACAAGTTCGAGGAGAGCTAGAATCTGCAGGGCTTGCGCTGTTGAGCGCATCCGGTGACCCTGGTCTGCGGGAAGATTGCTCCGTGAGAGGGATCGATGGAGGGACGAGCCTGTTAGTCACGCACTGTTGCATAGGAATGGAGTTGGTCATTCTGTGGGGCTTCAGGACAATAGAAGATTTCGCCTGCCTACAGACACCATATCCAGGCCATCTAATGAGATACCCAGAAGAAGGAAATGATCCTCTGGCATCGTGCATAGGTGGGAAAGTACATACAAGTGAGAGGCAGCGGTGCCGGGAACACGCCCACTAAAATGGATAGCTTGAACGTAGCTCCCCACACTGGATTGAACTGGGCAGATCCGGCCGCTTCCCCACACCAACCAGCAATGCTGCTCTCAACGACAATCAAAGACTACGTCAAGTAAGCTGGATATGCGCTCAGAAACGGCATAGGCTGCTTGAATTGCGGGCATGTCTATCTCGACCCAAGACAACCCCTCTTGAGTCGATGTAGTCGGCCATAATGGACAGCAGACCCGACGACGTCAATCTCGCCGGAGACAGCACCATTCCTTCCGACCCCGACCCAGAGCCGGTGGTAAAGTCGGATCGCCCAATCTTCCCGCTTCTGCTCAACAACGCGAGTAACGAGACCAGCCCTTTGGCCTCGGGTACGGCCACGCAGGCGCGAAAGGCCGAAGACGACGACGACGATGACGACGAGCCAGCAGTAGCGACGCCCTTTGTGCGCACTTCGAGCCCCGACGGCTCTGTCCATGAAGATGAGAACGAGGATGAGGACGAGGTGTTGCCTACGCCTGAGGAAGGGGGAAAGAGGCCTCATAGGCTCATGCACAGGATGCACAAGTTCAGCCTGTACGAGACAGCTAGCAGATACTACATCGTGGGCGGCGACGTGGCGGAGAAGCGGTATCGCATCCTGAAGATCGACCGGACGACAGACGATTCGTCAGACCTCAGTATCACAGACGACAAGATCGTATACAGCCAGAAGGAGATGAACCAACTGCTAGACACTATCGACGATGGAAACAAAGGAACTGGTGGCATCAAGTTGCGTTGCACGACCTGGGGTTTGCTCGGTTTCATCAAGTTTACGGGGCCCTGGTACATGCTGCTCATCACCAAGAAGAGCACGGTAGCCATGATAGGGGGGCATTATATCTATCAGATCGATGGCACAGAGCTTATCCCTCTCACTCCTGCCCGTTTCAGGGCGGACCAGCGCAACACGGAGGAGTCGCGCTTTCTCAACATCTTGAACAACCTCGACCTTACTAGATCATTCTACTACAGCTATTCCTACGACATCACCCGAACACTGCAGTACAATATCACGAAAGAACGGACTGCAATACTCAATGGAAAGCCCACCGGCGGTGATGAGGACTTCAACTCGATGTTTGTCTGGAACAGTCACCTTCTCCAACCCGCAGCCAAGTCTCTGAACTCGATCTTTGATTGGTGCCGACCCATCATTCACGGCTACATTGACCAATCCTCCATATCAATCTACGGAAGGGTAGCCTACATTACCATCATAGCCCGGCGCTCCCGCTATTTTGCCGGGGCGAGATTCCTCAAACGAGGTGCCAATGATCTAGGCTATGTCGCCAATGACGTCGAGACGGAGCAGATAGTATCAGAAGCGCTGACGACGTCGTTCCACGCGCCTGGTCCAAGGCTCTATGCAAGCCCTCAATATACTTCGTACATACAGCATCGCGGCAGCATCCCGCTCTACTGGACGCAAGACAACACTGGTGTCACTCCCAAGCCTCCGATCGAGCTCAACCTCGTCGACCCTTTCTATGGTGCGGCGGCTTTGCACTTTGATAATCTCTTCGAGCGGTACGGCGCCCCGATATACGTCTTGAACCTTGTCAAGGCGCGGGAACGTCAGCCGAGAGAGTCCAAACTGCTGGACGAGTACACCAAGGCCATCGACTACCTCAACCAGTTCCTCCCAGAGGGCAAGAAGATTATCCACCGGGCCTGGGACATGTCCAGGGCAGCGAAAAGCCGGGATCAAGACGTCATCGGTACCCTGGAAAGCATCGCCGAGGACGTGGTGACCACAACTGGCTTCTTCCAGAACGGGGACGGCCATATCACTCCCATCCGGGTGCAGAATGGTGTGGCGAGGACCAACTGCATTGATTGCCTCGACCGTACAAATGCTGCTCAATTCGTCATTGGTAAGCGTGCCTTGGGTCATCAACTGCATGCGCTGGGAATTCTTGAAGACACCTGCATCAACTACGACACGGATGCGGTCAATCTCTTCACTCACATGTATCACGATCACGGCGACACCATCGCGGTGCAGTACGGAGGCTCGCAGCTCGTGAATACGATGGAGACCTACCGCAAAATCAACCAGTGGACCAGCCACTCACGCGACATGATCGAGAGCTTCAAGCGCTATTACAACAATTCGTTCCTAGATGGGCAGCGCCAGGAGGCGTATAATCTGTTTCTCGGGAATTATATATTTGCTCAGGGACAGCCCATGCTCTGGGATCTAGCAACCGATTACTACCTGCACCATGCTGATCCGCGCAGCTGGCTCGAGCAGAGAAAGCGCGGCTACATCAATTGGTTCACCCCGGAGCATCTCGAGGAGCGCAAGTTGCCGCCTTATGTGCCGCCGCAATTCGACGAGGGAGGCAAGAAGCCCACCTCGTTCTTTGACGACTATTGGTTGGAATACTATCGTCCGTCCACTTTGTCCTCCTTTCTCAAGATGTTCCCTTATAAGATGAACTCGACCATCAAGTACATTCCCTTCAAGTCTAGCCAGGAAGGTCGTTACGACCTCAGCCCCTTCCGCGTCCGCAACGAGGGCGGTGGCGGCGGCGGCACCGGCGGCGGTAGTGGTGGACATGGCGATCATGACGCCCAGGACAAGAAGAAACCTAAGAAGGAAGTGACTATCCTGATGCCTCATGACTCTCTTGCCGGCGATGACTCGGCCTCGATCATGTCTGGTAAGACCAGCACCACCGCTCGGGGCATCCGAGGCTGGCTGCAGCCTAGTCAGCAAGACAGCCGGGCTGGTACAAACGGAATGGCCGGTATCATGAAGGAAGGAACCAGCATGCTTGCGCCGGGAGAACAGACAAAGCACAAACCCACCAGCTTGGAGAAGACACGCGCCGCACAATGGACCTTCACAAAGATGGTCCACGAGTCTACCAACCCCTCCGTCGACACCCAAGAGACGGAAGACTATGCTCGATACATATCGCACCCGCAGAACCTGCCGCTCGTTGTCTCGGCGGAGACGCCCATCACCGAGGTGGACAGCGAGTACCAGGAGTATATCAATGGAAGCTGGCAGTCCGAGGGTCTGTCGATGCCGTCCATGGTCCCTGAGGAGGACTACGCGGTGTACTCGGATTTGCTAAAGGTCAACGAGAACCCGCTAACTGTGTTGGAGGAGGACGCTCAGAAGAAGAGGTACAAGGCTTATAGGAAGTGGCTGAGGGGCAAGTCGCTATTCAAACAGCTGCCTGTGGACTGATGGAAGCTGCGCTTCCGGGAAATAGGCCGCTCAGGCGCGGCTCTCCGGCTATCAAAGGCCGGATGCTGGATTCGGCATCGACTTCACCGGCCCTCATGGTGGCGGTCAGCATGTTGGCAGTGCGGACCAGGCCATCCTGGATCTGCTGTCGTTGCTGTACTGCAAGATCGCTCTCGAGGACATTGATCCAGCAGAGGACGAGGATCTTGAGGATCTCGTTCTGCCAGGGACCCTGCGTCAACCTTGGCCAACACGTGGTGAGGATGGCTTGCAGGGTTTCGTTTGCAGCAACGAGCCTGCTTGGAAGAGCCAGTGCGAACGGGTCCGTCATCACTTCTGAAAGCATCGGTATGAGGTCCTATATAGATCCCGAGAGTCAGTTGTATCGCTCGACATATCTCTCGGCAAGAGGCAGGTCGTACCTTGAGGTGCTTCACAGCCTGCAAGCCCATCGCTGTGACGACCGACTTTGTCTGTACCAGCAAAGCCTGCACGATCTTGACGTGGTCCTTGGCGTGAAAATACCCCGCGAAGACGCCCTCGCGCAAGATCCTGTCGAAGAGCTTATTCTTGGAAGTGGCGTCCTTGGAGCATTGTATGAGGTCAAGCAGAGCTGCATAAGCTAGGGGCAGCATTTGTAGCGACTCCTCTTCTGGGGTGATACTGGGCAGGAACATCAGGGTCGGCATGACGGCCTCCTCGAACACAGTGTGAAGTCCTGTCTCCTGAAGAATCTTTGGGGGTAATTTGGTGAGAAAGCCATGGAGAGCTTGCAGACCCTGTACCCTGACTGGCGTACTGGGGTCGTCCAGGAGTGTGAGGAGGACTGGGATGAACAAGGGCCAATGCTTGCTGACGAGGTCCTGGAGCATGTGGTTAGTAACTATCCGGATGAGCAATAGATACCCCAGCATATGATGAACCACTCTTTTCTATACGTACGTTGGAAGCGCTCGCCACGGCCCAGGCAAATACCGACGTGGCCCGCAAATCGCCGTATTTCCAGGGCTTGATCTTGCGTGTTTCGTTCTCTAGCCCCTGATGCGGATCAGCTTCCTCGGGGAATTCTGCTTTCCTACCGGATGCAGTGACCGTGGCAGGTCTCGATTTTGAGAAAAGGGGCCGTAGATAATTCTGCAGGATCCCATCGACAACAAAGCTATCCCTGCTGCGAACTGCGAACTGTGAATCAGCAATTTTCAACGCTTCCGCCGCGGCTGCCTCGCTGGACCATGGCTGGTGGGCATCTGTAAAGGCAATGATCGTGATCAAATCATCGTCACGCATTTTGACCTGCCATGAGCTAGTGGCTTCTGTGAGAATGGAGAGACTGTCCTCCGAGGCTCTTTGGCAGCTCTCGATCAGCGACTGGCGGGCTTGCTCTTCATCGACGTCTGTCCGGGTCAGCATGGCGATCTCTTTGCTCGCCAGCCCTCAAGTTCCATACCTTCATCGTGGTCTCCTTCCACGAGACACGGCGTGATGCAACGGGATGCAAAGTTGCATATTGCCTCCTGAGCGCGGTCCTTCTCCTCCAGACTGGCCTCAACGAGGTCGTTTCGATCCAAGCGCTCTTTCAGAGGTCGCAACAAGTCGATATTTGCCTTTTTCACAGTTGATTAGACGTACTTCTTGTAAAGAAAAAATCAGCAAGAGATAAGACCGTACCGGTCCAGCTGAAGCTGGCAGCTTCGATGCAACTTCACGCCAAGTCTTTGTCCCTGACAAGTCGTTTTTCCTGTCGTCTGGTGAGAGTGTGTTAGAATGCTGCTCAAGGTTTACAACAATTTCTGAGGGGCTTACCGTTACCCATGGCTGAGTTTGGCCTCCAAGGCTTGTAAACACCAGCCTGGGGAAAGTGCGCTATGTTTGAAATGCTGTGAGGATGAAGTGAGAATGTGTGTGGTTCTGCTAGATCATCAAATTGCGATCCGGTCAAACTCCAGGCAGTCGGGTGTTCTAAGTGCAATTGATGGGGTGCTTCTCCAACGCTGAGGGCATGGGTTTAGTGGCAGGTCAGAGCCAGATGGTGGGGTTAGTGCTTCAGCAAGTTCAAGCTCTGCGTGAAGTAACTACCCACCTGTATACAGATATAGCCCTCCTTCGGCCTCTTTATGTCCTAAACTCGAGTACATAAATGCACAAGTGTGCAGGAATGATCAAACTCAGGATGTCTATCTGTGACATGTTTGCGGTACCATGAACACCGAAAAATGAGCTGTTCCCTCGGCATGACGTGGACTGAGTGAAATGGTAAACAGAGCAGCGCTGTTTGTGAACCTAAATGAATACCTAGGCACCTTTCTCTGGACATCACTTGAAACAACCTCTCTTTCTTGCTTGAATTCATGGAGCTGATTTTGGCTGCACCTTTTTGTGGATATAGGACTAACTTTAGCTACGTTTTGATATGCTATGAAAGGTCGAGCATTCATGATGGACTTGGTGATGAGTCTGATGATTGAGAGTTCGAGCGTTCGAGGTGGATGCTGTCGTGCATGGCAAACCCGCCCCACTAATTCTTCACACTTGTCCAAGCGGCTTTCTCCATTGACAATGCATTGTCAACGCCCTAACTTACTGTCCACTCACCACATCCTTTGTCACATTTGATGAGCAAAATCTCAGCCAAGCAATTTACAAAGGCCTCCAGCTCGTCCCTTCGCAGTCTACGAAACCTGCGCCCCAACTGTGACAAGTATCCCGGATAACACCTTCTTTCCCTGGGCCTCCGGTTTGGTTTGATGGCTGTGGCCGAGTGACTCATGTTGAGCTGGCGTCGAGCCCGACCGTCATTACACAGAGTCCACGCAGCCTCACTCTTTTGTCTTCAACACCATATGAAGCGAAAGATAGAGGATATTTCCGGAGGCTACCATATCAGGGCAATGTCCACCATTCAGCTCAATGAGCGCGAGAAGCAGCTCAAAGGTCTTCTTCTCGACGTTGCCTCCTACATCAACAAGGCACCTGATCGCAAAGATGCCGAGCCGCTCATCTTGAGATGGGCTGGCGGCTGGGTCCGGGACAAGGTCCTGGGTATTGAGAGCCATGACATCGACACGGCGATCAACTCCATGACTGGGTTTCCCTTCGCCACAAAAATGCGCGAGTTTTGTGAAGATGCGGCCAATGTCGAGAAACACAGCATTCGGCCCGAGGACGTTGGAAACCTCTACAAGGTGGCTGCCAACCCGGACAAGTCAAAGCATCTGGAAACGGCTACGGTCAGGATGTTCGGCGTCGAAGTGGACTTTGTCAACCTACGAAAGGAGACTTATACGGAGGATAGCCGCAACCCCCAGATCGAGTTCGGCACAGCCGAGGAAGATGCTCTTCGTCGAGATGCTACTGTGAATGCACTGTTCTACAACCTGCATACCGACGAGATCGAGGATTTCACGGGCGGGATGAAGGACATGAAGAGGAAGGTCATCCGGACGCCACTCGAGCCCTTGCAGACTTTCACAGACGATCCCTTGCGCGTCCTAAGACTGGTGCGGTTTGCCAGCCGGCTGGAGTTCACCATTGATCCGGCATCTGAGCGAGCGATGGAGGACCAGCGGGTGCTGGATGCACTGAAGCTCAAGATCAGTCGCGAGAGAGTGGGTATCGAGGTCGAGAAGATGCTAAAAGGTGAGATATTGCCCCTTTCAGAAGTGTGATGACCATCATCTATATCAGAGAGGCTGACAGGATTGATAGGAAACCATCCCTGCGAATCCTTGCGGTTCATAGACAGGCTCCATCTCTACAACACCATCTTCACAGATCCGTCCAAGGCCGATATGGCCCGGCCTGACACCCTCAAATGGCAGGCGGCATATGAGTGCCTGCAGTACCTAGAGGATGATAGGTCTTCCGCATCGATCTACAGCACCCTTGTGAGCACCGAAGAGGGTAGCTACTGCGCATGGGTGCTGGCAGCCTTGACCCCGTGGGAGTCAGTCCCTGACCCTGCACCACCTGCGAGGGGCAAGACCCCGCCGCCACCGATAACCTTGGCCGCAAGAGAGGGAATCAAGGCGCCCAACCGCCTATGCGACCTTGTGACAGCCGCACACCGCCATAGGCCAGAGATTATGGGTCTCAAGCAGGCGGTTTACGAGCAAAAGAAGGACTTTACCAACGAGCGGGATCGCCTCGGCATGCCGATCCGGCGTTGGGAGGATCGGGGTGTGGACTGGAAATTGCAAGTCCTCTACGCTATCCTCACCGAGGTCATGGCGTCTGAGAGCCAGGTAGCTCGTGATGAGATCCTGGCTAGCTGGGAAGAGTTCTTGAAGCATATACGAGCGCTCGACCTCATGGAAGCGCCCTCGATCAAACGGCTCATCGATGGGCATCAGCTGGGAAGTGCTCTCGGTATCAAACCAGGCAAATGGATGGCGCCAGCCCTGGACGTGTGCATGGCCTGGCAGCTCCGCCACCCGGGCGAAACCGACATGTCGGGCGCGGTGGAGGAGGTGCGGAGTCGGAGAGAGGAACTTGGTATCGCCGGGCTGCTCAAGTGAGCCTTTCAGGAGGAGGAGGAGGAACAGGAGAGAAGACGAAATCTCGGCTGGCTTGGTGGATTTGGTAGGAATGATACCCCCCGGTGTTCTGGCGGATAAGGGATTCTAGGTAGCGGCATTGAATGCAAGTTGCAAACTCAACAATACAGCTCTTCTGCCCAACATACCTAAGACTACTTAGATGTTGACATGTGTACCGCTCTTGAAAGCTTCTCCTACGTTTGTTCCCACGAGGGTACTTGCCTCAAAGTTTGACGAATTGCATGCTGCTCATCATCCATGGATATGTAGATGTAGGATGGTACTTCCGTAGTGTACCTAGCTTGGTGTAGGTAATTCCTGGGGGAAATGTTTGGTTCCCCCAAACTTTCCTAAAGTAGCCAGACGTTAACCCAAACCTTACCACGCCCTCAGCAGCATCAGCGCTACCCCACCCTGTGTGAACCACTCCTGGTTAGGCCCTTTACCGGCTCGCTGGCGGATCTCTCCACGCGACACCTTACCAAGGTCTCCTCCGCTCACTCCCGTTCCACTCGATCCGCAGCACAGACAGATATAACGGCCGACTTAATCCCTCCCCTCTCCCATCTTCGATAAGCGGCCCGACCACGTCACTCCCTTCTCGCGCACAGAAAGGGAAGAGGCGTCAGGATCGCAAATCCAACGCCGTGTCATCCAAAGATTACTCTACCCGACAGCCCCTCTCCCCGAACGCAGGCCGGAGCCGCGGCTTCTTGGCCCCAATCATGCACCGCACTCGGTCCCAGTAGAACGAAACTCGGAATCACCGCCTGCATCGTACATGCCAAACATCGCTCGATCGCCTTCGCGATAGACACACCTCGACAATAAACAGAAGTATCGAAAGCGTTTGACCGCAGGCTGTCTGTCTGCGCCTGCGCTCTGACGAGCTCTCCTTCCATCACCATGGCGGACACCATGGTCCCGCCGCCATCCGTGCCGGTGGTCGCCGCTTTCGACAACTCGAGCATGTGGCACAACTTCACCTCGTGGACGGCACAGCACCTGGGCTACCTCAATATGTCCAAGCTGGCCCCCTCACTCGAGGACCTCGTCTGGGCTGGTCCGAGGATGGTCATGAAGCTGGGCAAGCTCGGTTCCTTTATCTCCTTCCCCGACGCTATCGACGGCTTCGGCCAGCGAGTTATACCCGAGGCCACAGACTCCGGCATCATCTTCCACGCAACCACAGCTCCGCCCTCGGGCAGTTTCGCCGCCAGCGCCGCCGCCGCTCGCTCGTTCGCGGCGGCCACCCAACAAGGTGCCCAAGGTGCGGCGGCGGCCGGGGCGGCGTCGCCGTCCCGCTTTTCCCTCGAAGGGGCGCGGGGCCTCGGGAGCGTCTTCAGCTATGCGACGAGCAAGTGGGCGTTGTGCTGCATCGCCATGGCTATCGTCCTCAACCGCACCCACATCTTCGCCGCCACCCGACGCCGCCTGCGCCTGCGCTGGCAGATCCGCCTCCTGCTGCGCTTCCTGCCCATTGTCCTCCTGGCACTGCAGGCCCGGCGGCTGTTGCAGTCGATCCAATGCCAGACCTCGCCGGATTTCGCCGAGATGCGCTGGGGCGACCCTAGCAAGAAGTCGGACCTCATGTTCTCCCAGACCAGCACCTTCCTGCATGGCCTGAGCTCGAAGCTGCTCCTGGGAGCCAGCGACCTCGAGTCATGTCTCGCTGTCAAGATGGTACCGCCAGATGATCTCGACATAGCAGCTGATCTGCGAGGCTCTCTGTCACGGCTGTGGCCGCTGTTTGGCACGTTCTGTCTCAGCCAGTTCTTGGAGACCGTTTCCTGTGCAGTCCAAGGCCGAGCTGTTGCTGCCGAGACGGGCATGACGCTCTTTGAGCACTCGCTTGCCTTTGCCGAGGCTGACGCTGCGATCAGCAATCAGCTAGGATGGGGTTTGTTCACATCATCTGGAGAGAACACTGGCTCGTCTGCCAACCTGGGCGCGAACATTGCCATCAGCCGAGCAATGATCTTGAGGAGAGTCAACACTCCGCCAGAGGTTCTCCTAGTCGCCTTCCTCTCCTCCATGAGCCACATGACAAGTCACGTCCTTGGCGTCTTCAACTTGCAATCCAAGTTCCGACTGGTCAGCACCGGCTTTTGGGCCATGTGTTTTATGAGCAGCATCATCTGGAACGTCATCACGTTCTCTGTCGACGACCCTTCTGGGCAGGGGCTCCTTCGCTTCCCGACTGTCTGCATAATTGGGTTCATACCCCATGTTATGGTCTTGTGTGGTATCATCATATGTTTCTTCATCTACGGCTTAGCGCTGCTTCTCACCACTGCCGCCCAACCCGATGATAGGCCACAAGCCACATTCAGAGACAGGCTACGGCGCGCGCATAGTAACATGCAAGCAAATGTCTCGCTTGGAGAGATTAGGATATCGTGGGAGATGGACTTTTATACCGCCTTACTGAGGGCAGGCTTTGGCGCCATCACTATGGCGAGCGAGGCTGTTTATCTGAACGAGGACCGCAAGGTCAATCTCAAGCAGCGCACGTGGTTGGAGGACGAGCGCCTTCGCGAGATCGAAGAGTTGCGGATGCATTGGATAGGCTCGAGCACCACCGGCGCGAGGTTTGACTCCTTTGGCGCGATCGGATTGGTCCCTGCCCAGGACGGCAGCGAGAGGGCGTCAAGTGGGTATGCCCGGGAGCGTGTTGCACAGAAAGTGAGGAACAAGAACGGTGAGAGGATGCGCCCCTTCAGAGATGGGGTCGGCGCCGCGGAGCGAAGTGGCCGCTGGCTGATGGCGATGGACTACCTCATGCACATCAATCGCCTGGTCATCAGCATGAATGCCATCTTGATGTGCCGAATGCTAGCCTGGTGCGGCGTGAGAAACCCGCCACGGTGGCTCTTATGGCTAGCCCAGCGGCCCAAGGGTGCCCGTGAGCACGACAAGCAAGGAGCCAGGCCGGACGGCTCTCGCGAGCCCGCACACGAGTGGCTTCCCAGCGCAACGGGAAGGATACAGATCCCGCGCAATGACCACGTGGATGTCGAGATGGAGCTGCGCAGGCGCCTGCAGTTTCAACACGAGATGGGTGGTGCTGTCGCCAGCGATGAGCACGACGTCGACAACAGGCTCTATGGCTGGTGGCTCCGGGGTGGCTGGTGGGGCAACACCGACAGCAGCGGCGACTTTGCGCCCTCGGGCCCCGTCGACGAAGACGCCACGAGCGTGATCACCACGGCCGAGACGGACGTCGGTAGCGAGGCTGACTGGGAGTCTGACCGCGACGACGACGACGCGGACGGCTTCTTCCCGGGGCTAGACGACGGCCAGCGCACCCCGACGCAGAGGTCGCCCTTTGCGTCGCGGGAGGGAAGCCCCGTCCACGACCACCCCATGGCCATGTCGGACCTGGCCCGCCTGCTCAGCCCCCGCAGCCCCGAGGAGCGCGAGGAGGCCCGCACCCTCGCCGCCCACCTCGGCGCCGACGGCATCATGACCCGCTCCTCCTACCGGCGCTTCCAGCAGCGCCAGCGCGCGCAGGTCCTCGCCCCGATCGGCGGCCTGCACGCCGCCGCCGGCTCGTCGGCCAAGCTGACGCCCGAAGAGGAGGCCCAGCTGCTCGAGCAGATCCTTCTCTCGCGCCGGGCGGCCACCACGACCAGGCAACAGCAGCAGGCTTCCTCCTCCTCGGCTGCCGCCGCCGCCGCCGCCGCCGGACAGCAGCAGCAGTCGTGGGCTCAGGGCGCGGCGGGCCTGGGCCCCGACGGCCCGCAGTGCGTCGTGTGCCAGAGCGTGCCGCGCACCATCATCGTGTGGCCCTGCCGGTGCCTGAGCCTGTGCGACGACTGCCGCGTGTCGCTGGCCATGAACAACTTTGACAAGTGCGTGTGCTGCCGGCGCGAGGTCATCAGCTTCAGCAGGATCTACGTGCCCTGATATGTGTGTGATGTTGATCGGGAGGAAATCATTGGGAGGCCTTTCTCTTACTGTACAGTAACAGCGCAGTGCTTTCTTTTTTTTCTTTTTAAAGCAAATGGTCACATATCCCTTGAACATAGGGGCGTTGGAGGTAGTACTATGTTCCCAACTTGGAGCATGTTTAATCCATGTCATTTTCTTCTTCAACTTCTCAATGCATGTTCGCAGTGACGACTGGCGAGATTTCACACCGGTGGGAGTTTGTCCAGCGCAATGACAGAGAGGTAAGTTGATACATCGTCTGGCAGCGAATATGATCCAGAATTGCAAAAGTAGTATTGGGGTATCATTGAAGTTATTGTGGGTATGCTCCTGACGGGAAGCTCTATGGATAATCGATCATGCACGCCTCACCGCAGCTCTTACATCGCGGCCCACTCCAGGCTAAAAGACCTTACGTTGCTCCCACTCGGGTCGCCCGCACCGGGACCAGGTCTCTCGGCGCCAATCAACAGGCCTTTCTTGACACCGGTAGCCATGCGAGCGGAACCGACGAGATCCAGCATGTTGATCCCCTCGTCCCAGCCGTAGCTTACTGCCGTGAAGTGTGCGTGGAACCGGAAAGGGTCGCCCGGATAAACGCTATAGTCGCCCGCGAAGCGCAGGCCTGGGGTGGTGTAGAACCCTTTAGAGTTGAGCTGAGCGCGCAGCGCGTAGGAGGGCGGAGCACCGACGGTGGCGGGGTGCGCACCCTTCTCTATCAAGTCAGAAGACGTGGCAGGTGTGATTGATACAAGACGGCTTCCAGCGTCTGCTGTAGGAGCAGCCGCAACCCTCTCGCGGGTGTCGATGGCCTCGTTTGGGCCAATCTCAGACTCGTTCATGGCAGGCGGCTCGCCGTTCCCTGAGCCAAACATGTCTGATGCTGAGACTTCCTTGCTCTTCTTCTTACGTCTCTCCGCTGTTTTTGCAGCATTCTTTGCACGAAAATCGGCCCTCATGGCATCCTTCTCAGCATCCATGTCAATGAGCGTGTCTCGCAGGGCTTGACGTTGACGCTTGAACGAATCGATGTAAGCCCTACGGCCAGCACCATCCACAGCCGTGAGCTGAGCCAGGTGGGCGGCACAGTCATCCTCGACGTAAGCAGCACCCAAGTCCACGAGCAGCTTTGCTTCCTCGGCTGCTATCTCCAGGGGTAGGCCTGAAAAGAGTGTTTGACTGGGATTCTGCGGCGTGACGCCAGTGAGCATAGAGCAGATGCCGTAGTTGCGCCGCAGGTGCATGATGTCTTTGATGTCAAAGAGCAGGTAGCGGCCGGCAATCTTAGAGATGCGCGCCTGCTCCACGTCTTCCTTCGAGGAAGACATATCAGCCGGTGTCTAGATCTTCCTTGTTGGGGGTCAGTCCAATACTCTCTCAACCAAGCTGAATGATAAAATTGAAAACGCGGAAGGACAAATGTCATTCAGGGTAAGTATAGGTTTCAGCACAGAATAAATCAGTGGATTGACAGATTATAGAATATACTTTGCGTAATCATGTAGTCCGGGATAGGAAGAGAAGAACACGACAAGAGAAGAAGTATTGAACTCACCATTTATTCTCAACATCCGTTGCTTGGCCAAGCGAGCTCCAAGCACCGGTTTGGAGAAAAAAAAGAAGAGGATTGGGACCTTCTCCAATTTTTCGTGGTGGAATTAAAAGTTGCAGCGGCAGAATTCTCGGGCGGTGAGGCGATACCACACAACACCAAGACAATCAAATGCTAGACCAAGGCTCTCCACGAGTGACAAAGGCCTGCGTGGCTAGAAGTCAATGCCATCTTTGACTGTGCTGGCTGGAGATTGTTCCTTGTTGTCCTCTTCCTCGAGGGGCGGGAGACTGTATGGCTGAATGACCAATCCTCGGGATCCGCTGAGGAGAAACGACAGGTTCTCTCGGAAGTAATTCCCTTCAGCTCCGCCGCCGCCTTTCTCGTGGTAGATGGGAAGTGCATACACCTTGACCATGCCTTGTGCCCTGTCTGTCTCCTTCGATCCCGGCTTAGGGACTGATGCAGATGGGGGTCCGCTTGGTAAGGGGATGAGCTCGACTGTTCCGTCGCAGAGAAGCTCGATCCAGCGGGTGAGGCCGGTATGGCGTGGATACAATGACGTGGGCAAAGACAACATCGCAGTCAACTGCCCCGAGTGCTGCCTCAGCAGGCCTCTCAGGCCGTGCAAGAACTGCAACACCTCAGATGGGCAGCAAGAACCACCACCATAGAGTGTTGGTGAAAGGAAGCTAGGGACGACAACGCGATGGATTGAACCCGGCGGTGATGATGTCAAATTTGTCTGCACACTCTTGATGAATGATTTCAGGGGAGATGCGGCTTTCGATGGCTCAAAGTTCGAGCCCAAGGGAGCTGAGGAGGGACTAGCAGTCAAAGTCCCTTTGATAGAGGATGGGCTCAAACGTTTGCTCAAGTCAAACTGATGGCAAAAGATGTCTGTAGAAGTGCCCTCTTTCTCTGCTTCAGATGTCAGTCCATGAAACATATACCCTAGAGCAGTCCTCTTGGGATCTATACCAACCTCTGATGGGCAGGCTAGCATTGGGCGTAGTTCTGTTTCCGAGTGTCTCGTATCTCCACGCAATTTTCATCCTGTCTTCCGACGCCGAGTCGATACGTCTGGACACATTTGAAGATGTTTTGCCAGTCGAAATCGCCGGAAGCTCATGCTTCCAGTTGCTGCCATATCCAAGGACATGAACATGATGCCCTTGAACAAGACCCTCTGCAGCATAATACTTGAGCAGGACGCCGGCGAAGTCTGTGGTGCCTTGCTCTTCTATGAGTACAGAGGATCCAAGAGGGAGGCCGGCATGCCCGGCGAGGAGAGTGTCCAACGACGCAGTGCCGGTCGAAGTCGTAAGTCGGCCATCGAGTGGTGATGGGCGAGTCCCTGGAGCAGACTGTCTCTCCGCTCTGGTGGAGGCCTGCGGTGAGACGGCCGGCGCAGATATGACTGTGTTCCGCTTTCGAAAGGACATAATCGGCACCTATGAGTCTCTATGTCTTTCAAAACTGACAAAAAGAGCTCTCATGACACCTCAATAGCTTTGTGCATTTTTGAGCTACAGAAATTTGTTTGAAGCTGCAAGTGGTGGCAGTCTTCCGCCCACTCTTGCCATTGCTGGGCTGTGTTTAGTGGGACCGGTTGTCGAAGTTTAGTGGGTTTGGTGCCTGGAAAGCGTTGCCTCCAGCACAGACCATGAAAGCCCCAGGTCCATGCCCAGGTACCTACAGGACACCCATCACGTGGGGCACGCCTCAGATCCACTAATTGGACCAAGTTAAGAAGTTGACGCTCAGTGCGCTTTGATAAGCCGTCCCTCCAAAATTTTTGACGCTGTGATAGCTTCATCTTTGTCAAAGAACGACGAGGCAAATCTGAGGGAACGCGCAAACCCGTATCCTCACACATTCTTTCTACAACCCACAACATACACACGCCCTCTCCAGTAGCGCTCAACTAGTATCTCTACAATGGCAGGCGTAGCTGGTGACAACCAGCTCTTCGAGGACTCCTTCACGGTTATCAACGTTGATCAGTCTAAGTACGACCGCGTCGCGCGCCTCAAGGCCACCTCAGACGACAACCAGACCCTCATCTACCTCGACATCAACACGGAACTCTATCCTTGCCAAGTGGGCGACCGTCTGGATTGCGTCTTGGCCAGCTCGCTGAAGACAGATGGAAGCAAGGATGACGAGGGCGGCTGGCGAGATGCCACCAAGGGCGGCAACACCGAGGGTTCGCTCGCCGATTTATTCGACTACGTATGCCACGGCAAGATCTACAAGTTTGAGGACGGCGCAGACGGCCAATCACTGTAAGCGGCCCTCGAATCAGCCTTCCTGCGAGTCCTCTCTGCTGACGCTTTCTTTAGCAAGGCCTACATCTCTTTCGGCGGGTTGTTGATGTCAATCGAGGGACCGTATAAGAAGCTTACCCCTCTTCGGGTCGACTACACCTACCTTCTCGTCAAGAAATGATCGGAGCGGCTGTCTGGTCCAATCGAAGTGCCGAGCCGCATCGCATACGAGAGACTTGGGTTCATTCTGCAACAGGGCTCGCTGGGCGCGAGGGCAGAATGTGTATCATCACCTGAAGGAGTGGATGTTTTTGATTTGATGAGATCTATTCAAGCGCTGATTTGAACGAGCATCTATGTTCTAAGGTTCTACAAAGTGCTAGAGCTCAGACGATGCTCGTGCCTCGCCTGGACGATATTCATTGCCCGGGCTGCCCGAGCTCGCGGTGTGGGCCGGGGAACGGCATAATGCGGTGCAGCCTGTCCACAATCTCATCAAAGGCTGGCTCGTTCTCCCTCGTCAGGATACCGTGTCGGATGAAGAAGTCGATGGTGACAACGGCGCAGTTTGGCTTGAAGAGCCCATCAGCAAGGAATTGTTTGACTTGATCCACCGTGCAGAGGTCGAAGCGCTCGGCCTCGCCGTCTTTCGGGACGAGGATCACATCTTCAGGTAGCTTTAGGTCGTAAATCCACTGAACCTCGGGGTAAATCAAACCCTGCTCGCCTCCCGATCTCGTATCCGTGATGTAGATGTATGACATTATGCCGATCTTTTGGGTATGGTTCCGCACCAGGGCGTCGGGCAGGGACGCTTCCTCGTCTGCCTCCCTGATGACGCATTCGAATGGGTCCTCGGCTGTCATGAGCCCGCCGGCGACTGTGTTGTCCAGCATGCTTGGATATGTCGGCTTGGTCGCAGACCGCTTGGGGACCCAGATCTTGATGCCGTAAGGAGATTCGGGCGAGGATACATAGGCAGTCATGTGCACACCATACCTCATGCACCCGAAGAGCCCCAGCGCGGATCTTTCGACACTGAAGAGCAACTCTCCTTTTCGCCCATAGACTGGCCAAATCTCATCGCGCCAACCACGAAGAGCGTCGAAGGACTTGGTGGCCCTCCAGTGTGCGGTGATCTCGGCGACCTTCTTGGTCCGTTCCGCCTCGGTCTTGAGACCGCCTAGGATGTGAACGGTTTTTGCCGTCTCGTCCACTCGGGTCTCTCCTCTTAGGCTGGAGGGGAGTTGGACGAACTTGTCATAGACATGCTGGAGCATGTAGCCGATCTCGACGGGCCCTTCGGCGTCGTCACAAACCACCTTCCACAGAGCCTGCAGCTGTGTGGCATACTCCTCCGGCTCCGTGGTCGGATACGGAAACCTTGAGAATGCCGGACGTATTAGCAGACGGTTTGGGAGTTTGATCAGAGACGATGCACTTAGATGCATCAGGACGTGCCGCGTGTCAAGTAACACAAACGGCCCAGCAACCCGACCACACATCTGAAATGCTGACATAACATAGATGTATATGCACTTACGCATCACAGTAATTTATCAGATCAATATTCTTGAGCTTCTGAGTCATGATGGCTGTGGCAGATCTCGTTGGCGTGAGAAGAACGAGACTGTAGCGGGGTAGTCGGAGGGATGAAAACGGACAAGCTCTACAGGTCTGTCCAGTAACTACTGGTTGATGAACATGTTTCTTGTCGGAGCTAACAAACGGCAAATACAAGAAAACCTGAAGAGGTGAAGTCTCGGTGTGCAGAGGCTGATTTTGTCCCCAAACTGCAAGTTGGCCAATGAGGTATCCATCGCAATTGTTTGCTAGTCTGCCCTGCCCGCCCCTCCGCAACAGGAGCCCCGCCCAGGCCGTGATATATCCGTCTGAGCTCCGGAACGAACTTTGAAGTCTCATTCGTTCCCTCAGACAGCCGACCTTTTACAGCCTCGCCGTCTCGCCTGCCTTCGTTATCCAACAACGCAATTTGGATCTTCATCGCTATACGCGGTGCCAAGGACACAGTGTAACATTAATTCTCCTACCCCTCCCAGAAACTAGCCGAGCATTCACAAGCTCGAGGAGGACACTCATAACGCCACCACCTCGTTCGACTCTGATAAGCTTCTGAGCAGCTTCTGGGAGCACAGAAGCTCAATTGACCTAGCAGAAGCTCTCACAAGCCTTTCAGATCCAGCACGTATCGTGCATGCTGGGAGCCTCTCTACTCGACGGTTGATCAAATCTCAGCCACGAGGGTGCTCTCGCCAAACAGCACCGCACTCAACCCTGCGTGCCTCCCCTCTCCACCACCCCTCTCCTAGCCACACCACACCGGGTGCGGCGGGGCAGCAGAAATGTCCCAACCCCTGTTCGGCCTCGTCCCGGCCGGCCAGCCCCTCATAACGGAGCCGACCTCCGCACCGACGCCGACCTCGCTCCTCTTCTCCATCCCGCCTGCTGCCGCGGCCACGGCCACGGCCTCCTCCCACATCACCGTCTTCCTGCTGCCGGGCGCCGCACTGCCCCCCGGCACGGCGGCGGCCATCTACCTCGTGACCCCCGGCGCCGACCCCTCCGGCACCCCGGCCTCGCGCTTCCTCGGCGGCATCGGCCCGGGCAAGGAGAGCGCCGTGTTCAAGATCTCGTCTTCGTCGTCGCGCACCAGTCCCAACTCACCCGGCGGACAGAGCTCGGTCGTCATCGGCATCGGCATCGAGGACGCCGGATCCGTGGCCCAGCGGGTCGAGGAGGCCGCCGCCTCTCGAGGGATCACCGGCGGCGGCGGCGGCGGCGGCGCGCAGCAACCCAGCACTCAGGTCCTGGCGCAGAGGATCATCAAGAACGCGTTCAACTTCCTGTCGAGCTTCAGCGGCCAGGCCGGCCAGGTCGAGGTCGTGCCACTCAAGGCGTTTGAGGACTGGTGGCGCAAGTTTGAGAGCCGCGTGCGGACAGATCCTGGCTTTCTGGAGAGGGATGATTGAGATAAAATCGAATCTCACCTGGCCATGGCAAGTGTTATTTGTCGACAGGACATGCTGACTTGGACGTTAGATGCCAGCAAAATCTCTGTCCAGGGTCCTTCCCAGCAATGGGCCTTTGTATCAATATGATCCGCATCTTCTTAGGATAGGGATAGTAAAGAGAAGAGAATACTAGTTATGATTATTCCAAAGGTTACTGGGGGAGATAGTTGGGCCCAAGTATTTTGTCAAACATGTAAATCTCGTTGATGACGTTTCTGTCGCCTCTGCAAAGCCACTCACGGCCTGCTTTTTCGTATGAGGCTGATAATGATGCCACCCTTCCATTAAAGACACCACGAAACTCCAAAGGACCGCTAACCCTGCCCTTCCCAAAATATGAGATCCTGCAAAACACCTTGTTCGGAGAATGTACCGTCTATGAATCGCTAACAAGACATCGACTTCCAACCAAGCGAGGCACAAACTACTCTGAGGATTCTCAATCCTCCTCCAGCGGCGTCATCAACGGGCTTTTCAGTCTCGTGGGACTTCCCGCCCTGCTTCTTCTTCCAGCGTTCAGCATTTGAAGCTGGAGCCTCTCTCTGCTTTCTGTGCGGACAACCAGGCCGCTCCGGTCGATAGCCGAACCAGTCCGTGAGTCATCGTATAATTCGATATTGACCTTGGGTGTCGCGAGTCCCGAAGACCTGCCAACGCGAGATCCTTCTGTGCTGTCCGAGTGGTCGTTGTCGTCCGAGTCCACGCCGCCCAGTTCAAACTGCTCCAAGTCGCCCTCTTCCATCACTCGCTCATAGTTGGCGGATGATCGGCCAAATAATTTGTGGGTCAGTCCTGCCAATCCGCGACCACCCTTTCTAGGACTACCGGGCCTCCTGCCACGGCGGAAGACAGAGTTGATCTTGGAGTAGAGCCGCAACCTTCGCTCCTTTTTCCTAAACACATAAGCGAGAAGGACTAGGATGAGCACAAAGACGAAGAAACCCGACGTCGACCTCTTCGTGGCCTTCTCCAACAAGTCATCCGCTGTGTCGGTCCAATCGTCGTCATCGTCAGGTTCGTGTTTGAGAGGTTCCCAGTTCGATCCGGCAAAATTGAAGTCAGGTGGTGTCGGTTTGCCCGGCAGATTGCTCCCGAAGCCGACGGGGAGGTCCTTGTTACCCTGTGGTGGAATTTGCCCTGCGGCGTACAGCACCATCTTGCCCAAGGTCCAGCTTACTTCGATACCTTCGATCTTGTCCACGGGTTGGAAGGGGTCGAGGAAGCCCTTCTCTTTGGCGTGCTCTAGTGCTCCTTGTGACACGTTGAAACCGGCTGGCGGTTTGTCGAGACCAAGTCTCGGTATGCCGATTCCCTCATGCAATACGTTGATGAGCCATGACGCCTTGAAGCAGGCCTCTTGTGCCTCGCGTGCCTTCTTCTCCTTCTTCGAGCTGTACTCCGTCGCAATACCATCCCAATCTCTGCTGCAGAACTCCTGCACACGCTCCTGGTATGTGTTGAAATCATATGCTTTGTCGTCCTTGGTGCCGAATACGCCGTGGGTCGTGTGCCAGTATTCGGACACTCCGATGAAGTGGTTCACGTCAAAGTCGAGAGCCGGCACGTGCTGTCCGTTGAGCAAGCAAGGCTCGTTTTCGCAGGGCACATCTTTTCCAAGCAACGGTTTTGTCTTGCGTAGACATTCGTTGAAGTTGCCCGTTCCTACTAGAGTTGGCGCCGTCTTGTCGCTCTTGTCCGCCGGCTGTCCATCCAACGTCGTCCGCAACCCAGTAGGCATGCATGGATCTGGGAGTTCAACAACGTCTGGTGATTGATAGGCATCTTCCAAGGTCTTGACGTAAGACTCGCGGGCCTGGTTGACGCCAAAGCCTAGCCACGTTGCAGTAAAGACCTTGTATTCGGAAGGCTTGCCGTCCATAGTTCTCATCCGCAGGAGCTTCAAATCATCCCAATGCTTCTCGGCTTCGGTGGCGTTCGGTGCGAAGGCTATTTGGGCCGAGGCGCCACCCATATCGAGGAAGCCATACGTGTGGTGGTCTTTGCCATGGTTGTGCATGTCAGGGTGGTCGAAACCCCCCAGCAAATAATTTGAGGCGATCCAGCCGTACAACCCTTCTGTTTCGCCCTTGATCACCTGGATATGCAAGTCGCAGTCGGGCAAGGAGAACTGCGTGTTTTGCTGCAAATAGGAACATATCTCGCGTGTCAGGGCCTTTTGCTGAACCTGTGGCAGTAAGCGCATGCCGGCCGTTGCCATGAGGAATATCGGGGTATCATGGATTTGATCTTCAGGAATGATGTCGAGGGCGTGGTCGACAAGAGATTGGAGATGCTCGCGGCCAACTTCGGAAGGGTTCTCGCCAAATGTCGACACACCAGGGCGGATCTTCTTGGTCCATTTCTTCTCCGTCATCAGCTTAGGCAAGCTGTGAAGCTCCTCCGGAGAAGCATCCTTGAGAGCCTTTGCGGGATTCTTCCACCGATATATGTGTAGGCGCGTGCCTGAGGAACCGGCGTCCAGGATGACGCCCCATCGCCCTGCATAAGTCGGGACGTGTTAGCACATGCGAGCACAGGCTCCGGGCCCTCTTTCTCCTACATACACTTCTTGCCCATGAGGAGTAACTAGTTGCGATAAGAACCGTTTTTTGCTGAAATTGGCACCTGCTTTGGGTGCGGAAAGGGAGAATCGGGTCGATTGTACGTGAGCGATCAGCGTCGACGCGCGAAACGAAGAAGTACGTCAGCTCCTAGAAAAACATGGAAGTGGATCCGAAATGCTTGGAGAACCTGGGTTGTCCGTGATGAAGAGGGAAGGGATCTGTTGATTAAAACGAAGTACTTGAAGATGGTCGATTGAAGAGGGGAGCGAATGTCAGAAAATTGAATTGAGTTTGAATCGGTATTATAACGAGAGTAATTCAAAGCCGCATTGTACTTGGGAGTCTGGAGGGCTACGACGACAGGGCAGGCAGGCTGGACGAGAATGGAGGATAATAAATGGGGGGGAGAAAACATGAACACCCGACTCTTAGGTGCGGGCTGGGTTGCCGCGATAAGGGGAATACGGGGCCAGATGGCGCCACTGCTTTGGAAAGATAGTGCTGGCGCTCGAGAACGCGCAGTGTCACTAACAGCTGCTCGTGTACGTAGCGAGGGGTCCATCCATCCTGGTGCTTTTTTTGGCCCTTTGATAAGGCAATTTACATGTGAGTACTTGTCCCGATGAGCGCTAGCCCGCGGGAGAGAGTTCGTTAGCCCCAAGACATCGCCCAAAGACCGACAGCTCATTGGCTGGCATGCACTACGTAAGTTCCTCCCTCCAGTCAGCTAGCTACAGACTTGAAAATCAATCCCCTGTCAGGTACCGCCCATAGGTACCGCCCATGACCGCCCAAGTGATGGTCAGATTAGATGACGGACTGCTAACAGAAGTACTTGACTATCTATCAAGCCCATCGGAGTTAGGTAGTGGGATAGCTCTTCCGAGTTCTTAGGGCAAGGATGTGACAGGGATATTGATTGTTAAGATTGAGGTAGCTCCTGATGAACTTCCGTCAACCATTCAGACACCCACTTGCCTCCGTAAGGTACTAGCCTGACTCTGAAAGGTACCTTTGCTGAGCCCCGACCGCTAAGATACTGTTCAAGACGATATCCATTACATGCCGTGATCAAGTTGGTAGGCATTCAGGCTTGTCAGCTCAGAGGTCCTACGCCTTGGCCAACACCGAATCAGCTAGTTGGTCTTTGGGGTTGAAGGGTACCAAATTATTTGCTTGTGTGGGGGACTTTCTCGTATTCCACCATCACGCCTTTTCAGCTGTTTGTAGGTGCCTATGGATGACACTAATCGGCTTCTCGTGTACGGATATGCATTGTTACCCAAGCCCGGCAATTCGGACATGCTCTCGTCCTGTGAGCTTTCATGTTTTCCTGTTATGCACGGCGATCCGGTCTATCCGACCATATCATGATACTTGCATACTTCAAAGTATTGATTTAAATTCTGAACGCCATGTGCTACTTGGGAGCTTATTAAACCTCACTTCGTCTGTTCGCTGGCCTCCCGTATGAGGATACATGAGGTCTAGCTCCTGCACAATAACTTCAAGCCTGCATATATATATATATATATAGGTACACATCCCCTCTCCAATGTTACGCATAGGAACAAACGTCCTGTTACTTGACAGAGCCGACTTATAGCAGGTAGCTGGCCCCGGGTGAGGCTTCTGTGACGTGATATGCTTGTTCACATATCAGTTAAAAGGCCGTCGCCGCAAGAAAGGACCTGCTTGTGCACCAGCTTCAGAGACTCATTCTCTGCTTCCAGGTGAGCTGCCCGCTTCATGTAATACGTGAGAAGGCGCTCGTTGTGTTCCGACGTCTTCCGCCATCGCTGGGCCTCAACCTCAAGCTGGCCATGGCGCTGGAGAGACAACGCCACGCAACTAAGCTTCTCGAAGCTGTCGGTGTACACGACACCCTCCACATCCGGTATGGATTGGGCAATTTGATCGATCCTCTCCGCCATGCGGTACGCTCGCTTCACCGATGAAGTTCGCCGTGGCACGTGGAGATGGTTCTGTTCCCGATCAACGGGCTCCTCTGGCTGGCCAGAAGAAGGGCTGGATACCACCCATGATGGAGTTTCATTGTGCTCGACCCTTGCATCATCCATACTCAACCAGATTTGAGGAATGGCGCTATCTGCAGCTTCTGGGACCCGCGCAACCTCTAGAATGGTTGGATCCATGCTTGCTTCGTCGACATCAACTCTGAACGAGTTTCCAGTGAACAAGCAGCCATCTCTGCGGGTGTCTTCTGCAACAGCCGTCCGCACGCTGGAAACAGGATGAGACGATAGCGCCTCACGAAACTGACCAAGTCGAGAAACATCAATCTCCGTCCTCGCTGGTGCGTCCAAGCGCGGGAAGTTCAAACTATCCGGCACAGCCATCGTATCACTGGGGATGCGCTCAACGATCCACACTTGATCGTTGGAAGCTTGTTTTGGATGAATGGAGGCCAATATGTTTTGCCGAGCCCGTCGAGACGCCTTTGTGCGCTTCCGCAGGTCTGGGTCCACGGCATATGGTTTCCATAATCTCCAAAACTTCCAACAATTTGGGTCTCGCAACCCGGCCACTGAGGTGCCTCCGCATCCCTCTTGAGGGTAGTCAAGAAGAGTGCCCATTTCTTCGGCCGTAACCTCGGCTTGGCTTTGTGCGTGTGGAGGCTTGGTGGATGGGTCGCAAATGCGTTCCCGCCGTCGAGTTGAGTCGAATGGTATCCTTCTCCAGCTGTGGTCAAGTCTATCCGGCAGACGAGACTGTCTTTCCAGACACTAGAGCCTGCAAGTTAGTCTTCGTGAGATGTTAGTAACTTATAGCTCCATGGTATACCAAAGTTGTTCAAAGCCTGTTTCTTTGTCCTGCGATGGCAAAGCCTTTGTTCTCTGACAACAAGGTATTTAGGTGCACGTGGATTGTATTATTGTTCCAGTCTAACTCTGTAGAAAACGACAAAGGAACCGACATGCAATGTGACCGCGAGAAAGATAATGTCGCGCCACTGACTGAATGTTTACCTACCCGAGCAGGCCTGAACAAGCAAAACGCTGCTGCCTTTCACAAAGCAAGTGTCAAGCCTCGAACAATCCTTTGTCTGTCTTCGTTAATATCACATCGTGCCTAGGGATCTCCCGCCTCCCCTGACAAAGCCGTCGTGTCGACGAGGGGTTGCTGCTGGTGTTGCTCCGGGAATGTTCGGTCGGGCAACTGCCGGGGCAAGAGGTTAGAGAGTTCGCACAAGAGTTAAGAAATCCACTGACCTTGAGGCCTATCCGTTGTGGAAGCAAAGCTCGATCCAAGACCTCCACCACCTTGAGTGGTCTTCACCCCTGCGCTGAGCCCGACACCAGGGAAACTCGTGCTGGTAGGGAAGGGCCGTGGCTGCGAACCATGGAGAGTTTGAGTACTCCTTCCCAACCCCTGTGCATTCATTGACCCGCCGCTTGCCGCCATGCCCGGGACTGTGGATGCACCTGCATGCGCGACATCACGCCCCCTTGCTTGGTGGTCTGCTGGAGTGGAGGATCGACCTCCTGAACAAGACTTAGCAACTACCCAAGGAGGCGTTGAGGTATAAACTTACGGAACACACCGTCCCAGCCTCCCGGATCCCTGAGCGGTGCTCGGTGTTCGAGGGAGTCAACCGGACCTCTGTGCTGTTGATGCATTCCCGGCTCTGTCTGTCTTTCGAATCCTTGGTGACTGTAACTCGCTCCATGGAACGATCCATTCTCGTTTTGAAGACCAGCAGCTTGAAATGCAGAGTCCACAGCATCGGCTGCAGCATCTCTTACTTGCCCAAGCATTGCTTGATGCTTCAACTTGTCATTCAATTCCTGAATCTGCAGGTTTTTCTTGTCTTTCTCTTTGCATCGGGCTAACAATTCCTGATTGCTCTGCCTCAATCGCTCATGTTCTAAATCCGAACCTGATATGATTTGTTTTCTTAACTAACCGTGTTAGTATGGGGATAGATGCTCACATACTCTCTACTTTGTCCTGCATATCGGCTACGTGGCGATTTGAATCAGTCACTACCTGTTCGCAGTACGTCTTCAATTTTCCCAGCCGATCAGTGAGCGCATTGGCTGAGATTTCCTGATAAAATCTGCGAGATGAAAAGAGTTAGTGGACAACATGATCAGACAAAGCTCTCCTCACGTCGTATCTAGGCATACTGACATCTCTTGCGTCATCTGATAGTTCCAAAAGCTGAGTGCCCTCCCAGCACATTCCATAATCACATTTGGACTGAGGCCACTCAAGACGATTGTCTTGTATTCATCGCGAGCTTCGAGACTCGTCACGACTGCATCATCGGGGTTTGGTAACACACTGCAGCACCCTGGGCAAGTACGGGTGTGGTCTGGTCCCTTTTCAGTCAGTCCCGACCGTTCAGCACAGTCGAGGCAGTAGATGTGGCTGTGTGTATCGTGTTAGTCAACCTGGTGGAAGCCTCTCGTTCCAGTCCATCGACATCCCCTACCTGCAGGTAGTGACGAGAGCTTGACCACGGAGCTCCGTCCTGCATTTGAGGTTGTTGCATTTCAGGGTATATTCCATCGCTCGGTAGGGAGGGCATCACCATATGATATCGACTTGGTCCAGAGTATATGTTAAGTCTCGAGAACCGAGCAGTGCGTGCCGCCAATGAACAAAGAAAAAGGTTCCTCCAGTAATTAAATTGAAAACCGTTGATTGATATCTCCTTCGTGAATGTGAGGTCGCCGCCTGCCTGGAGTAGAGCTAGTGGGGTGGGGAACCAGATGCGGAAGGTGTGGTCGTATCAACCGCCGTCCTCTCATTCAGCAGCCACGACCCACCGAATCCAACGCGCCATAGGTCATCCTTCTGCCGCCAAACTGCCTGCCCCTCCATTTGCGGCTGTTGGCTGGTGCCAACGACATTGCAGGCAGCCTCACTTCAAACGGCAGACACCACCCAGACACCACCCACTCATATCAACTCTCATTGTGCGCCCAAACTGCTGATATCTTCATTCCCAAGGCGGACAGGCCCAACGCTCTTCGTCTCAGGAAACCATGACCGAAATAGTGATGTGTCAGACACCGCCGGTCCTTCATGGCCCCTCAGAGAAGGAGAGGAAATATGACCGACAGTTGCGCTTATGGGCTGCCAGTGGACAAGCTGCTCTCGAGTCTGCAAACATCCTGTTGATCAACTCCGGTTCGGGAACCGTGGGAGTCGAAGCTCTGAAGAACCTTGTCCTTCCCGGTATGATCAAACATAGCCCCGAGGACCGCAAGGACTGTTGTCACTGACCGCAAATCAGGCATTGGTCGGTTTACAATCTATGACGAGTCAGTGGTTCAAGAACCAGATCTCGGGGTCAACTTTTTCCTAGATGAAAGTTGCTTGGGCAAGTCTAGAGCTCAGAGCTGTGTGGATTTACTGGTTGAGTTAAACCCAGAAGTTGAGGGGGAATGGCACCCGAAGCCCGAGGCAAGTTGTTGACTCTCCCATATATCATCAAGCGCCCTCGAGCACTAACAAGGACCTGTAGCTCAGTCTGGATCTCCGCGGCTTATTAGCTGGCTCTCCAATCTTTACGATGATCTTGTATTCCCTCCCCATCCAGCCTCAAGACTTGGCTACGATCGAGGAATACGGGAAGAGACACAAGACTCCGTTGTTGGCACTCCACTCAGCCGGCTTCTACTCGTACTTCCGTGCTCACTTACCAGGCACGTTTCCCATCGTTGACACTCACCCGGACGAGACAGCTACGACGGATCTCCGACTTTTGGCACCGTGGCCAGAACTGGCCAATTTCGCCAAGCAGTTGACTTCCGATATTGACAACCTCAACAACCATGAGCATGGTCACCTGCCATATGTTGTCATTTTGTTGCATTATCTTGACAAGTGGAGGGAGCAACACGATGGTGCCTATCCCTTGACGTACAAGGAAAAGACCGCCTTCAGAGACATGGTTGCAGCAGCTGCCCGACGCGACAATCCCGAAGGTGGCGAGGAGAACTTCGACGAAGCTGTCGCCGCTGTCGTCAAGAATATTGTGCCGCCATCGCTTCCATCTGGGCTTAAGGCCGTCCTTGATTACACACCAAAGGACCCTGTATGTATTTATAACCCATGACCCTTGATTTTATCAAACCTCGCTGTGCGACTGACCTCGTGACCACAGAATGAGAAGAGTTCTGGGTTCTGGATGATAGCCGAAGCCATCAGGCACTTTTACGAGAAGCACGGATGTCTACCATTGCCAGGGAGTGTTCCCGATATGAAGGCGCAGTCCAAGATTTACGTTCAGCTACAGAACATTTACAAGACGAAGGCTCGGCAAGACGCTGCAGAGGTATTGGAGATGGTCCAGAGCTCTCCGGGTGGCGAGGGCGTTGATCCTGCCGAAGTGGAACTGTTCTGCAAGAACGCAGCATTCGTTAAACTCATCAACTCAGCCGAAGGTGGTGACTCTCGCCTCCCCAAGCTTGTGGGTAAGTCTCGTCCTCAGCACGGCCCTGCCATTCGTTCGCAGGGGACCTCGATTTATTAAATGTTTGCCACAGAAGATGAACTGGCGAATGATGCCAACGCAGAGATGACAATGATGCCACTATCACTGGCCCCTGTCTATCTCGCCCTCTCGGCCACCGCACATGACCCTTCAGCTTCGGCCTCAAGTATCCTCAGCGCCATAAGTGGAATAGTGCCTTTCGCAGCCGGGAATGAGCGCGTACGCCAGGCTGCGGAAGAGGTGGCGCGAGCGGCAGGCGGCGAGCTGCACAACATCTCCGCCCTCACTGGTGGCATGGCTGCCCAAGAAGTGATCAAGATTATCACGAAACAGTACATACCTATTGATAACACCTGCGTGTTTGACGGCATCGCAAGCCGATGTCAGGTCCTCCGCATATGAAATAGCATGCGCTGCAGCGGGAAAAGTGACTCGCAGGGGCAGAGAGCTGTCGATGGACGAGAGAAGAATGTGTGGGTACCATGGAGATCCCGCTGCAACGTGACTGAGGGGGAAGTCGGCACTCGCCCTTGCAGATCCGTGCGGAATCACGGTCCTCGCAGGGGGGGGGGGGGGGGGGTTGGCAAGACAAAGTTGGAGAACATTACGTCGAAAGGAAAGTTGGGGGCAGGCTTGCCTGTCCGTTAATGGCAGATGGGTGGCTGGATTTGGAGGTGGTAGGACCGTTTTTGGCCCTCTGTCGCCCACACAGGCGCGCGCTCTCCTGCATGGCGCACGCACACTTTCCACGACAGGCACGCCTCTGTGCTCTGCATGCACATTACCAGAGATTGGATTGTTCGGGCTGCCTCGAGGTCCCGGGCTGACCGGCCTCGAGGTCCTGACGGAGACCGCATCGGGCCGCAGGGCCTGGCAGGCTAGTACTGATGCCACGCTGGACACTGGCTTAATGGGGGAGAGAACTCCCTATGCCGGTGCTGCTAGGTCATAATCGAGAGCTTGCACAGCATTTTCTTTGGTTCCCGTCTCCTTTTGCCGTGATAGTCTGCGTCGTCGTGTTCCATTGGATATCACCGTCGATGCTCCTGGTCTGCCCAGAGAGTCGTACGCAGATCCGTGTATCATTGCTTCTGGATAGACAACTACCCAGCTAACACCGAAGAACATTCTGTGGGTGGGTATAGAACCTTTTTTCCCGGCGAGGATCCTGGACTGGAGAACACAAGTCGAGTGGCTGCTTCCCTGGCCCTTGACCATGGTTGAGCCTGGCAGGCACATCCTGGATTGGTCAAGATGATTGGACCGGCCGCCACTCACCAATCTCGAGAGCTGCGTAGCCTAATAAGCTCCCACAGACGGTTCGGCAAGCTTCGCCGGCGGAAGGTTATGATCTATTACGACCGGGAGCGAGTGCCCTTCGACCTGTTCTGTGGCTGGGAATAGGTCCAAGTCTGCTCTATTTTCGTTTGCCCCTCAGAAGAAATACCCACTCGAAGACCCTGGGAAATCTAAGTTTGATGAGCTCATAGACGTCAAGTCGGCGTAACGGAGAGCCTGGCGATCATGGTGAAACGACACCACAATTTAGGGCGTCCTGCGATGATGAGTGCTGGCAAGCCTTTCTAGTAATGATGTCAGGGAGGGCCAGAGGGGCTGGTGGGCGAACCCTTTTGAACTCTTATGTTTGAGGGCCGACTTCCCGAAACGGAGGGAGATGATCTCTGGCTGAGGCGTCATGTAAGTCATCACAACGGATTCGGTAAACCTGATCGATTTTGTGTGTCTGGCGGACTAGACCTCCATGGGCGAGGCCTGAGCAGTGCTGAACCAAGGAAAGAAGCTCCCACTGGGAAGCTGGTCATCGAGCCTTGGTAGACTGACCAATAGGGTGTTGAGGAATCGTACGGTTTCCCCATGTGTACTCCCACTGATCGGAAGATCCCAGGTGAAGAGGCAAGAAAACATAGTAGCAAGACGGGTCGACATAGTGGTCTGGTCTGCGCTCAGAAGGAGGAAAACCTGACAGGTCATGTGCTGTTCATGCAGCACGCATGTGGGATAATGACCAGGGCGGCTTAGATATGGACAAACCGTTCCATGCGGGATCCAGGATACGGAAAGCCTAGCCTCGGAGGTGGAAGGGATGCGGGGCGCATGACCGTGTAAGTCGGCGGAAAGCTGGAGGATTTTCTGGGGGACGGAAGCAGTCCGCATTATCCAAGGCCAAAGAGAATGAGCGTAAGGACAATGCTATCGTGGAGGGTCAGCAGAGCATTCTTTGCATGACACCTCTTCGTCTTGTCATATGTCACTTGGCGTGCGAGCCTTTTCCCGAAGGAAAGCGAGTGAGCCGAAGACTGGGTGATGCGCAAAGGCTCTAAGTTGGGGTTGGTGTTTTGCACATGAACAGGTCCGTAAATTAAACAGGGACGGCAGAATCAATTTACGCGACTCTGCTGCAAATGGGGACATACGCTTGGTCAAGCGAGACGCCGATGCAAGCCCGATATCCCGCGTTGCCATGCTCGTTCGCCCCGCCACGTCGTAGTTATTATCACCGTCCTGGTGGCCGTCGCGCGCGTCTTTCTTGGTGGCAAGCGATGGTCGAGCCGAGATGGTCGGACCAATTTGGTACTTGGTCGAGCCATCATGGCCATGAATCATAACTTACAAAGGCTCGCCAAGGGATGGACGGGCGCGAAGACAAGTACGGTACCAGTCTGTGGTCATGGGCAGTTAATATCGCTTGTTCGTCCATAACGGAGCTGAATTGGTCCATCATCGTGCGTTAGTCCAACCACTCCCAGCCTGGATCATGTGCTCGGCCTGGAAACTCTTTAAGATCTTGTTAGGCGCTTCACCTCGAAGGTGCCGAGGTCCTTGGAGGGCTGTTCAGTCTCTGCTTGCTGGTGTTATTGGGGAAACGCCCACACCAGACGGACAGCCCACTTTAGAGTCGTTAAGACAGCTGTTATACCTCCACCGCTGTCCATATTGTGCATTCTTTTGGTTCATGGCAATGGGCACGAGGCCTAGTGAGGGTGCTAGTCCAGGTACCAGCAGGGGCGTTCCGGGCGAGCCGCAAGACCGTGAACCAAGTTGACTTTTCTTCGACGGCGGTAACGAGAGGGGATGGTGAAACCTGGAGCCAAGGAGCCTTGGTGTCCCGAGACGTTCGACTCGATGGTTACTTACGAGGCTTGGAAGTCAAAGCAAGGAGATTGGGTATCTATCTCGCGCAGCGGTGCGACCAAGTTTGGTCAGAGGTTGAGATGGACAGCCATGCCCTTGTGGCCATTGTGGGACGTGGCGTGTGGTCTGGTGCGGTCTGAACAAGCTTGAACCTCTGGGGGGGGGCTTTGGTCTGAGCAAACCTAGCGGTTCAGGAGCCGGATGCTCTCCAGGATCTTCGGCTTCGAGGCCCCTTGACATGTGGATGGTACTAGGCTCGCTTGGCCGTCTTTCCAGAACACTTGCAGGACAAGATCTGATGTGGTTGGGTGGCCGAGTGTGGGGATCCCGCTCAGAGACATGCAGGTTCCAGCGCAGACAGGGGTCCGGTTTGGAGTCTGTGTGTGTGTGTCTGGTTCTCCAACTCGATGGCGGTCAGTCATGCACCTAGAGCAGTTGCTCATTGTGGCAGCGCAGAGACGACGCATCACGATCTACGCGCCATCCCTCGACACTCGCGTGGCGAGGTGAACCTAGCTGTCAGTCTGCAGAATGGCCCGCCTGGTCTCTTCCTCTAGTCCCAAGACACAAAGACCAATCTAGCAGCTCAAAGGAGAGACATGCGGTGAGCTGCTTCTGTCGAAGCCAAGTTCTTCCGTAGTGCGACCTGCTCCTGTGGGAGATCGACAAGAGGTACTTTCTGAGGTAAAGAAAGCTGGGGTGCATGTGGTGGTACGGGGTAGCGAATCGAGGAGAGAATCTAAACAAGACCACCAGCGTGTCGCGAAAGCGTGCAAGGATTGGAAGATTCAGAATTCGGATGCAACCCGTCGATGATCGTCGTTCAGAGGGACGGAATGGATGGATGTTGTGCAGCTCTGCGAGGAGGGAAGCGACCGAGTTCACGTGGCTCGCTCGACAGAAGGTGCAGTGTGCAAGTTCAGGTACGTCGACAAATGCAAGACTGGTGAGTATCCAGCTGTCTCAGGAACACGGCTCAGTGGAGTGGTTCGGTACTGCCCGCTGTCCGTCCCACTAACTTCACGCACTTCACGCACTTCACGCACTTCACGCACCAACTAGAGCAATCTGGTACCTTGCAACAGCGCACGCGCGACGCACATCAATCTCGCAACACGTTGTCGGCCTCACGGGCGATCTTCTGCTTTCACTGGTCCTGGCCGCCTGCAAGGTCGATCTCTCGACTTGGTACCATCCATGGATTTGGTCCTCCAGTCCCTCTTCAACAAAGCTCGAGCTATTGCGTGTTGCGCAATACTGGGAACCACGCACCTCCTTCCAGTGGTTGCTTCATATCCGGGATGGCAAGCCAGAGGGGCGATATGGGGCATTCGCTAACTGGCAAAGAGGACCCCGTCTCTTCCACCCTTCTCTCTCATCATCGTGCTCGTTTTCATGGACTAGCCTTGCTGGTCACGCATGGATGTATGGGCGGCAAGACCGGCCAACATCTTGTTTTGCAGACCATGCTAAGGGACGAGAGCCGCAGAGTGGCCGAATGGCCGAGTCGACGCCCGACACTTTCGGAACTCCTTTTCGAGCGAGGCCGTCTTGCTCTGGCGTCAGTGACCAAAGCACACACATACTCCGTATGCCCGCTAACTGCCCTGCTAAGGACGCCCATTAGTTGCTGCTGGGCACGCCGGCTCGTGTCTCCTGGGCAGGGTGTCATGCTATGAGGGCTCTGTTGGACAAGGATGACCCACCATTGGCCACTTCATCTATCCTGGCCCCCCTGTCGAGCCATGCGCTGGGCTCTCCTCCCGCCCTGTTCCTCTCGAACCCCATGGGGATCCACATCCACACCAGCAGATGCCCACCAGCCTCTCCCCTGCAACCCTCGCGCTGCAACCCGAGCAGAGTTCACCCCTCAAACAAGTCAAGATCTTGCTGATCCCTCCACTGGCAGTCGGCCCTGCCTGTAGCTGCTCAGTTATCTTTGCTGGCCCAGGGTCTCTGTCTCTGTCTCGTGGCCAGTTGGACAGTGGTGGAGGGGAAACTCGTTCTTCTCCAAGACCAGTATTTCCGCCACTGGTCACTGCAGATTGCTTGATTGATGGGTAGCAGCAGGTGTATCGATCTACTACTCCCCCATCCAGTGGACAGACTGACAAGTTTTGCCGGCTCGACCCTTGTCTCTGACTGAAGCTGCGATTTTACTCCGTGCAGATCTGTTGTTGCTCTCATCTTCCACCAAACGGTGATGTGCGTTGCCGCCCGCTGCTCTCCACCCTCTCACTACTCCGTAATTCGAGGAGGAGAAGACGGTGTGGTGTCTCCCCTTACTAGCAAGTTAGCAGGATGATCACTCCTCCTCCAGGGCCCTATGCTTTCGACTACCCCACACAACAAGCCTCTTCTCCCTCATTGCTCGTCAGGTTTAAGGCTCGATCTCGCTTCACATACCGAGTGATCAACCCGCTGCTTGGCGCTGGTCCTTATCCATCTCGGATCCAGGCTTGAAGTCGAGCTTAGAGGCCTGCAGATTTGGATGCCTGAGCCGGTACTCCGCAGCGCCTTTCCCTTTACAACAGTCTTTGCGTCCTCCCGGCTTGCTCTAGCGTGCCACATCTCAGCTAGGTGACTGAAACGACGCCACCGTCTCCGGAGGACGAGGAAAAGTCTCTCTTGCGCGTGCGCATACGGACTCTTACGACGTGGTGCGAGCGTCCTATGCGACAACGACGACGTCTGAGGCCGGCCTCTGGCCCGAATCACCTCCTGCTCGTCTCGAATGGCTCGGCCTATAACCAGCTTGCTTGCGCTATTAATTTGAGCTTTCAGGTACGGCGACCCCAAACCACTGCAGGGCCTCGAGGTCCTGCTATAAGTGAACCTGTGCCTGACAATTAACCAGTTTGCACACCCTTGCCAGCCCGTGGCGTCGTGGCTTGTGGGCTGCTGTGAACACCGCGCCGCAAGGTTGGTGCACGGCATTGATGAATCTTGGGTGTGCTTTTGAATCCACATTGCCCTCCATATAACCAAGACTCCAATCGCCTCTGAGTCCTGGCCCCAGAGCGGCCGACCAGTCGAGGTACTCCATCTACTCCTTATTCGGCTTGCTATACTGGCCCTGGCCCTCTACTACTCTCTCCACCCTCGTCCCACCCCAAGAGTCTCTCATAACGTCCCTCAACGGGGCGAATCTCCTCCAGGAACCCCTCTCCACACTTCCCGTCTTGACCCCGGTCCTGATCTGCTAGGGAGAGAGGGTAGCATGCATCTTTCTCCATACCCTCGATTAGCTTCATGTACCTCTGTCTGGCTCCCAGACTTTCTCGTTCTTTGCCTCCCGTTACTCCCCCAGGCATGCCCTCCCCACACACTCAGGGACTTCATCTCCAACTGCATGTAATGTAGATATATAAGTCTGCAACCTCCCCTCTGCTCTGCACTCAACCAACATCACCAACGCCATATCTATTTTTGCTTCTTCGCTCCAATCCATTGCCCTGCTCACACCTGCCTATCCACTGACGTCGTTGCACTCCCTCTGGATATCTGGCAGCCTCATCATCTTCCCTCCTCGGCTCAGCCATCCTCCTTGCTACTGGTAGCAGCACTCGTCATGGCACCCACCATCCCTGTGCCCACCCAAGGTGGCATGTTCCACACCTTCCAGGGCGTAACGCCTAGGAAGCCCACGACGGATTCTCAGGAGACTACCAAGACTAATGGTACCGGAACCACCAAGAGGATAACCACTCCTCATGCCTGTGCTGAGTGCAAGCGTCGCAAGATGTAAGTAATACCCCAGGATACGCATGTCATGTTCGATGTTGACGTGCCTGTCCTTGCCAGCCGGTGTGATGGCCAACAACCATGTGGTCAATGCCTATCCAGCCGCGCTCCCAAGCGGTGTTTCTATGACAAGCACCGCCAGCGAGTGATCCCCTCGCGGAAAACGCTTGAGGCCCTCTCTCAGTCCCTCGAGGAGTGCCGCTCTATCCTGAAAAGACTATATCCCAACCAAGAGGTTCAAGCCCTGCTCCCGCTTTCCAGACAAGAGCTTCTCAGTCTCTTAGACCGGCCGATGATTGACACTTCGGCAACGGCCCTTCCCTCTCCACCTCTACACACGTCTCCTCTCGGCGACGATCTTCAATCGCCTTTGTGTATGAAGTCAGAGCAAGGCCTCAACCTTGAGCAAATCCCCACGCGCGATACCGAGTGGGACGAGGAGCGCCGCGGCCGCGACCCTATCCCCGCGGAAGCCGACGACGTCAACGCCCTATCATTGTCTGTCGACCGGCAGGCCTCTTATCTCGGTGCTTCATCCATCAAGGCAGCGTTGATGGTCATGCTCAAGGTGCAGCCGGGCCTCAGGAGCTCGCTGTCGGCGCCTCTCAACAACATCGAGCCGGCACATAACTTCCCAGCGATCAAGCAAAAGCCAGCGGGACAAAAGGACCCCCAGCGAGTTCCTTGGTCCTGGAAGGGACAGACCTTGATCGATGCCTACTTCAAGCGGATCCATGCTTTCATTCCCATGTTGGACGAGACCACATTCCGGGCAGACTATCTTGAGGGGCAACGCTTCGATGGCCCATGGCTTGCCCTTCTCAACATGGTCTTTGCCATGGGCAGCGTGGTGGCCATGAAGTCTGACGATTACAATCACATGAACTACTACAACCGCGCCATGGAGCACCTGCCCATGGATGTGTTCGGCAGCAGCCACATTGAGAGTGTCCAAGCCCTGGCGCTCATCGGTGGTTACTACCTTCACTACATCAACAGGCCCAACATGGCCAATGCGGTACTCGGAGCTACAATCAGAATGGCTAGTGCTCTAGGGCTTCACAGAGAGAGCCTCGCACAGAGCACCAGTGACATGGCTGCAGCCGAGACTAGGCGGCGCACGTGGTGGAGTCTGTTCTGCCTCGACACCTGGGCCACTACAACGATGGGACGTCCATCCTTTGGAAGATGGGGCCCGGCCATTAATATCCAACCTCCCGAGTTCGGCATCAATGCCTCTCGAGACTCGTCCCAACATGCGGGTATCCTCCCGCTGATTGAGAATATCAAATTCTGCAAGATCGCCACCCAGATCCAGGACATGATTGCCATCTCCCCGCTGCTCCCCACGGAGGACCGGTGCAACTTGGACGGTCAGCTAGTCAACTGGTACAGCAGCCTCCCTTGGCTGCTGCGGACCACTGATCCATGCGCGGAACCGCTCTACATTGCTCGCTGTATCATGAAGTGGCGCTATCAGAATCTCCGGATGTTGCTCCACCGGCCCGTACTCCTGAGCCTGGCTGCCAGCGGCGTCACTCACGCTGCCGAGCACGACATCGCCGCCATTGAGACGTGCCGAGAGCTGGCGAGGCACACAGTCGAGGACATTGAGCGGGAGTGGACCCGGAACCAGATGTCCGGGTGGAACGCGGCCTGGTTCCTCTATCAGGCCGCCATGGTGCCCCTGGTCTCGATCTTCTGGCAGTGGGACAGCCCGCGGGTCGCCGAGTGGCACAAGCAGGTCGAGACCATCCTGGAGCTCCTCGAGGCCATGGAGGAGTGGTCGCTGGCGGCACGCCGCAGCCGCGAGGTCATCTGGCGCATGTACGAGGCCTCGCGGCAGCCCGGCATGATGCACCAGCGCAGCGAGTCGCCGAGCTCGATCCACCAGGCCATGAGCGAGCAGGGCATGCTCCTGGGCGGGGAGGCCGAGCTGCACATGTCGCCGATCGGCCTGGAGCCGGCAGAGGGCATGGGCATGATGGGCATGCTCGACCAGCACGGGCTCTGGGACCTCGACGGCATGTTCTGGAGCGGGCAGCCGGACGAGATGGACTTTGGGGCCTACAGCGTCGGCGACGGCATGATGCAGATGGACTACGGCATGATTGGCAACCCTCACCATGCTGCTGCCGCGGCGGGTATAGAAGGGACCTTCCCCTTCGTTCACTAATGATGATGTGGGACGAATTGATGTTGTTTGTTACGTTACGGCCGACCCCCTTTACTGCGACGACGATGACGCGGGTCTATGGAGCTGACGGGATTTACGGCTTACGACTCTGTTTTCTCCTTTGGATGATTTCTTTTATTTTCAAGAGGCCGTGTGTATGTATGCATGCATGCTGGTCATCTCATGGGGTGTGGGGGTGTTATCATTATTGCCTGGATGGCATAGACATGGTATGCAAAAGCTTGGGGGGAAGAGAGAAACTGCTTGCAATCGGCGCTGGAGGTTATAGGCAGGGGGTACGCATGCATTCGATTGTGCACATGTATATGCCAATGTCCTTTTTGAGTTCGACTTTCTTATGCAGGAATGTATGAAATGGATACCACTATGAACGAGCTTTTAGCCTCTGGATGTAAGGAACAGAAAGCCGGATGACTGCCATCGAGAGAGAGACCAAGACAAGGCAGAAGCAAGAACTGTGCACAAGGAGACAGAACCTACTGTTTTCTAGAAATTATCCGAAATGAGCTCCTTGGGGGGTGCATCGTATGAAAAAGGCTCAATGGGAACCTGGGGTTCGCTATCAACCAGGTATTCCCACCAAGAACCTTTTGCACGTACCGCACTAAACGCACATATATATTGACCTGGGATACAAAAGGGGGATGGAATATACACGTCACCTGCAAGAGGGACTTGGGTTTGGAGACAAAGGGACAGAGCCAGCCAGGCCCCAGGTGTAACGTCTTGACTTTCCCATGGAAGCCCTACGGAATGCCGGGAAGGAGGGCTGAAATAACCGCCCGCACCCCAGACTTTTTTTTTTTTTTTTGCGCTCGCGAACCTGCGTGGGAATAGGCACAGCACGCACTGCTACGTATAAAACAAAGGCATATATGCTATAGCAGACTGCATATATGCCATGGGCTAGTCTGGGGTGTCGAAACGGCTCTTGCTTCCCCGATGTTCGGGGCCATTGGGGAGAAAGAAGGGAGAGAGAAGGGGGGGAAGAATCGCTCCGGAGAGTGGGCGTTCATTGGCTCGCCGTTGCCAGAGACGATGATGGTCTAGAGATGTTCCAAGACAAAGACAGAGAGGCATGTATTGCCTGGAATAGGTAAGGTCTCAGGGTCCGGCCTCTCCTCGGTACCAGCCATTGGGAGTGTCGGGGTCGCCGGTGATGAATTCCCTCTTGGGGGAAGAGATCGGCGCGATCGAGGAGGTGGATCTTCTGATTTTTCTTGCTCTCGATGTTAAAACCACGTCTTAAAGGCTGTGTGTGTGTGTGTGTGTGTGTGTGTGTGTGTGTGTGTACGGAGTGGGAGTGTGTGTGTGGCGGACATTGGGGTCCAGGGAAATAAGCCCCTGTGAGAAGAGCGAAGACCCTTGGCCGGCACTGGACACGCGCTGGGCCGAAAGGTGGTGTCGATGAGAGAGATGTGACGGCGATGGCTTTAGCCCGGGCTGGCACTTGCATGGCACTGCGTAGGTTAGTAGTCCTGTCTGGGCGTCATTGTCGATGGGGAACAGGAGGAGAGGGCGAGAGCCGGCGGTGACCTGATCCCAGGGCTCGGCCACTTGCGCCAGACGTATGCACACATGTCTATGGTGGCATGCTGTCCTCCCTCTCCCGCGTTCCTTGCACCTGCTTCCCATCTGGCATGTAGTTTTTTCCCATCAATGCAACCTAGAATGCGGGGAGGGGGGGGGGGGGGCGTCCTTGGCGTCGTCGAGCACACACTACGTACAAGTATTACTCTAGAGGAGAAGAAGGCCCAAACCAAAAAAGAGAAAGGAAGAGATGCAAAAGAAAAGTTGGGGTAAGGGACAAGGTACGGGGACCGGGGCTGCGATTGGCCGGATGAATGCGGGAGGGTGGCCCAGAAAGCCGTTGACGCAATCTGGAGTGACGGCCCGTAGCGAAGGGTGTAGCGGGTACCTCGACAGCTCCACCGGACAGGGGCCCGCCATGCCTTGGACAGGGATGCTCCCCACACGGCGCCGAGGTAGACGGTACAATACCCCTGGATTACCCGGCAGCGACGGGACACTGGAGATGTTTGAGGAAATGGGGAGGGGGTGGTGGGCGCGAGAAGAGCTCGAAGGTGCGGGGAAAGATGGAGAGTTCAAGCAAGAGAAAGGGAGGGCGCTGGCGTTTTGGATTACTTGAGTTGTTGCCCAAACAGGCCGCCTGCATCAACTAAAGGTTGGCCCAATGCCTGAGCTCTCTGGGAAGCTGTTTGGGCCCCGGTCTTCGAGTTTGTTCGCCGGAGAGACCCGTTGGAAGGAAGAAAGGCGCAGGCAAACAGACCATGCCAATGAGACTGTGTAGATGGCCTGGCGAGATGCAACACTTGCCCGAAGAGGGAGGTCCGAGGCGGCACTTGGGCGATGACAGTCTGTATATCAGAAAGCCGAGCATGAAATGCCAAGATGCTAGCACTTGCTAAGAGCATCTCACATGTGTTGAGTGAAACTTGGAGTCGAAGAAGACGTAGCACTGGCAAAGGTGGTGGAACTTTGCTTCGTGTCAAAACGGTCGGAACATTGCATCCTCAGAAACGGCCGGACTTGACATGTCCCCCAAACGGCGCCGTTCTCAGTCTCACAAGTATCGCGGAATACTTTATCAAGGTCAATATCAAAAGCCAGGAAACAATTTTTCCTATGAGCAATTACTTTGGGGGCTTAGCATGTTCTGGATGGTAGAGAGCGTGTTTGACTTCGCTTCCTGGAAGTGGTGCCCGCCACAAACAGAAACAAGTATTTGTCAAGCAGGCACCTTTTCCATATTTGCAAAAGCCAACCACTAGTCATGAGATCCAGGCTCTGGATGCCATCCGAGCATCACCCAACAGCGGGCAACCCTTTAGGTCTGTTGTTTGTGGCAAGCCTCTACCAGTTGCCTCCAGGATAAACGAATGGAGACTTTATCTCCCAAACGAGACGATGCGTGGCTGCGGCGCAGACCCTGGAGCTGCTACTTCTCGGACTGAATGCCATGCACTCAGGGGAGGGCAGTTGGCGGTTGGAGCCGAGCCCATGCAAGTGATTCGATCCGTTAGCGCTGGCACAATCGTCGAGGTCCAGCAACACTTGCCTCAAGTGCTTGTTCGGCTCTTGTTGGTTACACCAGGGATCTCTTGGCTTGCTGGGTTGATTACTTGGGGCCAAGGTGGCACAGAGGAGATGGACATCTCGTAAGGCTGTTGGGTCCAGGATGTTGCCCCAGTCTCGGGGTACAGGTCTGGTCAGCAACCCATTCCATTGGGTCTTTGTTTGTCACTCGGTTGGAAGCGTGCAAGAATCCGAGATGGCCAGACGCCTGACAATCAAAACGTGTTGCTTGCCAATGACTACTTGACGTACTTGGCCGGTAGGAAAACATCTCGCCTCGTGTGCCAGAACTGGACCGATCGGAGCCGCCACACTTTCACGTTCCGGAGGGTGCTCCACTTTATACCCGCTGTGGAGCTTCGGGTAGTCCAGACGGAGGCGGCGCCGGGGCCGTAGGTTACACAAGACCAATCTGATCTGGCGCTAGTAAGTGGACTACGCCTCTCTGTCTCGCCGGATGACTCCCACTCTTGGCTTGAGGGAACCAGGACAGAAAAGAAGGTGGAAAATGGAAAATGAACAAACAGCAATGCTGAACCGAACCCATGATGTCCGAGTTTACGCTCGTAATATGTTTGCCAATTGTCAGTTATCCACCTGAGCCAAACGTACGCTCATCACTTTTGGCAACCTGTGTACCTCCCCGGCGGCAAGGGAATCCAGACACGAGCATGTCCCATCGTTGAAGCTTCCATATATACTGAGCAAGCTTAATTTTCAAATGAAAAATTATGTGTGAGGATAGAAATCTAACACCGGAAAAGGCTTCTGTGATTTTTATCGAAAAAAAGGAAGGCGCGGTAACAAAAAGCGAAGTCCCTTCCGAGGAAGGGAAATCTTAGATTCTTGATAAGGTTGGATCGCTACTTCGCTGAGTTAGATGCTGCTTTAATTGACTTATAACCTGCCACCCATGTCCTTGGCGCAATGAAAGTCCCATTGCACAGAAAGGTCTGGCCTAGGCGCGGGCTGTCCCAGCACCTGCATTGTAGAGGTTGATTTCAGCGTTATGTCCGATTACATCGGAGGTGGTATTTATTATTTCATGTATCTGAGGGGGTCACGAACGAGGAAAAGATGAAGAATTACTTTCAATATTTGTCCTCTCGGCTCCCTGAGAAGCGAATTAGATTCTGACAAAGGAAATATTTTTTTCTTGTACATGTGTAGCGAATGTGATAAACAAGATCGAGAATCCAGCTCCCAATTGCGACGATTTTGCTAGCTTGTCAAGGCAGCCCCGGAATACCAGACCCTGAGGTGCACTCGGACAAACAACGAATGGTAGTTGGTGAGTAGAGAACAAAAGAGAGATACATGATTATATAGAAATACAAGATCAACTGCACGGAGCAAGACTCTCGCCAGCGGAGCCAGTCATCGCGACGGAGCACTCTGCAGTTCACGTACTGAAGAAGAGGGCGTTTGGTGTCGACAGCGGACTGCGTCCTTACAGGATCCATAGAGCATCGTATGCCGCCATCTTGACCCAGGTCAATGCTTCTTCTTCCCGTGGCCGGAGGACTCGCCCCCTTTGAGCATGGCATCGGCCTTCTTGAGCATCTTCTTGGCCTCGCTCTTGTGCTGCCGCCGTGCCTCGCGGGCGCTAGTCGTTCCGTGGCCCGTCTTGAGGCGTTCCTGAGGTTGTTGATCGTTTTGCCAGTCGGCAATCCGCTGACCGTAAAGATGAGCAACACTAGGCGAGGGAGCAGTTGCGTAGGGCTGGCCGCTGTAATAGTTTGGGGAGAGATACCCAGCTCCCGTATCGACAGCTGGACAGTATGCTTGGTTCTCGCCTGGGCCTGGCACTGCCAGGCCATACTGATGATCAAGCTGCTCATCAGTATGTATGTCGCCGGGCTGATAGTAGTATGCGGAGCCCGTGGCATCTCTGTCCGCCGCCCAAGTGGCGGCTTGGGAGTCCTGGTAGAGCGCATCGCCTTGTGGATCATCACTGATTGAATCGTTAGAATTTACTACAAGTCTCAAATGCTCTTCTGAAGATCAAGCTGACCTCACGCTACCATAGGTTGCTCCGGTCGAGTTCCAGGAAGCCAGCGAGGCATCAGCCGAGGCATCTCCGTCGTTCGTATAAGAGGTATTCATCTTATCGTTGCACAGCAATGATAGGATTGATGACGTGTGACGTAAAGGTCTGGTTGGTAAGCGATTGAAGTCGTCTCAGCTGAAGTCACAGACCCCAGGAGGAGCTATTATGGACTTGGAAACGAAAGAGGCAAGGAAAGTGCCAAAGTGTAGAGACGCCCCGCCAACTGCTCTGGTCTGAAAGTTGAGAGCTTTGGACTTCCATGAAGGAGAGGCCATGCCGTGAATATATATATATATATATATAGGAAATATAGGAAAACAAGCCAGAATGAAACAGGCGCACGACAAGCTTTGCCTTTTCTTTACTTTTGCAGCTATGTTGCCCTGAATCTGGGGCGACATGCCTCTGAATACTCGGGCTTAATTGATGTGGATGGCATCGTGGAGCGTACATGAATATGAAACATGGAGAATCGATGCAATGGTTCAGCTGAGCAACGTATGATGCCTGGATATGCAGAAGCGAGGTCGTGTGAGAGGTCTCCATGTATAACTAGCCACACCGAGCCAAAGAAGAAAAATAAAAACGAGCAAAATGCCGACGAGGCTGCCAGTCATGGGTATTCCACGCCGGGTATGACCAGGGACAAGATTGGCTACGGCAGGAACCGTTGACGAGGGCTGCAGGTCCGAGGATTATTTCTGGCATTTTTGGAAACAAGCGCCGTGAGTGGTTCTACCCAGACGAAGGGGGGAAAACCGTTACACCCCTTTTGTGAGGATGAAGTGTCTTCGTCCACGACCTGTTTCTACCGCGGCAGAGATATTGCCAATCAAGGTCGTCTCCTACACACCACCAGGCGATTTCGGTCTGAGATCGTGTCTCATTACAGACTAGAATTCAGAACTCGCCGTTCCGACATGGCCGCTTCAAAAACATTGGACGGAGCGGAGTCGCCGCCCCAAGTCTACATGCGCTCAACCATCCTGACGCAAGTTGTCACTCGACTGTCGGAGCTGTCTCCGGCAATGTCATCAACCCTGCACCCTCCAAGGACGAGGTGTCTATTTATTTCTGCTCTGGTGTGTATGGGGACCAGGTGACTTGTATCGAACGACATCAAGTGCCGGGCACACTAAGTCATCAACGGCGCGTAAACAGCCGCGTGTGTTACTCCTGCCCTCAGCTTGGACCCATCGGATCCGGCCCGGATGTCGTCAGCACCGAGATTTTATGCCGTGCTCTTCTTCGATTTCTGGTCAAATGCATGCCCCTCCAACGAAGCCCAGTGGAGGGCCCAATCATAGAAGACCAGTAGCTGGATAGCTGCAACGAGGTAGTATTATGGCCTCCCAGAACGCTGGCAGTTCTGCAGGATATATACAGCAGATCAAAGTTCCACGGAGCTGTTGCCTGGAATGCTTTCATTGATCCTACTGGATCATATCGTGGCCGGTTGGGTGTTCAGCCCCTCTTCAGCTGCACTCGTTCCTACGTCCAGCAGAAAGGCGTGGCTGATTCATCCTATTTTAACCGCTGAAAGTCCATTGGCCGCACCGGCACTCCGTTCTATGGACTGCTTGCGACTGGCAGGTTTTGCGGATCCTAGCTACCTTATCTCCATGCCACGACAGCTTGGTCTCGACCAGGCTTGCCATATAATGACCCTCAACCACCTCCAAAGCCACCCACAAGGTTATTTTGGAATGGTAGGCAACATGCACAATCGCCAGGCAGCCGTAGGCATGGTGTGACAAGCCGATAACCTCCTGCATACAAAGGGAGAAATCGAGTTGACCCTGCACGTGGTCCAGTGTCAGCATGGTTGGCAATGCACTACAACGGCAACTCGCCCAGGCAACGAGGCAGCAGCGAAGACGACATGACATCTTCTTGCATCGGGAATGCCGCCACGAGACTCGATGCATATTGGAGGTGTGCTCCTGTCGTGATTCTGAATGAGGAGGGAGCCCAGCGGTGCGCACGCGTCGTCTTGGGACGGATCGGGGTCCTTGTACCTCGTCGCAGAAACGGGAGAGCACATCTCGCCCGGTGAGGGCTTTCGGTCTCAGTAGCCAATCCCGAAAGAATGTGCATCTTCCATAGGACCGAGTCCTCTTTAGGTTAGGCAAGAAGCACCAGGACACCAGTCGACGAGGCTGCTGTCGAGATCAAGGATGGACTTGAAATGCACTTCGGAACCAATTAGAAAGCCGCGTCGGTGGACGAGGTGGCTCGGAGCGCACTGCAACCCAGCCAGGACGGAGGAAATCCCTTAGATGAGACGACCGGCCCGCCTTGATGGTGCCATGAGCTCAAGGAAGACGTGCGTGAATCGTCACCATCTCTCTTCGGCGCTCATCTGCGCCTCTTCATCAAAAAGCAAGCCCCTGTGGCAGTCGGCGGAAGAATACCCATCGCGCTTCCATCTCTCATCTCGGTGTTTTCAAGGTGCTCCCCTCCCAAGTATTCGCACGTCGACAGCTTCCGAGGAAATTGGGACGCTCCGTGCAGCTGGTTTGATGTCGGAGACTTCCCCGAGCCGACGCCTGTGACAGTGACATGGAGACCAGAGAGGATGGAGGCCGTTCTACCCACTGTCGGTCCGCTACAGCCTCACTAGGGGTATTGATGTCCGAAGATGTTGTCGAGTCCGAGTCGGCTTCCCAGGTAAGAGAATGAATGGACAAATGTTGGACTGCAGGGTTTCAAGAGGTCCAAGAGGGCAAGACAGTGGCTAGTTGAATGGCGAGACCGCGAGGACGGACGAACCAACGCCCGAACGCTGGTGAGCGTGAGCGAAGGAGGTAACTACTGAGCGGGTGGATCTTGCAGCGACTCGGCTCGTTCTACCTAAAGTAGGTAGTTCTCACCCATCCCCACCAAAGTTACCCGAATGCGAGCTACCCGCCTCGCATGCGGACAGTTGGGTTAACTCACAAACTAGCTAGCAACTGCACTTACACCATCTGGCCCCTGGCCAGTCCCAGCTCGCCCTCGCAAGCCCAAGGCATCTGATGCTTGCATACACGGAGGTACCATCTGGTTTGCGAATGCGATCAAATATCCGCCTCCTCACCTCTACCAGGACGCTCGCCTCTAAGAGCGAGCTTCCATTTCTTAACCAAGATGCAACAGACACGGACGAATGAACGCGGATCCAAGCCTTGCTTCTGGATCCGAGCTCGCACTTTAGTCATGACGACGCCTTGATGAATGAACGACCATGTTTGCCTTTTCTTCTATATATCTTGGCATGAGATCCTGCACTTGTCGGCTGGGTCAAGATGCATAACAACCCGGAAGAGTTTGCATCCAAACATCGTGTTTGTCTTTGTGGCAGTTGCATCCAAGGAACCACCAAGTTTTCTCTTTGCTGGTGCCCTGCAGTTTCCTCATTACAAACTTTGAGAGACAAACCATCCATCCAGCGAGGCAAGCATCGCGAGTCACTCGTGGACTGATAACCTCACCGCGCCCAACATGTCGACACCCACTTCAACACCCCAAGAAAAGGACACAGACGACAACAATAACAACAACAACATGATGGATGGCCTGGCTCCTAGAGATGAGGAGGCTGGCTTTAAGGAATCCACTGTTCCTCCATGGCGTTTCTGGGCTGTCAGTGTTGGGTACGTTCGCCAGCCTCTTCTGACAATCGGAGCTGTCTTGTAACTAACCAGCTGCAGGCTGTGTCTCGGTCTCTTCCTCGCCATGCTCGACTCGTCCATTGTGGCAACCAGCCTCCTCGCCATCGGTGAGGAGTTCAGAGAAGTCGAGAACATCAACTGGGTCGCCCTCGCCTACAGCCTGGCGTATCTCGGCTGCGCCGTCATGTTCTCGCGCCTGACCGATGTCGTCGGCCGCCGCGATGCCTTTCTCGGGGCCTTTTTCGTCTTCTTCGCCTTCTCTCTCGGCTGCGGGTTTGCCCAGAGCCTGAACCAACTCATTGCATTCCGTGCTCTGCAAGGGGTCGGTGGATCGGGCCTGTACTCCATCACCATGATTGTCTGGGCCGAGCTCGCGCCAGATCACCTCAAACAATACATTGCAGGCCTGATTGGTGTCGTCATCGCCGTTGCCGGAGTTATGGGCCCGGTTCTCGGGGGCATACTGACACACTATGCCTCTTGGAGATGGGTCTTTTGGATCAAGTACGTACAAAACATGGCCTGCCCTCCTGGGAAGTGATTGATCCATCCGGGTTGCTGACTCGTTTTTTGTATCATTAGTGGACCGATTGGAGCTGCCTCCATGGCCGTATTCTTCTTCACCTGGCCGAATGCCAAATACCTTCCCGACCTCGAGAGGCGATCTTGGAAGACCATCGACTTTTTGGGCACCTTTTTGCTGATAGCCGCTGCCGTCCTTGTCACTTTTACGTTCCAGAACGCCAGCAGAAACACCAAGCAATGGGGCAGTGCAGTATTTCTGGTTCCTCTCATCGTCGGTATCTTCTGCTGGTTCGGCTTGTTTCTATGGGAGTGGTGGGTCGAGAGGCGATGGGGAGGCAAGATGCTCGCTGCCTTTCCTCTGCAACTCCTGCGGAATCGAGTGTACAGCGCAACTCTTATCAACGACACGATGCTCGGCTTTGCCTATATCATGATCATTTATGCAGTGCCTATGAAGCTGCAGGTCGTCAATGGCAAAAGCGCCTTGGTCGCTGGCATCATGCTCCTGCCCCTGCTTGGTGGTGTGGCGATTGGCAGTCCAGTGGCAGGCTTCATCAACAAAGACAAGAACCGGTTCTGCGAGACCATTGTCGTGGCATCGTGCCTCATGCTGCTGGGATGCGGCCTTGAGACGACCCTGTCCGACTCGTACCACCTGCAAGCCAAGGCGCTCGGCTTTCTCGTTCTCATTGGCTTCGGATTTGGCCTCTCTGCTGCTCCAACGACAATGATAGCAATGCTTGAATCGCCCATTCATGAACACGGTATGTTGCAAACACGCTCGACTTCCCGCTGTGCTAAGACCAGCAAGGCTGACACGCGCAAACAGCTCCATCTCAGGGCATCATCGCCCAATTCCGCATCCTCGGTGGCTCTCTCGGCATCGCTGCATCTTCAGCCATCCTCGCGGTGCAGACAGAAAAGGCGGGCCTCTCACCACACGCAGTCCAGGGCTCCACGGGGCCGAGCCAGGCGGTCCGGACGGTCTATGCCGAGGCCTTCACCCAAGACCTCAGGGTGTGCACGATTGTTATGGGCGTTGGCGTCTTGGCGGCCCTGGGTATTTATCGGCGCGGGCGCAGGACGATAGCGGACATGAGGGCCGAGCAGATCCGGCGGGAAGGGGAGCGCAGGCGGAGAGCAAAGACGGAGAGCAGCGCCGTGTGAGGGCTGTTGCGCGCGGCATCTCGCACCGTCTGTTTTCGGCAAAGTTCCGAGTTTACACTCGAATTGGTACTGGATCATTCCATCATGGGCATACGCCTCTGTTGGCGGGTCTGGAGATCTGGCTTCCGGATAGGGAGGCCCCGGATCGGATATTTTTCTTCGGCCGAAGCAACATCGCCAGCAACATAGCATTTGGAAAGCGCCTCGGAGTTATTGGATGGTTTGGTTTTGCATAATGAAATTGGATACCCGAATTGGATAATACCTTGAATAGAGAGTTTTGACTTACAGTTGTTCAAAGGCAACACCACGCAGCGAAACGCCATGTGTGCCTCCGAGAAATGTGACAGCCGGGCAGAGCCCCGAAGACCGGAGAGAATGGCCGAGACTTGTGGGGTCAGAACAGGGCAGTCGTGCTGGGACAGGGCGCACGCCTTTGCTGCGGGGCAACGCATCAGAGGCCCGCACCGCTCCACTGGAGTGCGCTGGAGCTCGTCCCGACACCGGGGTTGGTCCAATCCAAACGACCGGCCGTGAACGAACCAGGCTTCATGCGATTAGCTACAGTACCTACATACCTTGACTACATCTGTGACTCTTCCAACCGAGACCCTGCGCGGACGGTCATCTTCTTGCACCCATCGACTGCACTAACGGGCCAATTCTTATCTATTTTATTCCCGCAGCACCAAGCTCAACTCTCGTTCCTTCTCCCCCAAGCAGCTCTTCTCCCCCCCTCCTCCGTATGTCCGCTGCAACCAGAACGCTCTTCAACACCCTCCGTCACATCGCCCCCTTTCCCGGCCTCAGCCGAAGCACATTCCGCAGCAGTACCATCCGGCACCGCGTCCCCGGGTCCTCGCTCCTCAGCCGCATCGTCACCAGCCCCGGCGCCGCCACCGCCGCAGTCAGGATGTCGTCGTCGACGGCCGCCGCCAAGCGCCTCCAGGGCAAGACGGTGCTCATCACGGGCGCCTCGTCGGGCATCGGCAAGAGCACGGCCCTCGAGTTCGCGCGCACGGCGCCGCAGAACGGCCTCAAGGTCGTCCTGACGGCGCGCCGCGTCGAGGCGCTCCGGGAGCTCGCGGCGCAGATCGACGAGGAGACGTCGGGCGGCGTCAAGGTCCTGCCCGTCCGGCTCGACATCAGCAAGCCGGACGAGGTGCGGGGGTTCGTCGGCGGCCTGCCCGAGGAGTTCCGGGACATCGACGTACTTGTCAACAATGCGTAGGTTTTTTTTTCTGTACTTGGGATCTTGGATTCTTTCTGAGCTGTGATACACACTGGCTCTCTAACAGCCACACCGCCCTACCTCCCTCCCATCTGGATTTAGCTGAGCAATAACACATACTAACCCCTGCGTTTTCTCAGCGGCCTCGTCAAGGGCGTCGACAAGGCACCCGAGATCAAGGAGGAGGACATCAACGTCATGTTTGCGACCAACGTCACGGGCCTCATCAACATGACGCAGCAGATCCTGCCCATCTTCCTCAAGAAGGGCTCCGAGGGCGGCGCCGGCGACATCATCAACGTCGGCAGCATCGCCGGCCGCGACCCGTACCCGGGCGGCAGCATCTACTGCGCGACCAAGGCCGCCGTGCGCAGCTTCACCGAGAGCCTGCGCAAGGAGCTCATCGCCACGCGCGTGAGGGTCATTGAGATCGACCCCGGCCAGGTCGAGACGGTAATGCCGCCTTTCTTTTCCTTCATCGCCTTGCCGCAGAGATCGGATGGCACTGACAAAGGGCAAATGCAGGAGTTCTCGGTCGTGCGGTTCTACGGTGACAAGTCCAAGGCCGATGCTGTCTATGCGTAAGTTTTCTTTTTGGCTCTTCCCAGAAGCACACGTGGACTTTCAGAGATCTGGTGACGGCTGATGGGACTCCAACAACAACAACAGGGGCTGCGACCCTCTTACGCCCGACGACATCGCAGAAGTCATTGTCTTTGCTGCCACCCGTCGCGAGAACGTTGTCATCGCCGACACTCTGATCTTCCCTCAGCACCAGGTGAGTGTTTGCGTCCCGACTTTTTGAAAATCAGGGGGAGAGAAAGTCCATTGTTCGCGTTGTTAACCGGAGGCACCAGGGCTCTGCCGGCATGGTCCACCGCAAGTCGAATCTTTAGAGTCTCGGATCTCTCGGCTCAGTCAGTCAGGGGGGAGGCATAGCATCGTGGGGAAGGCAATCGAGTAATTACCGATGGATAGAACGGCACTGCAAGAGTAACTTGGGCGAAATTTGTACCATACAAACACCGAGATAGAGAATGTCCATACAGACAGACCATGGAAGTCCATTATCTAAGCCCCCCCCCCCCACCCGTCTCGGCAATAGACGCTCGGGTCGTGGAGATGCGGTAGTTAGGTTGCATCTCAGCCCCTGCCTCAGGTGTCGCCTGCTTCGACCAAACTCGCCAATCGCAACCTCTGCTGGTCCCTGGGAGCCCACCGGCCGGGTCCAATGCAACGAGGCTGAGCAGTCGGAGAATATCGTATTCAGGTTGTTGGGTTTCCCCAGATCCCCTATGGCGATCCGAAACACCAAGGAGGTGAAATGCACGGCCGCCGTTTGTGTGGCCTTGTTTCAAGACGCAGAGATGCGATTGGTCGCCAGGTCGGCCAGGGGTTGGTTTCTTGAATCAACGTAGTTGCTCCCTCCCCCCTGGTCGCCTGCCACAATGCAAAACTTACGAAATGTTTTTCTGCATTCTGGCCAGTCGCATCAGTTTGTTTTCTGTTTTGAAAGGCGAGAGAGAGAAAAGCCTCCTTCAGCTCTAGCCTCCTCTGTCCCTCTCTTGTCTGACAGTCGCCGATGAGTGGGGTCTCCGCCCTTGAAACGATCACACAGGTTCTCTCCCCCTCCTCCCCTGCATTCTAAGAAGAACACACAACCAACAAGACCTCGACCTCGGTCGACCACAGTCAGTCCGAAACTCCCAGCTGCCAGATCTGCGCAACGAACTCTTTGACAATCTGACAAATGTGACAAGGTGACAATGTGATCCCAAGTCTATTAGTCTATCGAGGATATGCATAATCACACGTACCTCCTCCACGCCTTGCTCAGCACTGCCACTCTTTAAACCCAACGTCTCCTCCCCCCTCCCCCCCGAGGCAGCTTGGCAGTCCCGGCAAGACCGGGCTGCTGGTGCTGGGCACTAGCCTAGTTGCCTGCCCTGCGACAGATGCACTACCGTCATAAAGCAGCGCCAAGAGGTTTCCCTCCAGCGGCAGTTGCCTTGCGACACATGCAACACCCTCGCAAAGCACGCCAAGCTGTTTCTCAGGAGGCAGGCTGGCCAAGCACGCCCAGACGAGGATCGCCGCGAGGGATCCGCGTGATGTGTGCCTGCCCGCCCTCCACCCCATGCCGCTCGCGGGAGAGCGCTCAAGCTACCAGAGGATCCCCAAGGATCGCCTCCTGTTCCCTCCTGTGCCTCCTGCGGCGGCCAAGACCCAGGGGGGTTTTACCTGGGCAGCGGCCCCCCAGAGCAAGCAGAAGATCACCCGCACGGATGCAAACGCATCGCGATTGGCTCCTTGGGTGTCATGTCGATATCCGTTTTGATCTGGAAGTAGTATAGACTCGGTACGGGCGATGCTTCTCGAGGCGGAAGGGGAGGCATCCGGACGGTGTCCCGAAACTTGACGAGGCGCCTCAACAAAAGGCTCAAGCCTACCAGTGCTGTGCTGGGCATAACGTGAAACTTACACTCGTAGTCACCGGCATCGTTCCCTTCGACGTGAGGTTCCATGATGGACCTGCAGCCTTATGAGGAAAGAGGAGGGGGGGGGACAACACCCTTCATTCACGAGTATAAGAGGACCGCGAGTTCCCGGCCTCAACAGTCAACAATTCTCTCTCGACAGCAACAACTCCTCATCAACAAAGGCATCTCGTCCTCACTTCTCAACAGCAGCCTCATTTTCCATTCTCTCCTGCCGGACAGGTCTTGTTAATACTCTTTTGCACCTTACTCCCAGTCTTCTATATTCCCCTAGTTTTCTCAAGACTTGCGAAAAAAAAAGCCCAGCAACAATGCCTTCCATCACTTCCAGCCTTCTCTGGTCTGTCGCCAGCCTGCTCCTGGTCTCCGGACCCCAGGTCGTTTCGGCTCACGGTGCCATCATCTCGGCCACCGGCGACGCCGGCGGCAACGGCATGGCCCTGGGCATCGACTCGAGCACGCCCCGTGACGGCACGCGCCGCAACCCCTTCCAGCAGGACAGCACGCGCTTCCGAGGCGCCTCGGCCGACACCTTCGGAGAGACGCTCGGCGGAGGAAGCAACCAGGTCGAGGCCGGCACGCGTGCCATCATGGCCGAGACCGGCGACCAGCTCCCGCAGGTCTCGGCCGGAGGCCAGGTCAAGATGACCCTGCACCAGGTCAACGCCGACGGTGGCGGTCCTTACACTTGCATGATCAACGCCGACGCCACCGGCGCCGACTGGCAGGACATCTCCGTCACGACTACCCCTCCCGGCAGGAACTCCCGCAACAGGGTGAGTAACTGGGATCAAAAGTGTGCAAAAGGGAGACTCTGAGAAATATTTTGCTAATAAAAAACAATCTATCAGAACGGCGCTGCGACCGACTTCCCCCTTACCGCTGCTGTCCCCGCCAACCAGCAATGCTCAGGCACGGTGGCCGGCCAGAACAACGTCTGCCTCGTCCGATGCCAGAACGCAGCTCGCGCAGGACCTTTTGGAGGCGTTGTCCCCGTGCAGATGGCCAACACGACGACCGCGGCAGCCGCCCGACGCGCACTTGCGCAGACCATCAAGCGGAGCGAGATGCTTCTGGCCGCCAGGAAGATCAACCTCGCGGGCCTTGATGCAGATGAGATTGCCGAGCTGAAGGAGGATGGAGACATTTGAGAGATTTTTTTTCTTTCCTGCCTTCCTCCCCACCCTGTCTCCTGTACGAGATAGGACAGAGGTCAGACGACTCGGTCCGACGAAAAAGGGGCTTGTAATGTACATAGCAGCTTGGAGAAGACGAATTAGATGTGCAGGAGTAGGTGTGCGGTCCGGGTTCATCGCATCTCAGGAGCTCCGGCCGGGTCGGCGATCTTCCTGGGAGGCCTCACATTCCTTTCTGAACTTATATAGTTTCCGGATACTTTCCTAATATGAGGCTTTTTTTCTGTTGTTGTCTCCAATATCTGATTGCGCCGTATCGCAAGTTGAGGGATATTTTCCTGACCGGTGCCAATGTGCGGATAGGTGCGTCGAACAAGCTCCAAGGCCAAGAGGTGCTGAGCGAGCTTCGCCACTCCGGGAGGCTCGCCGCCTTGGCTCGACAGGTGATCTGCAGATTTGTTCATACAGGTTGATCCGGCATTGGCCAATGATGTCTGTGTGGGTGAGATGCTCCCTTCCAAAGACATGTGGTAGGGACGCAGACGTAATGACCAAACCTCGGCCAAGTGATGGTCAGATTAGTTGAACAACTGCTAACAGAAGTACCTGACTATCCACCAAGCCCATCGGTTTTAGGTAATGGCATAGCCCTTCTGAGTACCGGAGCAAGGGTATGCATTGTTCACATTGAGGTCTCTCCCGATGAGCTTCCGTCAACTATTCTGACCATCACTGGCTCGGCGTACAAGTCCCAAGGATTCAAATGTACGAGGTAGTTTCTCGGTAGCCCCGAGCCAGCGTCAGAGGACTACCGGGACCTATGCGGGAGGTGGTCCCTCGAGCCACCGGCGCGCGAGCGCGGGCCCTCGAGACCAGGCAGGCATGCATGTGTGCATTCGCTGCTCTAGCTTGCCAAGCTCGCATTGCAAACGCTACCGTATGTCTCGCAAGTCCCATCCGGGGTCGGGCCTGCAAGGTCTTGACACCATCCCCCAAAATATGCCGGAATGAATTGACGTGCTGATCGCCACTCGAGCTGTAATGAAAGTTGGACGGGGTCTTGGGGACGTCAGAGGATCTTTGCCTAGGCTTGTCTGGTAAGGCGAGATGATGCGTGACCACTGACAGATATTCCGGCGATCCTTGCCGAAAGGAGGCGAGGAATACCTCGTGGTAGGGCCTAGTCCTGAATCGCCTGAGCGAATTTGCTCGTCTCGTTTCGCAGCACTTACACAACAAGTTCATTTCCTGGTGAGTGTGATGGGCGGGAGGGGGACGGCCGGCGCTTTGGTGTGTAGTCACCTCGCTCGTCCTTTTCACGCAGAAGATGATGGTGGTGGCAGCTGACTGGCTGATAGGCCAATTTGCCTTTGAGTGGCTTGGAGGCCTGACGTCATTGGCCGTCCGTCGATGGGCAAAGTACATCCTGTGGGCGCGTACGAAGGGACGAATCCCCTCTTCTGCACCCACTGTGTTTGTCTGTCTTGTCAACCATGATAAAGGAAAGGTAGATTGCCAATCCTGCCTCCGTCGAAACCCTCCCATACGGCGGTGGATCTTGGTGAAGGCGGCCGTGTACGAGCAAGAAGAGTAGTGGAGGCCATGGAGCACGGAGCCTGGGTCCAGGTCTGCTTCGGCGTGAGCCATGATCCGTTTAGTTAGTTTACTAGAGCCGGTTCGCGGGGGGTCCTTGTTCTAGACATCGACACGTCTAATCTCGTGAAAAGCAAGTACCTTTGGTGCCTAATTGCTTGACACGCCCGAGAGGATGGAGACGGTGTCCTCGCGTCGGTCCTCATGAGCCACCCACCAGACCCCCAAGGCCAAGCAATTCAAGCGCTCTCGGCGGCCGATGAGGCAGTGCTTAAATCTATCTGCTTCTGGCCTAGCCGGGCGACGGCGGGGGAGGCGATGATGCTGATGATGATGGATGGATGGATGGCATGGGGGAAAGGGATGCACAAAGGATGGGACGCTAGCAGCGAGAGGGGAGGTGGGAAAGAGGCAGCAAGTGGAAGCGATGTACCCTGTCTTGCGCGCATCTGATTCGATCAGCGCCGTGCCATGAGATCAGGTGTATGTATGGATGGAGATACCGTCTCATTGATCTATCTCCAAAGTACCCTTTTTGCCCACCACTGTCCCTCTTTGTCAGCCCAGACCGTCGTCACGCTTGGTCACATCTCTCCTCGGCCACCCCCCCTCTCGAGGAATAAAAGGGTTCATCTCCCAGTCCTTCCTAAACTTTGCTCTCCCATCCTAGAAGCATACGGTTTTGCCTCTCACACACCTCGTTCTATCATCAAGCTTTACACAATATACAACAATATACAATCACCCTCTTACTGGCTAGTCCAAACCAAATCAACCAAACCAACACAATGACAGGTTAGTCAAGCAGATTCAATCCCATTCCCCTTCAGCAGCCCACTGGGCCGGCTACAGGGTGACTCCACCTAAGCTCCCAGCTACCTAGCAGGTAGCCCCAGAGGACCCTTTCCCCGGATTAACCCCAGCAAGCCCCCCCAACAACGAACGAATCACAACTAATAATGCTAACTAATGCCGTACAACATTAGACAAGACAGGCGCCACCACGATGCCCCAGGAGGCTCCCGGCCTGGCCAACCTGGCTCCTCCTCAGTCTCCGGAGACAAGAGACAGAAGGATGAGCGACGAATGGGGTGAGTTTATTTCTTTTTTTTCTTTTTTTTTTTTTTTTTTTTTATCTCGACCATCTGGTAAACCTAACACGGCTGGTCACTAACCAAATCAGACGCCTCCAAGGTCCCGCCGTCCCGTTTCCAGAAGCGCAAGGGCTCCATCTACTCGACGCCCAGCTCTAGAGACGGCCATGTCGACTCGAATTACGCCCAGAAATACCACGAAAAGCTGGCTGAAAAGGGCTATAACAAGCAGAAATAACCCCTGCTACTGAAAGGAGAATGACACGTCTTGCGGTAGTTGGTCTGCGTTCGCCAGCCTGTGTTATAGCTAGTGTTCTGTTTTAACCCTGATTTCTGGGCTTGTTCACAAATACACCACTTATACATGCAATGCATTGCCTCCATCTTCCTGCAGGTTCTCGTGTTTCTCCGCATTCCGTCTGCACACATGCTGGTTTCTATTGGGGGGAGCGAGTTATTTTGCTTGTCAATTTGTTCCATTTTAGTCGAGTTGCATAATGCAAAAATTGGTCTGTAACAAAGGGAAGCTGAAGAAATTTTCGTGACCGGTTTTTGACCAACGAACCCTGACCCCGACCGCGATGTGCCATATTCCAATGATGGCTCGTCCGAGAGACCGAGAGAGAAGAACAAAAGGAAAACAAAAAAAAAACAGGGGAGGAGATCCCTGAGGGAAAAAAAAACACAAAATGCTATGTACATGTCTAACCTGCCCAGCCTACGCCTTGCTCAATCGTCGTCCATATCATCAATGTCAATGGCATCCGGATTTGATGCCACGACCGGCTGCGGTGGTATATTCCCGCCCTTGGGTCCGTCGCTCGCAGCGACAAAACCCACCGGCGCCCGAGCCTGCCGCTCGAGCGCTGCCATGGCATCCGCAACCTCTGCATCCTCGTCGCCGGCTGCGCCTTCCTGTCCTTCCATCTGCTGTTGCTGCTGGCTTTTGGCCAGCGCCTGCGAGGCGATAAAGTTGACGTCCGTGTTGTACTTGGCCTGCACGCTGCGCTTGATCCGGAGCATCTCCTTGAAGGTGTCCTCGTTGCCGTGCTGCACCTCGAATTCGTGCCACTTGGACCAGAAGCCTGGGTTCGTACGGGGATCGCAGAACTGCGATGCGTGACCATAGATGGCACGAGCCCGGTCGATCTCTCCCAGGCGCTTCTCCATATCGGCAAACTTGAGGCACATGTCTCGGGCCTCCTCGTCTGGAAGCGCGGCAATGGCACGCTCGTAGATGGGCCGCGTCGACGGCATGCCAAAGTTCGATGCAGACTTGGTGATGTAGAAGTTGAACATGTCTGCGCGGTCCTCGTCTGACACTGCCCTTGTCGCTCTTTCGTAGATCCGCATGGCATGCCGTGCAAGGCCCCTCTCCTCCTCCAGGTTGCCGTACATGAGGTAGATGATCTTCGCAAATTTGGGTGGGCAGTCTTCCACAGCCTGCTCGAAGAGATCTCGTAACCTTTCAATGCCAATCTTGCGGTCGACCGCCTTTGTCAGGTACAGATTCCAGAGCTCAAAGGCGACCGGGTAGCTGAAGAGGTCGAGACCCCGCTCGTAGATCTTGAAGCACTCCTCGAAATATTCGTTCTCTTCCATCAGGTTCGCATAGTTGACGACAGTCTGAGGAGTAGCGATCCGAAGTTCAAAGATGCGCTCGTAAATCTTCTTGGTGTCTTCCAGAGAACCGCAACTCTCCACCAGATCAACATAGAAGCTCCAGAGCTTCCAGCTCTTGTGCACTCGTTGTTGAGGCGAAAGAGTCTCGTCAAAATAGTCGACCGTAGACCGCTTGGGTGCTTGTACTGCCTTGGCCATGATCCTCATGGCGTCGTCAAAGTTCTCGTTCCGCAGCTCCATCTCGGCCCATTCGATCCACATGTCGGCCAGCTCAGCAACCGAGCGGAAGGGAACCTTGACTGCCTTCTCCATGATGACCCTGGCATTCCGCAGGTCACCGCCACGTTCGTAGAACTTAGCATAGTTGGCCCACAGCTTGTGGAAGACGCCGACTGCTTTTTTCGGTTGAATAGCAGCAATGGCGTCCGTGTAGGTATTGACAACCTCCACGCTGTTGTCACCCCAGAGAGCCACACGCTTCTCCCATTCCGCCACGTTGTTAGGGTTCTGCCGCAGCAGGACGTCGTTGAGTAGGAACGGCCGCCTGTCCATCAAGTGTTCGAATCGCATCATTCTGATATCGAGGTCAAAATCGGCAGCCTCGTCGAGCACGCCCTTCTCGGCCCTTGCGGAGGCCATCTCCATCAACGCGCCAATGACCGACTCCTCGAACTCCGTGTAGGCGTCGAAGACCAGCGAAAAGTCCCGGACAGTCATCACTGTGGTGATACCCTCCTCGAAAATATCCCGTGCGCGCTCGAAGCTGCCTCTCCTAATCCAATATGTCGCCAGACCGGCCCACAGCTTTCCTCTCTGATCGGAAAACCTGTCAATGCCGCTCCTGATGATGCGCTCGACGTCGATACCCGATTCGTAGCCTGTCTCTACCTCGTTGGCGTGCTCGACAAGCACATCGACCATTTCGCTCCACAGCTCGTAGTGGCCCTTGCCATTTTTACTTTGGAAGCGAGGGTTGTTGAGGATGTCGATATACTTGTGAACAGCCTCCGTGAAGAGCCCAACATGGGTAAGGAGCTCGATGAAATCCTCGGCGTCCTCAGGGTGAACCTGCATGTACCGTCGCCAGATCTTGACTGCGGTATCGCCCGATGCAGAGTTGGCGAACGGCCGATACAGCGCCCATATTCGGTTGTGTTGGGTGATAGGGAGCGCCCGGAGCGCCCGATCGAACGTTCGCCGTGTCAGAGTGACCAGGGGTTGCTGCATGAGGAACTTCAGGTACATCTCCCATATCCGAGGCATCTTGTTCAGCAAGATCAATGCCCGCTCAAAGAGCGCGTTGACCTTGCGGAATTCATCGCCAAAGATTGCCGCGTTCAACTTGGCGACGTGCTTCGTTCTGAATCGGAGGTACTGTCCAGGGCATACATTAGCGAGCGCAAGAGAAACGCGAAGGGACATGATATACAACTTACCATCTTCCACAGCTTGTAAGAGCGCGGCAACTGGATGCACGCCCTCTCCATTACGAAGGCTTGCTCCTGCACGCTGCCATGCTGGGTCTTGAAGTCGATGTACGCGAGCCATGGCTTCGTGCTGCCTGGGTTCCGCTGGATGTCCTGCTCGTACACAAAGTCATCGTCGCTCTGATACCACAAACGATTAGCCAGTGAGCTCCCAACCGAGCTTGGAGGAGGAAAACGTACGACGAGGTGGAGGTCGGGCTGCCGGCCGGCGCCGTTGGACAGCAGCGTCGCAGGCATCGCGTGCGTGCGAACCTCGCCCACCAGTGAGGGAACGACGGGTCGATTGCAAGGCGCGGCGATCAAGTTGACGAGATGGACGTGAGAAACGCGTTGCTATACCATCACTGCTGCCCCGTGAGACTCGACGACGAGGTGAGGTCGCGACGGGTCTTGTATTTTCGCCTGGCTGGTCGCTTTTGCTTGCCGTCCCACTTTGAACCAGTCGCAGTCTAAATTTCCGCGCTGGCGTTGACGCCAAAAACTCGAAATTCATGCAAGGCTGCCAAGGTGCTAGAGTACTTTTCGGTACTTAGCTCTTTCCATAATATACGCATTGACTTGGCGTTATGACATAATAACGCTGGTAGTGTGAAGTACTGCAAGGACTGCGCGATAAGGTCCTCAAAGTGGGACCATCAGCAGTGCGGGCAGCTGTCGAAGCTCAGAACCACACCTGGCAATCAATACCAAGGACAACAGCTTGATCGCTATCGAGGAAACGGCCAGAAGCCATTCCATCCGGCCCAGAGTGAAGTGCGAGACTGTAGAGGCTGGGCTTTCTCGATCTATATTCTTTTTCTGAAGTGATCGGCTGGCCTTCTGTTAGGATCCAGCACCTTCATACCCGCCGGAGAGCATACCACCCCGATCGCTGATACAAGATGTCTGGAGCAGCTGTACGTTCTTCGGCCCAGCCTCGTCGAACTGACCCTCAAACATCTACTGACATACTCCTTTCTAGGATCGCGAGGCCGTGTTCCCTACCCGGCAGTCGCTGGGTATCATGAAGGCGAAGCTCAAGGGAGCTGAAACGGGGCACAGCTTGTTGAAGAGGAAGAGCGAGGCTCTCACAAAGTAAATCGAACCCACACCCTAATCCTTTGGCTTTGATCTCTTCACGATACTGACTGAATCTCATAACAGGCGATTCAGAGGTTCGAAATTCAGATACATGACTACGAAAGCCGTGCACTAACAGAACAACATCAGAGATCACGAGGCGCATCGACGAGGCAAAGCGCAAGATGGGCCGGGTTATGCAGATCGCGGCCTTCTCCTTGGCCGAGGTGACTTATGCCGTGGGTGGAGATATTGGATATCAAGTGCAAGAGTCGGCGCGCTCTGCTCGCTTCCGCATCCGTGCGAAGCAAGAGAACGTCTCCGGTGTGCTTCTGCCGGCGTTTGAGAGCTACCTGACCGAGGGCAACAACGACTTTGCCATGACCGGATTGGGCAAGGGTGGACAGCAAGTGCAGAGATGCAGGGAGACGTATGCTAGAGCCGTGGAAGCACTGGTAGAGCTTGCCAGTCTGCAGGTATGTTGTCCATGTTCAACAACGCGATCAGCCGCCGCTAACCAATGCAGACTGCCTTTGTCATTCTGGACGAGGTGATCAAGGTTGTCAACCGAAGAGGTATGTTTTGATCCCAATACCTCCATCGTGTATCGGATCACTAACTTGCAACATAGTGAACGCCATGTATGTGGTAGAGTGTGGCTTAATGTTCTTATTATCATTTACTAACCTGGAGCTAGCGAGCACGTCATTATCCCTCGCACAGAGAATACCATCAAATGTAAGCATGACATTATGCGGTATCCTTTCGCCTTGGTACTGACACTTTACGCAGATATTAACTCAGAGCTGGATGAGCTGGACCGAGAGGAGTTCTATCGACTGAAGAAGGTTGCTAATAAGAAGCAACGGGACAACGCCGCTGCAGATGAGGAGATGAAGGCTAAGCGGGAAGCACAAGCAGCCCAGGGCAAGGCGGCGGCACAGCAAGACGAGGACAATGCCCCGGCTGATATGTTGGCTGCGGACGAGGACGACGATGTCATCTTCTGAGGAGATTGCTCTGGCTGTAGAGTTAGTTCGTGAGATTGGGCAATATTTGACATGACCGAGCCCACTGTAGGAATCAATCACGAAGTGAGGAAGAGGCAATCGCCCGCTCTTTTGTAAATCCGCTATATCATAGCATTGTTGACCTGATCTCTAATGGCAAAGATATGATCAAATTACCTACCGAAGTTTTAAGACCCGAGACCGCCCCTGGCATAGCCCAAACTCCACTCCTGTCGCTTGTGAGAAGAACTATGAACGTTGATATGTAACCTTCATGATGTTGCCCGAGTCGCCCAAACTCATACCAGCAGTGTTCTCCTTCGCGGTGATAGCACCGGGCTCGGCGTCGTACTCGACGAAGGCGATGCCCCTCCTTCCAGGGACCAGACGCACCTCGCGGAACCCTTCGAAACGACCAAAGATGCCCGAGAGGGCCTCGACGTCGTAGTCGTCGGGCAGGTTCTGCACGAACAAGATCTTGTTGGGCGGGAGGTATTCGTCCGGCACGACGGCCGCGGCCGCGGGGCCGGTGGGCTTGAGGCCCGCGCCGCGCACGTTCTTGGCCGGGCGGCCGGCTTCGGGAGCGGCGCCGGGCGCCGGGCCGCGCTGCAGGCGCTTCTGCTCCTCCGCCGCCTCGAGGGCCTTCTTCTTGTCTGCATCGGAACAAAGTGGTGACTCGTCAGCTACCTGGCGTCTTTGCGCTTGTTCTCCCCGCACCCCCCCAGGGAGAGGAAAGGGGAAGAGACCGTACCTTTCTCCGCAATGCGACGCCTCTTATGCGTCTCAAACTCCTCTTCTGTGCCGTGCTTGAGAACCGCCGCGTCGCTCCTCGACCTCGCCAGGGCCAGGGCCATGGGCTTGTCAAAGATCTCGAAGCCCTGGACCTCCTCGACGGCGCGCTGCGCGGCCTCGGGCTCGTCAAAGACAATAAAGGCCTGGCCCTTGGCCTTGAGGTTGGTCTTGGCGACAATGTCGATGATGTTGCCGTACTCGGAGAAGATGGCGCGCAGGGCCTCCTTAAGGGGCTCGGGCTTGACGCGCTCCTCGAGGTTGCGCACGTAGACACTGCGCCTGGTTAGCCTTTCGAGGGTTCACGGGGTGCCTTGACCAACGGAACGCACGGTGTCGATGTGCAGTGACACGTACGTGGCGATGGGGGCGTTGGAAGCCATTTCTACTCTTCTTGTGTGACTCGTTTCCTGCTTTCCTTCCGTCTAGGGCGCTATCACTTCGTGCACTCTGCCCAATGGTGGAAGAATTGCAGAAGGATGAATCGGTCGGGAGAACAAGTTCTCAACTTTGTCAGCCTTGCAGTTCCGCCTGTCGTCGGTTTTTGAGCTACTGATGCGCACAGACCACCTCCTCACAGCTAGGCTCTCACAGCTCAGTTGATCGTCAGAACGCCATTCGGCAACAGTCAATTTATAACCTTGAATTTCAACGGCTTGTCAGGTAGACACGGAGGGGGGAAAAGGGACTAAGCATCTCTTTATCTATTCATTTTCGTGGTCTGAAACGATTTTTCTTATCTTCCAAATATTACAAAGTACCAAAAAAAAGGTACACGCGGACCTTCTATAGATGATTTATACACGCTCGCGGTCAATGCAATCTTGACATTGCCGCTGATGATCTCGCTCTCTGTCTAGCTATCCCTTCGCCTGTCCCATGCCAGTACTCCTGCCGATGCAGAGATAGTAGCATGCATTCAAGGGAGATCTATCCGATAGGTCGCCATGCAGATATCCACCCCTTTTGGGTCCAATCTACTCAGTCTGCTCCTTCGCATGCGCAGCAGTCGCCTCTTCACTCTCCACCGAGCTGGACTCCTCCTTCTGCTTCTCACCTGCCGGAGGTTCCTCCAGCGCAAGCTCGCTCTTGAGATCCGGCAAGAAGCGGTCGATCCTCTTCCAGGTCTCGGTCCACAACTTCTCTTTCGAGGGATCCTGGGACGGTGGCACCAGGTATCCGCTGCTCGACATGAACAAGAGGACGTTCTTGAGATTTTCAGGGACAGCTTCCTCCTATAACGGAATCTCAATCAGTATCACAGTCCGCATATGGTGATGACCCAACAGTATACTTACCAAGCTATCTCCTTGGCCGCTGTTCATGAGGCGATCCATGATGTCAATGATCTTCAGCCAAAGATCGAGCATGCCGTCCCATGATGAGAGTAGTACGAGGTACTGCAAGAATACTTTGCACAGCAGTGACGCTGCGTGCACTCTTGTCTCGCTCATTCCGTCCCTATCCGTCGAGTAGACCTCGGGCTTCAGGAGTCGGAGAATCAACGGAAAGAGAACCTCGCCAAAGATTGCAGTCCACTCGCTGTGGTCACTTGAGGTCAATTCGGGCGACAGAAGCGAGCTCTGCAACGATGAGAAAGCAAGATGTCGGACTTCACGACAAGGGTTGGTGCATTGGGTGGTCAGGGCTTGGAATATCGGAAGCCAGTATGCCGACCACGCTGTATGCGTTGTTAACCTTGTAACTGCAGCACGAGGGATAGTGTTACCAAGCATACCTTCCTTCGCCTCGAGATGAGACTGTTTCATGAGATGGGGAATGCGGGAGGTCATATTGTAAATGAGCTTCACGGCTTTGATGCCCCGTTGCACTGCACCGTTCTCGCTGCTTCTTGTTAGCTCGCCCGTCCGAATGCAGTGAGCCATCCATGAACGTACCTAGGCGTGTCAGGTTTTGAGGAAGGGCGGGGAGATCTCTTGGCTTTCCTATCCGGCTTCTGCTCTGCCACTGCGCCAACACTAGCAGCAGTCGCGAACTCGTTAAGCAGCGAAATGGCAGCTTCGTAGTTGTCCGCAAGGATGGCTGGAGGAGAGCCGCCGACCCCGCTCTCCAGGATTTCGAAGACTGTGGGAGCGGAATCTTCGTGGGAAGCAAGCGTGCCGAGTATCACCCAGAAGTCCGGCGAGGTCATTATCTCGCTTCGTAGAGGACCTGGCTCAGCAATACAGAGTTTGAGACCTTGCAAGACGAGCTTTGAGGTCTTCTTCAAATAGTCCTTGGAGAAGCTGGAGATGGTGTGCAGCAGGATAGGGGCGCGGATGAAGTCGTGTTCCTAGCATCATAATGTCAGCTCCTCGGCCCAGGACGTCACGTATCAAAGTACACTTACATAGGTGGCGCGTAGCAGCCTGAACAAGTAAAATGTTGCCCGCCCAATGAGAATTGAGTGATAGTGCGAGACATCCCGCAAGACCGCCTGAAGAGCCTCAATGACTTGCTTTCCAAGCTCCTCAGCCGTTGTCTCGTCCCTGAGGGCAAGCACGGTGCAGAATTCCAAGATGTAGACCACTGTCGGATCGTACTTGGCTTTCGCTGATGCTTTTTGTGGGGATGGAGTTGAGGTGGGTGGGTGGTTGTCTGCCTTGACTGAGATCACCGCCTCAGAACCATGATCATCCGGAATCTCCTCAAGCAGCGCTTGAACAAGAGCTTCGAGGCTTTCTCCGGTAAGGTTCCTATACTTTCTGTCAGTGTTGCTCAATCACACAAGCTTATTTCAAACGGCACGCTTACGCTACATTAGCAAACACATCTCCCATGTGACAGGCATTTACGCAGTCCACCGTGCAGAGCGTGCTCTCTAGCTCTTCATCAGATGGCTCAGGAGGATCATCCGCCGCATAACTTGAGATGTATGATGTGAAAGCGGAGAAAAATCCGCTCTCGTTCTGTTTCGCACTCCGGTCGATGACCTGGTTGGGGGTCTGTAGCGGGATCGCAGGAAGGGATACCCGTGCAGGGTCGGTGGAGAAGAAAGGCGGGATCAGTGAGTTGACGAAGAGGTTGAGCCATATGCGAATGATGTATTTCCAGCTCTTGCGGATGATGTGCTCATTTCGAGTAACAACTCGGAAGAGCACCAAAGTCGCAAGCTGGGCCCTGAAATCCCTGCCTAGCTTGACAGCCAGCTCACTAACCATGACACTGTTGCCATCGACTTGCACCTCCGTGTTAAGGTTGGTGTTTGCGAGTGTATCGTTGGCGATTGTGGTCATGTGGCTGAGACAGTAGATGATCTGGTCAAGGGCCTCGGTGTTCCCATACTTTGCGGCGATCTGAGCACACTCGTCGAACCCTTGAACGATGCGACCGAAGACGGTATCGTCAGTGGCAGACATGAAGACATAGGACAGAGTTGCGATAATAGGCTTCCATGTTGTCGCAAACATGTCTGCATCGTAGATGTTGGTGTCACAAGTAATCAGCGGCCCAGTCGACTCTGTCTTGAGCAGCAGTTCGCGCCATGCGTAGTCGAATGCATGTTTGTTATCATGCTCGTCCGGAAGAATGATCTCGTTGGTCTTGATAGTGTTGTAGATGGCTTCAAGGTACTCGGGAGCGAAGTCTTTGCCAGCATTGACTCCGCGCAGATTCCGAGAGAAATCAGTCAAGGTCATCCGCTTTTCTGGCTTGAGATTTGGGTTGTGCTGGTCGGTATTCAAGAGAACGATTGCATAGATGAGCACGAATGCAGCGTCCTTGTCAGCAATCTCTTCCGGCATCGCAATGGCGCAATACCTCTCCGAGAAGGAGGTAATGATTCTCTCAATCAGAGCGGATTCACCGGGCAAGCGGAAACTCTCCAGGACGGCCCGGAGCGCTTCGTCAACACGCTTGCTGCCGAAATCAAAGAAGTCCATAAACGCCTCTAGGATAGGCTCGTTACCCTTTTTGGACAAGAAGTCACCAAGCATCTTCTTGGATAATCTGGATGTGCCCCTGAGGAAACGGGCAACCGTCCTGGGGTCCTTCAAGTCGGAGATAATGCCCTTTTCATGCAAATATGCAAGCCCCCCTTTAGGGTTCTCGTTGAACTTGTTGGCACCCTTGACAATCACCTTCTTCCTCGCGCGTGCTTCTCGCAGAGCCTTGGGGTCTGGCAAGCCGTCAAGGACAGGCTTTTGGTCTATCCTCTCTGCGATGAATTGGATGAAGCGCAACAAGGCATCGAGGCACAGCGGCGGAACACTAGTTGTGCTCCACGTTGCGGAATCAGGGAGGGCGTTGCGCGACAACAAGCCGATCATGTCCTCGCAAAGATCCGCTCGATCGGTGTCACAGTCATAATTGACGAACAGTTCGACCATGAATGTGGGCATCCTCGCAAGCACACCTATGTTCTCTACCATGGCTTGTCTCGCGTCCGGCTTCCTAGCGCCACCCTCTAAACCTAGCTTCTGGCGGTCTTTGACAGGAACTGGGGTAGAGCGGCCACTGCTCGCCTGAGATGGCGGGGGCTTTATCAACTTGGGAGACTGGGGGATGCCGGCGTAGAGGGAGGGATCAATGTTGGCCTCCCTAGGGATCTCGACCGCTGGGTGGAGGCAGGAGATCAGGTACGCCAGGTAGAGCTCCTGCTGCAGCTTCAAGACGCCGCGGCAGGTCGATAGCAATGTCGACGCCACGACCAAGGATTCTTGGAGAATGGCCATGTTGTCAGAGCGCACCAGTTGGAAAAGATAGCAGCACAAACGGTCTTCTGCAACTGTGGCCAGCGCCGGGTGCCTGGCGATCGAAGGGCCGGCAACCTCGAGGGCCACATGGATGATGCGAAGGGCCATCACCCGCATCGTGTCAGGATATTTTCGCTCATTCGGATCCAAGAAGTTGACCAAGACGCGGAATAGCTCCCGGACAGAGGGAAGCGAGTAGGGTTTGAGATCGATCGAGTCGGAGCTGTCTGTGCTGGCACTCGTGCTCTGTCTGCTAGCCGCCTCCTCGCCAGTCTCAGTTGACGTCCTCTCGGCAGGTTCAGCAGCCGTGTCGGGTGCATTGTCAGTCTCATTGGAAGAAGACCCATCGCTGCTGTTTGCCTCTCCGCTCGTTGATGGCCGCGGAGTGTCTCGAGGAGTAGGGGGCTCTGGCGTTGCGGGGACGTCGGTGCCGTTTGCAGCCGGGTCCATTGTCACATTGTCCATATCCCCGTTGGTCTTCTTGTCCAACGCCTCGGGATCATCACCAGCCTCCTCCTCAAGGTGCTTCAAATCCTCAAAGATGATCTGGCACATCCGCACCATAGAAGCTTCGGCGGTTCTCCGAAGAACCTCGGTGAACCTGGGCCGGGAGCATATAGTCAAGCCCCGGCCCATCATGTCGCAAACACTTTCGTCGCTGAGTATATCGCCCCCGGGTCCGGACATCATGTCCTCCATCAAGTGTAAGATCATCAACAGAACAACCTCCTCCTGCGTGGAATCGCTAATGTCGAATTGGCAGTGTGTGATGGCCTGCGCTAGAGATTGCATCGCCAGGGCAAAGCGTGGGGATTCAGGGCTCAGGAAACCATAAGCGAGGAACTTGCGGATTGCTCGAAGCGCAAGCACCGTGATCGGCGCAGTAATCCCCTTGGACTGAATGATCTGGAGGAAGGGATAGAGGAGCATCAGGGAATCGAACTTGTGGATATCTGTAACAATTAGCATTTGTACGTCCCAGACAGCTGCCCAAGCCCCATCCCATCATTCGTTCTTACCTTTGACTCCAGTCAATTCGTGTCGCAGTCTGCCGAACCCCGAGATCAGCGGGTTGTCCACCATACTCTTGCCCTTCTTGCCCCGGAGACCCCATCTATTTGTCGGTCCAAAGTCGCTCGAAGCCTCGGCCGGTAGGCTTGCTGCGGAAGCGCTCTTTCGGCTACTGTTCAAGGCCGGGCTAGGAGGGCCTAGCTGCACCGGATTGGGCGTGCCGCCGAGGATCGCAGAGACAGAAGAATGCGGCGAACGAGCATGCTTCTGAATGGCTGAAGTAATGGCGATACATTCAGATATGACGAGAGAAACAGGGTCTACAGCCACTGTGACTGGGCGATTTCGATATTGCATGCGAGAGGACTGCAGTGCTCTGCGGGGAAGAGGCGTCCCTGGCGCAGAGAGCCCCGAGGAGGAAAGCGGCTCCATGATGCGCGGAACTGGCGCATCTCGGCTCATTCTTGTAGGAATCGATGCAAGCTATGCAATCCCAAGGCCGCAACTGGGGGTGCCAATGTCGAGCCCCTCTGGATGTATGGTCAAAGTCGGGCACTCGAACGCGGGCGCGACGAGGGAAGACAGGAAGGGCGTGCACCCAGAAAGGCCAGCCAGTCCAGTGCAGGTCTCAAAGAGCTGCCTATGACAGATCTCTCAGGTCGGCTTGGTCAAGTCCACCTTGTTCAGCTGGTGGTGATCTGTTCAGTTCAGCGCGCTTCGAAATAAAACCAAGGCTGAACTTTGTCCTTAACTTGACGGGAATGGATTGATGGATGTCTTTAGGACACTTGGAGCTACTGCACAGAAGACCTGCTAAAGTGACGTCCCTGGTCCACTAAGATGAACGTGGAGGCCCACTAGCGCGGCCAGCCTGTCCCGGGTCAACAACGGCACGCTTCCATTTTCTTTAACCCCCAAAGAATTTACTCCGTAAACAGGGGTTATTAATCTTGGTAGGCTGGGCTTGAGAACGACTTTCAAGTTGCTCGCAAGGGACTTGTTAGGTGTGCACCTACTCGCAATGAGTGAGTAGGCTCTGCAGAGGTCACAATTTGACTTGTCAAGACGCATGCAAAGACAACATGTGGCGGTCATGCAGAGTGTATATGTCATTTCATGTCCTGAACACCACAAACGCCCCTCCTCCAGGTCTTCCACCTCTGCGGCTGTAGTGCAAATCGGACTTCTAAAGTACAGTATTATTTCTCCCTTTTTTGCTAGTCTCCCTCCCAGTGTAGTGTAGTTAGATGGCCGTCCAACGCCATGGAGGTGGTTGGGGCTTCCTTGCCTTCCACCTGCCCCTATGCTGCAGTCCCATAGCTGTCAAAAGGAATAAATAGGGAATATGCGGGTAAATATTTCCAATCGGGATCAGAAATTGTGCGAGCGGAGCTGAGGTTCGTGTACCGCAGCCCGAGACCAGACATAGCTGGAACGATCGGCGGGATCATTGCGCCTCCGCCCGTTGGACCTTGGCCGCCTTGGCCTCCGCTGCGGCACCTTCGGCCTTGACAGCAGCTCCAGCTGCCTCCTTGACGTCGGCATCCTTGGAAGCGCCGCTGCCACCACTCGACTTCTTGTCGTTCAGGGCAATGTTTTGCATGGCAGCCTTGTCGGTCTCCCACTGGCTGTTGGTGTCTCCAAAGGCATCCTTGATTTTTTGTGCCTTCTCCGCCTTCTCTCTCTCCTCAGCTTCACGGGCGAGCCGCTCCTGCTCCATCTCCTGTTCAACAAGTGTCAGTAAAGACGTCATGCTAAAGAACTTTATCAATCGCTTCGTCATACCTCCATGTGTTTGATATCGTCCACACTCGGCTCGTACAGATGCCAAATAGTGTAGTGGGGCAAGCCGACGACAGAGAATCCCATGCGTTTCGACATCTAAACACAATCATCAGTCCCAAAGTGCCGCTAGAAGTGGGGGGGATAGTCATCAACTACCTTTCCAAATCCTTCTGTCTCGGCGTGCTTCTCAAAGCTGAAAGCCGGGAAGTGGACACCGTAGCGGAAAACTCGGGCTTTGGCCAAGATACTGACGCCTCCAACACCATCAATCTCCATCTCCATATCCGGGTCGCCATAGGGGTCGCGCAGGTAGGCAAGATGAGGTCGCCATGTCGCATACTCGGCATAGCCCTCGACAATGACAGCATCCTCATCCAAGGTGTCGGCTAACGCGAGAGCCGTCTCGGATTCTTGCCACGAGTTCAAGTCGTAAGGCTGTTCGCCGCCCAACCAGTCTGGGAGCGGGCGCCAAACATCTGCATGGAGTCAGCAATCCATCATCGCCCTCTGCGCGCTAAATGGGGAGGGCCGGCTTACTGGGCACAATAACGTCCTTGTTGTGGCGCATGAGATCCTCCAGAATAGTGAACGGTGCTGTTTCCACGTCAACATCACGCCAGTAGACCCAAGAGTGATAGGGTCGTAGCGCGGCACTGAGCAGCCAGTTTCTGGCCTGGGCCATGAGCTTTCTCCGGCTGGCTTGGGCAGCAAATCCGTGACGGCTTTCGACGTCCTGGTTGACCTTTTGACCGAAATCCTTCTCGATGATTGAGATCTCGCCGTAGTGTTGTGCCTCGTCGTCAGATGCCTGGATGGCTTCCAGGTTGTCCAACAGAACCTGGAGAGTGTTGTCCTTGGAGTCGGAAACAAGGAAGGCGAGGTCGATGAGATGATGCGGGTAGGTGAAGTTCTTGAGATGCGAGAAGAACATGCCAAGATGGGCCTCAGCATCACGCAGTGGGACGCAAAGGAGAATGCGTTCCTCCCGTTCCCAGCCCCGTGCAGTGCCCTGGACATTAGACAGGTCGAAATACCGCACAGTCTCGAGATCGATGGTATCCCCGGAGGAGAAGAGGCCCAGAGAAAGAAGTGGTATGAAGGAGGCACCAGGCCAGACGAAGAAGCCAAAGAGTAAGACCACGGCGATGATCGCAAGGCGGGTCAGTAATTTTCGTCGTCGCCGTAAGGAGGCCGGCGTTGCTCGGGGTTGGTATCTGTCATGCAAGTAGCCGCCAAGGCCAGAAGTCAGTCAAAATGTTCCGAGGGCTCGGTGAGCGAGACGATACATGTAATGCCAGTTCGGGCCGACAGCGAGGGCGAGATGCGTACCTGTGAGGGGAGAACTCGAGCGTGTTGGATGATCGCGGGTAGCCATTGGAATATCCAGCAGCTTGATGTCTGGGAGTCACCTTGGACCCGGTCGACGTGAATGAAGGCAGCATGTTGACGGCAGTGGCGGGTGCAAAGTCGCTGGATTGCGATTCTGACTTTCCCAAAGATTGGCTCCAGGCCTCCTGGCAGCCACCCCTGACAAGCTTGCGCAGATTCGGACGCGCGCAAAGATGGCGAGTGAGGAGGAGGAAGAAGAGGACGAAGGAAAAGATGGGCGACCTAGACAATCGAGGAGCCGCTCGCTCAAAACATAGTCGAAAGCCGGGAGTCAAGACCTTCGATAGGGGAGGGCCAAGCGGACTGGTGTTTGGTTGCACGGGGATAATTTAAAAAGGTGTCTTGAGGAGTGAAATTGACGTTCTTCTGATGGAGACGAGCCGGATGGCTTAGCACTGCCAGCAGGTCCCCCAAAAAAGCGTGCTCAGGTCCAATGGGCCAAGCTTTCTTGATGCTCCCTTTTTCGCAGCTGCTTGGCGTTACCTGGCTTGACCCTAGCGCGACTTTCCGCGCCGCCAGTGAAAAGTCGAATTCCAGGAAATTGCCATACACTTTACGGAGCGCAATACCTGTCCTTTGGGTACCTCAGCCCTCCATGTCTCACTGCCGAAGTACCTTTGCCAGCGATAACAGCATCAACAGCACCGTACAGTGCAGTTCACACACGTGTAGATAAGGACTCAGGAGACGGGGCACGCTCTCTCCCTGTCGGCTCCAGGGCCACCAGGGCCAGTCTCAGTCTGGTGTCCCTCGTATATCAGCCCCCTATCCCTTCCATTCCTCCTGCCTGCCGATGCACTTGCGGACACTATTTTAGCTGCAATACGAGCGGCTGTCACATTCTTCAAGGTGCTCATCACTTCTGCAGATAGGTACAGCCAGTTACTGCCAAGGATGATGACCAGATCCATGTTCACAAGGTCAAGATTGATTGATCACCCAATTTTCTAGCAAGTGAACGTATATTGAGGGCAGGCAAAAAGAGTCCTGGGTACTACAAGCAAGGTCTGCGGGTCAAGATTTCAAACACTCCCCCCCATCACGGCTTGCTAGATTTCCTGCATTGGCGGCATCTGGTACAGCACAGCCGGAACACCTACCTGAAGCCACGGTTCGTTGTCGGATATTTCGGATATTGCATGTGGACTGAACAGGCCGGGACAGTACAAGTACTGCCAAGGTGTATCAACGATTCTAGTCAGTATTCGGGGATCACAGTCGAGCCTGTGTACCAGGTTAGCGGAGAACACCCAGCGATGGTCAAAAGAGCGAAAGCGTGTTTCGACGAAGAATCAGACAAGCCGGTTAATTCAGCTATACTGGCCGTCACAGAGTCGCCACGCGCCAATACGACACATGGCGATTCTGCGCACTGGAGCCAAATGACAGGCCAAGAGGCCCAACTCCACAACTCATCATTGCAGGCCGAAGACTGCTCGAGTGCGGGAGAATGGCTTGGCGAGTATGTATCATTGAATGGATAAGCTGTGGTCATCATAAAGGTGCGAGAGAGCAAAAGAGAAAAGGCTGAGAAGCTTACCATACTACAAGATCGAATGTGCCTTGGCGATATTCGACAGAGTACCCAAGACTCCTACTCCTGTCTGTCCTATGGCAGCATGTCAGCGTTGTTGCCAAGCAAGCACAAAGGCAAGATGAACGAGCAGAAATGATTTGCATGTGATCAGATGTTGTTTTTGGTATAAGGTGTGTCTTCAAGAATTCTCAGAAGCAGAACTGAAATAAGGTGTATCATCATCGACAGCAAAAAGAAAGAAAGGGACCATTTGATACATACCCTTGAGAACAGAGGAGGGCGATTCGATGTTTCACCTAACATGGGTCGGATACTATGAATAATTAGCAAGTGATCTCTCCGGGCAAGTCAGTTTGCAAAGGAGAACAAATGTTGAAAGCTTCAGATGGTAGTGCATGTTGGTTCGTTCGCTCAGGTGATCGCGAGAACTGTGGATATGGTTTCATCAACAGCCCTGCTTTGGGTGCTGAATGCTGGAAAGGAAAGGAAATCGTGGACATACTTTACCTGAGAATATGACAAATCCTGTGATGTACAAGTCCATGCTGTGACAAATTGTACTGGACCTTGCCACAGGTCCTCGGCGGCAATTGAGGACCGGCAAACTGTGACAGCGGTCGCAACATCGCAGCTGGGACAAGCAGACGACAGCGAGGACCAGGCAATCACCAGTCCCAAGGCATTGCCAGAGCTCCGGTATCCCAAGACGACTCCATCTCCTGCACAATCGGTAGAATTCGTAGGATGGAGGCCCTGCTCGTATTTGGTAGAAATTTTGCAGGATGGAGGTTTGCAGGAAATGAAATTTGCGAGAAAAGTGCAGGCGCTGGTCACATGTAGAGTGGAGCAGTGCTCTGCTTTTAGTGCGTTTTGCTTGGCTAGTGGGGGCTGGTTGCAAAAACAATGGCTGTTGAAGCATCAAGCCCGTCTAAGAATGAAAAGACGCTGATGAGCGGCTCATCTTCAACTCAGACCATTAGATGCGAACAACACACAAGAAATCATTGATCTTCTGTCATTCATAAGAGGTCACTAATCATTCTCGCCATACTTCTGGCAGCAAATTCGAAGTGCAAAGCCAGTTTTCGCAAGGCCCTAAAGTTCGCTACATTCTTACCCTAAAGTTCAACCGAAGAAGCCTCGTCGACAGCTGAAGGGATAAGCCTTGACAGCACAAAAGCCCAGCCTGTTGCTCACTGACCGTGCGTCTCTTCGGGCATCATGGCTGATAGGCGGCGGATCAACGGTCCTGTTGGGGCAACTTTGCCCCCAGTCTTCCTAAGTGACGAGTCCGCCCAGGCAAAGGCTTTTGTTACCCAGAGATCCCGACCAGCCAATACCACCAGAAGGATATGTGAGTATTCCAGAATCCATTGACCCCTCACCTGCGTTCCGACTTCTCTAATCAGACATACATGACAGATCTCCAGACTGGCATCACCCCGTCAGCCTCAGGTTCTGCCTACCTTGAAGTGGCATCAGCTGGCCCGTCAGGAGCGTCAGGACTCAAGCTCAGTTGCACTGTACATGGACCTCGTGCACTGCCGAGATCAACTCCCTTCTCACCTCACATCATTCTCTCCACCCACGTCAAGTATGCACCATTTGCCACAAAACAAAGGCGAGGCTATCTCCGAGATTCAACAGAGAGGGATCTATCTATCCACCTTGAGACCGCACTCCGTGGTGTCATTATTGCGGATAGATGGCCCAAGAGCGGCGTCGATATCATTATATCGGTTCTCGAAGGAGACCAAGACCGTGCTGTGCCACAGGATCAGGACGAGGAGATCTGGGGGATGATGAACGTACTTGCCGGCTGTGTGACAGTTGCATCAGCAGCCTTGGCAGATGCCGGAATCGATTGCGTCGACACGGTCACTGGCGGTGTAGCTGCCGTCGTTGCCGATAAGTCAGCGGAGGAGAACGCGGCTACGATTGTTCTTGATCCCGTCCCCTCGGATCATGAGCAGATCCTAGCCGCCTGCTGCATCGCCTATCTACCGACCCGCGATGAGGTTACGAATCTCTGGTTCAAGGGAGATCTACCGGCCTCAGACACTACTCAGTATACTCAGCTGGTTGAACAAGCCATCCAAGCTTCCAGGCACGCCAACCGGGTTCTGGCGGGCTCATTGAAAGAGACTATTGCAAGAGATGGTTGAGGAAGTGTTCAGGAGGACACAGATGGCCTTTGCCTCACAGATAAGCTTTGAGTGATTCGGGATATGTTCCTCGCAGCTAGTCCAGCGCAGGGCATACAAGTAGTTCAACTTCGTACTGTTACTCGCGGAGAAAGTAGCCTATGTGTGGTGATGTTAAACGGCACATAGCTTCGTCCGAGGAACATCAGGGACGAGCGAGGTTTTCATAAGAACTAGAAGGATATTAATACTACTACCATGAAAGGAACACAAAAGAACAAAAAGGCATTCATACACAGGTGCTTAAGGCGTGTTTAAGACACACTGGAGGTGATGTATGGTCAAAATAAAACTGGGGAAACCGATATACACTGGCAAAAAATACAGGTCTATGCAAGACTCGAACTTGCGACTTGGGAAGTCTAGAATCAAAATCCCACGTGCTCGACCACTACACTAATAGACCTTTCTGACCAATGCGTGCACGAAACAGTGACAGGCCGGGTGCCTAACTCGCTTTATTAAGGTGATTGGGGGCGTATGGGCTTAGGGCCCGAGATATGGCATTTGATCGCCATGCTAAACCTGATGTACAGGCCCCGGCAAGCCCGAGCTCACAGGCCTGATACGCCTCTGTATGTTACTAAGTATCTGTAGCCTCTGACGGATCTATCTATGGACAGCCAAGTTTTGCGAGATTTTCCCCCAGAGCATATATCAATCGTGGCATGATATACCATGAACATCAACTGGCTAAATACCTAGGTAAAGGAGGTAGAGAAGGGAAGCATTGAAGTCTCAGGTAGTTCTTGCCTTGCTGAAGTAGCAAAGATCAGACGGTATGCCCTAGGGTGCTTCTGTAGCGGGCCACTAGGCATGTTCCTTTAACTATTGGCGCCTAAAGTGGAAATGACAGTAGGTTTCTGAGCACTAAAGGTTTTTAGTACCCACTGTCAGGTAGATAAGTTTAGTTAGAGCTTAGAATGTCCACTCCATCTCAGAGAGTTTGTATATCTTGATATAGAAGCTATCGCTGAACATATTGTAGCTTACACAACTATTGTTTAGCTCTAGAAGAGACTTAAGACTACATAGTGACCCTTATAGACATTGCACCTAGCAACAGATGCAGACGAACAGACAGGGAGCTTAGGACTTGAATCTGCATATCTATAAGTCTGCCTTGAGCCAATTTCGGGAGACACTGCCTGAGCGGAGGGCGTGCCTATGGCTGTGCTCACTAGGGCTTTCTTCCCTACATGCTGCCAGGCCTGAGTGGTCGACATCACCGTCATACAGCTAAATCATACACTTCAAAATTCCCACTGAGGTATCTAGGAAGAGCTCACCAGATCCATGTCATTGTTAATCACTACATACAATCCCTAATCAGCTGTGAAGATTTCTACCACCTACCACAGAGGTCGAGAGCCAGTAAGCTCCACTGGCATGCACTGTCCAATCCTAATCGACATAACCCCAACCCGGCCTGCATTACTATTCCCTATTCCAGCACAAAGAGATCCATGATGATCTGGGTCATCCTGAAGAGCTTCTTGGTGTCCACGTCGGCACGGTGATGCCGTGCGTTGAGATGAGAGTCGGGAAACACGGAGCTGTAGAGCGGCCGTAGGGCCACGCTACTGACGAGACCGAGCTCCCTCCAGGGCCGGGGTCCCAGCAGCGACTGGCGTGGCGAATGCTCGTTGCCGAATGTCGACTTCATCGCCTGCAAGTCGAACCCTCCAAGCGACCACTCGGCTATGACCGCAGACGGAGATACGCCTATGCGCGCCAGCTCTTGACGTGTTTCTGCCACCGATAGGCCGATCGGTGTGCATAACATCAGGTCACCCCTCGCCGAGACGATCGCGACCTCGCACACCGTGAAGCGGCGATTCTGATAGTCGTACACCGACTCGGTGTCCACAAAGAGTACTGAAGCTCCGGGCTCGCCCTTTAGGGCGTCACCTCCCATAGCCTGCTTGACGGCCCGCCAAGCAGTCGCCGGCAGCCGCCGCGAGGGCGTGCGCGTGAGGAAGTCGTTCACCACGGCCGGCGAGGGGCCCTTGCGGAACTCTGCTCGGTGGTTGATGCGTGTGATCTGTTCGGCATGGAAACGGCAGTGCCAGAGGGCGGAAACGGGTTGACGACAGCCCCTCCCGCGGCATAGGTGGACACCACTCGGCGTGTCCTTGGACTCCTCGTCTTCCTCGTCATACCCCTCTCCGTAGTCACCTGGGACGCCCGCAACAAAGAGCTGGGGCAGCTCGGCGCCCGCGAGCAGGGGCAAGGAGATGGCCTCGTCCGGAACAGCATCAGGCATCTCTCCGGGCACGCCACCCAGTGTCAAGCCATGGTTGCGATACCAGCGAACAGCAATGATGGACAGATCTGGCGGGCCAGCCTGCTCACCAAGCCACAGCGGGTCGGCGACGATACCACAGGTATGTGTCTTAAGGGCGTTGCGCAAGAAGAAATTACCGCAACCGGCAGAGCAATGCACAGGCCTCTTGCGTCGACACGAGTTGAAGGTCTGCCGCCGGCTTCCCTTGCAGCGCTTCACGTGCCTGGTGATCACAGAGGGGCCGAACCCGGCTACATGACACTCTGGGCAGACGTATGTCCTGTAGCGGTCAGATGTGATCTTGTCCCCGTTGCACTTGGCAGAGTGCTATGCAGCACTCGTGCTTGTGCGGAACTGGAGGCCACTGCCCCTGAGACAGGGCAGGCTACGGCCGTCAACGAGGAAGGGACCCCGGCAGGTCCTCTGGCGGGTTTCGGGGCAGCTGTGCAGGCAGAGGCACCTCGCATAGCGCTGGATCCCGTCAAAATTGTAGACGGCAGCACGGGAGCTGCGCTCGGCCTTGCACGGGCTGAGGATGTCGTAGTGTGAGCCATACGGCAGTATTGTCGTGGAGTTCTGCGCGGTGGCACCCATGACGACGGCCGGGGCTTGAAGGGCAGGCAGCCTGAATCTGGCAGAGACGACGGCCACTCGCTGTCAAGCGCACCGAGAGGGAGATGGACCGATGGCACTTTGGCGAGCGCGCCGCCTTTGTCTGCGTCCCGGGGGAGCCGCGGGCACATATGCGATTCCTCTATGGCGCAAATACAAAGCCAGGGCCATATCGTAGGCCAACCAGATCGTCTCCAGAAGCCCATCCTCTTGCACCTCGGGGTGCACCAGTGGCTGGCTTCGGGCGATCCCATCGTCTTTGTCCTGGTGGGGCAGCATGCGATCTCTGTACAGCGCCGCGGTCCGATGTCGATACATAGCTGCATGCAAGCCGCTGCCGCCGCGGCAAGCAGGTTCGTGATGGTATGGCATGGATAGGAGGCTGCAGTTTGTGACCGAAATATTGTTTGTCAGACATGACCATACATCATAGACAACGACATATATACATGTCTAATGTTTGTTGTGCTACAATCATTCTGCGAGGTCAAGTGAGTCGCTTTGTTGTTGCTGTTTTGTGTTTGCCCTCGTCGTTTTGTTATCGCTTTGTTTGGAAAGCATGTTCTGGTTGCTGTTCAGAGCAGAACTGTCTGACTTAAAAGCAGTCCAGCGCTCCTCTCAGTCCCCAGTCATAGAGGTCCTGACAGCTTGAGCATACCCTGTTCTATCCTCTCTATCAAATTTCCTCTCGTTGTCCATCAGAGCAACCATCCTCCCCACACATCTATTCTGTCTTCCCAGCATTGCTATTTGCCACTCGGGCTACATCGTCATTACTGCTGCCGTCATCGCCATCGCTCTGCCACAATGTCTAACTCCGATGAGCCTACTCCTGACAGCATTAGAGTGCCACGGCAGGATCCAGACGACAAGAGGGTGGCGCCTGTCGCTCAGCATCGAGAGGACGCTGCCCTCCGCGACATTCTGCAGATGGAAGACACGTCTGCTTCCTCTGATCGCAGCCAGGAAGACAGCGGTAGGAAGCGTCGCCGCGAAAAGCCCCAACCTATCGACACTGATCTTAGGGCACGCGGTGGCACTGAGAAGCGGCGCCGCAACGACCAAGAGTCCACTCTCCCGTACAAAAGGAACAGGCCCGGTATCGAGGCCGACGTGATGGGCTCTTTCGTCGATATGCTGGGTTCCTTATCGCCCAGGTTGATCACGGCCTGTCGCCCAGACCTCTATATAGCGGCCAGACATGCCGAGGCCACCAATGCCTTGCTCAAGGACCTCTACTACACCGGAAACGTGACCCTCGAAACCCTGAGGCAGTCGGCCCCGAGCCTCGCTATCACCACTCTGACGGCCGACCTCGACATCCTGACCAAGAATCTGGCTGACTCGTCCGCTCTTGCCCAGAGGTACATTCAGCAGGCCTCGGCTCGAGCCGGCTACTATCCGTCAGCCTCGAACGGCATATCCGAGGCTACCACCATCTCTGACGACTTTGTCCGCATGACCAAGCTCATGACAGACTCGCTCAGCAAGGTCGCCACTCTGCATAAGATCACGGCGGATATTTGTAAAGTGCAGGCACAGGCCAGGTGCGTCGAGAACTTTGTTGCCTACATTGGCAAAGCTGGCGCCGAGCATGACAAGAAGCTTTATGATATGCAACAGGCGGAGTGGACCGAGCTAGGTCCCGGGTGCTCCTAGGCTGTCGAGAGAGCCCTGATCTCACTTAGCTCATATTGCTCTTCAGGCTGCAGCTTATTTAGTATCTGATCTTGTAACCCCCTGAAGGGGTTGTGGGGGAGGGTGGGACGCGCTTTGAGAGGAATACAGAGTAGGAACTTGGGTATTATCAACTGTCATATCCATTTCTTTTCTACACAACATACTGTCGTAAACCAGAGCTAGCCATGTGCTAGATGATACTGATATGGCATTTGATAATTAATATCGGCTGCTGGAACTCCTGGCCGGATCATATTTGCCTACTGCACATATGTACTCATTCTGCTAACACCAAGACTCATTCAGTTGCAGTCATCCAAATTATCAGAGGAGACACTGCCATGTGAGTTGTGCGCCTGCATTGTCCTTGGAACACATCTCTCAACGCATCATGTAATACAACGACAACTACTGTAGCTCTTCGCTTTTACATGAAACAGAAAATTTTCTTTTTTTGTGCCTGTTTCCGGTCGCAATTGAAGATCGATTCATGATGGGGTCTTTAGTGGCAGGGGAGGGTCAGAGCTGTCAGAGCTTTAGTGAACCTTTATAGTGAACATGATTGATGACATTTTATCATTGAGCTACAAACCGTTAGATCTTGATTGTCCTGATCCGAGGAATGTACTCTTTTATCTAGATAATGTATTCCAGAAATGCTAAAATGCTCTCCTATCATGACAAAGTGAACAGATCAGATACATTATGAGCCACTCCTGGGCCATCCAGCCTCTATGGCATGATTTGTGCCATGTCGACCGTTACGACTTCACATCGACCATGGCCTAGCCACCTTCTCATCAACAAAGACCGCCGCTCTCTTCCGCCTCTAGAGGGGCTCAGAAATTCCCAGAGAAGAACGCGCCAAGAAGAAGCAACCTCGTGGCTTCTGCCGGCGCTGGAAATAGAATCCTTGCAGGCGTTGACCTGTCGGGCTCCTTGTCGTCGGGTGCCTCCTTGTTGGGGGTGTGCGCGACAACCTCTCTTCAGGAGGCTCCGGACTCCCATCGCTATCTGGCTCGTACGAGCCGTCAGACGAGCTGCCAGATGACTGAACATTCCCATCCGACTCGTAATTTCGGTTGTAATCCGCATACACGTCGATGATCTCGTCTTCGCTTCCCGACTGGCTGCTAGGGTCCCCCAGGTCCTCAAGCTCTTCCTGGACCTCTCTATAAAGCTGTCCTGGGATAAATCTCGCCTCATAGAGCTGGTCTTCAGCAAGCACTTTATCTTGAGGCTCTTCTTCATGTTGAGCATCTTCTTGATACATGGGGTCATGGAAGAGGCTATCTATATCAAGGCGGTACTCCTCCCACTCGGCCCGCTCAGCTGGGTCGATTTCACTCTCGGTATACTCTGTTCTCACATCATCACTCTCCCACTCACTATCAGAGTCACAAGGACAGCCAAAGCCTCTGAGAAAAGGGAGCTCTCGAAGTAGATCAAGCCTGTGACAGTCAAACTCTCGTCGGTCCTCATCTCTATGGTCCTCGTCTCCATGGTCCTCGTCTCGCTGGCCCTCATCTTGGTAACCACCCTCTCGATGTCTGGACCCTCGACGGTGGTTAGGGTATTCAGAAATCTGGTGCTCTTGAAAATGGCGAGGCTGTTTCTCCTTGATCCCCTGGACCTCAACTCTATCAAGTGCGTGACGTACTCCTCGGATAGGTTCAGTGACAAGCTTACTTGCCAGATTACCTGCCTTGGGCAATGCCGCCTGGTGTTGCTTGATTGCGAGGTGATGGTCAGCGAGCTGCCCGTCTACAATCTCTTCCATTGCATGTTCAGCAAGGTGGTGGGTCTGTTCAGCCTGATCTCTATGCTCGGGCTGCCTGACCATGATGTTGTGGTCAAATCCTTTGGCAGGATCATGACTCACCTGCTGCTTGGCCTCAGTCTGCTTCTCGGCCGGATCTGCCTTGTCCTTCTCGGCGAGATCGGCTCGACTCTGCGTCTCGGTGGAGACGGCCTCGACCTCCTTGACGAAATCGGCCTCTGTGTCCTCATTGAGCTCTGCGTTGATGCCCTTCATACGACCATGTTTGGCCCGCTCCTCAGCAGAATCTGCCTTGGTGCTGGCGGCACCGGCCTCAGTCTGCTCCTCAGAGAGCCTGGTGGTCTTGGACTGTTGGACTGTTCGCCCATCCTCCTTGGTCTTGACCTCGGACGGTTCAACCGGCTTTTTTTCCTCCTTTGCAGACATGACAGACGGGCTTTCCCCAGCCATAACCTGTTCTGGGTTGCAAAATGGTGTTGCGGAGTCTCGCTCTCGAGATGGACTTCCTTGAGGTGGCTCCTTTGATGGCGGGGCTGTGGGCATGGCATTCTGATGGCAGTCTTGGAGGTCCTTCTCCGTCTTGCTAAAGGCTATCTTGTTGCGAGCCTGTATGACGACATATCTGCACCACGCTGTTACTGTGTCGAGAGAACTAGGACGACGCTTTATCCCTCGGCCTTGGTCAACCGGATTGCTGTTATCTTTTTTGTTTTCTGTCGCCCAGGCAAGTGCTAGATCCGGGCCACCTTCTGTGCTCTCCGCCTCGGCCTGGTTTTTCACCGCCGGCGCCGCCTTGCCGGGTCGCCTAAAGCTAGGAATGAGACGAGATACTGCAGATGTATACGCCCCTCCTTTCTTTGCGGCGATCTCCTCCCTTGCCGGCATGTCTGGCGTCAGGGCTGGTGTCTCTTCTGGGTCTTTCTGGTGCAGCCCATCATGGTTGATGGCCGTGCTGGCCGTGTTTCCGACGCATCCTGACCGGACCTCCGCATCGCCTGATGCCCCTTCAGGCTTCCCTGCGGACAGCTTCCTTCGCTTCGGCATAGGCATAGGCTCCTGGCTCGAGCCCCGCCGCTTTCTCGTTGCCATATCGTTTCACTACTTTCTTCTTGTTGTATGGCTCTGGTGATTTAGTGTCTGGTATGGATTGGCATGTTTGGACGCGGAACCAAGTTGCCCTGACCCAAGTCATGCACTTATATCAGTTAGATAATGGCGGTTTGAGACAGGAAGATTAAGGAGTATATGGCATTCCATTCATAACCAGTCTGAATATCAGAGAGTTTTAATAGAGAGTTCCTCTGGCAGCGTGGCCTTCGCTCTGCTCAAAGCGAGCCCACTGATTAATGGACCACTGCAAGGGAGTGGCTGCTAATATTGAGCTTTTAGGTATCTCATGGGGATCATTAAAAGAGACATCCTTTCAAACGGCAGTGAAAGTAGCTGAATCGATCTTTCAAGGTCTAGATAAATCATTTATCTCATACTTTAGCAAGGTCATTTCAATTAATTATACAGGTATTCAAGCCATCGTAGATGTATTTGATCTGTCACAGAAGCATGGATTCATCGTGAAGTCATAGTCAGCTAGATAGAGCATCCAATCTATTGTAGAAGTATCAAATCCTTCCTAGAACTAGTTATCATTATTCCCCCTTTCCTGACCCTGAACAGTCATCTCTCCAAGCCATTCATATGTCTACCAAACCCACGCTATCCTAAAAGGGTATGAACTTGTCTGGCCACCGCTTGCTGGCGCCCTCCACGATATCGAGCACATCAGATAGGAGCTTGGCATCAGACCTTGCAGATAAGTGCGGGTCTGCAAGAAGCTGCAGCATAGTTCTACTATGCGTGTGTGTAGCGTTGATGGCCTGTGTAGCAGGCTGATCGCTGGAGGCATCCGCGATCGCTGCCTCGACGTCGCCGGCGGAGTGCTGAACGGTTGGTGAACTGCCCGGAGAATCCCGGCTCGCGACCTGCGGAGTGTTCTCGCCGCTTGGAGGCGTGGTGGACAGGCGAGGCTGGGGCGAAGCACCTCCCTGCAGTAAGGCCTGGTTACCCGTAGTATCTCCATCATTCGCTGCTTCAGATAGCCGCTCATAGTTGGTGTTTGTGTGCTGGTCAAGCTGCACGTAGTCTGCGATCAGCTTCTGGTCTCCGGGTGAGGGTGGAGTAGCCGGTGGTCGTCTCTTTGAGCCCTTTGCATCGTAGACATGGCCCGACCCGTTACTGGGACGCTGGGGCGTAGCGGACTGCAGAACGCCAGTACTATCGCTCGCACCAGTCCCTCTCGAGACGCGAGAGGAGGGCGAGATATGAAGGGCCTCCACACTCAGGCCGCCTCTTGCTCCTGGATGATAGCCACCTGAGGAGCTATCATCTTTCTCAGTGATGTCGTCTTGTTCAGAGGCATCGTCCCGGTCAGAGGTGTCGTGTCGTGCAGAATCCTCGCTTTGCTGAGAGGACTCGAAAATACGTTCGATGATCCAAGTGATGTAGTCAGCTTTCTTGGATGACCTGGGCGCTCGAATCTGGTACACTTTTGATGCATGGCGCCTCAGCCTTGGTTGGGTCATTTTCAAAGCCTTGCTGATAGTGCGAGATATATCAGGATAGGCTGCAGGATTGTGACCTGCATTGTGTAGTCGAAGCGCGGCCTCATAATCAGCCTTGACAGCTGCGCCCGAGGCGCTCGTTCCATGAACGACCAGATCGAGGTCAAAGCAGAGATCCCTGAGTTGAGCGATGCTCGCACCGGTGAGATCTCCTCTATCAGAGTCAGGAGACATAGTTGAATCAAACTCTTTACAGTATGTGAAATATGGAGAAGGAAAGAACTAGCCGGGAGCAGAGTAAAGTAGGATGAAGAGTATAGAAGAAGACTCCTACGACTAAAATCTTTGAATATAGAGATGATTAATATACTGTCTGAGAACTATCAGAGAATGACTCTATGGCTTGGCAAATTAACGATCACAAAGATGACATTATAGTTAAAGGTACGGCTTTCTTATATAGACAAGGAGATAATCTAGTCCTGTAAACAATGGTGATAAAGTAACCAATAAAGATATGATAGAGAACCTTACCAGGAAGATAAAGACCAGAATCTCTCCATCTGAAATCTTCCTGCTGTACATAGCATGCCAGTCTGCAGCTCTTCTTTAACACTGTGTGTGGTGTGATTCTTTATAGCTTTGACATTTGGGACTTCTTCCATACTAAGCGATATAGCTATGCTGCATGCAAGAAGTCCTCAAAGGGTCCTGGCCGGGTTTGGTGTTTGCCTACATCCCAGTTCACCGAAAGAAACCACAGTAAGTCCACAGATGATGAATCTGAGGAGCACCAATCCACTGACCAGCCTGCCTTCTCTCCTGTGCGTCAGGTATTTGTACAAGGCCTCGCACCCGTCTTGAGTCTGCATGGGCAAGGCTTGGTTGAGGCCTAGTGTCATATCTTGCTATCAGTTCAGCTTCCTCCTCCTCTCAGTCATTCCCTCTCAAGAGGATAATCAAGCATGGCTATTACTGCAAATAGCACTCTATTGATGGTGAGGATAGATCCTACATGTTCTTATTTTCCCCTGGACCACATAGACCTTTTGTTTTGCCTCGAGTATCTATAGGGATAAACGATTTGAGGTTACCTTCTTCTATGGGCCAAGTCACTACAGGCGGATGGTCTTTGGCTAATCGTTTTACTTGGTGCAATCTAAGACTGTATTCCTATCTGTAAAAAGGGTTCCTCGCAAAGATAAAGAAGGGCTTGTCTAGGAAGCTGGTAGAGCGGTTTAGGGACGAGACGGTGCAGTTAGAAATGTTCATCTTCATTGGTCTGGGTGACTCCCTAGATATGGTACCATTACTCAGGCAGGCTTTACGGTCGACTAACAACACATTACAGAAGTGGAGAGTTATCATCTCCTCGATAAACTTCTTCTTCTCAGGCAGGAGGTGCCATCACCATTACCAATGCAGTGAGTCCAGTTTAATATGGTAGAGTGTTGGCTGTATTGCATTCCTATGTTGGCAATATCGGTTGGATCTTGCTATTATGATCGTACCCGAGTCAAGGAACTTTGTCCCTGCTCTTATCTAGCTGGCTTCCTACTGTGTTATTCAGTAATTGTCGCTGGCTGGGTAACTGGGACGACCCCTCACACAGTGGTTGGCACTGAGTTTCCAGCCTAGTGGAGGGCTAAATGAAGTAATGCCCAGCTGCCGGCCATTGCACCACAGTTGTAAAGAGCTAATGGGCCCTGCTAAGGCATTGAAACTGCCCGGAAAACAAGACAAGCCGTAAGAAGAATCTATACTGACAGCAAAAGGGGCTCTTCTCAATGACAAGGAATTCGGCAAGCAGATCCCATCTCTGCTAATCTTATTACATACAACAATCTATCCACCCAGACTACACGTCTGGTAAGGGCATTGCCATGCTTATATGGAAATACAATCTCTGCAGTATCATGTCAAGCACGTTAGCTTGTGTATACAAGTGCTCGCTTCGAGGTCATTTCAAAATTTATGAAAGTATTACATCCCCTGTATGCATCGTCCGGAAAGTGTATAGCTCGGATGCACCCCCATTGTTCATGGTTTCACTATTTTTAGGGCATTAATATGGTCAGTTAGAATTCCACGTGCCTCTGCTACCTTCTGGTATTTTCTTCCTATTTTTTATAAATATATATCAGCATTCTTTGGTTGAGATCTTGATAGGCCAGGACGGGCTGTTAGTTCAGCTACTTCGGTGTGTGATCAGCCATTGTCGACCCAACCTTGTAAACTGCAAGGTTTCATCACACCAATGACAAATCAACACCATACTTATCCAATGCGCTCATGAAGACTGCTAGCAACACAGTGCTCTCGTCTATAAGCCATTTGACCGGGATCTCCAGATCCAAGAGCGCAGGGCCTTGTGCGTTCAGCAGGACAATGACGACATCAAGCGCCAAAGTGCCAGTAAACTTCATTCGCGGATGGCCCGCGCCCAGCCTTCTTCCGGCCAGCAAACTGAAGGCAGCATCCGCCACGGTCCTGTCCGACCCGAAGCTCTTTGTTCCGGGGCTAGAATACGGACCGGATCCGGGATACCAGCCGCTACGGGAAGAGCTCGCATGCTTCTTGGGAGACTTCTTCGGCGTTGCTCCGGACCCGCGCCGCATCTGCATCACCGGCGGTGCCAGCCAGAATGTGGCTTGTCTACTCCAGTCCTTCACGGACCCGGCCTACACGCAGGCTGTCTGGGTGGTGGCACCATGTTATCATCTTATATGTCCAATCCTCGAGGATTCTGGCTTTAGGAACCGGCTACGGAGCATCCCCGAAGACGAAGAGGGTATGAGAGTTGATCTTCTAGAGGAGGGTCTTAAGGAATTTGAAAATGCTAAGCCGAGGGACCCAGTAAGTGTTGCTGCTGTAAAGCTGTCTCATCTCAATCTTCATCCCTTAACAACTCTCATGAGAGTGGGCATTGACATGAGGACAGGTCTACAAAGAACTCTCACCGGATCGTAAAGCATACAGGCACATCATCTACGTCGTCCCGACATGCTCCAACCCGTCCGGCAAGACCATGACCCCGGCCCGCCGTCGAGCCATCGTGGAGGTGGCGCGGTCGTACGACTGTCTCGTCATCTGCGATGATGTCTACGACTTCCTCACCTGGCCCGTCCTCTCCCCGCCGCCATCCTCAACCGCCCCCGCCGCCTCTCTGGTGCCCTCGCCCCCGCCGCTCCCGCGCCTCGTCGACCTCGACCGCGCCCTCGGCCCGTCGCCCCACGACGCCGCCTCGGGCGGGCACTTCGGGCACGTCGTCTCCAACGGGTCCTTCTCCAAGATCCTCGGCCCCGGGATGCGCACCGGCTGGGCCGAGGGCTCTCCCGCCCTCGCCCACGGCCTCTCCGCGACGGGGTCCTCGCGGTCGGGAGGCGCGCCGAGCCAGCTGGCGGCGGCGATCGCCTGCGAGGTCCTGCGCTGCGGCGCCCTCGAGGACCACCTGCGCGACCTCGTGCGCCCGGCCCTGCAGCGCCGGCACGGCCTGCTCGTCGACGCGGCGCGGCGCGAGCTGGCGCCGCTCGGCGTCGAGTTCGTGAGCCGCAACTGGGAGGCGGACGGCGTGGGGATCTACGGCGGGTACTTCCTCTGGCTGAGGCTGGGAGAAGGCCTGCCGGGAGCGAGCGAGGTGGCGAAGCGGTGCAAGGAGCACGAGAACTTGATCATTGCCGCGGGCCAGATGTTTGCGGTCAAAGGCGATGAACAAGCTGTCGATCTAGACAGGAACGTGAGACTGTGCTTTTCGTACCTAGATGAGGCCTTGATGGTAGAAGGGGTGGAGAGGTTAGCCCATGTACTGAGAACATGGAACGAACCCCTGGGCCCAGACTCGCAACGGGATCAAGGGCTCAACATGGCAACTTTCAAATGAACAGGACGAGACACAATTGTGCTGCTGAAGCTGTGATGCAGTTAGTATTCAACACAGGATAGCGTCTTTGGAACTCGGACATTCTGTGCATTTGTTTTTCTCTTCAAACGTTTCTAAACAGACTCTAATCCAACGCTCATACACTGGCCGGGCTCGGCGGCGGAGGTCCTGTAAACCAGTCCTGCTTCTCCGGGCCTAACACGAATTCCAAGGATCCTCCTTTAGCAAAAATGTCGGCGTACGTGACCCAGCTCTGCCTCCATTCTTTCCCATTAACCTTCAGACTCTGCACATAGTAAGCGTCCTCGTTTCCGCCCGTTGTCGTAATATGTAGTTTCTTCTTGCCGTCACCGTCGTCGAGAGATATCGTGAGATCCGAGAACCAAGGACTTCCGATCAGAAAGACAGGCTGACCGGTCATGGGATACAGCCCCAGCATGACCCAGAGCTGCCACGACTCCATGGCGCCGGCATCGCTATTGCCCGGCAGCCCATCCGGTGTAGGGTGGTATTTTGACTTGGCGACGGATCTGCTGCGCTCGACACTTAGATCCTGACGGCCGACATAGTTGTAGAGATAAGGGGTAGTGAAGCTGGGCTCGTTTCCGGGATTGAAAAGCGTGCCGGTGTCAGAGCCGTCCGCACCCGGTTTGAACATCGTGTCGAGGCGCTTGACGAAGGTGTCTGCGCCGCCAGAGAGTCTGACAAGCTCGTCGATATCATGGTGGGCATTGAAGGAGTACTCCCAAGGGAGGGCCTCGTAATCTGAAAGGAGTCAGTACTGGTGTGGGACGGTTGCAGTCATAGGAACAAAGGGTGAGTGAGAATTACAAGCATCGGCCCAGTAGCAGCCTCCACAACTCAACGGATCTTGCTCAATGAAACCGTCCTCGTCCCTTGGCACAAGAAAGCCCGAGAACCCCAAAGATGTCGCATTGGGGTTCCAATGATTTCGCCAATTCCTTGATCGGTTTAGATACTTGTCCGCATCTGCGTCCTTGCTGAGCCCCTTTGCAACTTGGTAGAGCCCGAAGTCGTTTGCTGAATATTCCACAGCGCGCGAAACAGCACGGCCAAATCGGGGAGTGATGTACCCGTACTGGAGCCAGTCTGGAAGAGCACTTCTTCCCTCTTTGGTAGAACCACTCTTGTCCCTTGGATCATCGTTGTTAGGGGGAACGACCTCGGCATCCTTGACCATAGCAGAATAGCCGTCTTCCCAGTTGATCCGACCACGGACACCCTTGACGTACGCATCGGCGAGAACGTTGTCTGCATTGGAACCCACTTGGGTTGCACCGTTCCAGAATGATGACCGCGCATCGGGCATGTACCCTTCATGCCTCCAGATGTCAATCAGTGACCGGATGTACTCTTCGTATGCGGTCGGCTGTAGAATGTGGAACAGGGCTGTTGTGCAGCGAAACTATGGACAGAGTTAGATAGACACGAAGTCATCAAGCCAGGCAGATGATGAAGCCTACCAAGTCCCACAGCGTAAATATATCGTCATAGTAGGGCTCTGTGGAATCCCAAAGAGGGTTCTCGCCGGTTTTGTTGGTGGGGATCAGCGACATGAAATACAGGGAGCTGTAAAGCCTCTGCAAGTTTTCAAGATTGGTGTCTGTGGTTGTCACTTTGGACAAGACCTGGTCCTGCCAATGCTTTCTCGTGTCGCTCGTCAACTTGGACAAGGGCGTTCCCTTTGGAATTTGCTGGTCCAGGTTCTCGCAAGCGCGGTCCGTCGAAATAAAGGAAACACCCACACGGGAGACGACGGAGCTGCTCGTGAAGGAGAACACGGCGCCCAGGCGAGCGGTAGAGTCAACAGACTCATCTTCCGAGTACTTGACAAGAGTGCTGCCGGTCAAGTCTGACCCCAAGAATGTCCTGTATGTTGCAGACGAGTCGTCAAACGACCCGCAGAAGTACACTGTCCATTTGGGAGATCGATTCCAACCCTGTATCATGGTGAATTGAGTAAAAGCGCCAACGAAGGGCTGCAGTGCATCAGACTCACGTTGTCATATGAGCCGGATCCCGAGTACCTGAGCCCACCACGTTCTTGCTCTTTGACGGAGATATTCCCGCCCAGGTAATTCTGTCCGAGGCCCATGCCTCGAAAGGATGGCAGTACGTGGGACACGTCGACAATGACATTTTTGCCCTCTTCGGTGTCCGGAAACGTATACATGTACAAGCCCGCTCGGGAAGTAGCGCCCAGCTCGACCGTGATGCCAGAACCCAGAGACGATCTGTAGTATCCCACAGATGTCTCGTCGGCCTGGGCCCTTTTATCGGTGTGATCGCCAAGAGGATTCGAAACGTTTCCCATCACCGGCATCTGCGAGACCACGCCATATTTGGGAGCACCACCAGTACCACTCTCGTGAAGCATACTAAAGCCTGTGAAGACTCCCGTTGGTTGATAACCCGAGTAAGAGTCTGATCCCGTATACAAATCTGGCCCGAGTTTGATCATCCCAAAGGGCTCGCTCACGCCAGGGAAGGTGTTTCCACCATTCTCGGATCCGGTCTATATCAATGTGTGAATTTAGCAAATCCGTCTACGACTTTGGCCATACCCGGGTGATTGAACCCCGTCGAATCGACAATGGACGACGTACGCTGGTGAGGACATATTTGGTCAGGTCTCCGGCTGCCAAAACGGCCTCTGTCATCCCCAGAAGGAGGAATGAAAGCAGGAAGCTGCTCATGATGAAGCCCAGAAACAATGACAAGAATAGAGGTGTTGGCTTCCATGCAGGTGGGGTAGCAGCACTGCGGTCGTTTATATGCCCGCGCATGTCAGTGCAGGTAGGAGAGCCGGCATGCACTACCTCGCCAAGTCTTCACCCTCTGCAGACCGCAGCGGGAAAGGCACTGGTTCGCGTGGTCAGAGTTGACGGGGTGCAGTCGAGACGGGATTTGGGCCTGAGGATCGCCTGGGCGAAGGTCGTAATACGTGGTGGACGAGCCATCACGACTCGTGTAAGCGGACGGACGACTACATACTTATGCTAAATTACCACCACATGCACCCGTGGGACACAGCAGGATGACCATCCGAGCCAAGTGCTGACACCCTTGGCAAGATAAAACCTGGGAAGGACACGAACCTCTCCGCTCGTTGACCCGGCCAGACTTGTGGGTAGAATGGATCTTTCCGGTCCGGACTGGCAGAGACTAGCTGCACCGGGTTTGCCGCTTTGCCGGCTGACGGGTCAGCTTGCAAGGCGTCAAGGAAGCCTCCCGGCGCTAACAAGGTCATCTGTCCAGGGGTGTAGAGGAAAGTATTCGAATACACAACACTCCTTCGCCCTCCGCTGACCCAAGAACGAAGGTCGAGGGTGGAGAAAAGATGGGGGAACCGTTGCGACGGCGGCTGTTTAGGCTGGGAGACGCGTAGGATTGGTCCACGTTTGGATGTGTCTCAAGGCATAAGATGCGAAATGCATAGAGGGCCAATTTATGACGTCCTGCCGAGAGATCAGAAGGATTTGGGCGAACATTGGACCACTAAGATGACACCCATCCTGCAGGCATATCGATCCAGTCGTGCCCGTGCAAGACAAGCCCTGGTAAGGAGCGGCAAGGCAAACTCGCATCTAAAATACGGAGTAAAACAAATAGGCCGGTCCTGTTGAAAGGAATGAGAAGGAATGAGTGAGAATAGATGGGCTCTGTTGAGAGCCACGGACTGGGCAAACATCGGCACGAGGTGGTCCAAGAATCCAATGTCGAATCATTGACCACAATACTTGCTCATTTCGTCTGTCAGGCTTTTGGGTTTCCCTTGGGCGAGGCATCCTTTGGATGCAAATGTTGGTCCGGAAATGCAAACCACTCCGTGGCTTTCTGCCTCTGGAGCATTGGGGGCCAAGGCCATGATTTGCTGGGCATGTTGCTGGCTTGGCTGGGTAATTTAGGTACGGAGTAGCATGAAGCACCTCCATACCTCCAGCTACCTTACTCCGTATCTTGGACAAATCCAACGAAATGGCGATCAGCCTGGGCGGCGTCTTGGCCGTGAGTTACCTAAGCAGCAAGCACAGACGACGCCGTGACAGATGGAAAGCCCCACCCAGCGATAGCCCACTGTTTTAAGTTTAGCGCCGACGCTCGAGATGGCTGGCCAATCGAAGCAAATCAGAGCCGTCACCGCCAGGAAGCGGTGAAAATTTCAGCGGGAGGTGGGGGTTTTACTGCCGGTTCTTCAATTCACCACCCTCTCAGACAATCATCACCGCCCACTTGCTAGGTGATCAGAGCTGATCCAGAGGCAGGGCATCATCGCCGCCAGAACCAAGACAGTGTGCGTGTCCCCGAGTCTGCAACAAGGCGCGTGGCACTGCAGGGCGGCAAGATGGGTCGCAAACCAAACCCCCTCATCCTCGAGTTCTTTGAGCGAGGCCCGAAGCTCAACGACAATAGCAACCGGTACCCGCACACTTGCCGTGCATGCGGCGAGCACTTTGCCAAAGGCCGCATTGACAGTCTCACCAACCACCTGACCAAGAAGTGCCCTGCCATCTCCGAGGCCGACCGCATCAATGCCTGCCTCACACTGCATGGCATCCACCACGCCAGTCCGCGGGGTCAGAAGGACCAGGTCCAGGCTAACGGCCCCCCTGTTGACCTTCCCATGATGCAGCGCGACTGGACCGCCCTCGAGACCTTGGCTGAGGTGTCCCGTCAGATCGATCTTAGTGAGAAGCACGACGACAGGTCCCCCAGTAGCGCACCGCCGTCCACAGCAGCCGCAGCCCCCGGAGGACAAACTCATGTTCAAGAGCGCTTCGAATTGGCCGAGCCATTCAACCTGGAGACTTCGCCTGCTGCGATCAAGGACTCACCTCAGTCTGAGAAACAAGGTATGTTTTGGGTGACCACCCGCCCCATACTGCTGCATGCACTCTATTTGTGTCGCTTGCCAAGACTGACGTTATATATTTCAGGCGACGCAAAGCAGCCTGGCGACACAGATGCTGCAGACTCGGACCTAATCACCGAGGAGAGACTGCAGGCGCTCCTGCAGTCAGCCACCTCGCCCTCGGAAGCTGCCAATCTTTCTATGGCTGCTGCTGCCACCGCCCGGCTCAACACTTCTCTTTTGGATCCTCAATTGCGAGCCGAAGAGACTGCCGTTGAAAGCCCGGCTCCCCTGCCTGCCCTCGATGGCGTCACCACTGCCGAAACCCCCGTAGCTGTGCCGGGCACCGCTCCAGGTCAACCGTGGGGTGAGATCACCTATCTCGCGGACAATGTACCGCTGCCAAGCGCTCAGCCAGAGCAGGCTCCGAGCCCGAGTACTCTAAGCAAAGGTGGCTTTCGCCTGGACAGCCCCGGCAGTGCCAAGACCCGGCACTCCCGCGCTCGTTTCGATGCGACACGGCGAAAAGAGGTGCAGGAGGTGCGCAAGATCGGAGCTTGCATCCGCTGCAGAATTCTCCGGAAGACTTGCTCCAAGGGCGATCCTTGCGACACATGCCGCAAAGTCCTCTCGCCACGCATTTGGCGGTCAGGCTGCGTGCGAACAAAGTTCTCTGAGCAACTGGACTTGTATTCTGCCGGCGTGCAAGTCGTTCTTGCCCAGCACAGGATCAACAACCTCAAAGCGGCGCTCAACCTCGTCAATAACGGGCTCTCTGTTAGCGTCTCCCATTTCCCCGGAGAGACAGCTGATCTCTCCTTCACAATTCTGCAGAGCGACGGCCCCAAGGCTCCTGTCGTTGACGACGAAGCGGGTAATCCCTGGCCGTTGGGATCCCTGGTCATGATCAATATCGAAAAGGAAGATGTACCCGCCAAGGTTGAAGCGTACATGAAAGACACCGTCCGCCAGTTTATCCAGCGAGAGCCCTCCCATTTCATGAAAGTTACCCTGGAGACCGCTCTCAAGGTTGCTGAAGACACCAACGATGAGCTCCTCAAGAAGGCCATTGAGTTGTGGGGGTTGGTAGAGATCCTCGATCGTGAGCGACAGTGGGTTGTCACTCTCAAGACTACTGACGGCCAAGGACCCCGACCGATCAGAGAGGACACGGACCAGGACGTCTATACCACAATCTGCTTACAGCTCACTGCCGGTGCCGAGCGCAAGGCCTCAGCAATCAGCAAGACGCTCTTGACCGGCATGCAACGAGTCTTGCAGGATAGCAAGACAAAAGTCGGCCACGCCATGTTCTTCACAACATTGACCCTCTTGATTTGTGTCGAGAAGTCTACTTGGGCGTTCAAGGCGTGGGAACAGGATGGCCTTCGAACCATGTGGCCCCTTGAGAAGCAGCCGGGAAATTTCACCAACCAAGGCTACGTACTGGCCGACCTGCTACGCATGCTTCTGAGCATCCGCAAGGCGATCCCCCGTACCGAGCGGCGTGAGTCAGACGGCGCTTTGGTCACTGTTGTCCCTACTGGAGAACAGGAAGACCCTCTGATCAAGGGCTACTTCGAGAGTCTCAACCTCAATTGTAAGCTTGACCATTACCACCCGTGTTTTGCGCATAATATAGCATACTAACTTTGCCCCGTGTCTGAAGTTGCCGATGTGCAGGCCAAACAGGAACACCCTGCGTTCTCACCGACGGATTCACGTTCGTTTGAGCTGTTGTTCTGCTCTACTCTCTTGCTTCCCGCCCGAGAGTAGGTCATCGCTCGATAGATCAGGTGCTGAACAGACTCTTCTTTCACGACTGCTTTCAGCTTTGCCGTTCTTTCTCGACCCGGAGAGATAGGGCCTAATGATGTTCCCGGCGTTTTCGGAAGAGGGAAAAAGCGTTGCCTTTGGCAAAATGATGCTCTACACGGATTGTCCCAAAGACATGGTGGCTCATTTGCCGTTCTTGATTTCTGGTCTTGTTTTGATTTGATGTTCTTCTTCTACCTTCTATACAGGCGTTGGCGCTGGCCGGAAGGACTCGAGAAAAGTATGGAGGACAATGACAAAAGGAAATGATTGTGCGATAGCGATGATACTCTAGATGAAATACCCCGAGAGGATGGACTGCTAGCTGTCCTCAGAAAATCAAAATCTCTCGACTCTCTGATACTCTCTTGTGCGGTGCATTAATACCTATTGTGACGGGTCAACATTGCAGGGCTTACGCTGTGCAGCACTCTCGCTCGTATCTCCTAGTCGCTCAATCTTGTCGTCACTTTGGTACACTGACGCCATGGCAACTCTTTGAATGTGATCCTTTGCATAAACTAAACGCTATCAACACAAAGATGTCTCGATTTCTTCTCGCGGCCCCTTTCGCCCCCCACCCCAAAAACCGAGACACCCCATCACCATTAGCCCGTCTCCCTCCGCTCCAGCCCGCCGGTGCTCTGCTGCGACCGCTTCGGCTTCTTGAAGCAGGCGAACTCGTTCTTGCTCGCCTCGCGCAGGCGCTTGAGCACGCTGCGCATCTCGGGCAGCTCGCCCTGCAGCCTGGCGCGCGCGTCGTTGTCGGTCCGCCCGTCGAGCTCCTGGTAGATCTGGCTCTGCAGCTCGGCGGCCTTGTCGGTCGTGTACTGCGTCAGGCACTGCGCCACGAACTCGACGTCGAGCGTCGCCTGCATGAGCGCCGCGAGGTGGTACTTGGCGCGCGTGCGGAAGGCCTCGAGCAGCTCGCGCGAGGCCTGCTCGAGCAGGTACGAGAGCACCTGCGAGGTCAGCGACGAGGCCGTCGTCGAGACCTGCGTGTGCACGAGGACCAGGGCCAGGAGGGCCTCGTAGACGTAGGGCTTCACCTCGCGCGGCTTCTCGACGCCGGGCGGCACCCAGTCGGGCGCCGTCACGCCGGCGCGGATGATGCGGCGGAGCGTCTCGATGGAGGGCCGGGTATAGGACTGGAACAGGCGGGCGTCAATCTGGCCCAAGACGTCGCGGATTGTTTTGGTCTCATCTGTGAGCTTAACAGAGAAGGCGTTCTCAAACTGCGAATTGAGGCTGGGTACGATCTCGGCCCGAAGGCATTGCAGATTGCTCAAAGTCAGTAGCATCCGCACGTTCTAGATATTTGTCAGCTCACATCCTATGCCTTCAGAAGAGAAGGGTGGGGTTGCTGCTTACCCTGTCGCCAGCATCGAAGGATCCAGTGTCGATGCTCGACTGCCGGTCGGATCCGTTAGTGGCGACATAGCCATCCGTCTCCGTTGTCCATTCATCGTCCGTTTTCTTTACCGACCGCTCTGCGTTCTCTACCATGCCGCTCAGAGCCTTGTACAGTGTCGTCACGTACTGGCTGCGGACCATCTGCAATAGCTTGGTAGGAGGTGGAAGGACGATATCCTCCGCACCTGGCTTGGACATAGCCTCAGAGATGTACAGAATTCTTTGCATGCCGGCCAAGATGGCGCCTTCGAACGCCGAAAAGCCAGCAGGCATCTTGGTCACATCCTTGCGATCCGGCGCTCTGTGCCAGTCTTCGACAAACTTGATGTTCTCGGCATCCTTGTTCCACGCCGCGCAGAGAGCCGTCACGCACCGTTCGCGGGCGGCACCGACCAGAGTCTTCAACCTTTCGATTTCAGAGGGGTCACCTTTACCCACAGGTCCGATAGCCGCCATTTCCGAGGCACCGGATCCAACAAGTGCTAGCATCTTGGCTAAATAGTGCACGCCGCTCACAGAGTTGGAATAGGGAGGCCAGAAAGCAAACTTCTCCCAAGCCTCCCCGCGCTTTGGTGACGGCGGGGGCGCACTGTTTGCGTCAAAGTTGAACCTTGGGTCTCGTGTTGCGTTGGGGGTTAGTGCTCCGGATACAGAGGCCGACATGGGTGTGTTGGGCGAGGGCGGTAGCGGCGAGAAGAGTAATGAGATATCTTCCGGTGGCGGTCCTGCAAAGAAGACAAACACATGTTCTCTGAGCATATCGACCAGTTCGACGGTGCCCTTCTGTAAATCCATCGTCCCTTGTTGCGATAGACGATGATGGGATTGAGATTCGCCGTTGTACCCAGTCGGAAGCGCCCTCTGTGTTTTGCCATCGATGAAACCCTGCACTGTCTGCCAAAACTCGACCACCTCGCCCAGGATGCCCTGGGGAGAGAGAAGGTTGGACAAGAAGCCAAGCATTTTCTCCCACAACTCCACGATATCGCTTGAATCCAGAGAACTTGCTTTGTTTTCGATGGCCTGCCGCCCGAGAGATCTCAAATGCCATGCTATGGTCTGAGGAGCGGGCTTCTCGCCATTAGCAAGTCGACGACGCAGCACCTCGATCTCAATCTTGGCTCGGTCGGCAGTGGATTGGATCTTGCCCTTCAGATAGTCATAGCGACTCAGGAGCCAAACCCAGATGGGATTATCTTCAACTCCCAACTCCAAGAGCAGGCTGATCAACTCCATATGCTGGTCCTGTGACTGCCCTGCTGACGCATCTGATCTTGAGACGTTGTGCAGAGATATAAGTTTCCGCCATATCTCTCGCTTGAAAACTTGGATCTGCTCGTCGACGTCGTGCCACATTCGTGCCGCTAAAAGAATCTGGTACAACTGTGCTTCGGTAGGCTGCGAAGAGCCGACTTCTTGAGCGATGTTCCGGGCCTCATCGGCAAATTTCCTCGCGCGGGCATACTCCTCAACGACACTGTCATGGTCTTTCCGTTTGATGCTGTCCGCTATGTTTGCGCTCGTCTCGACAAACTCTTTGTACCGGTCGAGCGTAGAGAAAACCGTCTTGAGGGTCTCCTCCTTTTCTCGACCGCCCAATGCGGGTCCCCAGACATCTTCAGCCTTCGCTGACACGTCAAGTAGAGGCACTTTGATGCCCATAACGCCATACTCGCTCTCCTTGACAAGTGCATTCTTTTTTTTGGGGTCCGGTTGAGGAGACAGAGGACTTGGCATGCCCATAGGACCGCTACTGCTTCGAAAACTATTCCTGCTGGCATGGCGAGAGTGTGCCCTTGCTCGGGGTGGTGCAGGTTCCGACCCCCGGAATTTCATCTCCTTATAGACATTGTCAATGGTTGCTTTGGCTCGGACGAAGCGCTCGAAGTTTGACTCCACGAGGACTTTGAGCGAGGCAGACTTCTGGTCGATAGATTGCGATAGGACATCCAAGCCTTGTAACAAGGCTCGAGTGTCCGCATTCGAGTGCATCTGAGAGAGGAAGAGCGCAGGGGAGAACGTAGTAGATGAGAGTAGGAAGCGGTTTCCTGCGCAGTATGATTAGTATACTCTGCACTCTTGGGTCTGTACAAGGGGTTAGTGTTACTTACGAAGCTTGGGGTCATCTTGAAGAGGAACGCCATAACGCTTCAATGTCATAACCACGCTGTCTGTGGTTCCCAGCGGGTCAGGCTCGTCCCTCTGTACCAAGTTGCCCTTCTCCGAACCTGGGATCCCACTGCTCCGGTTGGTCGGGGTCCTCTCGAGGGCCTGGTATCTTGACTTGCGCCTCTGCAGCTTCTGCTTCCTTTCCTTTTCTTCATTGTCGGACGTGTCGCTCTCGTTCTTGTCGGTGGGCCACTCCACGGGGTACGGGTTTGAGAGCTGGTAGTATTCCAGGACGGTCCTGTCAAAGTCCGCCATGATGGGGAGCGACGCGCATCCACATCAAGAAGCGGAAGAGTCTGGTTGTGAGCACAAGGGTAGCTTTGAAGTCCCAAGCATAAATGTGTGTGCTTGTGCTTGACCTCAAGATCTTGCCCCAGACTGAGCTCCCAGCCTCGATAAGCATCATTGGGCGGCGCGGGACGTGTTTGATACACTCCTGTCCAGCTGGCGAATACTGGCGGCGTAGGACCTACTTGTAAAAGTGGAGCTCGGCATAGTGGAGCAAGTCTGTTTGAGGCTTGGTGGGGCCTAACCATCCGCTGGGAGGCTGATGTTGACAGGGCATTTATGGCCTGTGCGGCGCTGTGCCACAGCACATTGAGCTCGGTCTCAAGCACCGGCTCGGTGCGGACATAGGACACCACCGAGCTAACCTCCAATTGGATGGCCACCAAGAAAGAGCGCATCCAATCCCTGTTATCCACTGCAGCAACATCATACTTTTTATGTTTTCTTGTCCAGCGCCAAAACCTCACCACCCATTTTCTTTGCGCCTTTTCGTTCTGTCAGCTGCGGCATCTTATTTGGAGCTAAAACACAGCTTCAACTCGCAGATCTATTCACAATGCTGGCCATTCGATCAATTGCGACTCCTGCGGCGCGCCAATGCCTCCGGGCAGCCCCGCGCCCTGCCGTCACGCTGGCTTTGCATGTGAGAGCTGCACCCGTCCCCCATCACATCACCGCTGCCCATCTCCAGCGACAACAAGCTGACCGCAGACTACAAACAGAGCCAGAGGACCTACTCCGCGAAGCACGACAAGGTCGCCAAGTTCACTGGCGAGAAGGCCTCTAACGTAAGCCTGGCCATTCCTACCACCAATCACACTGTTGCCACTTCGAGATCAGATTGTCGTCACTGAGGCATAATCAGTCTCGATGGAAGCGACCTCGACACAATCGATGGTAGCAATAGTGGCCATTGGCTAACGACGAGCATAGGGCCGCTACACTGTGAGCTTGATTGAGGGTGACGGCATTGGTCCTGAGATCTCCCAGTCTGTCAAGGACATCTTCGAGGCCGCCAAGGTACTTATATGTTTCCGTTTTCCCTCTGCTCGTCGAGAGGTGCTATACTGACCTGGTTTCCAGACCCCCATCCAATGGGAGCCTGTTGATGTTACCCCCATCATCAAGGACGGAAAGACTGCTATCCCCGACGATGCCATTGAGAGCATCAGGAAGAACAAGGTGGCGCTCAAGGGTCCCCTCGCGGTAGGTTGACGCTTGTTTGAGACGGTGACCGACGACGAGACTAATTGATGCCGCATCAAGACCCCCATCGGCAAGGGCCACGTCTCGCTCAACCTGACCCTCCGACGAACCTTCAACCTCTTCGCCAACCTGCGCCCCTGCCGATCTGTTGCCGGCTTCAAGACCCCCTACGACAATGTCGACACCGTGCTTATCCGAGAAAACACCGAGGGTGAATACTCGGGTATTGAGCACGTGGTTGTTGATGGTGTCGTGCAGAGCATCAAGCTCATCACCCGCGAGGCCAGCGAGCGCGTCCTGCGCTTCGCCTTCCAGCACGCCGAGGAGATTGGCCGCAAGAAGGTCCGCGTTGTGCACAAGGCCACCATCATGAAGATGAGCGACGGCCTCTTCCTGAGCGTCGCCAACCAGGTTGCCAAGGACTTCCCCGGCATCGAGTTCGATGCTGAGCTGCTCGACAACACCTGCCTCAAGATGGTCACCGACCCCCTCCCCTACAACGACAAGGTCCTGGTCATGCCCAACCTCTACGGTGACATTCTCTCCGACATGTGCGCTGGTCTGATCGGTGGTCTCGGCCTCACTCCCTCTGGCAACATTGGTGACGAGTGCTCCATCTTCGAGGCCGTTCACGGTTCCGCTCCCGACATTGCCGGCAAGGCCCTGGCCAACCCGACGGCTCTGCTGCTCAGCTCCATGATGATGCTGCGGCACATGGGCCTGACCGAGTACGCTGATCGCATCGAGAAGGCCACCTTTGATACCCTGGCGGAAGGAAAGGCCCTGACGGGCGATCTGGGCGGCAAGGCCAAGACTCACGAATATGCGGCTGCCATCATCAGCAAGTTGTAGATACCATGTGCTTCTAGATGCGTCGTTTAGGGTAGTGGGCCGTTAGACTGTAACACAACAATAGCATACATCTTTTTGTCGTCCATTCGTTGTCGCATTTCACAGAGCTCAAAAGGGAAAGAATGTTAGTCTGATTTCGGTGTCAATGAAAGGCAAAGCCAAAGTTGGGGAGCAGTGCGTTTTGAATGTATGCTCGGTAAGAAGCGGACGTGCTCATCCACGGCTTTTTCAACATGCCGAGGATAAAATCGCCAGTGCAAGCTCAACGTTGGAGCGCCTTGCATATTGAAGCCAAGAAGCTACCCCTTCCAAATTTCGCCAGCTTGCAAAGAAATCGTAGAGTAGACTGTTGAGACCGTCTTAAATGGGGATGCTCTTTTTTGTGTCTAAACCTCTGCACGCAGATGAAGACGAGTCCCGTCTGGTGTTTGTGTGAACCCGGCAATGTGACAGCCATCCCCAGAGCATTGACTCGGCCGAGATGACTTAGTGCAGGGCACAAAATTCAGACAAAATCTATCGCACAAAGAATCTGAGAGCGCGAAAGTGGCCAGTCGACACTTCGCACAAGGACTCCCAGACCGCAGATTGTGTCATGGATGTCCCTTGGCATCGCGAACACTCGTCTAGGACCCTATGGATGGCCATTCACCTCCACACGAATGAGTACGTAGTTCGACTCTCTCAATGGCCCGGCACGCCAAGCTGTCATATCCGAGTCCGACTGCCGCATTTTGACAAGAGAGCGAGCGTAGGGTAATCCCGAGATTTATACAGCGAGGATATGCTTATCAGGCATTAGTGTCTCTCCGCGGCTTCTGACGGTCTTCGGGATACCGACCGCCGACGGGGATTTCTCTGGGAAATTTGAAGACACACGAAGTGAGGGCAAGAGGGTCCGACTCCCCACTCTGGCGGCTGCGCTCACTAATGCCCACGCTAGGAGAGAAGAGACACGAGGGTTTGTACGGAGTAGGAAATATTGGGACCCTCTCTCGATATCGGAGTGTGCCAACAACAAGAAGACGTAGGCTGGTACTCTGTCTGGGAGTTACTCGGCTTGCTCGGCAAGAAAGGCAAGTGGCCCATTGCCACCCAATCTTGCTCACAGAAACAAAGGGGTTGGCCCTCCACCTCCTCAACTGTTAGGTCCAGCCAGCCTGTTCAGCTGTCCAGCTGTGAAGCTTGGTCAATTGGTCGGAGAGAAGAATGAAAATGCACTTCATCCTTTGAGCACATACGGTACCGTGATCACTGCCGTGTAACAAAGACCACGCCCGTATGCATGTGGTCAGAAGGAAGTGTTTCCCTTGGGTCCGCGGACGGGATCACGTTGGGGAAGCTCGCACAAATGCAGGGAGGGAGCCTTGGCGTCGGCTTTGGTGCGGGAGTACCAAGACTGCCCGCTTGTCCCCTGGAAGTCTTCTAGAAAACTGCCCAGGTGAGCAAGCCAGCCGCAAAGCTTGGCATCTAAATCGCTGGTTTCGGACTGTCTCCCTCTCGCGTGCTAAACCACGGAATTAGCACCGATGACCTCAGAACAACCAAGAAATTGCTTCACACTGGCTCTTGTACTAGAGCAGCAGGCCAGCCGTACAAGTAGTTGCAGGTCGAAGACGCGAGTCCTCCCGCACACGCCTATTCCAAAACAAGCGTTGGACGCTTCATGCCCCTTGAAGATAGGTGTGCCTCGCGCCTCGTGCCATTTGCCGACTGGTCCGGATAGTAGCATATTAGTAACGAATTGTAGGCAGATTATCCATCGGGGAGCTCACAGAGCTAGCTGATTCGGCACTGGGCGTGGGAGAAGAGCACCGCTGGGCACACGCCGCAGGCAAGAAGAAGATAACCAAGGATGGACTAAGGCGCCGGGTCCGTCATGCACCTCGCAATTCGCGAATCTGGAGTAAGGAATGGGGTTGAGGATACTAGGGCTTGAGGCGGTCCTGCTGTACCACCACCCCCGAATGCGCGGTACCCTGACACAAAGTATCCATCTTCGGCCCCGTAGACGCGAGGTATCAGGCCGGAAATGCCTCACTTTATACTGGCTGTCGCCGGCGATAGGGGTGGGCTCGCAGCCCACTCCCCCAAACTGGCACTCACAAGAAGCGGCCGATTTCGTAGACCGCCTGTTCCGTGATTATTGATCCCCTCGTGGCGTTGAGACTTGTATAAAACGAGCCCATCCCCTGCCCTTCTCCATGTTGGACTCGTAGCTTCCTCCTCGTCCTTCTATCACGAAATCGATTTCAGTCAAATCCCGTTGCTTCCAACAGTCCCGAGTGGCTTGAAAGATTTAAATATACTCTCTCTATCTCTCTCTACCAACTGTTCAAGATGCCTTCCACCGATATCAAGGAGGTCCTCGAGACTCGCCCTCTCAAGTTCCAGATCAAGACTGCCGGCGGCAAGTGGGCGTGTGTTGTCCACCCTGACAGGCCCTCATAGTACGTTTTTAAGACCCGGAAACAACAAGGCCCAATACCTCATGGATCGAGAATGCTGACAGACTTTACACAGTGAGCGCTTCCGCACTTCCTCTTCTGCGTCGGTTGCAACCTCTAGCTCTGCCAGCAGCATCACGACTCCCGAGTCCAAGTAAAGGAGGGCACACGAAGCGTGGCCTACACATATGGACCGCGGCTTTGGCTGAGACCGGCCCGGTATGATGCAGGCGCACCTCTGGCAGTCGGTTCTTTGTGTGAAATTTAGCGCATGCAAGTCATTATCGAAAAGAACGCGAAACGGAGTACCGGCGAAAACTTGGTCGTCATGCCGGGGATGACGAGGCGGACTGGGCCCAGAAAAAAAAGGCTTATCCAGCACTAAGCTTTTGGGGCGTGGGAGAAGCAAAGATGGCAGATCATCGAGGAGTACTTCGGGGCTCTCGGTGTTTTGGCCGATGCAGTGGCTGTTCATACCCACATACCGTCGGATATATCACGGAGACGGCCATTTGGATTTATTGATACCTTGGGGGCCGCTAGACTGGCCTGTACATATAGACTTGGCGGCTTAATGAATGACAAACGATCCATCACTTATGATCCTGACTTGTGCGAAGAGGTCGTGTTTGAGGAATTTGTGCTTCTCTGGCGAGAACTGATGGCATGGTTGTGTCAGTCCGTCTGGTGGAAGTCAATAAGAGCATCATGTCTCGTACATGAATCAGCCCCCAACCTGGCTTAGGATCTTCTTCCGGCCCCCGCATCATTACTTCGCGTGGACATCTCCAGAATCGGTGAAGGGAATCCATAACAAGGTCTACGATATCATGCTAACAACACACATGGGTACTTACTGAACGTCATAGGGTTATCTTACTAGTTCTCCATGTCGAGCTGATGAAGCACTTTTGTGACCAGCCCGTCCACTATTCTGGTTATCACTTGCCAAGGTTCCAGCAATATGTACGCCTGCCAAGTTGCGGTGAAAATCAATCCTTCTCAAACGAACTCCGGTGTTTTTATTGACGGTAGCCTGGATGCAGGCATTGTTTGGTTTTGGTAGAGCATAGCCCTCACTCACCCATACTTCTTTGCCTGTGCTGAACCACGAGCGACGGACACAGGCCTCGCGTCGTCAGCTTGTGTGCGAGGCAGGCAATCCTCCTTTTTCAGCGCTACGCCAAGGGTACTTGGTGGATGCGGTTGCACCCGTGCTACAGCCAGGTATCGAAGGTGTCGTGCAGTACCTACCTAGGTAGGTGTAGGTACCTACCTTACCTTTCTGGCTGAACCAACAATTCAAACAGTGAGGGGTTCGGGCTGGAGGCTTGTCAGTCTGGCTGGGGAGAGAGAATGGCACATAAGGCACATAAACAACCTCTTGCACTCGACACCCCATAAACCCTCCGGCTCCCTCACCCATTCCCATCCTTCATCCTCCTCATCTTCAATCACTTCCATGAGCATTTGAGACGGCCGGCCGGCATGCCAACATGCCTGTTCCTCTTGCCGCCAAAGGTACGTGTGCGACCGGTCTCTTGAGCGAGCCCGTGCTTTTTGATTACCCCGCGACAAGACCCCTTGGGCGAATATTACAATGGCCACTGCAGCAAATGACATTGTCTGCCTGCCCAGCCCGCGGTCGGTGGCAAAGGTCGCCGCCCCCCCAGCTGGCCTACGCAATCCTGCTACGCCAACGATCACGAGTCTGGAGCTCTTGACCTTGCACATAGTTGTTTCCTTTCCCTCTCCCGACAGCATACTCTTTGCCAGCACATTCAACGCCTTTTGGCTTTTGCATTTAGGGTTCTGTCCTCGACATCTATTGATCGTTCCGCTTGCCTTATCTTCCCTGCATCTTCTTTATCGGACCTCCGAACCCCACCTAAAGGATGCCGCCCGTTAACCACGCTGCTGTCTCAGCTGGCGTAATTGCCATTTCCGTTGCAGTCGCTGCTGCGATAGCCGTCTATGAGTCTCCCGAACTCCGCCGCATGGCCGACGACCTCCGCCGGCGCATTGCGATAGCACTACACTCACTTGGCGACAATGTCTCGCCCAACGAACGCGGCGAGCCCGTCTTCAACCGACCAGAGGATGCCGAGGGCTTCTTGCAGTCTCGCGGCTCAGGAGAGAATGCCGTGGACGCAGACGACGAGACGAGGCGCAGACAGCGCGAGGAGCTGATGTATTGGAACAGACTGCGCGAGGAGAAGAAAGAGAAGGAGCTCATGGAACTCAAGGAGGCGGCAGAGCACCTGCAACGCCAGAGCTCCCAGCATGGGTCCACTTTCGACGACTTCATGAGGCAAGACAAGGACGCTGAGAAAGGCACCTATGTATTCAACTCTGGCACAGATGTGCATGGCGATGAAGGCTTGGTGCACCGTCGACCTCACGGCGTCCGTGGGCTTAACTCATCGGTCTATGCTAATCCTTTCGCTGACGAATACGGCATCGACGTCGATGAGCCCGAGGCGGAGGAAGGGTCCAAGCTCATGACGCCTGATCGCCACGAGATCATGTCGGACATCTACAGCGCTACCGAGCCTGACGCGCAAGCTCAAGTGCAGACTGAGCCCACAGCCCTGGGCGAGGTTCTTTTCGATGCGGCAGAAGAGGTCCGGACCGAGTCTAGCAAGACTCTCGAGCGCGAGCTCGGCCCGGACGAGTTCATGACTGCCGGCCAAGACGACCGCAGCAACGATGCCTACACGTCGATCCAAGCGTGGGCCCAAAACAGCTCCAACCCGGGCTTCTACTCGCCACTCCCAGCCACTCCCTCCGCACCAATGTCCGAGCCCGAAGTGATTAGCGAAGGAATGCTCACTCCGACTGACTCGGCGTCTACTGCCGGATCTGGAGAAGACATCGCCAACGAAGTGGCCTCGGAGAGCGGCAACGAGGGCACGCGCTACTACGATGTGATGAGCGAAGACGAGGACGGCATGATGACACCGGCAAGCTGGACCGAAGTCGGCAGTGTTGTCAGCGAGAGCGACGCCGGTGCATTCCGTACGCCTGCTCATGCGTAAGGTGCTTCTTTGAGATGGAGAGTTCTATACCTCTATACCGCAATTGTCATTTCCGGGTCTTTTCAACAGGCGTTTGGCGGTACACTGGGAATCTTGAATCAGGATCAGGCTTGCTATTTGGAATGGGAACGGCTCGGTATGGTTTCACATATGAATACAAGAGCACACACTTGGTTGCTTTGAGATTAGACCTGCTTATGATGTCTGTGTTGCTTCATCGACGGCCTGACCTTTGCTGCCCCCTTCCAGCGACTTCACATAGTCTTTCCAAAGCTGGTCCACCGGTCGCCCTAGCAGCTCGGTCCAGAACGTCTTCTCTTCGTAGTGCTTGCCCCGTAGCTTCTCGTTTAACCTGGGTATCGTGCCCGACCCGAACCGCTCCTCGAGGTACTGCAGGAAGTAGGCCGTGTTCTGATAGCCGGCGTCCCACTTGTCCCCGGCCTTCTTCTGCCAGTGCGGCGGGGACAGCCCGCAGTTGAGCCGCACCCAGTCGGCGATCCCCTCGATCAGACCGCCCGGGCAGGTCCCCAGCGCGTTCCACTGGTAGCAGTGCACGAGCTCGTGGGTCAGCACGCCCGTGATCTCGGCGGCGGTGCGCGAGGCCGGGCTGACCCCGGCGACGTAGGCGAGGCTGACGTGGATCTCCTTGTGGTCGCCGTCGAGCTCGGTGCCCGTCGTGTAGGCCACGCCGCCCATGTCGCGCAGGATGACGGTCACGGAGCGCGTGGGCGGCGGGCTGTAGTCGGCGGCGTCGGGCCGGTAGAGCAGGCTGTGGACGCGGGCGACGGCCGTGGAGAGGACCTGCGCGGCGTCGAGGGAGGCGAGGAAGCGTGTGGCGCCCGGGTGGGCGAGGTCGCGGACCTCGAGGCGGAGCTTGGGCTGGGCGAAGGGCGGCGGTCTTACGGTGGCATCTGTGGCGGCGGTGGTAGAAGAGGACTGCTCCGGTGCTGGTGTTGCTGTTGCTGCCGCTGTGGTGGTGGTGGGGGCCTGCCCGGGGCTGGCATCTTTACTTGATGTCTGGGGCATGAAGACCATGATGGGCTGGGGAGCTGGGGTTGTTTGTGGTAGCCTAGCCATGGTGGTTTTTTTTATCTTTCGTGTATGTATTTGATAGATGCCTGCTGTGGCTTTGCTTCTGCAGGCATACGTGTAAACAATCTGAACTTTTCAGCTGAGTGAGTTACACGAGACTTGAGTGACCTCGGGAGTGAAAAGGGGGGATGAATGTCAATTCTGCCTGATGTCTTCAGATGTTAGAGATGACTTGTGGATCTAATGTATAGAATGAGATGAAATGGAGTCTCTTTAAGAAAGGAATAGCACAAAAGGCGTTCAGATATCTACGCCCGTGCTCTCTGAATGGCTTCAAATGGGAAGTTCTTGTGAACATCGTGGAGGGGCATCGAGAGAGAGAGAGATAGAGCCAGGTCACAGCTCTGGATGGGGAGCGGGGTTGCAGGGATGACCCCTGAATCCACGCGGGTTCCAGGCGTTGCCCCCCTGCTGACTGGCGCCTCACGTTCCTGCGCAACAGGACGGAAGCGCTCCACATTTGGCACCTCCCACCAGCCTACCACGCACCACCACCCACCACCCACCACCCTCTGGCATTGTTGATAAATCAATCACCCCGGTTGCCATTATTTGCACTGCTCCGCAAACCACCGACACATCCCACGCCGCAATAACAGCGCTGCTATGCTATGCCAGAGCTGTGTAATCTGGCTTTCCATTCAATAGAAGCCTCTTGCTGTAAGTGCCTATTTCCTTTCATTCCTTTGCAACGCATGCGCTTGTTTGGGGGATGATGTCACGCCCCGAGCTAGCTGGAAATACACACACCCCTTTATGGTTTGTTGTTTTGGTCCGAACTGACATTGCGCCAAAACACCATCGTCTAGTACCTGACTCTTGAGCCAGAGTCTCAACCGCACCGCCGTCCAGCTCCTCAACTTGGAGGCAATGGCGGAAAAACTTACCGAAAAGCAGGTCGCGGACCTGCAGACCATTCTGCGAACCGATGCCTCTGTCGACGCCAAGGTAGCGCAGGTCACAGCCGTCAAGTCTTCGATCAAACAACACAATGTGCCCGACACATGCGTCGCGCCGCTCTTCGATGCGCTGCGGACCGCCTCGATGGCTCAGCATGCGGTCCTCGTCAACGCCGGGTTCACCGCGCTCAACCACCTGCTGACGCGCCTGTCGCGACAGGAGCCCAAGTTCCTGACCAAGGAAGCCGCGCGCACCTTGCCGTTGATTGTGGACAAGATGGGCGATCAGAAGGAGAAGTTTAGGACGCTCGCGCAACAGTCGCTCAACACCCTGTACCAGGCCGCGCCCATGGACGTCGAGCGATCGGTGCGCAACACGGCCATGGTGGGTAAGAACCCTAGAGCAAAGGAGGTCGGTCTGCAATGGCTGCTGCAGGTACGTGATGCAACCCCTTCTCCCCCCGCTTCCTCACAAGGCGTTTACACGACGGTGGGAGCTGACTCGAGGCACAGATGCATCAAGAGAATGGCTTGCAGTTCCGGACTTACGTACCCGTGCTCATGGACTTGCTCGAGGATGCCGACGGTATGGTGCGCGACACAGCCAAGACAACCGTCATCGAGTTGTTCAGAAACGCGCCGAATGCTGCCAAGTCCGATCTGAAGAAGCAGCTGAAGAACTTCAAAGTACGACCTGCGATTGAGCAAGCTATCGTCAAGGAGCTGGCCCCGACCGCTGCTGGTGTGTCATCGGCGGCGGCAGACCCCGTCCCTCGACCGGAATCCGCGCGCTCTGTTACAAGACCTCAGCTAGGCGCCAGCCTGTCGTCCATGTCTGAGCGTCCGATCACGCCAATGCCCGAGAGCCAACCGGAGGCGGTTGACCCCTCATACGTCAACACCCAGCGAGAGCTGGATGAAATTTTCAAGGACATGCATCTATGGTTTGAAGGGAAGGAGACGGAACAGAACTGGATGAAGCGCGAACAGAGCATAACAAAACTCAGAAGCCTCATTGCCGGTAACGCCGTGACGGACTTCCAGCAGCCTTTTCTCTCGGGCTGCAGGGGCTTGCTGGATGGTATCATCAAGGCAATTGTCTCGTTGAGAACAAGTCTGTCCAAGGAGGGCACCAGTCTTGTCCAGGACCTCGCAACCACCTATGGCCCTGGTATTGATCCCATGGTCGAGCTGCTTATGCAGACTTTCGTCAAACTATCGGCTGCGACCAAGAAGATCAGCTCGCAACAGGCAAACGCCACGATCGACACTATTATCAGCAAGGTCACGTATAACAGCCGCCTTATGCAACATATCTGGGGCGCATGCCAGGACAAGAATGTACAGCCGAGGACTTATGCCAGCGGTTGGCTCAAAACCCTGCTCAAGAAAGAAGCACATCACAAGAGTCACGTTGAGCACACCGGGGGCCTCGACGTTATCGAGAAGTGCATTAAGAAGGGCCTGAACGATGCCAACCCTGGCGTCAGGGAGAAGATGCGGTCCACATACTGGGTCTTTGCTGGGATATGGCCCGCTAGAGCCGAAGCGTGAGTGCCCTCCTCCTCGTCTAACTAGACCTATTCGTGCCCCTGATCAAGACTAACTGTGGCAGTATCATGGACACGTTGGACTCAACGGCGCAGAAGCTGCTCCAAAAAGACCCGAACAACCCCAACTCCCCTAAGAAGGCCGAGGGTGCTGTTAGGCCGGGTCTCGGATTGTCGAAGAGCACTATGGGTGGCTCAAAGCCGTCTCTGAGAGAAACGATGTTGGCCCAGAAGAAGGCGCTGGCAACCAAAAACTTACCTGCACGACCCGGATCCGCCATGTCTCACTTTTCTCCAGTGCGAACGGCATCAAACACCTCCAGTGCCTCTACCACCTCTACTGCGGCCCAACCAACTAGGAAGCGCGGCGAGGGTACCGTTGCAGTCGGTGGACATGGGCTTTCTGTGGCCCCCATGCGCCCAACAAGGAAGCGGCCTGAGATGGCAGCGAGGCCGGCAACGGCAGGCCCATACTCAGTACGCACGCATGATGGGCCGTCAGCGGAACAACACAGCCCTCCGGAGGCCACGCGGTCGAAGGCTGTGACACCTCGCGTTGCGATGGCAGGATCACCCAAGCGCACCGCTCAGAGACCGCGACCGGGTCATGCTGCTACCGCCAGCGAGTCGAGCCTCCCGAGCCCGTCAAGGGCAACTCACGCTCCAAAGGTGGCCGCCTCGCCGACTGTAGCACCCTCGCCACGTAGCAGCCCTGCCAGATCATCAAAGCCGACGCCGCTGCGCGCTGCTGATATGAGCAGCCCTTCCAAGGCAAATGAAGATTTTACCCTGGTAGTACCTACCATCGCGAACCTCAAGAGCTCACCACCCAAGGAAGCGTCAGCGTCTCCAGCACCGATCGACGCGGCTGACGAGGTGGCGACTCCGCAACCTGCCAAGCCCATACTGGAGCTCGAGGAGGCCACCACCCCTCAAGAGACACCGTCAAAGACTTTGAAAGTGTATGAAGATCCATTCACCGATAGCCAGCAGCCGACCCCGAAACCGGTTGTCATTGGGAATGTCCTGGAAGACAAGCCCGTCAACGAGGATGCTGCAAACCTGGTGCGCAGCGCCGACATGACGGCCGACGCCGCTCGGAACGGCACGCTGTCTCCCGAGAAGGCTAAGCAGAACTCTCGCCTTCTTGAGAGCGGCATTGCCAAGGTCAAGAGCCAGTCTCTGGATGTGCATGGCTTCCGCAAGCTTCAGGGCATCATCCGCGATAACAAAGCCCCCATCACTGATGACAAGTTTGAGGCGCTTCTGGTCGGGCTGTTCGAGTACCTCGAGGCCCCACTAGAAGACTTGGCGCCCGAGAAGGTCCAGGACGTCAAGGCACAGATACTGGCTACCGTCCGCTTGATGCTGAAGAAGACCAGGGAGAACTTCCAGCCGCACGTGTCTCGCGGCCTAGAGGCGCTGCTGGAGGCACGCGCGAGCTACGACTCGCGCACCCATATCGTCTCGGGCCTCGAGCTGCTAGCCGACGAGCTCGTCACGCTGGGCGACTCGTCGGAGATTGCGCACGTCCTGAGCGGGAGGATGCAGAAGACCAATATGGACGCCAGGGGCTGCCGGAGCCTGAGCATGGGCCTGCACGTGCTCAAGGAGATGATCGAGGCGAGGCCCTCCTTCCAGCCGAGCGAGTCGGAGCTCAGCCTGCTGGGCGGTGTGACGGGCAGGTGCCTCGAGAGCCAGGAGTCCGGGGTGAGAATGGATGCGGTGCAGCTGTGCGTCTCGCTGCACGCGAGGCTCGGGGACGCCAAGTTCTGGGAGCTCATCCGGGGTGTCAAGGACGACCCCAAGAGCCTGATCACGTACTACATTGTGAAGAGGCAGCGTGAGGCAGGAAAGGCGTAATTCGTCGCTTTCTTTCCATTCATCGGTCCTTGTTTTGGATCAACCACACTTTCTGTCCTGGTGGATTTGTTTCTTTCTCTTGATCACCACGGGAGGGTTCAGCATGGTAGGGCAGGGCGTCTAGGTTACACGGGACGGACATGCCTTTCTTTTTTATTATCTTGGCGGGTGTTGTCATACACATCAAAAGAACGGGAACGGACCGGCTTGTCACGGGTTTGGCGTTATCGTGATATGCTGGACGGGAAAAAGGGGCTGGGGGGCAATTGTCCCCCAAGATAGTTCTTCCGAGTTTGTTGCCTCTTACTTTATTCGGACACACTCTGTTCTTGTTTTCGTTGTAGTAAGACTTTTTTGTAATGATGATTTACCGCAAGACGTAAATACGATTCTGTTGGAGAAAGCGAGAACACACATATTCCTCCCATCCTCCCATCCTCCCTGTACATCACAGTGCCTTTGATAAGTTGTTTGTGGTATATCAACACAGTCCAAAGGCAAGGCAAGGGATGGATGAAAACACTGGAAACGCAGAGCGCCACCACGGGCAAGACTGGCGACCACTGTGTGAGCATGCAGTAGGGTATCATCGCTCGTCCCGAGCGGTCAGGACGAGCCGCGTGCAACTCGAGAGTAAAAAGCAAACTGGTTACACGCCAGGGACGCTACCAGTATCAGATCTTGGACCATGTGGATACGCTGCATCATTAGGACCCTTTGATGATGAAGATGATCGACATACTTGTCGTCTCTCCCAAAAAGCAAAGTCAAAGAGTTGAGCCGGCCATCGTCTCTGTTCCCCATCCATCATTACCTCCTTCTTTTACCTTGCGGATTCTAGACTTAACGCAGCTGTAGACCCGAAGTCACCGCCAACCTCGATACTGTGTTATCTAGGTAGTTACCTTCGACGATCAAGCCAAGTCACACAGGTGCTCGTACTTGATATTCCCTTTTCGCACTCTCCGTCAGGACTCTTGCAGAGGTCGCCCCGGCGCCCTGCTCTAGCGCGTTCTCCGCGCGACCTGGTTGCGGAGGGAGGTTCTCCTGGAGGGCAAGGAAAGAGTAAAGCGCCATGCACGCCTGTACATTAGTGGCTGGCGCCACAGCCCAAAACCCTGCGGGTCATCCAATTTTCAGGGGGGTGTGGGGGACGGCTGTTAGTGTGTGCTTCATCTCCAGCTGCGCAGTGTTGCTGCTGTTCAACGAGCCGGGATTGGTTGTACAACCTCAGGAGAGGGGGTGGTGATGAACCTACCTGCCTACCTCGATAGCCTGATGGCTTGCCTGGAGAGGTATCTCGATCTATCTACAAGTAGTTGTAAACGTGAAAAACCCTCTACCGGCTGGAATGACGGCTTGCTGCGCCGCTGGTTGTGTAGGTGTCCGTGGCGGTCCGGAAATATGAAAGAGGCAATGGACGGGCCTACAAACTTCCCAAGAAGCCCGTCTCCCTGTGCAAGGGAGCACTCGCAGACAACAAGTGTGAATCACTCTACTTCGTACGATTGCAGTGATGAAAGCACGTTGCTTCGTAAAAAAAAAGGCCTCTTTTTCAAATCATGAAGTTGATAATGGTCAGGATGAGCATGTTAAAGACAGGGGAGCGTAGCATAGTGCTTCTTCGGCAGCAGTGGACCGAGATCTTGGGGCGATTTCGTTGCTTCGGGGCGCGCGAACAGACATGACCGTTTCGCGCTCACGACGATCATTGTCCCTGGATTTCGTCTGTGGTGCACAACTCCCAGGTAATAAGCTCGTCGCAGTAGCACAATGATCTGCTGCTCCACCAGGTTTGGACAAGGGGTCCTGCTGGGCACGAAGAGAAGACTTGTACGAAGCAAGTGATGGCCAGACGTGCTGGATCACCTTACCTATGGTACCTAGAGTCGACAAGGTTGGTCACAACAGCGCTCCCCCGTCCGTCCTGACCTGGTGCGGTAGGTAACTAGCTTTCCAGCTGCGCCAGCAATGCCAACTATTGTAGTTACGCGGGCCGCGATATGGGACATGTGGCCACCTCTTCCCTCCTGCGGGCTGAAGAATGTCTGTTTCGGAAGGGCACGGCGATCCATGGTTCCAAGACTCTGTGCCAAAGTCCGCGGACGGCACGGAAGGTCGCCTCGCAGGCCCGCACGGGAGGTGTAAGCGCCCTTGCATGACCGACTTGATGGATCCAGGAACAGCCTGCCTTCCCTTCGTGTAAACTTGGCTCAGAGAGAAATTGTGTCAGAAACGCGTCGCCAGGATGCCGAGCGCCCCTCCCCAGTGATGGCACTGGCGGAGAATGGACGACGCGCGTTGGCGGGTGAAGCTTGGAACCTGTCGATGACCTTCTGGTAATATGCCATAAAACCCAGCCCAGCCCAGTCCAGCAGGGGTGGGCTTGTGAAGGTGTCCTGCGGGCCGCCTGGGACTCGTACAGATTTGGCATGCTGGTAAAAAAAAAAGAGACTAGTTGTGTGCAAGGTACGTAGGTATCTGCAGCTCCGTACTACCCATTCTAGAGCTCTTCTGCACTGCCGTCGAGGATGATCGACCTCATGGATTACTGATTATGGGTTATGCGGATAATCAAAGACAAAAAGACACAAAGAGGGTGTGCCAGGCCGCCATCAGGGCGACCAGGGGCTGGTGGGAACGCTTGGAAGGGTCCAGTCGGGGTATTTGGCGAGAAGGATCTTTTTTGTTTCGTGGCGCTGTCCAGCACCACTCAACTTGAAACGCCGCACCAGGGACAGGACCATGCTGCAGGGGTCAGAAGAAAGGGTGTGAGCATGTTGACATGTCCTGTTGAACCTATGAATGAAGGCCTGGCTGACTTCTTCCGCTGCCAACAGGACGAGAGCCACCAACAGCAGCAGTGAGGCAGCGCAGCGTACCTATGTATTATTAGATTAGGTAGGTACTTTAGGTAAGTGTCTGTCCTGGTACTTTACTTGGAAGATACCAGCGTCGTAAGGAGGGATCAGAGCCTGTTCCAGGGGAGATACTTTGACATGTCTGAGGATACCTACGTTGATTCTTTGGTAGTGGCACGTCGTCCATAACCAGGCCCCCTTGCAAAGGGTCAATGGCTAGCCAGAGACATGCTTGGCGCTTCTTGTTGGCTTCGAGCTTGAGTGAACCTCGCACAGTGGACAGCATGCCCGATTTGGCCATTGCCAGATGCCCAGCGAGAAACCTCATCTGGCAGGCCTGCGTGACATGTTGCTATTCTCGTATGGCACCGATCTGGCCAGGCCCCCCGACTGCTGGGCCTCGGCCGGGAGCCAAAGACAGAACAATCGCCTTTGGCCGCCCTTCATGACAGCCCTCACAGGTTCCCTGCAATTGCATGTCGCTGCATCTTGGGGCAGATGCTGGAAGGGCTTTCAGCTCATGCGGTGATATCTGCATCCAAGGTGCTAGGCCCAGAGAGGAACCCTTCCCAGGCCCTTGACACCACCCGTGAGATGCAAGATGGCGGGAAGCTATGCCTGTCCTGGGCGTGCCAGCATGTCACGCTGGATCTGACAGCCATTCAGGAGAGCGGATGCTGGTCCTTGCCCGTGGCGGTGGTATGTTGGATGGAGGGCTGTACAAGTACGAAATATGCACACTTGTATTGTGCGCGACGTCGTGGAATCAACTGGGCTTCCAGAGACAACAGTTGGCCACGACCTAGGTACAGTGATCACACCGTTTCTCCAGGACCCCTGTTGTAGGTCATTTTGAAGAAACCCCTGCTTGAACTAGCGCCGTGGAGCCTCCCACCCCCCCTGCTTAAGGGCGGGCTGCTTGTACTGGCTTGTAATGGGCCTTAGACCGCTTCGAGAGTTGTTGCAGAAGCTCAACAGTGAAACCTCCAGGGCTGGCTTCTTCCTGTTAGGTCGAGTGTGTACAATGAACAAAGTACAAGCAGAAACAACGGTTGATCTAGTCTAAGGTACCTACTTATGTATTTGCAGTCAGAGCCAAGACTGGGCAAGACCACCACTAAGGCGCGTATGGCCTCGAGTATCGAGATGGGCTGGACGTGGCATCGGTGCTGGCTTGTCCGGCTGGATCGATAAAATTGTATGAATTCCAGGCCTGAGGGTTAGTTACTTCGTACGAGATTCCTAGGGGCCAGGAGGCACTGGCATCCCCAGCTAGACTCACTCTGGCAAAGCCAGGCTTGAGAGTTCATCTCTGTGTTGCTCTATCCTTTTTCGATGGCTACCTCAAGTACCAAATGTTCTGCACGAAACGAGCAAATGTCACCCATGCATCGAAGGATGCTAAAGATGCTCGATGAAGCCGTTGTCAATTTTGTCCGGGATCGAATCTTTCCAGTGGAATACCTATGTAGCAATCAAATCAAATCGTCTCTTGGTGCTCTCGAACGTCTCATCGATCTCCCCGTCCCCCTCCCTACAAGTACCTACATGCTTTACCTGCTTGATCTATTTCTGTGCCGATGCCAGAGCTAGCCCGCCGAGCCAAAAAATCACCTGCAATTGCATTCCCCCCCACCAAATTTCTCCTAGTTTCACACCGGGCCACACAGTGCCAGGGGGAACAGGGCTCCAGGGCCCCATTCTCGCTCCCTCCCGCAATTGCTTTGGCTCCTAGCACAGTTGGTTCCTTTCAGGCACTCCATACGCCGTACGTGCTGGGGGTCCCGTCTGGTGGCCGTTGCCGTCACTCTTCCACCCCAAACCTAAACACCAAAACCGCCGCCCACTTTGCGTCGTGCAGAAGTGCGTCTGGGTGTACCTATTGTGTGCGAGTGCGAAGAGTGTGTGTGCTGGCCCGTCTCTTCAACCACCTCCAGGCCAGCCAGCTGGCGACGACGACATCTGCCCGCACCATCATCAATCACCTTCCCTTTGTTTTACACCAGCGCGACCGGCGTTATACTATATGCGCGACCCCGTTTCCATCTCAAGGCCATTGTCTGGCGACCGCCCTCTCTTCTTGTCGTCGGGGGGCTTTTTCGTTCATGCGAGGCTCGATCCAGTCGCCAACATCCCCCCAATCTCTCCGTGGTGATTGGCCGTCTCCCTCTTTTGGCTCGTCGACAACCAAGTCGATCCCGCCCTGCCACTCTTCTTCCTGATTGCCATTGCCGGCACGCCTCTGCACCGACAGAGGCACCACCGGCACCATGTCGGTCGTCGACGACTACCTAGATAGTCCTATGGACGGAGACGATGTCTTCCCGTGCAAAGGCTGTGGAGAGATCCTGGAGGAGGGGAAAGCCTTTGAGCTCGGTAGGTAATCCCATACATCTATCTCTACACATCGTGACGCAGGGGCTTGTCGCTCTTGCTTGCCACCGAACCCCCCCTCCCCCCTCTTCTTGTCCTTCATCCCAACTCTGCCGCGGTCGCCTCGCACGCCCTCCGTCCACGGATGCGTCCTTGGCCAATCCCGCTAACCTCCCGCAGCTGGTAACCGATGGCATTTGAACTGCTTCAGGTGCAACACCTGCGGCACCCTGCTCGACTCGGACGCAAACCTCCTCTTGCTCGGTGACGGATCTCTGATCTGCAACAACTGCACATATAGCTGCAGCGCGTGCAACAACAAGATCGAGGATCTGGCGATTCTCACTGGCGACCAAGCCTTCTGCGCAACGTGTTTCCGCTGCCGCAATTGCAAGCGCAAGATTGAGAACCTTCGATATGCACGCACCTCCCAGGGCATCTTCTGTATGAGCTGCCACGAGTCGTTGATGGCAAGACGAAGGAAAAAATCCAAAGCCGCCGCGCAAGCAAAGGCGCGAGAAAAAGACGCCTCGCCAATGCTGGTCGACAAATCTCTTCCTGCCCTTCCTCCGAATGCCATACCGCCCGGTGCTTTTGCGAGTCCGAACGACAACCCCTCGTCCGAAAACGAAGCTCCCACCGAGCTATCACCCCGTCCCCGGCCGACGTACCCTAGAAACGATTCATCATCAAGAGACAGCCCGAGAACAGACCGTTCACCCGAACGCCAGTCTGAGTCTGCCAGGGATACAAGTCTCAGCCTGCCCGCTACGAGCTATAGAAACAACAGGAACTCTACCATCCTCGCGCCGCCGGCGGAAATCTCGGGCGGGGATGGCGACAGCTTCTTTATACCTGTTGCCCTCGATCCAAGCCCGGCTCCTTCTACCACACCTCGGTCAACAGCCGAAAACCTGTCCGAGGCGAACAGGCGAAACAAGGACAAGGACTACTTCACGGCCAAGTCGAACGAGAGGAAACCTGAATCACAGGCGTCTACGCCTCATATAGCTTTTCAAGACAAGGGTCAGAAAGGGTCGTCGGAGTACGAGGACAATGCACGTCCTCCGCGAGAGCCCAGCCGTAAGCTTTCCAAGTCCTCGAGGAACGACGCAAGGAGCGATAAGGGCGCCTCAGCAAAGGCGTCTCCAGCTGTGAGCGATGAGAACAGGAAACCGGCCAGTGTCAAGACAGAAGAGTTCAAGCTGCAGGACGCACCAAAGAGCAAGAAGTCTGGAGCGGGCCGAACCAACTCTCAGTCGGCAGTATCCCTCGACAGCGGCAGGAATAGGGGCAACAGCGGTGCGCGTAAGGACCAGTCCGGCTCACCACCCTCGCTTGCTGCAGCGGACAAGGCCGGGACCCCGCGATCGTCGCAGGACTCCCGCTTCAAGGATGACGACGAAGAGAGGCCGTCACAAGACACAGCTTCGTCGCAGCCGAGGCCGATCGCGCGCAAGGAGCTTCCTTCATCTGCTGCCCGCAATGGTAAGGATCCACTCAGATCTATCAGACACCAACTCTCATATACTAACACGGCCTCAGTCAATGGCAAGTCGGTCCCTCCATCGGTGAAGAGCCACAATTCGGAGGAGCTCGTCGTACCACCCAGGCCAGGCATGCCCGAACAAAAGTTGAGTGACACGTACATGCAGCCTCGGGCACCTCCGCAGCCGCCTCCGCGTCCTGCGCATACCCCAGGCTCTGCTTCCGTCAGCAGCTTCAACGAACCCCCGTCTCCTCCTACTGGTCCTTCACCAAGTCTGCCACGATGGAGTGCCGGCGGAGACTTCAGCATGGAGGAGGACATGGCCCGTATCTTGGGCACCGACGAGGGCTCCTCATCTATACTACGCCGGGTGTCTAATGCCGTAAGGCACGGCCGCACCAACAGTACCGAGTCAAGCCAGACTGCAGGGAGGATGATGGGCCACCACCGAAGTGTGAGCGAGACTACCAGGGCAACTGCATCTCCACGGTGGCCGAAGACCCCTATCGCAGAGCATGACGCAAGTCATAGCATCAGCAGTCCTATATCAGTGACTGGCGGAGCCAAGGACGACCCGGCGTTTTTGAAGCGCCAACTGCGAGACTCTGAGCAACGAGTGGCCGAGCTCGAGCGCCAATTTAATACTGAGAAAGACCTGAAGAATCTGAACAAGAAACTGATTGAAAAGCGAAAGACAGTTTCTATTCTTGACACTCAGACCGAGATCATGATCCGCCAACTCGAAGTTCTTGCTGGCTACGTCGAGAGAGCCAAAGAGTCCAAGAAACCTGTTGACCCCAGAGACTTGGAAGATTCAGCAATTAAAGAGTTTGTGCAGAAGCTGGACAAAGTCAAGTATTCCATGTCGGCTGCTATTGAGCAGCTTCACGCCGAACGAGACGAGCTCATTGAGGAGAAGAACCAAGCCATGGCAGACCGCGACCGCGCCCTTATGGAGTTTGAGCAGTTATCATCCAAGAACGCCCAGCTGGCCGATATGAACAACGACCTCACGCACCAGATCCAAGAGCGCTTCAAGTCTCAGATCAACACTGACATCAAATCACCTGGCGCTGGCCTGGGCATCTATCACACTCACAAGGGCCCCTCGAACTCATCTACCAACTTGGATACGTCCAGCATTCAGACAGGCCAGGCGACATTGGTCAGCACTGATGGTGATGAGCCCATTGTTGAATCTGGACCGACAGTAGTGAACATCCGGAAGGGACAGGTCAGAAAGTTCAACTGGAAGAAGGGGTCCAAGACGGTCGCGCATGGTCTATCCAAGGGAATGAACCGCGCCGTGGGGGCTTTCCAGCAGCAGCCTGAAAGGGGCCAGTATGGTGCTCTGACTGGAGACAGCATCGGCCTGCCTTACAACATGACTGTCGCCCAGGTCGAGTCCCCCGTTCAGGTCGGGCCCAACGGCCAGACTCGCATCCCCAGCGAGGCCAGTCGGCAGGGTTTTGGCTTCTTCAGCAAGAAGAACGCCCCTGTTCCCAAATCGAACTCATCAGCCAATGTGTCGATGGCCACAGTGCCCGAGGCGCCGACTACACTCTTTGGGTCAGATCTCGTTGAGCGTGCTGATTATGAGCGACGCCAAATCCCCAGCGTCGTCACACGCTGCATAGAGGAGGTGGAGCTTCGGGGCATGGATATCGAAGGCATCTACAGAAAGACGGGAGGCAACTCGCAAGTCAAGATGATCCAGGAAGGGTTTGACAAGAACGAGGACTTTGACATCTCGGACCCCGGCCTGGATATTACAGCTGTCACCAGTGTTCTCAAGCAGTACTTCCGCAAGCTGCCGAATCCACTCCTCACTTTCGAGGTCTATGAGAGAATCCTTGAGTCAAACTGTAAGTTTCTCCCCCACTTGTGTGTGGGCGTTGATTTTCAGATGACAAACTAACATCTTACAGCCATCACTGGTGATGAAGATCGCTGCGCACATCTCAGGAAGACTGTCAACATGCTTCCGGCTAAGCACCGTGACTGCTTGGAGTTCCTCATGTTCCACTTGGCACGTGTTGCCAGTCGTGAGCGAGAGAACCTGGTAAGTCGCATATCCTGACAAGAGTCTTCTTCTGGTGGACAGCTGTCGCTAACCACAACGCACACAGATGTCTCCCAAGAACCTTGCGGTGGTGTTTGCACCCACCATCATGCGAGACCACAGCCTCGAGAAGGAAATGACAGACATGCACGCCAAGAACCTGGCTGTGCAATATGTCATTGAGCACAGTGACGAGATCTTTGGCGAAGAGTAAGGGCGAGACTGTTTACCAGATTGATCTGAAAGAGATCATGCTCGCAGTCTCTTGGGTCTAGTGTACTTTTCACATTGCAGCTGGAACACGGTTGATTTCATCTGAGACCAGTTGAGCGAGAAGGATGGCTTGAGTGGTGGGACTGGTCGATTGGAGAGGTGATGAAAGATGACGAAGCTCATCACGAAAGAACGACGAGTCTCAGGTTGCACTTCTGACAGATCATTGTCTCCGGCGTTGGGCTCTTTTTTCTTCCCTGGGTATGGCGTGCTGCGCAATATCCAACACGCACATTTTCAGGTTGCCACGGGCTTCTACTCCTGTCGTTTTCGGGCTATCACTTTCTTGTATGGGCAGGGGTCTGTCTGAACGGGCCTCAGCACCATGCCTCGCTGCTACATTTTGATGCTAGATATTTAATGATATCCCGCTTGCGTGCGACTATGGCGAGTCCCATCCGGATTCTTGCATTTGCATTGCACACCCTTACCTCTGCCACGAGAAACGAAAGGCGTCTAAATCATTCATTGGGTATCAAGAATGCTACTACCGTAACGACGATCGGGCCGAATTTCCCCAAAGGGCCGGCCGAGCACTTGGGCCCCCTTTTGGCCATGAGGCCCGGGCAACAAGACTACTTCTCCATCATCTTCTTGACCTTGTCGAGCAGGATACCGCTCTCCCTGCCAAGCTTGCGCGGGCCCTGCTGGCCACCACCACCACCACCAGCAGTGCGTCCGCCTCTTGCACTGGGATGGCCGCCAAGGCGAGGGCCTTTCGACGACCGCGCCCGTGCCATGGCCTTGCGTATCCTCTCGCGCTCGGCCAGCTTGCGCTGCTTCTCCTCCTCGCGCCGCTGCCTCTCGGCCTCGCGCTCCTCGGCCTCTTTCTTGCGGCGGTCCGCCTCGGCGAGCTGCTTCTCAAAGTACTCGGGCTTGTTGCGCCTCCGGCGGCTGTTGTTCTTGTGGTGGTGGTTGTTGCCGCTGGCGTGGTCGCCATCCACCCGCGCTGCTTCTGCCTCCTCCTCCTCTTCGCCGTCGCCGCCGTCGTCGTCTAGCATGGCCTGGCGCTCCGGGTGGATTTGGGGCTCGGCCTCCGCATCGGCCTCCGGGTCGGTGTCTTGGGCGCCATCGGCCGAGGTTGGGTTTGCTGATGCTGCGGCTATGGTGGTGGTGGCGGCGGCGGCGGCTGCTTGTTGCTCCTGGGCCTTGATCTTGGCGTATTCCTTCTTTACTTTGGCTTTGTGGATCAGGTCTTTCTTGATCTTTGTCACTGTTTCCAAAAAATGGAAAAGGGAGGTCAATCAATGTTCACTGCGGTATGGGCGGAGGAGAGCGACCAACCTTTGCGCCGCCAAGGGCCGTCGGGCAGGTTCTCTGGGCCAACACGGAAGCCGTGGCGGGGCTTCTTGGTCTCTGGTGCCGTCGAGGTTTCTGCGGCCTCGAGGGGCCTTTTGGGTGCCATTGTTTTTGGTTAATGCCAGGCGGACACTTTGTATGCTTTACACAAACTGTTTCCCACATGGAAAGACGGAAAAGGTGCCTGTTGATGGCTGCACTTCTGCCAATGTCACAAGTGGGGGCAACTTTTTTCTGTCGGGTGGATTTCATGCAAGCTATTAAACTGATAAGATAAAAGCGGTGAGCAGGGCCACGGGACGCGTTGTGCACGTACGAAGTAGTCTGGTCTGGAGAAATGATTGACTCTTGGAGAGGAGATGCGCTAACAGCCCGCCCGGAATCGGCTGCAGGGTTTCAGCACTAATAAACCACTAGATCAAACAAATCCAACGGGTTAGAAGATAAAGAGGTCTACGGGTAGTCTTCAGTCAGGATGAGTGGGAATGTGGCGGGTCGTGTGCCAGTGTCCCCAGTTTCGTCCATTGTAGCTGAGCTGACTGTAGACTGACGGGTGTATACGAACCGAGTTGAAAGAAAGTACCTACCGAGCGAGGTAAAGTAAGGTACCTAACTGGTAAAAGCAAGAAAGGTAGACTAGCCGAAACAGCGTCACAACGTCACAGCACCCTGGTAAGACTGGAGAGAAGGTGCAAGTTTCATGATGAGCCGGGCCCATGATGGAGGGAGCAGCATCATCTTTGTGCCGGAGTTTAGGCTTTGGTAAGAGTTTGCCGGGAACCACATACTTTAACAAACAACATGAGGTCCTTGACCCGATCCCGCAGGTTTGAACCTTGTTCGACAGGAAAAGGGCTGATTCGTCCTCGGGTGCCAGGCCTGCAACTGTGTGCTGTAACTAATTATGCTTGGGTCTTCCCAGCCAGCCAGTCTATACCTTAGGTACCATGAATGATTCGCCCGACTTGCACAACTCACACACACTATGATCATAACTCGTCAGGTAAGAAAGGACCCTTGCTCAGTCAAAACACCGCTTCGGGGCCAAAGGGAAGAGCAAAGCAGAAGGCAGAGTAAGAGTCACAGCGGGAGAGAACGGTGGGGATGGGCGAATGGAGCACGATGGAGCCAGCGGAGCCAGCGATGCGTGGCCTGGCAGGGTGGTGTGGGTGAGGCGAGCTGCACTCCCACTGAATCCCTGCCCTCTCGGCACTAATCCTCCACTAGAGTCCAGTCGTTGACGCCCGCTTTTCTTCTTTCTGCTGGTCCCCGGTCCCGCTAGGCCAGTAAGGCCCTGGCGTTGATCCCGCCCGGGTGTTGGGTCAGGTGTCACCTGCTACAAGAGATTAGCAGGGCGAGAGCGGGTGCTGATGATGCAGTTGCCCGCTGGGTCGTGGGCGGTGCAGGGCCTCCATTGTCACCTGTGTGATCTATTGCTTTTTTTTGGCGACCAACAAACACTGTCCTCCTCGTCTTTCCCTTGCTGACAGATTGCGTCTTGGTCTGCAAGCACGAGTGAACCCAAGGAAGGACAGACATTGTGAAAAGAGGACACTGATTCGTGAAAGAGAGGGGCCGAAAGCACTCCCCGATCTTCCCACCGAGCGCGTACTGGGTTCCAGAATTACCTAATGACCCACGAGCCGATGGTGATGTTATATCACGACCACCGCCGACCCTGACCGAGCTCGATTCGGTTTACGACCACCACCCCTTGAAGAGACACCGAGCAAACTCCTCGTTCATTTACCAGACTGTAAAGACGTACACGGCTGCTCCTCGACTCACCACGGCACAACACCTTGCTCTCTACGGCTGAGGAACGGACTACCTTCAAAGAGCGAGGAGGAAGCAGCATGTTGGAGCTCCGGTAACCCTCCGAGCTAGAACCCGAGACAAAGGTCCAGCCGGCCTTATTCCACACATAAAGAAGCCTCTCGGACCGAGCTGTCTTTGACAACTGCCTGTCATAAGATCTGCTGTCTGCATGGGGCTGAGCGGCCGTTGGGTATGGTGGAGTTGCTGATTGCTCACCATGCCCATGTTCCAAGATCACTTGGAGGAGGAGGCTTCCCAAGCGCCACCTCCTCCTCCAAATGCAAATCCAAACAACAAACCTTCCCGGCCAATTGCGATCCCTTCGTCTGACAACCTCCTGGCAAGGAAAGTCTCAGAAGAGAGCGTCCGGACGGACCTGTGTGAGGGCCCTATTCCAGATAGCCCAGTTCCCAGGACGCCTGAGAGGGACATGGCCAATGCTTGCTCGGATCGAGCTGAGTTGATCGAGAGGCTGAAAAGGGGTGAGAGCCCAACGTGGGTCCCCAATAGACATGTGAGTGCACGCCGTCGCCATAGGCCCTACATCATTCTCCCAAACTAACGTTTCTGGCTACAGCTCGAGTCACTCTTCCAACGTGGAGGTCCGTTATCGCCCACAAGGAGTCCTAGGCCGTCTTCTAAGGGCTCCCCCACGCTGCTACCACCGGCAGATATCACTCCTGAAAAGGATGCTCCAAAGAGAGCAGACCAGGCTGAACTTGAGGCTGCTGAGCAGCTGCAGAATGGACTTGATATCGAGCGTCCGAGGTCTGCCCTGCACAGCGGTGACTTCACACTGCCTGGAACGCCTTCGGAACGGACCATTCATGCTCAGGAGTCTAGTCTGAGTTCTGCTCCCAAACCTTTCCCTGCAAACAACGATCCATGGCTTTCAACATCACCCCCACGCCACTTTACCCCTTTCGCCTTCGACAGAAGGACTGCCTTCACTCCCAGGTCCGAGGAAACGAGATCTGCTCTTTCGTCTCTTTCTTCCTCCCTCTCCTCCAGCTTTGTATACAAACCTCCGACAAGTCCCTTGGTGCAGTCAGAGAGCAACGAGGATCTCGAACTATCACTGCCCCTGAACAACATCGATCTCACACCCAAGAGTGTCCGAAGACACATAGTGACTCATCATTCCCCATCTCCGTCTTTTCACCTCTCACAGCAGCGTCATGTCTCAGGGCTTCGCAGAGACGCCGCCTTCCCTTATCAAGCTCATCAACCCCGACGGTCCCTAACATCCACGCCCAATTTCTCGCCGGCCACCTCTGCACCTCAGACGCCGTCTCTCCGCTCTCGGAGGCCATCTTTAAGCACCGAGAACTCACCCCTGCAACATGCCTCCATGGTTGGCTCATACGAGGAGAGCATCCTCAGAGGCCGCATGTCCACGACGCCGTCCAAGCCACTCGATTTCATGGCCCAAATAGGCGTGCTCGGCCTCGGAAAATGCAAGGCGAGCCTTCGGTGCCCAGCTCATGTAACATTGCCTTTCTCTGCCGTCTTCTATAGCTACTCCAACACTCCTCATGGTCGCTCGAAGGCGGAGGACGGCCCGAGCCCCTACGTTGGTCAGGTCGACCTGGAAAACGGCCTGCCCAACCTAGAAGAGGACCTGCGTGCTCGGCGGAAACAGCAGAGTCGAAATTCTGCAAGAAGGGCGAGAGAGGATGAGATGGAGATGGACGGTGTCCCTCAGAACACCTCTGACCGCGAAAGTTCCAAGACGACGAGGCCGAAACGAAGATCGGGCTCTCCGAGAGCTCCTCCTGGCGGTGCGTATCGCATTCCGGAAAAGGGCCAGCTGCAGATCATCATCAAGAACCAGAACAAGACTGCAGTCAAGCTCTTCCTGATCCCGTATGACCTAGCGGGCATGGAGCCCGGAACCAAGACGTTTATTCGGCAGCGTAGCTACTCTGCCGGCCCCATCATCGACAGCGTCCCGGAAATCAAAGACTCTGTCCCCAGCGACCGGCCTATCCTGCGCTACCTGATCCATCTGCACATCTGCTGCCCCTCCAAGGGGCGTTTCTATCTCTACAAAAACATCCGCGTCGTCTTTGCCAACCGGGTGCCGGACGGCAAGGAAAAGCTCCGCAACGAGCTCACCTTTCCCGAACCTAGGTTCACCCCGTACAAGCCCATCCGCGTGATGCATCCCCCTACCAGCCAGACCACGGGGCCGGGGGCGATGCTCGCCGTGGAGAAGGCATACCGCAGGCGCAGCTCGGGCTGGTCCTTTGGCAACCACAACCCGGGCTTTGACCCCTTTGATGCCCTGTCGCCGCCTGTGCCCAGCACCAGCAGCAGCAAGAGGATGAGCTATCACGACTCGTCGTCCCCCTTCCAGGCTGTCGGCAGCAACGCACCGGTGGAAGCGTGCCCTCTGGGCCTCATCAGGGCCAGTGACGGCGATTATGCGAGCGAGAGCACAGCCTCGCACCCGAGCCGGCCTGCGACCAAGGACTCGAACGCTACGACAGAGTCCGGGTTGTCGATGTCTGGTCCTTCCGCCGCCGCCGCCGGGTCGTGGGAGGACGTTGCCAGCCGGTACAACAAGCTCAGCAAGGGTGACCTGGGCTACGGCGGGAACATGTTTGCTTCTAGCGGCCTGGGGAGCGGCGCATCCCCCGGCGGCGTGGCTGAGGGCCTCCTCTCGCAGAGACTGCGGTCACTGGGCGTGCAGCCGCAGGAGCAGGGTTCAGGCTCGCCGGGCGAAGAGCTAGGCGATTCTACGAGGATGCAAGACTGATTGGTCCCGTAGCCATGGTCATGCATGGCCTCATGGGGGAGAAGAAGAACGCTGTACGAGATGATCTGGCTGGGGGGTTTGTCTTGGTGCCATAGACAGGAAGGCCGGCTCACTGGATATTTCATTTTGTTTCATATTTGTCTCGTGAATGTTAACGTACATATGGCATGGCCAAGTTGATACTACTACCACAACCAATACCAGATTCAATAACGAATTAATTCACTTTGTGTATGTCTCGACTTTACAAAAGCGTATGTATCATGAGTAATATATTATTCGGGAGGCTCGTATCTCTATATCGTCGAGGTGTTGTACAGAACGTAAATGGTATTATTCTATAAATAGGTCGAGTGGCATCACGAAATGATTCGAGAGCCCTCAGAACCATCGTTCTATCCATCCACCCCCCACAAAACTGATCATACAAGCACAGGCTCTCGCTGTCTCGCTTTCTCTTTCTCTCCCTCCACCGCAAGGCCACGACTCCGGTCTTGGCCGGTCTTGGGTCGCGTATAATCGTGGACGTTGGACGACCCCTTCCGCTCTCCCTTTGCAGCAAAGACTTGCGGCCCCGCAGACTGATCTGCACTGCCCAGTTGCGGGGCGACGGGTTCAATGATGACATCGTCCCCCATGTCCGCCCTCTTCGATCTCTTGGGGTTGTTGGTTTTGGGTACCGTGCGGAGCTTCCGGAAACCAGGGTACTTGGCAGCAGGCCCCGGGCGTTCTGGCTCCTGTGCCTGGGTCTCGGTGACCTCAGCCGTCGATGCTACTGGTGAGGATGCTGCTTCTGATGGCGCCTGCACGGCTGAATAGCCCTCAAACTTTGCGAGATTTGGCTTCTTCATTGCTGCTTCGAAGGCGTCCTGTTGACGCCCGGGCTGCCGAACCTCGAGCCTCGGGACGCTAGGCGCCTTCATAGACAGTCCAAAACTGTCCAGTCCGCGCTCCGCCTCCGCACCATCGGCGCGGAGACCGTCAGCGTCACCGAGCAGCTCTTCCTCGATTGTCGAACCAGTTCGTATCATGGTGCGGATGGCATGCACCAGGAGCGGACACTCCTCGTTGATCTCCTTGAACAGCCTCGATGCTTCTGCGGACAGAGGCGTAAGCTGTTCCAGCTGGCCGTATTCCCGCGCTAGAATGATCAAGGTATACGAGATCGGCCTAAGGAATCGCGGGTTCCTGCCCAGGCGCCTCAGCTCCAGTGGGAGCAGGTTCTTGCCCTTCCGCCGCGCGCGGATGGTGGCCCATCCAGCCCACCCTGGCATCAGCCGTTGGTTGCACACGGAGAAGGCCTCCTTCCAACGCTTCATGAGGGCAAGACACTGGACGTAGTGGTTCCAGCCCTTGTTGTCGATCTCGAAGCCCTCAGCGAGCACCTGGTTGGTAATCCGTATGAGGCTGTCAGAATCATTTTCCTTCGTGTAGAGGCGGTACATCGTTCTCAAGGGAATGACGAGGGAGTATCGCCATGCAGGTACGATGCCACCCGCGTTGCCCTTCGTTAGATCCCGACTCTCCGCGACAAGCTCGGCATCGTCATGCGATTGAAGGGAGAGGGGCCCAGCCGGGCGCCCGCGGATACAGGCTTGCTGGAAGATATAATCCCACGTCGACTTGACGTTGTCATGATTACCCTCGCAAAAGTCAGAGACCATCAAAGTGCGCAATAGTCTCAAAGGCAACGGGCTGTCGTCCGAACCTTGGCCGAGCGTGTGCCGGTAGAGGTGAACAAGCTCGCGCACCGAGGCAAATGCGCCTATCTGAGTGAACAGAAACATCATGGTCGAGAAGTGAGACGAGAGATCGTCTGGCTTGCCGGCGACACCTCCGCGCTGTCGCTGAGGCTTGTCCTTCCCAAGTGACCGGTAGAACTCCCGCATTGCGTTTGCCAGGTAGTTGGTGTCCTTTTCCCGGTTACGAGGAGGTATGTCCCTCCATCTACGTAAAGCGTTGAGGACCACTAGCATGCGTTCGCTGCTCTGGCGAAATCCCATTTTGTACATCATCTGATTGACCTGAAGAGCCATGTGAGGCTCCCTAGTCCGGAGAAACCCGGCCATGAGCTGCACATAATGCTCGGGTGTAGGGTTGAAGATACCATCCTTCTGAGCCACACCAAGAAGATGGAGCGCTTGATGAGGCTGCTTGCAGTTCAGCAGGGCACGGAGAAGCTCGCTGTACGTCTCGCCAGTGTAAGCAAGCCCTAGTTCGGTCATGGTGTTGAGAACGCGATGGACAGACGTGAGATCTCGTTGTTCCGCGAAGAAATGTAGCAGGGTGTTCCAGAGCGAGGAATAGCTGCCCTGTAACTTCCTCTCCTTGGTTGTGGCCAAAGACAGCTCCTCGGCTTCCGTGAAGCGCTCGTTGTGGCAGTATGCTTGGACCACGCTGTCAACAATCGAAACCGTGAGCTCTATTCCCCGGCTTTGGGCCATCTTATAGAGCTGAAGAGTAAGGTCGAGATCTCCCCTGTTAGCAGACGCCCACATTATCGTACCAAATGTGTACTTGTCGGGGACCACCGCTTTGCATAGGTCACTGAAACACTTGGCGGCAGCATCATACTGCCCAGCCTTGATGTAGGTGCGAAGCAGGATATTCCAACACGCAGTGTTAGGCTCGATGTTGTAGGTCGCCTCGATTTCGTCAAACGTCTGCTGAACCTTTGCCAAATCACGATGGCTAAGGTGCACGTTCAACAGGTGTGTGAAGGTATCGTCGTGGGTTGAAATGGCGTCAGGGTATTCCCTTGTGAACTCGTTCCACAAACGATACACCGAAGCAACATCCCCACGCCGGGCATAGAACGCTAGGAATTTGGAATATGCCCAGCGATCAAGCCTTCCGTAACGAATATACCAATCTTTCATCACCTGCTCCATCCCTGCCAGATCGTCGGGATAAAACACATGCTGGACCATGGCCTTCAAGATGGCAATACGTACTCGCACCCCAGGAAGAGCCCGGTATTCACGGTACGCTCGCGCAGCCGTCTCCTTGTCCCGTTTCTCCACGCAAGCTCGGATGAAGTCTTCATACAGGAGGGGGTCCTTCAGCCAGCGGACGAATCCAGCAGCCTCTTGAGGCATCACAAGCCCTAGACACTCCCTGGAGAAGCAACGCAGAAAGGTGCTCAAAGCTTCGTACGGGCGGGAGTCTGATGGGTTTTTGGAAGATGTACCGATGTGACCAGCAAGAAAGGTGAGCTTGTCGCCAAGGTCAGGGATGGCAACAGCGTCTTTGAGTTCCTCTGTCTTGAGGGTTTCCTGTTTTGTAACCTCAACATATAGCTGCCAGACCGCACTCAAAGTTTCCCAAGCTGATGTCCTCAGGGAGTGAGCGATCAACGCCCCGATGCCCGCGCTTATGTGTTTGGTGGTCAGGGCGCGTTTGAATAGAGACAGTGCATGAGGAGCATTTTGCAGCATGATCTCTGCCTTGATGGCTGGCGCCAGGACGCGATCTTCCCACAGGTCATCTTTCATAGATGCGAACATCTCCGAGATTCGCCAAGCCTCGGTGACGCGAGTCGAATTTGACAGGTAAACTAGCACATCGCCCTGGAATTCAGGTTTGAGATTGATGGGGAGGTTATTGTACATCCTCCACACACTGTCTAGTCTCTGGGTCATATCAGAAGACGCTGGTATAGACAGGTATCGTCGGAGCTCGGTAGGGTCGGAGAGGTGGTATTCGTCGGGGTCACCGAACTGGGCGAAGAACGGATCTTGGTTTAGGACAGCTGTCTCGGCCATTGGGATATCCTTCGGCAGAGTCGCGTCGTCATCATCGCGGCACCTGGCGCCAACATTGGCGCGGTCGTCGAGAGTATGTGATACGATTTCCGCCAAATGGGTCGGAGCTGACGAAGCGTATAGTCGCAGAGGGACTTTTTGAATTTGCCTTGGTCCCTCATAACGACCGACCGTCCCTGGCACAAACCTACGCAAGAACGAAAGACTCTTCTGGGGATAGAGAAAGTCGAGTAGGAAGGGCGAGGCAGCCAGTGGCTCGGCTTTGGGAGGATTTGGCGTAAACAAGTCGATGGCATTCCAGGACACTGGCATCAAGGCCTGGCTGAGCTGTGCCAGCTCAATGTCAGGAGAGCCATGATGCCAAAAACTAGTACGGAGCTCCCGTGACTTCTTGCCGGAGTGGCTGGCGGAGGGTAGAACTCGCTGCAACGTGCATGGTTCTAGGACCACAGCCGTCCTTTCGAGCATTGGCATCTGGGATATATGGAGAAGCCAAACTCTGCTAAGGTCTTGGGGTAAGACGCCAGATCATTGTGAGAAGGGCCAGCGAGGAAAGCAGGTAAGAAGGTCGTATCGTCGGAGATCGTGGGAAGTTTGTCCTCGGATATCCAGGCTGCGAGACGTGAAGGTACCAGTTGGAAGGCTGGCTGACAAGTTCAAAACATGATACCGGCTTTTCAAAAGAAAGGAGAAAGTGCACTGCGTGGCTTGACGGTCAGGAAATGGGGAGGGGGAAGATCCTGCCGCGAGGGTGTAGATGCTAAGGCCGGGGTCTTGTCGTAAAGGAAGTATTTCAATGAAGGAAGGGGATCTCAAAAAAATGGTATGATTTCTATCAGGTCGGCTCGGGATCTAGAATACATGTTGGCAGGGGGGCCGACCACGCTAACAGATGTACCACGGCCCTGGAGATTACGGAGTAGGTGCACTGACTTGGTGCTATTCGGCGATCTCCAGTGCTGGGCTGCCGATTAGATAAGTCCGTACCTACCTAATGTAGCATGGAATTGAAATGCCGCCACCCACCGCCTGCCCTGCCCTCAGGTGCTAACTTAGTCCGTACTCCGTAGGAGCTAGCTGGTTTTGAGCCCGCCAGATGGTGCACAATGCGACTGTTCGACAATGTTCAGAAGGGTCGGATGGTGCGTGGAAACCCTAGCATTGGGATTTAGTTTGGCGATTGGCTCCTTCCTACGAAGTAAGACAAACAAAATGGTGCAAAACGCAAGCGGGGGAAAAAAAAATAGTGATTGCTTGTCCAGGGAATCGAACCCTGACCCTATCGTTGGAAGCGATAGATACTAACCATTATACTAAACAAGCTGACTGGTGAGAATGGGGCTGATTTTATTACTATTAACCCTCTCTTCAACACAATCTACCTTCTCTTAATTTCATACAGATACCTATTTTAATCTAATCCACACATTCTTATAGAAAGCCTCTTCTCTTTGCTCAGAGTCTAATTTCAGTGTATATTCCTAGTTATACTTCATTTCCATGTGTAAAGCTACCTTAACATAGCAGACACCAGTCCTGTTCTCTCCAAAAGAGGTTCACAGACCAGCTCACGTGAGAGCGCACGTAACTGGAACGCCTTGGGACGCACCACGCCGCAGCTGGCAGCGCGTGGGGCACACAAGAATTGGCGGGGCATCAATGATATTCCCTGCGAACAAATCGTAGATACCCCACACCAGCAAAACAGCAGTTGATGCCGTCTTTTGCATCACTTTGTCACTCTCAATTGTCGGTCCCACGCGACTCGCTCGTCCAGAAGAAGGGGCACAGATCTGAACTCCTACCACTCTCGGTAGGTCGCAGCGACAAGAAACGGTACTCTCGGTCTCCCCCCCCAACCTCCCGGACCGATCGAGAAGCTGTGCCATGAACATCACGAAGTTCGTCGTCTCATCGAGAGACAAGGCGCTGCTCTACGGCGACCACTCGACCTATCGGACCCAGCTAGCCACCCGACTTCTCAAATGTCGCAGGAAACTCAGCATTGCAACAAAGAACCGCGGCAAGTTCCATGTCAAGGAGAAGGTGACTGCGGAACAGGTTCGCGGCAACGATGAGTATGGCATTGCGCTCTCTTCTTGTTCTTGCTCTTTTCCTGCTGCTAACATTTGTCTGTTCCAGATATCTCCATCTCCAACTGCTGGCTGCCGAACGCGCTTGGGCGCATGCTATGGTTATGAAAAATACCCATACGGCCGACAAGAAGGGCATCTCCGGACACACTCGATCTCACATCGTCTCACGCCTCGATAAAGCTGCCAAGACCGCCGAGCATCTTGCCGGCGTACTTTCCGAGAGCGCAAGCGGAGCTACTGAAGCCGATATACTTGAAGCCAGAGCGTACGCTGCGTTGATGAGAGGCGCGGCACAGTTTGAAAAGCAGAGCTGGGAGCCATGCCTCCGCAGCTTCGCTACTGCGCGTGTCATCTATAGCGCACTGTCCACGACGTCAAGGGCCGACATCTTCAAAGACTTGCTATCGGAAACCATCGACCCCTCCATCCGATACGCTGCATATCAACTCAAGACCCCACGGTCACTGCCTATCCCGGCCATCGCTCGCAGGGCGTTTCCGCAATCCGATGACGCTCTTGTGGCCCTGGTGAATCATCTGGATCCTAATGTGCTGAGACAGGGGGAACAAGATGAGGAGCAAGGTCTTTCGGGTGCCGAGAGCGCCTCCAAAACTCTCACCTGGAGATCTCGGGAAGTCCGCATTGAAGATGCCGCCATTGCTACCTCGTGGGCGTCCCTGGAGACAGCCAAGGCACGCCTCAAGGAGCGCTTGACCTCAAAGTCTGAGCTGTCGCCGAAAGAGATGGCCGCAGCCTACGATGACGTGCTCATTGTGAGCCAAGATGCTGTCGATGCCACTAAACAGGCAATCGACGAGCTCAAGGCTGAAAAGGTCGATCAGGGTGACCAGCGCATGCAAAGCCTTTACATCACCAGAACAGCCGTGGGCTACGAGATGATCAGCTGGAGAATTGGCCGCAACCGAATCATGACTGGCGAATATGACGGTGCTCTATTGGATGGCGCGTCAGCGTCCAGAAGGAAGGCCTCGAAACGACCCACGGACCAGGACGAAGCGAAGATGGACGCCCCCGGTCGTGTTATCGCGCGGCTCAAGGAGAAGGTGGTGCTGTACGATGGAACTTTGCAGAGTCTGGAATCGATCAAGGAATTACCGGGTGTGGCAGCTGATGAGCAACTCGCCACTCAATTGGACGCCGCCTTCAACTACTTCACGGCGCTCAAGTAAGTTTAGACTTAAAGATCCCGGGCTCTCCTCTGCAGGTGGCTGACTCTCTACGCGCAGGTCACTGGCTATTGCCCGCTCTCATTCCATGGTGGGCAACCCCGAGAACGCGCTGGCGCTCACCAAATACGCCTTTGACCGGAGTGAAGAAGCTCTACCGCATCTCTCCGATAATGAGAATTCTTCGTCTCCCGTTCGAGACATTCGTGTCTGCCAAGATGACGCCAGATTCCTCCATAAGGTACTGCAGGGCGAGGTTCAACGCTGCCGTGCGCTGGTGGACATCGCGAAGCTGCGAAGTAAGGCTGTCCAGGGAAGCTTCCCGCCGAGCGCGGCACCTTTGAGCGACCGACTAGGGGTCTACCCGGCCGAGCAGTTGGATCTGGAGAACATCGTGGAATACCCACCCAGACTGCAGACCATCCCGGTCAAGCCTCTCTTCTTGGACATCGCCTGGAATTACATAGACTACCCCAGCAAGAAGGCGAGGTCTCAGGCACCATCCAAAGAGCAGCCCGCTCCACAGTCGGCGTCCCAGCCGGAGGAGAAACCACAAAAGAGGGGATGGTTTGGGTTTGGACGGTAGCAGCCGGTTGTCTAGATTCCTCGAGAGCACTCCCGTCAATTACATTCCTTCGCCTTCATCTAAGCATGAGACAAGACATAGTTTTAGCCTGCATAGCCCACTCCACAGTGACCAGTTCGTCGTCTGTTCCGCTCGCGCCAACACGCGACAAATTGAGGCTGGCATTCCTCACCAGCACCTAGCAGACAGTTGGAATGCACTCGACGTACGCCAGCAATAGGCCGTATTGGAACCGCCCCGTCTATTCCCTTGCTCCCTTGCCTCAATATATACATGCCCTACGTGCTCTTGCTAAAGTGTGCCCTCTCGGCAATGTACTCATTCACTCGTTCACGCTCGTTTTGGGACCTTGTTCTTCAAGGCTGTCGGCGACATGCCCGAGTCATCAAGTATGGCCGAGAAGGTGGGAGATGACCAAGTTCGACACGCAGGAGAATCGGACGTCTTCATTCCCAATGGCCCTGACGGGCACAAGAAGAAAAAGAGCGTCTCACTGCGCACCTTCTTGCTGACGGTTGTGGTGTTTATCCTTGCGCTCATCGGTTTGGGTCTGGGACTCGGACTCGGCCTGGGCTTGCACAGAAACAACACTTACATTACGATAAGCCAGGAGCCAAACACATTTGGGCTGCCAAAGACGCTGCCTACTGTCACTGCCGACAAGCTCATCAACTCGGCCGAGCTCAACCTCGCGACTAACTTTGCCATCTCCAGCGAGACCACAACCCGCAACTATGTGCTTAATATCACGCAGGCCTATGCGGCGCCCGACGGTGTCTATAAGCCGATGATTTTGATCAACGGGCAGTCACCCGGACCCCTGATTCAGGCCAACACCGGCGATACGATCAAGGTATGGTGCCCGAGACCCTCCAGGCTCTGCTGTGCTCTCAAGATTGAGTCTCGGCATATCAACGTCCTTACTCACCCCTTGGCTGTCCTCTAGGTCGTGGTAAACAACCAGATGAGCAACACGAGCATGACAATTCACTGGCATGGCATTGATCAGAAGAACACAACGGTCATGGATGGTGTCCAGGGGATTACCCAGTGCGGGATTCCTCCAGGCAAGAGTTTCACTTACGAGTTTCGGCCCGTCAACCAGCGAGGAACATTTTGGTACCATGCTCACCAGTCTGTGTATTACACCGACGGTCTGTTTGGCCCCATTGTATGTATTCGTCCCCCCATGCTGTCACGCTGGCTCCAAAAAGAGAGGGCAGTCCGCTAACAAGTTGCTGCAGGTGGTCCATGATCCTCAGGAGAAGGTTCCCAAGTACGATGACGAAAAGGTGGTGTTTGTCGGTGACCACTACCACACCTACGCGACCGTCGTCAGTATCCCTTGGCTCGTCTAAGCTCGCCTGAGGGCGAGTGAGGGTGTACTGTACCTGACTTACTGACCGCTTGGCAGCTTGTCGACTCGTACCTCCAGCCGGGATCTTTCTGGTCCCCGACCGAGGCCGGCGTCGAGCCTCTGGCAGACAACTTCATCATCAACGGCCAGCACACCTTCAACTGCAGCGTCACGTCGACGACGTACAACGCGACGAACTCGCTCTGGGACAAGGCGCCCCCCTGCACGGGCGGCAGGCTGTACAACACGACCGTCGAGAAGGGCAAGACGACGCGCCTGCGCCTCATCAACCACTCGTCCTTCATGTCCTTCTGGTTCAGCATCGACAACCACAACGTCACCATCGTCGAGATGGACGGCGTCGAGATCGAGCCCATCCTGGCCCGCGGGGTGTACCTCAACATCGGCCAGCGCTACTCGGTGCTCGTCACGGCCAACCAGACCGCGGGCAACTACTACATGCGCGCCACCCTGCCGCAGACCTGCTTCCTGCCCTTCACGACGTACGTGAGCGCGGGCCTCGACAGCATCGGCTACCAGGCGCGCGGCATCCTGTCGTACGCGGGCGCCGACCCCAGCGCGGAGCCCATCGGCGTGGCGGGCAACGTGACCAACCCGTACGGCATCGAGAACAACCTGCTCCGGGGCAACGTCTGGGAGGGCTGCGACGACATGCCCTTCGACATGCCCAAGCCGATGGACAAGGAGGATGCCTTGAACGTGACGGCCAACAACACGTATTCGATCTTCTTTCAGTTCCGACAGGCGGGCAACATCAACCGGATCTTTATCAACAGGGTAGGTCGACATTCCTTGATTTGCCTGTAATCGAGAGAACTCTTTCGGAGAGCTGATGTTGTGGTGATAGACATCGTGGAGTCCGCTTGAGACGGACGCTCAGATCTGGCAGACCCTCAACCAGTCGTTCGTCGCGGGAAAGGCAGGTGGTTATAACAGCTGGGAGTTCCCCCTTGACCAGCAGGTCCTGCTCCTCCCTGACGCCAACAAGGGAGTCCAGATTGCCATCAGTAGTATGGATGTGATGGAGCATCCCTTTCACATGCAGTAAGTTCCGCGCAACCCTTGCCATCCCTTGCTCTCATCCCTTTCCAATGCATGACAGCTGACTTCGGCCCAACAGTGGTAAATATTTCCCCACCACGAGATGACCAAAAGAAAAAAAAAGAACCAAAAAGGGAGAGATGAGGATTTAAGAAATGAATGGAAGCCTCAGTGGTGTTGGTGGTGGGGAGAAAGATCTCGTAAAAAACCAAGTTAGCTAACCAGCCATTCTCGGAACAGGGCACAGTTTCCAGGTCGTAGGCTGGGGCCAAGGCCAGTTCGGCGAGGGCAACACGACGTGGAACCTCAAGGACCCGATGCGCCGCGACACCATCACCGTGCCGGCACAGACGCACATCGTCATCCGGTTCCTGGCCGACAACCCGGGCGTCTGGGCCATGCACTGCCATGTCGCCTGGCACATGGAGGGTAAGATATACTCCGCACTCTCTCTGCATCCTATGCAGTTTCCTCGCTCCAACCATGACAAGTGTGCCTTCCCTCATGGCCGATCAGATGGCTGACCTGTGAATCCGCTCTTGGCTAGGCGGTATGTTTGTGTCATTCCTCGAGCGACCAGACGACCTGAAAAAGATGATCGGGTCGATGGACCCGGTGACCAAGAACACGACGATGGGCTTCTGTCCAAGCCGGTCGTAATGTGGCGTTCCAACTCTCTATGTATTTTTGGGGGGCGTTTGCAAGTGTGATCCAAGGAGTTCTATGTTTGTTTTCATGGCGCAGGAGTTGATGGTGTCAAGGGATGGATGATGGGTTTTCAGGAGTTGGTTTGGGACTAAGACGGCATAGCCATATGCAAGAGTGTATGGAATGCCGGGTGCACATCAGCTTTACCATAGTGTTTTAAAGTAGAGCACATCCGAGAGAGAGGTACGACCCATTTGAATATCACATGTTCGACGAACCAAAGAGTGTTGGCTATTTGAATATTCTTTTAAGAGAGGGGATTTTTTACGTTGATCTGATGACAACTTGTAGTTACATGCAATCCATCCCAGGAAACCCCCTAGGTTTTGCCACCCCCAATGCAGTAAGAATGTTCATAGTCATTCAGAACACCAAGTCCCCGCCGAGGGACCATCAGGTCTTTTTGCCAGAAAAAGCAGATACATGTCTGATGCTCAAAACGCCCCCCCTCCAACCGATTTTGCTTTTTTTACATTAATAAACATACGTAGGTAGACAGGAGTGGGCGATCGCGACCACAGATATGAGGGTAGGGTTGTTCAAGAGTACAGGGTTGAAATACATGGGAAGAGAAGTGAGAATCTATGGGTGACGCTCCACGCTAGTCAAACAAATATCGTTCAGGGTATAAGAAAAAGGAAATCTCAGACTAAGGCTCCTCTTTACTTGCTCTCGTCCTTCTTCTCGCCCTCGGCGCCGGGCTCCGAGGTGGAGGACTGGCTCTCACCAGACTCGGCACGGGCCTTGTGCATCTTGTCGAAGAGGTTCAGGCTGGCAACCTGGAGCTCGTCGGTCTTCTCCTTGATGTCGGCAGCGGTGGCAGTGCCCTCGCCAGCCTGGCTCTTGGTGATGAACTCGCGCAGAGAGGTGATCTTCTCGCGGATCTGGTCAGCCTCGGTCTTGTCGAGCTTGTCGGAGTACTCGTTGAGGGCCTTCTCGGTATCGTTCAGGACGCTGTCGGCGCGGTTGGCGGCCTCGATGGAGGTCTTGCGCTCCTTGTCGGCCTCGGCATACTTCTCAGAGTCCTCAACCATCTGCTGGATCTCGGAGTCGGAGAGACCAGAGCCAGAGGCAATGGTGATGGACTGGTCCTTGTTGGTGGACTTGTCCTTGGCATGGACGTGGACAATGGAGTCAGCGTCAATGTCGAAGGTGACCTCGACCTGGGGCACACCACGGTGCGCAGGAGGGATGCCAACAAGCTGGAAGTTGCCCAGGAGCTTGTTGTCCTTGACGAGCTCACGCTCACCCTGGTAGACCTTGATCTCAACAGCAGTCTGGAAGTCGGCAGCGGTGGAGAAGACCTGGGACTTCTTGGTGGGGATGGTGGTGTTGCGGTTGATCAGGCGGGTGAAGACACCACCAAGGGTCTCGATACCGAGGGACAGAGGAGTGACATCGAGCAGGAGCAGGTCCTTGACCTCGCCAGAGAGAACGGCACCCTGGACGGCGGCACCGATGGCGACGGCCTCGTCGGGGTTGACAGACTTGGCAGGATCACGGCCGAAGATGCTCTTGACCGACTCGGAGACCTTGGGCATGCGGGTCATACCACCAACCAGGATGACCTCCTGGATGTCCTTGGCCTGGAGGTTGGCGTCCTTAAGAGCCTTGCGAACGGGCTCGATGGTGCGGGTGATGAGGGGGTCGACCATCTTCTCGAGCTGAGCACGGGTCATCTTGATGTTGATGTGCTTGGGGCCGGAAGCGTCGGCGGTGATGAAAGGCAGGTTGATATCGGTCTGGAGGGAAGAAGAAAGCTCAATCTTGGCCTTCTCAGCAGCCTCACGGATACGCTGGATGGCCATGCGGTCGTTGGACAGGTCAATGGAAGACTCCTTCTTGAACTGCTCAACCATGTGGCGGACCAGGCGGATATCGAAGTCCTCACCACCAAGGTGGGTGTCACCGTTGGTGGACTTGACCTCGAAGACACCGTTCTGGATCTCGAGAATAGAGATATCGAAGGTACCACCGCCAAGATCGTAGACAGCGACAACGCGGTCAGCCTCCTTCTCAAGACCGTAGGCCAGAGCAGCAGCAGTGGGCTCGTTAACGACACGGAGGACGTTGAGGCCAGAGATCTGACCGGCGTCCTTGGTGGCCTGACGCTGAGAGTCGTTGAAGTAGGCAGGGACGGTAACAACGGCGTTCTTGACGGGCTTGCTCAGGTAAGCCTCGGCAGTCTCCTTCATCTTGTTGAGGACAAAGCCACCGATCTGGGAGGGAGAGTAGTTCTGGCCGCGGGCGGAAACCCAGGCATCGCCGTTGGTGTGCTGGACGATCTTGTAGGGGACCTCCTTGATGTCGCGCTGGACCTCAGCATCGGTGAACTTGCGTCCGATCAAACGCTTGGTGGCGAAGAGAGTGTTCTCGGGGTTGACAACAGCCTGGCGCTTGGCAGCGACACCGACTAACCGCTCACCATCCTCGGCGAAGGCGACGACTGAAGGGGTAGTACGAGCACCTGATGTGAGAAGTTCTAGTCAGCACGACTGCAAAGACATCCATGCTCATCAGAGCGCAAGCATTGGGGGTAAGGGTCAACCATACCTTCTGAGTTCTCGATGATCTTAGGGACCTTGCCTTCCATGATGGCAACGGCCGAGTTGGTGGTACCCAGATCGATACCAATGACAGCACCCTTAACCTTCTCCTCAGAGCCGGTTGACTCGAACCGGGCAAAGGTAGGGGCGACAGTCCTAGCGCGCAGGAAACCTGCAGAGCGCGAGGCTGCTGAGGTTGCCCTGGGAAGCTGGTACAAGTTAGCATTGAGCTCGACAGAGTCTGGAGAGATGTTTGAGGAAGCTATCCCGGGACCGGATCGCGATTTACTCAGATGCGACTTACAGCTCTGGAGAATCTGGAGGCCAGCATATTGATATGCGTAGATGTGTGATTGATTAAACAGGAACAAATACAAGATCAACCGGAGGAGGAGGAAATGAAGGAAAAAAGTCTTGTCCCAAGGAAAGGAGCAAGAGGTAGCTTTTGGAGGTTGGGAGGAGATTGGATTGGAGATGGAGATGGAATGGAGAAAGGAGAGGTGAAAAAGTTTACTACGGGACAAAAAATATAGGATGATGGCTGGTGCGTCGGCTTAGGTGCGGAAAGAGGTGGATGGACGATGGAAGCCCGGCGAATCCCAGGTCCCCAATTTTCTGGGGGGGTCGAGAGGCAACATGGGTCAAATTTCTGAGCATCATCCATGATGGCGAGCCAGTCCAGCCGGCTATCCCTCGGGCCAGTTGCCAGCCAGCGCCTCACGTGATCTAGCCGCACCTCAAAGGTTTCTTTTTCCTCCTTGTAGACGGGCACTGTCAGTAGTCGAGTTCGGGGCAAGGTTGCCCACTATCCACTGGCTAATCCACGGCGCCTGCACCACGTTACTCAGCTACACTAGCGCAGGTTATCCATCTCTTCCAGGTGCCACCAGACCCCGGGCATCCACTAACTGCAAGTACAGAGTAAATACATCACCGCGAAGCCTCAATGGAAGCTCTCTGCTCGACAGCTTCTCAAAGAGAGAGCAGCATTATCACGCTGCAAGTATGCTTGGGATCAGGATTCATCACATCCACTCACAGCCGCTAGAGACCACTCCTGCTAAGCATTGCAAAGACAATTTGAGCATGCAGTCCGGGGAAATAAAGAAGCAATCACATGATGCTGCTGCTCGTTGTTTTGTCGCCCACACAGGGGATCCTCAGGCAGTCCAGACTAGTAAGGTCGGCGGATTGGATCAGTAAATAATATATGAGGCACCAGATCATGGAGAGAAGCAGGTACTTCAGATCATGCCGCAAAAAGGTGACTCCAACTGCCTCTTCGAGCTGGGTTGGAGGGTAATCAATTCAAATCCCATGCAGGTGCATTAATTTGGTTCACACAAGACTGCCTATCCCATCTATGCAGTGCATCAACCTTTCATCATTAGCCGTCGTCAAAAGGTTAAAAGCAGATCTAGAGCACCAGTGTCCAGTCTGGTGCCAGCTCTTTCAAATTTTGATCGGGGCAGGCGAAAGGGATGAACAAGCTCGAGAGGGGGAACGAAACTGCACCTGTAGAGTCAGTCATCGATGATTGATGGATGATCGATAATGGGCCGCCTCTATTGGTAGAAGAAGCATAGATACATAATGTACCCTAGAAGCCTGCTCTGCTTCAGCAGCTTGCTTCCCCAAAAAAACGTCATCTCCACTCCGAGGAGCCTCTTTTGAATCACCTAACGTAACCTACCTAAGCCTGGACCAGCCAACAACCTCACATCCACCCATCGCATCCGCTGCGTCACCACACAAATCATTCGCACTCTGCCTCCGACCAGCACCCATGGTGTAAACATCATCTGCAGCTCAGGTAGTTGCACTCTGCACCAACCCTCTGTCCCTCCCTGGACACGTTTTCCGCGCCGCGACTGTGGAGAGTGGAGAGGCAGGCTTCAGTCTCTGACCACAGCGGCGCGCCTGGACTCGGCACCAACGACGTCCATGTCTGGCCACAAGCCCCATACCCCGACTTCGATCTGCAACGCCTCTCTACATCTCCGCTAATATGACTGTGAGAGATGAGAACATGTACGTGCTATCCTCCTGTCTACCATACCTCGACCATCTTGCCCGCAGATGTGCTGACTCTTGTGACTTCATCGATAGCTTCCACCCGACAGAGTCGTTGATCCTCAGGGAACCTCGGCGCCACTACCGCGCCAAAGTCAGTCCAATGTATGTCTCTCCGACCATCTCCTTCCGAGCGATCCAGTCCTCGCACAGCACTCGTGCTAATCAGAGCTCTTCTTATTAGTCATTGGCAACTGCGATCCCTAATCGGTGTCTCGAAGAGGGACCATGTCTACTTTCCCACAGGCAAAGACAGCCAGGATATCCGCAAACTGAACACCGCCACTCGAGAGGCAGAGACAATCAAGCACCTCACATTCTCACCCCGGTGTCTAGTGGCAGCCAATGGCTGGGTGTGCTGCGGTGGAGAGCACGGCGAGTTCTCAGCTATTCGCCTTGATGATGGTGGCGAAAGCCAGGAACTGCGACTCGATTTCGACCCCGATGAACGACTTCCCTTAGATCTAGACTCTCCAGCCCCTAGTGACGCCATATTCTCACTGCTTTCGAGGACGAGCCGACGTCGTTATGATGTCAAGAGCAAGAAGTTCGGAAAGGAACGGGTCAATTGCATTACCTTGTGGTTTCCGCCTGCTCTGGTCGACGCCTTTGCTGGAGCTTACACGACACCGGTCGCCATTCTGGCAAACAATGACAAACATGTCACCACGGTGGATCTCGAGTCGGACTCGTCCGACTTTCTAGATGAGATATCTTACCCAGACTGTGTCAACCGCGCCGTCATCTCTCCCGACGGGCGACTGCTCATTGCCATCTGCGACGACCCGTACCTCTACATCCATGAGCGCGTCGAGAAGGAAGTCAAAGGCAGCGGTCCATTCCGCTCTGCTGACAGGCCCGAGTACGAATGGCGCTCGTTTTCCAAGATCCACCTCAAAGGCCAGAAGAAAGGCGACAACACAAATTATCGAGGCAGCTTTGCTGCTTGCTTCTCGAGCACGGGCAGATATCTCGCCGTCGGGACTCAATACGGCATGATTTGTATCTTTGATGTTGGCCTTCTCCACGAGCCAGACGAGGCCCTCATCACCTACTTTGCGTCATCAACAGACTCAACCGCAGGCGCCATCCGCGAGATGGCATTCTGTCCCGGGCCCTTTGATCTCCTCGCATGGAGCGAGGATCAAGGCACAGTGGGAATTGCCGATGTCCGCGCCGGCTTTATGACTCGACAGATCCTGCGGCTTGGCGAGCAGCCCAATTACGAGCATATCAACCTGACCGAGAAGAGCCCGATCGATCCTTATCTACTCAATACTCGACCTGGAAGAAGCGATGAACCATCATCACTTGCGCAAACGCTGGGCATCTCCTCCTCAGAGCGACCTTCTCCCCGTTCTGACGCCCTGGAGCAATTCCAAACTCCCCTCACTGCAGACGAGACACAGGTCCTCGAGGCACTCCAGGAGCACCGGCGACGGAGGGAAAGAGATGTACGATCGCCAGCGCAGGAGTACCTCGGAACCCGCTCACCATGGAGTCGGACCATAACCCGGACGCCCCTCGCCACTGACAACACAAGGTCACGAGAGCGGAGTGCTAGTGTCTCTCGCACAGTGACTGATCTACTTGGGAATGTGCAGGCTCAAAGAGAGCGGCTCCAAGAGGCACAGCAGCGCCTTCGCGATCGGGAACTGGCCGACGTCGAGCGACGGCGCTCAGCTGTCCAGGGGGGGCGACAGACTGACACTTTCTCCAGGCTACTGGCCGAGACCGAGGCAGGCAGGGCTCCTTCTCGCGAAAGCCTTCTGTCCCGTATACTCAGCAACTCACGGGCCGGTGGTGGATGGGACAATCTCGAGGCGCTATACAATTTGTCCGTCGAACCCGGTGGGTCTTCTGAAGCACTGCGCGCCGACGAGGCTGAGGCAAATGCGAGGAGGGACCGCGCAAACATTGTGAGCTCGCTCATCAGCCAGGTGAATGTGCGTAACTTGGATGATGAGATCTCTGTGTTCCTCGGAAGTCGTCGCCGTACCGGTGGGCATGGTAACCAACATGGTAATGGGTCCAGCGAGCCCACTAGACCCGATGATACCTCGGGCCTGGCTTGGAGTGAGGATGGCAGGATCTTGTAAGCGCTCCCTTCCTAACTAGGCCTTCGTTTTGCATCGAAGAAACAACAAAAGCTAACTAGTGCTAGGTATGCGGGAGCTGAGGACGGTATCTACGAATTCCACGTCAATATCACTGCGAGGAAGCTGTACCCGAGTATTACGATGCGTTGATGCCCTCTTCTTCTGGCAACGCGCCCACTGTCCTTCCTGACGGCTTTACATCATTTGCAATATGCGGCGTTTATTTGGTTTTGGCGCGAAAGGAGATACCTTGACTAGCATGGGTAACGAAGGGGCGATGCATTTTCGTTGTATTTTATATTTATACCTGATTAATAGCCAGGGTGCGATCATTTTGTCATAGCGGTCGCTTGAGTAGCAAGCAGGCAGAAAAAGCCAATAGGTGACGATTTACTATGCTTCGGTGTCTTTGGGAAACGGGCTTCGAGAGTGCGCCGTGGGTGAACTTATTTATACAAGAGGCCCTCTACCATCTCCCCTATGGCCAATGAACTAGTCAAGCCGGGACTCTCGATGCCCAAGAGACTGATCCAGCCCTCGTATCCTTCCTCTTTTCGTATTATAAAGTCGGCGAAGTCCTCGGACCCGGGACCGCTCAGCTTGGGCCGTATGCCCGCGTAGTCGGGCGTCAGGTCCCGCTCGTCGATCCCGGGCAGGTACTTCTTGATCTCCCTGACGGCGTCGGGCAGCCGCGCCGCGTTGACGGCCAGGTCGTCGGGAGAGTCCACCCACTCGACGTCCGGGCCGAAGCGCATCCGCCCGGCCAGGTCCAGCGTCAGGTGCGTGCCCAGGCCGCCGAGGCCCGGCTCGGGCACGGGGTAGATGAGCGTCTTGACGCGCGGGACGCTGCTGCCGCCGCCCGAGTAGCTGAAGTAGTTGCCCTTGGCGAAGAAGAGGCGCACCCGCCGCTCGGCGGAGGGCGCGATCATGTTGTGCACGGCCGCGGCGCCGAGCCCGGCCGCGTTGACGAGCGTCTCGCTCGTGATGGCCGACTCCTCGCCGCTCTGCCGGTCGCGCACGCGCACCTCCCACCCGCCGGCACCCCTGCCGCCTTCGCCCAGCGGCGCCGCGCCCACGACGTCGGCGCCGAGCGCCAGCTCGCCGCCCCGGTCCTCGAGGTCCGCCAGCAGCGCCGTCATGAGGCCGTGCGAGTCGACGATGCCCGTCGAGGGGCTCTCGAGCACGCCCGCCCGCGCCGCCACCCCGGGCTCCCGGCGCGCCGCCTCCGCCTCGCCGACCCAGCGCGTCGGCACGCCCAGCGCGTCGCGGCACAGCGCGTGGATCTCGTCGAGCCGCGCGCGCTGCGCCGGGGTCTGCGCGACGAGCCACTTGCCCGTCCGCGCGTGGGCGACGCCGCGCCCGGCGCAAAAGTCGTACAGCTGCTGCTTGCCCCGGATGCAGAGCCGCGCCTTGAGCGAGTCGGCGCCGTAGTAGATGCCCGCGTGGATGACCTCGCTGTTGCGCGCCGACGTCTCGGTCCCGACGGCCGTGTGGCGCTCGAGCAGCACCGTCGGGCCGTGGGCCGCCAGCGCCCGCGCCACGGCCAGGCCGACTACGCCGCCGCCAATGACCTGTGTCTACGTTAGCCGTGGCCCATCATGACGTTTGTATTTTGCGCGTTTGGTGGGGTTTTTGTGCGCTTCACGGGTGTTGATGTCGCCGACTTACGGCATGGGTGAAATCGGCGGGCTTGGCGGCCGTCGCCGAGAAAGTCCGGTGGCGGACGGAGGAGCTCAGAATCGGAAGCCGACTACGAAGCTGAGTTGCAAACATCCTGCCTCCAGTGGTTGCGCGCGGGTGCGTCTTAAATCATGACTTGGAAAATTATGTAGACTGGATGGAGATGCAAGAAAAACATGTGTTCCAGGTAAGTAGGCAGGCTTTTATGACCTCGCCAAAACATGTGTTGTTGGTCCCCGGCCCTCGCCGATTTCGGCATCACCGAGACGGCAACACCATGACTGATACCGGATACGCTCAAACTCTCGGCTCAAATTCCAATTGTTCAAACGATTTATTCCCCACCATTAACACTACTCTCTATGTAAGTCTCATTTTGCGGGCTTCTTTCCAGGATCTCGCAGGAGCGGAGTGCATCAGTCTGTCTCGAGTGCAACGGCCCGCGAGACGATGGCTTTACTACTGTGTTCACGGTGACGTCTGTGATGCACCGAGTTGGCCAAGTTGAGTCACGGAGGTTGTGGTATGATTCTTGGATCATCAATGCGTGGTGGCTATGTTTAGAATAAAAGAAACTACAACTCACGGCACTGGATGCCTCCAGTTGTTCAGCGACTGGGTGAGTTCAAATATTTGCTGTCTTGTGAAGCCTTCTCGAATACCATGCCTGCCAACTCCTGATAAGCAATTTTGGAGATCAAGCCACTCATTCCTTTGTCTGGCTTCTTCTAGGCCAAGTCCGGTAACGCCATACAATGCTGTATCGTGAATCGTGAAATGCAGATTTCCCTTTCCGTCTCAATCCTCCTTGGGTGCATCTGCAACGGTCGGCAGAGGATTCGACGAGGCTGTCGCACGGGTCGCTCCAGACGTGGACTCCTCCTCTGATATCGAGGTTGAGCGTCCCAAATGAGAGTGCTGTGTTGGCTCATGTGCTGTGGTAGGGCTGCTAGGGCCGCCCATCTCTGACAGCTGGCGCTCTGTTATTTATTAGCTGGGTGGTGGTATAGAGGGGTGCATAGACAAGCCTTACCCAGTTCTCGAATACGGTGGCGCAGCATTTGATTCTCACGCACCAGCATCTGAGTTTCAGCCTGGTAGAAAGCATTCTCATCTCGACCGCCCAGAAGCCATGGATCACCGCTGTCCGCACTAATCGACGTAGATCGCAGGCGGGGCGAGGCACCTCGGCTTGGGGTTCTAGACCGGCGCTGAAGGTCGGCACGCGCCATGTCGAACGAGCTTCGGGGATGGGAGAGGACAGGCGATCGCGGTAGCGATCCGGAGGGCGAGAAAGCGGCAGCAACCGATGGTGGTGCGGCACCGGGCACGGGAATAGGCTGCGCAGGCGCCGGCACCGATCTATCCGAGGCCTCGTCTCCCGTGACTGCTGACTGACTCTGCGGCTGTTGCGACTGGAGCTGCTGAATTTGGAGTTGTTGGTGTCTGATCATACCCAGGAGGCGGTTCTGCACAGAGTGCGACCATGTTAGCTACAAAGGCCTGGGGGGTTAAAAATGGAAGCGGTCCAACGTACAACTTGAGCCTCCTGCTCGGCCTCGAGCTCTTGATGGAGCTCTCCCAAACTTGGCTGCCGATGATGATGTGGATCACTGCTAACTGGGAGAGGCGAGGCTGTGATTGTTGGGCTCGCAGTCACCTGGCTGCTGGGGTTTGTGTCGGACAACATCTCTCCCGGGGCGGGTACCGAGGGATCGTTCATTTGTAGGTTCATGAGGACTTGGGACCGTCGACGACTTGAGTGAGGGGACTGTCGGTTCCGTGCGAGAGAGCTGCTGGAAGAGCCTCCTGGGCCAGATGTTAGCAGTAGATCCAGGTATAAAAAAAAAAGAGAAAAAAAAGGCGAGGAGAACTGCAAAGGCATACTTCGAGAGGTTTCATGTTGTAGGCCGGCATTGACGGTGGCAGCCGCCTGGAGAGAGATACTAGCTCTGGGTGACGAGGACGGCGACTCGCCCCGAGGAACGGCAGCGTTGTCACTGTTATTTGAGGATGACATGGCTCTAGAGAAGGATGCTGGAGAGGATGGAGGTAGGGAGTTCAGGTCAGGCATTGCGTGGGAAGCTGGAGGGTATTTGAGGCGCCGCCCAGCGTTCCCGCACCTAGAGTGGCGGCGGTGGAGCTTTGCGGAGAGGCTTCGGCAGTGAGCTGGAGAGGGCGGCTTAAAGGGCAGTCGCACACGGGGTGGGTGGGTGGTGAGGTCCCCAAGACGAAGCTCGAGGCATGAGACGAGATGCGAGCTTGGCGAGTAAGGCGCAGGTGAGGGCGGGTGGATTACTGGATGGTGAAGCTTGGGGGCGCTGTGGGCAGCTTCGAAGGGGACCGAACCACGCGGGGTGAGGTAATGGCTCGGGCTATGACACCTGACGATCGCCCTTGAGAGTTTGGAGTGCCCACGGTCGCGAGTGCTGTTGGTCAGGGGAATTGGTGCGTGTCGAGACTGCTGATCACTCTCGATTTTGTCTGGCGTCGTTGGCGTCTTGACATTTCGTCAGTTTGTTCAAGGGGGGACAGCTGACGCATTTTGGCGGGGCTCCCGCCTGATGCGGCGGCGAACAGATCACGGACCACTCACCCGACTTCCAGCCCAGCCCACCGCAACACCACCCTCACCTTGAGCGCATGGTTGGATGGGCCGATCATCAATCCTCCCCTAATCGTACCCAAGGCTTGTCGTCACATGGCAGCGGACACGCCAAAACTTTACCTTCGCATCCCGGAGTCTAAATTGTGAAACACGCAGGGAGCAGGACGAGCGATGATCCCCAGTGCTACGGAGCCTCGCGTCCGATCCTCTGCCCGTCATCGATGGCCATGAGCCACTCTAGCCACAGTCAATAGCTAAAGAGCAGAGCCCTCTGGAAACTGACGATCTCCAAGACATTGCAATGCCAGCGAATGATACCAAAGCCAGCCTCGTGTCTCCACGTACAAAGGCGGCTGGGCAACAGAGGCACTCCAAACCTGCTACCTCTTGCACTTGTTAGAAAATTAATGACTGCTGTGATGAATGCGGCTGTTCATAACGGCAGGGCCCTTTCATCATTCGACCAAGAGGCAGTGTTTTTGGCGTGATAGAACGAGGTAGAATCATCATCATCATCATCATCATCAACCCCACTGGGTATGCGTATAACTAAATTCTTCCCAGCCTGGCTATCACAGCGATTTGACTTTTGCTTGCTTTTCGTTTCGTTTCGTTTCTTTTCTTTGCATCAGCTCGCAAAGTGTGTCTATATTACGCCATGCTATCGATGCATGGTAATCTCGCACACCCGGGAACCATGTCTTAATGGGCACATACCATGTCAATATTCATCCCGGGTAATGGGATAAACCTCGCCGGCCAGCACCGCTTACCGGGCGAAGACTGAACAGCGCCGGGCGGGCCCCAGGCGTCTACAACTTACAAGCACCTCAGCAAACGCGTGATTGCGGCGACGTCAGCAGACGACACGCGCTTCCTTGGGGCTCCGACCGTCGCCGGATACCGATACAGTATCAACTACCTGTGTCTAGACCAAGAGTCACAAGTCTCGCTCTAGTCAGCGAGGAGGAGCGGGTTCTCTTGCAGACGTGTCAATTCGCCATGAAATACTTGTACGGCCTGATTGTATCTCAGTATCGTCATTCTTGTGCAACTCGCTGTCATCGAGATTGCAAGCTCCGATTCCCCCTCTGGTCCTCCATCATTGGCCCACCGCCCATAAGCCAGCCATATGGCGACACGAGCGGGCATTGGGCTACTGTGCCGTAAAACCGGCCGCGGTGAGACAGGCACTATCGATTTCGCGATGTTTCCGTGTCCTGGGGACCCGTCCGGAGCACATTGCTGCAGATGTAATTGGTGGTGAGACCATCCTAATCCCACACGCAGGAACATGCACGCGTGGCAAGCTGCCTCGTACTAGACCTGCAGCAATGAGTACCATCAAGCAGCCACGGTGCTTTTGTCCTGGTGGCTCCCAGATCTTGTTAGGGCTGCAGTAGGCGAGAATCTAGCGAATCCTGCCCCTAACAGGACGACGCGCTCTGTACTTGTACTGATCAGAGATTGATTGATACGCTATCTCGCTCACACAGCGGAGGAGAGGGGCCAGAAAGCCGGTTTCCCCGCTGCAAGGGAGACAAATGTCCTTTGATGTGCTTGATGTGTGCGCATACTGTGCGACCCGCGATGGAACCTAGGACATGATCAGACAGCGGGCTCATGCCCTCGCCCCATATCCATACTGAGTACCGGACACTACAGCCGGGAACTGGCATGGAGAAGCACGGAGGAAAACGCTGTCCTACTGAACCTGGCAGACCCTTGTTCCCGATCAAGATATCGTCAACTGCTCCTTCAGAGATCGTGCGAGTCGACAGTCTTCCGGCCAATTTTGATGCATCGCTTTGGTCATCATGTCGCCTGGGTTGCGGCTTTGTGTTGGAACATAAAAGTACAACAAAGACTGCCATTCAACAAGCCAAGGATGAACTATGGGCCTTGAAGGGCGCCGCGGCGCTCTTAGGAGATGTGCTAACGCAGGAACCACAACAATGGACTGTTAGCCAGGCCATGATCAGCGTGCTGGTCTTCCCAAGCTGGCCTAGCTGATGTCACAAGATAGAAACACAGCCAGTCTGGGGCTGCCCGGGCTGGAGCGTGCTTGTGAAACACACGGTCAGGTAGGAAGCAGGGGGCTCATGGAAACTTCTCTCGCCTAACTTTGTAAGAGTACGAGAAGGGTGCTGTTTCGGGTTGCGAGGGAGCCTCAACCGGGTGCGCGGCCTCGAAGATAGATATTCTCGAGACGCGACCCGGGTCTGTTTCTGTGCCTGCGACTTCTCTACACAGTCTCATGTACGGTCCCGTTCGAGACTGGGCCTCCAAGACCGAATCACATCGCATCCCTCAGTCTCCCGTGCGAGTCCACGAGGGAAGCCGTCCCGACCAGGTGCGCGGCTGGTGGCTGGGAATGCTCGACGGACGGCACGCTGCAGGACCTTGCTGCAAACCATCCGCCCGTTGCCGTTGTCTCACAAAACCCAGCCGAACAAGAAATCTACGGGCACGACAGTTGGCTGGACGCCCGGGACCAGCTTCTGCGCGTTGGTTAAAACGAGGCTTGCCAGGCAGGGTCGACGGCCAAGTTGGCAAGGTGGGAAGACGCACTGCCTGCTGTATCTGACTTGTACTTCGTAGGACAGCTCAGGCAGGTAGCCTCGATGATGGCAAGACAAAGATCTTCGAACCATCCAGGGATTGCTGCCTCTCTCCGGACTAGGGGCTTCGAGGCCGTATCCGCGCTGCCTGTCAAGACCGTGCCGTTTCTTCTTCCGACCCACCTGCAGCCATGGGCGCTTTTCCAGGCCGAGTAACCCCTGTTTGGTTTCAAGCCCTACCTGCTTGTTTCAATTTCAGCATCCTTTTCCCCCCTCGCTTTTCCTTTTTACTCCTTCAGCTCCTGCAAGAAAATTACAGTAAAAAAGAAAAGAAGAAGGAAAAACAGAGGAGTTGCTTTCTAACAACACCTGGATTGAGATGGCTGCTTGACGGACTATTCCCGAGCCAAGAGCAAAGCTTGCTATCAGCGGCCCAGCGGGTGGGAAACCACACGCACGCACGCGTGCGTATTTGTGGTCCTCAGACCGATCAAGTGCATCCATTGGGCAGCGCTCAGATTATGTTGTTATATCAGATCGCCATATACCTGCAATAGGAGCTGCTCATTAGATAATACGCTGCCGGCAGAGAGACTCTCGAGCCTCTCGAGCACATACGAAGTAGCAGTCCACCGGCTTGTTCCTCCAACACAAGCGCAATGCCTCGCCCAACAAGGTCAGTGTCTCGATGAAGCTACAATCTCCCATTTCGACGGTGATGCGGTAGTTAGGAGTCACCTACTTGTACTCACTTGACTGTCAAAGTGGATGCTCCAGCTGCCATCGGTATGCCCTGGCGCGTGGGAGAGATCCAAGTATGGAGTAAGGTACCGTCCTGGGCGGCACTGTGAACGAACCCCTGCACACACACCATCTGGCCGTGGAGATTGACTGTGCATGGGTAGGGGGTCTTCGAGGACCCAGCTTGTGGGTGCTGCTGGTGTGTCTTGCTTCTTGTCACGACGCACGCACATTGCACGCATACTTGCAGGGTTCGAGGTCCAAGGACGGTGGGTGCACCGCAAGACCCCATCTCCGTCCTTTGATCCTTTCTTTTTTTCCCCTCGAGTCTAATCCTGGACCGGCCAAGTGGGCGGTTCTTGTTCCTCTTCGAGCCCTCCCCCCTACCCCCATGTACGGAGTATACAAGTACATTACTGCACCCTGGTCCGCTATTCTGTCATTTTGTAAAGTTGTGATTCTCCTGCTCTTCCTTCTCTTGTGCTCTGTCCTGCAGCAAGCTCACTCAGGGAGGACGACCTTGGTGAACGCCGGCCCCGTCACTGCCCCTCAAGCTTCCCGGACAGACAGTTATCGGCTGCGGTATTGCGGAATCGGACCTGGGAGACGAGGCTCACTGCTCCCTGACACTGAGCCAGCTACCTATGGTATCTCACTGGCTTCAGGCGAATCCACACCCACACCACCCCAGATGCGGTCGTGAACAAGTCTCTCCGCTAAGACGCGCCATTCCATCGCATGTTTAGCTCGTGGGCACCTCGGAATGCCGTTGTTGTTGATTCACGACGCTACGTCACTCGCTGCTGTATAAATTACCCGGGCAACTGCTATCTACCAGAGGAAACACTGTGGACTGTGCCGGACAATATCTCAACCGTTCGTGAATAGCCGGTAATGGTAGATTCGGATACCGCAGTGCACCGCCTGGGGGCGCTGGAGGCATTGCAAAACCAGGTCGGCCATTCCCGGCGACAAAGGCCCCCGGATCTGGACCGCTCGACCAGTGACGAGAACCGCATACCTCTGAGACACGGCGCCGCAGAGAAGCTTAACAAGCGGGAATCCAAGCTAGGACTGAGGGGCCTGTTCAGCCGCCACAAGAACCTCAGTGAAGCCGACGTGGGCACGTCCAAACCGGGCTCGTCGAGATCCGCCGGCATACGAGCCTCTCTTGCCGAGATCAGCAACTGGCCCTACGGCTTCCAGTCCGCAAAGTCGGATGTGGCGCTGGCCACGGCCGACACGAATGCCGACGACAAGCTAAGTAGGCCTGCACCACCGCCACGAAGCAAGACGCCAACACCGGGCCTGAAACCAGCTCGTGCCTCGGTCGCGAACTGGGATCCGCCGCCTCTGTTCAAGGCATATCCTCAGGCTATCAAACATGCGTCCTTGCCGGCATGCACGACTTCGGCGGACACGCTCCTTCGTGCTCATGGCCACAAAAGCAGCTTCTCGCTGAGAGACGGCCTGGCCTCGCCGGAGCCTATGGAGGACTTTATGATGGACTACGACAAGTCCAAGAAGAAGCACAGGCGGAACAACAACTCCATGTCCTCAAAGCTTGAATGGACGACCAAACTATACATCCTCGTCACCTCTGGCTATCTCCTCCAGTATGCAGGGGAGGGCACCTTCGATCGGCTTCCGGAGAAGATCTTGCAGCTTGGCCGAGAATCTGCCGCCTTCGCCAGTGATCTAATTCCAGGGAAACACTGGGTCTTACAGATTTCTACGAATATGGATCCCGACGGAACACAGACGGCGGACTCAAGATCCTTGTTCACAAGGCTACCTTTCAAAGTCGGTGACCGGAGACATGCCTCGAACTGCTTGATGGTCTTTGAGAATGCCGAGGACATGGAATCATGGATCGTCACCTTGCGCAGAGAAATTGAGCACTTGGGAGGCAAGAGGAGTCTCTCGGAGACGGGCACGCCTAAAATGGAAGCGCAAGCTCAACTCCGATCTCAAGTCAGCCAGAGAACACTGGTTGTCCGGGACCCTGATCGATTCTCGCGCGTTCTCCCCTCGGATGCGCCCTGGCAACAACTTTCAAGCCCGGTCGAATCTCCGGTCGAGGCCGCGGAAAACGAAGGAGTTCTCGATCAAACCTTTGAAGATGTGTCGGCAACCAATAGTATGATCTCACAGGACGGGCGACACCTCGAGAGTCTCCGAGATAGTGCAGCTCGCCTGTCTTGCGTCTCATCAGGGCAGAGGACGTTTGTGACGTCGGAGGGCTCTTCGCCGCCGTGCTCACCAATGCGGAACAGCTTTGCGAGCTTTACCGACGAGTCGATGCACCATGACCTACCTCCCGAGGCACAAGCAAGGCCTCGGCCCAACGCTGCGGCCATCCTGGACCGAAGACAGTCGATGCGGACTGTGAACCCTCTAGTCGACTTTCGTATTGCCTCAAACCCGCCGCCCCGGCCCCAGTCGACCTATGCGGTGCAGGAACGAGACTTCGTTACTGGAACCACCCCGCAGACTACGCGTAATTTCAGTGTCCCACAGGCAGTGAGTAAGCGGTATTCGTTGATCAAGTCTCCTCCTCTGGAACCAATCGTCACATCGCCGCCCGCACATGGCAGGATACCTCCTGCAAGGCCACCAAGGAGGCCACCACCTCCTTCACTAGGATTCTCCCGGCCTCTCTCCATCGTGGCCGATCAGCCGTCGCCAGGAACGGCTTCGCCTACATCTCCACGAGAGTTGAATGGACTCTCTGACGACCTCAGCACCCCCGAATCGGAAATCTCGAATGCTACGACGGTGTTTGCCGGTGCTACTGCCACCCGCGATAACGACCTGGCTGCGAAACCGACAGATCAACCAGCCACGAAGCCGAGGAGACCATCGAGCTTGCAAACCCTGAGGCCTGTGGATACAAAGGTACGAGTCGTACCCGAGCCCCAAAAGTCCGTTGCGCCCAGCCCGATACCAATCCCCAGGGCCCACCCGCGCATCATGCCCGACATTGCGGAAGAACCCCCGCGATGTCGGTCCTCGATGGCCACGTACAGACCAGGAGGAGGCAGCATGTCGCCTGTGCCTGCAAGCCCACGCGACGCCACGTACAAACGCTCGAGCATGTTCGCACATCCCTCTGATTCGTTCGGTCTGTCACGGTCACATCGGGACCTGAACCCCCGACTTGCGGCGTTTCCCCAGGTCGAACTCCCACTGCGGAACAGTCCACCCGCATACGGCAGCGTGCCGAAACACGTCGGCATTCATCCGAGCCATCATCAGTTACAAGTGCATGAGCATGACAAGGGCCTGCTGAACCGGCGCAGCATGTCACAGCTCGTGGAAGGGCCGCCGCCTGCGCCGCCACCGACCTGCGCCTTACCTCCTCTGCCTCCGAAGATGGCTGACATCAATAATGTCCGGTCAAGGGCATGAAAGCACAAGACAAACGAAATTTCCTTAGCACGATCCCCCCCATTGTAGTATCTTGTAATACCCAGTCAAGTCCACACACACACACACACACACACACTCACACACACCTTTCCTTATCCTATTTAACTGGCATAGATGGGGTCATATGCCGATCTACACACAATGCACGCTGTGCATCATTCTCCGTTATTTTCTTTGTCAACCAGGCAACGAGTCACACTCTTTGCGCTCTCCTAGAACGTACGTCTATAATGGGGCGCTCTAGAAGAAATGGTTCAGTTTTGGAGCCGGCAAGTAGCAGATATAGGGAGGCATCCTGTATGTTGCTCATTTTCTTGTATATTAGCTGAGACACATGATAGACGTGGCGATCATGACATTTGGCCCAGGCGTTTGAGCAAGACCTTGTTAGAAGGAGCAGCTCGGTCTGGCATCAGGTCAAGAGAGCGGAAGATGATTAATGAGAAACAGATATATGAGATACTTGCATTACTATCTTGATGTGTCAAATGCCCTGCTTGGCCCACAGAATGAATGCAAACACTGAATTGAGCTGGGGACGAATATCGAGGTACGGGCTATTAAGATGTGATAAACATCTTCGCCGAAGTGATCCATCCTTCTTGATAGAAAGGCCTGCTACCCACAGAACGAATCAAGAGCTTCGTCGTTGCGAGCTCTGCTGCCTTACTGTGTCACACGTCTCGAGAAAAAGTGGTGAAAACCCCGGTACTAACAGTTTTACGCGGCTTTTCTGTGCGCAGATGATAAGACCACTTTCCTCAGTGCCCCGCGCTGATTCATCCACACACTCTGCAAATTGCCCCACACTTTCCAGAGGCGACGATTAAATTTCCATTACGGCCAAAATTCAAGATCGCCAACGACGAGCCCAAGAACCGCTTGAAACGACACCACGAGACCGCCCTCACGAGACATAGACACGTTTTCAAGATGGCTGCCACGATCCCTACCAGAGAGAGGTAAGTTTTGGGAGACCCTAGGGCCAGCGCCGAATGCTGGGGGGGAGGTACCATGGATGCGCAGCGAGGAGAGGGACAGTTTCGCTAATGTGGTGATTTTGCACAAAATTACAGGCACGACTGGGCCGACGACGACGACAACGAGGAGGCCGCCGCCGAGCTGCCGCCGCCGCAGACCATCTCCAACAAGGATGGCACCAAGACCATCATCACCTGGCGATACAACGAGTCGGGCAACAAGGTCAAGACGACGCGCCGGGTCCGCTTCACCACGCACCGCGAGGTCGTCAACCCGCGCGTCGCCGACCGCAAGACCTGGGCCAAGTTTGGCCTGTCGGCCAAGGACCCGGCCGGCCCTGCCCCGGACACGACGAGCGTCGGTGAGAACATCATCTTCCGGCCCAGCGCCACGTGGCGCAAGGACGCCAAGGACGAGAGCAAGGACGCCAACGCCCAGGCCATGAAGGACAAGCTCAAGGACAAGAAGGTCAAGTGCCGTATCTGCAACGGCGAGCATTTCACGGCGCGCTGCCCCTACAAGGACACGATGGCGCCCATCGGCGAGGCCGGCGGCGCCGACGTCGCCGCCGGCATGGGCGACGAGCCCGGTCCCGCGGGCGCTGGCGGCGCGGCTGCTGGCGGGCCCGGCGCCAAGAAGGGCTCGTACGTGCCGCCTGCGCTGCGGGGAGACAGGGCTGGTGCTGCCGGCGGCGAGAGGATGGGCGGCAAGTTTGGCGAGAGGGACGACCTTGCGACCCTGCGCGTCACCAACGTGAGTTTTTCCCCTTCTTTTCCCCGCTCCTCGTTTGAAATCATTATCTATGAAAGCGAGTGTAGCGAGTTGCTGACGTTTCAATCTTTCTTCCCACTACAGGTCTCGGAGATGGCAGAGGAGCAGGAGCTGCGCGATATGTTCGAGCGCTTCGGCCGTGTCACCCGCGTGTTCTTGGCCAAGGACAGGGATACCGGTCTGGCCAAGGGCTTCGCCTTCATCAGCTTCGCCGACAGGAGCGACGCGGTCAAGGCGTGCAACAAGATGGACGGCTGGGGTTTCAAGCATCTTATTCTGAGAGTAGAGTTTGCCAAGAAGGCGAACTAGGTTGCTCGCGATGGGGAGAGGGAGGAGAAAAGAGAAATGCCGGATGTTATGAGAAGGACGGGGCGGGTGTGTGTCTAATAACGAGGCATCTTTGTCACTGGAGTCTTTTTCTAGGTCATGAAAAACTATGCATAGACTGCTTTCTGCTTTCTGGACAAGCGGGACTTTCGAAAAGAATGAGAATGATTATCCTGCAGAGTGACACTGACAATACCACGTTCTCCTTTGATATACACCAGTGGTCGTACCGAACAATACAAATCCGTAGAGTCCAGTTGTGGCCTTCAGCATACCCATTAGATACTGGCCTACTTCGAACATGTTGGCTCAGGAAAGGTGTCATTGGCAAAGTTACTCTTGAGGTCGAGAAGCTGGCAGACGGTAGAGGTTTGGCTCGTGGAGATTTTCGGATTTTCTCGGACTTCAGAGCCTCTTGTCTGACAGTTCCAGTGGAGAGAGAGCACATGAGCCCGCTGTCCGTTCTTATGGGCTTACACATCCGCCAACTGCTGTAAACGGTAAGACTTCCTCAACAGTTCACGATCCGTCGAGAGAGTATCCACGCGAGGCCACATTCTTATCAAGGGTCCTCTGCCTCAGATGTCCCATTCTAACCACATGTGGTGTCGTGAGCTACGATAGGCGAGGGCTTAGGAGGACCCTTGCCATTATCACATGCTTTTTTCTTCTTCTTTGCAAACAAGACGAGAGCAAGACCTGTCTAACAATCAATGCAATTTACCAAAATGCCTCTCTCATATAATTTTTGTTGGGAATGCTGCATGGCTTGATCTTGCCAGGCCCTCCTACCTTGTACATAGGTACTCGGTAGGACCCGCCTAGGAGCTGTAGTATTATCTTAGCCTTCATGAGCTACCTAACTAATTTCCACTGGGAGAATATCGTGGTGGTCCCCATCATCCATTGTATTCTCTGCCATTCCACTTCCACATCTGGCATAGGAGCACGAGATCCCCGAGAGCAAGAAAGGCTTGCAGCAAATGTCGCGATGTGCAAGGACGGACCGACGTGACGTGATGGTGATTTAATCAATGTTCATTCATGTTGCAGCCGGCAATACAAGAACCCGCGGTTCGAAAGGCCCTGCAAAATGCAACCAAGGGCACCAGCCAGTGGGAGAACTCCCGAGAACACCCTCCAGTCTCCAACACCCACCCCGCTTCCATTACAGGTAAACTAGTGGGGGCTGGGGCGTAGTGACAGGCGGCTCTGGCGGGCAATTCGGGTAAGGACAGCAGCACTGGAGATCCATAGTTACAACACAAACCCCTCTAGCTTTGGTCAGAAGCGTCACAAGCGCCTGTCCCTGGCAGTTTATTGGGGTTACAGGGCATAGTTAATTCCTCACAGACAGAAAGACAGGAAAAAGACAGGGAATACCGTTTGCGCCAACCCACACATTTTTTTGCTCCGGCATGTGACAAAAAGCTCATGTCCAAGGCACAAGTGGAGGGGAAAGCAAAGAAGCTCATCCACTCGCCGTTCCATCCAGTTCTGACAACGGGATCTGCATCTGCAACACGACCGACAGAGTATCTTGGCTTGGAGCTCCTCAAACAAACAACGAGCCGATCTCCCGGGTCTGTTTCGTGACGTATCTTTTAAAGGAAAGCACTCAGACCATTGTGCTTGAACCTCTGCCAACCATCTGGCCACCCTTTGCATCCACCGGTTGTGGTTTGTGCATCTGTTGCCCACCTTTTGCGAAGAAACACAACCCCAGACATAACGTGAGCTATCTTAGCTCCCAGGAACCAGGATCCCGGAGCTGTCAGACCTACGCAGTCCACCTGCTCCGAGTCGTGAATCGTGCGCCCAGTTAAAACCAAGATCGCCATTTCTCTCTCACTCACACCTCTCCTCAGCCCTGCTGCAGCGAAATCGACCATCTCTCTCTCTTTCTGATGGAGCGCCCATAAACGGCCTTTTCCTCCCACGCAACCAGAAGCTCTAGCCACTCGACGTATATTGTTTGCACTAGAGCCTGCCGCCGCTGTCATGAGCACATCTGCGGACCGGTTGGCCGAGCAGGCCAGCCTGCGGCAACGGCACGGAGCTGCAGCTGCAGCCCCGGCCTCGGCGCGCGTCGCATTCGCCGAGGATGCTGATGCTGACACCGACTCCCCCAAGGAGCAGGTTGACAAGCCACAGAAAACATACGGACGCACCCCGGCCGGCACAGGTACGTGTGATTCTGCAACATTTGTACCACCACACCGTTTGTGCGGTTTCCAGCCCTGCTTGCATTGTGGTTACGCAGCGTTACTGACATGTAGATCCCCTCTGGTTAGTTTTTGTCGTCCCGACGACCCATGACATGGTCTCTCAGCTTCTGGATCCCCGACAGCCAAAGAACCTGTCTGACATCACCGTCCTTGCCATTCTTGGACTCCACATACTCGCGGCTTACTACCTGCCCGCCTGGCTGAAGAGGCCCGTCTTCGCCGCCATCTTCATATTCTGGCGCGCATCTTACAACATCGGCATTGGCTGGCTTCTCACCGTCCAGTCCAAGTACAAGACCCTCGTGCGGAAGGCGCAGAAGAGCGGCATTTTCGAGAACCCTGCGACGGGCAAGAACCCCCGACCATGGCTATACAATCTGCTCAAGCGAGAGCTCGAGGCCAAGATCCCGGAGGACTACGAGTTTGAGAAGGCGCCCATCGAGTACAACACTTGGCTGGTCTTCCGCCGCATCGTGGATCTGATTCTGATGTGTGACTTTGTGTCCTACTGCCTCTTTGCCATGATCTGCGGCTCCCAGCCGGATGGCGAGAACCCCGTCATGGCGCTCGCTCGCTGGGTTGTGGGTATTTCTCTGATCGGCTTCAACCTCTGGGTCAAGCTCGACGCCCATCGGGTCGTGAAGGACTTTGCTTGGTACTGGGGCGACTTCTTCTACTTGATCGACCAAGAGTTGACTTTCGACGGCGTCTTCGAGATGGCACCTCACCCCATGTACTCGATCGGCTACGCTGGGTACTACGGCATCTCCATGATGGCCGCCAGCTACGATGTCCTGTTCATCTCCATCGGCGCACACCTGTCTCAGCTCATTTTCCTGGCCGTGGTTGAGAACCCCCACATCGAGAAGACCTACAACCCGCCCCAGCCTCGTGTCCGTGCCAACTCTGAGCGCAGTGACTCGGGATCTTTCGACCGCCCTGTGGAGCTCCAGACTCACAGAGGTTCGCCTGCCCCCGTGCATGACCTGTTGGGCCTCAAGAACTTTGATCTGTTCCGCGTTACCGACTACTCTGCACTTCTACTCTGTGGCTATCTGATGACGCTCACAGTTGTCTGCCCCAACACTTCTCTCTGGCAAGGCCTGTTCGTGGTCCATGCCTTGGCCTGGCGTATGTGGTATTCTATTGGCTTGGGTGTCATTCTCAACCTGCAGTCCAACCAAAAGATGTTCACTCGTCACTTCGTCAAGTACGGTGACAGCGTCCACGAAGCCTGGAGGCAGTGGAAGGGCATGTACCACCTCAGCCTCATCATGTGTCACGGATCCTTCATGGCTGCGTGCTGGAAGCTCTACTACCTGCCTGACGATTGGTCTTATGGAAGCGCAATCCTCAAGCACGTTCTGGGCCTCAGTCTCATTGCCCTGCAGGTCTGGGTCGCCACCAGCATCTACGATGAGCTGGGCGAGTTTGGCTGGTTCTTTGGCGACTTCTTCTTCGACAGCAGCAGCAAGCTGACCTACAAGTCCATCTACCGCTTCCTCAACAATCCCGAGCGTGTCATGGGCACGGCAGGTCTGTGGGGTGCTGCGCTTATCACCTGGAGCAGGTCCATCTTCATTCTCGCCCTGATCAGCCAGCTGTTGACCATCGGATTCATCACCTACGTCGAGAAGCCTCACATGCAAAAGGTCTACGGCAGGAACGTTCGGCGCGAGGCTGGCTTGACCAAGTTCATCAAGCGATCTCTGCCGCCTCCGGTCAAGGAGTGGTCGATGAGCGTTGACAAGGTCTTTGACGAGACCAAGTCTTTTGTGGATGAGTTCGTCGACACAGCCCGACCGAAGCTGGCAGCCGGCGTCTCGACCATTGTTCGCGACACCACTGCCCTCTTCAACAAGTACCCGGCTCGTCTGACGATCACGCGCCTCTCCGCCGATCTTGCCGGCATCGACCCCAAGCAATACTCCCTGGCAATGGGAGGCGAGTTGGCTCCCGAGGGAATCAGCGAGCGATCTACCGGCAAGGAGAGCCTCTCGGCCAGAGTGCCCAAGGACGTCAAGACCATGGTCTTCCAGTATGGTGCTCCCATCAAGGTGAAGTGGACCGCTCCGGCCAACCACGGCAAGAAGGACTGGATTGGCCTCTACATGGTCACCGACAACAGCTCTCGTGAGGTTACCGAGGTGCCTTCTCTCGGCCGTTGGGTGCCCACGAACCCTGGCGAGTATGACACGGCTGTGGACACTGGTATCGTCTCTTCGGATAAGCCCGGACCCAAGAGCGCCGATGGCACTGCCCTCGTCCAGGGAGAGGTCGTCTTCGAGGGCGACAGGTTGTGGTGGACCCAGGGTGTCTTTGAGTTCCGCTACCACCACGATGCTAGCCACAACGTGCTCTCCATCTCGCAGCCTTTCGAGGTGCGCATTGGACGCTTCGAGGCAGAGGATGTCGATGCTGATTCGCCCTCTCGAGCTCTCTATGAGCAGGCCGTTGAGGAGGCCCTCTTGCCCGTCGTCCGCGACTGCCTCGACCGCGACCCGGATATCGCCCCTAACACGGCCGATGAGCCATTCGGCAGCCACGTGGAGCGAGACAGCCGGTACGCTCGCCGGGTTGTGTATGCCATCCACCACATGTTTGGAGTCGAGTTCGCGCCGGCTGTGGTACCTGCCGATGGCAACGTGAGGAAGTTGGCCTGGAGAATATCCAGCGCTAAGCAAGTCTTGGTAAGTTCTATTTCTCATCAACTGACGACTTTTGCTCCCATGATTCGTCCAAGATATTAATGCGTCATCCCAGGCACCGTACAGCATGTCTCACTCGAGAGGCACGACGACGCCAACAACGGAGAAGTCGGAGCTGCTGTAGAGAGCAGTACATTTCCAGGAGGATCGAGATGAATATTCTCAGGCATGGAGGAAACGGGGTATACGATTGCATGAGCATCACTTACTTTTTCATTTGACGTATTGATACCATAAGTGCAAAAAAAACATGGCGAGAAATGCATATAGACGGTTGGCGGCGGTGGCGGCAAGCTTCTGAAAAAAAGTTATCCAATTCTTCACATTTCCTTCCAACGTCGTCCTACTTTATATCGGCTGGCTGTTAATTGAGGATTCCTTGTATATACGACTCATTAGGGGATGTTCACTGTTTGGTGTCACATCAAGAAATACGTCTGGCAAACAAGAAAAGGGATTCCATTTCTTACACTTAAGTCGTGATACTCAAACCAGTTAACAGCTTGGCTGTCTTCAATGCATAAGATGATCCTACAAGACAGACTCGGTCTAGGCTATCGAACTTCGCCGACACTTTGTCGCATTGTTCAGAAAAGCTGCCTTCTCGTCATTTTGGAAACGGGGACAAGATCTATTTGGCCACTGACCTTCTACCCTTGTAGGCGATGCGACGGGCCTCTATACACAGCCTAGCTGCATGAGATCTTCGCTTCTTGCTCTCGGTGACGAATTACACCCGCCAGATTCCTCGTAGTCCCATCGGCCCCCATGACTTGGCTCCTTGAGACGTCTTTTGCAGAACAGAGTCCGTAAAATCATAGTTAGATGCTCCGGCCTTTTTTCCGTTTCCCAACGCCAAAATTGAATTTCTTCTCCAATAGACACACAAACTCCTATCCCCCCTCCTTATCCCTTCGTCCCTTCCGACCCTTTACTCCGCCCAAACAGCCTCCGGAGCCCGCCGCCTTTCGAACCGCCCTTGGCCGGAGCCTGCCTCTCCCCGGACCCCTTGGGTGGCGTCGCCGGTCCCACCTTGTCCGGCACGCGGGGCGGCTGCTGCTGCTGCTGCTGCGGCAGGTCCCGGACGTCCTTGAGTATGTTCTCGTCGCCGGCGAGCTCCCGCCGCAGCTCCTCGCGGCGGCGCTCCTTCTCCTTGTCCCGGTCGGCGTCCTCGAAGATCATCTGCTGGTGCGTGTACTGCGCATGGCGCTGCTCCTGCATCGAGGCCGAGGCAGCAACCGCGTCCGAGATCGCCGCGGCCTCGTCCTCTTCCCACTGCTGCTGGGGGTGGTGGCGGTGGTGTCCGCCTCCCTCGTCCCCTCCGGCAGGAGGAGGGGGAGCCCCCCACTGCCGCTCCTCGTCGCCGTTGACGACGACGTACCACCGGATGTCCTCGTCGCGCTGCAGCTGGTCGCGGAGCTTCTCGAACCAGCCCTCGCGCCGCTTGCCGGTGGCCGCCGAGGACTTGGCGGAGTCGGCGGCGGCTCCGGCGGCGGCGATGGCCGGGTGGGCCGAGGCGCGCAGGGCCTCCTCGTAGCGGGCGATCTCGTCGGCGATGGAGACGGAGGTGTCGATGCGCACGACGTGGTCGGCGACGTAGGCGTAGGGCCGCGACACCTCGGTCAGGTCGAGCGGGTCGTACTCCTCGAGCAGCTTGGCGGCGGACCAGTCCTGCGACTTGACGTCGTCGTGGCGGTCGTGCAGGCTGCGCGCCGCCGCCGCCGCCGCCGCCGCCGAGGACCGCGACGACTGCCGCGAGGACCTGCCCGGCGGCGCGGGCTGGTGGCCGGAGGAGGAGGC